CACCGGTCGCATGCGGGTTGTGCACGTCAAGCTGCTCACAGTAGCCAGTGATGCGACGGAAGCTAGCAGGCTGCGGTGCGCCGTTCATCAGAATGTCGCCCTCAAGCTTGCCGATGGTCTTGCGCTGCGACAGCGAATCAAGCAGGGTGGTCTTACCAGCACCAGACGAGCCCATGAGCGCAGTCATAGTCCCGGGCTTGATATAGCCAGAGACATCGTCCAGCAGCTGCTTGTTGCCGCCCTTGACCGGAACCGTGTAGCTGATGCTTCTTCCAGGTGAAGGCAGTGCCCTTCAGGATCTGATCGTCAGTTGGACCGCTCTCGGGGATCTTGCCAAACTCCAGCGCCTCTTTGCTTTCCCTGGCACTATCTTCATGAACAGCGTTAACCTTGGGACGGTAGCGCTTGTAGACGTTGATCGAGTAACCGGTGTTGCCAAACTCGACCCATTCCATGACACCGGCGATCATAATAACGAACAAGATCCAGTACGCGCAGACGATAATGAATGCCTTCCACATGTCCTTGATATGGAATGAATACCCCTTCTCGAGATAATCCGGGCCAAAGACATATTCCTGACCAGGAATGGCGCCTTGCAAGGTGCACACCTGGTTCTCGATTCCGTAGCCAGGGACCTGCGGGATCCAGATTGCCTCCAGCGCACTTGAGCTCGAGGTGGCGGAACTCGTTGGCCATGAGCGCCTTGAATGCCCACGACAGTGGCGACATAAAGTAAATCCAGATGAACCAGCCGTGCATCGACTTTTGCGGGATCATGTATCCCAACGTACAGGATCATAAACAACAGACCGATGCCGGAGAGAGTGTGGCCAAAGTCGACATTGGGTGAGACGTTGCCAATCAGGCGGAAGAATCCCCGTAAGACAGAGGCAGCCTGCCAACAAGAACAGCATGAAGGCGAAGAATTGGCCGGCAGTGCGCGATAGTCCGGTTGCCCAGTACAGAATGCAGCTGAAAACGAGAATCTGCACTACCATGAACGGAATGTCGACAATCGTCTGAGCCAGCGACAGCGCAGCAGGGTGGTACATGGCAAACGACTTGTGCTTGTAGACGACCTCTCTGCTAGCAACAGCCTTTGGGATCTCGGCCTGTGCTGTAAGGGAGTTGAACAGAAGGGCAAAGAACAAAACACCACCACGAGTAAAGGCACCAGTCGAGGTCTCGGGCAGGTTAAGGAACAGGGTACCGACAATGATGGCGAATGCAGCATTGTAAGATGAGCTTGAACACGATCTGCGCCAGCCCTCCAACAAAGATCTCCCACTCGCGCTTGACCAGCTTGTCGAGCTGGTACCAGAAGGTAGTCGTGTACGGAGACTTGCGACGCAGCTTGCTCTTTTCCGTGCCCATCTTGGTCTGGTCGACAAAGTGGCGAATCTCATTGCCGCGGTCGTCGTTCTTCAGACGCGCTTCAAAGCGGCTAACCTCGTCCTTGACACTGTGGTACTGCGACGAAGCCTGCCAGCAACGCTCAAAGTCCTCGGCAGGTCTTGGGTGCCTTGTCTTCCCAGCCCGGCAGAACCGTGCGCTCGTGCAGCTGGGTGACACCGGTCAAGAAATCCGACGTGGTCTGGCGAGGCGGCTTGTAGATACCAATCGAGGCAAAGTACTCGACAGCCTTGTTTGCAGGGCCAAAATACAGCTCGCGACCTTCCTCAACGACCATGACCTTTGTCGAAGAGCTCGTAGATGTTCTCCGAGGCCTGGTATATGGTGACGATAGTCGACTTTTGCAGGACATCGGTGGTGATGCGCAGCGAGCGGCACGTAGTCAAGCGCGGAACTTGAATCGAGACCACGGGTGGAGCCGTCCCAGATATCAATCGAGGCGCCGGAGGCGACCTGCTCGGCGATGGAGACACGCTTGCGCTCGCCACCAGGACACACCGCGCAGGAAGGCGTTACCGACAATGGTGTCGGCGCATCCCGACAGACCGTACATGTCAAGCAGGGTGTCCAGGAACTCCTTCTCGTAGCCCTCGCGGTCAGCAAGCATATTCTTGTTGGGAGTCTTGCACTTGATGGCAAAGTCCAGGGTCTTGCGCACAGTCAGAGTCGAGAAATGGACATCCTCTTCCTGGTTGTAGGCGACCTCGCCACGGTAGCGCTTCTCGACCTCCTCAGGCGTCAGGCCACCATAAGAGACACTGCCCTCAATCTTGCGGTAGGTGCCGCGGCGGTTGCCCAGCACGCGCAGCAGCGTCGAGCAGCCAGCGCCGGGCTGGCCAAGAACCAGCAGCATCTCGCCGTCCTCGACGACACCGGACATGTTGCGAAGCAGCGGCTTCATACCACCAGCTGAGAAGAGCTTCTTGAGGCCAAAGCCGTGAGCTGCACTCTTGACAATCTTGTAGAACGGCGTGATAAGCGAGCCAATGTGGCGGTTGGCAACGTCATCGCCGTACACGGTGAGATCATCAAACACCAAGCCAACGCGCTTGGTAAATGGCGGGCCCTGCTGCTCCTGGCGGCCAGTGAGCCAGCCAGTCAGATTGAAGCCGCCCGGGTAGCCGGCCTCGGCAACGCCTGTGGCAGCCTCCTCGTCGCCAACACTGAGCGGCCTGCTGAAGGAGCGCTGAATCGACAGGAAGCGCGAGGTTCCGCGCGTTACGCTGACATGCAGAGGCTCACCAAACGATGTGACAGCCTCCTCAGTAGTCGAGTTGCGAGCAGCAGCACGGCCGATGGTGTCGGCGCTTTGCCTAGTTTGTTTGCGATCCACGTCGGTGCGGTCGCTGGAAGAACTTGCTGACGAAGCGCGGTTCTCCATGTTGCATATCTATATCTCCAGAGCTATTGTAGTTGGTAAACCTGCTAATGTTAGGGATGATGGACTGCCAATACCCAAGGCATCCTGGAGTAAGACGCTACCAAGATACTTACGTTTGAAGAAATAAAATCCAAGCGGTGTTGATTGGGCGAAACAATAAAGGGAGTACTGAGGTTGGAATATGGATGCTTGATATTGACGGAATATAAGGGAGGGAAGCGGCAGGAAAGGAGGTATATACTATTTGTGAATGTGAGCGTCAGAGAACTAACTACACAGCGGTTGCTCTATCCAAACCCCTCCAGCAAGCCCGGCTTAAATAAGCTGGCTCACAAGGCTTGGGCACATTGCCAATAACAGCAGCGGCTGTGCCAGGTCACTCTAGGAAAAATACTCCTGTGTGACGCTGTTCAGTTGGAAATAGGTGTGCATAGTCGCGAGCAATTACTCCACTGTGCTCAGCTCGGAGTGTCCAATGATTTATTCCAATCCGTGTACCCCGAATCCACAAGCACTCCAAGTCCGCGTGAGGTGTCGGAAACCCCAGGACACGGGGAAAAGTCGGTGGACATAGGAACAGGGGGAGGGACACGCTATGCGCGCCCTGGATCACGAACCACCTGGAGCTGGTGTTGGGGAGGGGAGCTGACCCAAAAATCTGATTTACATCTACGCACACCCAGATATCCCATACGACGGCCAGCCTTTTGGTCTAGTGCGGAGCCGAGCAGCTAGTGCTGCATACCCTCCGGGTGGAAACCCGTGCAACAGGGCAATGGGTCATGAAGTAGAAAAATGGCCATGTTTGTTGTGGCTAATCGAGTAAACATTGCTGGTTCACAGTGGGCCGGCAGTGCTTCTGACACATTCGAAAATGGCTGGCTTCTGACTCAGTTTAAACCGGACTCACGGATACCATTCAGCATCCTTGAAATAGAACTGGCAGCCACAGTACTGGGGCCTGACAATGGAGGCAGGGATAAAAAGTAAAACACAGCCGCTGAGTGATATGGCGAGGCGAAAGCTGCCGTCTTTGTTGGCAACGAAACAGAAATAAAAGCGGAATTTGTTTTGGAATCGCTGGGCTGTTTGTGGTGTTCTGCCTGCTCAGTGTAGCATGCATGAGCAGTGTCAGACTAAATGTTGACATTTGCCTGGAACCACTTTGTCACATCCTCAAAGTCGCGGTCGTGCCAGTTTGCGCGGATGCGGATAAACTCGAGTGCCTGTGGCAGACTACGGTCAAAGGCAGCAGTCTGCTTGTTCTTGAACCAGTCCTCGATTGGTGTCTGCCATGTCGAGCGTGCAAAAGTCGCCAACAGTAGTCTTCACTACGTAGCCAAGCAAGGCAGAGCACTCGCCGAGGCGATCAAGAATTCTCTGGTAATTGGCAGTGAACCATTTCCACACCACGTGCTTGCTGTGGTGGTTGGCCGACACCATGAAGCCGATGACGATGTTGAGGTCCTGCGGCAGGACGTGCTCTGACAGCGCGTAGTCGAGCGTCTCCCACATGCGGTCGCAGTCGGATGTGCACGCCATGGCGCCGAGTGCAGCCATGCGGTGGTCTTCGCTCAGGTGCCATTTGGCGTTGTTCTCGTACATCTCCTTGACTCGATCGTAGTTGTGTGGTCGGCCCACTGCGCACAGCAATCTCGAATATCGACGATGTGAAGTCGTGATGGAACGGCTTGTTGTCGGGGTTGTTGTAGAACTTTTCAAACAGATGGCACGCCTGGTTGATTACCAGAGTGTCACCGGCCCAGCCAGCACGCGGGATCGATATGGCGCGCAAGCGTGCCTCGAGGGCGCTGTCGCCCTCCCGGTGGGACCACCCCAGTGCTGCTGCCAGTGGACTGAATATCGAGCGGGCAAACGACAGAATGCGCTGGCGCAAATTGTCAGACTCGTCGGCCCAGGTCATGTACATGCTCTCGACATACAGGCTGATTATCTGCCATACAACGTACTCGTTGACGCTTTGGAACGATTCCATCATGTCCAGGAGCTCGCTGGTATGCGCATATCCCGCTGGCAACCAGCGCAATCATGTCGGTCAAAATGCCGACTACGTCGACCGTGCGCAGCTCATTGTTCTTTATGGCAACTGCAAGCCGACGCTGTGCCGACCTCGAGTAGCAGACTCGATAGAGCCCGGCATTGTCGTAGTTTAGCTTGAACCAGCGCGAGTGAGCTCCGGTTGGGATGTCAAAAACTCCGCTGCGCGCCTCGAGAATGTCGTGGCTCACAACACATGCGGATTTTTCGGACGAAAGAGACAATCCCGAGAGGAATCCACCACTCGACGGTGTCCTCGCTGGCCTTTACGTTTCCAGAGTACAGATAGCGGTTCTGTGTCACACGGATTTGGCCAGTTCCCGGGATCTCATCGACGTGAACCACGGGGTATCCAACCATGGTGATCCACTTGTCCATGAACCGGCTCACCTGTTGGCCAGAGGCCTGCCTCGAGCGCACGCCAGAGATCCTGGGTAGTCGCCGTGCTGTACTGGTGGGCGACCAGGTACGCACGCACGCCCTTCATAAACACATCGATACCCAGGTGGGAGCTCAGCATGCGGATTAGCGCGCAGCCCTTGTAGTAAGCGATGGCATCGAATATCTGATCGATATCGGCACCACCCTTGATCTCGACCTTTATTGGGTGCGACGAGCGCAGTGAGTCGGCGCTCAGCGCGCTCTGGCGATCCTCGATCGCAAAGTGGTCCCAGCGGTGCCACTGCGGGTAGAGCTTGTCGGTGATGTAGATTCCGATCCAGGTCGCAAACCCCTCATTGAGCCACAGGTCGTCCCACCACGACATGGTTACCAGGTTCCCAAACCACTGGTGACTGAGCTCGTGCGCAATCACGTATACTGCCTTTTGGCGAATCCAGAGGCTGGTCTGGTCGGTGATGTACAGGCGCACGGTGCGGAATAGCACCAGGCCCCAGTTCTCCATGCCGCCAGCCTCCAGCTCGGGCACGGCCACTAGGTCCAGCTTTGGCAGCGGGTAGGGATAGTCGAACATTTCGACCAGGGTCTCGAGCACCTGCACCGCGGTGTCAAGCGAGAACTTGACCTTGTCAACATCAGCTGGGGGCGTGTACACCCGGCAGGTGACCGGGGCGCCATTGGGCCCAGCCATAGCAACACCCTCGACGTAGTCCAGCTCTCCAGCAACAATGGCCAGCAGATACGTGGACATGCGTGGCGTGCATTCAAAGTACACGGTCTTCAATGCGCCGTGGCTGGCAGTATACGACACTGGCATGTTGGACAGCGCAGTGAATGATGCAGGCACGGTCAGGGATAGTGCAAACTCGGCCTTGATTGCGGGCTCGTCCCAGCACGGAAACGCGAGGCGCGCGCACTTTGCCTGAAACTGCGTGACAATCATGTACGACTGTTGGCCTGAGCGGTCACGATATCTGCATCTGTACATGCCGTACATGCTATCGCCGAGCACCCCTGCATATTCGATTATTAAATGCACTCGGCCCGGGCGCAGCTCCACCGGCAGTTTGATGGTTGCTGTCTCTGCGCCTGCGTCGTATGCGATTTCAGTGACGCGTGCCAGCATTGTGCTGTCGGCTGCAAGCACCGTGGCCTGCGCGATCTCCATATCCATTGCGTGGAGGATTACCGTTGATGTGGGCTCGTTGACCTGCACAGTGATGGTGACCGAGCCGCTGAACTTGCTGCTGTCCATGTCCGGCTGCAGGTGGATGTCGTAGTGCGTGGGAGTCAGGGTCGTAGGCAGCAAGCCACTAGGCATTGTTGTGTCACCTGCTGACTGCTGCTCTGTCCCCGCTGTTGAACTAGGCTTTATCGCCAAGGGCTTTGTAGTCGTCGTTGTTGTTGTTGCTGCTGCTGCTGCCGCTGCCGCTGCTGCCGGCGCCTGTATCTGCTGCCGCTGCATGTGCATTGCTGCTGCTGCTGGTGGCCGCGCCTGCGTCTGGTTTCAATGCCATAAAGCTTGTTTGTCTAAAAAATGGGGGGTAGATAATCAATATGCTTGTTGTGAGAAGTTATGCGTAGAATTGCAAGAAATAGAAAACCCCGTGTATAGTAACCCAGGAGCAGCATATATCCTTACCAAGGATAGTCGGCAAAAAGTGTACAAGAATAATCCCGCTGGAATAATAACTAGAGTGACGAGAGGGAAAAGGGAGAAAGGTGGCGAGTAGAGTCTTTTTTTCTGGCAAAACAGAGATACTGAGGGAGGGGCCGGCCACAATTGTGACGAGGAGGGGGTGAAATAAGGAACTGAAATTGACCAAGGTGGCTCAGAAAGAAAGAGGGGTTTATTCTACGCTCTGAAAACCAGGCGCCTTTTGCCACTTACCCTGTCATCCCTCGATTTCCCAGTTGCAACTAGTCAGTTGGGAGCCTTTCATTTCATTTGCAAAAAAAGGGGATGCAAGCGAGACGACGTGATATGCAGGCCATGTGGACTCCCACATTGTCTCTCCACGCCCTCCCTGGCACATGGCCATGTTGCGGTCACGAATGCCATTTGAGGTCCTAAAGACACCGTCTCCGCACTGATCTCCTTCTGCATGTATTTGCCCGAAACGGAGGCGACTGCGAACGTCAAAAATGGTAGAGACAGCGATTTTTAATATTTGGGAATCATCTGCGCAATAAACAAGCCTATACTGATCAGCTCTGCTGCTGGTCGCGCAGCCTGCTGGGCAGGCAGACGGCTGCGCTGGCGGTTGCGCTGACCCAGCACTGCGGTCCATGGACTCGAGCAGGGATGTGGACCGGTCGAGCAGCGCCTTCAGACGCGCACACTCACGCTGGAGCTCCTCGCGAACGAGCTGCATTGACTGCTGGTCAGCAGGCAGCAATGGTGCTGGCTGCGGGTCGTGATGCTTGATGGCCTTGAGCGGCGGACTAATCTCGGCGGCCTCCATCAACGACTGCAGCCCGCCGCTGTTGCTGGTACTGCTGCCAGAAAAGGAAGGCGACTGCCGCATAGGGACACTGGCTGGCGGCGGCGGCAGTGGAGGTGCGCTTGCAGGCGCTGCTGGCACGAGAGATGCACTAGATGGTGCGGGCATGGCAGGCACCAACCTACTAGGGTTGTTGGGCAGCGGAGACCACAGCCTGTTGTGCATAGTGTTGTCCCTGGCCTCCCGCTCAGTCTCCACCATTATCCTGGCCGTAGCTGGCGGTTGGCGAAGATGTGGCTGGCGGTGGTGGCGGTGGTGGCGGGGATGTGGCGAGGGAAGTGGCTGGGCTGGAGCTCCTACTGGCTGGCATGGACTCGCCATTCTGCTTGCCGTGGAGCTGCGGGATTCCGCGGCGACGGCGCTTGATGGAGCTGCGCTTCATCGAGATGGGACGGTGCTTGCCGTGCAGCTTGTAGTACAGCCCACAGGCATTGCACGTGACATGGCCCTCCGCGTCGCGTCTCCATAGCGGCGTGTAGTCTGTGCCGCAGTTGAAGCAGATGGAGCGCTCGCAGGCTGACCCAGCCTCGCTGATCCCTGCCGAGCCGCCCCGGTTGCCCTGGCTGCCCGCCAGCGCCGAGCTGCCTGCAGCCGCGATAGCTGCGGCTACGCTTGGGGGAATGCGGCCGGGGCCGATGGCGCTCTCGGGGATCGGGCCGACAATGTTTCCTTGCTCGTCTGTCGCTGCGCCATTGGCAATGGCTGCTGCCCGCTCCAGCAGCAGTCAGCCGCCGCACGACCCCGCCGGCGTTGACGCCCAGCGACCGCGGCGTGTGCGGCAGGTGCTTCTGGTTGTAGGCCGGGCAGCCATTACACGACGGCCCTCCGCCCTTCCCGTTGCAGGTACCGTTGCCCGGACAGGTTCCCTCGTCGTGCGAGTGGCTGCAGTTGCCACCGCTGCACGAATGCGAGGACGGCGCAGAATCATCGGGCTTCGACAAGGCTGCGGCGGCTGCGGCCTCGGCCTGGCGCTGGGTGCGCTTCAGCGACGGTGGGCGCATCTTGCCATACGATTTCAAATACAGCCCGCAGGCATTGCAGATGGGCTGGCCACGCGGATCGCGTCTCCACAGCGGGGTCTTGGTTGTGCCGCAGTTGACACACGTCATCGGGCCAACCGGCGGGGCAACCGCTGCCTTCGATGTCTTACTAGCCGCCTTTGTGTCTGTGGAGCCGCTCTCCTGGCCACTGGTGCCCGGTGGGCCGCCCTCAGCTTTGCCCGCATGTTTGCCGCGCTTCGCCTGCGGACCCAGATTGCCTGCCGAGGCCACCAGCTGCCCGCTTATTGGTCTTGCCGACGCGCTTGGCAATAAAGGTGACGCCCATCGAGGCCGCCTTCACCGCCGCTGCCTTGGCTGCAGCTGACATCAACCGGCTCTCCTCTTTTGAGATCCGCTCCGAGCTGCTTTTCGGCAGCGTCCACTTGATTGTCTCGCCAATGATCGGCGATCTCTGCACCAGCGGCTGCTGGCCATCTGTGTGTCGGTTTGGCAGCGGCGATGGGTTGGACGCAATGTTGGGCGACAGCGAGTGCGCCCGCTCCATCGCATAGCCGTACAGACGCGGGTCTGCCTGTGCTGGAGCCTTGGCAGGTGCGGCGGCGGCGGCGGCGGCGGCCGATACTGGTTCGCATGGATGGTCCCGGCGCTGAGGTGATGCTGATGGCTCTGATGACTATGTTGCTGCTGGTGGTGGGATGCGTGTGGTGGCGGTGCATGCATAGGCCGAGGTGGTCCAAGATGCTGAACGGCGGTATACTGATGCGTCATGCTTCTGTATGGAGACCTTGGCGGCTGCATATTTTGCTTTTGCTGCGGGCCCTTGATAAGCGACGACAGCGGAGGCAGCCGAATTGAATTTGTCTGTTGGGGGCCCGAACCGTTCATTGGCGGATAGGGCGACAGTGCGCTGTTGCTGGTGGTGGCTATCCATATGCTGGTGAAATAATACAGAAAAAGAAAGAGGAAAACAAGCCCTGAAACCAAGCGAGTCTGAAGGGGAAAGAGCTGCAAAAATGAAAAGTAAAAAAAAGTGTGAAAAGGAAACTACTGGGGGCATGGTCGTCTTGGCTTTTGGTTCTCGCGGAGCAAAATAAATGGAAAGTTCCATTTTTCCAACGAGCGAAAACCCGCAAGGCTTCTCTTTCGAAAGAAGAAACAAAAATTTCTGGAGTTTCAGCGAAGATAATCGAGCTGCCAATTGCGTGCGCTAAAATACTCGACAAAAAAGAAAGCCTGGCTGTGCTACACCTTCTAGAGACAACGGGTGCGCAGATCGGTTCTACTGAGATGTTCGGCGACGCATTTCTCCTCCCCATGCGGAATCGAACCATCCTGATCAACTGATCACAAACTAGAGGATGGAGCCGGGCAAATCCAGCAGGCGCACGGGGCTGTTGATAAGCAGCCAATTCGCCACCGAGTGAAGGCATATGGCCAATGGCATGTATGTCTGCAATGACTAGCGTTTGCAGAGGATATCGTATTGGAGCAGTGCAGCTGTAGAGCAGATATGGCCAGACACAGCGGCCATCCCTGGCGCGTGTGGTACGCCCCTGATCTCGGCAGTTGAGGGATGACCAGGGTTAAGCAGATGCTGTGACCGAGCTACGACTCGCAGCTCAGGCGTCTCTGCAGCTGGGCTTAGGCGTCGTCGGCTCGGCTCTCCAACACAGTGACGCCAACCACGAAATCCAGCAAAGCAATAACGCGTCTTTGGTTATTTTGTTGCTTTTTCGTTTTATAATTTGCTTTTATTTTCTTCAGCAATGCGAATCACAAAGCCCGAGTGGCTGCGGCACGATGCAGACAAAAAGAAGCTGACGGCGATATTTTCTCTGGACTTCCACCCGTCGGGCACGCGTCTGGCCACGGGCGGCATGGACAACAAAGTGCGGCTCTGGAGCACCACGGCCATGACCAAGCAGACGGAGCCGCGACTACTGTCGACATTGACGGCGCACAGCGGCGCGGTGATGTGCACAAGGTTCTCTCCGACCGGCAAATACCTAGCGACGGGAGCCGACGACTATGGTCGTTTTGATATGGGAGCAAGAGGATGCGGTCGAAGCCTACAGGCAACCTGTCAGGGCTGGGCGGGCCCGAGACATGGCGGCCGGTGCGGCGGCTCACTGGCCACGAATCGGACGTGTGCGATCTGGCGTGGTCCGACGACCAGCGGTTCCTGGCGACGTGCGGGCTGGACAACGTGGTGTATATTTGGGACGGCAAGACATTTGACCGGGTGGCCAAGCTGACGGGCCATTCGCAGTTCGTCAAGGGCGTGACTTTCGATCCGGCCGGCAAATACGTGGCCACGCCAGTCGGACGACAAGACGCTGAAGATCTGGCGCACGTCGGACTGGAAACTGCAGACCACCGTAAGCAAGCCATTCGAGGACAATATCTTCTCGACGTACTTTCGCCGGCCCTCGTGGTCGCCCGATGGCGACTGCATTGCCACGGCCAATGCGGCCAACGGCAAGGTGCCAGGTTGCGGCGGTTATTAGCAGAGGCGAGTGGACATGCCGATTCTGTCGTTCGTCGGGCACCAGGCGGCCATTGAGGCGGTCAAGTTCAATCCGCGGCTATTCAATGTGCCAGAACCCCACAGCCAGACGGAGAATGGCACGGCAAAGACGGTGCAGGCGTCGGTGTGCGCGGCCGGCGGGCAGGACCGCGGGGTCACAGTATGGCTCACCTCGCAGCACATGCCGATTGCAGCAGCCACCAATCTGTTCACCGGCAACCTTCTCGACCTGGCATGGCACACGTACCAGGAGCCGCAGGACGACGTAGTGGCGATATTGGCCGCATGCTCATATGACGGCACGGTGGCTTTGCTCGAGTTCACAAAGGACGAGCTGGGCACGCCCATCCCGGCCGACGAGCAGGAGCAGCTGCTGGTAAAGTATGGGTGGGTAAGGAGCACTGGCAAGCGGCGGCGTGGCATGGCGATTCTCGACTCTGATGACGACGACGATATAGTGGATGCGAAAAAGCCACGGCCGATTGCTGAAACCTGTGATGCAGCTGCAGTTGGAGGAGCAGATGACAGTTGTGGCAGAGCCACCAGTAGCTACGCAGCCACCAGTAGCTACACAACCACCAGTAGCTACGCAGCCACCAGTAGCTACGCAGCCAGAAGCAACAAGCAGCTGCAGAGCCAGCGCAGATGCCGGTACCGACGCGGACCAAGGACGGCAAGAAACGCGTAGCACCAGTGTTTGTGCGAGCACTGGGCGGCGGCACCCAGACCACAGCCCCTGTGCTGGCACCAACCACATCGCAAAACATCGTCATCGCGGCTCCCGAAACAGCCGACATGGAGCCGGTCACTGCGCCGCTGTGGATCGAGTCGCGGGTGCTCGGCACGCGCATCATGGCTCCCAGGCCCAAGCCCGAGCACTCCGCGGCGGCGATATCCTACGCAGGTCTCTGAGCTCGGCCCGCAGTCGCTGGTCCACGCACAGACAATCTCAGCCGCGCGCGTCCACCTCAATGTGCCCAAGGTGGTAGCCCAGATCACACGCTCGGTTCCCAATAGCCCCGGCAAACTCAGCCTGGTCGCAATTAACCAGCCCAAGGGGACCAGGTTGGTGTGCTCACGCATGCTGGACGAGTCGAGGAGAAACCCTGTGGACGCAGTTCTTCTCGGCCCCGATTCATTGCCCTGGCGGCCAGCGAGAGTCCTGGCGGCAGTCTGCGCAGCTGACGGATCCATGCACTGGTTCGATACGCAGGCGGGCGCGCGCAAGCTGCCGCCGATTATGGCCGAGGCCCATCCGTCGCACATCATGTGTCGGGGCGACCTCTGTCTCGTACTGGATTCCGTCGGCCAGCTGAATGTCTGGGACACCTCGCTGCCCCGGGCGCTGGTCAGCAACCTAAGCATAGCACCGCTGCTGTACTCGGCCGAGCTGCAACTCCAGCAAGACCGCCATCCGCCCAATGTCGCGGTGACCATGGTCGACCTGACCCCCGCCGGCATGCCGCTGGTGTCCTTGTCTGATGGCCGTGCATTTGCCTACCACAAGGGACTTGCTTACATGGCTGAAGATCTCCGATCCACAGGCCTTCCGGGGCTCCGACTTTGCCCACCCATGGCCCATGCACGTGCTGCACAAGGCCAAGGACGACAAGCGCGAATTGGCCTGCCATCAAGCGAACCAGCACCGAGCCACTGGCCTTTGTCCAGGAGCTCGGCTCGTACCAGAGCCAGCAAACGAACTCACATGAGCCTGTGGCTGGCCGGGTGACAGGCGAGGTCAAGCGCGCGGTGACTGTGGACCACGTCGAGCACCAGCTGGCGGCTGCCGCACTGCTGCAGTCGCGCGAGGAGGTGGTAAAGTGGAGCGATGTGCTGATGCGCCAGCTGGCAAAGTCCGGCGATGTAAAGCGCACGGCCTTCTGGCTAGCACATCTGCTTGGCCCCCGCTGCAGTCAGATGCTTGGCAGGCGGAAATGGCCGGCGTTCCCGAAGCACCAGCTGCTGAAGCGCGCGCTGCCGATTCTCGCAGCCAATCGCCACCTGCAATCTCTGGTGCATGAATATTCCACGGCATTGGAGCAATTAAGCTGAGCTGGAAGTTTCTTGGAATTAAAGTCTGTTAAAGTCTGTACATTTTTTCAGCGTGTGGGCGAGGGCTCGCGCGTGCGGTTGCGTTTATTTGCCACCGCCTCGTCGTAGGTGGTCCGCATGGCCGAGAGCCGCAGCGACGCCAGCGGCACTACATCATCAATGTCCATTGGCCCGGGGCGACTCTGCTGACATATCCATGCGCCGCATCTGCTCGCCGATCTCCACCAGCGACTGCGTCGACAGCCGCTTGCCCGACGGCTCCTCCGCCGGGGTCATTGCCAGCCCGGGCGGCAGCTTCTTCGGCGGCCGCCGCACCGGCACCGGCCGCTCCCTGGCCTCCACCAGCGGCACCGTCTCGGGCTGCTCGGCCGGCGCCCCCACCCAGCGCTCGGCATTGGCATACAGGTTCTGGAACACATTGCGCACGCTGTCCAGCATATAGAACGACTCGGTCGCGAACGCCAGCGTGCGCCGCGCGTTGGCCTCGATGTTGCCCGACGTGTCCATGGGCCGCACGCTGGGCGACTCGTCGCTGGCCACCGAGCTCGTTGCGCTGACTGCCGTGTCCACCGTCATCCACCGGCCCGGCAGACTGAGAATCAGCCCACGCACCTGCCGCCGCGCCTCGCCCGGCAGGACCGACCCTGCATACTGGCTGATAATGCCCACCGCGCGCTTCACCGTCACCACAATCTCGCGCCGCCGCTGCGCCAGCTTCACTGCCGCCTCCTGCACATTCGACGTTGCCTGCGGACGGGTCGCCCGCCCGAACCACCTCCTGCCCCGCCTGCCCGCCTAGCAGGATCCGCGCTGCGTCCTGCAGCGACTCCAAGAACTTGCGCAGATCCTGCATGTGCTGGCTCAGCAGCGCCGTTGCATATGTCACCCACTCCAGGCAGTACTTTAGCCGCCGCATGCTGTCCTCGCGGTACGCCACCGCCCGCTCCTTGGCCGATGCTATCAGGCTGCCCACGCCCACCGCCTGCTGTCCGACTCATTGCTGACCCGCTACCTGCTTGTCTTTTGTCTTTCCGTTATCATATGTCTCCTCGGGCTCCTCGGCCTGGTCCTTTGTGCGCTTCCGCAGGTTGTTTATTGGCATTGTCGCTTGCTCTTCCTGCTGTGTGTATCCCAGGTTGTCCAGCTGCCGGCATGCAAAATCGTCAACGCCCGCTGGGATTCTTTTGCTTATTGGCTCCACCACTCGTTTGACTCCGGATTCTATAACGCCACCGCCAACCTAGCGAGAGAGAAAAAAAAAAAGGATAAAAAAAACTTAGACCCTGCGTAATACAAAATATATCAAGCGAAGAAGAAATTTGGATACTTGCCCGGACTATAATATTGCTCTGCTTCGACTTTGTATACATCTCCTTTGCGCTGCTCACCAAGGGGATATTCTGCACCCGCTGGATAAACTGGCCGTTTGCCGTGCTTTCACATGCTGCCCTGCTCTCGTACGATAATGAACCACCAGTCTTCAATGATCCCAACGCCTCTGCCGCCATCAACGTCCCCTGCTCATCCCCCGATGGACTCTGCCGAGAAACAAGCGACGCTATTGATACCCGCGACGACGCCCGTGAAAGTCGCTCGTCAGTTTCACGTGCCAAGCTACCCTCTGTTGAATTCGATGCCATTTATAGGAACTATTGCCCACCGCTATATCCTCAAAGCTACCCAGTGAGCTTGTGAATAATAAAAGTAAATGCAATTTGAAAAGCGAAAAGAGAATGAAATGAAGCAGCGAATGGAGCGAGAAAAGAGGAAGCTCTTCGTTGAGTGGTACCAAAACTCCAACAGAATGGCAAGGAAAAGCCACCACTCCCATTCAGGCTTGGGCTGGCGTTTTTTCCCTCTTTCTGGCAGCGCGATCATGTGAAAATTTGCTATATTTGAGGAGCTATAGGACTAGAGATGCACGCCAAGAGCTAGGTCCACCAGACCCAGGAGCTTGCCATTGCGCTGCGGCTTCGGCGCCGTGCTCTGAGCACAGGGTGCTGCCGTCTGTGGCACTACCGCCAGATTGCCGAATGTCAGTATGCCACCGTACGGGATATCGCGACGCTGCAGCTGCCCGTGGCACCCTGCCTCCACCGGCTGGCCCATCGACATGCCTGCCAGAGCAACGACGAACGGAATGTATTGAAGCATGCTATCAAAAGAAAGGAAAACACTTTGTTACAAAGACCACAAGATATGGAGGGTGCTTGAGATGTACATGCTCCCGCCCCTTTATGTACCGAGCAAGATACCAGCAGAATCTCAAATGGAAGGGGCGCTGCGGTTACTATATCGCAATATCCCCTCGCGATAAAATAGCGAGTGCAACGTATAGGGCAGCAACTCCCACCTACACGCGCAGTTGCTGCCATATGAGCTTCTTTTACGGCTAAAGGGCAATAATTTCACCGCAATGTGGACCAGCTTGGCGCATCGCTGGTCTCGGGGTCACTGCTGACGATTTCCTCCAACGTCAAGTACCCGCCATCGCTATCCTCAACCGCCGCTTTGTACGAGCTCCACTCCCCAACCTCATTCCTCACCGGCGGGCCACGCACCCTGAGCTTGCGCATCAGCAGCGCCACGCCATCCTGCACATTAGCGCCCAAACACTCAACCACCACACGCCTATTGTCTTCGTCGGGAACCAAAACATCGCCCTCGATAATATACGGCTTCTCGAGCAACGAAAACGTCTCGACAAGAACATCGGGCGAGTCCGACAGCCGATCGAAGAACTTGCTGGTCTTGAGGATGTCCTCGGGCGCAATCAGCTTCATGAACGGATACCGGAGCAAATCCGACGTATCCGCATCAATAATCTTGCTAATCGACCCCGTCACAAACACAACCAATGAGCCGCTCTGCCTTCTGCCAGACTCGTCCGTCTCCTGGTTCTGCGGGTTCTCCAGGACAAATGCCGCCTTGACCTGCGGCTGCGACGCAAAATACAACGGCACCCTTCCCTGCTCCGTCACCTGCCGCCGTTTCTCCGCCAGCTCCCTGTCCTGCTTTTCTGTCGCCGCCAGGTTCAGCCTGCGCATCGCACCGTCCAGTGTCTGCACCTCCAGCAGATGCCGGTCTTGGAACGGCAGCTCCGGGAACGCCACGCCCACCACGATTATGCAGTTGTCACATTTGAACGTCGTCACTCTATGAAGCACCACGTCGCCGTTGCCGCACCTCACGTTCATGTACATTACGTAGGCGCTGGCGTCGTCGTCGCTCTCAGCGCCGTCGTAGATTTCCGGGTATTTTTCCGCGTACGGGTCTGCGATAAACTCCTTGGCGTTCTTCGATATCATGTACTGCGGGGAATACCCCATCGCCTGCTGGCATCCGGAGGATATGTAGAGGATTTGTGTCGAGGCGTTTCGGGCATGGATGCCCAGAAATGTGGGACGCTCAGAAACAACGTTGTTCATAGAGGAAAACGTCAAATAAGAAAGAGAGAGCAAAGGAACGAAGCGAAGAAAAGGCGCAAAAATCAACCAGGAGCCTGTGCTGATCGCCTTTCTTGACAGATAGAAGAAGTAAAAACACAGTTCACCCTCAGCTCTCCCCTCTCGACTCACGCCCCTGCCCTGCTCCCATTCGCCGGGGGGCGCTTTGTAGAACGCCTCTTTCTCTTTTCATCCAAAAACCCGTATGCATGCACATTCGCAGAACTTGCATGCCCGCTTGTACATGCAAACCCGTGAACAAGTAGAAAGAAACCAACAATGTAAAGCGGCCAACAATCGCCTCCAGCTGTGTTCTCGCTGAGCCGGCTCGCCCCCGAGGCACTTTCTCAGAGTCCGCCCACGACGGCTGACAAAACAAACCCCCGACAGCGCGATCTGCAGCATCCAAGCTGTGATTTTGTCGGGATTTGCCGAGCGACGGACATCGGTGGTCGATGTTTGCCTGCATGCAGCAATGTGGGTCACAAGGCTTTGGCAATATGCAGCTCCCACGCTCATGCCCGCTTTCCTTTTTCCTCGCCAGTATAACTAGCCCTCCCATGGACCGGTCATCCAGAAAGAGCAGTCACAGCCCCCACCCCATTTTGGTTCTTTTCTCTCGTATTGCCAGAAAACCACCCAGGAAACAAAAATGTCTGAAAAGGAAAAACTCTCGACAATTGAGATCGAGGCGCCCCAGCCCAACGCCCTGCGTCGCGCTCTGCTCAAAATCGATGTCGTGATCCTGCCCGCCATCATCATCGGCAGCATCTTTTCGATGATGGATCGCAGCTCGATGGGAAACGCCAAGGTTGCCAATATGGAAAAGGACCTCCATCTGCGCCCCACCGATTTCAGCATTGCCAGCAGCCTGTTCTACCCGACCTATCTTGTATTCCAGCCCCTCTCCAACTACATGCTGAAACGCGTCGGCGCCAGAACCTGGCTGCCGCTGCTGACGCTGCTGTGGGGAGCCGTCATCATCGGCCAGGCATTCATTACCAACCGCGGCCAGCTTTTCCTTTGCCGTGTTCTCCTGGGCATCCCGGAGGCCGGATACAATTCGGGCGCCATCTACCTGATCTCGTACTGGTACCCGCGCAAGCGCGTCACCCGGCGTGTCTCGATATTCTATACCGGCACGGCCATCGGCACTCTGATCTCGGGCCCAATCGCAATCGGACTGACGAAGCTCAACAGCGGGTTCGTCAAGTCGTGGCACGCCATATTCTTCGTCGAGGGTGTCATCACCTGTGCCTGGGCAGTTGTCATGTACTTTGTCGTGCCGAGCTACCCGGACGACGCCAAGATCCTGACATCCGATGAGCGCGAGGCATTGTCGCAGGCCCTGAACGAGGAGAAGCAGGAATCGGGCCGCCACCAGATCAACAAGCGCCGGTTCATCATGTGCCTGTTCAACCCCTCGATGCTGCTCATGTCCCTGATCTTGTTCTGCTCCAACGTCTCCCTCAACACAATCATGCTGTTCGGTCCCCAAGTGGTCAAGGACATGGGCTTCACGGCCTCCCAGGCCCAGGGCATGCAGGCGCTGCCCGGCCTCTGCGGCTTCATCGGCATTGTACTGGTTCAACTGGCATGTGCGCTGGTTTGGCTCACACTACCGCGCCATCATCTTCAATGGCGCCGTCATGGCCCTGGGCGGCATAATCATGCTGGCCACGCTCAATGTCGGCGCCCGCATGTTCGCCCTGTGCCTGTTCGGCTTCGGCAGCTTCGGACTCCTGGGACTCGCCCCCGGCTGGCTCGCCACCAACGTTGCCTCGAACATTACCTTGGGAAGCGCCGCCACCAGCGTCCTGCTTATCTGCGGCGGCCTCGGCGGCATCGTTGCCTCCAACATTTACCGCAACAAGGACGCGCCCCGCTACTTGCTGGGCCATGGCATTAATTTAATGGCCGGCCTGTTGTCGATCGTGCTGGCACTCCTGGCCAGGTGGAACATGGGACGGATCAACCGCAACAAGGAGCTGAGCCCGATTGATATTTCGAATATGACTCAGAAGGAGATCCAAGAGCTCGAGGAGCGCCATCCCGACTTCCGCTACGTTTACTGATACTCTCTATATATGGTAATGTGGCCACTAATTGGCTGAATAATATCTTTGTTACCCGTGCCAGCTTAATGCAGTTCATGCTTACTTCAGCCTGCGGCGGTTTACCAGCCATTGGCAGTGGCAAATGTACGAGTCACATAGGAGCATGTGTTGGGCATTCGACCTTCCACGATCGACGCTTGGGAAAAAACACGAAAATGGGCACAAGCGGGTAGTGCACTCCTTCCCCCGCAATATGCAGTCTTGGTCATGCGCTCGGTGCTTTCAGGCGCACCTTCCAAAAGGAAAGGATCCGTGGGGGAATAGACTGCGGTCGCACGCCTGCTGAAAACTAGATAAAGCCCGCGCAATGCGGTGCATCTCCTTGCACGCTTCAACCAGACACCGCGCAAATATTTTATCTTATCCCCTTACTTTTCGTACTAATAGTTTTCCACAATGTCAGACGACTTGACCGATACCAAGGTTGTCTACGAGGAGAAGCAGACCGTCAATGCCAACGATCCAAAGCTCAAGTGGGCCTTTAGAAAGGTCGACATGACGCTGCTCTTCATTATTTTCCTGAGTAACGTGCTCAACTCGATGGACCGCGCCAACCTCGGTCTGTCAAAGGTCGACGGGCTCGAGAGAGATACGGGCATGTCCGGCTCCGATTTCAACGTCGTCGCCAGCATCATGTACCCGACATACTTGCTATTCATGCTGCCCAGCAACCTGCTTTTGCGCAAATTCGGCGCCCGCATTTGGCTCTCGCTCATCACCGTGGTGTGGGGAGTCATCAACATGTGCATGGCATTCGCCAAGAACAGGACCGACCTGATCCTGTGCCGTCTGTTCCTTGGTGCTGCCGAGAGTGGCGCAACGCCCGGTGCGCTGATGCTTATCACGCTCTGGTATCCGCGCCGGATGGTTACATCGCGCGTTGCTCTGTTCTACTCGGCGTTCGCAGCCGGCGCCATCATTGGCGGGCCCATTGCCTCAGGAATCCGCAAGATTGACAACCCGCGGTTCCGAGCCTGGGAGTGGATCTTTTTCGTCGAGGGCCTGCTCACTGCCGGCTTCGGCTTCGTCATGTATATTTTCCTGGCCGACTACCCCGACAAGAGCTGGATCCTGAGCCAGCAGGAGAAGGATCTGATCAACAGCCAGATGGCCGAAGAGCAGGCCCAGGGCGGCAAGAAGCCGGTCAACTACCGGCGTCTTTTGTCGTTCGCCAAGGACCCGCTCATCTACACCCTGGCGCTGATCCTGTTTTGCGCCAACTTTGGCGTCAACACCATCCTGACCTTTGCCGCCATCATCGTCAAGGAGATGGGATACAGCCCTGGTGCCTCGCAGGCCATGCAGGCGGCTCCGGGAATCTGCGGGTTTATTGGAATTCTGCTATCGCGCTACTACCCAAAATGGTTCCGCTCGCACTACTTTAGCTCGCTGTTCTGCTCGGCCTGGCTTGTGATCGGCTCGGCTGTGCTCTTGGGGGTTACCAACAACGGCGCGCGCATCTTTGCCCTGTGCATGCTGTCGTTTGGCGCCTTCGGCAATGTCGGCATGGGCCCTGGATGGCTGATGAGCAACGTCGGTGGACCGACCCGCGCTGCCCTGGCCGGTGCCATGAATGTGATCCTGGGCGGCCTCGGCGGCCTCTGCACATCGTATATTTACCGCAACAAGGACGCGCCCAAGTACATTTTTGGCCACGGCATGAACATGTTCGCCGCGCTGCTGTGCATTCTAACCGCCACTGCGTCGCACCTTATCATTGCCCGGCGCAACAAGCAAAAGGAGGCAAACCCGATCGATATCTCGGGCATGACGCAGGAGCAGATCGATGACCTCGAGACGGACCATCCTGACTTCCGCTACGTCGACTAGTATGCCCGTCTTAGTTTTTCGCATATACAGCTTTCTGTTACCACTTCTTTCCTGCTACTTTATAATATGTTTAACGTTGTTTCTACTTTTCCAGCGCTCATTCACTTTTCACACGGCCAGAGCATCATACGTGCCAAAATCACTGCCGCCAGGGCACTACCGCTTTCCAATCCAGTACTGCGTGTCTATTTGCTAATGCTGCTTGTGTGCTTCATTTGGGTGCTTTTGAAAAACAGGGTATAAATGCCATGGTACAGCTGCCTGGTTTTCTGAAACCAGTATACAACCCTGCCTCATACAACCCTCTAAACGCTCTTACAAATGAACTCTCATTCACTTGCCATCTTGCTCTTGGCTGCCGTGCTGTGCGCATCCGGGATCGCTACCGGTGCTCCGCCCCTGCTGGTTCTGAGACTGCTGCACCCGCAAACTCGCTTCCTGCCGGTCCTGCCGGTCCTGCCAACCCCGCTGGTCCATCTCCCGCTGCTGTGCCACCAGAGAACCTAAGTGAGAAGCTGTCCAACCTCGATAACTTTTCCACTAACCCTATCCCTGATCAGGACAATTTTATACCTGCTGCCAGCCTGAACCAGCCCAAAACGCCGGTTGACTCTCCGCAGTTTTTCCTTCCTTTCATGCCGCTCTCGCTCCAGCAGATCCAGCAGCAGCAGCAGCAGCTCATGCAGCAGATCAAGAACAAGCATCAGTCGCAGCAGATCAAGAGCCAGCAACAACCGCAACAGCAACCGCAGCAGCAAAACTCTGCTGATAAACTGTCGCACCAGTTCTGGGTCCATCCGGACGGCAGCGTGTTCCGGCCGGCTCCCGGAGATATTTCCAGTGATTCAACCGACGCCCCGTCCAAGCAGCTTAGCCGCCGCTGGTTCCCTGGCTATGGCCCGTATGGCGGCCACTACCCAGCATATCCCCCTTACTCGGGCCTTGACCTTGATCTTGGTCTCGGTCTCAGTCTCGGACTGCACATCTAACCACCACTGTCCTTCTACATTAAATTACGTTGTTATTACTCGCATCAACAATACAAACTATGCAAACTACTTCCAGATCTTTAGACTCGCCATGGCTGCAGCGCCCATATACACCGCCAAAAACAGGGACACCTGGAAACATGCGCTTAAACTGCTTGACTTGTAGCGAGCTGAATCCGCCGACTACCATGGTTATTAGGCCAGTGTATACCAGGACACCAGCACAGATGCTCTCAAGAACACCGTTCAGCAGCAGGGCGTACTTTGAGTGGGGCTCATATACATGGCGTACAGCAAGGCCAATGACGATACCAAGTGGTGTGGTCATCGTGAACGCCAGACCGCTGATCCACGCCTTCCACCATCCCGGCAGACGTTCTGGAGTTGTGCGTGGCTGGAGATATCTAGCTCAGCTCAATCCTGCGAATCATGTGCACCAACCGGGACCAAGACAGCATCGCCATCCATATCGTCTTGCGCATGCCGAATAGGATGCACTGCGTGACCCTGGTGTCTCTGCTGCTGCGGAATGGCCTTTGTTGGGACCGGGCATGTTACCATGGGCTGGTTCACCGAGCGTCCTCTCCAGCTGAGGGTTGACTTGCCAGGGCTCGGGCGTAAACGAAGTAGCCATCGAGAATTCAGCGTCCTGGTGGGACTTGTTCTTGTGAGCTGTTGGCAACTTTGCAGGCAATGGGTACACTGTTTCCGCTGGGAATGTGGTAGAGTCGACAAAGTCCACATTGACATACTCCTGCCTGCTACCGCCCGGGCTCTCTGGAATACTCATGTCAGCCTCTGTTGTCGGATCCTGCTGCCAGCCATTGGCAGGACAGCTGGGCCTTTATCCAGTACAGCTCAGCCAGTGATGAGCCAAGCGCAAGACCCTCAAAGAATTGGTGGAAGCAGATCGCAACCAGCATGACCGTGAAGTCCTTGTCACTTACAGCCAAAGCTAGACCGACGAGAACAGAGTAAAGCGCAATTCCAACCTCGAGGACATATGTGGCCATGGCTCTCCTTTTCACATCGACAGGCAGCGGCATATCGGCTATTGTTGAGCCGGGACTATGGATCACGGTGCTGCCACCGGGGCTTGCTGCATTGCCGCTTCTGCTATTGTTGCCAACCGCTGGAACATTGCCACTTGAATCCGACATCTCTGACGCGGACGAGTTGTACACACGCTTCGTTGTTGTGGGAGGGATGGATAGCGACACACGCTTCGTCGGCTTGGTGCTAGTTTCTTCGTCGACTGTGGCCATAACTCCATTTACGACTGACTCTGTATAGCTGCTCTTCTTGTGGTGGTGGTGGCGGTGGTGATGGTGAGGGGCGACATAAGGGGCAGTCGAGCCCCAGGAGTCGTCAGCCTCGTGTACTGTATCCAAGCGCCTGCTGTTGCTCTCACTCGTGCTATAACGCTGTGGCCTGGTCAGTGAAGGTGTGCTGCTGGGAGCTGCTGCTGGTGTATCCAGACGTATCCGTTTGTCGACGACTGGCGCCGGATATTTGCTGCTTGTTGGGTGCGGAGGATGCATATATTCATAGTCCGATCGAGGGCCCTCTGCGAGGCAGCTGAGGCATGCTGTCGACATATCCACTCACGCCGCTACCGCGTTTTGTCGGCAATGGCTCCAGCAGGGCCCCACGCACCGCAGCCTCCAGTGTAGTTGGTGCTAGGCGTGGCATGCTCAGACAGCGCTGCTTGCGAGCTCTACTGCGGCGGGTCTTGGAGGCAATGCTACGAAGCGGGTTGGTGAAAGAGTTTGGCCGCAGCGACACGGCCCGGGACGAATTGCTCGGCTTGCCTGATGATGAGACATTGGAGGTGCGATTGGACCGCTGCATGCGATGCATTAGCTCTGGTGTCGATTTTGCTTGCGTGTGCATAGCCGCATTGCTAGTATGCATGCCGGTTGGTGGCATTGGCCACATAGATGGCGTGTAGAGCGGGAACTGTGGGTCAGAGGATATGTAGCGCGACAGCCGATCGTTTTGCATCATGGCCAGGTGCTGACGCGACTGCACCAGCGCCGCATAATTACCATATCGGGACAAGGCAAACCCCGTGCGAACCGTATAAACTGAAGGCGCGCCTGTGCCGGCGGCCAGTGATTGCGTCATGTTTGCAGAGCTAAACACGTAGGGGTTGATGGCTGGCGACAGCACGGGCGGCGGCATGGTATAGCAGGGGGAGTCGAAACCATGCGCATATAAAGGGTATACCGGCTCGCTTACGCTATCATCGTCAACGCCATTCCCGCTCTCGATTGCCGACATTGGCGTCCGCTGGTGTGCCGACCGGTTCAACCAAGCCTCAAACAGCCACCACTCAAAGCTGTGCATGGTGAATATGGCCATCATCGCGAACAGGCTGGCCCATGCACCATACTGGCTGGCGAAGTCACCTAGACAGGGGTTGGTCAGTGCGCTGTGGGCGGAAGGGAATATGTGTATCATCGCTGTCGAAATAATGACGCCTGCACCGAAAAACTGGCCGAACTGCAGCAACGGTCCGGGCAGGAAGGCAAATCGCGGCAGCGACCGGCTAATGATGGGCAGAAATACGCCCAGTGCGCTGGTGCCAATAATTATAAACAGCGAAGCTATGTGCCAGTCGTTGTCCCAGGCACTGCTGGCGCCAGTCTCTGAACTGCACAGAACGTCTGGACTAGAATAGTCGATATCCATTTGCGCCAATTAAGAGGTAAAAAAAGAAGAAAAAGGATGTTCGTTAGCGAGTACTAGGGGACAGAACGATATGGAGGAAGAGGTGAGAGGCGTCGTTCGTAAGAAAAGGAAGGTGGGAGGAAGGAGGAAATAAGCGGTATACCATTGATGGCTTGGGGCTAAGCGTTAGCGGGACCGGCGGGACCGATTCTATTTGAATGCAGCCCGCACACCATGCAGCCCGCATTTTGTTTTAGTTTTGTGCATAATGTTTTTTGCCGTTCTCCAATGTGGCTTTCGCGAAGCGCTAAAATGAGGTAACCGCCCAGTGTTACCCGATATGTAGACGGGGAATGGGGAGGCAACCGCGAGCCGACAATATAAATTCCAGAAATCCCAATAATTACGACACTTGTTGCACTGGCTCGAATTGTCGCTCGATGTCTGGTAGAGAGCTTGGGTGCAGACTTGCTGGAAATGGGCTGTTCGAAGCGCAAAGTGCGATCAGCCATCGCTGCAGCTCAAAGAACCCCTCGTTTCTTTCTTGCCTTCTGACGCTTTGGCCGAGTCTGCCAGAATGCACGGGGGATATGGCCCGTTGTTTGGGGGGTCTCTTTTGCCAAACAACCGCTCTTAACCCGGACAACATATCCCTGTGGTCCCCATGGCTCAAATCATTTATTTGTCTTGAAAAACAGAGCTCCTAGTTCTTGTAGCGCCATTTGCTGTTAAACCCAGACTTCCATTTGGCATAGACCACGACGGCCTTGTCGGCATTGCCGCCCTCCTCCTTGACCAGGCGGTGGATGAACATACAATCCTCCTCGGAGCACGGATCGAACCCAACGACGACCAGCTTGGCCATGAGAACCGGGCACTTTTCGCACGGCTTTCCGCCGCACCCACACTTGCACCCACATCCCTCGCGCTCGTGGCACAGGATCCAGCAAGATGAGTGGAAGTGTGGGTGGTGGCAGTGGTGGCAGCTTCCCATTTCGACGCTATGTTAAAGTACTGTACAGGCAAGGTGTTTGGTATGAGTGTAAGGTGGGGTGGGGGTGAAGAAAGGAGGAGCTGGATGAGGCGGCAGAGCAGTAGTGAGGAAAGGCAGGCGGGGCTACCGGGAGGGGCCTGCGAAAGATGGAATTTCACAGCACCATGACCAGGCATGGCCCAAAGCGCAGTTATCACACGGGGGCACACGGCCTGACCAGGCGGGCCCCCGATTCGCGTATCTGGTATAGTGCAGCAACCCATGCATGTACGGGACCAATACACCTGGCAGCGGGCAATCGACGCAGTATAGTGAGCGAACCTTCAGGATGGGCCTGCGCATCCTTTTAAGCGCCCAGGCGAGCCGCTGGTTGTGCAAAAAGTCTAATCCCTTACTTTTGCCTTTGCTTTCCATTTTCCCCAAGCTACATACAAACAGCCCGTACAATGATTTATACTTGCCTCGAGGGCCGTATTTTCCAGATTGAGCCCGTGTTTACGGTCGAGAAGTGCGTCGAGAAGGTCGTCGAGAAGGTCGTCGAGAAGAAGGTCGAGGTCGTCAAAGAGGTGTGCTGCTGCGGCGGACACGGCCACCACCACCACCACCATGGCGGCTGTGGCTGCGGGTGCGGCGGCGGATGCAAGACGCCAGCGCCCAAGAAGCCGTGCGACCAGGAGATCAAAATCAAGGTCTCGGTCGAGGAGAAGTGCTAAAAGCCGATATATACGTTTGTCTTATTCTGTCCAATACATTGTTGCTTGAAGCAGCGCTTGGCGGCTGGAAGTGGGTGTATGCATGTCTCAGCCCGTATATTGAGAGTTTAAAAAAAGGACGGCGGGGCCAAAGGACAGCAAGGAGGGGAACAAGAACAGGCCTGTATAAAGGCTGGAATAAACAGGGGAATGATTTTTGGTTGCAGTTTTACTCCTCGAGGAAGAAGTAGTTGCCCTCGGCCTTCTGCTCCTTGTCCTTGACCGAGTCGTACTTGTTGATACGAGGGCGGAAGTTGGTCGGGTCACGGCGGAACGTGATGCTGAGGGACTTGAGGAACTTGTTCATACCCGTCAGCAGCGCCTGGGGCGATGTGGCAGTGGCCTCAATCGACGGAGTGCCCTCCATGACGATGACGCTGTCGGCAAGATAGGTAGCCATGATGAAATCGTGCTCGACGATGAAGGCAGTCTTCTTGGCGTGCAGGATGAAGCGCTTGATGACCTTGGAGGCAATGATACGCTGCTCGGAATCGAGGTACGCCGAGGGCTCGTCGATAAGGTAGATGTCAGCCGGCTGGCCGAGAGCCAGCACAAGGGCAACGCGCTGCAGCTCACCACCGGACAGGCTCTGCACGTCCTGGTCGATGAATGTCGTCGATGCGCATGGGCTTGGCGACATCGGTCTGGAACTGCGGGTGCATGAACATGGTGCGGATCTTCTTGAGCAGCAGCATGCGCACAGTGCCGGCAAACTTGGGCGCAATCTTCTGCGGCTTGTACGAGACGTTGAGCTGCGGGATGGTGACATCGTTGTCGGGCGCGAGCAGACCGGCCAGCATGCGGATCAGCGTGGTCTTTCCGGTTCCGTTCTCGCCGAGCAGCACGATGATCTGCGAGTCGCTGAACTCGCCAGCCTCGACGTTGAGCTTGAAGTTGCCCAGGGTCTTGTTCATGTCGGGGTACGAGTACGCGTTGTAGCGCTCGATAATCTCGTCCTGGGCCTGCTCGACAAGACGGAACGACAGCGACTCCTGGCGGAAGCGCATGTTCTCGGTCGGAATCTTACCCTCAAGGAAGATGTTGATGCCTTCGCGCACCGAGAACGGCATGGTCACAACACCGTAGACCGACGGCACACCGTACAGCATGCAAATGAAATCTGACAGATAATCCAGCACCGACAGATCGTGCTCCACCGCAATAACGTACTTGGTCGGGCCCAGCATGCTACGGATGACGCGGGCGGCGTTCAGACGCTGCTTGACATCGAGGTACGACGACGGCTCATCAAACATGTACACGTCGGCGTTCTGGATGCAGGTGGCAGCAATGGCGAAAGCGCTGCAGCTCTCCTCCCGACAGCTGAGCAACCTGGCGGGTCAGCACGTCCTTGAGATCAAGCTGCTCAATCAGGAACTTGGCGTTGCCCATCTCGGACTTTGCGCTGATCAGCTCGCCAACGACGCCCTTGACCGAGCGCGGCATGGCATCGACCCACTGCGGCTTGGTGATGGCGCGCAGGTTGTCCTCGAGGATCTTTGTGAAGTAGTTCTGCAGCTCAGAGCCACGGAAGTGCTTCAGGATATCCTCCCAGTCGGGCGGCGATGCGTACTTGCCCAGGTTAGGCTTCAGCTTTCCCGACAGAATCTTCAGCGCAGTCGACTTTCCGGTACCGTTAGCACCGACCAGGCCGAGGACCTGTCCCGGGCGCGGCGTGGGCAGGCGGTGCAGCTTGAACGAGTTGGCACCGTAGCGGTGGGTGGTCTCCTTCTCGAGGTTGGTGGGCAGGTTGATGATGGTGATGGCGCCGAACGGGCACTTCTTGACACACATACCGCAACCAATGCACAGCTCCTCTGAAATGACAGAAATCTTGGACGAGGGCCAGACGTCAATGCACAGCTTGCCCATTTTGTTGACAGGGCACACGCGCTTGCACTCCTGCCGGCACTTCTTGGGCCGGCACTTGTCGGCGCTGACAATAGCGATACGCTGGTTCTTCTCCGACATTGCGTCTATGAATCTCTACCAAAAAGGGGAAATAGGGAAAATAAAAAAATTGTGGAAGCAAGAGGGCGTGGCAGTGGCAGCGGAGACGGAGAGAGAAAATTTTTTTGCCAACCTCAGCTGGGGTCTGGCATCTAGAAATCAGCTCCTGGGGTGCTGGGCCAATCAGCGGGCCACGGCCAGATTATCTTTCTGGGCTGTGCCTGCACCATAAATCCTGTGCCAATTGTGCGCAAAATGCAGCTGTGCTACATGCGCAACTAGGAAAAAGCGCTTACGACGCCCACCAGGCTAGTGCTTTGGAACTCCCCTCTCCAGCTTCGCCGGTACACATGCCATGCGAGTCTCGGGAAGTGCTCGTTCACTGGGGATAGTTCCCGCCGCTGGGAGAACTCTGTGCTCGGGCACATAGTGGGGCTTTGGCGGAATGAAAGCCGCGACTTTGAGGCGCAAGTCCCTTCAGGCAATCAAATACGCTCTGGCGGGCGGGGATTTTTGGATTATAAACCCAAAGATGTACAACGGTAAGCACGGCATGATCACGTATGTTTGCACGTATCTAAATCTGTAATCTGCAACCCAAGTCACCGCTACCACGGCGCTGCCCCTATCTCTGCCAGATCAGCGTGCCATCGATCCAGCAACGTGTTTTGTTCAGACCGCTTGTTCACAAGCAAAATATCAACAATGACTTGTCGCTATTGCCATTGCCATTGCCACTGTCCACGCCCTAGCCTCCCCCTTTTGGAGGCGACTAACAGAAAAGACCGAGAGCGGATGGCCGAGTGTGGTAGCAAAAAGCTGCAGCATGGTAGAGGGGCCACTTCAATTGAAGTGGGTACCGTGCCAATACGAGTGCTGTCTAGTGCACTGCCCATTCGGTATTTTGAAATAAAAATGTGTCTTTGAAATGCCGTGCCTCTCTAGATCGCCAGCGATACCAACGACGTAGCTCGGCCTCTGGAAATCAACGGACCAATGACGGCAGCCAGACACAGGTGTGCGTGATTCCACGCTTTATTCATTCTACAGGCTGCTATTGTGACAGAGCGTGGCTAGTGGGAATAGATAGCACGCCTCTAAGGCATGGCATTCATCTATGCACCCAGCTTGCGATCGCTCACTGTAAAAAACGTATTTCGTGGCTAGCGGCAAAGTCCGCTCGGCGTCAAGCTTTCCACTGTGGAAACCAGGGGGAGTCAGCCTCAGTATGGCACAGATCCATGGGAAAAGAAATATGGCGGTCGAGTACTGCGGCCAGCAGTCTCGCTACTGAGGCGTCTCCGATAAGGTACACAGTAATATGACTCGGTGCCGCCGATAGACGATCAGCAGTGGTGCGTTCTGTAAGGAAAAAGGTTTACGCAGGCATCGCCAAAGAATCGGTGACGTCTTGACAAGATCCACAATGTTTAGAGGCATGTGGTTTCTGTTGTGTGCTTTAAACCCACAACATTCATTGCAACATCCTGTGGCTGAAACATGGCAACATGCCTCTCCCCCCAAAAAAATTTTGCGGGCCGCGCAAAGCACTCCTGCGAAGGAACAGCAGCCTGTTACACCCAGCCGAGCTGGCATCATAGGTGAACGTGCTAGCGTCAAGGCGTTTGTGGCCTGGGATGTGAATTGGCAGCGAAGTAGCAGAGTCTGACAGTAGGTACAAGGTGCGCGAGCACTCTAATCCCATTTGCTTGTCACTCTACGAGTCCTCCCTCGACATTGCGATCTTGCTAGTGCATTTGGGTCTGTTGCAAAAAGAGCCCGGCAGCCGTTTAGCGGGAGGGGAAGGGGTATAAATGCCATTGCGTCTGCTTATGAAAATCGCCAATATAAACCCGCAGCGAACTCAAACAAGCTTTTTACTATTCTCTTGAAAATAACTCCCCACCAGCTTCTCTCTTCTCTACGTCTTCGCCCTTTCATTTTTTTGTCTATACTCCCTACCATGAACCCTCCGCCTGCTCCTCATCCGTACCCTATCAAGGTCGATGGCAGGGTTTCGCCGCTCTACATCTGAACCGTCTACATCGAGTGGGACTGCGGAGATCAGACAGCCAGTCGGTCGGGATTATTTTTCTCTCCCTACACAGTAGGCGAATTCCAAGAGAGCCGTCGTCTGCTGCTGATCTTGCGTCCTTTTCTACCCTCCAGTCTCCTTCATCTGTCTATATTTTCCACGTCTCATTTCTTCTCTGCACTGCATCCTCTTATAGACTGCATTCTTCCAACCCTCCACTGTTCAAATACAATTGGATCATACAGACATTGATTAGACCAGACCGCAAATATCCAAACTCGCAGAGTATTGAATTAAAGGTTGCATTATAAAACGACCTGCATCCCAGAAACGTGATGGGCGACCCAGGCACAGGCTGCCAAGCCCGGGTCTGGGGAGTGGGATTGACCACTGAGGTAATTGCGAGGGAATTCGCGCATGCATAAGTCTGAGCGCTCTGCATCCAGAAAACCCATCCGAGCTGGAGCAGGGTACACCAAACCTCTTCTTATTCCGCTATCAAAATTTGTTCTTTTTCATTTCTATTAGATGGCGCTAAGAGAACATACCGCATCTTTATTGGCAGCGATGGCCGCGCTGCAGGCCGTCAGCGCCTCACCGATTGTGAGCACCGGCGAGGAGGAGCCGACAGTGCCGAGCGGAAGTCCCGAGTACTACTTCCGGCTCGCAGTCTGTGCCGTGCTGGTGTTGACCGGCGGACTGCTGGCTGGGCTCACTCTTGGCCTCATGTCGCTGGACGAAACGAACCTGCACATTCTGGCGACGTCGGGCACAGAAACGCAGAAAAAGTACGCCAAGCGCATCCAGCCAATCCGCAAAAACGGGCACTGGCTTCTGGTTACGCTCTTGCTGGGCAACACGGTTATCAACGAGACCCTTCCAATCGTCATGGACTCGATTTTCGGCGGTGGTGTCACAGCGGTGCTGGTGTCGACAGCCTCGATCTTTGTGTTTGGCGAAATCATTCCCCAGTCGCTGTGTGCACGCTACGGCCTGGTGGTTGGTGCGTTTTTCGCCTACCCGGTGCGTTTCCTGCAGTACGTGCTTTCGCCAGTGGGATATCCGATTGCAATGCTGCTTGATTATGTACTAGGCGCCGACCACGGAATCACGTACAAAAAGGCCGAATTGAAGGAGCTCGTGTCGCTGAGCGACACTGCACACGGCGGAAATCTGTCTGCTGACGAGGTGACCATTATTCGCGGCGCGTTGGAGCTCAGCGAGAGACTCGTGGTCGATGTGATGACTGAGCTCAAAAACGTCTACATGGTGGACATAAACGCCCAGCTCGACCGCAAGCTGCTGACCGAGATGCTCAGACATGGCCACAGCCGCGTGCCCGTGTACGACGGGAACCGCATGAACATCGTCGGCGTGCTCTTGGTCAAGTCGCTGATTCTGCTCGACCCCGACGACGCTGTGCCCGTGCGCGAGGCCAAAATCACCAGCATCCCCCTGGTAACCCCCAAGGTCTCTCTGTACGATATCCTCAATGCCTTCCAAGAAGGTGGCAGCCACATGGCAATCGTCGTGGGCCCGGCCGCATCCCTGCAGATCGAAACCCCAACCCCGGTGCCAACGGATACCTCGCCTCTGCTGGGCGGCGGTCAGGTCTCGGCATCGCTGACGCAGAGCCCGCCGCAGATGTCTCGCCGGTGGTCGAATTTCATCAAGGGCGAGGAGCACGCGAATGTGACCGACCAGGAAATCCTCAACAGCTACGTGCCTGTTGGCATCATCACGCTTGAGGACGTTATCGAGGAGCTCATCCAGGAGGAAATCATCGACGAGACCGACGTGTTTGTCGATATGAGACGCAAAATCAAGGTCATGAGAGCCGTCAAGCTGGCACAGCACCCAATAAGGACGGCCGAGTCCGACCAGGGCAAGCGCCGAGGCATGGCTTTCAGCGCACGACGTAGAAATGAGTAGGTTCTTTCCTGTCATGTGGGAGTGAGATGAAGTTGACGTGACCTGCAACCCGCTCATGCTTTTGAACATGGTGAAAGGGGGGAAGCTCTCAGCTGCGGAGAGGCAAATGCATCTCGGCAACAAGCAAACAGCCTCGTGTCTTGCCTTCATTCTGGTCATCGGACCTGGGCCATGTCCAGCAGGATGCATGTGCTCCTTGCCAGGTGAAGATAAATCCCCCGCCTGGATTGAAGGGAGGGCGCTGTCTGCACAACGCAGCACCAGCCGTAGACGCTAGTGCCCCTGTGTAGCAAGTCTCGCCATAAACAGATTTGCAAAAGAAACGTAGCAGAACGGCAAACAGTGAACACTCACCCTTGCGCACGGAGCAATCGTTCCGGTCTGTATGTGCATATCCAGACGCCTCCACAAACAGATAATTGTAGCTCAGGGACGCACCAAAATGCAGGCGGGAAAATGCACCGCAAGTAGGATGCCCACCAATGTATCTCTGTACCACATACGCCGTCCGAGAGTGAAAAATTCGCTCCACATGACCTCGACATTTTATTGGCAGGGCCAGAAACACACGGGCGGCGGTATTTTTATTTTTGAAAGTGCTGAGGGGCGAAAAGAAAGAAAAAGCTCTCTCTCTTCACTCCTCCTTCTCGGCAACCACCCCGTATATGTCGTTCCACCCACACAGCCTTTTTCTACTCGCCCGGCAAATGAGCAGCTTGTAAAATAGCACTCTTATCTCCTCTATCTCTCTCCCACCACAGGCTTTTATTCTACCCTGCAAAATCGCTCTTTATATATCATTCCAACCCCTCAACACTAAATGACAACCGCGGCCACAATCACCAACTCGTTACACCCGCTGCGCCTGTTTACAGCACCCGGTGACCACAACCACCACAACCACAGCAGCGGCACGCCGGGGCTGACGTCAACAGCGACATCGACGGCCAGCTCAACTCACCAGCGCAACAGCACAGATAGCGATGATTCAGGCACCACCGGCCACTCCCCAGCGGCCCTGTGGCCAGCCGCCGTCGATGCTCTAGCCCTGCGTCTCTGGGAATGTGGGCGGTCAGCACTAGGCAAGTCCATCGCAGAGTCTGCCCTCAGCCAAGAGCAGCCGCCGCCAACGCCGGCCATGCCCGGTGACCCCGCTGCCACCCCGGCTCTGTGCGATGGCCCCTATGTGCGGGTTGACTATGTGCCTCCTGATGCCAAGAAATCAAGCCCTCGCCCCCAACACATGCAGCCGCCGATTTCAAACCCGTTCAAGACATTGCTCAGAACCCCACCCAGCAGCAGTAGCAGCACCGCGGCTACTGCGCTTTCCAGCAGTTCTTCCGGTGATGCAACGAGTGCTGATGTGTGTAACCATTGCCGGCAGGGCAATTTCCTCGAGTTCTGCTTCTCCCGCGACCACTGCCAATGTGCGTGCCATGAGGACTGCCCGTGCAACCCGTGCGCCGATATCCGGCAGCAAAGGCACCGCAGCGTATCGACAGACAACACAGCGCAGCCTACACCGGCGAGGGTCCAGAGCAAGGAGTCGTTGGACCCGGCGTTTCGGCCGTTCGGGGATGTCGCCGCAGTCAAGCCCGTGATGCTCCACACCGGCCGAAAGCGGCACCAGCGCGACTACGAGAACGCCCGCATGCGTGTCTCGAAGATTTGGGCCGACGAGAAGCGCCGCCTATGCTCCATGCCGACATCGTAAAAGATCCCTACTATCTTACAACAAGTGTACATATTCCACCACTTTAATTCCTGCATGTCCATCGCCCGGCAATTGCCTTCTGCAGTGTAGCAGCATGTGAAGCGTAAGTGCACGTTCATTGTTCTTTCTGGCAATCTCTTTTGTGCGTGTAAAAATGTGCGCTTGCATGGACCTCTAGCTTGTTCTGGGCAGCCATTTGCCCACGCTCGCCTGTCACCCTGTCGGAAAAAACCCCCTCCGAGGGTTGGCCTGCGCACCACTCATGCCCATTTCTGTTTTTGAACACAAGGGAGTGTAAATCCACATTATCCTATGCATGACATGTTTGGCAGCGGTGACAGCAGCAGCGGCAGCGGTGGCAGCATCAACAGAACAAGAACGGAGGAACTGAGTTAGAACAGAATCCATGAGTGCTGGGTTCCACATACGTAAAGTTGCATCGACATGCGTGGATATGGTGGCTATAGACTTATATTGCCGAGCCTATACGCAAATGGCCACTTGCAAATGGCGACGAATATGGATGATGGCTTATAACTCATTGAGATGAAGGAAACGTATATATTGTTCCATTAGGGACTGCTATTTCTATTGCTGCTCGTTTGATAGCATAGGTTTCCCACATTCTCCCTTCCTTTCATCTCTAAATGCTCAAGCTAATATCTTTTGCGCTTACCGCATTTGTTGCAGTCAACGCTGGTGTCACGCCCAATGAGGCTGACTTGTCTGAGGCAGGATTCCCTATTCAAAAGAGCTACTATGGCGGCGGCGGAGGAGGTAAGGGCAGTCATAACAAACATATGTAGGATTCGTCTGTATTGTACTGATCAAGGCCAGTAGTAGTAGGTAACTGTGTCATGTACGAGGTCAAGCCTGGCGACTACTGCTACAAGATTGCAATCAGCAATGGCATTTCGTACCAGCAGTTCCTAGCCCAGAACCCTGGAATCAACTGCGCTAACCTTTACGTCAACCAGAAGGTCTGTCTACTGCCACTAACTCTTCCTGGGTGGTCAGGATACAACAAGGCACACCCGGCTTCGTGCAAGACGTATCAGGTGCAGGCGGGTGACGTGTGCTCTGCAATCGCAGAGCAGAGCTTCATGTCAGTCGACCGTTTGGTTGAGCTCAATGCTAATATGGTCGGGTGGAATGGGTGCCAGGAGCTGTACATCGGACAAACCCTGTGCCTCGATTAGATCCAAGATATAGAAATAGAACGTGCAATAGGTAGCCTTCTCATTACACACCAGCATTAAATCAGTCCTCAATCAAACTACCCAAACCAGAATGTCTACTGCATTGGCAATTACTGTACTGGTTATCCCTGAACAGCGTGAGTGGATGCACACATATTGATATTGCATGTATTCATATTGCTTTTAAACTATAGACCATCACTGGCTGACTTTTTTTTTTTTTATCTCTGAAGCATCATCCACTCCCTCTGCAGGCATATTAAACAATTTGTTGCTGCTGTCTACCCGCTGTCTACTGTACTGTCTAATTACCAGACCAACGCTGTCGGATTGATTGCAGTAAACTCCATACCGGCAAACCACCTGTCTCAATCGGTTCTCTAACGGATATGGCACCTGTGAGCAAGGCTCCATTCTGAAATTTTCAAGCGGGACTAGTAGCTTTATTCAACTATCTAGCACACAAAGCGTATCGAGCGAAAAGGCAAATTGGCTTTTACTGCGCTTGCTTGTTCCTCAATTCACGCTCACACCACTCCACTTTCCTGTTTTCCTGTCAGGAGGCTGGTTCTCCATGCATACACAATGTAATTTATTTATTGGCATTGGGCTGACAATTTTGTCATGAAAGGACACTCTTTGTTCTCATTTGCAACCACTATTTCTGCTATTATTATATTATGACTAAACTAACGCTTGAGGAACAGTTGGCCCAGGACTTCCATGCCAACCCCGACCAGTCCCTGCCCTCATGGGACGTTGAGATGTACGTCAGCTGCGGTGTCTTGCGACACAATAGCCGCCATTCCTATCCAGTGACGACCGAAGAGGAGACCGAGGCCATTGACTTCGGTGCTATACATGACAGCTTCAACAACGCCAGCCTCGTTGAGACGACTATCACCAAGGATCAAGGCACAGCCAAGCCTTTATTCATTGATGTATCGGCTGTTACCATTGACGAAACCCAACTGAAGGGCATAGGGGTTGGCGAGGACCCGCTACTCGCGCTAATTGCCAGGGACAAGGGCTCTGGGCGACAGCTGCCGTACGAGCTGATGGTCCCATGGACTGCGGCGGATGCTAATGACCTCTCCACGAGATGCAGAGTCGCTGATATCGCCCATGCCACTCCACAGCAAACGAACAAGTTATCTTGTATCTGCATGGCGGTGGCTATACAGGAGGCAGTCCTGGCTCGCATCGCATTCTGGTGCATGCAATCTCTGCAGCTGTTAACCAGCGGGCTTTTTCTCTTGACTACCGCCTGGCACCACGGCATCCATTCCCGGCACAGCTCCACGATGCATACATTGCGTTCCTGTATCTGCTCAACCAGGGGTTCAACGCAGAAAACATCGTGCTGGCTGGGGATAGTGCCGGTGGCCACCTCTGCGTATCGCTAGCCCTCTTGCTGCGCCATGCTGGTTGTCTGAAGCCCCGCGGTGTAGTACTGCTGTGCCCATGGGTGGACCTGGATTTGCAGGACACTGAGACGGTTAGGGCCAACTCAAGGTACGACTATCTTTGTCCGCACAGGTTAGAGATGCCCACGACACCGGCCCGTCTTTTCTACAAGCCAGGTCACCGCGCCAATAGTGCGTATATTGAGGAGTTACATGATCCGTATGTATCTCCGATATATGCCGACTTTACCGGCTTCCCACCCACGCTGATTCAGTCTGGAGAGCGCGAAGTAATCATCGAAGGGATCCGAACTCTCTACCAGAGAATGAAGGAGGCCAGTAGTGAGGATGCAAATATTTTGTATGAAGAGTATGCAGACATGGTGCATGTGTTCCACCGCTTTCCCTTTCCGTCCCGAGGTCTATAAGGCATTGGCGTCAATCGTGCGGTTTATCACCTCGCTCTAGCATATATGCATCGGGCCACTAGCAAATGTTGGCAGGGTGTTAATATTACTTGAATAAACTTAAGTAGACGTATGGAGGTATATAGGAAGGTATTACATTAGTTGAGCATTGAGGACCACCACTTGCGCGATTTCTTGGTGGTGGATGCGGTAGTGGTCGAATCGCGCGAGCTGTTCTGGTGCTGTGCGAAATGGTGCACGCTCACGACTACCGTTGCTCTCAATGCTGCTCGTGTCGGAGATAGCCCACGTAGGGCGCGGCATCTGAAGCTCGTCGTCATGCTGAGGCTGGCTCTGCTGCACACTTAGACTGGAGTTGCTGTTCTGTGACGAATTGAATGCCCGCAGCAAGCTGCGGCGCTTGTTTGAGGTGGTTGACGGAGATCGGACACCTTGCGGAGTGCTGTGCAGGGGCCGGCCGGGCGGATCTAGTGCGCCAAGATTGAGCCGCCGGCGGCTGTGCTCAGAGTCGCTGGTCCCGCCATTGCCATCTGTATGGCTCCGCGAGCCACCCCAGCGCCGAGTTGCTCTTGCCGGCACTGGCGGATCATCGGCTTCAGGCAATGGGTCCGCTTTCTTGAAGGAATTGCGGGACATACGCAAGCTCAGCGACCTCCGTGCAGCCACTGTCAGCTCATCTGAGTCCGGCACAGATGTGTCTTCGAAGAAAGGCAGGCTCGGGTGCTAGCGGTGGCGTGCCTGGGCGCGAGCGCGTCGGGGACCGCGGGAAGCTGCGTGTCTCTGGATATTTTACAATCTCCCAAGGGCTGCTGTCACGGCGCGAGCGTCGCGAAGAGATGGTCGGCGGGCCGCCAAGCACAATGGACCCACGGGGTGACCGGTACCGGACCTCGTCGCTGTAGTGGCTGCTGGCAGACTCGCCACCTTCCTCGGACTCAACGCTGCCGCGCGGGGACCAGGTGGCCGAAGTAGCTGGCTGCTGTGTCCAAAAGCCAGGCGCCCATTTGCTTGTGCTCGCATACGTAGCTGCCATGTCCTGCAGAGAGGAGCTCGGAAGCCCTGTCCTGGTCTGCCAATTTGTCAGCATCCTTGGCCTCATGCAGTAGCGATGCGGGCGGACATGAGCTGATGCGGTTTTGCGCTAGGGCCTTGCCCGGGACCGAAACACCGAGGCCAAGGGATGTGAGCACCGAAGGAGATGGTGCGTCGAGTCGCTTGATTGTCGGGCCAGCACTGTCGCGCGGTCCCCATTTTATGGTGCGGTCATCAATGAAGCTGCTAGGCAGATCGCTGCTCGGCGACTTGTCGTGGTTGGCGTTCAGCGAAGGTACCGAGCTGCGCTTGCTAGACGGCCAGCGTGGGGCTGAAGCATTTAAGCGGGGCTGGTTTGGCTACCAGCTTGTCAGAAACATCCATGGCTAGCCTGCTGCTGCGCTTCAGTGTACCGTTAAGCGCCTCGAGCGTTTGCTGGCGAATCTCTGCAATAGATTTGGCTGGCCGCTCTGAGTCGTCGCCATCCTCGCCGCTGTCATCGGCGACGTCCTCCAGCATCGATCCTGCACCGACTCGCGGCCGCGGCTCCTCAAGCTTGAGCTTGTCCAAAAAGCTTGACACCTCGTCGGTTGAATGGGTCACAACCCGCCGCCTGCGCGCCCGGCTATCATCCACTGGCTCGCTGTGCTCGACCGACGACTCGGACTGATCGTCAGTTTCAGACTCATTTCCAGAGGAGCTGAAGAGGTGGAGGATCCAGGACCGCCGGCTGGTGAGCTGCATGGACTGTGGCCGCGACGGCTCCGAGGTCGAGCGACGGGCCTTGGGTGCAAAGCTGAGACGGCGAGAGAACCGCCGACCTTTTGCTGCTGGGCTTGTCCGCCTGAGCCCCTGGGCTGATGACAGCAGATGCCTGGGAGCTAGCTACACTAGATACGCGCTTTCCGCTCAGCGTACCGCTGGTGCTGAGACCAAGGTTCGACGGATAATACCCAGCAGAGCTAGCTGATGAGACGGAGTCAACCGATGGGGGGCGTCGAGCAGATTTGCGGTGGTCGCTGGAATACGCAGGGGTATGTAGAATCGGGCACGACGTAATCAGCGATGATGACCGCGCACTAGCGCGCTTGTCCGAGGACGCGCTGGTATTACCACGAGGTGACGGGACAGTGACGTTGACAACTACCCCCCGCTGCGAATCGCCCAACGACAGGCTACGCCGCCGAGTGCCGAGGTCCGGTACTTTGGGCACATCCTCCGTATCGGACACCGAATTGAAGCCTGTCAGCCGCAGTGCAGGAGAAGAACCGGCTGCGACGCTTCGGCTCGCTGCTCTTCTTCGATTTTGACTTGGACTTGGGCTTGGGCTTGGGCTTTTTGCTGGAGGAAGCCTCGCCACACCCATCCGACGTCCATCAAAGGCGAAGCAGTTGCTGTCTTTGACGGCGGAGGCAATTCGCTTGCAGAGTGCTGCTGTTGGTGCTCCTGCTGCTTCTCTAGTGCTAGCTTGCTGGCAATTATCTCTTCAACAGTCTGCGAGTCAGCAGAGCTGGCAGATACGACGCTCGCAAATAGCTCGGCGGATGTCTCAATGGCGTCCATGTCGGCAGCGCTGTAATCTCCAGAAAACACCCGTGGCAGCTGGTGCACAGGACGATCATTGAATGTATATTTTGTCTGCAGGCCAGAGAGTGGTCTCGCTACGCGCTTCGCATCCTTGTCGGCGCCAACAGCCTGACCAGCGCTGGTATCAAGCCGCTGTGGCGCAGTAAGCGCACTCAGAGGCAGCACTGGCATTGGCCTAAGCTGATCAGACTGTTGTTGTTGCTCACCCGACAGACCAAGCGACGGGGCACCCGAAACTGGCATGTGGTGCGGCTGCTGTTGTAGTGGCGACACAGCACCATCCGGGTCATCGGCGGGCTGGCGTTGGAGGATCTGTACTGCCTGAGCAAACTCTGAATTCCGGTCGATCTCGAAAGAGAACGGCAATGATGCCAGGTGCTGGCGCTGGTCAGGCGTCAGAATGGATTCCATGATGGCCATTCTCTGCTGCATCTCAATGGCAGCAATCTCGTAGTGCTCCGCACGGTCCTCTTTTGCTTGCACAACCTGCTTCAGGGCCGAAATGGCTGAGCGTGCATGGCCAAGGTCGCGAATCAAAAAGCGGTGCTGCTCGACGAGTAGCTGGTTCTCGATAGCCAGCCGCAGTTCGCGGTTGCTTAGCGGGGATTGGGCACTGGGGCTGCCTTGAACGGTGCCAAAGGCATCGGCCAGTCGAGGTCATTGGCGCAAGAGAGCTGATATCTGGGCAGATCTGGGCGTGTGGCCAGCGGCTGGGGCTCAGGTGGTTGTGACGCGGGACAGATTGATCGGCTCGTACGTTGGAATAGCCGAAAGCAGGCGGTTAGCAACACGCATACGCTCCGCCTCCTCCTCCAGCTCGTCATCGGCCATGATCTCAATCTCGTCATCCATGCTGAGGTCGCCCTCGTCGCCACCCATCATACCATCACTGTGTGACACCGGGCCCATCGACGACAGGTGCTCCTGTCATGTCGTCCTGAGTAGTACTGCCGGTCTGAAGACGATGCGAACAGAGATGACCGTGAATTGTGGTCACTGGCTGAGCCGGACCTGTACATGGTGCGGACTCTGGTCCATGGGACTTAGTGCCTGGATATGCAGGGTCGTTTGGTGAATAGCTATGCTGCTGCTGTTGCTGCTGGCTGCTGAGGATAATGCGGCTGCTGGGACGAGAAATACTGGGTGCCCTTGAGCTGAGCTCCAGGCAGCGGCAATGGTCCATGGAAGCGACCGGGGTTGGCATATGGCGAAGTGGCGAGTCCACTGGCGTCAGTATAGTGCTCGGCAATATCTGCAGCACCCTTTTTATCAGAGACCATTGGACCGGTTGTCGGTGTCACAAGAACCGCACTTTTGCTATTGTTGTGTTGGCCGGGTGCCTTTTGTTGGTGCTTCTTTTGCTGCGACACAATCGGACTGCTCCTTGTGCTTCTGCTGGCCACTCCTTAACAGCTGCGAGATAAACCCACCGTCGCCCCGAAACGAATGGCGCTTCTTAGCCGTTGGCTGCGGGCTCTTGTCTGCCTCACTGGGAGTCTGGCCCAGTGAGTGAGACGAGCCAGTGCGCGCTAGCAGCGTGCGCTCGCTGCGAGCATCCCGCAATGAGCTGTCAGACGATGTGGGTCGAGGCTACCGGCGACGAGCTACGGAAGCGGCCGAGCAGAGTGGTCGGAGGCTTGGGCTTTGTGGCGGCGCCGGCTCTAAGCCTCCCGGGCGCGTCATCCTCGAGCAGCTCGTCGCGGTTTCGGCGGCTGGGTGACGGCTTCCGGTGGTTGTGGAACCGCTGATATATGTGGGTCGGGTTTGTATGCGTAGCTTCAGGCGGCTCGCGCGCCAACGGCTGTACCCCTTTGGCCATAGTGCCGTCTGGTGTGGCATGTATGGTTTCGTCCGAGTAAGTTATTGGATAGCTGTAGAGCGTGGTAGACTGGTGCATGCTACAAGTATTGGCGGCGGGTGCGATGGGGATGCCAGTGGTGGTGTTAATGGGGGCGGGCGGGGATGGGTGTATGCGTGGGTGGGGGTAATGGCTAGATGCAAAAGACAAGGAAGAGGATGGTGAGGTAAGATATAGCCACTCCGACTATGTGAAGTAAGGGAAGCAAGAAAAGGCGTCTACGTATGCAGCGAGGAAGAAGAGAAAAAGAGAGGAGATAATAACAGAGCAACGAAAAGAGGGAAGGGGAGAGGAGAAGGAGTCTAGCGGTTCATGGTCGTGTTCCATGTTGACGCTAAATACATTTTATTCTCGCTGAATGTACGCTGAAAAAGGGGGAGGGAGCTGAGCCTCTTTTTGGCTTTCTGCATGGACTCTGTAAATTGTGCTACTGCTTAGAAATTTTGAGCCCGTTTGAACACTAAACATGCCAGTGTTTTGGGGGTAGTTAGAGCATCTCGTGTCTAGTAGGTTGTCGCTGGCGGGGACTGCATTATTTTTTAGAGTGCGGGATTAGAAAAGTAGGGAGAATCCCAGTGCAAGCTGCTTGGAGGCGGTGCTCAGCAAATAACTCGGTTCACTTCAAACAAGGTTTGAATGGGTCGCTTTCTTTCAAGCACAGCTTTGTTCTCCATTTCGGGTGGAGACAACCTCAAGCTGCTCGTTGTTGTGTCTTGCTTAGGCCATGTGTTTTGAGACAAGGGCAGCCAGTGATGATAGCACTGCAAAACACCTATTCGTGGCTGAGATGCTTGCCTCCACAGCAGTGTAGATGAGGAGCGCAGAGAACATTCGGCGTAGTAGACCAGCTCCACAATGAGGAAAGCCGTCAAACAAGTAGGCTGGTCAAGTCCCTATATCATGGACGAGCGAATGGTTGCCCCGAATGCTGATCCGCCACCATATGGTCGTACTGTAGCTGCCTCTGGCTGTTACACATATCATCAAAGATGAAGGATTGTTTACGAGCATGTTCGCGGCTACATTGATATCACCAGACCGCATTATTGATGCCTGCCTCGCTTTCTGCATGTAGATAGCCTGCACCTTGGACACACTTCCTGTTGGACACGTTGATACTGAAAATGCATGTAGAAAATCTAGCAACTCAGCCCCAGTATTCGCTCTATCACCACCCCAAGACCTTTTGCTGCAAATCATACATCATCAGCGCAATGCCAAACAGCGGTGCCATGGTCATACACCGCGGCACAGTCCCCTTGAAGAAGGCCTTTGGTCCTTCGGTCTGCATGATCCTCACAGCGGTATCGACCAGGCCACGGTACGGCGGCGACGGCTGCGACGAGCTCTGCAGTCTGGTCTTGATGACGTCCGCCGGGGTCACAGCGCCCGCAGCCAGAATACCCGCCACAGTCGATCCTGCCAGCACGCACAGGGTGGCCGGCTTGTCACCCTCCTTGCCGCCGTTAAAGAACTGGTGGAATTTTTGCGAGAACAGCGCCTGCGACGGGAAGAACAGGAACGAGAACGGCACGTCTCTCAGCAGCGTGGCCACGGTCCCCTTGTACATGCCCCGAATACCCAGCTGCCTGACGACCTGCATTGCCGTGATCTGGGCGCCGCCATTCGTCGCCGATACCTGCATCTGGATCTTCACGATCTCCATTGGGTTGGTCGCAATCACCTGGCAGAGCCCGGCCGTCGCGCCAGCCAGTGCTCCGTCGCGGATTGACAGCCGCTCGGGTGTCGTGCCTGAGCGCTTCGCAAGGAACCCGCGCATCATATCGTTGACAGCAAGCTTAATCGCCTTCTCGGGCGTAATCCCGGCCAGATTCGGAACCAGTCCGCGGTACAGCCCCGCATGCCACCCTCGGTCCGCACGATCGTCTTGAAGCAGTCAATGGCGCCCTTGTAGGGCAGCTTGCCCTGAGCATTCGGCTTCTGGTTCTGCAGGCGCGTCTTCACCATGTCCAGGGGGTAGATGATCGAGACACCAGTGATGCCAGCCACAGCACCGTTGCCCAGCTTCGCCAGGAGCCTAGAGTTTAATGCAGGGAGAGGAGGATCTTAGCTAAGCCAGCTCGCGCCTTGGCACCGACTCCCATAAAATACTCTACCTTACTCCCGGCGTCGGGCCCGATACTTGGGTGGTCTCTGCCTTTGCTGTCCGCCATTCCGGTGTATGAAATTGTGGAAAAAGAGGAGAAAATTAATATGAAAAGAGTGGTGATAAGAACGGTTGGGCCGTGCGGAGATGAGGGGAAATCGGCGGTGGTGGCTGCTTTTTAGCGTGGAAAATTTTGCGAGTCACTTGCGAGATAGCCATAGGATCCTGTCCGTCGCATCCAACTGTGCGGAAAGCGACCAGCATCGCCTGTCCCTGGGCCACAGGGATGGCTCCCGGGATGCCCAAAGATAGCAATCGGCGTCCGCCAGTGACGGACTGGCTGGCTGTGCGCTTTAGGCACCCGCCGTCGATCGGGAGAGAGAGAGACCATCCATCATACCCGTGCCGTAAAATTCTTTCTTTCCGAAAAGGCAGGCAGCCAATGTATTTTAAGGGGACGTTTTAAATGGTCTTGAGCAGCAGGTAGAGCGTATCACCAACCACGAGGTTCTGCAGATGCCGGATATCGCCCTCCAGGCACATCAGCAGACCGCCGAAGCTCGCAAACGCCGACACCTTGGCGCTCGACGAGTCATCGTACCGGTAGATCCGGCCAAACATCACATAATCAAAGTCGTCCGCCAGCGACCGCTCCTCGCCGTTCACGTACGCGCGCCAGTTGGCTTCGCCCTTGCCGAACGCCGACGGCTCCTTGACGTCGGTCAGCGACAGCGACGATGCCAAAGTGAGCTTGAACTTGTCGCCGGCATCGAGTGGGTACAGCTCGCTGTTGATGTCGAGGATCAGACTCATGTCGTGCGTCTGGCTGCGCCCATCGATGCGCGACACGCGGTCAAACTTTTTGCCGTCCTTGTCCACGTCCTTGACGTCGAACGTGTCGGTGAACAGAATGTTGTCGCGCTTCTCCATTTCAATAACCGTCTATATGTGTCCAAGGCAAAAAGTGTGAAGTCCTCAATATACGCCCAGCAAAATTTTTTCGGTACACCGACATGATCGCATTGGCTCAGTTTATGGTAAATAATCAAAAATTAAAAAAATACAGTCCTATTTGCTCGGCGCCTTGCCCCGCTCGCTGTCATGGTCGGCCTGCAACGGCGGGTTCAGCGACCCATGCACAAGCTCCTAACGTTGCCGCCACGTCCAGCATGTCCCGCTCGATTACCTGCGCCCAATTGCGCACGTCGCCGAGCTCCTTCAGTGCCCCGTTGAACTGGTCGACCAGCCTTGTCCACTTTGCCGTACTCCTCACATGCTGCTGCACCAAGTGTGCGCAGTCTCTAGACAGCGACTCTATCTCACGCTGGTTCTCAAGCACGCGCGAGAGCTGTGACGAGAGCGAGGTTGTGGCTGTGTCGCAGAGGTCGCCGACGTCCTGGACTGCAGCCCTGCGCAGCTCGTCGGTGGCGCGTCTGTGCTCAGCCTGTGTGGTCTGATGGTCGCGAAGAATTTCTGCCAGCGAGGACATAATTTAAAGTGGTGGCAAATGCAAGGATTGAGGTGCGGAGACAGGTGTGGTTGACGCAGCTCGAGCTGGAGCAAGAGTCACCAGGTGCGCCACCCCTAGCTCGGCTCGCTTCTGCCCAACTTCTGCATCAGCTCGTAGAGTGACTCACAAGCTTTTTTTTAGTCGGATCAGAGGCGCTTTGCAGCGACTTCATCGGCCACTTTGCGCAAATAGTTTTAGCGGCCGACCTAGACAGCCCGCCCTCACCTCTCTTTCCTTATCCCCCTTCTTCCTACAAGGAACACACCTCATTCCCCTCTACTGACTCCATAATGAGCACCTTTGGCAAGGCATTCCGTGTCACCACCTATCGGCGAGTCGCACTGCAAGTCGGTCGGCTGCATCATCGACGGTGTCCCTCCCGGTATGGCTCTGGCCGAGGACGACATCCAGCCGCAACTCACGCGCCGCCGCCCGGGCCAAAGCAAGCTAACCACACCGCGCAACGAGAAGGACCGCGTCACGATCCAATCCGGATGCGAGTTCGGCTACACTCTGGGCACACCGATCGCCTTGACTGTCCAGAACCAGGACCAGCGGCCGCGTGACTACTCCTGAGACCGACTTCTTCCCGCGCCCGTCCCACGCCGACTGGACGTACCTGCAAAAGTATGGCGTCAAGGCGTCCTCGGGTGGCGGCCGGTCGTCGGCCCGCGAGACCATCGGGCGTGTGGCCGCCGGAGCCGTAGCTGAAAAGTACCTGAAGGAGGCGTATGGCGTTGAGATCGTTGCGTTTGTGTCCAGCGTCGGCGCTGTGGAGATGAGCCTGATGAAGGAGGAGCAGAGCAAGGCGAGCGGCAGCCAGAAGATGCGTGAGCTGATGGCCACCATCACCAGAGATGACGTCGACAAGAATGCTGTGCGGTGCCCCGACGAGGACGCGTCGCGCGAGATGCAGGACGTCATTGTGGCGTGCACTGAGGAGAAGGACTCGACCGGCGGAACCGTCACGTGCGTGATCCGCAACTGCCCCAGCGGTCTGGGCGAGCCCTGCTTTGACAAGCTTGAAGCGACGCTTGCCCACGCCATGCTCTCGATCCCGGCCACCAAGGGCTTCGAGGTCGGCTCCGGCTTCCGCGGCACGCAGCTGTATGGCCATGAGCACAACGACGCGTTCGAGTCTGACGGCAAGGGCGGCCTGCGCACCAAGACCAACCACTCGGGTGGAATCCAGGGCGGAATTTCCAACGGCGAGCACATCTACTTCCGTGTCGCCTTCAAGCCGCCTGCCACGATCTCGCAGGACCAGGAGACTTCCACCTACGACGGCAGCGAGGGTGTGCTGGCGGCCCGTGGTCGGCACGATCCGTGCGTCGTGCCCCGTGCGGTGCCGATCGTCGAGGCCATGGCTACTTTGGTCATCATGGACGCTGTGCTGCAGCAGAATGGCCGCACTGCGACCCGCCAGCTCCTGGCGCCAGTGCCCGATAGCCTCAAGGGAATCAAGCCCGTCTAAGCAGGAATAATTTCACATATACCCGTTGATCACCCGCATTCCCGGTGGGTATGCCGGGGACTAGCGAAAGGAAACATGCCAATTAACAACCTCTCGCTCTTGAGCAAATGGACAATGTATTAGATGGCACACTGACTGCCTGTATATCGATGAGCAATGCGGGGCTGGCACGGGTCTGTCTGGTGAAAAATTAACGCTAAGGTGTCAGGCTGACCCGTTGCAGCCATGCACAGATTTGCATATATCCGGTGAGCAGCGCCCAGGGATAATTTTAAACAACCGAGAAACCTTCCTTTATCTCCTTGCCTTTACCCCCTACACAAACTAGCCTTCGCATATATAAACTAGCCTTAGCACATCCACAAGTTCTTGGTACGCCGCAGCACACGATCTCACCTCCCCTCACTTGGTAACATGGACAGCGACAAGCAAGACTCCGACACCACAGCGTCATCCTCGTCGTCCGCCATCGACAAGCAGGCAGCACTGCGCCGCTACCTGCGCAAAGTCGACCTCCGGCTGCTGCTCTGGCTCTGGCTCCTCAACATCTTTTGCCAGTTCGACAAGCAAGCAATTGGCTCCGCCAAGGTCCTTGGTCTTGAGCACGACCTGCACCTCACTGGCAGCGACTTCAACATTGCCGCCACTCTGTTCTCCGTTGGCTTTCTCCTGTTCGATCCGATCTCGCCGTACATCGTGAGCCGTGTTGGCGCATCAAAGGCATTACCAGTCGTGGTGCTATTGTTTGGAACTGTGTGTGGCCTGACAGCGCTGGCGCACTCCAAACGCGACATCTATCTGCTGCGGTTCTTTTTGGGTATCGCCGAGTCGGGGTTTGCCCCCGGCGTGCTGTTTCTGTTCAGCACGTATTATCCGCGTGACAAGATCACAGCACGTGTTGGCTGGTACTACAGTGCATCGCCAGCCGGCGGACTGATCGGTGGAGTTATGTCCAGCGGCATCTCGCATATCAACCACCCCACGATCGAGCCATGGCGCTGGATCTATATCGTCCTTGGCTGCATCACACTAGTGCTCGGATCGCTGTCCTTTTTTGTGATCCGCGACACGCCCTTCGACTGCAGATATCCTGTCTTCTGAAGATAAGAGCTTTATCGCTGAGGAGAATGCACATGCGCCGCCCGAAAAAGTCAAGGCCAAAGAAGTCCTGAATGTGCTCAAGGACTGGCAGGTCTGGGCGTTTGGGGCGACATGCATGCTGACGAGCTGCGGGTGCTCAAGCATTAACGTGTTTGCACCGTCGATTATCAAAAACTACGGGTTCACGGCGTCCCAGTCCCAGGCGCTGCTGGCAGTGCCCTCGATCTTCGGCTTCTTCGCAATGGTCTCTGCCGGATACCTTGTGCGCCGCTTGGGCTCGCATTTTCTGGCCACCGTTCTCACCATGTCACTGGTGGTCATCGGCACAATCATTCTGCTCGCCACGCTGAGCGTGCCGGCGCGTATGGTTGGCCTGTGCTTGATGGCCGGAGGCAGTTTTGCCAACTTCACTATTCTCCCTGGCTACTTTATTTCCAACTACAGCCAGACACGGGCGCAAGGCAAACGTCAGCTCGGCGTTTGTGCCGATGCTTGGCGGGCTGAGCGTGTTTGTTGCGTCGAATGCGTATACGAACAACCAGCAGCCGCGGTACCTAATCGGGCATGGCATTAATCTGACTGCTGCCGTGCTGGCCATCTTGTTTGCGTGCCTGCTAAGATTCAACATGGCTAGACGCAACAAGCGCAATCTCGCCAGGTACGGCGAGGGCGGCGAGTATTTCAAGTATATTTATTAAATCTATCTAATACATACTTTCAGAACGACATGAACTGATTCCATTCCTCGGGGAAGTCGGAGCTGTCGGGGTCAGAGCTGATGATCTCGGACAGCGACATATATCCAAGCTCATCGTCAGCTCCGCCTTGGCTTTGCCGCTGGTTGCGCACCTTTTGGCACAGCAGCACAACGCCGTCATCGGAAATTGCGCCCAGCAGTTCGACCTTTATCGTGTCCCGAGCCGCAGGCTCTCCTGGCTGCTCGCTGTTTGGGTTCCGGAGCATGTCTAGAACACATACTTGGGGCTTGAGATCAGCCATCAGCGAGTCCAGGAACCCTGCGGCCTTGGTGATGTCTGATGGCGCGATCAAGGAAAAGAAAGGCATGTTGATAACCTCATGTCCCTCCGTATCGTCGCCCAGGATCCGGCTGATCGAGTTCGTCACAAACACAACTGTCGGGCCTTGCGTCTCAGTGGTAGTATCGGCCCGCGTCAAAACAAAACATGCCTTGGCGCGGCACGACCGGGCAGTATGCACATGCGCGCTGCGCAAAGTATCATTGGTTACCACTGGGTAGTCGAGGTTGACCAGGTCGCCGCAGCCCTCCGGCAATCCACTCGCCGTCTCGCCAACACTAGTCCTCCGTCCCTCGCCGCTTCGTGAATCGATTGTCTTGATTGAGGCAGAGTCGCTCGACTGCCCTTCAAAATCGGCCTCAAACTGCAGTTTGTACAAGATTGACTGTCCAAGCTCGACATTTCCCAGTTCCGGGAAAGTTGTTATCACGCTGAATATGTGACCGCTGCAATTAATGCACAGGGCGTGGGCAAATATCGACATTCCTTGGCGGTTCCGTACGGTGCACGGCAAAAGCACAACGCCCATTTCAGGATTGTCTGCTGGCCACTGGCAGCTGTAGTGCTTGGCGTGCGGGTCTGTGGAGTAATCCAGGATACTGGTTCCAACCATCTCTTGTGGTGTATATCCTAGCCCATTGAGGCAGTTGGATGATACATAGAGGATCTCCTCGTTGCCGTCTCGTTCGAAAATAACAATGTACGACTGCGGCATATGAAATGCTTGGTACTATAAGCGATAAATAGCTGTCTTCTACGAGGAAAAAGTGCTGAGGCCCCAGATATAATAGAAGGGAAAGTGCAAGAAGAGGGAGTTGGTGGGGGACATCAAGGAAAATATTCTTAACCTCGTGCATATTTATTCAAGGCCTACGTTGTCAATCACTTGGGAGCTGGGGCGGAATGGAGCGGCAATGCGCCAATGGTGGAGGTCTATTTCGCATCTAGCGCGACTAAAAACAGTTCACATATTGGAGCCTCCTTGGCTGCAGCTCGGGGGATGGCCCCTTTGAGCGGAGGGCATACGAGCTAAAGACTGTCTCCCTCCATGCTGAGTTTTGCAAGTTAACTGAGCGACAGGACGATCCCTCTGAAAATCCAGCCATTCGCGGCTGTGGCGAGACGGAGTAAACAAACAGTCATCTAGTATTCTTTACGGTCAGCAGAAAAAGGCACTGATATTCTACCAACCGAGATACGGGCCTCTTTACACGAGCAGCATCATGAAAGATATGAAGCGCTATATTGGGAATGCAGAAAAATGGAAAGGTCGAGAAATGCATAAAAGGGGGGGAGGAGGCGAGGTAACACAAGGGCCATCTCTTTTGGTTTCTGAAGGCCGCTGAGCGACTTTTACGCCCATTTTCCAATGATGGACATGGCAGCACAGCCCATATACATCGCCGCAAAGTACAGCGTCCGCGACTTCTTTGAGTGTGCCCGGAAGGACGATCCAAACTCCTCCACCAGCAGATTGACTATGGCCGAGTACATCAAGATGCCTGCGGACAGACCATCCAGCACGCCCATGGTCAGTAGCGTCGTTGGCGAGCGCGGTGCGAACGTCTCGCGGATGCCAATGCCCAGCGCCTGCCCGAAGGGGGTCGTCAGCGCAAACACAAGGGCGTTCAAAAGGGCAAACATCACGGCGTGGCGCTCAAATGTCAGTGCAGAAATGCGCGTGCCCAGGGCAAGCCCCTCAAAGAACTGGTGGAAGCTGATGGCAGCCAGGAGTGTCTTGAATTCGCCGCCGCCGGTAACTGCCAGTGTCATGCCAACGATCACAGAATGCAAGGCAATGCCGAGCTCAAGAATGTACGTCGACAGGTGCTTGCGGCGCTGCTCGGGATCGACCAAAAGCCCGTGTGCATGTGCATGGCTGCTGGTGAGATTATCAAGATCAAACTGCTTCTCGATATCGTTACCACCGCTGCTCTTGGCCGCATCGCTGCCATCCTGGGACCCACTCGTCGACACACGCACCTCGTGCACAATCTTGCGAGTATCCAGGGCGGTGCTGATGCCAGCGGATTTCTGGGTCGCACACGACTTGTGGATATGGTTCGTCAGCAAGTGCTCAACCAAATGCATTGCCAATATGGCCACCATGGCCAGGAACTGGGGCCACGCATCAAAGTCGCCGAGCCGTCCCTCCAGACAGTCGTCTTTGAGGGACTCAGTTGCAGCGCCGAGCATGTGGATGAAAGGCAGTGGAGAGGATCACGCCAGCACCAAAGAACTTGCCTGTGGTTAGGATCACTGGACTCACGCGCAGCCATCTGATGTACTGGCAGGCAATGGGAAACAGGCAGCCGAGCGCACTCACGCCAAGGATGATGAACACACCGCCGATTTGCAGATTGCGGTCCCAATCCTCGACACCAGCAGCCATACATTCAGCATGAATTGTCTTTGCTTCCACATCAGCGGGCTCAGCAGTAGCATTCTCAGCTGAAGCCGACTCGGACTCGGACTCAGACTCGGACGCGGATTCATACACAGCACTGGATGCCGGGGATTCCTCAGCTTTCTGGTCAGCAGCGAGCGTGGCAATTGCACCTGCAGCCCGGGTCTGGCCTGTTCTTGAGCTTGAGATAGGCACTGAGCCAGGCGATGCCTCTGGTGTAGGAGAGGGAACAGTGGGCGACTCAGCGGCACTTGCACTGTTGCTGCTGCTGTTGTTGTCCGCACCCATGACGACAGCCGACGCACTTAATACTAAAAGCGCAGGCAGGAAGACCCTCTTGATGTACATTGCTGCTAAGGATAGGAAATAAGGTGGGGTAAATGGCGACGAGGTGGAGTGGAAGGAGAGGAGAGACTGAAATGCGGACTCGGTCGATATACTTCCATTCTCATTTGAATCGCCGAAATGTAGCCCCCTCCATCGCAGGGCGTTTGGATTGTTTTCATTCTCTTCCTATGCTTATATGGATCCCATCCAGCTACTACCCGCTGCTGCCCTTGCTCTTCAGGGGCCCTTGAATACGAGCAGAGTCCCTGACATTCCCTTGGGCTGATTTGGCTGTTTTCGGTCAACGTTTTGGCAGCTACTAATGCGTTATACAATCAACACAAAAGTTACTGCAAGGAAAAACTAGAGCACACCATTCGCCAAGGGGACTTCCGATTATTGCGCCCGATGCATGGCTGCCTGTATTCACCAATCTAACAGGGCGCTGCCACGCTACATCAACTCCATAGCATACATGGCCGCCATCCTGTCCAATCCGCGGGTGGCAATGTCCAGCGCCGCGCTAAATTCCCAGCTCTCCGACATTTCTGGGTCTCTGTCCATGTAACTAAAATGTCCGCGCAGCCTATCGAATGCTTTCTGGAGTTGGCCACTATCAAACATTCTCTTAACATCCAGCAGGCCAGCATCGGTAGCATACGACATGTAGTCCTCAAGAGCAAATATCGGAGAAGTGTTCTTGATTAGTGATGGCGAGACGAGTGCCTGCAGAGCTCCTTTGACACCCAAGGGCAGGGCAGCGGTAGATATAGGAAAAAGCAGTAATGTTGCAGACAGTCTCATTTTTTCGGACTATTATTTTCAAGGGTAGATGCGAGACGAAAGAGCGGTGCATGAAGGTGCAGCGCCAGGATACAGCTTTGCGGATAGCGAAGTTTATAAGCGTGCTGTTTGGCAGCGGGGAATGAAAGTAACTAGCAGGAATGGGTCCAGTGGATGTAGGATAGCCTCGCCGCATTGGCATGTCTATCAAACCCTAACGACCAACGATGCCCAGACTAGAGTCGATGTGGAATGAGGCAGGAGGGAATTGTACGTTGCGTTTTTACCGGCCAGCTTGCATGCAGATCCTCATAAAAATAGCGTGACAATTCTGCGCACAAGCTGCGAAATATCGATGATGGTCCATAATGAGCCGTGGAGTGGTGGGGTGGCGGGAGTGGAGCACACGCTGGCGGGCTGTGTTCCTTGTCTGTGCACTGCTTCTGACAGTAATCGCTGCGTCTTTTCAAGCTCTATCATTATACACCCCCTATCTCCCCTTTTCAGCCCAAACATATTTGCTACCATGGGATTCATTAAGAACAACCCAAGATCGATTCTGCTCGCATGGTAAGGCAGCCAAAGACACAAGGCTAAGTGCTAGGCCCGGGACGGGGGTGCATACGGCTCTATACGCAGAAGCCACGTTGCAACAATGCAGCTAACTAACGGGCACAATCCCCACCAAACTGTCCTCTATGTAGGTCTGGCATCATTGCTGGTAAGTAGCCAGGTCAGCACAGGATCGTATGCATATCGGACACAGGTTGGTCCTACTTATCTCGGCTGTTGATGTGTAGTTGGTTTCGGGTCGTTCGTCTACGCCAAGGACCTTGTCAGCAACGAGCGGCGTGCTGAGGAGATCCGGCGGATCAAGCGGGAACGGCGTCGCGGCGCGTACAGCCACTACGACACGCTCCACCACAACTCGGAGGAGACTCAGCCGCAGGCTGCAAAGTCCGAGCAGGCGTGAGCATGCCGATTTCCGAAAATCACTGGATTTTTCGCTGATTCTGCTCTCCTCTGCGGGCGAGGCGTGCTACAAAAAAGAACACAGCCATGTCTGACTTTTTCCTTCTTTTCTCTCTTTGCCCACTTTTTTTCTTTTTCAACAAACTTCCTTCTTCTGCTTTTTGAAGTCCGAGAACAAAACTGGGAAAAAGAGTCATGTCAAAGGTCGATAGCAAGGCAAACAGCATGAGCGCGAAGCGCAGGCGAGGCAACAGCGACACCGAGACAGTGCCGCCAGCCAGCAAAACTAACGACGTGGTTGAGAAGACAGAGGAGGATGCTGACGAGACACTGACGTCGACTACATCCGAGGCGTCCCTGGCTGACGCAAAGGTCAGCCCGATGAAGCGGCTACGCATTAGCAACAAGAACGACGACGACCTTGTCGAGGATACCGAAGCAGTGACAGCAGAAGCCCAGGTCCCTGAGATGGCCGAGAGCTCGGACAAGCTCGAGGCGAGGGAGAAAGGAAGAGATGGAGGAGGACGGGGAGAACAAAGAAACGCCTGAAGAAAAGGATGAGGAGGAGGAGGAGTCGCAATCTACTCCGGGCAAGCGCGTTTTCGGCTCAGGATACAGCAGTGGTCTTGGTTTCGGCGCCTTCAAAAACATCAACAACTCCAGCGATTCTGCTAGTTCCTCTACCGAGAAGATAGATGAGTCGAAGGAGGAGGAGTCGCAACCTGCGCCGGCCAAGCGTGTTTTCGGCTCAGGATACAGCAGCGGTCTGGGCTTTGGCAGCTTCAGCAACTCTGGTGGATTTGCTAACGCTGCCAAAGTGTCTTCGCCATTTCGCCGCATATGCTGGCACTGACGCTGGTTTTGCCCAGCACGCAACCACAGCTTCCAAGTCACCGGGTACCTCCACGGCTGCCGACACGCCGGCAGGTGACGAAGCAGACAAGCCGGCTGCGGACTCAAAGACGTTCGATGATATGTTGCGCGAAGGTGGTGACGAATCGCTCGTAACAAAGGCGATTGAGCCTACAGCAGTGGTTTCCAAGCATGCCGATGCCAAGACGTCCGAGAAAGACGAGAAAGTGCGTTTTCCTGACTAGGGGCAAACTGTATGAGTTTAAGGATAAGGACTGGAGGGAGTGCGGGACGGGCCAGTTCAAGATTCTCCAAGACAAGGTCAATGAGAACGACTGGCTACTGGGGATGTGGAGAGACGGATCGCAGGCTCAGATCCTCAGCGCCAAGCTGATCTCTGGCATGAAGGTTACATGTAACCGTAAAACCGTGTCGTTTTCGCGCTTACTTGGCGACGGAATAACGATGGTTCCCTATTCACTGCGTGTCGGGAGCGAGGATGAAGCGCAGAATGTGGTCGATAGCATCATAAGCTACATCCCTAGCCAGGTGGACAAGGCGAGCAAGGCGGAGGAGGCCCAAGAGAGTGGCTCCGGCAACAAGAGTACAGGGCAACCGGATACAGAAGAGACGGAGGAAGCCACGGGCACAGACGAGTCTAGCGACGATGGTGCAGAGGATAGCGAAGCGAGCGCCGAGCATTAGAGTTCTGAGATTTTGTCGTACATGTCAAATTATTTTTAAAAAGCTGAACACCAAAATCTATGCCTGAAGTGCGTTGTCGTACCTGGTGGCAACCATCTGGCCGCCGCCGCCCGAGAATCCAGTACCCTCCGAGCCCAGGCGGACGACATCTGCCAGCTTGACCTTTGTCTGGCACACAAAGCACTTGCTAGCCGGGAGCACAAAGTTGCTGACGCAGCGGTGGCAGATCGCATGCCCACAGGGTTTCAGGACATCGATCTTGGAGCTGTTCTTCAGCGACTTGTCGCATGACGGGCACAGCTTCTCGCCGCCGGACTCGCGGAAAATGACGGGAACCAGGTGCTTCAGCTTTAAGGGGTGCGCAGGCGATGATGCGTGGCATTGCACCGACAGGGTTGCGGGATCGGTGGGTGTGTGCTTGGCTTCGGGAGCCAGACTTGGAATCCAGAAGCTGGCCAGCTTGGGCTTAGTGCTTGTCTCGTCCAGTGCTGGATCAGGCTTCTTGTCCTTGTTGGCCAAGGAAAACACCGGCCTCCTTGCCACCGATCCTTCTCCAGGTGTCTCCTTTGTAGCCGATCCCGCATCTGATGGCCCAGCTTCGAGCATCTTGATCTTCTTCTCGGCCGGCTTTGCAGTCTCCTCGTCGGCTTCGGGCAGCGCCCGCTTGGCCCGCGTGCTCAATCCGACCTCGCCCTCAATGTGCCGCTGGACTTCGAGCTCGTTGCGCCGCCGTTCCCGCTCCTTTTCTGCTGCCTTCTCCTTGGACTGGTGCTCATCGTGTTCCTTTTGCGCCCGCTTGATCGCCTGCTTCTGCTCAAGGATACTGGCCAGCACGCATTCTTTGCACGAGATGTGGCCAAGAGGGCAGAGCATCGGCGTGCGCGCGGTGCTGAGGCAGAGGTAGCAGGCGTCGAACTTGCGCTTCGAGTCGCTGCCCAGCCGCTTGGTCTTTGTGCCGTAGTCGACCATCTGCCGCTCGGCGTACGTGAACACGCCCGACGCCGTGTTGTTTTTCGAGTGACGGACCATGGCTATATGGATAATGTAACGTAGAAATATATTGCACGTCCCTGCAAAATTTTTCACAGGCACTTGTCGGCACGCTTCTCCTCATCCTCCACTCTGCTTGTGGGGCAAAACTGTCGAAATGTGGATCAGAGACGAAATATATTTGTCATCTTCAACTGTTGGCAAAGAGAAACGACACAGCAGCTGTAGCGAGCACATCTTACTCCTGGTCAGCGGGGGCCTCACCCGAGATGAGAGCCTCGCGCTTGGCGGCAACGCGCTGGGCACGGCGCTCGCGGGCAGCCTTGTTGCGGAGACGGTGGGCCTCAGCCTGGTCGGCAATGATCTTAGCGCGGGCCTTCTCGGCCTTGGCCTTGTGGATGTACTCCATCAGGACACGCTTGTTCTTGAAGACGTTACCCTTCGACTTGAGGTACAGCTCGTGGTACAGGTGGCGGTCGATCTTGCCCTGCTCGCGGTACTTGCGGAGCAGGCTGCGAAGAACGCGCATGCGGCGCATCCACATAACAGCGGTGGGCATGCGGGCCTCGGCGGTACCCTTGCGCTTACCGTAGCCGGAGTGGCGACCGAGGCGCTTGGCAGCGGCGTGCTGGCGGGCGCGGAAACGCGAGTGCGAGGCCTCGGGCTTCTTGAAGATCAGACCGCTCTTCACCAGCTTGCGGATGTTCTGGCCTAAAAGCGGGTGGGAGCGTCATAACGGCATGTTAGTTCAGTGCCAGCGCCGGTGCGATCTGTACATAAAATAGGACTGGGGCGCAAGACCCACATACCACTTGATACTTACGAGAGTTGGCGGTGGCGATATCGGTCACCTCGTTCGGGTCGAGCCAGACCTTGCGCTTACCGCACTTGAGGACGGAGGCCGCGAGACGCTTCTGAGTAGTAAGGTTAGCCCTACAGAGTGTGTCAATATTGTTTGAGCTCGATGTATGCGGAGGTACATCAAATCGCCGCCGAGCGAAAAATTTTTCATGGCATATATGGACCGGTCAATTGGCCTTTTCGCTTGCCAATCGGCAACCGAAATCAGCCTTGGCATGAACAGAGCACCAAGGCACACGCAGCCAGTATGCAGTCCGACCAGTGCTCGCTGCCAAAGGGCCTGGTGGGGCACTAGGGAAAAGCGAACGAAAGCCTGCGTTGCTGCGGTACTGAGAGCGGGGGATCTCTCTTTTCGCCACTCAGCGCCCGTCCGCTGCGGTCTGGACGCTTTCCCGATCCCCCATGTGCCTTTCTCTCGCTGAACTGTGCTGGCGGTGTTTGCTCTGCTTTCCGAGTGCTGCCGCCGACAAAAACAGGGGAGCCCGCAAAAGGTCGCTCTCTCTTCCGGCTGCCAGACCATACTGTCCCCTGCCTAATTGCACAATCGGGACAGTGCTCCTAATCGAGCACAGGCCAAATTTGAAATCTCCAATCTTACATTTTAACTTTTTCGTGTCCGAGAACTACGAGCCCGTGTTTTTCTGTTAAAGTGGGAAAAGAGAAGGTACCTCGCTGAATTCCCCAGACGCCTGTAGGCATATAGCACCCGCAAGCAATATTTTTTCGCCTTCGCCGCACCCCCTGCAAGCTGAAAAAAATGTGAAGTGGGCCGAGCCGGCTGAGTCCGCTCGGTGATTTGGCGGATCAGCCCGAGCCGGGTCTGGCCAGGGTGCGCCGGGGTGGTCAACCCTACAGCGCATCACGTGAAGCGTGGCCATTGGCCGTGGTTTGTTGCGCCCTTTCTTGCCTAGCCGCCTAGCCGCCTAGCCGCCTAGCCGCCCAGCCGCATCGCAGGAGCTGCTGTGATGGCTTACTGCGGTGGCTTACTGTGGGGAGTGCATCCATCCCGCACGGCGCGGGGACATGCAGCTTTAACTAACAGTGACAACCTATATGTCACACCGCATAATGATGCAAGGACAGATCCCTGCTGTTCTTCCCGAGTACAGAGTATATTATATTCAAGTGGTACATGAAGTTGAAATGGCAGGGGCCGCTGCTTAGTGCTTGGCGGGGTGGAGGCGGTAGAGTTCGTCGACGTCCTTGATGCCAGCAACAGAGACGTTGAGGTCCTTGAGCAGACCGTTGTGGAGCTGGAGGATCCAGCCGTGGACGTACAGCTCCTGGTCGTTCTTCCACGCCTCGTGGACAACAGGCAGCTTGGAGACGGTGCGCACGCCCTGGACGATGTTGAGCTCGCTGAGCCTGTTGGCGCGATCCTTCTTGGGCAGAGCGTTGATCTCCTCCTCGTTGGCTAGATAGAGGTCCTTGATGGGGCGCAGCCAGTGGTCGAGGATGCCGACCGACTCGGTGCCCATGGCAGCAGCAATACCACCGCAGTTGGTGTGGCCAGCAATGATGACGTGCTTGACCTTGAGGTGCTTGACGGCGTACTCGATGACGCTCAGCGAGTTCAGGTCCTCGTTCGGGATGCGGTTGGCGATGTTGCGGTGGATGAAGATATCGCCCGGGTTGGTCTGGGTCAGAACGTCGACAGCCATGCGCGAGTCAGAGCATCCAATCCACAGGATCTTGGGCGACTGGCCCGCTGCCAGCTTCTCAAAGTATTCGGGGTTCTTCTCCTGCACATCCTTGGCCCAGTTGGCGTTGTTGTGCAGAACAGAGCAGATAGCCTGGCACTTGCTCTCGGTTTCGTTTGCCATTAGTCGTCTAGTCAATATCGAGCCGAAGCGGTCGCGGTTAGCAAGGATGCGAGATGGTTTAAACATAGAGTTGGAGAAGAAAAGAAGAGGGCGTAGCGCGCAGCGAATGCTAGACTATTTATATGGCCACGGGCTCCAGTGACAGGGACTCCACGGGTCGCAATGGATGGATGTTCCTGCAGAGATATGCAGTGACTGCAACAGAGAAAGTAATAACAAAGAGATCCTTTGAACGAGCGAGCTGGCGATGAGCAATGATATGCGGGGCGGTGGGACCCAGCAGGTTTTGTTGTCCAAAAGGCCAAAAGAGGAAAGAGCGGGTGGATAATTTGGCTTGTCTACTGCCAAAAGCAATTGCACACTCAAGGCGTTGACTTCTCAGAGGCGAATAAGCAGCGGTGAAGAGGGGAAGACGGAATTCTGAAGAGTAATGGTTGCTTAAAATGCTCCGTCGCCGCCCCACCGTTACTCGCTCTTTATAATGGGGGAGAGTGTTGATCAAGATGCGATAGCACGGGTAGCCCGTTGAGTTCCTGCCAGTAAAGAGCGGTGTCGTCACCAATCTATATGCAAGAGCTCGTGGGAACCAAGATAACGGACCGTGAGATGGCTCGGCTCGTGAGCCAGCCAGACCAGTCGACTCACAGCCTACTAGTGCGCTTACCTGTCAAGGGCCAAGTGGTGCTCGGGGTGCGAGTGTGCAAAGGCAGGCGAGGACAGCATGGCTGTAGGTGGCGGCAAGGGTGAGGATGATGGACTTGAAGAGCATCTCGGGCAATACGGCTGGTTAGTTTGGGATAGAGGTGGATGGTGGTGATCTTTGTTCAGACAGTCTGTCGCCTTTGGCCATTGTGTTTTATAGCCGGCCAGGCGGTCCACCTGTGTTCTCTTCCTGACAGCAAGCCGTCAGACTAGCCTAGCGTCGCTTGGGTCCTGGATCATTCAGGTGTCTGCACCGACGATCTCCTGTATTATTTTCCTCACTTTGATTTCTGACAAAAGAAGCCCTCCGAGGAAAGCGTGTGAAGCAGCGGTCTATTTTTATACACGGTTATTTCATAGTGGGCTCTGAGCGACGAGCGCGGGCCATTTTCTCGCAAATATATCGCCCGAAGATTCCATTCCACACATGTGGGTGCTGTCTAAGGCCACCGTGCCTGGAGCCCAGGATCGAACAGACTCCAGGTACAACCACTAAGGCAAGGATAAATTAAGGATTCTGGATTAAATACAGTTCGTGATTTATTTTTGAGCAGCCAAAAGTAGGCAGGCACAGATCGCGTATTTTTGCCAGACCGATCTGCAGCAGCTTATTTGTTCTTGGTGAGGCGGTATGTGAAGCGCTTCCGTGTATGCGAGAACTCGCCCAGCTTGCGCCCGACCATCTCCTCCGTCACAGTCACCGGCGTGTACTCCTTGCCGTTGTGCACCAGGAATTTCGCGCCAATCATGCTGGGCATGATAGTGCTTGCCCGTGCCATCGTCTTTATCGGCGTGCCGCTGCGAATTGACTCCTGCAGGTTCGGGAAATGTACATAGAACGGGCCCTTCCAGACAGACCGCGACAGAGCAACTAGTGAGCCACGCATTCTCGGTGTGAGTGTTTTGTGTAATGAGAGAGTAAAAGAAACACTTTGCGAAATTAACAAGCAAAGCGCCAGCCTCATTTGCGAGGCGGCTTATCGGTACCAGAAAAAACTGGCGACAACTGGCCCAGCCTGACAATAGGTGATCAGACCATATGATCAATCACACAATCAGGCGCACATTGAAATCCAGCCGATTTCGCAGAGGGCAAAAATCGCTTTGCCAAAACAGCCGGCGGTTCCGCGGACCTTGTCGAAACACCCTTTCAACTGCTGGAGCTTTTTTCGTTGATATAAAAAATGGTAGGTCACGTGGAGGCAAACGGCGCAGCGCTGACGATGGATGCGACGAGCCTGAAAAATAAAACTGGCGGTGGATACGACGGCGGGCGCTGGAGCGAACTGGCGCCAGCAAGGTCAATTTGTGGAAATTTGCTCAGCCAGGAAATGTGAGCTAAAAGCTGGCGAGATTCGCTTTCCCCAATTCCGCACATTTTGTAGTCTCTCGTCGCTAGCCAGCCGAACCAGTTCCAACACATTCTGCGTCTGCTCAACACTAACGTTGACGGTAAGGTCAACGTTATGTTCGCGCTTACCGCCATCAAGGGTGTGGGTCGCCGCTACTCCAACATGGTGTGCAAGAAGGCCGATGTCGATATCACCAAGCGCGCCGGTGAGCTCTCCACCGAGGAGCTCGAGCGCATTGTTGACATCATCCAGAACCCCCTGCAGTACAAGATCCCGCAGTGGTTCCTTAACAGGCAGAAGGACCACACCACCGGCAAGTACTCGCAGCTGGTCGCCAACGGTGTTGATAACGCCCTCCGTGAGGATCTCGAGCGCTTGAAGAAGATCCGCTCGCACCGCGGTATCCGCCACTGGTGGGGTCTGCGCGTCCGTGGTCAGCATACCAAGACCACTGGCCGCCGCGGTCGCACCGTCGGTGTGTCCAAGAAGAAGGGTGGTAAGTATTCGATTGCGCGGCACATATGCAGCCTGTGTATTTGCATGATGTTTACATTTTACCTACATTATCCGATATGTTGCTTGACGACGTACTGCGGAAACTTTCTACTGTTCCTGACACTACTATACCGCGGCCTCTGGGTCATGGTGCCATGGCACTGGTAAACCTGTATACTAACTCTACATTTGTGTTCTGCACTCTGTAGTCTAATCCAATCGCTGATGTTCACGCTCCTTTTCCGGTTTTTTCGTTCGCAGGACGGGAAGCAGTCTGGATCGCTGTTTGTATCTGCTGGTCCATCATTGTGTTGTGTCTGCAGATGTGAAAAATAAATGGCAAATCTACAAAAGTATATACCATATCGCTTTTGGCATTGGTGGTGATGATGGTAGCGGTGATTACAGATATGACGCATGCATGTCCCCTCTACATGTCTGGGCGTGTGGGACGCATGGTCGGCAGACATGATCACGATTGTGTTCCGCTTGGCAATGTTGAATCGGACTAGTGGCGAGCTCCGGAACTGAGTAGCGCTGCTATCGATCCCTGCCCTGTGGACAATGCTGCGTGGGATGCGTCCCAAACACCAGGGGGCTGAGGCTGTGATCGGAGAGATAACGTGCAAGGCTGATGCACGTCTGCTGGTGTTTTTTGCTTCTTTTAGGCAGCAGCAATCACGCGCCAGGTGATTTCGACCTTGCAGATTGGTTGGGCTGCTTCCTCCAAGGAAGCGGTTGTAGAGGCCACTCAGAGATCCCAGGCCGCGCTTATTGCCATAGCACTTCCGACGGAGATTTATCCCAGGCGATTTACCTGCCATGCCACTTGATTCCTCCGACCGGGTTTCCGCTAACCAGGCTGCCCCTCCCTGTTTGCCCCTTGCGCTATCGTGTTATACCGCTCCTATAAATACGAGGCGCTGGGAGGCTGTGCCAGAAGGTGGCCACCTGACAGGACAATTGCACTCGACCCCTGGAATTTTTTCTCACAACATTTCGGAGCTATATACCAGCGGCTGTCTTCGACTATTACAAAAATCCTGAAACACCACTCCCGTTACCCAGGGAAGCTTTTTATTACTCAGCCCAGGCGTGCACTATCCATACCCTCCTTCTCCTCTGCACCCCGGATACTCGAATAACCTCTACATTACTCATACTATGAGACTTTTGCCACGCGAGCTCGACAAGCTCACTCTCAACCAAACTGGCCTCCTTGCCCAGCGTCGCCTCGCGCGCGGCATCAAGCTCAATGCCTCCGAGTCCTACAGCTCTGCTGGCAACCGTCCTGCTGGAGCTCATCCGTGACGGTACCCATTCAGTTAGCGATTTGCAGACGATTGGCCAACACATCCTTGGCTTCAGACATGTCCAGCCGTCGGTCCCCCAAATGCTGCATGAGGTCCAGGTCGAGGGAACGTTCCGCGATGGCACGTTCCTGGTAACCGTTCACACCCCCGTGTGCACGGTTGATGGCGACCTGCAGCTGGCGCTCTACGGAGCCTGGAATCGATATTGGTCCAGGGTCCCGGACTGCTTTACAGATATCAAGAACCCGAGCGACGATGAGCTGGCAAACGAGGCATCTGAGGCGGACCCGCCTGGAGAAGCTCAGTGCAATCAACACAAAGCTGTTCCCATGGAGCGACAGGCATAGCCAAGGATTATGAGCCTACCAGCGAGCTAGCATCGGTTGGCCATGTTATCGCAGCACCCGGCACGATCGAGATCAACCAGGGACGGCCGCGCTACGCGCTTAAGGTCACAAACCATGGCGACCGCCCAGTGCAAATCGGCTCTCACTATCACTTCGCTGAAGCCTAACCCTACGCTCGAGATGGACCGCGAGATCGCCTATGGCCGTCGCCTGGATATTCCTGCCGGAACCTGCCGTGCGCTTCGAGCCCGGAGACTCACGCATTGTCACCCTGGTCGATATTGCTGGCAACAAGGTTGTCCATGGCGGCAACAGCTTTGCCTCGGGTAAGGTCGACCGCGCACAAATTAGCAGCTATCCTCGCAGAGATGAAGGGCCTAGGCGTCATGCACATACCGCAGGCGCTTGAGGTCACCTCAACGTATCCCGCGCCCGCGCACCATGGATCGTGCAACGTATGCGATGACCTACGGACCGACTATCGGAGACCGCGTGAGGCTTGGAGACACCTGCTTGTGGGCCGAGATCGAGTGGGATGCGACAGGTCTATGGCGACGAGTGCAAATTTGGTGGTGGCAAGACGCTGCGCGACGGAATGGGCCAGACCACCCCTTTGCTGCGCCGCCAGTGCCTGGACCTGGTAATCACCAACGCTGTCATTATCGACTATACTGGCGTCTACAAGGCTGACATTGGTGTCAGGAATAGCATGATTGTCGGTATTGGTAAGGCCGGAAACCCAGACGTCATGGACGGCGTTACACCTGGGATGTATGTGGGTGCGTCAACTGAGGCCATGGCTGGCGAGGGCAAGATTGTTACCGCCGCGGCCCTCGACACCCACGTCCACTTTATTTGCCCGCAACTTATTGACGAGGCCCTAGCTTCTGGCATCTGCACGCTCATCGGTGGTGGCACTGGCCCTAACACCGGCACCAATGCGACCACATGCACGCCAGGCGCCTTCCATATTCGCACCATGCTTGAGGCCACCGACTCGATGCCAATGAACCTTGGGTTCACTGGAAAGGGCAACTGCTCGGAAAAGGAACCACTGCGCGAGCAGGTCCGTGCTGGCGCTGTTGGTTTGAAGATCCACGAGGACTGGGGGTCCACGCCAGCTGTTATCGACTCGTGTCTCACTGTGTGCGACGAAATGGATGTTCAGACAACTATCCATACCGACACACTGAATGAGTCTGGATTTGTCGAGCACACTATTGCTGCTATTGGCGACCGCACTATCCACGCGTACCACACCGAGGGTGCTGGGGGCGGACACGCACCTGACATTCTGGCCGTGTGCGGCCATCCGTCAGTCATCCCGTCATCGACCAACCCAACCAGACCGTACACTGCCAACACTTGTGATGAGCACCTTGACATGCTCATGGTTTGCCACCATCTGGACAAGCGTATTGCTGAGGACGTCGCCTTCGCCGAGAGCCGCATTCGTGGCGAGACTATTGCTGCTGAGGATGTGATGCACGACTTGGGCGCCATCTCGGTTATGTCGTCCGACTCGCAGGCCATGGGCCGTATCGGCGAGGTTGTTGGTCGCACCTGGCGTACTGCTGACAAGATGAAGCGCCAGCGCGGACACCTGCCTATCCCTGAAAACAGCGATGAACTCGGAATCCCGCGTGCCTCAATCTACGACCGCGCCGACAACTTCCGCATTCGCCGCTACATTGCAAAGTACACGATCAACCCAGCCATTGCTCACGGACTGTCGCATGTCGTTGGCTCGATTGAGGTGGGTAAGATGGCAGATCTGGTAATGTGGACACCGCAGGAATTCGGCATCCGACCCTCGGTTGTGATTAAGGGAGGAATGCCGGTATACGCCCAGATGGGTGACGCCAACGCTTCGATCCCAACAGTTCAGCCAGTCTACAACCGTCCCATGTTCGGTGCTCTACCGGGCAGTGTCAAGACCAACTCAATTGCGTTTGTATCGCAGGCTAGCCTTGATGATGACTATGGCGCAATGGCAAAGACGTACCAGATCACCAAGCGCCTGATGCCAGTCAAGAAGTGCCGCTTCATTGGCAAGAAAGACCTGAAGCTCAACTGCGCATTGCCAAACGTCACTGTCGACCCAGAGACGTACGAAGTCAAGCTGAATGGCGAGCCGTGCTCGTGCGAGCCTGCCACTGAGCTGCCGCTCACTCAGAAGCACCTGGTTTTCTAATTACACAGCATCATCTATAAGCAGTTCACATTTTCAGCTGTGGCATCAAGTGGGTCCTTAAATCCATGTTTAAACAGCAGACCTGATTGTGAAAGAAGGATGAAACGGGCAGATTAGCATGATATTTATACTACTGCGGTAGCTTGGAATATTCCAGTTAGCCCGATCAAAAAGACCAAACCCTTTTGTGTCCTCCATAGGCAGTTCCATAAACATAGCAACCTGGATAAACAGCTTATCGCCACCAAGAGGTGGCACATCAGGATTCACTTGGCTTCTGACGACTTTTCTGTCCTTGTTAGCGAATAGTGATCAGCGACGGTGGAGTATGAAGATGCATGGCACCTAACGTATGAGCGTGCATGATTGTTGCGCCGACTTGTCCGGCTAATTTCATGGATAGCTTGCGGGATGCAGTGCGGCATTCACGCATCTACAAAAATACTCATTGCCCGACCTTCCAGTGTCTTTCAAAATCAAGAAATCCAAGTGGCATATCTCTAGTATGTAAGATTTTATTGTCCAAAAAGTGTCTGACCGTTCGCTAGAATGTTTTAGTTGGCTGAAAAGATTCACACTCTTTTGAACCTCACAGCAAGTATGCGTGACTCGCTCTGTGAGCTCTAAAAACAGCATTCTCTCATTTGGCCGACGGATTCGGATTTGAAGATGTCGAGTATATATCTGAATAGCAATGGTAAGATCGAACCTGGAACCATATATTAAAGCGCTATTCGCCTTGGCTCCTTCGCATTTTGCAGGTCCAACAGTTTAATAAACGAATCACTCAAACTTCCATGTATTTTGTGTTCAGACTTGGAATCGTTGGCTTGCCGCAAAACTCCGGAGCAAGTTCGGTCCAGACCCAGTGCTGATCATGGGCAATTGGAGTGCGCCGATGGCCCAACACCATGCGCCGATTCGTGGCAAGGGATGACGCGACAAGTTCAAGCACCATGGCTTTGAAGTCTATCTGATCGACGAAATTCCGGACATCGTCGATGTGCCCGTTCTGCTGCGAAAAGTCGCTGCAGACATTCCGGCATGTTCCCAACCCGCGGCCCTACCAGAGATCGAAGAACCCAACTGTGAAGTGCCATGGCCTTCTCCGCTGTACAAGCGAGTCATGTAAGCGGGCCATGGCACAATACAGGCGAGCCTATTCGTCTCGGCTCTTGAACCGCGATCCTTCGCAGCAGTTCTAAACTTCAGACTCGTTTTCCAGTCACTCTGTAATTCAGGCGATATTCCTGAACGGTTCCGTCGTTCTACGGCCATTGCTGCCAATGCTTCTGGCACACACCTGCGCAACAAAGAACCCGCGCAAGAGGTGTGCAGCAGTCAGGCAGTTCTGGTTGCCAGCAGCAGCGAGCCAGCGGCTGAAGCGCCTACGCTGAGCAAGCCACCATGGATGGGAGGATGCCTATGATCGACCATTGCACCAGCAACCATCCGACACGTTCAAATGACCGGTTCGCCGTGATGCTTGTATTGGCATGTCAAACCCATGCTGACTACCAGCCGAGCTCGCATCGCGAGTGAAGTAATTCTAGTATTAAGCTTAAAATAACACATATCTTAGTAAGTGGTATTTATCAAAAGTTTCGAGAGCCGGTCAGCATGTGCTCCGAACACCTTTCGCTTCATGACCTTGACCACTGATTGTTCAAATCTCGGGCTGCTGTGAAACCTAGACACTTGAACACGTCTGAGTGAAGGCGCTAGAACCCCAAACAGGAGAACTCGTTCAATCATCTGCAGCATAGTCATCTGCTCTACTCTGCATATGCGCAAGAGTAAGAGCCGCGACTCACCGACTCTCTTGTCGTCTAGATTCTGTAACCGGTTAACGGTGCTTGCTGACAACTGCTGTCGAGAACCCGGAGCCTCGTGTGTTAATTGCAGCGAGCACCGCTTCATGCTTTGGAAACAGACAGATGATATGAACAACCTGCTCGTATGTGAATGGCATACAAACAATGTCCAGAATCCGTATGCTCGACAAATATGCATACACTTGCAATGTATGCATTGTATCCGATTCCTCGCTTATCCATTGCGAATCCACCTTGACCGTTTCGACCTTCGATGACAGTCCGAGTGCAATCTGTGACAGCGTCAGCATATTTGGTGTGCTGCTCTCTTCACCATCTGTATACGTGGTATCAGGCATAAGCTCAACATAGCGCAGCTGAGGAAAGTGGTCTTTGCCGAGCCACCCCGATTCCTTGAACATTTTCTTAGGTAGCTTGAATCGACATGCATATAGAGGCTTTCCAGCAAGACACAGCTCTCCAGAAAGTTGAGGTTTGTGAATGGATAGCTGTTTTCGCAGAGGAGGTGGGTGATCCTCGGAAACGGATTGCCAGCTGGTGGGCTGCAGCGCAGGTACCTCCCCACCCTCTTTCATCGCAATATCAAACTTCCAGACACATGGGTACTCCACAATGTTACCCTCCGAGTCGACAGATGATATCATAGATGTCCTGCGGCGTTGTACCAAAGAGGTGGATACATGTCAGAGATTGGACTGCTTTTGCGAACCAGCTCGATGTGCGTATCCCCGAATGTATCGCAGTCCAGCATAATGTGTTCGAGTCTGGCAATATTCGGCAGATCAAGACTGTGGTACCCCTTGGCCCGGTCCTCGATCGATAGTCCCAGTCTGCCTGCCGCGACCAAATCGACTAGGTCCATCAGTCTGCCACGGTATCTCATAGACGCCGAACATATCAACATATATGAGTGGGTCGCGCACTGTAGGAAACATAGCGCGTTATTGTCGCGGCGAATTCCTTGATGTTGGCTTCCATCTCGGCGACTACTAGGTTGCTGCTGGTGGTTGATCTGCTGTCAAGCGTCAAGATCAGCTCGCTGGTATTGCCAAACCTGCAATCCTTCAGCGGTCCAGACGGATAGCAGTGATGCGGCTTTGCCAGCAAAGAACTCCGTAGAAAGGAATCTGCAGAATGCACTGCCTTGACCAATGCTTCGGCGCCTATACCCACCAGTGTCGGCCATATTTGGGATAAAAGTATCGCGACTTTTCCAACTCACTACACTCAGAGTCAGCTACTACGACGACCTCCTGGTACATCATCATCATGGAGACCGACCGCCAATCGCGACAGACCCCGATGAATGGAATAAACGACTTGTTCAGTGACCATGTGTGATTCCCCAGACGGTGGCTGGTTACTCGCACCACCCCTGATACGTAAGCAATAATCTGCTCGAGAATATGGATTGGAATAGCCTGTGCTAGAGAGGACATGTTTTCATTTAAGCAACGGCGATGAGAAGAATTGTGAATGAGAGCGGACGAAAGAAACGAAGGTGAAAAAAGGCTGCGCAGCATGCCTTTAAAGCTTGATTTCTCAGAAAGGTCGACTAGCGACGGCTCAGTTGGCGAGTCGGTTCGGTCTGGAACAACAGCAACCAAGTGGAACATGCAGCTCGCATTGCAGCTGAAGTTCCGCCACTGGTTGAAGTGGAATAGTAGCAATAAGCAAGTCGCTTCATGCTGTCTACTTGCACATAGGTAGTATCTGTTAGCCTTCACACATAGAACAAGGTGGTTCGGTACACCAATGCCAACAATCCATATCGTATTTTTGATATGTCTAAAGCATAAGGCAAGTAATAATCACTATCCCATGGCCTCTAAGAAACGGAAAAATATAGCTCATTTAGTGCTACTTTACTCGATAGTGTACAGCTTATACCGGAACTCATCAGCACAACCGCTTTGGGTTTTTTTTGTGGATGACTTTTTTGTTTTTGCTGCTTCGATAGTACTTTGTACAATGAATTGACGTGATTCGCTGATGAGCGAGGTTCCATTCTTCTGCAGGATATCGTAGCTCTCGACACCCATTGCCTTTGCAATCTTGTTGAACCACCAGAAGGACGTCTGCCAGGTACTTGTCAGGCAACTCGTGCATCCTTGTGGTGTGGTACTTGGGGATTATCTGCACATGGCCTTCGGTCGGATGGAGTGGATGCCCAAGAACGATGTTGTATATCCGATCTCAATTAGCTTGTATGCTTGCACCTCGCCCTTGATGATGCTGCAAAGTGTACAGTTTGACTTTAGAACCGATGAAGACATGGTTGCAAACAAAGTCAAATGGTCTAGATTGCGGGGTTGAAAACCAGACAAAGACAAAAGACGCCATCCATTAGCTGAGGACAAGCAAGACTGCAACAGGCACTAAGCAGCTGGTTTCAATATTTGCGCAAGCCCCAACTTTGCCACAGCTGGATGACGTTGCACGCAAGTGCAAATCTCTAACCAGCACAGCCCCTGTGTATAAAATCGCGTGGCCAATATGTAGTGCCCACTCAGTCCTGGATATAGCAGGTGTCAGCCAAGACATTTGGCTCTCAAACGAAGCCTAATAATCAAATCTGTTAATAACTTAATTTCATTGGTAGAAGCAGATAATGGAATCAGCTTTTTAGTTCATTTGTGCTTGCCCAGGCTTTATCGCTGTCCGTCATACACTTTCTACTCGTTTCTTACAATTACACCCTTCATTATATGCTGCATTCCGCTTTAAGGAGACGGTTGGTGGCGGCTGGTACCAGCGGTCGGCTGGAAGAGCTGGCGGCAGACTTGAACAATACAGAGGCATATCGTGAAGGTCTGTAGTGACGCTGGCTACCAGAGTACCGGGTAAAGTGCGGCACCTGCACAGCCAGACAACAAAACCTGATCCAACTGACATTGGCTATACTCAGAGGCATTTGTCGATCCGGGATTGTGCTGGGTCTCCTGCAGATGTACTGGCGACAGGCGGCAAAGATCTCAATATGTGGGATGCAGTCATTCCTATGTCCAAGCACAAGAGGTTTCGCAACGGGATGCGTGGGAGTGAGCTGCAGAGGTTAATGCATCGGCTGCAGCGTGTCTGTCATGGTCAGATAGCGAGCAGCGAAGTTGCAGTTGGGCGGTGGATCGATACACTGCCCAAAGTACCAGCAGATATGAAGAGGCTGCAGCGGATCGAAGCTGCGATCGACAATAGCGTAAAGCGGCTGGATACACATAGCAGGTTGCAGCGTGAGCTTGTGCTTACACATATCAAGGTCCTTGATGTCCGATCGGAGATTGCGCGTAACAAACACACGGGCAGCAAGAGCGGACAGTATCGACGGAGATCGTTGCATTGGCGCGGTAGTGGTGAGCTGCGCGATACACGGGTAGCGCTTATTGCCAAGGCATTCCACGCCAACTGTCCTGGGCTTCTGTTGAATCTCTTGCTTGATTGGAACACTGGCGAGACGCTCGTGTCAGAGTACTTTCTTGATCGGATATGCGCTCAGTTTTTGGACACGCCGGAGCGGATAGAAGAGTCGTTTACAGCAAGCAGGCTCATGTATGACTATATCTTGGGAGAACAGAATACAGCAGCGAAGGCCGCAGCGCTGCAGGGGCGGAGGAAAGGCACATCAACACGGTTCAAAGGACACGCTATGGCAGATGGACAACATCGACTGTGCCATCGTCGCACTGGATAATCTAGCTAAAGTGGAGCAACGGACAGGCGAAGATGTGATGATCTCGTCGCTTGCGGTTAAGCTTATGGACTGCTGCCAAGCATTCAATCAGACTCCCAAGGCAAAACGCGTTTTCCACAGGCATATCGAGCTACTGAAGCGCAATCCAGCAGCATACAATATCCTGCTTATTCCCGAGGCAAATGCCTACAACATGTCCGAGGTTGTTTCGCTGCTACGATTGATGAAGCACAACGGTGCAATTCCTGATCCAGCGACCTGGACCGCAATAATCTATGGCATGTTTCGTAACGGGCGCGCGTTCCAGGCAATGAAGCTGTTTTCACTGCATTTGGAGTTTCTGCCTCGGAAAGCGTCAGTGGAATGGGGGTGGAGATAACAGCGGAGGGGCAGGCGGCGAGATGTTCATGTCAGAGTCGAACATCTGGCAGGATTGGTATGCGCAGCCATCCAGCAGATACGAAATCCCGTCGTTCATTACCAACTGGATTCGAGCACTGGCCAACGAGTATCACGAATCACGATCTGCGGACCGTGTCGTGCGACGAGGCAAGCGGACCGATATAACGCCCTGGCTACCAACGCTGGCAACGCACAAGCTCATGCTCAAGTCTTTGGGAAAGCACGGGACCACAGCTGCACTAACAAAGTACGTCCAGCATCTCAAGAGTGTCTGGCCGCAGTACAGCCAGTATGCCGACTGGAATATGCAGCTTGGCGAGTCCAAGGGAATACGTGCAATCGAGCGGATCATGCACAGCCATCTTGCCCAGCGGATGCCAGAGATACGCAGTGTATATGGACTCTATCCAGTAGTGGACACCGACAATACGGCGACGGCTGGGTATTATGCGCATGTGGATGAGATGATGGATCTGGCAAAGAGGCGTCCGAGCAATATAGACGGTGGGAAGTCGACGGTGAGCAAAGTCCCTGAGCGAGTCATCTTCAACAAGTCACTGAATGCCTACGCAACAGAAGGCGACATGCGCACCATTCTGCATCACATGCGGCGGTTTCCAATGCTCAACGATATTGCCTCGTGGACCGAGGTTGTCCGGTGCGTATGTACGCAAATTGTTGGTGATCCAGGGAATGAGCTTCTGCTGTACCCGCAGCTGCTAGGAGATAACGGAAAAGACCTATCGTGGGTTGCAGTTTTGTTCAGATTGGCAAAGGAACTGTCGGCCCGTGGCATAGACTTTAACAATGTCACGTTTGGCGTCATAGTGCAGACGGCAATGTGCCTGAACGATTTTAAGGCTGTGGGTCAGATCATAGATTTCATGGCGCACAACTCGACAACGCGGTTCAATGTCGATATGCTGAAGATGGTCATTGGTGGCAGCAGCACCCCGTTCGAGATCAAGCAGTCGCTGGTCAAGAGCATGCTTGGTATAGATCGCCATCAGCCAGGCAGCAGCAAGAATGGGGGGATCAGTTTCGGCGTGTCAACGATCAAGCCTGACCGCCGGCTTTTGTCGCTGCTCGTTGCCTCGGTTAGAACCGCCTGGGATATGCGCCTGCTACGTGACTTGGCCGACACATTCGAGTTGGAGTACGATATCAAGATGGCCGGCTCCGACTATGCCAAGCTTCTGACTGTGTGCCGAGAGAATCAGCTGGACCTGGCGGCACGGGTCTGGATTGATCGCATGGTGGCTTCCCATACACCAATCTCAGGCAAACTGGCAGAGTTGCTGGCAGTTCTTCGACTATAGAGTAAACTGAGTTTAGCACTTGCCGCAGAGTTTCCTTTGACGCCCTCCTTCCTCCATCGATTGTCCACGGGTAATTTCATTCGGCATCCCCAGCCGCAACAATTGGATGTGTGGTTTAGGCATTGCAGATGGGTGTGCAAGGTAGCGAGTCACACTACTGCCTAATAAATGATAAAATGGCCGACATGACGAGGGTATGTGGGTGGAATATATACGCACTTGGAAGGGAGGTCCAGGATGTGTTTGGTGTTTGGCCGATCTGCAATTCCGGTTTTGCACATGATTTCGGCTACATGAGGGGTGTGGCCTTGGCTCAAGTGTGAAATGGAAAAACGAGGCGCCCTGCGATGCCTCAACAATCGCCCTCGTCTCCCTCCCTGCTTTACTCAAAACATTTGCTACTTGTATTTCTTACTCTTCGCCCCCTCGGTTTTAATACATGTCACAAAACACTACGCTCGCGTGCTTCTCCTCGCCTGGCCGCTAATACGCAAGGATGGGTATGTCTCCCCCCATTTTCACCGCCATGCTGAGAAGGAATACAGCCCTCAGACTACGCCTTGCGCTACGTGCGCTGCGTGGCTAAAGAGTATTACAGTCCCCATGTATATATTGGACACTGGTGTGCTCTCTAGACTCGTCTCCTTTTGCTGTGTTATCCATATCCTCTATTTGCATCCGCACCCCCTCCCATTTAACATAATATTGCCAAGCTTCATTTGCTGACTATGTCGCTGACACCTGCACCAATAGGGTCGACACAGTCAAAGGTCGAGTACCAGACGGTGGATAGCGTTGAGGGGTCAATGGACTTCCTCGATGCGCCCGATGAGAGCAGGGATTATAGAGAAATATTGCCGCAAGGTGGACCGGCGGATTCTGCTGTACGCTGTGTGTCTGTGCATTCTGAACCAGAGCGACCGTGGGTCCATTGGCGTGGCCAAAGTGGTTGGGCTTGAGAAGGACCTGGGGATGGAGCACAACGACTTTAACATCGCCGCCACGCTGTTTACTGTCGGATATCTGTCGCTTGAGTTCTTCTCCAACTTTGTGCTAAAGAAAGTCGGCGCGTCGCGGCTACTGCCAACGCTTGGGATCCTTTGGGGTATTGTGTGTACGCTGCAGGGAGTGATCAAGACGAAGACGCAGCTGTTTGTGATGCGCGTGTTGCTGGGCATGTCCGAGTGTGGATTCACGGCGGGCATGCTATTGATAATATCGTTTTACTACCCGAAGAGCAAGCTGACGGCGCGGGTCGGATTCTTCTACCTCAGCTCGCCGATCGCCAACTGCCTGTCAGGGCCGCTGGCCTCTGCCCTGTCGCACATCAACCACCCGACGATCAAGCGGTGGCAGTGGGTGTTTCTGCTCGAAGGCATCATCACCATTGTTGTTTCACTCTTTGGATACTTTATCCTGCAGGACCACCCGGAGAAATGCACATTCCTGACACATGAGGAGAAGCGATTTATTATCGACTACAAGCGAAAGGAGAGAACCCTGGGTGGATCCGAGAAGTTGTCCATGAATGAGACTAAGGAGGCACTGATGGACTGGCAGCTATGGTGTCAGACGCTGGCGACGCTGGCCATTTGCAGTGCCGGCAATAGCGTCACGGTGTTTGCGCCTGAGCTGATCAACGAGCTTGGGTTCACTGCTGCGCAGGCGCAGGCCATGAGCGCGTTACCATCGGTATTCGGGGCTGTTGCGATCCTCTTTGCGGGGCGCATTGTGCGCTGGTGTGGTGGGCACTGGCGGGCTGGCATTCTTTCCTGTGCAACCGCACTGGTAGGCAGTCTGCTGATGGCATGTACACTTAATGTGCCAGTGCGTATTGTTGGCCTATGTCTGGTGGGTACGGGTGGAAATGCTGGCCTTGGCATCCTTCCAGGGTGGAATATCTCGGCGAACTCGAAGACTGTAGCGCACTCGGCGGTGGCGTCGGGGATGACCGTGTTCATGGGGTCAAGTTCATCGTTCATCTCATCAAACATATTCCTCAACTCAGATGCGCCCAGGTTCATCATTGGACACATGGTCAACGCATCGCTGATGGTGGTGGGTATCTGTGCGTGTGTGATAGTCCGAATCAGCATGGGCAAGCGAAACCGCAGGCTCGACCTCCAGCCCAAGGAGCTCGACGACGGGTTCAGGTACATGTACTAGCGGGTTCCCGTAACCTTGGATATATAGACTAAGGTCTATCAATGAGAACCAACTTTTTTCTTTTACAAAGCCAATTTATATAGCCACATATCCACATCCTACTATCATTACCACCAAAGAAAAATGAGCGTGCTGCTGGAGACATCCGTCGGCGACATCGTCATTGACCTGTACTTTGAGGAGACGCCGCGGACATGCATAAACTTTCTGAAACTGTGCAAGATCAAGTACTACAATTTCACGCTTTTCCACCGCGTTGAGCGCAACTTTCTGGCGCAAGCCGGCGACCCAACTGGCACTGGCGAAGGCGGCGAGTCGGTGTTTGGTGTGCTCGGCAAGCAGAAGTACTTTGCGGCCGAGGTGCGCCCTAAGCTGAAGCACGCAAGGCGCGGCACAGTGTCAATGGCCGTGTCAGCAACTGAGAGCGGGGTCGGGGTTTCGGGCAGCCAGTTTTTCATTACGCTGGCTGACGGCCTGGATTACCTGGACGGCAAGTACGCGGTGTTTGGAGAGGTGGCGGAAGGATTGGACGTGCTTGACGAGGCTCAACTCGGCAATCTGCGGCGATGACCACCGGCCACTGCGGGATATCCGGATCCGCCACACAATTGTCCTCCACGACCCGTTCCCGGACCCGCCCGGTCTAGCAGTCCCACCACAGTCGCCGCTGCCGAGCACCTCGCAGCTTGCCAGCGTGCGTCTGGGCGACGACGAGGAAATGGAAGACTACCTGGCGGCGGACCCTGAGCAGCTGGCAAAGGAACGGCGCGAACGCGACGCCAAAGCACAGGCCCTGACACTGGAAATGATCGGCGATCTGCCGTTTGCCGAGATCAAGCCGCCGGAGAATATCCTGTTTGTGTGTAAGCTGAACCCAGCAACACAGGACGAGGACCTGGAGACGATCTTTGCGCGGTTCGGCAAGATCTCGTCGTGCGAAGTGATTCGCGACAAGGGAGAGTGGGGAGTCGCTAGGGTATGCGTTTGTGGAGTTTGAGGAGAAGGAGGCGTGCGAGGAAGCGTATTTCAAGATGGATAACGTGCTGATCGACGACAGGAGGATCCATGTTGACTTCTCGCAGAGCGTCAGCAAGCTCCATGGCTCGTGGGTCGACAGCAGAGTGAAGAGGAGCGGCGGGCTGGAGATGCGCAAGCGGTATCGGGACGACAGGGAGTACGAGCGCGGGAAGGAGTACGACATGGTGTTTGACGAGAGACCAGAGCGTGGGGAGCATCGCCACAGGCGCGAGCACCGAAGCCGTAGAGATAATAGCCGGGACCGTAGCGATAAGGACCGGGACCGTAGGAATAGAAGCCGAGATCGTAAGCATAGGAGCCGTAGCCCGCGGCATTCTTCGTCGTCCTCTCGGCGAAAGCCGGAATCAAGGTCTTCCTACAGACATGACTAGCCAATATATAGCAGATCCCATTTCATGTCCAGCCCGAAGCCACCACCACTGGCATTCCGGCAGCAGCAAGCTGGGTGTGTAAAAGGAGTTTACATTTTATTAGTGTCATTGGACTTTTACTCGTCGTCGTCCTGCTCGTAAAAGAAGCGCAGGAACTCCCTTGCCTTCTGGTACTCGCTCTTGCCCTTGTCAAGCTCCTTGACAATCTGCTTGAGCGCGGCTTCCTCGTCAATCTGCCCCACGCCATCGCTGTTTTTGAGTCGGCCCAGGTGCTGTATATGCTCACAGCAGTCGCGCACATGCTTGACGCCTATCGACGCCGAGCTGCCCTTCAAAAAGTGGCCGAGCTCCGATAACCTGGCCAGGTCGCGCGCCTCTATCGCCTTGTCCATGTTGGAGAAGGTGGTCTCGGCCTGCTCAAAGTAGTTGTAGACTATTTGTTGGCTGAACTCGTCGTCCTCGTCGTCCATGGATATGAGCTGGTCAAACACTTCCAGGTCCAGGATGCTGTTGCCGAGCTCGTCGTCTTCGATATCGCCGTCTATGGTGCTCATTTTCTGGTTTGTCTGGTGGAATGCCCCCCTCTTCGCCAAATGCGTATGGAAAAATAATTACAGGAAAATAGTGTAGGTAACAGGAAATAAAGATAGGCAAAGGACCACTGCCAGCGATACACTCCTAAAATGTAGGTAGAGCAAGGGGGGAAAATAGGGGAAAAACAGGCGTTGCGGGTGGCTCGAACCCGTCTGACCTCTCTTCCTCCATGTCTGTGGCAAGCAGGCGGCGCGGATGACATACAAAATTTTTCTTTCGAGCAGCTTGCACATGTCCATTTCCGGCAGCCCAATGATGCAACCGATGCACAACAAACCGGAACTCGCTGTCGGCCACACACAGACCAAGCCCCCTACCAGGATCATGTATCAAATCAGGCACACCAAGGCAGGCCCTGGATCCACATCCTGTGGTTGTGGCAGCCGGTAGACATGGGATGCTAGCAATAATGCCAAGAGGGATCTTTTTAGTAAAGTGTCTGAGGCACATGTACCGTGGGGAGGTCATGCTGGCATTAGCCAAGAGAGGGGCCAAGAGAGGGCCAAGCCGCGGGAGCGGACTCTAGGCACTGGGACTCGGCCAGGCAATAGGCGGGAGCAAGGGCGATTTCGGGATTAGGGCCGGGCGCAAACAGCGTACTATTTTCGAACTGGCTGGAAATCGACAGACCATGAGCAACAAGACGCACAAAAAGGCACCAGCGGTGGGGCCTCTTTTCAACCCTGGTATTTCCGAGTTATTTTTTTTTCCTACTCAATTACTTTCAATCATGGTAAGGACTCCTTGGCTCAATTCGCGGCTGCCCCGCCTAGCAAGATACTTTTCCATTGGCAGCGAGCGGCCCTGTCTCTGAGCAGATGGAGGGGCAAGTCATTTGTCGAAATGTGCACCATCTGTCATTTGTACCCGATTCCCCTCGCGATCGCGTCATCTCGCCAATGCGCAGCTGTCACGTAGTCGGCAATTGGACAGCAGCACTTGGAAACTAATAGCACGCGTCCCTGCATGTAGTCTAGTGGCGTCGCCGTTAACGATTCGTGCCTGGAGGCCTTCACCGACCTGAAGCTGAAGCACACGTCCAAGTATGTGGTGTACAAGCTGAACGACCAAAACACCGAGATCATTGTGGATAAGACGTCGAATGAGAAGGAGTACGACTCGTTCATTGCGGATCTGCCGGAGACGGAGTGCCGCTGGGCGGTGTACGACCTGGAGTACGACCAGGGCGAGGGCAAGCGCAACAAGATCCTGTTTGTTGCGTGGTCGCCGGACCAGGCGAAGATCAAGAACAAGATGCTGTATGCGTCGAGCAAGGACGCGCTGCGCAAGAAGCTGGTGGGCGTGGCGACCGACGTGCAGGCGACTGACTACGACGAGGTGTCGTACGAGTCGGTGCTGGACAAGGCGTCGCGCGGCGCGCGCTAAATCCGCCTTGATCGTGGGGGATCCAGGGCGTCGAGGAAGGGGGCGCAGAAAATGGGGCGGGGAGGGGAAAAGACCTCTCTGTCATAGCGCGCTGTTCTTTTTGGCGTTCCACAGAATTGGCTCCTTATTAGGCGGTTTTGCGGTTACTAAATCTAAATTTCTTTCAGGCTTCTTGCGAAAAGGCCCTGCACAGGGCGGGTATGTGGGGAGGGCATACATGTGGTTGCATTGGAAGGGAGTGGCATTGTCTCAAGGTGCAGTGTGCACCCTTTGAGCCTCCGGGCATTGAGGCCAGCCATTCCGCGAGTGCAGAAGGACGCCTGTCTAGGGCCTCTTGCCAGAAACACTAGGGATCAGCGGCTCTATCAGCCGATGATGTGCCATCGCCCAGCACCAGCCCGGTGGCGGTCATAGTGCATCGGCGGATACCGGAGTATGTGGCGAGATCTTCCACAATGGACATATGCACTACAGCAGTCCCGAGATTTTCAGCTGCCAATGGCCCGGAAATGTGCCTGTGGGGGACCACGGATAATAGCAGCAGGTGGTGCTTGTAGATAAGAAAGAGGGATTCAAGACGTGAGTATTCCAGAGACAACACGCTGAGAGGAAAGAAAATGTACAGTGTTTACTGGGTCGAGAGAGCGACAACACCCGGCAGGGCCTTGCCCTCCAGGAGCTCGAGCGAGGCACCGCCGCCAGTGGAGACGTGCGAGAACTTGTCGGTGACGCCGCGGTTGGCAGCAGCCGTGGCCGAGTCGCCGCCGCCAATGATGGTGACAGCGCCGTTGTTGTCATGGGCCTTGATGATGGCGTCCATGGTCTTGTTGGTGCCGACAGCAAACTTGTCGAACTCGAAGACGCCGCACGGGCCGTTCCAGACAATGGTCTTGGCGCGGGAGATCAGGTCAGCAAACTCGTCGACCGACTTCTCGCCGACATCCAGACCCTGCCAGCCGTCCTCGATACCGCCCTCGACGGTCGCGTAGCCGGTGTTGGCGTTGGGCGAGAAGTCGTCGGCGGTGGTGAAGTCGGTGGGCAGAACAAACTCGACGTTGTTCTTCTTGGCCTTCTCGATCAGGCGCTGGACAATCTCGGCGCCCTTGGCGTCGTACAGCGAGCCGCCAATCTTCATGTTCGACAGCACCTTGTGGAAGGTGTAGGCCATACCGCCGGTCACAATCATCATGTCGACCTTGTCCAGCAGGGACTCGATCAGAAGGATCTTGTCGCTGACCTTGGCGCCGCCCAGAATCGCCAGGTACGGGCGCGCCGGGTTCTCGGTGACCTTGCCAAAGTACTCGAGCTCCTTCTGCATCAGGAAGCCGGCGGCACGCACGGGCAGCTCAACGCCGACCATCGACGAGTGCGCGCGGTGCGCAGTGCCGAAGGCATCGTTGACAGTAGACGTCAGCCCAGCTTGGTCAGCGAGTCACGGAACGCCTTGACGGCCGCCGGGTCGGCCTTGGTCTTGTTGCCCTCGGCGTCCTTGGCCGAGCCCTCCTCCTCGATGTGGAAGCGCAGGTTCTCCAGCAGCACTACCTGGCCGCCGGTCAGGTGGGCGCACGCCTGCTCGACCTCGGCGCCGACGCAGTCGGACAGGAAGGTCACCGGGCGCGCCAGCAGCTTCTCCAGCTCGGCGGCCACCGGCTTCAGCGAGTACTTGGCCACGGCCTGGCCGTTCGGGCGGCCCAGGTGGCTCATCAGCACGACTCCGGCGGCCCCCTGCTCCAGCAGGTAGTTGATGGTCGGCAGGGCAGCGGCGATGCGCGCGTTGTTGGTGATCTTCAGGGTGGCCTTGTCCTGGGGCACGTTGAAGTCTACGCGGACCAGAACGCGCTTGTCCTTGACGTCAATGTCCTTGATCGAGAGCTTGTTGGAAAGAGACATGGCTGGGTGGAAGATCGGTTACGGCTGTTCCTTGAAAGAGAAGAAGAAAAAGGAGCGAGAGATGTGATGAAGAAACAGAAAGGGAGAAGAATGAAAGGCGTGCTGACGAACGTGCGCTTTTATATAGGGCCTGGACACACCATGCGCATTTTCACTGCTGCGTCACGGCCGGCGGGCATTAGTTTTTTGGGGGCGATTAGACTGGACCAGGGGAGCAGTTCAGAAACACAAGGTGATCTTTTTGGGCAGGTCCCGAACAGGCGGTTTTTCGCACAGGCAAAATCGGTTTGGGGCTGGGACCTTGTATTTTTTCTACAGGCGCTCGATGACACGCCTCAACAAAAGATTCAGGTCGTTGAGCCGCTGGCCGCCCTTCTTGACGGACCCTGTGCGGGAGAGGATGTCGTCACTGCTGCGCTCGGCCGGCGGCAGCTGCTTGCCCTCGATCGCCGCGCGGGCAGCGAGCTCGGCGCTGGGTTCGGCGCTCTGGGTGGCGACATTGGTGATCAGGCCCAGACACAGCACGTCCAGGCCCGAGTGGCGTGCGACCACAATCTCGGGCACAGTGGTAGTGCCAACGACCTCGCAGCCCAGGGCGCGCAGGGCAGCGCACTCAGCGCGGGTCTCGAACGAGGGCCCGGTAGTGTAGCAGAATGTGGCCTCGCGCAGACGCACGCCGCGCTGCTGCAGCTGGGCGTCGCCCAAAAAGGCCATGAACGCCAGCTTCCTGAGGGCAAAGGTATAGGCATTATACATGTTCGGCAGGCGCGGCCCCAGCTGGGCAAAGTTGGGCCCAATCAGCGGGTTCAATCCGGCCAGGGTCGGAATCGACACATGGTCGCGCACCACTACAATATCGCCGATATCCATGTCGGCAGCCAGGCCGCTCACTGCCGTGGTCACCACCAGAGTCTGCACACCAAGCAGGGAGATTACGCGCACCGGAAATGTAATCTGCTTCATCGAGTAGCCCTCGTAGTAGTGGCAGCGGCCCACCATGCACACTACCGGCATGCCGCTGATCTCGCCAAACAGCAGCCGGCCGGTCGATTTGACCACGGTGCTTGTCACGAAGCCCGGGATCTCAGCGTACGGAATCTCGGTCACGCTGCCCTCAAGCTTCTCCGCCACGGTCTGCAGTCCGGCGCCGCACACGATCGCTACGCGCGGCAGTGGCTGGTGCGCGGCATGCAGGCGCTCTTTGACGTAGGAAGCAGCGCTCTCGTAGACGCTCAATGGAATGGTTTCGATGGGCCGTGGCGAGCTGCACACGGACGTCGACTGGGCCAAGCCTGAAAGTGCTGTTTCCTTGGTGGCTTCCATGAGCTAAAGTAAAAAACGAAAAGAAGATCGGAAATATGCAGAAGGAGAAAAAGGAGTTTCGCTGCGGCGGGTGCGTGCGAGAGACCCACCCCCAGGTGCAGCCACCAGTCTGAGCGCATGTGGGGGGCGATCAGCTGCAGTACGGGCTAAACAATGACATCGTTTTTGTCTGGAGCTAGCGCTGGGATGATCATTAGAACGTCCTACCATCTTCGGCCGGAAAGGGAAACAAAAAATTTTTATCCGGGAGCCTAAGACCCCAAAGAGGGGAGCTGGCTCCATGTGGGGAGAAACAGGCAGCTTCTCTCCCTTTCCCTTCCTTTCCGCATTTAATATGTCGCAAACAAAAGAGACAACATCCGCCTGACAAAGACGAGTCTGGGTTCATCGGGTGGTCGGATCTCAAGCCAGCCGGCAACGCCCTAGCATCGCGGGCTGCTGCGGCGGCACATGAGCATGCTGGCCATCGGCGGATGCATCGGCACCGGGCTGTTTATCGCATCAGGCAGCGTGCTGTCGAACGGCGGGCCGGCAGGCGCCCTGCTGTCGTATATCATCATGGGCATCGCAGTGTACTTTATCATGAACGCACTGGGTGAGCTGGCGGCGTACATGCCGATCGAGGGATCGTTCAGCGCGTACATGACGCGGTTCGTGGACCCGGCGGCGGGGTTCGCAATCGGGTGGAACTACTGGCTGTCGTATGTGCTGATGGTGAGCTCGGAGCTGCTGAGCGTGGGCATGGTGGTGGAGTTCTGGCTGCCGAACGTAGCCTGGAGCAGTGTGGAGCATCGTGTGCCTAGTGGTGTTGTTTGCAGTGAATTCCTGGTCGGTGCGGTCGTATGGCGAGATCGAGTACTGGGCGGCCATGGTGAAGGTGGTGGCGGTGCTGGCGTTCATTATTCTGGGCATCGTTATCGACGCAGGCGGACTGGGCGGGCACCGGTACGGGTTCGAGAACTGGCATATCAAAGGGTGCGCCGTTTGCCCACGGAGCCTCGGGGATGTTCAGCGCGCTGGTGTTCACGATCTTCTCGTTCCTGGGCACCGAGATGTTGGGGATATCGGCGGCCGAGTCGAAGAACCCGCGCAAGGACATTCCGCGCGCAATCTCGACGGTGTTCTTCCGCATCCTGGTGTTCTATGTGGGCTCGATCCTGGTGATCGGCATGATCATCCCCTACGACGACCGGAATCTGCTCAACGCCCACTCCGGTCAAGGACGTGGCCATATCGCCGTTCGTCCTGATCTTCAAGCGCGCCGGTCTGGGGCCGGCCGAGCACGTAGTCAATGCTGTCATCCTGACCACAGTCGTGTCGGCTGGCAATTCGGGCCTGTATGCGTGCACGCGCATGCTGCATGCCATGGCCATGGCGGGCACGGCGCCGCGGCTGTTCTCGCGCTGTACAAAGCGTGGTGTGCCGATCTACGCGCTGGTGTTTGTGCTGGTTATCGCCATGGCGCTATTTGGCATCTCGTTCATTGGCAACCAGAAGGTGTTTTCGTATATCCTCAACATCTCGACATTGATGGGCTTGATTACCTGGCTGTCCATCTTGCTCGCTCACGTGCGCTTCCGCCTGGCCCTCAAGCGCCAGGGATACTCCACCGCCCGCCTGCCCTTCCGCGACTGGACGTTCCCCTTCGGTACCGCCTATGCGGCGTGCGCCATCATGGTGCCGATGGCGGGCACTGGGTGGGCACAGACCCAGGGGCATTTTGATGTGCCTGGCTTTATTACCACGTATTTGGGCCCGGTCATTGCTTGTGTCATGTACTGCTTCTGGAAATGGTACAAGAAGACGCGCATTCTGGATCTGGCCGAGATCGATCTGATCTCAGGCTCCGTCGAAGACAGCAACTACCTGTCCAGCCACCACGTGGACTAGACCGCTCAAGATATACGTAGCATTCGGCTACGCCAAGCTATGTTTGACTGGAGTATGATTTCTTAATGGATCTCTAACAATTGGCTCCCGCACGGCCCTACAGCCTACAGCTCCACCTGGGCCTTCAGCGGCTCGCCAAACACGCCTGCTAGCGCATTGTCGATGGCAAGGTTGCCCATGGCATTGCGCGTCTCCTCGGTGGCACTGCCAATGTGCGGCAGAATCGTGCACCTCTCGTGGTTCACCAGCGGGTGGTCCTTGGGGATCGGCTCCGGCACCGTGACATCCAATGCCGCATGCGCCAGCAGGCCCTGATCCAGCGCCTTCAAAAGATCCTCCTGGTTGATGATGGCGCCGCGCGCAGTATTGACCAAGATCGCCGACTGCTTCATAATCCGGAACTTGTCCATACTGAACAGCCCCTGTGTCTTTGCATTCAGCGGACAGCACACGCACACCAAATCCGCCTGCGCCAAAAGCTCATCCAGCTCCGCAAACTGCGCATTCAACGGCCTCGCGCGCTCCTCATGCGGCCTGCTCGCCGAATACAGAACCCTCTTGAATCCGAACGGCATCAGGCGGTGGGCCGTCGCCACGCCAATCCTTCCAAAGCCCACAATCCCCAGTGTCTTGTCGGTAAACTGCGTGCCCAGCCCGCGCGACAACGAGAACGCGCCCCACGTTCCGCTATGCACTGACTCCAGGCCCTGCTTGGCCTTGCGCGATGCCATCAATGCCAGTAGCACGGTGGTGTCGGCAGTCGCATCTGTCAGGACGTCGGGCGTGTAGCCGAGCTTCAGGCCGTGCGACTTCACTGCCTGCAGTGTCGACGTGGTCGTAGCCGACGCTGACCGTCGAGATTACCTTGAGGTTGGGGCTGGCGTGGCGGAGCAGCTCCGAGTCGATCTTCTCGGAGAGCAGGCAGATGAGCCCGTCCGCGTCCTTGATGCCTGCGAGCAGCTGGGGCCGCGTGATGGCCGTGTTGCTGTTGTGCTGCCGGATCTCCACCGATGCCAGCGACTCGAGGCGCCTCTGCGCCAGGCTGGGCAGCTCGCGGGTGACGAAGATTATCGGGCGGCGGGACATATGGCTGAACAAAACGAAGAGAGACGAAAGGGTGTGGTTCCTGCTGGTGCGGCCGGGAGAGATTGTGCGCTTTTATCCCTGTGACGTCGCTGAGAGCAAAAATGCGCCGCTGGTGCGGGTATTTACCACAGTCCTGATTTTTTGATTTCCTGATATGATTATGATATTTTCTTTCTGAAAAGTCAATCGTCGCGTTCACTGCATATGCGCGTCTCTTTCCCCCTCCCTCACACGTACATTTACTATTCTAAAATGCCAGAGCCCGCAGTCGAACCCCTTGCACCAAACACACCCGAGCGGATATCCAGCTCCCAGTCGTCCACGCACTCCAGCGACGTCATGGTGCTGGAGTCCTCGCCGGGCCGCCCCGGGACCTCGCGCGTGGCCCACATCAACAAATCGGGCGTCCAGCGCCTCAGCTCGTTCTTTTACAACGCGCCCAAACACCAGTCGCCTGCTTCCTCGCCACCCCTGGTGCCATCGCCAAAGCCAACCACTTTCACTGCGCAGCAGCCGCCTGCCAAGGACTTTGGGTCCATCGTGCGGCAGTTCCGGTGGACCGGCGCCAGTTCCGATGAGGACGAGCCGTTCAGCAAAAAGAGGCGCCCGATTAATAGCGCCAATAGCGAAATAGCAAAGCGCCCACGGGCGGTGGTGATTTCAGATGACGACGGACGATGGACGACATGGTGGTGCGGCCGGGGAGGCGGCTGCAGCGCGGCCGCGCACCGCGCGTATCCATACCCGATGACATCGATAATGATGATGTTGTGGAGAAGAAAATTCCGCAGTACGCGGTGGTTTCCGATAGCGAGGAGTCTGATGACGATGCTGCGGAGCAGCCGTTCCGGAGGTCGTTTGAGAATATCGAGCCGCACGTTATGCGGCTGTTCAATGAGGCCAGCGACGAGGAGCTTATGGAGAAGACAAACGCAACTATGGCGGAGGTGAAGCTGATCAAGGAGATGCGGCCGTTCGAGGACATGGATGAGATCGAGTATTCGCTGCGCAAGGCGCGCGGCGTGCGCCTGGCCATCTTCAACCACTACCGCGATACCGTCCTGGGCCACGCTGAGGTCGAGCAGGTGATCCACCAGTGCTCAGGCATATTCACCCAGCTCAAATCCGCCATGGCCAAGGCTGGCGTCGCCACCGATGAAAAGACCGGCCAGGTGACGATCCAGCAGGGCGTTGAGCTGCACCAGCCCGCAATGGTCAGCAACCAGTTCCAATTGAAGCACTACCAATTGGAAGGGCGTCGAATGGCTGCACTGTCTGCGCAATGCGAATGCCTCGGGCATTCTGGCCGACGAGATGGGGCTGGGCAAGACCTTCCAGGTCATTGCGTTTTTGTGCCGCGCCATTGAAGAGGGCAAGCAGAGGAAGCCGAGCCTGGTGGTCTGTCCGTCGTCGACTCTGGAGAACTGGATGAACGAGTGCCGTAGGTTTGCACCCAATCTGCGCGCAGTCGCGTACTACGGGTCGCAGGCGGAGCGTGCAGCTTTGCAGTCCGAGTTGGAGGACCCGAAGGCATATGACGTGATGGTGACCACGTATAATGTGGCGACGGGGAACAAGCTCGACCGCATGTTCCTGAAGCGCCGCGGCTTCTCGGCCATGGTCCTGGACGAAGGCCATATGGTGAAGAACTGCATGAGCTCGCGCTACAAATGGCTGATGCAGATCCGCGCCGACTTCCGGCTGCTGCTGACCGGCACGCCCTTGCAGAACAACCTGCAGGAGCTGGTCTCGCTGCTGACGTTTATTCTGCCCAGCGTCTTCTCTGACTCGCAGGAGATGCTACGGCACGCGTTCAAGACCAAGTCGAGCGGGAAGCGGTCCGGTGTGGAGTCGGAGGACGTGTCGGTGGCGCCGTCCGGTGCCCAGACGCCGGTTGTGCAGAGCGAACTGGGCCCCGTGGAGGCCCGGCATATTGAGCAGGCGAAGACCCTTCTGAGGCCGTTTGTGCTGCGCCGACGCAAGGTCGACGTGCTTGGAGACCTGCCGAAGAAGACCGAGCACATTACGCGCATCGACCTGACGGCGGCGCAGCGCGCATTGTACGATCGGATTATGCCAGAAGAGTCCGAGGGCGTGCGGCAGCAGCTGATGCAGCTGGAGGTCGGCGAGGAGTCCTCCGGAGCGGCGAAGCAGAAGCAGAAGCAGAGCTGGATCAGCACCTTCATGGAGATGCGCAAGGTGGCCGACCACCCGTTACTGCTGCGCAGCCACTATACAAAGAAGACGCTGGAGAAAATGGCCAAGCAGCTGCTGCGCGAGCCAGACTACGCGGACGCCAACTACACCTATGTGCTTGAGGACATGGAGGTGTGCAGCGACTTTGAACTGCACAAGATCTGCACGACGTACCCGCGAATGCAGCGGTTCAAGCTGACTGACCCTGTGCTTGTGGACTCGGGCAAAGTGTCGCAATTGAAGCTAATCGTGGATGAGTGCGTGGAGAAGAAGGAGAAGCTTCTGGTGTTCAGCCAGTTCACGTCGATGCTGGATATCCTGGAGAGCGTGCTGGGCATATGGCAGGTCGAGTACTGCCGTCTGGACGGGCAGACCAAGGTGGACGAGCGGCAGGCGATGATCGACGAGTTCAATAATACGGAGCGGTTCCCGGTGTTCCTGCTGTCGACCAAGGCCGGTGGGTTCGGCATTAATTTGACATCGGCCAACGTGGTGGTTATTTTCGACTCTGGCAACAACCCGTCGGAGGAGCGGCAGGCGGAGGACCGGGCGCATCGCGTCGGGCAGACCAAGGACGTCAGGGTGTATAGGTTTATCGCCAATGGCACGATTGACGAGGATATCTGGGAGTGTTCAAGGTCCAAGATGCTCATGGAGCAGTGTTTCTGGCTGGAGGGGCTGGGGACCAGGACCGAAGAGTAGCATGTCTTTTTGCGTATTCATTGAATAGAATGTAGTGTGAATCGTTTGTGCGCTCGGGTAATCGCAAGTCTTGGTGCTAAATATAACAAAGTCATGTCATGTAGAAAGGTGCATGTGCTGCCAGGCATATAAATTGCATGCTAACCGGGTATGATCTTTTTTGTTCTACACCACAAACATTCCCCCTTTTACACTTTCCACCTACTAATACCTAGTATTTTGGCATGCCTGTATATGTACTCGAACACTCCGAAGCCGCTGGCATTGTGCGCGAATTCGCCTCCAGCACTTTCGACCCAAGCCAAATCGACCAGGTGCCGGATTTCGAGGACGAGATGAAGCGACTGTGCGAGCTCAGCAATGCCTCGTCATTCGCCAGTGTTACCAAAAAGGACCTCATGCCGGACCGCTCCAAGCGCTTGCCGCCCATTCCGGCAAAGCCTCGGGCACTGAAACTGCGCGGGCTTGTGAGCTCACTCAAGGTTAAAATGTGTAGAATTACGCGGCGCTTCAAAACCAGTCGGTCCTAAAAAAGGCATTTGCGCTGGCCGCATTAGCACTGTCCTTGTTTCTCTTGCTAAACTGGCTCAGCACGTTGAATGCTAAACCCCGTATACTAGTGTATATTGTATCGGATCTCGAAGAGCTGCACATACATATTTGTCCAAACATTGTGTAAACTGCATGCAAGGAAAATACATTGGTTTTCTTTTACACGGTCCTGGACTGCGGGTACTGATCCCAGTGCTGCAACGACCTCCGAACCGGATATGCTGAGCTACCCCGGCGCTATTTGCTTTGGACCTCGATAGTTGAGGGCTCCCTCCGGCTATCCAGCTGGAGACGTCTCCAATGTTATGGAAGTATCAAGGATGTCTATCACAAATATGAGGCGCATGGGTGTTTGATACGAACATTGAGAACAGTGTTCCTACTTTTCATTTACATAAATCTTCAGTATAAATGTAAGTAGTTTGCCGCACAAACGGTGCACTTGTTGCGAATAAGCCTCCCCTCCATTTGCCATTCTAACAGAGATAGTTAATTATCAGTCTTTCCCCTTTTTGTAACAATCTCAGGCAGCATTATCTGAAGCAAAGCGCGCAGCTTGTGGACGGATCAGGATCAGAATCGAGTACGCGGCGACCAAGGAAGTCTGGCAGGTACACTAAAACCTTTATGCCAAGCCACATCGCCCACCATCTGACTCGCAGTAGCCATGCATATCTATGGCTGGGTGGTGGCTTTAGGCAGCGTATGATCCATAGTATAAGACAGAGCGCACCATGGCAACCTAGCTGCTGTGCTATCCTGCTCTTTTTTCTTTTTCTGGAAACTAACAGGCACTATTTTTCTATAGCTTGCAGACAGTATGGGGCTGTTCAACTATGCCATGTCTCACGGCGATGCTTATATTACATTAATTAAGTATCATGCTGAAGAGATGGCAAAGGATTGCAGCTTGGGTGAAGTAGCCGGTGCACCAAGCCCGACAGTCTTGGAGGACGACACATCGTCCGGCAAGGCCGAGGACATTGCTATGGAGGAGGGCCTGTACTCTGTTGCTGTTGCCGATCTGCAATGTCTGCAAGAACGATCCAGTAAGAGGCTGTACGAGCTGCGGGTGCGTCGAGTGTGGTGGTAAGGGCGACAGGGAACGCATGCTTGCGTGTGGCAGGTGTGAACGATTCTTCCACATGCGCTGCCTTGATCCGCCACTTATCACAGTGCCCGATGGGGAGTTGTTTTGCCTCGACTGTTTCAATAAGAAAGATCTAATGAGGGACAAGAAAACGCTCAACAAGTCGACATGCAAGGCCAAGATCCTGTCGGCGACCAAAACAGAGAGAGTTGGCAGCGGCACAGCGTGTGCTGGAAGATCCACAGAGTGCGCCATCGTTGACAAAAATCACGCTGGGCCAATCCCAGGCGTCCATGTTGGCCAGTCGTGGCGCTACCGTATCCATGTGTCCAAGTCTGGAGTCCACCGGCCGCCAGTCGGCGGCATCGCTGGCAAGTCGTCGACGCCAGCTGTCTCGGTTGTACTGGCAGCCGGTTACCCGGAAGACGAGGATCACGGCGAGGAGTTTATATATACCGGGTCAGGCGGTTACAATCTGTCTGGCAGCAGGCGCACACCCAAGGCCCAGGCATTCGACCAGGAGCTGACCCGCCAGAACCTGTCTCTGGCACGCGCATGCGCGGCACCAGTCAACGACGATGTTGGTGCAGAGGCTGCCGATTGGCGCAGCAGCTCGCCGATCCGCGTGTGCCGCAGCTACAAGGTCGCCAAGAAGCATCCTGAATTCGCGCCTGCGGCGGGGGTGCGTTACGACGGCATCTACAAAACCTACAAGTACAGGAAAGAGAGGGGGCACAGTGGCCCCTATGTCTGGCGCTTCTGGTTCCGCCGCGACGACCCAGAGCCACTGCCGTGGACACCCGAGGGCAAGCAGCGTGCCAAGGAGCTCGGGCTCGGGCTGTACGATCCTGATGGCGCCGATGCCGACAGCCGGAGCCACCCTTTGCACAAGCTGCTGCGTCGTCGTCGGTGCGCATCCTGCCGAATGCCGTGTTGCGTGAGCTGATCCGTCTCGATACTGCGAATGACCGTATCTGGACCAAGGTCCTGACGGCCAAGTACATCAGCGAGTCGGCGTTCATAGAAGAGGTCACTGAACGCATGTTTGTTTGTGCTGTGTGTCAGGGGCTTGTGCAGATGCCAGTCACGACGCCTTGCGGCCACAATGCGTGCACCAAGTGCCTGTGTCGGTCGCTCAACCACAGCACTGGCTGCCCGGTGTGCTGTGCCAGCATCGAGGAGATGGGCACAAAGGACAAAGTCATGGACAGTATGAACCAGAACCTGGTAAACATCCTCATGGCCCTCATGCCCTCGTACGGAAAGAACTGGGCAACCAAGCCTGCAACTACGAGCGTGCAGCGCGCACGCAGGACTGATCAGCCGAGCGTCGACTAGTCAGAGGAAATTTAGCGCGTTTCAAAAATGCATGTGGACAAACGACCGTTTACCAAGTTGTATTCAGAACTAGAGTAGAAAACTTGGGGGAAAGAAAGGTGGTAACATGGTGCTACGAGTCCTGCCTGTATGCACATTGTTAACTTGGGGAATGAGTGGTTATAGAATATACGGAAATAAATAACTTCTCAAATTGACTGACGGGAAGAAGGAAAGCCGACCGTCCGCCTGGGCCTTTGTACGTATGCGTTTTGGCCTTGCCCATGGTGGCGCAGGGGGACTCCGGACCCCGAATGCCAGCACAAAACACAGCTGGAGAAATGACTGGGCTTTTAATAATGATTGGACTCCGGACCACGGATCAGCTTCAGTAGCCGTGACGATACAGAAATCCCCGACAACTGAAAACAGTGGCAATAGGATTGGAGCAACGGTGGAGGGCTATGCAAGTGTCATATGAAATCTGCCCCCTTGCGTAGTACCGCACAGTATTTTTCCCAAGCCATTGACAATAATGGACTGAGAAATGGCAAGGCGCAGTAAAAGTTATCGAAACAAAACCTTATCGTTGTGCATCAATGGGACGGTGGCGTATTTATCACTGGTACCTAAACAGAGCGGCTGTCAAGTGGCAAAGGGCCAGCATGGGCTTTGCCATGTTCGTCATGGGGATCTGACAGGGAGATCTGTCCTGGTGCGGGGAGCAGCCACCAGGTCCCCTTCTGCACCGCCTTCTGGTCAATGCAGGAGGCTCGTGAAAAGGTTAACCGGCAACGCGGGGCAGCGCATTCCTCGTTTGTGTATTGGTTGGCATGTGATGCAGCACCCGGTTTTCTTTGGAATGGCCATTAAAGCAATCGTTGGAGCCAGATAAAGAAGGCTGGCGCTCTGCAGCAGCATATGCCGCATTTGAATTGGCTTGCTGGGCGATCCTTCTTCCTCGGGGGCATCGCGGGATGGAGACGACCAAATATTCTCCTGTTTTGCGCCGTAGACCGAGGAACACAAAAGCCACCTGCAACCGGTCTATTTAAAGCGGGCACAGTTGTCAGCCTGGCCCTTTTCTTTCGCATTCTCCCTCACCCACCCTTTTTTATTCCTCACCTGTTATCTGAACTCTATTTTTCAATTACACGATGATCGGACAGCGGTCACAGTATGTTCCAAACTCGGCAGAGCCCGGGTACTCGGCAATTATGCGGCATCGAGACTACCCGGACGGCAAGCTGACGAACGACTTCGACGGGGTGGCGACCCTGTGGGAGGTTCTGCAGCGGGCGATGAGCAAGTGGCCACAGCGCAACTTCATCGGCATGCGGACGTTCAACGTGCGGACGCAGGCATTCGGCAGGTACGAGTGGAAGACGTATGCGGAGGGGCGCGAGCTGCTGGACAGTTTTGGCTCAGGCCTGGAGCACGTGTTCAGCAAGTACGTGTCGACTGAGTCGGCACGCAGTGCGCAGGCGCTGGGCATCTATGCAACCAACAGGTCGGAGTGGATGCTGGCAGAGTTCGGCGGGTTCCGATCGCGCAAGTACTCAGTGGCTCTGTATGATACGCTGGGAGCAGAGTCGGTGGAGTACATTCTGAACCACGCCGAGGTATCGGTGGTGGTGTGCTCGATTGACAAGATCCCGCGGCTGCTGCGACTGAAGGACAAGATCCCGTGCCTGAAGGCGATCGTCTGCATGGACACGTTTGCTACGCATGCGCGCAACCCAGCAGCTATGCCGTTTACAATCAACTCGGTGCGGGTTCTGCACGAGTGGGCCGAGTCGAAGGGCGTGGCCCTGCTGGATGTCGACCAGGTGACGGCCATGGGGCGCGCTGAGCCGACTCAGCCTGAGCCGCCGAAGCCGTCTGATATCTGCACAGTGTGCTACACGAGCGGCACAACAGGCAACCCGAAGGGGCAATTTCGACGCATGCTGGATACACGTATTCGGCAAAGGCCGCGTACCACAGCACGCCGACTGACGGGTGTGTGTATCTGTCGTTCCTGCCGCTGGCACACTGCTACGAGCGCAACATCAACTACGTGGGGCTACTGGGTGGCGGTGCTGTCGGGTACTACTCGGGCGACGTGCTGCGCATCGCCGAGGACGCGCAGGCGCTGCAGCCGACCATCATGATCGGCGTTCCGCGGCTGTTCAACCGGATCTACGACCGGATCACAGCAGCGACGATCTACGCGCCAGGCATAGCTGGTATGATTGCGCGCACGGCGATTTCGCAGAAGCTGAAGAAGCTGAAGCAGCCCGGAGGCACGGTGACGCATGCGTTCTGGGACCGCGTTGTCTGCCGCAAGATCGCGCAGTTCTTTGGCGGAAAGCTGGAGTTTATGATCTCGGGAAGCGCGCCCATCGACGCCAAGGTGCTAAGCTTCCTGCGCGTAGCCATCGCGTGCCCGATCCTGGAGGGCTACGGGCAGACCGAAGGCAATGCGACGGCCACTGTGTGTCTGATGGAAGAGAACACTGCTGGCCATGTTGGTGTGCCACTGCCGGGCGTCGATATCCGCCTGCGCGACTGCCCCGAGATGAGCTATCTGTCGACCGATCCCAACCCGCGTGGCGAGCTGCTGGTATACGGCCCGCATGTGTTTGCCGGTTACCTGCATGACGACGCCAGCACTGCAGCGACCATCGAGAACGGCTGGCTGCTGACCGGCGACATTGGCGAGTTCCTGCCCGACGGCAACATCCGCATCATTGACCGCCGCAAGAATATCTTCAAGTTGGCGCAGGGCGAGTACGTAGCGCCGGAGCACCTGGAAAATGTCTATACCAAGCAGCCGCTGGTGCAGCAGGTCTATGTGCATGGCGACTCGCTGCAGTCCGATTCTGGTAGCTGTGGCGGTGCCGGATCCCGAGACCTTCCTGCCGTGGGCCCACAAGCTCGTGGGCAACAAGGAGGCCACGCTGGAGGAGCTGTGCAAGGACGCGCAGGTCGTCGGTGCTTTGCTGGTTGAGCTGGTGCAGCTGGGCCGCAAGTCGAAGCTGCAGGGCTTCGAGATCATCAAGGCCGTGTTTGTCGAACCTGTGCCTTTCGACATTGAGACCAATGCTCTGCTGACCTCGACATTCAAGCTCAAGCGAAATGTCGCCTGCGACTACTACCGTGCGCAGATCGACGAAATGTACCAGAAGATCACGGCCAAGAAATAATCAATATACTAGCTCTGCTCTATCCATGAAAAATCTGTTCTCGAGTATCTTTGCCATGACTGGCTTTTCCATCGTAATGTACACCAGCATGTCCTTGGATGGCGGCGGGCTGGCCAGAATCGTGGTGAATCTGGCTGGATAGTTCAGCGTCGGACTCGCCCACGCTGGCGCGCCATTGCCGAAATCCACGCCATACATGTTGACGCGGCTGTGGTTGGAGAAACTCGCAAGCTTCCCGTGCATCGTCGAATGTGCTGTCAGCCGGAACATATACTGCGGATTCTCCTCAGTTATGTCAACATAGTCGCGGACAACCCCAGCATCGATATTATCCACTGTATTGCGTGAGCGCACGACGATCTTTGCCAGCCCCTCGAGCGTCGTCGGCGCATAGACCTCCTTCAGTGGATTGACGAAGTGCTGTATAATCAGCGCCCCGCCAACATACCCCTGGATGCCCAGGTGCCGGCGAGTGTCTACAGCCAGTTCTACGGGCTGGTCGGTCGTCCAGCCCAGCACACTTGCCAGCTTTGCTCCAGCGGCTCCAAGCCAGCTTCTCTTGCATGCTTCGTTCTGGCTCTGTCCGATTGTCTTGCTAACCAAAGCCACAATCATGTCGTTGTCGGAGATCCGCGTGCCCTCTGGTACGAATTCCTGGAGATCAGCACGCAGTGTATCGAGGGTGGTGCGCATAATGCGGAAGATATGGCCCTGGGTGGTTCCGTCGCCTAGTGCACTGATTGCCGAAGACACGTACTTATCCATCGGGATATGCGCAAGCAGGGTAGCCAGAATGCTGCGCTCTCTGAATATCCCCCTGGTCGTCAGGCTGCCCTGGCGCCGCACCTCCGGCAGGCTCTCCATTATGACTTTTCGGTCAAAAATGACGGGTGTGGCTTGGAATTCCTGTAGTCACACCTTGCATCTGCGCACAGTTCCTTGCCCACTGGTTGAGGAACTCGAAGCTGCCCTTGGCGTCAATCGCATAGTGATGCACATTGGCGAACAATATCAGGCCCGAGTTATCTGCAAGCCTGACAATGTTTATGTGCACCATCTTCAGACGCCCATGGGCATCGCGTTCCGCCAGGAACTCTGCCGTCACCGTATTCTTTGGCCACGCTGACCACGCGAATTTTTGCGCCTTCAACTCCCCATACGTGATTTGGCTGGTGGAGCATTGGAGGTCAGGCAGATTCAGGCTATCGGCATTGACTGTCAAGTAGCCGCGTCCGCAGTTATCGGTGGTGATATCGGCGAGAAGGAACGGGAAGTCGGCAAGGGTCTTGTACAATGATTTCTTCAGAAGATCCGTGGGCATGAAGTCGGGTGCAGCGTGCGTGTTCTCGTAGAAGAAGACGTAGGGGATATTGGTGAAGCACGCGATTGTGTCAAACGACCGCATCGGGATCGTCTGGCTTTTGATTGCGCCCAGGAATTCGCTGTCCATATTTTTTGGTTTGTTAAGAAACTATTGCAGTGTATCGAGACCCAGCGTCTGAGTAAGCTTTTTATATAGTGGTCCCAATATGCGGGCCTATTGTGGTCTAGAGGTTTTTACACCTTGCAAAATTTAGCTCCGAGTGTTTGCGAAAGGTCGGAAAGTCCGATTTGTCTGTGATATCTTGGCGATCAAATTTTTTTTTTTTGAAATAATGGCTCTTGGCAAACGAACACAGAGGTTTTATCAGAAACTCGCATAAAACATCAGAGATCGAGCATGATACAATTGGCCAAGGATGCCATGATGCGGATTTTGGATGTATGTTCATTGTGGCCTTGCAGCGTCTTGCACAGAGTTCACTGTGGCAACCCCACGAGGAAACAGGGCTGGCCTGTAGTCGACCCTGGGATGGAAGTGGACCGCAGGTCAGACTGGGCTTCCGGAGACTGCACTGGGTCGAACGCTATCGCAATTTGAGGATGTAGCTGAGCATTCTGATGGCGCCACATCCGCCATTATCCATACGAAGACACTATCCTGGTGTACAACGATGAAAGCATCGACAACAAGGCTGTGGTTTTGACCCACTGTTCAGGTTAGTTTATAGGTGGAGCTTTAATTCTCCAAACATACCAGTGTCAAAGACCGTGCTGTCTGATATATTGAAACGAAAGAAATAGCAGGATGAGAAGAGGCGAGTTTTTCCAGCGTGCACATGGAGGTGATTAACATGCCCGCCACCCGATAGGCACGACTTTGCGAGAGAAAGTACGTCTGAACAACAGAACCACTGTTCAAAACGCCCATAGAACCAAATGGAACACTACTCCATGTCAGAATCTCCACCGGCTGGCATATCCCAGAGCTCCACAATTGGCGCGTTATCTGAATTTCTTGCACCCGTCGCACATGCCGGTATGGCTCTCCCGATGTTCTGCCTGCTATATCCCGAGTCCTCACAGGGATAGCGTGCATCCCCTCTACGGTTCATAGCACCATTGAGATTTGGACAGAGAATGGCAAAAAGAATGAGTTCCCTACAGAGCCCCCATGCACTGGCTCTCTGCATCGCCGCAAATGAAATAAGTGAGACTGTTGGATACCGGAGAGCGATGACGGTACTCGTCTAGGATGCCTTCTAAGAATTACTATATATTCTTTACATGGCATCTGACGAAACGGCTCGCGTCAATATCTTGAAAAGATCGTAGTTTACGCAACTCCTGCCTCTCTACTTGCCAATGAGGTATTTTGTGATACACTCGTGATGCCTTTCCCTGATACTGAAACAGAAGCTAAATAGTCTTATATTGAAGGGTGTGCCAAATGAAGGAATCCATTTTGTAGAGCAAGGATCTCGCCCAGGGATAACTCAAATACAGGACTAATGTGGATACAGGCAGAGCCAGTGATAAAGGTCGCTGAAATCCATGTTCCTGAGCCCCTAGGAAAGATGAACGCTCCTGATTATGACCACATTATCTCCCAGTCTGAATAGCGATTGTGCTAACTGTAGATCCAGCATACCATGACTGCCATCATCGCTCCTGTTTGTGGAATGGTACTGGGCTAAGGGTATCGGCCAAACATTAAACACCAAATGCCAAACACCAATTCAGCTGCATAGATAAATTAAACGAGTTAAATATATGCAGCAACTCTACTGTGTCAAAGCATCATATCTTGGCCAACAATGGCGATGTTCTACATCTGCGGCTGGAGGGTTCCGTCATCATCTGCATTAAACTTGGGAGACCATTTCACCTTTTTGCAGTGAAATCAAACAGGGAAGGAAATCAAGAGCTGCATCTTCAGCAGAAAACCAAACAAATGGAGCGGTCATTCGTTAAAATGTCCTAAAGTGGAAGTTGGTTCCTCTTCAATCTTGGCTATGTAGAAATGGAAGTTTCCAAAGTGCCTTGGGGTTTACCTCTGGGATTGCTTCCTTTCACAGCTGGCAACGCAGGCAGCCCTTCCAGTATACCTCTACTTCCTTCATTTTCATTTTGCTATAATTCCTATTGATCAAAACCACAAAATGCGCACTTTTACCATTCTCACTGCCCTCGTCTGTGCCTTTGGCGCTAATGCCGATACTGGTATCCCCTATGACCCTAAATCGCCTATCAACGTTTATCAGGAGCTGTCAAAAACTATTCACGGAGAGTTTCCAACCACCTTTCAGCCCAAGGGAAAGCTCTACGTGTCATACAACAGGACAGTCGATAGCGGAATCATCCTAACCCCAGCCGATACTTCAACTGAGCCAGCAGTCGTCTATGAATCTGAGCCATCAAAGTTCTACACTCTAGCGTTTGTCGAAGCGGATGACTATACATTTTTCGTTCGCTCAAACGGCTTGACACGCAACTGGCTGGTTGTCAATATTCCGGGAAGCGACATATCCAAGGGCAACTCAACAGCAACACCATATCTCGGGGCAAAAATCCCAGAGTGCGGCTCGACAGTTTATGTTTTCGCACTTGCAGGAGCAGCCGGGGAGAGATTCCTGGCTTGAGGTGTCTCTGCTTTGCGTGAAAAGTTTGACATGAAGAACTACTTCGCCAACAACAACATGACGCTGATTGGGGTCAACTTCTTTGTGACCTCTATCTAATGATCATAATCCTTGCACGCGTGATGGACCTCCAGTCGTATGTCAATGGTAGGCAAAACTAGTCTAGCGAATAGTGCTGCTAGTAGCATTCATGCTGGATTCTCTCTACTGTTGGCAGCAGCTTTTGCCATGGCTGCTGCTGGGGTCTCGAACTTCTTTTAATGGCATTGCTTTCCTCTTTGAACAAAAGCTCCACCTTCAAATATAAACGCATGGTATTCCATACAGATATCCACAATAAATGAATGAGCCGTCTACATATCCTGGCCGATACGAATCGGCTTTGTTCGGGGTCAATGCAGGCGTAATCCCTGTATGCCCGATTTGATTATATGATCGGCTTTGTAGCCGTTCTTCAAGTGCCTCAGTATTTGCTACCTCACTTCATTCCAACTCTTCAATTTGCGCATTCACCAAGCTTTTTATTAACACTTTCGGTAGGTACCTCAATGCAGTCCAGTGGGCACTATTAGTTTAGTGAGCCGGTCGATGATGGTTATCTAGTAAAAGGGTTGAGGCATAGGCCGCTATCGCCAAGGCGTACGAATAGCACAGGGAGAAAGCAAAACGGTCTTTGGCGGGGCAATTGGCATTGCCAGAGCGTGTCAGGGGACCACAGCAGCAGCACCGGGCCCTTATTTACTGTCAGACGCAGATGCATACAGAGAACGTGCATGTGCGTGTCTTGTGGGGCATACATAGACAGCGGTTTTATAATAGGCGGCCATCCCTTTGTACTCGTTTGTGGGTGCACTCAGTAGGGTGGGCAGCCAGCAAAGCTGGATTGCTCTGGTCGTAAAGGCAACCGCGTACAGGTTTAACACGATGTAAAGAGGTGCATGCATGTGGTATGAACCGGGTGTGCTCGTTGCTCTTGTTCCAATGATTGTTTCTTTCACAGTTCGTAGCAACTGCCCTGTGCTGGTTTGTGCTCCTTGGCTCCGGTCTATCCTACTTATGAAATGAAGTTTGTTCTGAGACTGCACAGCAAGGCTGGGGTGTCGGATGCATTCGAAGCAGCGCATGCATGTATGCTAACAGCATCTTCAGTAGTAGATCGATTTCTATACATGGAGTCGGTGGTCGGATCAGATCACTTGTATCCAGCTCGGCGGGCAGAGTTCTGGCAGGTGCTGCTCTGCATGGGGTTTGACCCCTCGGCCGCATGCACAGGCGCATACTCGGGATTGGCTCTGGAGCCCACAGTGTTTGAGAACGGCATCTACCACACCAAGGCAGCAGAGGTGATCCTGCACTTTCTGTTCACACAGCTGGATGCGGGGCGATTCAGGCGCGAGTTCTTTGACTGCTGGCCTGTATGCGATCCACGGCAGTCGCGGGATTTCCGGTCACACTCGTTCAAGTGGCTGGAGGAGTTCAAAAAGGACACAGCGAATTGGCCCGCAGACGTGCCGGTTCGGCGGTCCTACGTGGACGAGTGCCGCGGAGTGCGGTTCGAGGAGATGCTGTGGACGCTGGCGAAACACACGGCGCTTCATCTGCTGCATGGCCCATGGCGCCCGGCGCTGAAACACGCCTGTGGCCGATGTGCCAATCGGCGAGCGCGGCAAGCTGAGCCACCAGCAGCACGAGCAAATAAGCAAGGCGCTGGCGAGCTGCCGGGCACGGTATGCGCGGCTGGACAAGAGACAGAATGCAAGCGCAGGCTGCATGGCGGCGAGCCGAGCAGGATCTGCGAGCCGAAATAGGCAGCGCCCGCGAGGAGCGCGACAAGACACGCCATGCATTCCGCTCGATGCGCCGAGCCCTCAACTCAGCATGCCCCGGCACTGTTGCCGTGCCAGGAATCGAGGCTAGTGCCGCCGAGGTGCAGCAGGAGCTGGAGAAGCTGGCCTGAGGAGGCCCGGGGACTGTGGGCGGCGACCAGTGGGTGGGTGGATGCGCACCGGGCAGCCATCGAGCAGGCTGATGCTGTGGTGGAGCAGCGGACGGTCCCAGTGCGGCTCGACGGAATCCGCGACCTGCGGCTGGCACCGGCTAGGGTGTGGGCGACGTGGCTGGCGCAGAACCGCGTCCAGCCGTTCCTGGGCACATCTCTGGATCTGCAGGCAATGGCGCGCATGGCAGCAGTGGGCGTCACGGCTCTGCATGGGCATTTAGGCGACAGGCCACAGTGACTTCAGGCTGCAGGGAGCTGGCACTTTGCCGCTTCCCAAAGTCAAAGACGATCTGCCGAGGCTGGAAGCGGCGATCCATGCGCAGGGAGCGCGTGTTGCGCGCCTGAAGCGCCTGCGTGGACTGCTTGGCCAGCAGCGCGCGGCGATCCATGCGCGTGTTGAGCAGGCGCCGGAAACTGCAGATTCCCCCATGGCTGGCGTTATTTGCGCCCTGGAGCGTGCTGAGCTGGGCGCTGATGATGCAAAGAGCAGCGTTGATGCGGGCGGTGGTGGCAGCAGGATGCAGCGGCTGGCGGAAATGTGGGATGGTGTGGCCGGAGAGGAGTACCCGCTGAGCGTGCTGGATGCAGCCTGGCCGACGGGCTGCCGGGCTGCGTCATCAGCGAGCAGGCCATCGTCATCGTATGCGGGCACAGGTAAGCGTGCATGTCCTATGAATAGGCCGAGAACTCATTCCGGGATAAAATGCGGCATTTCGTTTCTAACACGGTCTTCTTTTTCTAGAATCCCCACACGGCCTTAAGCATAGACGTGCAGAGGATGCATCTATGCTGCATAGCAAAGACGTACACGGTGCGAGCAAACGGCCGCGGCGCCAGGAGACAGTGGGCGACATAGACCGCATGCTGGCAGATGAGGTTCCAGATTTCCTAGTCTGATACCCCATGGCGGCGATCATCCATGTCTCCGCCTGTTCTTCCAATTCCCGCCTCTCCGTCCGACCTTGGCGAATTTCAGCGGCCGATTGTGATTGGCAACGCTGTGCCAGCCTCATGGTTCCCTGCCCAACACCGACCAGACACATCCCTGTTTTTTGTATCATTTTCCCGCCCAACACTGACTTCGCGCAATACCAGAACACATCCGCTGTGTCGCACAATACGGAATGATGTTTGGACTTGCAATTGTCTACTCTTTTTTTGAGAGCAGAAGAGCGCAGTGCTGCGCTTTTGCTCACTTCGGCCTGAGGAGCCTCTATTTAGATGCGTGTGCGCCAAGCGGATTTGGTGCGGAGAATGGTTGGCCAGAGGCATGTCAATGAATGCGTGCCGGCCAGCAAGTCCGGTTTTTTATCTGTATTTTTAGAAAGCGAGAAGGGGGAGCCTGCAGGTATAAAAATGGACTCGGCCAGGCCGATTCAGAAAGGAAAGGGGGATCCTTTTCGAAAAAGCGAATTAAAAAAACAGCGTCCGCTCTATTGTTGGTTTATTTTTTTTTTAAATACAAGCTCACGTCCTCTGCTCTTGCTTGGTGCTTTCGGCACTCTCTCTTCCCCTCCGTTCATATTTTCTATACTTCTACCTCTTTTTCCATCTTCTTTTCCATACCGACACACCTTTTTTATTTTATTTTATTTGAAACGAACACAATGCTCGACTTGCGAAACACGGGCGCCCTGAGCGTTCGGGAGCACTCGCCAACGCTGCTGCACAGGTTCGAGCTCTGGATGATTAATGACGGCAAAAAATACGTGTACCTTGGGTTCTGGCTGGCGATACAGGTGATCATCTATGCCGTGGCCCTGGTCAACTACCAGTACAACCCGCTGTGGCAGAACGCACACAAGATGCTGGGGGTGGGATTTCTGACGGCGCGGTCGGCGGCCTTGGCTCTGCACGTGGACACGGCGCTGGTGCTGTTTCCGGTGTGCCGGACTGTGATTTCGTGGATCCGCAAGACGCCGCTGAACCGCATTATTCCGTTCGACCACGCAATTCTGTTCCACCAGGTGATCGGCTACTCGATAGTGTTTTTCACGCTGGTGCACGCCGGCTCGCACTACCACAACTACTACGTGGTGTCGCAGCAGACGGGGACGCCGTACTTGAAGCTGCTGTTTGCGACGGGCCACGGCCTGACCGGTCACATTATGATGCTGTGCATTCTGCTGATGGGCGTGACCGGGTACACCAAGGTGCGCCGCAAGCACTTCAATCTGTTCTGGAACGTGCACCATCTGTTTGTAGTGTACTTTGCGTGCTTTTCGATCCACGGGGCGTTCTGTCTCTTGAAGCCCAACACGCCGCCGTACTGCAAGAGCGGCGCGACCTTCTGGAAGTACTGGGTGGCGAGTCGGCGTCTTGTATCTGTTTGAGCGGCTATCGCGCGAGTGGCGGGCTCACCGGCGTGCCAACGCAATGAAGGTGCAGAAGGTGATTCTGCATCCGGGCAAGGTCATTGAGGTGCAATTCCGCAAGCCAGCGGGCTTCAAGGGCCAGGCCGGGCAGTATGCGTTCCTGAACTGCCCGGCGGTGTCGACTGAGCAGTGGCACCCGTTTACCTTGACGAGCGCGCCGGAGGAGGACTATGTGTCTGTGCATATTCGCGTGGTGGGCGACTGGACACGCGCATTTGCCGAGGCGCTGGGCGCGAAGGGCGACCACTGGAAGGCGCTGGAGCAGTCGAAGGAGCAGGAGCGGAATACCGAGGGGCAGCGCCCGGCGGTTCCGGCGGGGGAGGCGGAGAGCCGGCCGAGCATGGGGTATGCGCCGATTCCGCGGCGGCGGAAGAACACGGCGCTGTCGGCGAACCGCCCAAACACGATGCTGCTGGTGGACCAGTCGGACAGCCTGCCGCCGGTGCCGCGCCTGACGAACGGGCGGCGGAGCCGGGCGGGCTCGGGCCTGCTGAGCCGCCTGTCGTACTATATGACGCCGGGGTCGGAGTCGCGTCTGTCGCAGGCGTCGGATGCACGCGGCCCGTACCACAACATGGACATGCGTGGGGGCCCGCCGGTGCCGCCGATGCCGTCGCTGAAGCAGCTGCAGGACTACTACCTGAAGCAGGGCGAAGAGCCGGATCCCGCGGCGCCGACCCCCGAGGCGGATATGAAGGAGCTGCAGGCGATCGTGAGCGGCGAGGTGGCAACTCCACCGCCGGTTGCGCCGGTGGCGCATGCCCAGGCAAATGTGCTGCCGCAGGTGCTGATTGACGGGCCGTTTGGGTCGGCGTCAGAGGACGTGTTCAATCCACGAGATTGCGATGCTGTTCTGCGCGGGCATCGGGTGCACGCCGTTTGCGTCGGTGCTCAAGTCGATTTGGTACCGGCTGAGCTACCCAGAGGGGGCGTTCCGGCTGCGCAAGGTGTATTTCTTCTGGGTGCAGCGGGACACCAAGTCATTCGAGTGGTTCCAGGATCTGCTGAAGGCGATTGAGGAGGAGGAGGACATGCGGATGGAGACCGACGCGGACATGCACACGTACTATCTGGGGCGGAACGACGGCGAGCAGATGATCGAGATCCACACGTACCTGACCGGCCGCCTGAACGAAATGCAGACCCAGCATTTGCATCTGAACAACGGCGAGCTGGACCCGATCACGGGGCTGCGCAGCCCGACCAACTTTGGCCGCCCGAACATGGACGCCATTTTCAAGGCTGTGGCCCACAAGCACCCGGCGACCGACGTCGGCGTGTTTTTCTGCGGCCCGGTCAAGCTTGGCTCGTCCATTGAGAGCGCTGCCAAGAAGTGGTCGAGCGAGGGCCAGGAGGGCACAAAGTTCTACTATAACAAGGAGAACTTTTGAAGAAATGCCGCTCCCCGTCATCTGTCTGTTAACGCCCCTGCCCAAAATGTGGTAAAGGTTCTCCATCTCGATGTTGTACCATTTTAACGATCTTTTTTTCATGATTTTTTCATTCCATACATTTTTACTTTTTCTTCTCCGATATTCTTTCTTACCATGTCTATAACCGTGGATGTCGAGTTTTCCGGTGGCCTCGAGCTGATCATGAAGGACAAGGTCAGGCAGGCCACCGTGTCCTTGCCGGCCACAGCCGATGGTAAGCCGACGACCGTGCGCCAGGTGATTCTGTATGTGCGCGACAACCTGGTTGCCGACAAGCCGCAGCTATTTTCGACCGAAAACACCGTGCGGCCCGGCGTCCTGGTCATGATCAACGACAGCGACTGGGAGGTCGAGGGCGAGAATGACTACCAGGTGCAGGACAAGGACAAGGTTCTTTTCATTTCGACTATGCATGGCGGATAGACGACAATATAGGAAATGCATCTTTTAAATGGCAATGTTTTCTAAATGGTGACCGGGTCAGAGCATGGCTAGTGTGTGTGCATGTGTTACGTAGCTTGGACTGACGTGCTGTTAAGCAACACGCAGGCTGGTAAATGGAGTACAGTGGAATATGCTGTGTTGATAGCTAAGCGGGTAACTGGGCTCATAGTTCGCCAAGGTGCCTGTGGTTGTGACTCATGGGGGTGTCAGTGAATCAAATATCTATGTTTATGCATTGGTTTTAATAATCAGCAATTAATTGATCGGATGAAACAGTCATGTTAGGTGACATTACGGGCAAAATCCAAAGGTCATGCGGATCTTGCATATGTATGCAAGCAATACATGCATACCGCACCATCACTCATGCCCATCATGCCTGCAAAATTAGGATAGCAGATCCGCTTGTCAGTCGATTCCGGCCATTTTTCCTATTTCTTAAAAAGACCGACACCAAAATGGCACGGTTCTAACACCCGGGGGGAACCACCAATAGTCCCGACGGCTATAAATGACGCATACTACGCAGTCCCTCCTCTCACCGCCCTACCTGCAAACCAATATACCTTCAATAATCGTATTTCCTGGCCACTATGAGCTTGAACAACATTGTCATCGTCACTGGCGCCTCACGCGGCATCGGCAGACAAATTGCACTTTATTTGCTGTCCAAGGATGTGTCTGTCGTCGGGCTAGCCCTTAATGGCGACGCGCTGCTTGCCCTTGAGGAGGAGGCCCCAAAGCTATCGGACACGGCCAAGTTTATTCCAGTCATCGGAGACGTCACCGACGAAGCTGTCCAGCAGCAAGCCGTGGCTGCAGCAGTGAAAACCGGCACCCTGGTCGCCCTGGTCAACAATGCCGCCGTGGTAGAGCCGTACGGAAAGGTCGCGACCACAGATTTAGGTGGGTGGTCGAAAATCCTGGCCATCAATGTCGTTGCACCGGTTGGCATGATCCAGAAGTCCCTGCCGCATTTGCGCCAGACGGAGGGCCGGGTTATAAACCTGACGTCGATTGCCAGCAAGGTCCCGTTCTTGAACATGTCGAGCTACGGGGCGTCCAAGGCCGCACTGAACCATGTTAATGAGCTCCTGGGGCTTGAGGAGCCGCGCATTACGGCAGTTGTGATTGACCCAGGAATCGCCGATACCGACATGCTTGATCTGGTTATTGATGGCGCCGAGCGGTCTGGCGAAGAAGGTACTGCGGCGCTCAACCACATTAATGGCAATAAGATTGGTGCTGAGCTACCGGGGCGCGTCATTGGCAACCTAGCCCTGTATGCGGACCACAGTCTGTCAGGAAAGTTTGTCGCCTATGGAGATCCTGAGCTGGACACGTATGCGCAGTAGCATCCACATATGGCATCATATATACATTGTTTTAATTTAATGCTACACGTTGGGTTCAGAATGGGAATATAAACACCATGCGGCCGGGCGAGGACAGGATATTGGAGCTATCCGAGTCCGAGTCAAACTCATCGTTGGACTGTGGGTAAGGCACAGTGTTGTCAATAATCTCCACCGACTCTCCTTCATGGTGGTCGAACCGCATTATGCCACTGAATGTCTCTGTCCAATACGTGCATGTTAAGAGCGACTGGCTTGGGTGCCATGATACATCGCGCACAGCTACGCCCAACTGGCTGCGGCGCACGCCCATTTCGGTATAGAGCTTATGTCTAAGCGTTCCATCGAGATTGTATATGTACACGCTGCCGTCAGCCGATCCCGTGTAGAGATACCGCTGGCCAGTGGTATGCAGCGGCGAGAACGCGCAGCGGATCAGAGTGGAGTACACTGTGTGGCCCATGTATGTCATGACAGACAGGTCGTTGGCGGCCTGGACCCTCTGCGGGTTGTGCGGATAATGGTAGTACCGGTAGTCGAAGGCCGTGTACAGGTGGTTGGAGGCGCTCTTGCTGTTTGATATTTTGCGCACATCCCACAGCTTCATTTTCTGGTCCTTTCCATTGCTGACCAAGTACCGCCCATCGCCCTTTGCTGCCACATGTGTAATGCCTTCGGTATGTCCATGCCAGTTGCCAACAGGCAAATCCGAACTGGGCCGTATGCGGGTGTCCCAAAGCCGGATCGTGCAGTCGTCTCCGCCCGAGCACAGCAAATGCGGATTGTGTGATTCAAAGAAGGCAATCGAATTGACGTCTTCCGAGTGCGCGCGCACGAGAAACAGCCGCTTGCGCGAGGAAAAATCCGCCAGCGCTATATCGCCAGCGCTGTTTCCCGTAGCGATATGGCCGCGGGCCGGCGAGAACGCCAGCGACCAGACACTGGCGGCGGACCGAATGATGCGGCTCTCCTGGTCGGGCTCCAGGTCGTCTGTCGACAAATCATACGACTGCGGATGCTCGCCCAGCCTGCCTATCTGCAGGACCGAGTCGTCGGCTGAATAGGCGACAAACTCGTTGTCGCTGCTGATTTTGGTGTCGGTCACGGTCCACCGGCCGTAGTCGGCCTGCATGGTCTCGATGTGCCGCAGGCGTGCGTTCCCGTCGACCTTGTAGATTTTGACATTGAATTCCTGCGAGCTCTGATAGAACAGACTGCCGTCGGCGCTGAATCCGGCGTTGTAGATGCGCGAGGACGAGCGCACTATCTCGCCGGTCAGCGTTGCCGGCAGCAGGCGCAAGGAGAGCGTGCTTTGGGGGAGCTGCCGCAGTCGCCGCTGCATGAGCAGGCGGGGCAGGGGCAGTGTGGGTAGCTCGGGGAAACTGCCAGAGTGCAGGATACTGTTGAGGCGCTCGCGGTGCTCCTTCTGCTGGTCGATTACCTTCTGGCGCTTGCGTGTGATGGGGCCAGAATAGCTGGCGTTGCTGGGGCTGCGGGCACGCGTGTTCCAGGGCATTTCAGAATTAAAAGTAATAGTCGCAATTGGCCTTCAGGAGAATGAGGCAGGAGAAAGAAAAAGACAAGGGGTGACTGCACGGGCTGTAGGCGGGGACGAAGGAGGGGCTTCATCTAGCACTGCTGCCGATTCAAGTGGCTGACAGCACCAAACACTCGCCATTGTCCGACAAGGAGGGGGATACACCATGTCCAGTGACCTCATCACTGGCGCCAGGTGGTGAGATGAGAGGAAAATGGATACATTAATGGAAGACACATTACAGCGATAAGCCCGTTTACTTGAACTGGGCCTCGGTGACACCAGCGCCCATGGCGGAGGTGGCCGAGACACCGCCGGAGGCAATGGACATGAGCCCGTCGACGTAGTGGGCACCCGACCACTTCTGGTGGGCCAGGGTCTCGACACCGTTGGCGCGCTCAGCACGCTGGATGCCGTCAACATAGGCGTACATGCCGCGCTTGGCGTAGCTGCGGGCAAAGACATCAACCGACAGACCGGTGGCGTGGAAGCCGCCAAGGGTGATGAACTGCCAGACGAAGCCGAGCTTCCCGAGGCTAGGCACATACGACTCCATGTCGGCGTCGGTGAGACCGGCGGCGTCCCAGTTGAAGGACGGCGACAGGTTGTAGGCGAGCCACTGCTCGGGGTACGCGGCGCGGACGCCGGTGGCGAACTCCTCGGCCTGCTTCAGGATCGGCTTGGCGGTCTCCATCCACAGCAGGTCGCTGTAGGGCGAGTAGGCAATGGCGCGCATGATGCAGGCGGGGGTGCCGCCGCGGTAGCGGTAGTAGCCCTCGCGCGGGCGCGGGGCGTCCCAGTCCCAGAAGATCTCGGAGGCCTTGCCGCCAAAGGTCTTGATGGACAGCGCACGGGCCTCAATGTTGGACAGCTTGTTGGCCTTGGCCACAAACTCGGCGATGGCAGCGGCCGACGCCCCCTGCTGCTTGGCCCAGTCGGCCACGGCCTCCGAGAACGACTTGATGCCCGCCTTGTCGCTCCACTCCTTCTCGATGCGCTCCAGGTCGGCGCCCGTCAGCCCGCGGGCCTGCGCCTGGTTCATGGCGGTGGCCAGCGGCGGCAGGCTCGGGTTGGTCGATCCGAGGATGAACGGGTGATCGCGCGGATCAATGTTGCTGGTCAGCAGAGTCGCTGCCTCAGCATCGGTACGCGCAATCAGCAGCGTCTCGGTGCCCATGATGTCGAACTGCGCGCGGATGGCCACCAGGCGGTTGATGTGCTCGGATACCGGGACCAGCACCTTGCCGGCCATGTGCCCGCACTTCTTGGTGCCCGCAGCCTGGTCTTCGATGTGGATTCCGGCCGCACCGGCCTCGACGAACATCTTGGCCAGCTTCATGTTGGCGGTGATGCCGCCGTGCCCGGTGTCGGCGTCGGCAATGATGGGCCGCAGGAAGTCGACAAACGGCAGCTTGGCGCGCTCGCTGATGGGCAGCGCCATGCGCTCCTCGTTCTGCTTGCGGTCGTGGAACAGCTGCGCCTTGAACAGCTGGTCGACCTTGTTGGGCAGCGTGTCCATCGGGTAGTCGGCGAGATCCGGTCCCGGCTCGTTGCTGCTGCTGGCCGTCGACGACGACTGCCAGCCAGACACGTAGACGGTCTCGAGGTACTTGGCCATCTGTGCCACCTGGATTGGGTCCAGGCATCCGAATGTGTGCGACGGCGTGCGCTCGGCGAAGCGCTTCTCAAACAGCGCAAACACCTTCTTGGCCTGGTCGTTTGACGGGTAGGTGGGCTGGATGGACCCGCGCTTCGAGACGATGCTCTCGGCGGTGTACGGCCGGGTGATGCCGCGGAAGCGGGGCGAGTTCCACCACTCCTTGACCTGCGCGACCTGCTCCTGGAAGCGGCGCTCCTCAGCCTCGACAATGGCAGCGGATGTAACGTTCGACATGGTTATAGGGAATCAGAAAAAAGATGTGTGCTAGTGGGTGGTTTGCTAGTTGTCGGCTCTGCAATGCCCGGCGGCAACATGCCCCGGTATTTATAGCGAAATGCTTATCTCGCTCTTAGTCGCCGCCAGCACCTGAAACCCAGCTATCTCGCTGCTGGGCACCGGAAAATATCATTAGCCCTGGACCTGCGCGCATCTGTCAGAAAGCAGCCAATTTCTCCGATGGCCGGGTGCATGGAAGCTGGAAAAATAGAAAAAGCAGTCTCAAGAGATAAGCCAATTCGATGAATTCCCATTGTGCTCTGCCCGCAGGCGGCTTCTTCACATGCCCGCTTGGGCCGCTGCCGCGTGAAACCCCCCGGCGTCCATTGGCTCGCTCTGGGACGGTCCATGTGAAAGGGCCATTGAGTCATCTTCAGCGAAAACCCCCTTATAGAAAGCGCTGGCACAGGTTCAGCCAGGTCTGCAACTGGCAAACGCAATTCCTCAGGAGACGTGGATCTTTGGTTGACCCGGTGGTCCGCTGGCCGGGGGATACCCCACGATCAGCCAATCACGCACCCATAATCAGCCCAGCGTCGGCCATCGCGCACATCTCGCTGGAGCGGGGTGGCCGTGCACCAGCGCTCCGGGCTCCCCGCCTTGCCAGCTACTTTCTATTTAGTTAACAGTCACCCAGGAACGTTTTCCAATTATTTCCAGCAGGAAAAACGCCCCCCATTTCCCTTTGTCCCAGTAGCCATGATCGAGATTATCTGCAACGACCGCCTGGGCAAGAAGGTCCATGTAAAGTGCAAGTAAGTTGGTTTTGCGATAGGATAAAATGATAGCGCGTGTGAACAAGGACGCCCAGGTGCCGATAACGGATTACTGATCAAATCAGAAACTTAGCCCGACTGACAAGATTGGCGATGTCAAGAAGCTGATTGCGGCCATGACTGGCACGAGACCCGAGAAGATCACGCTGAAGCGGTGGAACTCGGTGTTTAAAGACAACATCACGCTTGACGACTACGAGGTGCATGATGGCACCAACATTGAGCTCTACTATACATAAGCAGCGTGCTGTCTCAAGTATACTGCACTGCCCACCAACGCAGCTATGCATATCCTTGGTCTGCCATGGCCATATGTATAGCCACAGCAGCAATGTTTGTGCGGAAATAAATGCTACTGTCTTGCCCAAACCGTCGAGTAAAATGCTGCATTTTCCATTGTACGACAGCTGCAAATGTCAATCAAAATGACACAGCGTTCAGTGCACATTGTCACTTGCGCTGATTTCTATTTGCATAGACACGTACTCGTAGGCTTGGACTGGATAGTATGTATACGCTATGCTGGAGCGGCCATTCGTACCTTCCACCAGGCATTACAGGCGACATCAGCTCTATCTCTGTCAGCAACAGAGCGTGCGGTCCGACTGGGCGATCAGCTGATTTGATCCCGAGTGGCAATCGATAAGAGCAGTTGTGATCGCATTGATGGCTGTGCTACGCGCCTTCCCCCTCACGCAATGCACAATTCTGTCCCAGCCCTGCGACCAGGCTGCTGGTTCGTGTATACCCAGCGGTCTCTAGAGAGGATCGATCTCGCCGGAGGCCAGAGCGGCTGGCTCCCCCCGGTGTTCTCCGGTTGAAATACTCCACCTGTCTCGCCTGACAAGACAATGACAGGTCGTCATGGAACTCTTGGCAAATCAAGAGGCAGTATTTTTGGATATCTCGACAAGATTTCTCTAAGCATACTCCCCAACCGCTCAAAAGCCGGACCCAACTCCCATTTAATGGGGGACTGTTTTCAGAAGAGACCGCCAGTTGTTTTGGTTTTTCTTATACTTGCTCCCCTCCCCTGTCTTCTAGCTTCTGAATCTGCACGCCTTGCCTCATTAATATTTTTTGCAATCTTTATTTCCCGCTTCTCCCTTCCTCCCTCCGTTATTTAAAGCTCCTTTTTATTTTTTAGCGAGATTCCGAGACAATGACCCGAGTAATCTCGCGTGCCGCCCGGCGTGTGGCTCGCAGTCCCATTGAAACCATTGCGTACTGCACAATTGCGGTGGTGTGCGCGTGCTATTTCGTGTGGCAGTCGGTCAAGCAGGACAAGCTCTTCTCCAACGGCGACAGGGCCACGATGTTCCCGACGCACTCTATCAACTACTCACGGGCCAGCGCCTCCTCTCCCTTCAGCCTCAGCGAAGCCTCAGAGGGCTCGGCGCACAAGCTCCAGCTGTACACAGTATCCGTGCACAATTCGATTTCGACCCGGTCCCAGACGGTGCAGACAAATAATGTCAAGAACATTTCGGGCGTGTTCAAGAAAATCCAGTCGGCCAAGATACCCGGCGGCGTGCAATATGCAGATATCGCGTTTGCCGATGTGTGCGCCAGGGATGACCAGGGCTCGTGCCTGGCAATGTCGCCAGTGAATCCGGATGTAGCACTGGTGGCCGATATGCCAAGTGAACCAAATTGTGAACCCCGACTTTGGCTATTTGCTTATTCACAGGTCCCCACAATCGCTGCTTGTGTTTGCACTGAATGCCACCACCGACGAGCAGCACGCTATGGCAAAGCAGTGGACGTCAGGCGTGGGCAAGATGTTGGCAGAGAGCGGTCTGCAGCTTCTGGATGCAGGCGATGCGTCAAGCGACATGCACAGCAGTGGCAGGCCCACGGTCCTGCTGCAGGTTGTGAACCGCGTGTACCTGCTGCTGGGGCAGGCCACGGTAGGCGAGGTTCTGCTGGTGTTTATGAGCTACGCGATCACGTTTGCGACGTTTATCAACACGTTTGCGACGATGCGGCGGTACGGGTCGCAGGTGACGCTGGCGCTGTCGGTGATGTTCTCGGGCTTCTCCGCATTCGTATTTGCGATCCTGGTCGCGCAGTTGCTGGGGGTCAAAATCAGCGCGGTGCTGCTGACGGAGGCGCTGCCGTTCCTGATTATCTGCGTGGGCTTTGACAAGTCGCTGACACTGACGCGCTCGGTGCTGCTGGCAGCGTATGGGGACCGCATGAACAGGCGGGGGTCGTCTGGCAATGCGGAATCTGGCGAGGCGGCCAATGGGGATGTGCATACGACTGCGACTCCGGCGCAGATCCAATCGCAAATCACTCGAGGAGTGGACAAGTGTGCGAGCCGGCTGGTGAAGGACTATCTTTTCGAAATCAGCATTCTGGCGATTGGCGTGTGCTCGCGCGTCGGGCAGCTGTACGAGATGTGCGTGGTGTCCTCTCTGCTGCTTCTGTTTGACGGCTTCTTCTTGTTCACGCTGTACACGGCTATCCTGACGCTGAAGCTGGACGTGATTCGGGTGCGCGCGCACGGCAGAAAGCAGGCGTCGAGATCCAGCATCACGGATACCTTTGAGAATGATGTTGTCGGCGACGAGGCCAGCCCGGCGCTGTACAAGCAGATTGTGCTGAAGGCGCTGACGGACGACGAGGCGCGTGGCGAGAACAAAACTATCTGGCGGCTCAAGTCGCTGGTGCTGGGCGGGCTTATTCTGATTTCGGTCATCGAGTCTGGTGTTATGTCGACCTCGTTCCTGACCAAGTCCCTGGGCTGGGGCGTCCAGAGCAGCGTGACTACCGAGTCTCTGGATGCCAATGACCAAGCACGATATGATCAACCAGCTGGCAAAGCATCTGGTGCCGCTGGTGGCCGGCAGCAAGCCGCGCGCTGTGCAAGTGACCTATCCTGCCGGTCGCCAATTGGGCACTGCCGGGTACCCACAGCGCTCCTAGCGGGCTGCCGATTGACATGCTGAACACGTCTGGCGTTATTATTGCAGTTCTGGCCTTGATCGTTGCCATTTCGCTGGGTGCCAACATCTACCTGGCCATGTTCAGGGGCGCGGCGGTGGGACCTGCCGCGCACAGGTATGGTGCCAGCCATGAATTCTACGATGCAGTGCGGTCGTCGAGCGGCGCGCCAAGCGTGGCTTCGACCGACGACGGATACACTGAGGATGCAGTCTCCGAGCGCAGCGCGGCTTCGACCGCAAATACCGGTTCCGTGCGTCGGTGGATACGGCCCAGCGTATTGAGCAGGCCACTCGCAAGCTGCGCGGTGGGGTCAGCAGCGAGGGCGCCCCTGCGCACGGCATTGCTTTGCACTCGACCTCGGCACTGTCGTCCCTCGTACCGCGCATTGACTCGACCACGGACATGGTCCTGAAGCGGTCGCCGTCGATGCTGGTCAGCGCGCACGGCAAGCAGGCGCTTCAGGAGGCCGATGCCCATTCGCCCGAGGTGGACCCTGAGCACGTGCGGTCTTTGGAGGTGTGCAAGGTAGTACTGGAGTCGGAGGGCGCCAAGATGCTGAACGATGCGGAGGTGATGACGCTGGTGCAGGCGAACGTGATCCCTGCATATGCGCTGGAGAAGAAGCTGAACGACGACATCCGCGCGATCAAGATGCGGCGGGCGATCATTTCGCGCGCCTCCAAGACCGGCACCCTGGAGACGTCGAAGCTGCCGTACCACCACTACGACTACTCGAAGGTTCACTGGCCAGTGCTGCGAGAACGTCATCGGCATCATGCCGTTGCCCGTGGGCGTTGCAGGTCCCGATCCGGATTGACGGCGAGCTTCTGCATATCCCAATGGCGACCACCGAGGGCGCCCTGGTCGCGTCGACATCGCGTGGCTGCAAGGCAATCACTTTGGGCGGCGGAGCTCGCACGGTTCTGACCTCGCGACGGTATGACCCGCGGCCCGTGCCTGCAGATGCCCGATGTGGTGAGGGCGGGCGAGCTGAAGATCTGGCTGGAGAGCGAGGAGGGCTTTGCGATGGTGCGCGATGCGTTCCAGTCGACGAGCCGGTTTGCCAAGCTGCTGAATCTGAAGGTGGCGCTGGCCGGACGGCTCTTGTACGTGCGGTTCACAACCTTTACCGGCGACGCCATGGGCATGAACATGATCTCCAAGGGCTGCGAGAAGTCATTGGTGCTGATCCAGGAGCAGTTCCCGGACTGCGAGATCATCTCGGTATCGGGCAACTACTGCACGGACAAGAAGCCGGCGGCCATCAACTGGATCGACGGCCGCGGCAAGTCCGTGGCGGCCGAGGCGGTGATTCCCGGCGACGTCGTGCGCAGGGTCCTGAAGACCACCGTCGACGACCTGTGCCGGCTCAACATCTCCAAGAACCTGATCGGCTCGGCCATGGCCGGCGCCATGGGCGGCTTCAACGCCCATGCAGCCAACACATTGACCGCCATCTACCTGGCCACGGGCCAGGATCCGGCACAGAACGTCGAGTCGTCGACCTGCATCACGCTGATGGAGCCGGCCAATGACGGCCGCGACCTGCGCATCTCGTGCAGTATGCCCAGTGTTGAGGTCGGCACTATCGGTGGCGGCACGACACTGCCGCCGCAGGCCGCCTGCCTGGACATGCTGGGCTGCCGCGGCCCGCACAGAGATGTGCCTGGTTCCAATGCCCAGAAGCTGGCACGCATTATCTGCGCGTCGGTGATGGCGGGCGAGCTGTCGCTGTGCGCAGCCCTGGCAGCCGGCCATCTGGTGAAGAGCCACATTGCTCTAAACCGCGCGGTGCCGGCGACCCCCGCAAACACCCCCAGCGCCGTCACCCCGGCGCCGTCGGTGGCCAATATTCCGGCGATGAAGGCCATCCGGAAAGAGTTGGCTGGCGAACAGTAATCGAATGGTAGCCCTGGCCTTAAAATCAATATTTCTATTTCCTCATGTCGTTCATAGCTCCACTTTTTCTATTAAATCTTGCAAAACATAAGCAGTCTCCCTACCAAAACGCGAGGCAAACGGGGTTTTGCTTACATGGAGATGAGCTGGCATCGTGAGTGTAGAAGTACATGCTGTGTATCATATCTGAAGTTACCCAAGGAGCTAAGAATCAGTAAGCCCTATGTCGTTGATTTGGTAGCCGTATGAGCCATACATCCCTGTATGTCTACGCTGTCACAAGGATATGGAGCTGTACAGGGCCCAATGACAAATACACACTTTGCGAGAGATGTGGAATATTCTTTATTAGCTAACTCTATATAGACAGTTGTTAAAGCGATTCCAAATAATAGTAATCATAGTAAACAGGCTCTGTTTCAAAGCCTCCTATTTTAATACGGTCTCCGTCATCCATAATGTAAGCGATATGAAAATGTTGTTAGCGGAAAGAGGATGACAATAGTGGAGGAAAGTGATATAAAAGATAAAACTTTTTGAAAGATGTAAAGACATTTAAATTTTACTTTTGGTATTACCTCGGTTGCACTGAAAAATTTTCTCTCAGCAATGTTCCCACCAGTTCACAATCTTCCGTGACGCCACTCGCCATTCACCAGCTCCTTTGCCTTATTGCTCTACGCCCAAGATCATTGTTCACCTCTTGTAGTGCATGGCACATTGGAATAGATGTCGCAGCTGAAGCTGTCCAGGAGCTTAAATCAGTATACCTTAAACCGGTAATACAGCAGTCATATGCAATATTCGTATCTGTGTATCTCTGCTGACCCATGGGTGACAAGTTGTACATGGCCCAATGACAAATATACATGTTGTGAGAGATATGGAATACTCTTTATTAACCAACTATAGATAGTTGTCAAAGTGATTTCATATAATAGTAATCATAGTAAACAGGCTCTGTTTCAAAGCCTCCTATTTTAATACGGTCTCCGTCATCCATAGTGCAAGGGTAATGCAAGCGTTGCTTGTAAGGTGAAGAGGTATAGAAGATAATTATTATTGAGCAATGAAGAGAGATACAAAACACACTAGCAGCATCTTTCCTGCAATGAGACAAACTCCTCTCAACAAACCTCCCACCAGTTCACAACCCACTGTGACGCCACTTGCTATTCACCAGCTCCTTTGCCTTGTTGTTCTCTATTCAAGATCATTGTTTACAACTTCAGGGCTGTCTGCCACCTGCCCACCAAGAATGGCATTTGTGAACTCAGCTTATTCCTATTTTGCCCATCTGATTCCTAAATTTAGATTTACTAATGCAGGTTTCTCAACATCGGCTTACAATTACACAGTGCATGGAAAAAACGTGGCATTTCAGTCATGATTACCGCATAACCCACATTCATGCTTTCATGACAACTGATCAGTGCTATCAGGCATATCGTCGTGGTTTCTTTGTATCTCTACTATGTGTTGTACAATCGGAGCTAGGTTGTAATATATATATGATACACTAAATACAAAAATATGGAAGAGTTGTTAATAGTCTCCAGGTTGACGCTCAAACCATTTCACATCTACCCCAACAATGTGCTGTTCAGCAAATGGTCGAATGGCATCTGCCTGAAGCCGCCTCGCAGTGATGCACTCCAGGCAGCGTAGCTGTGGAATAATGTCTTCGAGGACATCCACAACAGTATCGTCGGGTATTCCGATGTCGAGGCGTCTCAGCTGCCTACTGAGAAGTGGTAAGTCTTGGGCATCCTCAGGCGTGAGTAGATCACGAGGAGGTCGGGGTGGTCGTGGTACTAATAATAGGGGTTGTGAAGGAGCTGTAGCCTGTAACCTACTCGACGATGTTTGTAGCCTTTGAATTCTCCAATCTCTGCCTATAGCTGAGGTCCCTTCGTCATCTTCAGGACGCCAGGTGTATTCGCCTGTTCTTGCTACTGTAGAGGTCTGGTAAAGGACCCGAAGATGCCGTAGGAGAGGGAGGCACTCAATGAGCACTGGAAGCCTGTGAAGGTCGTCTGGATTCAAATCAATGGTCAACTTTATCAGCATGGCCCATGCTATCCAGTCAGAGAATGGAATCGAGTTTCCAGTTAGCACAGCTTCAATGACATTTGATGGGTTGCGGAAGAACCGGTTGATAATGTCGCGCGGCAGTCGAACAGGCTCAATACCATACGCCTTGGCATAAATCATTAATGTTGTCGCACCAGCTACTATTTTCGGATTGATTGACTGAAGTCTTTGAAAGTCTTCAGCCATGTACAGCAATCTTGGTGGATGCTGGTGGAACAGCTCGTAAACATCGTCGTATAGCAGACAGGAGTGAAAAACAGTTACCGATTTGATACTTGGGAACTGGATATCGAGCCCGCCGTTGGGAGTCTGTCGTGGCAAAGTGTATCTTGTTGGTACAAAGTCGAAAACCACCTCCTCGACGTTTTCAAAGACAAGAGACCGTTCGCCAGTCAGAGAAAAAAAATCCCATGGAATGCCATTCGTTATGCGCAGTAGCTTGACCTTGCGCAGCTGTCTGACACTGTATCTTGGCAGGGCACCGATGGTTCGCAAGTACGCTTCGTGAAGCTCGAGTGCGACAACCTGTGGGAGAATGACGGGAGGGCGAGTCGGAACAACAGGAGATACCTCCTGCACCTCAACCAGCCGTGGCTCGTATGCCGCATAAAGCATGCTGTAGAATGGGTTCAGGTTGAGTGGAGAGCGAAAACCGAGTAAAAGAGGAAGATCCATACTTTGAGTCAGACTGTAGCTCATCGATGTAATCGTAGGGATGAGCTTGGAGAACATGCGGCTGTCAAACGATGCCTGCTCGGCCATATCCTCATCAGATACACCAACGCCGCGCTGGAAGACACCCGGACCAATGAATCGGAGGTTGTGGAGACTGCTCCAGTCGAAAAATTCTGGACGTAGTATGTTAAGCAGCTTAAGAATTGGTGGTTTGCAGCGACACCGCCCATTTTCCATAAGAACCAAGATGTGGGTTACTTCGTCAGTAAATCCATGGTTGATGAGCCAGTTGGCACTTGTGCGCCAGGGAGACTCATGGTAGCCGTGCCCGTTGCATGATAGGGCAGAGCGGTGCTCAAATGTCACCAGTTGTCTACATGACTTAGGCAGCAACGGCCTGAGGTCTCTGTGAGTGTTGTAGAGGCTAATGAAGTCGCGTAAGCAATAAAAGTTGCTGCGCATCGGCACCAAATGAGTACATGCCAGGTCAAAGATTTTTGCCAGAATGTGTGTTGGAACTTGCTGGATGGACATGGTTGTTTCTGCTGAATATGGTTAGAAGGTGGGTGATGGGAAATGGATGGGATGTTCGCCAGAATGCGCTCTATTTAATGTCTCGCACCGTTCCGAATGTCACTGGCTTTGCATGTGTGGACATCCTTATTCTACAATTGTAAAATGACGGCAAATTCCACAATAAGGATCCTGTCCTAAAATAATACTAGTCGGAGGGCATGAGAGTGTCAGCATGCAACTGGTGAGCAGAAAAGTGCTGAGCGTAGGTTACGTTGTCAATGTCTGGATGCTGCGCACACTTGCAAGCACACAATGCCCTAATACTTTGCCTGCATAGCGTTGGGGGATAATTCAACCACGCCAGGCGAAACTCAAACATCCAAGAGGGATGAAAGGGTGTGGAAATAGTGTACACTCGCCGTTCAGGCATCGCCCATTGTTCTGGCAGTTGTGCTCGGAGGCACGCAGGTGTTTGTGCACGATGCATATCCAGAAACGCTACATGAGATTTTCAGCTATTTTTTTACTCACTTGCACCGCCGCTATGTGCATTTTTGCTGATCTCTCCTTTGGTGGATGCGCCAGGTGTGCACGGGGTTGATTGTTCGAGCACCACGCGAATGCTGTCGAAGCCTGCAGAGATATTTGCTTCGGGGCGGAGAGGGACGGAAGCATGTTCATACATTCCATTTTTTGCTAAGATGCAGAATGGCCGAGCAGTGTCCCCCTCACTGTGGTGGACTATTCTACTGTAGCTCATATCATTCTATTGCCATTCCCTACGCATCCATTCTGCTATTGAATAAAAAATAAGCTTGAGAGAAAAAGGTGGATGAAAAGCAAGGAGCGTGTTGGATATATTCCGGCACTGACCATATACTGCCAGGTCAAATTCATTCATGAACGACTGTTCTGTTCTTTTTTAGGGCTCAAGCATGCCTTTCTACCATCAAGAGTCACTCTTTTGAACAATTCTCAAACAGTGACATTAAACATCAGATGAAAAGCGTGCCTTTGTTTCAGAGGCGAAGCATTGAAGGAAAAGGTTCAAAAGGGTATTTATATTTACGTCTTCTACTCTCTCTCCACCGATAATAATGTATTCTATATATACCTTCTTTTTTTTATATGAGCAAGTGGTTGGCTAACAATGCATGTAAGCGCTGACCACTCTGCCACGACGTGCCGAGTACTGAGCAGTTGTCTTTTCTAATCAGTATTGAAGCTGTGAGCGGCTGGTGTTTACGTTGGAGTAAATTTGCAGCGTATATTTATTGTACTCCTTGTACTGCACAGATAGAGAAAAAAAAGACAATTAAACTACATTCTTTAGCATGATAGTACTTGTCCAAAACAGCCAGAATGCGCGAACTATTAGCTACCACTCACTTAAAGCATTGCGTTGCGCCTCAAAAATGAGCTCGGTATCTCAAATTTTATACGGCACATGTGTTTACTTTATGAAAACAGCATTGTGGTTCGCACTGGGTATCTAGCCCGTTCAGGTCAGATTGACAGCTCGAGCTCAAAGTGTGTCGAATCTTAGTAATAGGGTACTGGCTATCCCTGAAACGTGCCAGTGAGCATCTTCAGTTATTACCCGGTCATAAATCCAGCAGCCGAATGTGTTGAGGTATCACTGATTGCCAATATCATGAAGCTTAACGACGTACTAGCGGTAGATGTGTTGATATATAAGAGAACGAATACAAAAAAAGATGGCGGCATGAGGATTTCCGCTCTGCATCGGCCAATATCTGCAACATACATTTTGTTGCTGGTGCGAGAATGACAAGGTGAGAGGGACAGCTGGGCGAGGATTGCCTCCCTCCTGCACAAGGCGTGATTGTTCTCCACAGCCGTTCTCACAAGCGGCCTTCGGAAGCGAGGGAGGCAAGGCGCATGTCTGAGATGTCCTGTGGCATCTAGCAAATAGGATACGCAGCAACCGCAAGTGCCGAGTACAGATTGAATCCCGAGAGACAGGCATAAACCCAGAGAAGTATTGCCCTGTTTCCTCCATGTTTGCATCCTGTATTAGTTAGAAGCCGAAAATGACAAAAGACAGCTTGTAACAGAGGTCTTGCAATAGGGTAGCAAACATACTCTTCCACGGTTGCCTTGTTGCTGATACCCAGCTGATGTGAGTCGTGGTCGCATTATGCCAGGACAATATTATATTAGCAAAACATTTTTCAGTGGATACATGCTATCCTTTGAACATAGATGGGGCAGTGTCAAAGAGCTATTCTACATGCTGCAAAGCATGCCTACAACCATCTGTTGAGTGATAGCTGGAACTCGCCGTTATTCAGCGGGTACAGGTATATTGGTCAGGTGGTATACCTAATCTGAGACAGCATGTCAAACCTGACATATGCGCCCAGTACTTAGCATTCCATACTCTTCGAGTACTTTTCCCATTTATTCCCGATAATTTACATTTCCAGTCTTGTAGCAGTCAGCAGTGTACTGTTGTAATGAATACTGAGCGCTTGAAGTGAAGTAAAAAGTTTTGTATGTCGTTTTGTATATTTCGTTTTGAGGTGAAAGAAAAAAAAGTTTATAGCCAGTTGGTTAACTCATTGCGATGCCTGGAAGCCGCGGCGCAGAGATTTGAGGAATGGTGTCTTTGTCTGTGCCCGCGAGCTCTCTTCAGTACCATCATTCTCCTCAGCGATCTCCACGCTAGCCATCTCAGCATCCAGCGATTCCTCGTGCTTCTCGTCGTCCGCCTGAATAGAGACCTTGGCCAGCTGCTGCGTGACAAACTGATCGAACAGCGCCGACACTGGCGGCAGCACGTGATGCGGTGCATTCACATACGCGCTATGCACCGCCGAGCGCACAAGCCGCATGGCGCTGCGCACATGTGGGTTGGTAGCCGGCGATGCGCCGGGCTCCACGGCCTGTGCTTTAGATTTGCCAAAGATGCTGGTGAACACCTTGGAGTCCATGGCAGAAGAGCCAGTCTTTTCACCCAGGGCCTTGGCACTCTTGAACGCCAGCAAGTCGCTCTCGGCTGCATATACGTTCAGGCGGCCAGAGGCAGTCAGCACCGCAAGCGAATTGTGCGCCAGCGGATCGGGTTTCAGCTGGCCCTGCTCGGTGTCCGGATGGCTGCGGCCGGACTTGCCCGACGATGCAGCAGGAACCAGAGCCACGGCCGCGACCACGCCGCGCTGACGCACCGTGACCAGGGGTACAGGCGATTCGGGCCCACAGACCAAGATGCTAGTCTCGTCCCGGTTGGTAATTGGGCGCACGGCCACTGCCAACAACGCATGCCGGGCATGCACAAACACGCTGGCAACCGGCACCACCTGCGTCCACCACAGGCTGCCTGTCAGCATATTCCACACGTCAACGCGGTCCTCGGACCAGCTGGCCAGGAAATTCGTCTGCCCGATGAACGCCACGCCCGAGAGTTCATGGCTGGCTGCACTGGCCACCAGGGTGCCCACCGGCGCCGTCACAGTGTGCGCATCCCACAGGGTCACAGAGCTGCCAAAAGTCACTGCCAGGATTGACCCATCGCATGAAAACCCGCAGCCGCGTGGCTGCTGCCCGCGATACTTGGCGTAGGCCCTGCACGTCCACATCTCCTCGGCATTGTCCAATGTCTGCAGTTCCCACACCCGGAACATGGCATCGCGGCCCGTGCTCACGCACAGCAGTCCAGGCTGCTGGCCGGACCGCCGGAGCATCGGCTGGAAGGCGATTGCGTGCACACCGTGCGCGTGCGGGTTATCCACGCGCGTCACCAGCTTGTACTGCTGCGTCGACGGATCGAGCCGCCAGAACTTCAAGTACGATTCGGTCACATGCCGCGGTCCGTATGCGGCATTGCTGCACCGCGAGTCGACGGTAGCCATCCATGCACCGTCCGAGCTGAACTGCACCAGGTCCACATGGGGCTGCGCCGACCGGATGACCGAACCGGCGCCGCCAATGCGGTTAAACGAAGCGACCTCGATGCTGGACACATGGCGGTCTGTCAGGTGGTTGAACACCTGCAGGAACCCGGGCTCGCCGTTGAGCACCAGGTGGTGTGTCGACGGATGCACGACCAGGCCGGAGGTGAATGGATCGTCCTCGAGCCTCTTAACAATCGCTGCGTGCTCGCGCTTGACCTTGGCCATGGCTGCGCGCTCGGCAAACTTGAGCCCCTGCAGTGTTGATACCAGCGAACGGTCCAGTGCCGAGTATATGCGGACTGTGTTGTCCTTCAGCGTAACCGAGTAGTACATCTGGTCGGGACTGACCACAATGCTGATAATCTCGGCGCCAAGCCGGGGCAAAAAGCTCTTGTGGTCGGTCGTCAGCTGCCAGAACACAACCACGCCCTCTTCGCCGCCTGACAGCATCGACGTGCCTGCCTCTGTGAATGCAATCGTGTTGACCTTGTGCGCGTGCCAGTGGTATGGCCGCCGCACGACCTCCCGCTCCTCCGTGTCCTCGCGCTGGTTCTCGTCCAGACAGTACCAGAACATGATGCGGCCACGCCAGTCACCGACCGCCAGAACGGGCTCCGACGGGTGGAACGCAATGTCGGAGATGCGCTCGCCCATCGCCCACTTGTGGGTCACCACGCGGTTCGCCGACAGCTGCAAAAGCTGCACCTTGAAATGCGAGTACACAGCCACCCACTGTCCCGACGGGTGGACCGCGATCCGGTTGGCCCCGGTAGTAGCCTGTGCCAGATCCTCCACCTCAACACGCCCGTTCTCCTCAAGCCGCACCCGTGCAACCACTGCACGCGGCTTGACCATGTTGTTCTGCGCATCAGTATACTTGGGTCTGGCGATAATCGCCAGGAACGCTTGCTCCTGTTTCGGGTCCTTGGCCACGTGCCGGATCTTCCCTGGAATCACCCACTCCTTCACCAGCGCACCCGCATCAGCATCCCAGAACCGCACATGCTCGTCAGCAGAGAACGTGTATACGTGGTTGTTAGCTTCGGCAAAGATCGCCAGCACCTTTTCTGCCTGCGCTCCGCCCGAAAAGTTCTGCACCATCTCTCCGTTCTGCACGTTGTACACCGCCACTGCGCTGTCCTTGGACAGGTAGAACTGGGATGAGTCCTGGCTAAACACCACCGGCTCGTGCGTCAGGATCCCGCCGCTCACCGATTTGAGCTCGATCGCCCGGAACGCATCGCCGGGCATGGTCTGCTGTGCTGGATCGGAGTGCTTGCTGTTGCTGTGCGCACGGCCGACAACCTCCTTCGCTACCTTCTCAGCCTTGGTTGTTGCCTTCTTCGCCATTTTTCGCTTCACTATGTTTATATGCGTGTTCAATATAGAGGAAGTGCAACGTGAATGCGAGAATGCGTTGTGGAGGAGAAGAAAGTTTGGGCACTGCCAGAGCCAATTTGCAGCTCGAAACAAAAAAAAATCGAGGCCCAATCAGGGCAAAATTTTCTGATTTGATTTACGGAACATGTGAGCTAATGATCAGGCTGTTCTTTTCAGTCGAACGGGATTGGCCGCGTCATGGCCGGCAGCTTCAGGTCCGCCGCTGTCGTTGACGACGACGACACGTGCGCGTTAGCATTGCCTGTGGCAGCCGCCGCCGCCGCTGCGATGGCTGACGGCACCTTGATGCCACAGCAGCCCGGGAACTCCTGCCCCAGCGCATATACCTCGCTGTGGCTGACACACCCGTGCTCGTCCTCCTCGGTCCCGTGCGCCTGGTGCTCCGACATGCTGCCGCCCTCAAACGACACCAGCGTGCCAAACATGAAATGCTGCATAATCGGCAGCTTCCCGACCACTTCGGCCTTGAACATCTTGATCAGGCCCAAATTGACCTTCTCCCACGTCTTGGCGCCGCTGATATCGTCGATCATCGGTGAGTGCCAGCGAATGGAGCCGGTCTTGATGGAGTTGACGAACCGCACGCACTCAAAGTACTTGTACTGGTGCGAGAACTCGTCCAGAATCTCCTGGTTGTGGATTGATTTGGGCCGGAAATGCTTGTGTCCACGCAGCTGCCCCGCACCAAACAAAAACGGCAGGAAATGGAAGTCGTCCAGGCCCCACACGCCGTGCGATCCCGCGGGCTCCAGCCAGTAGCTCAATTGAAGGCCGCGCATTACCGCAATATACCGGAAAAACACATGCGCCACCAGCGCCTTGTAATCCGAGGGCTGCACCAGCTTCAGCTTGTCCAGGCACAGAAGAAACACCAGCATGTTCAGCTCATGCCCAGTTCCATAGTCAATGCGTTTGCGGTTTCCAAAGCTCTCCTGCGCATACTTGGCTACCTCTTCAACATAATCGACAGGCACAAACTCCGATACCCACTCGGGGATCTTCTTCTCAACCGTATCGTAGAAGTCGCGGAACGCTGGGTTGCCGAACCGGCTGTTGGTCTCGACAGGTGTCACATCTTTGTTGGCTTGCTCAACCTTGTCCAGGAACGAAAGCAGCTGCTGCACGATCGGGCTGTCTTCCATTGCGTCGGTAGTTTTGGTGCCGATGATTGCATCGTTGAGCGAGTTCAAAAAGTCTAGGAGTTCCTTGCACACCTGCGAGTCGAGGAACCTTGCCAGGTCGTCCGGTGTCAGGATACGACGGGTTGGAATCATTTTATAGTAAGGATATGTCTATATGGGAGCTAAATAATCGATGACAAATGCAATAGTAGAAGAGGTTTGAAAAAGCGTGTCTAGCAGCAAATCACATCAATTCATGCGCTCCGCATCTAAACAAACAAAATGGGTCAAAGTATTCATCGCCTTTGCTTATACAGAAAACGACCGTATGGTAGCATATATGACACAATGCGCTTAAATGTGCAACGTGAAGATCCGCGCAATAGCTAGGACCTGGTCCTCAGGTATAGTCCTGTGATTTCAGGGTATATATTGTGTTTATAAGCATTTGGTTTACTGAACGAGGTAGTGAGTCTTGGGGCGGCCACGCTCGTACTGGTCGTTCCACTTGACAAACACACCCAGCTTCTGGGAAGCCTTCTGTACGAATGTCGGGTCGCGGAGGAATTCGCGGCCGATCAAAATAGCATCAGCCTTGCCTTGCTCCAGAATGTCGTTGGCCTGTTCACCATCGAGGATGATGCCTACAGCACCGGCAAGAACGCCAGGGGCACCATTCTTGACCTCAGTGGCAAAAGGTACCTGGTATCCTGGGCCAGCAGAGATCTTCTGACGAACATCGTTGCCACCCGACGAGCAGTCAACAAGGTCAACACCCTCCTGGTGCAGGATCTTGGCCAGCGCGACAGTATCCTTCGGGGCCCAACCGCCCTCGACCAGCTCAGAGGTTGACAGACGGATAAACAGAGGTTTCTCAGCAGGCCACACCTTGCGCATGCGCTGAACAGTCTCAACAGCAAACCGGGTGCGGTTCTCGAATGAGCCACCATACTTGTCGGTGCGGTGGTTGGACAGCGGCGAGTTGAAGGAGCTGATCAGGTAGCCATGAGCACCGTGAATCTCGATAAAATCGAATCCGGCCTTGTCAGCGCGCACAGCAGCATCAACAAACGCCTGCTGGACATTCTCGATCTGCTCAAGCGTCATCTCCTTCGGCTCCCAGTGTTGGTCATCAAATGGAATAGCCGACGGGCCGTAGACGTTCTCGGGCCAGCCACCCTCTTCACCCGAGGCGCGGAGACTCGGGCGTTTGCCATACTGGCTGAGGGGAATGGTGCTGGCCTTGCGACCAGCATGACCAATCTGGATTCCCGCAGTGGTCCCAAACTGATGCTCGAAATCGACAATGCGTTTGAGACCGGCAATCTGGTCATCCTTCCAGATACCAAGGCAGTTGGGGGTAATGCGTCCCTCAGGCAGGACAGCTGTGGCCTCCATGATAATGGCACCAGGACCGCGCATGGCAAGCTGGCCATAGTGCGCCAGGTGGAAGTCGTTGGCGAACCCATCCTCTGCAGAATACATGCACATGGGGCTAACCCACAGGCGGTTCTTGAACGTGGTGTTGCGGATCTTCAGTGGCTGGAACAGCTTGGGCAGAGTGGTGGGGTTCTTCTCAAAGGTAGCATATCCCTGCTTGACCTCCGAAGGGGTAGGCTCAATGGGAGTTCCAGGCGACGGGTCTTGCACAAGGGCGTAGGTAGTAGCGCTAGTGGTTGCAGCAGGCATTGTTGAGCGATTTTTGTTACAGTTGACTCTTGGGTGAAGGAATACAAAAAGATAAACTGGCGTTCGAGTTAAGATGTTGAGTACTTGGTAGCCTGGATCCAAGAACGCTTTTATAGCAACCGACTACATGGGCTATTATTAATATGTAGGTGTTGGGCAATGTATGTAAAATGTCGCCAGAATATCCTACGAGCTCATCTGATTTGCTCCTCATTGCCGAGCGTCTCGTGTCGCCAGATCAATACCGCAGATTGGGGAAATCTGGAAGTGGAGGCTAAGGAATTAATAATCACGCTCCCTAGGTTGTGCAGTTATCAAATAGTCATTCTTTGAAACTGTGTGCTCTGAACCAAACAATGCGGATTTCCGGAAATACTAGTGAGGCCTAGCAGTGCCAGCTGTATTCGGACAAATTTTTTGTTCAGGAGTGAGATCATATAGAATTCAATGCCTCCTTTAAGCCCACTTGTTCTGAGGAGCCACAGCGAACATCCAATCGGCTGATCTATCAGTTCAATTTTGCGAGATGTCCAGATGAGGCGGGTTCCAAAGTGGAACTCTTGAAGTTTAGGCAACGAACCGATTCTAGACGGGAAGGATGACCAGTCTACAGGATCAAAGTTGTCAACAGGATCAAAGCTGTCTCCAGGTTCTCTGTTTGCGACAAAACGACAACTAAGTTTGATTCTAGGATACCGCAAATTGGGCAGCTTGACAGGTTGCTCGACAAACATATAGCGGCATGAATACATGTCCTGTCCAGTGTAAGATGCTGGAAGATAGGTGATTGTAGGTACTCCATGCATGGTTTTCCTCCCAGAACAACCAACCGTGCTCACATCACCAGTGTGTATTCTGTATTCCAGTCCAATACAATTTTCGTCAGGCTATCAGCCCGAATATCCATTCGCATTATATACCCTGGGAGCTGGGTGAAGGAACGAGTCTGAAAATAAGAGCTGACATCGAAGCACCTAATGGATAGCGGTATGGTTCTCGGTGTCTGACCAAGTATTCCTCCTCCAAAAGTCACTGGGCAAAAATCTTCGACTGTGAAATCGACGGCCACTAGATTCGATAGCTGGTAATAGAACGCGTCACATATACTACTGTGGTCATATCCATCAATTGGAGGGGAATTCGGGTTGGGGAATTCAGTTCTCATAGTCCTGATACTGCCCCATTTCACAGTGAAGAACTCAAAATCACAGAGCATCTGTAGCAAATTGAGAATGGGATATTCGTTTATCCAGCCACCCAGTACAAAGGTCTGAGGCCAGTCACGAAACCCCTCTGCACCCAGGAACTGGCAGATGTTTGAGTGCGATGGATCGTAATAACTGTAGTCAGCAACAGGCGTTTGGCGGATCATCGGAAGCAATATACTGCCCCACATGCGACACGTGGTGGCTAACATCGAGAGCAGCCTGTGACATCTGATTCCTTTCAGTTCGCCAGTTGTAGTTTCGATGACAACACGGAAAATAAGCAACATAATGTCGCTGCCAAGTGCTTTGCATATGCTCTGCTGAGTAGTGTCCATTGGCGTCAAGAAATTAGAGCTATACAAGTGGGAATACCTTGCAAGGTGCAAAGGCAGAAGACAGCAAACACGTGGCAGCTTGCGGGTTGTGACATTGTTTTGTTGCATTTATCATTGCAGAGGGCATTGATTCTACCCAAATGTGTCTAGGATCAATCAAAATGACTAGGATTCATTTATCACCATCTCATTCACTCATGGCGCATATCCACATGCTAGCACAGAAGGATAACCGGATACATGGTGGTCTTGGCCAAGGGTGTTCCTGAGGTCTGTACTACTACTAACTCCTCGCAATGGCGCACTTTTCTACCCCAGCAGCAAGGAATCATTCAGACTCTTGTGGATAGAAGGTCCAATGCAGCTGCTCCAGCAAGCAGCTGGTTACTGGGCTGTTGCCATGCCCCTGATACCTCAATGCGTAGTTAAACTTGAATATAAGATAACGACCAGGAATTCTGATCTTGGCTGGTCGTGATGTCGACAAAAGACACGATCAATCTTGTACTCAATCCAACGCGTGCTTCACGTCATCACCGCCTGAGCGTAGCCCTTCCCGCTGATTAGAAAGGGATATTTTAGGAAATTGCTTGGCATGCGGGTTCATAATCCCTGTTTGTATTTACAGAAATAAACAGCTCCTCGGCAAGCGCTTTCTGAGAGCCTATGCACGAACTTTCCGGCCACGCATACGCGCGTAGATTGAGGATATCCTCAGGTGACAAACAAGAATGATCGCCATGTCTTTTGGCTATTAATACATATCCTTTCTCGACTTCCGCTGTGCTGCATCTGCGCGTCTAAAATTAGCAATCTCCTCGAAACTAGTCCTGAGCGCGACATTCACTCAACTACAGGATATCCTAATAGTCAATCCAGTGTATAAAGCAAACCTGCCATGGCTACATTGTTATGTTTCCATATCATCATCACCATCACCATCCCACGCTTCACTCAAGCAGCCCCATTCAAAACAAATTTACTTTTTGCACTTGCATCTTTAACGAAAAACAATTCTGACAATGCGCTTTACTCTAGCTACTGCTTTTGCCATCCTTGCTGCTACTGCTGCTGCCAACCAGGCTGGCCCTGTTGACAACGATATCTCGACGCCTTCCAACGATCAGGCTGGTGGAATTATTGAGCCTCTCGTCGAGACTACCGAGGAATACGATGAGGAGGATAACCAGCGCGGCGGTCGTGGTCGTGGCAGCGGCCGTGGAAAAGACTTCCTTAGCGACTTGGGTGTCGAGCTGATCGGCACTGGTGTGGAGTCCGGCCAACGCTGCTATCTACACCAGCGTGGTGGTCGTGGTCGCGGCAGCGGTCGCGGTAAAGGACTTCCTGAGCGATCTGGGTGTCTGAGCTGATCGGCACTGGTGTTGGTGCCGGTCTTGATGCTGCCATCTACAACCAGCGCGGTGGTCGTGGTCGTGGCAGCGGCCGTGGAAAGGACTTTCCTCAGCGACCTGGGCGTCGAACTGATTGGTACTGGTGTGGAGTCTGGTCCTCAACGCTGCTATCTACAACAAGCGCAGCATCGATTATGATGAAGGAGGACTAATGAGGATGATAACCAGCGCAGGTGGTCGCGGTCGCGGCAGCGGCCGTGGAAAGGACTTCCTTGAGCGACCTGGGTGTTGAGCTGATCGGCACTGGTGTCGGTGCTGGCCTTGATGCTGCTATCTACAACCAGCGTGGTGGTCGTGGTCGCGGCAGCGGTCCGCTGGCAAAGGATTTCCTTAGTGACCTGGGTGTCGAGCTGATCGGCACTGGTGTGGAGTCTGGCCTCAATGCCTGCCATCTATAACCAGCGCGGCGGCCGTGGTCGCGGCAGCGGTCGCGGCAAGGACTTCCTGAGCGACCTCGGTGTCGAGTTGATCGGTACTGGTGTTGGTGCCGGTCTTGATGCTGCCATCTACAACCAGCGTGGTGGTCGTGGTCGCGGCAGCGGTCGCGGCAAAGGACTTCCTTAGCTGATCTGGGTGTCGAGCTGATTGGTCACTGGTGTGGAGTCTGGGCTCAACGCTGCTATCTACAACCAGCGCGGCGGATCGTGGTCGTGGTAGCGGCCGTGGAAAGGACTTCCTTGAGCGATCTGGGTGTCGAAGCTGATCGGCACTGGTGTCGGTGCTGGCCTTGATGCTGCCTATCTACAACCAGCGTGGTGGTCGTGGTCGTGGCAGCGGTCGCGGCAGTGGTCGCGGCAAGGACTTCCTGAGTGACCTGGGTGTCGAGCTGATTGGTACTGGCGTGGAGTCTGGTCTCAACGCTGCTATCTACAACAAGCGTAGTATCGATTATGATGAAGAGGACTATGAGGATGATAACCAGCGTGGTGGTCGTGGTCGCGGCAGCGGTCGCGGCAAAGGACTTCCTCAGCGACCTCGGTGTCGAGTTGATCGGTACTGGTGTTGGTGCCGGTCTTGATGCTGCCATCTACAACCAGCGTGGTGGTCGCGGTCGCGGCAGTGGTCGCGGCAAGGACTTCCTGAGTGACCTGGGTGTTGAGCTGATTGGTACTGGTGTGGAGTCTGGTCTCAACGCTGCTATCTACAACCAGCGCGGCGGTAAGGGTAACGGCAAGGGCAAGGATAACGGCAAGGGCAAGGATAACAGCCATGGAAAGAAGCCTATCTTCACCGGACCTATCCGTCCTGGTCCTTTCCGCCCTGAGTCCTTTCAACCCTCCTCCCTTCTACGACATGCATGAGGGTCTACTTTTAAGTTCTATTTAGAGAGGTGAAGGCACAAATGTAAATTACTTTGCACATGATTGATATAAATGCACTCATCCGTGTTTGGGTTAGTCTGTACATGTCATGTCTGCATTCCATGAATCCTAGCAGGGACTATATCGTCAATTACCACAGCATACATGGTGAGCTGTACGCAGTGACACCACCCCACGGCACTGTGGTTAGAATGCATGCATATGTTTTCTACCATCTGCTCGGAAGATACCGTGCTCTGCCTATAAAAGCGACAATGCAAATGAGCTTAAACGCCATCAGCACTCGACCACCACCTGTATCCCTTGTCACACATACTTGGCACGCTGTTAATACCATGCTGTTATCCAAAAACCAGTAATGAGCACAATGCCGTCTACGGACCGCCACCGCCACAATCAAAATATTGTTCCCCGCCATCCCTTCTCCTTGGAGCGCTACAACGCGAGCGCTACTCTTCCTTTAACTCACCTTTTCTTTCTACGGGTTCTATTAGCATGTCTTCCACCGAGAGCATCCAGCCAGAAAAGTTTGCCATTGAGGAATCCTCGGCGGCGGTGGTGCCGAGGGAGTGCCTGGAGAGGTAAAATACCAGGCGGTTGACGAGAGCGACCCCAGGCTCAAGTGGGCATTTAGAAAGGTCGACGCGACACAGCTCTTCATAGTATTTCTGAGCACGGTACTTAACTCCATGGACCGCGGAAACCTCGGTCTCTCCAAGGTTGTTGGGCTCGAACAGGATACGGACATGTCTGGATCCGACTTCAACGTCGTCGCCAGCATTATGTACCCGACATACCTGCTATTCATGCTTCCGAGCAATCTCGCCCTGCGCAGGTTTGGGGCACGGTTCTGGCTTTCTCTCCTCACTGTTTTGTGGGGCGTCATCAACATGTGCATGGCATTCGCCAAGAACAAGACCGATCTGATTCTGTGCCGTCCTGTTCCTTGGTGCTGCCGAGAGCGGTGCAACGCCAGGTGCCCTTGAATGCTGATCACGCTGTGGTACCCCCGTCAGATGGTTACATCGCGCATCAGCCTTTTCTACTCGGCATTCGCAGCTGGCGCAGTCATCGGCGGACCTATTGCAACTGGCATTGGCAAAATAACAAACACCCACTTCAAGCGGTGGGAGTGGATCTTTTTCATCGAGGGACTGGACCACGGCAGGGTTTGGGCTGATCATGTACGCATTCCTGGCAGACTACCCCGACAAGAGCTGGATCCTCACGCCAGAGGAAAAGGCGATAATCAACCAACGGATGGCGCAGGACCAGGTCGAGGGCGGTAAAAAGAAGGATCAACCGCAGGCGTCTGCTTGACCATGCGCGCGATCCGCTCATCTACTCACAGGCACTTGTCCTGTTTGGCGGCAACTTTGGAATCAACACAATCCTCACCTTTTGCTGCCATTATCGTCAAGGAGATGGGCTACAGCGCCTGGTCGCGTCACAGGCTATGCAGGCAGCACCGGGAATCTGCGGCTTCGTCGGAATCCATCTTGCCCGCTTCTATCCCAAAGTGGTTTGGCTCCCACTTTCGTAGCTCGCTTTTCTGCGAAGCTTGGCTCATTGCTGGTTCAGCTGTCTTGCTGGGCGTCACCAACAACGTTGCTCGAATCATTGCGCTCTGCATGTTGTCGTTTGGCTGCTTTGGTATCCTTAGCATTGGTCCTGGATGGCTGATGAGCAACGTTGGCGGTCCAACACGTGCTGCCATCTCGAGTGCCATCGAGGTAATGCTTGGTGGACTGGGTGCACTTTGCACATCGTACATCTACCGCAACAAGGACCAGCCACGCTATCTTTTTGGCCACGGCATGAACATGTTTGCTGCATGTCTGATGGTGGTCTTCACCTATGCAACTCATTTCATCCTGCTCCATCGAAACAAGCAGAAAGAAACCAATCCGCTCGATATTTCGGGGATGTCGCAAGACGAGATAAATGACCTTGAGAACGACCACCCCGACTTCCGCTATGTCCATTAAAGAGAATGTAGTATATTCGAATACAGACTATTGAAAACCATCAGCTGCAGCTATTGGCGTGCTGAACATCAGTGCTCCTCTGGTCTGTATGCAGAGTAGCGCTGCCAGAAGTCGTCTACAGTCTTGAACGGGGTATTTGAGGCCGGCTTGGCGTCAACAAACCCAGGCACGCTGAATGAGCCAAATTCGACAAAGTAGTCGAGCATCTCGTTGATCTCTGCGCGGTCAAGCTCGGGCACCTTGTAGTGGACATAGTCTGCCGGGATACCGGTGGCGCGCGTGAATGCCTCAGCGATCTCAGGGCCAGTGTAGTCACCCTCAGCGATCTTGACTGTCTTGCCTTCGTAGCTGGCGCGGTCATCAAGGATCCCACGCACAGTGTTTCCAAAGTCGACCTCAATGTCAACATAAGGTTGGCGTGCATCAGCAGGGAGCGGGTAGCCAAAGGTGACTGTTTTCTCGCCGTTGCTGTTGGTCGACCAGATTCCTGCGTGCAAGAAGTTCTGGAAGTAGAAGGCGGCATACACGAAATAGCCCTTGATCTTGTCCGAGTGGCTGCGAACGTACTGCTCGATCTTCTGCTTGCCCTCGGACTCGTACGCCTTGGAATACTTGCCATTGCTTCCCTGAGACGGGCTCTCAAGCGAGCTGTAGACAAAGTGGTTGACTCCCTCAGCAACAGCTGCATCGACAATGTTCTTGCCCTGTTTGAATTCGGCATCCAGGTCGCCAGCATCGACTTTGGCAAAGATCTCGGGCTGCAGATAGTTAGTGTTGGCAAAGACGATGTCAACGTTCTTGAAGGCGCTGCGTAGACTCTCAACATCGTTGTTGTCGGCTGCTACCCACTCGACGCCAGGGTATTGAGCGCGTAGTTCTTTGACACGAGCGGAGTCGACGTTGCGGGTGACAGCACGAAGCTGGTACTTGTCAGAAGCGCTGTACAGCGAAGTGAGGACGGATCCTCCCTGAGCGCCAGTGGCTCCGATGATAGCGACGATTTCAGACATGGTTTCGAAGGTAGAGAGTAGGAGTGCGTTGTTGGGCAGCGTGTTGATGTGGACCTGTGAGGAAGGAAAGTGTCACGTCTTTTTATATGGTTTGAACTTGATAGGCGTGGATGCCAAGGCCCTCATACAGTGGGATGTGGTTAATAGAGAGCTTACAAATCAGCTGGAGAATGCCGCGGTCATCTGCAGGAATATGTGTGGATTTTTTCTAGAAATTGCCATATGCATTGTCCGCCTCTATCCTTGGCACATGCATGCCCAGCCTGTACCTGATCACTAATCTGCATGTAATCAAGGTCAAGGTCAGGCTGAGATTATCTCCGAAATGCTTGTTCGATATCATAACATACCACCCATTATGCCTGAGAATGCTGATGTTAAACATCCTCAGCCCTACCATGTGATATTAATTGGAACATTGAAATGAAAATACAAATGAAAGAAGTAGCATCTGATGATTGGCTTCTTCAGGCTTTTCGAAAGTTTGTATGTCTTGAGTCGATGAAGTAGCATCAGCGAGGAAGACAAGTGCACAAAACGTTCTGGGTCCAGGGCTTGCAAATCTCCAGTTTCCATTGTCTCTCAGTCTCAGACTCGCCTTCAATAATCCAAATGTGGTGCTGACCCGCTAGAAGGTTCTGCAGAGCGAAAGTGGAAAGACTTACCAGGCCATGGAGGTTCGTGCAATGTGATTTTACAAGCTCAGTGTACATTTTGATTCTCCATTACCGAGTCGAGTCTGGTCTTACATCACAACCTCATCCTACGTCTGCAGCTTGGCAGCGATCGTCCTAGTAGTACCCCCAGGACCCAGTAACGGCGAGCTTTACCTGGCTGAGGAGTGTGCGACCATGGACAACTGGACCCATACAAGCACCCAGCAAAGATCAGAGCTGACATGAAAGAGCTAGCAAGAGGACAAAGAACGGAGTGGAGAGATCAAACAGAGACAAGAATATGCAGAGCAAGAATCAAAACATTGGTGCAGGAGGTGAGGTTGGATATTAAAGGTACAGCCAAAAGTACAGAATAGCAGGTCCTACATTTTGGCAAGGGTGCAATGGCAAACAGTGTCATTGAGATTGGTTAGTACTGTTGCGCGGCCAGCAATCTGCCTTGTGATCAATCAACAGGGAATCAAGTTTTTTGGTGGCCCGATCTGGATTCATGAAAGTTTTTTTTTCTACCATGATGTGTCTATGAAAAAAAGTCTACATGCGTTCTTCAGCTCAGCTTCTTTTATTTATATTTTAACGCCAGTAAAAAAGTGAAAAAGCAAATTGAAGCATGGCACCTTCAGGGTTCAACACGCTTGAGCGGCAAAACAAGGCGATCAACCCAGGGGAATGAGTTCGAGTACCCGCAGCTGCAGAACCTGACGCGGCCGCACATCGACTCGTTCAACACGATCTGGGAGCGGGCAGGGCCAACAACACCGGCGCTCATCGATATTGCGACGAGTCCTGCTTGAGAAGCAGGTGGTGTTCGATGGCAAGGGCGACCACGACAGCCCGCTGGGCAACAAGATCACGTACTGGGTGGACGACATGCACCTGGACTACCCGTCGCTGACGGCGCGCGAGACCAAGTCGTCGAACCGTCTGGTATACCCGACGGAGTGCCGACAGCGCAGCGTGACGTACCGTGGACGCATCTACGGCAAGCTGCACATTCAGGTGAACGACAATAACGAGATTGTCGAGGAGCGCAATTTCGGACTGCTGCCGGTGATGGTGCGGTCGAACCGATGCAATCTGCAGAAGATGGGGCCGGCGGACCTGATCCGGCATCACGAGGAGCCCGAGGAGATGGGCGGGTACTTTGTTGTGAACGGTAACGAGAAGGTGATCCGTCTGCTGGTGGCGCCGCGTCGCAACCACGTGGTGGCGATCCAGCGGCCGTCGTACGGCAACCGTGGCCCGGGGTTCACACCGTATGCAACGCAGATTCGCTGTGTGCGGCGCGACCAGACGTCGCAGACGCTGACCATGCACTATCTGACGACCGGTAACCTGCTGCTGCGCTTCTCGATCCGCAAGCAGGAGTACCTGGTGCCGGTGTCGCTGCTGATGCGCGCGCTGGTGGGGGCCAACGACAAGGAGATCTTCGAGACGATTGTGGGCGGAGATGCGGAGAACATTTTTGTGCGTGACCGTGTTGAGCTGCTGCTCCGGTCTGGCAAGGAGTTCAATGTGTACACGCGCGACCAGGCGCTGGCGTACATTGGTGACAAGTTCCGTGTCATTATGTATGCGCCCGACGACATGTCCAACATTGACGTGGGACGGCGTCTGCTGCAGAACGTCATCATGGTGCACCTGAACGACGACCGCGACAAGTTCAACATGCTGGCGCATATGGTGCGCAAGATGTACGCGCTGGTGAGCGGCGAGTGCCAGGAGGACAACCCTGATACGCAGCAGCTGCAGGAGGTGTACATGCCGGGCACATCTACCTGGGTATCATCAAGGAGAAGATCGAGGACTACCTTCTGGGCGTGCGCCAGGAGATCATGCGCGACGTGCGCAGCGGCAAGGTTGATCTGTACAACAACCGGTACCTGCAGCGCGTGTTTGGGCGTGTGTCATGCGACATCGGCATGAAGGCGCAGTACTTTTTGGCCACGGGTAACCTGGTCAGCAAGTCGGGCCTGGACATGCAGCAGGTGTCTGGGTACACAATCATTGCCGAGAAGCTGAACTTTTTGCGCTACATGTCGCACTTCCGCTGCATCCACCGTGGTGCGTTCTTCGCCGAGCTCAAGACCACTGGAGTGCGCAAGCTTCTGCCCGAGGGCTGGGGTTTCATGTGCCCGGTCCACACGCCCGATGGTTCGCCGTGCGGTCTGCTGAACCATCTGGCGCACAAGTGCGAGCTGACGACGCAGGTTGAGGACACCAGCGACGTGGAGCGGGTGCTGATGCGGCTCGGCGTTGCGCCCGGCATGCCGCGCCCGGCGCAGAAGGACGCGAGTCTGCTGTCGGTTCAGCTCGACGGGCGTATCATTGGATACTGCACGCACCCGGTGGCCAAGAAGATTGCCTGAAGCGCTGCGCGTCATCAAGCTGCAGGCGCACCGTGCGCGCTCGGGCTCGGCCAAGGCCAGCGGCTCGGCGGCAATGAACATTCCGTATACGATGGAGATCGGATACGTGCCGCAGTCGCACGGTGGCCAGCTGCCGGGACTGTTCCTGTTTACGACGCCGGCTCGGTTCACGCGCCCAGTGACATATCTGGCCACCAAGGACGTTGACTATGTGGGCAGCTTCGAGCAGGTGTACATGGACATTGCGTGCATGGACCAGGATGTGCGTCCTGGACTGACGACGCACCAGGAGGTGCTGCCGACGCATATGCTATCGGCAGTGGCGAACTTCACGCCGTTCTGCGACTTCAACCAGTCGCCGCGTAACATGTACCAGGCGCAGATGGGTAAGCAGACCATGGGGTCGCCGATGCAGTCGTATCCGTATAGAACCGACAACAAGCTGTACCGAATCCAGAACGGGCAGACGCCAATCTGCCGGCCGCGCGTGTACGACGACTACGGCGTCGACGGATACCCGAACGGCAACAACGCAGTGGTGGCAGTCATCTCGTACACGGGATATGACATGGAGGATGCGATGATTCTCAACAAGAGCGCGCACGAGCGCGGCTTCGGGTACGGGTCGATCTACAAGACCGAGTACGTGGACCTGGGCAAGTTCCGCAAGTCGGGCGACCCGATCACGACGCACTTTGGGCTGGGGCCGGATGTGCTGCACGACACGTCGCTGAACGACCGCATTGACGTGGACGGGCTGCCGTTCCCTGGAATCCGGGTGACCAACGGCGACACTCTGTATGGCGTGATTGACGATGTGCGTGGGCGCACCAAGATCATGAAGTACAAGGGCGAGGATGGGTTTGTGGAGTCGGTGCGGCTGCTGGCGTCCAGCATGGAGGACGAGCTGCAGACGGTGGCGATCACGTTCCGGATTCCGCGCTCGCCAGTCATTGGCGACAAGTTCTCGTCTAGGCACGGGCAGAAGGGTGTGTGCTCGGTCAAGTTCCCGGCCACCGACATGCCATTCACCGAGTCGGGAATGCAGCCGGACGTCATCATCAACCCGCACGCGTTCCCGTCGCGTATGACCATCGGCATGTTCGTCGAGTCGATTGCAGCCAAGGCCGGTGCATTGCACGGAGTGTGCCAGGACGCGACCCCGTTCACGTTCGACGAGACCAACACGGCGGCCGACTACTTTGGCGAGCAGCTCAGGCAGGCCGGATACAACTACCACGGCAATGAGCCGATGTACTCGGGTGTCACCGGACAGGAGATGCGTGCCGACATTTACATTGGCGTGGTATATTACCAGCGCCTGCGTCACATGGTCAACGACAAGTACCAGGTGCGCACAACGGGCCCGATCAACCCGCTGACGCAGCAGCCGATCAAGGGCAGGAAGCGCGGTGGCGGTATCCGTCTAGGCGAGATGGAGCGCGATGCGCTGATTGCCCATGGCGCGGCGTACTTTTTGCAGGACCGTCTGCTCAACTGCTCTGACTACTCGCTGGCGTACGTCTGCAAGTGCTGCGGCTCAATGCTGGCGCCGGTGGCCGTGCCTGCGTCCTCGCATACTGTCGATCTGACCAAGGGCAAGGCTGGCAGGGCATTGTCGGCGGCCGAGGCTCGGGCGATTATGAGCGCAGCCAATGGCCCCCGCATGGGCAAGGGTCCGTTGGACCTCGTCTGCAGGCTGTGCCAGAACGCCGACGGCATCACCATGGTTGCGCTGCCGTTCGTGTTCCGGTACCTGGCCACAGAGCTGATGTCGATGAACATGAAGCTCAAGCTTGATGTCAAGTAAACAGGGCCAGGGATAATCCTAACCTTTTTCTCTCTAACTTTTTCTCATAAAAATTTTTCTATATTCTTTTTCTCTCTCCCTCATACTAGCCAAATGACGCCTTTTCTGGCAAGAACGCAGGCGCTTCGGTCGGCGAATTCGACGCTGCGGCGGCGCTGGTTGTCGAGCAAGCCGGCGCTGGAGGACATCGGGGTGTTCCGGGCGTACGGGCGTCCCGTAGTGACGATATTTCTGTGGAGCACAATCACGTACATGTCGTTCCAGGCGGTCTGGAGCAAGCTCTACTTCGACGAGGTGCGGCTCGAGACTGAAGCCAAGATCGATGCGCTGCAGGGTGAGCTTGCTGAGCTCCAGAGCCGGCAGGAGTAAGACGGGGTGCGTGGGCGCGGGGAAAAAATTATCCTTATCCTGGGCGAGCCGGGAACAGCGGGGGATATTTTTGAGGTGGCAAACGGGCACGGTGGAGTAATCTTTTTTTTTTTTTTCCCAAGCTTGACTGGTGCGCATATTTTTTCGCTCCCACTTGTCCGTCGTGGCCTTGAGATTGATCTGTTAAAAAGAGCAGTCAAGTGGAGCCGCTGGGCGTGGACGATAACGCTTTTCTCTCCTCGCATTTTTCTTATCTCCAAAAAAATATTTACTATGAACGCCTTGGCAGTTAAATTCCCTCCTCGCGCCGTGGCGCAGCGGACAGCACAGGTAATGAAGAGAAAAGGCGTATGGGGGATGCGTTGTCTGCTGACTGGCACAGAGCTGAACCCCCTGGATCCAAACCATAGACGGCAGCACGGCGGTTCCTGGCGACAGAGGTCGACAAGGAGGGCAAGGCGGCGCGCCGCGTGCGCAAGGACTTTTCTGAGAAGATGAAGAACGGGCCGGGGTTCGCTGACTTTGTGGGCGGGATGAAGGAGCCACTGACGACGTCGGAGGTGATGGCGAAGGCAGGGATGAAGGTGAAGACGCGGCTGCCGTCGTGGCTGAAGACGGAGATTCCAGCGGGCAACAACGTGACGTCGATCCGCAAGACGCTGACGAGACCTGAAGCTGCACACGGTGTGCGAGGAGGCGCGGTGCCCGAACATGGGCGAGTGCTGGGGTGGGGGCAAGCACGGGACGGCGACGGCGACGATCATGATTATGGGCGACACGTGCACGCGCGGGTGCCGGTTCTGCTCGGTGAAGACGGCCAAGAACCCGGCGGCGCTGGATGCCGACGAGCCGAAGAACGTGGCCACGGCGCTGGCCAAGTGGGGCCTGGACTACGTGGTGCTGACGTCGGTGGACCGCGATGATCTGGCGGACTTTGGCGCCAACCATTTTGCCAGCACAGTGGAGCATATCCGGCAGATGGCACCGCAGATGATGATCGAGTGCCTGACGCCGGACTTTGTGGGGTCAGCCGGAGCTGATTGCGCGCGTGGCAGCTGTCGGGGCTGGACGTCTATGCGCATAATATCGAGACCGTGGAGGCGCTGCAGCGGCAGGTGCGCGACCACCGGGCGGGCTACAAGCAGTCGATGTTTGTGCTTGAGCACGCAAAGAAGACCAAGCCGACGCTACTGACCAAGTCGTCGATCATGCTGGGCGTGGGCGAGACCGACGCCGAGGTGCTGCAGACCATGCGGGACCTGCGGTCTGCAGGCGTCGACATTGTGACACTGGGCCAGTACATGCGGCCGACGAAAAGACACATGAAGGTGCACGAGTACGTGACGCCCGACAAGTTCAAGCACTGGGAGGACGTTGGCCGCGAGCTGGGCTTTGTCTATGCTGCCAGCGGCCCGCTGGTGCGCTCGTCGTACAAGGCTGGCGAGTTCTTCATCTCCGAGATCCTGCGCAAGCGCAGCGCTGTCAAGGCGGCCCAGGGCCAAAAGGAGCTGGGCGAGAAGAAGCCTGCGCGATGTCGCCGCCACTGTGGCTACCGAGGAGCGCAAGGCGCCGGTGGTATAGAAAAAAGGTTACGGTAGTTTTATAATTGCATCTTTTGCTTTGGATGTCGAGGACATCACTTCCTTTGCTTTGAATGGCGAGAACAGCGGCGGAGGCCGGTCCCGCGTGGGCTTCAGCCGGTCCTTGACCTTGCCCAGCGGCGTCAGGTGGGTGTGCTTGCGTGGGGGCTTTGTGGGGCTGCCGTCCGGGCGCTTCGGGTCGGGCGTACGCAGCCGCTTGGCCTTCTCGGACAGCCTCGATAGCGAGCGCCTGCGCTTGGGCGGCGTTTCTAGCGGTGCAATCTCGTCGTGCTCCACGGGCTGCTCGCTGCACGACTCGATGGGCTCAGTGGGCGTGGGCGCTGGCGTGGATGACTCCTGCGGCGTCTGGCTGCGATCGAACCGGTACCTTCTACCATTCCTCACCAGCTCCGTCTGCGACCCCCGCGCTACCACCTGCACACCCTGCCGGCGCAATTCGCCGCGTGTAAACAACCGTCGCCGGGAATTAGGCATAAGTAAAATTTTCTTCAAAGGGAAAAAGAAAGGCTGACTAGTGGGAATTCAGCTTCCGTAGGCGCGTTCTGCTGCCCGCTCGCACTCAGCCCGCACATGCATCAAAGTCTGCCTGGCCTCCTCCAGACGGAGCCACGCCAGCTGCGTGTCGGGCGGCAATGCCGCGTAGCCATCGTGGATCCGGCGCTTCTCAGCGACTGCTTGGCTCAGCTCTTCGACGGCCAGGTCCAGCTTGCGCATGTCCTTGTACTCCAGGCCTTGCATGTGCTTTGGCTGGATGAGCCGGCCCTTGTACTCCTGGCATTTGGCCTGGACGATCGCGCCGTTCCTGGTCCATTCGCGCGCCTTCTGCGCCTCCACCCGCACATTGCGCCTGCGGCTCTCCAGCAGCCGCCGTAGTTTCTGCTGCCGCTCAAGCGACCCCTGGACCTTGGCCTTCACCTTGCTGAGCCTCTCCTGGCACTGCAGTAGCTGCGTTTGCCTTTTCAGCCCCTGTATGGTCCTTGCGCTTACTGCCACTTCGAACGTCTCCAGGCGCATGTCTGGAAGGTCCAGAGCTACGGCGAGCTGGGACAGCTCCGACAGTGCGCGTGGAATGGGCGCTGTGGCTGGAGGGAGGTTGGCCAGGTACTCTTTGGCCGCCAGAGCATTAACGCGCTGTGCGATTGAATAGATCTGCTGCATGTGCTGGTCGAGGAGGTACAGGCGGCTCAGGTGCTGCTGTGTGGGCGGGTCGTGCGGCACTGCAGGTGGCATGGACGGCCGGTAGAGCGCACGCAGCCAGTGGTCGAGCGTCTCCCAGGCAATTGGCGTGCTGGACGAGTCTGACATTTACAGTGCAAAAAAAAAAAAAACAAAGATTACAAAAAACATAAGCGAGCCGCGATTCCTGTGGGAGGGTTTCGACGGCAGTCTCTGAAAAGCGCGATTCATCTTGCGCAGCCATCCCAGCTTATGCATCCCTTTCCTGCATTTCTCTCTTTTATTCTCAATTCAGTTTTTTTATACACATTACATAGCTCATGCGGATACTCTGCGTGGCGGAGAAACCGTCGCAGGCCAAGTCCTATCGTTGCGATCCTCAGCAACGGCAGCTCGCGCACACGCAACGGGTGCAGCAAATACAACAAAAACCATGACTTTGAGTACCGCATCAACGGCAGCTTCACACCGGCCACCATGACGTCGGTACTGGGCCACGTTCTGGAGCTCGATTTCACCGGCGACTTTCGCAAATGGCAGGCGTGCAACCCGCAGCAGCTGTTCACAGCGCCGCTAGTCACCAGTACCAACGAGAAGCTGCAGGACACCGCACGCAATGTGGAGCAGGAGGCGCGCACAGCCACGCACCTCTATATCTGGACCGACTGCGACCGCTGAGGGCGAGGGGATCGGCAGTGAGGTTCGCGCAACTGTGCCGCAAAGCGAATCCGCGGATAGTTGTGAAGCGGGCGCATTTCTCGTCGGTGCTGCCGCAGGAGATCCACCAAGGCAATGCAGAGCCCGCGCGAGTTGGACATGCAGCTGGTGGCGGCGGTGGAGGCGCGGACCGAGCTGGATCTAGCGGATCGGCTCGGCATTGACGCGGTTCCAGACGCTGCGCCTGCAGTCGCGATTCGAGCCCATCAAGGACCGCCTGGTGAGCTACGGCCCGTGCCAGTTCCCGACCCTGGGCTTTGTTGTCGACCAGTTTCTGCGCGTCGAGCGGTTCGCGCCCGAGCCGTTCTGGCTCCTGTTCCTGGAGCACCAGAAGCCCGATGGTCCGCGCGGTGTTTTCGTGGAAGCGCACGCGGCTGTTTCGACCAGCATGCGTGCTTTGCCATCTACATGCAGTGTGTGCAATCGCCGACCGTGCGGATTGTGTCGGTGAGGTCAAGGCCCAAAGGAGAAGTGGCGGCCGCTACCATTGACCACAGTGGAATTGCAGACGTGCTGCGCCCGCTTCCTGCGTATGTCGCCCGACTCCATCATGGGCGTGGCCGAGGGTCTCTACAACCAGGGCTTCATCAGCTACCCGCGCACAGAAACCGACCAGTTCGACCGATCCATGGACCTGCAGGGCACTGTGGCGAAACTGACGCAGTTCCAGCCCCTGGCAGCCTACGCCCAGCGCCTGGTCAATGGCGAGTTCCGGTGGCCGCGCCAGGGCAAAAACAATGACAAGGCACATCCGCCGATCCACCCGGTGGCGCCTGGCAATCAATCTGACCGGCGACGCCAAGCGCGTCTACGAGTTCATCACCAGGCGCTTTCTCGCGTGCTGCTCCGATAACGCCAAGGGCCAGGCGACCGAGGTTGACGCGGAGCTGGCCCACGAGCGATTCTTCACCAACGGGCTGATGATTCTGGCGCGCAATTACCTCGATATTCTACCCGTATGAGCGCTGGTCCGAGTCCACCGTGCCTGTGTATCCGCCAGGGCGATACCTTCACGCCCACCGTCTTCGAAATGCGCTCAGGCACGACCACGGCACCGAAAACTGCTGACTGAGGGCGAACTGGTCAAGATCATGGACCGCAATGGCATTCGGCACCGACGCCACGTACGCCGACCACATCAAGAAGATCATCGACCGCGAGTACATATTCAAAGGCGCCCAAGGCCTGAGCCCCTCGACGCTGGGTGTCGGCCTGGTCGAGGGCTACGATCGCAATCGGCCTGGAGCTCTCGCTGACCAAGCCCCATCCTGCGCCGCGAAATGGAGCAGGAGCTGCGCAAAATCTGCCTTGGCCACAAGCACAAGCAGGATGTCGTGCGCGAAACCCTGCATCTCTACCAGGCTGTCTACACAAAGTCTGCCAATGAAATCGAGAAGCTCGAGCTGGCCCTCGGCCGCTGCATGGGTGTGACGCCCACTAGCGACCCGGCGTGGCAGCCCAATAATGTAGTCAATGCCGACGTCTGTATGTGCCCGCAGTGTCCTGGCAGCTGGCGTCTGCGCGCCCGTCAGAATGGCTCGTGGATGATCGGATGTGATCGGTATCCGCAGTGCCGTCGCGCTGTCTGGGTACCCGATGTCGTCGAGAATATGCAGGTTAGTGAGGTAGCGTGTTCGATGTGCGTGGGGAATCCGCGCGGCCCGGCTAAATTGCTGGAAATTGTCTTCAGGCAAGGCTCCGTGCCCCCGGGCGTGCCGACGCCGTACCAGGGGTGTGTGCGCGGCTGTGACGAGCTCATCAGCGAAATGTTTGGTTCGAATTCTGGCGGTGGCGGTGGCGGTGGCGGGAACCCTGCACTACCAAACACCGCAGGCAGGCCGGTATCCCACCAAAACCAACTGCCGCCGCCTAGCAGACCAGTGCCCCACCAGAACCCCTTGCTGCATGCTGCCCCATACATTAGCCGCCCGCCGACCCCTGGCCAGTCCAGACAACCCGCAATGCTACTGCAGCCAATCGTCCAAGCGCCTGGTTACCCAGAAGCCGGGGCCCAACAAGGGCCGGGCATTCTTCAAGTGCGCCCGCGCGGCCGACGCCCAGTGCGATTTCTTCCATTGGGCCGACCAGCCCACCAATTCCTCCGACCTCTTCCCAGTGCAGTCCAGGCTCGTCGGCACTCCCTGACCTGTACTCGGTGCACGCCAGCCCGCCGCAGCCCAAGCCCAAGTGCAAATGCGGCCTGTTTGCATCGCTGAAGCAGACGTCGGAGTCGGGCGCGAATCCGGGCCGCGAATACTACTGCCTGCACTAAGGCCTACCAGGGCTGCGGCTTCCTGTGCTGGAAGGAAGGACGCCGAGGCGTATATGGAGGGCGCGCTGATTCAGAATGCTGCCGGGTCGCAGTGCTACAGGTGCCAGCAAGCCGGCCATTGGGCTAGGGACTGCCCAAATGCTGAGCCTGGTGGCGAAGGGAGTTCCCGGAAGAGCGCTGGCGGCCCAGGTGCGCAGAGGCAGAGGAAGGGGAAGGGGAAGGGGCAGAGGTAGAGGGAGAGGGAGAGGTGCGAAGCAGAATGGCCCAGTAGTGAAGGATGTTGATCCGAATTTCCAGTTCTGGGATTGACATGTCGCGGTGGTACAATACATTGCCCAGCACATTAGCTTACAACCACGATACGCGGTATTTAAATACACAGTATTAACACCAGTACGCCCCCCTCCTACACTCTAGGTTCCACCAATAGACCAGCCAATCTACTAAATAGGCTCCAATAAGGCAAGGCACTGGGCAATTTCTCTGCAGTGGTTTACTATATTTCTTATTCCTTGCGTCCTCCCACATCGATGGTTCAGCTGTATCATAAAATGACAGTACATGTAAACTAACTATAATGTCTATCGCAAAGAGTGGCAGATCTTCCCGAAATTCCCTTTCTTATCTCCATGCATCAGCTTCCTGTTTTGATGTGCCCATACCATGTTGCAAACAAGTATCTTTGTGGCTGGATTGGCGTCTAAGGACCAGCAATCACACAAGCCAATAGCCCCAGCTCTCACCGCTACGCTAGCAAGTTCCTTCTTCATCTCCGTTCCATTTATTTTTTGACCAACAAGTTTTTACTATTATTTACTGGGGCAGATGTCTTCTCCTGCTCAACGCCTGCCTGAGATCCATTCTCAAACGCATCTTCTCGCCTGCTAGTTCGCTACAGTATTATTGCGTCCTATCCATCGTTTTTCCAACATTGCCCACGTAGTCAAATGGCCTATTACGCAGGTGTGCCAGGCATGGCGTGAAGTGGGCATTGGTATTGTTTATAGGGAAGTGGCATTTTCATCCCGGGATAGCCTAACCCTTGAGCTTGCTGCTGTAGCAGGGGCCATAAACAGGGTTCGGAGGATTTCGTTATGGCTTGACACAGACAGTGTGCTCTGCGGTTCAGCTATAGCCCGGCTGACTTCGCCCCCGCTGGACAGGAGCGCTTTCAAGTTCGCCACAACGCTTGTAGTCCACCTGATGGGTCGACTTTCCGTCGGCTGGCATAAACGACGAGCTCTTCCTGGATAATACGAGCAGGCTTTGCAATTGGGCTTCGGCGAATGTTCCCGACTGCTGCACATCTGCGACTAGACCACCAGTGGCAAACCAGGAGCGAACGCTGGCCACTGTACGCGGAAGATCTTGTGCGAGGACTGTTTACGGGCAAAACCAGGCGTGAATTTAGCCGATGTCGGGCAGATTACTATTCCTGGACTCTTTTTGGACGGCAGCTACCTGCAACACATCGATGCACGCAAGGGACATGTTTCGTCCCAGCTCCTGGAGGTTATCCGGCGCCATGCCGCAACCCTCCAGACATTGGACACCAGCTTCCTTTTGCCGATGATGCTGAGCGATCTTGTCCAAGATGCTGACGGAAACCCCATCAGCTACCCGCAGATGCACTCCCTTGGGCTATATTGCACTGACTTTACTCGGAACCAGAATACTTGGCTGTTCACATCACCCGGATGGGGTTCCGTTCCCTGTGTTACAGAAACTTGTCATGCATATGCGGTACCCGTTTCTAAACGACGTTATGTTGCGTGGATCAGAGAGAACGCTGCATGACCTGGCCATGCATATTGATGACAAGACTATAGATACATTCAAGCGGTGCGGTGTGTTTGGACTCAGGCCGACTTGGGGCAGTTAAATCTGTGAAGCTGATGGAGAGAGCTCCAGGGATGCAACTGGGATATCGGAGAACCAAGTGCTGCAATTACTTGTCGCACTTTGCAAAACACACCTGATATCCTTCGACGAGCGCTTTCGCCTCTCCTTCAGCATAGCCCAGCGATATCTTGGCGATTTTTCTCAAACTCTCTGTATGCTAAGAATGCCTGGTTTGGAATGTGAACTAGAGCAGCTCATTGCGCTAATTGGGTCTCTTCCTTTGACTCCATACACTATGTGCGACCTGCTGCAGGAGCGCTGTCTTTGAGAGCGAGTCGGATCATGAACATAATCGCTGCACAGACATAGTGCAAAATAACCAACGCTCCTACAAGTACCGATGCCAGAACCCTTGCCACGGATCTCCCTTTTGCAAGAAGCCACATTGGGGATAGCTTGCCAAACGATGAGCAATGCTGGTTTGCTGATCGCTTCGCGCCCTGTAATCTCGCAGACACTACATACTGCTGAAGTTAGCCTGGAGCCGGGGTGCAGGCCTATTCACCGTCCTGAGACTAGCAGCAATTATAGCGATACTATGCCCTTCAGCTCGACATATTGGACGCTTATTAGCGATTCCTGGCGCATACATTATCCGGATCGATGCTGACTTCTGAAGCGTCGTTTATGGAACTGCCCTCTCGAGCCTAGAGCCATGGGCCGGTGGTTGCTAAGATACAGGTTCTTGTCAATCCATTAATTCTTTAAGGGTACTTTCTTTCAGATTATTGTGAGTAGCTCACATACACACACACCACATCACACCACATGTCGCACAAATACGTCTATCGCATCTGTTCCACAGCTACAAGACTACAGTCCGATAAATAGGCATGGCAATTAAATGATGGATTGTTCTACATAATCAGTACTACTGGATGTATGTCAGAGCTACCATGCTCAACCCTTTCTTTTTGATTATAGCAGCTGCCTCATGATTTATGTCTGTGATACAATATGCCAAGCATATTCCTATTATTGATCTACTAGAAATACTCTGCTCGCGATGCGAGCTCGGCTGCTAGTCAGCATGGGTTGACACGTCGATAAGAGCATCACGGCGAACCGGTCCATTTGAACGTGTCGGATGGTTGTTGGTGCAATGTCGATCATGGACATCTCCCTACCTTGGATGGCCTGCTCAGCGTAGGCGCTTCAGCGCTGGCTCGCTGCTGCTGGCAACAGAATCCGCCTGCTGCTGCACGCCTCTTGCGCAGGTTCTTTGTTGCCAGGGGTGGTGCCAGAAGCATTCGGCAACAATGGCCGTAGAAGCGACGGAACCGTTCAGGAATACTGCCTGAATCACAGAGTGACTGGAAAATGAGTCTGAAGTTTAGAACTGCTGCGAGATCGCGGTTCAAGAGCCGAGACGAATAGGCTCGCCTGTATTGTGCCATGGCCCGCTTACATGACTCGCTTGTACAGCGGAGAAGGCCATGGCACTTCACAATTGGGTTCTTCGATCTCTGGTAGGGCCGCGGGTTGGGAACATGCCGGAATGTCTGCAGCGACTTTTCGCAGCAGAACGGGCACATCGACGATGTCCGGAATTCGTCGATCAGATAGACTTCAAAGCCATGGTGCTTGAACTTGTCGTGCCATCCCTTGCCACGGATCGGCGCATGGTGTCGGGCCATTGGCGCACTCCAATTGCCCATGATCAGCACTGGATCTGGACCGAACTTGCTCCGGAGTTTCGCGGCAAGCCTGTGGTCTGCACGGGCCTGGTTCATGAATGAATCAAGGCGCAGCTTGCGGTGAAGCGGGTACACCTTGGGACTGGTCCCGACACCTGGATGGACCTTCCAGCGCCTCTGATGCTGCTTGTTTGACTTAGTGAGCTGCTGCTCTGGTAAACTTCACGCTGTTATCGTGCTGGCATAAAACGGTGCTAGGACATACCGCACAGATGCACGGGCAGCAACGTAGGCACGGAATTTTGCTGGGCTAAGGGTCCGGCAGCAGTGCTTGGAAAGCTCTGCCTCTGCTCTGCGGACAGCATCTTCTGGGAACTTGATCCTTTGTAGCCCGACGAATCCTGTCATAGTGGCGCAGCTTGAGCTCCTTATTGCGCTGCTGCCGTGTGTAGCGGTAGAGCATCTTTTCACCCTCTTTCCCATTGCTGCTATTTTCGTGCATCATGTATAGCAAATCGCCCCGACCTGGATCGATGAATACACAGCGGCCTTTCAGATTCTGCAGCTCTGGCTGTGGGATCTGGTGGATATAGCGACAGTCAGCTATAGTACTGCCTCCCACAGCATCACCTCCTGCAACATCGCCTGTAGCATCGCCTGTAGCATCGCCTCCCACAGCATCGCCTCCCTCCCACAGAATTGCCTCCCGCAGCATCGCCTCCCGCAGCATCGCCTCCTGCAGCATCAGCATCCTACTGCACCATCAGCCTTGGATATCTTGTCTTGCAACAAAATGCATATTGCTTACACCATCTGTTGTTGCCATTCCGTGGAATTTTCTATCACCATGCGCCTTAAATGGCTTTGATGTTAGATCTGCGACCCGGCCCCACACATCCCACACAGGTTGTGTGATCCCTTGGACCGGGTCGTGTGCACAGACTGGGGGTGCTGATGCATATGCATTGTTAAGTGCTGCAACAGTGTCTGCTGCTGCCGCCGATGCAGCAGCAAGTGAATCAGCCGCTACTGCTGCAGTTGCTGCAGTGGCCTCTGTTGCATCCGATGGCATCTTCGCTGCTTCGCGTGCAGCCTTCTTGGCCAATTCTTCGCCCTTTTCTGCTGCTTTCCTTGCCTCTGTTGCTGCCCCCTTTGCTGCGTTGATCTTGGTAACCTCCTCACGTGTTTTCGAAACAAACACCTGCTTGATTATTTGCTTGTCCAAGCGCATATGGCCTGGGATCCATGATGTCCGCAGAGGCAAGCATTGGGGAGGAGACTTGCCAAGCTGCTCATTCTCGATAAGCTGGCATAGGACGAATGTATGCATGCAGATGCTTAAGTGGATTTACCTTGGCATCATAGTATCGGCTGTCTTTAGGCGAATCTGTACTTGGAATCATAGGCATTGAGGGCTGGTGCCAGCTTGTTGTAGATTGCAAGCATCGGTGGGGTGAGCACATTGAGATCAGGGTGCCTAGAGGCAACTGCCTGGCGGAGCTTCTGTGCAGGCGTATAAATATACACTTGACATGCATTATTGAACTCAGCCTTAGGACACATTGCCCATTGTACTGCGCAGTGTGTTTTTGCGGCTGCGAATATCAATCAATTTGGCCAGAATCCGCTGTAGGCAAGTGCCATAGTGCAACACAATGTTGTTCTTGTATGCTGTCATCAGCTCGGTATCCACGTATGTTGCTACCTGATTCATTTCGCGTACGCCATGTAGCTCGATATCGCCATTATGCTAATAGATAATCATAAATACGATATCTAACTACATCACCTGAAATCTGCGCCGGTTAACAGTTCTGACCTTGTCCTTCCGGTTGAACGAAATCCTCGGCAGATATTGACAGGTCTTCGCCTTCAGATTGCTGATATATGAATAAATAAATAGAAACGAAAAAAACCCCTTTTTCACAAATGTTGCAGGGTCAAAGGCATCATCGTCAAGCTAGTTGATAGGAGTAATATCCATCGTGCAAGCATGTATGTATGCTCTTTGATGATATTGACGCTGTATACAAATTGCTCTAGGCGGGGCAACATAGAATCACGGAAGCCAATACCACCAAGTGATGTCTTTATGGACAGTAGTGCTGCGGGTAATATTCATTTGAGAAATTCAATAGGCAAGTAAGAAGAGAAATGATGCTGTTCAGTTTTGCTTTATTGCGTATGCATAGCATTAAGAACTTTTTATTAAAAATTATCTGGCTTGCATGGTTCTTGGGGCCCTTAGCACTGATACAGTCTCTTGAATCAGTCTATACAGACTGGATCCATTGTGGCCCAAATACTACCGCTTACGCATGTTCATAAGACAAATTAATTTATAAAATAAATCCTACAAATATTGCATGAACCGCTAGGAAGAGCTACATGACCTTATTCAATAGGTGCTCATAAATAAATATCCTTAAGAGTGTTGCGCAGTCCGGTGATGACCACCATGATGATGCTATGGAAGTTATCAGGCCGACCGACAATGAGAGCAGCTCTTGCGCTGAACCAATGGAGATATCTAGTGGAGACTTGTGACCACTACAATAACAACTCGTCACCCTGGTTTCACCGATGAGGTCAGATGCCGCACAAGATCAAAAAGGAGTTTATAGAGTAAGTCACCCAAACTCGTGTTGAAGCTTAAAAGTTTTATTTTTTTAACCAATTAAATAATTTCTAGCGGACAGTCGGACACTTTTTGGACTATAAAATCTTATATATAGGTAAAGATAAAGATATGTCTATATGTCTATATCGATTATACTATCTGAAACAGTAGATATATTGTAAGTAGAACTACGTGAAGGGTATAATAACAGAAATACAGTAAATTAGTCAGTATTCAAAGACGAAACCATGGAGTTCCCTGGTCATCGAGGCCCCAGTGGCCTGTAATCCTAGACAAAAGATCTGGCATATCTCTCTTGAACCATGGATGTGAGTAAACGACCCTTTGGTGCTCTTCAACAACAGCGCTCCTTGTGGGAAGCGCATGGCGAGTAAACCCAAGCCCCATTAGATTGGCGACAATATCCGAACATTGGCGCATATGCACACCACGCGCTGCCAGCATCCTGTAAGAGAGTATCAGGTCGAGTGAGCACAAAATCCGTACCATCCTTTCTCCATAGTATAAAGTAGTTGGTTTCTGGGTCACTGACGATCTGGTAGAGGTGTTCAATAAAAAGATCCACTGAAGGACTAGCACTGTGTATTCCATGGCTAACTTCCTGGATGCCTTCATTGCTCTCTTCATCACTGTCGTCCAGAAAGAGGTGTTGCTCTGTTTCCAGAAGAGACAGAGGCTGCCGATATCGCACTATTATGTGCTGGACCTGTGAAACCCGTTGTAATATATCCCCCTCTATTGGAGGACTCGTGCTCGCCGATACGTATGTTTGCTAGATAGTCAGCTAGATGAAACATTGTTGTGCTTTGTTACCGTTCAAGACTGCTGTTTAAAAGAATAAAAGAGACCAGGAGGAAGAGGAGGAAGAAGAGAATATTTATTGTTGAATAGCTGCGGCCACCACCGAGCCTCCTAAATCTACTCCTCCAGACAGACATATTATGCAGCGTGTGGACAGTAGTGGCGCGGACACAAAGATCCAAAAAAATGCTTTTGATATTTGGCTTTTAGAGATGCGAATTCGCCGTTTGATCCTAGCGGCAGTTTTCTAAATTGAAATTAGTCAGATCAAAGCAATGAAGAAACTAGGTGTACCACATGTCAATGAGCTGCACAAACTTCATCCAAAGAACATGTTTGCCACGATGGTGTGCAGGCCTGCTATGGCGGCAGGGATGATAGCTTGTGCATTTATTAATGATTCCACTCATCATTGAATCTGTTGTGGTTTGTCGTGTTAGCTAGCCACACCTGGCACCTGCTCATTTGTCCAATGGTGCTATGCCTCCCGAGTGATGATACACATCGAAAAGAATATAATTAGTGGTTACAATGAAAATATATAGAAAGATGTTGCAAAGGTGCTGTTGTACCTCAGCAATGCAACTAAATATTTATTGATGCCACTATGGCGAACACAGATTGAAATAAAAGACAAGAATTAAAATAAATGCTGCCAACTATGTACCATGTGTCCTATGAATATGTGCGTCAGCAATTCTCACTCTGCTGACATACGTGCCCCATAGTCACAATAGTATTTTAGATTTTAGATTTGTGAGTACCACTCAGTAGGGCATGCTAATGACCATTTGGAAGGTATGTGGACCGATTCTCTACCAGATCTCTCGCAGTCATTGCTTTTATCTTGGGGTCTTTCCGTGGCAGCCTCAATATGACCACCTTGGTCTTTGTTTATAAGCCCCAAAAGGTCTCTATATAGAGCCTCTGTATCACAAGGCACAGGCTCCGTGTCATAGCCAGTCCAGCTAAGGACATCATCAGACAGGAGGCTATGTGAGACACAATCAAGTTGCCCAGTTAATGGATCTGCAGTCATACTTGGGATGGTTTGCACATGCTGCGTATACACAGGACTTTTACTGACCTCATCTTCATCAGCAAGGGGCAAAGATGAATACGAGGAAAGCTCATAAAGAGCTTCCGCTGCAAGATTTTCACCCATCGTAGCCGCAGTAGTAGCTTCAATTTGCACACTAGTAGGAATAGCAGGTGAAGGTGTCATGGTGGGATATGATATATAGCCCCCATCAGCAAGTGCAGCTGATACAATATCAGCGATGGTAAGCGAGCTGGGTACATCCGGCATACAATCAGCGCCAGTGATTACACCAGCCGCCTGCTCCCTGATGTCGAACACGGTAGACACGGTGGATGAAGTGTCAGAAATGAATGACGCTTGGTCATTGAAGTAGTCATCCTGCGAGTTGGAGAGTTGAGACATGTTTGGACTTTGCAGCGAAAGAGTGTTGGAATTTGCTACTACGTCTGAAAATGAGGGAAGATGGTGTGCGGAGTGGATGGAAAACAGTAGTTCGAGCCAATTTATATATTCAAAGCTGCTCTGGCACTTTTCAACAGCACAGAAATGATGGTGGCACAGTTGCAGGTAAAACTGAGCAGAGTGCTGATCCTTGGAACTTGGGAGGTGGCTATGGCGGATGCACATAATAGACCAATTCCCTTGGCTGCATGATGCCGGTAAGCACTGCCCAAAAAGCCAATTCGCCTCTGACAAAGAGCATGAACAAGCCTTCTCGGGAATTCTCAGCGCATGGCTCCAAAGACATGGCAAGAGGAATAATGTGGTAGTATGCACCACGGCATAATGGCTGACAGATCTTTACAGTTTGGGCGGGTGCAGATCAGCATAAAGAACTGCGGTGTGCCTCTATCCACTCAAAACAGCACCTCTTGCTTTCAAAATACTTCGTTGGGGCGCAAGCTGGCTGATGCCTTCTGGTACATGTAGCATTTAGCACAGTGAGCCCCTCGCCCATTTTGGTTGCCATTGGCCATGCGCCATGTGCCCATGTGTGCCAACAGCGTCCATACCTTAATGGTGCGACATATTGTACTAGTGATTCTATATAAAATCAGTCGCAGAGATTTTTATATGCTTCTATATCCAACATCCAGACGGCCCCTTAAATCCTGGGCCATATCTACAATACCGCATCTTGAAATGGGTATATTGTGGACATGCACAAACATCATGTCAGCGTTTTCATGTCACACAGATCCACACAATACCCACAATCCTCCAATCGCTATTGACAATTACAAAAATTCAATCTGCAGTGTGCACATGTTTTATTTTAGCTTCACTTGGGTTTCCCTTTTTCACATACCTTTACCAGCCATGTCCAATCTCTTAGAGCAGCGCAACGCGTTCAAGAAGCGCATTGCGGAGCAGCCCGTTCTGCAGCGGCACACAATTGCCCGGCCCTCGACGGTGCGCAATTTCCGGCCGGCAGCTTCCTGGTCAGGCGCCGCGCCTCGACAGCACCGCAGTGAACGGCGCACATGCTATGACCAAGGTCTACTCGATCATAGATTTCCTCAAGAAGTCACAAAAGCCATATACAGCTGCCGACCTGCAAATGTACGAGCATGTTGACTTTGAAAAGGAGCCCGATGTGTACAACCAGCTAAAGGGCAACGAGAAGGTTATATACGATGCAAAAAACAAGACGTTTGCGTACAAGCCCGACTACAACATCAGGACCCGCGAGGAGCTTGTCGAGTACCTACGGACAGTTGCCGGATCGTACGGGCCTGGAGATCAAGAGGCTGAGAGACTCGTACCTGGCAGATATCCCAAAGGTCATTGCCGACCTGCGCAAGGAGGGGCTGATTCTGACAACAACCAACAAGGACGGGCACGCAAAGTATATTTTCTACAACTTCCACAAGCTGCAGACACCCGTGGACGACGACATCAAGAGAAAGTGGGCCGAGCTGCGGATCCCCGACGAGGCAGATTTGGCATTTGAGATGGAAAAGGCCGGACTGCGCCAGATGCAGGTTGAAGAGAGAGCGCACAACGACGACGACAAGAAGAAGACCAAGCAGCGCACGCGCAAGTTCAAGATCACCAACACGCATCTTGTGGACATTGATCTGACCAAAAAGTACGTGCCCGAGAGCAAGTAGCTGCTTCCTCCTGTAGATATGAGATTCAGCAACACAGATGCAGCTTCATCAGGAGAGGGTGTGGTAGAAAATGCGAGAGAATTTTTAATGAGCTAGAAAGCCAGGAAAAATACGTCCTTTGGGATTTTTCATTTTTCACAAGACGAACTGACGGGAAGCTTGCTACGAATGAAACTTAGGCCTCAATAGGCCTTGGCAACCTGGACCGAGATGCGGTCGAGGTCGCGCTGGCCAGCCGAGGTGATCTTGCGGCCACCGTTGGCGTGCTTCTCAAGGATGCCGATCTTCTCGAGACCCTGGAAGACCTTGCGGGCGACGTTGGTCGACGACGCGGCGTGGTGGTTGGGGCGGGTGCCACGGCGCTTGGTTCCACCATAGCGGTCAGCCAGAGCACCAACACCAACACCACCGCGCAGGTAGATGTGGCGGGCAACCGAGGCAGCGCGCACGTAGAACCAGTCCGGATCGTACGGCGACAGCTCCTTGTGCGAACCAGTCTTGGCGTACTCGGTCCAGGCGGGGACCTCGAGCTTGCCAGAGCGCTTCAGGTGAGCGGCATAAGCCTTGATAAAAGCGTGAGCGTTGACGTCCTTAACGGTGACACTACCAGCCATCTACATGTGTGATTTGTTTGCCAGACCGTGTGATATACGCGTTATTTGTTCGTGCATTCCACCAGACCACCATCGGCGTCGAATATCGCGTGCGCAGATGTCGAGAGGCCGATCGTAGGCAGCATACAGGGAGAGATATCAGAATGAAGGGGCTCGAAATGTTAGCATCATACTCGCGCAAGAAAAATTTTTCATAGGTCTGCCACAGGAGTTTTTGGATCCCAACCCAAGGCCACGACCAAAACCAGAGACCACAGACCACAGGACCACACGCCAGACACAGACCAGCACAGACAGCACACTGCTGCGTCGCCACGCTTAGGACATGGCAGGACTTTGCGGGAACCAGGATTCCCTCGCAGAAATCACCAGCCAAAATTGCAAACCACCCTCGAAATCGCAGGTCACTATAGCGAAATCTCCTGCCACCACCACTATCAACTCGGTGTCTGCTGCTCCCGTGTGTTCTGTGTGCCTTTCTTTCGTTCCTGCCATCGTAAGAGAGGGAAAGAGAGTGGTCTGCGAACAACAAAGCTGGGTGTCTCGATTGGAAAGCAACTCTTCCAATTTGCGCTGCGAATCTGCTTTCCGCGCGAAATCGGTCGGGGTCGAAGGCTAATCAAGACATACCTTGTATATTCTCAAATGTAATTGCTTGAGTAGCTACAGCAAAGGGGAAAAGAGGAGGTTCATCGGCCTGTAGCGAGTGGCTCTCCTTGACATATACAGGCCGACCGCTGCCGACCCCCCTTCGCCTGCAAGAAAAAAATTACGAGGGCAAGCAAATTCTTCAACTCGGAGGGCTGGTGCCGAGCCGCCACTTTGCCTGGCACCCACCCCCTGGACTCGGAGCCGAGTCGCATTTATGGACACCGGGTCATGTGTGAAAGTGTAGGGTGTCACGTGCCAGGATCAGTGAATCGTCTCGGCGATCAGCTGCAGTGCGCGTTGTTGTGCGTCACACGCTGCGCATTCGCATATGCAGGTTGACACTCCTTGTACATTTTCCACCTACAATGCCTTCCCCACATTTGACACAGCCATTGCAGGGGCTGTGTGCCCTGGTCACCGGAGCCTCGGCGGCATCGGCGGGGCCACTGCTATAGCTCTAGCGCGCCGCGGTGCCCGGGTAATTATCGCCGGTCGCAACGAAGAGAGGTTGGGATAGACTCCACTATGCGCTAGAAGAACTCGCAGAGCCGGCATATAACGAGGACGCCCATCCGATTAGATGCGACCTGCGTGATTCTGACAGCGCCAAAAGCCTGGTAAAGTCTGCGCTGAAGCAGACAAACGGCAAGATTGACATCCTGGTGAACGCAGCAGGCATCTCGCTCGATGGCCTGGCAGTCCGGCAAAACGAGCAGCACCTGTTGGACATGATGCAGGTGAATTTGTTTGGCACGATGGCAGTGTGCAAAGGAGGTTGCAGGCAAGATGATGCGGCAGAACAAGGGCTCAATCGTCAATATCTCGAGCGTCATTGGCATGCACGGCAATGTGGGGCAGTCGGGATACGCAGCATCAAAGGCAGGCCTAATCGGGTACACAAAATCGCTGGCCAAGGAGCTCGGCCCGAAGGGGATATGCGTCAATGCAGTTGCGCCTGGCTTTATCAAGACAGAGATGACACAAAAGATCGTGGACCAGCCGGTGACCAAGGAGCTGCTGGAACGGATCCCGCTCGGACGTATCGGCGATCCGCATGAGGTCGCTGAGGCGGCAGCATACTTGGCTGCGGCAAAGTACGTGACAGGGCAGGTTCTTGTCATCGATGGAGGACTATTTATTTGAATAACAGAAGTATACATGCGGTGGGTGTGTTCTATGAGGAAATGTACTCGTTGATGGTCGACCAGGATCCAACGAAGAATACGCTGATGCCAACAGCAAGTACAACAACTGACCAGAAGGTAGTGCTGGGCTCGGGGATATCCGATGTGTCATCGATGTAGTCGTGCTCGATGAGCGCGGTCGACTCGTCGGCAATGCTGGCCTTCTTGGCAGTGTACGGCGAGACCAGCCGAAGATATATGGTGCCTGGGAGTAAAAACACGATCAGGCTCGACGCGGCTGTGCCGATCAGCTTGAATACAAATCCCAGGTCGCTTACGGCCAGAGCAGTAGCGACGGTGCCAGCGAACATCAGCAGCGACAGCGTGTGGAACTTGACCGCCGATGCCCTCGTCGTGTCGAGCGAGAGCCCAAGTGCTGACGTGAAGAGGTCGCGCACTGGGTAGAATTGCATTGGATAGGTCAGCGTCAACGTAAATGCCAGCAAGACTCTTGCAACGTTTGCCAGCCCATCGTCATTAGCAAAGTTGTTGAGTAGGTTTGGCTGGGTGTTGAAGCCAAATGACCGATAGCTGACGACGGAAAAGGCAATGTAAATGACAGCGGCTGTGCCTGAAGCAAAGCGCGTGGCCGTGTGCCACTGCTGCAGCGTCTTGTGCTTCAGTGTCTGGTAGTTCTGGAGCGCGGTTTGCGAGCAGGCATAAGCAAAGGCAATGACGCCGATGGCTGGTAGAATGCTCTTGCCAAACACCGGCGTAGGCGTAGGCTCTGGCGGCGCATACGCCGGGCCGCGCACCGCGACAATAAGTACAATCACCGGTAGGCAGAAAATCGATAGTGCCGAGGGCTTGACAAGAGGCTCCAGTGTGCGGAAGAACAGCAGCGGCAACGTGAATCCGATGGCGGCTACCAGAATCACCGGCCTCGCGCGAGGTAAACACGTTGACGCCGAATGTGTTCTGCACGATGACAGTGGTAATGTCGCCAACTATAATCAGGTAGCTGATGCAGCTGCCGATAGAGTTCACCGACAGACCAAACGACAGCAGGTAATGGCCAATTCGTCCCAGTGCGGCCTCGGATACCGACTCGTACTTGTACTGGCCTGAACGCCGTCCGCCATAGATGAGTATGTTGAGCGATATGTTGCCCAGGATGGCAACGAATATGAGGGAAAGGATGCCGAAATAGAAGCCGGCTTCGCGCAGCGCGTAGGGCAGGGCGAGGATTCCTGAGCCGATGAGCGTGTTTACGAGGTTGAAGCCGGCGCCAAGGGCCGACGTGCCTCCTGTGGGCGGTTGCTGTGGCATAATAAGAGTGTGCAAAAGACGTATGAAACAGAGGGATGGAGAGAACAAAGAAAAGCAACAGCTCTGCTCCTGCGCCAAGGAGGCTGTTTATAAGTGCGCAGGTGACCTCCGCGATGCCATCGTTTTTGGATGCAATGACGAGATTCTTGCTTTATGGCCAATATCTGCGGCCAGTGTCGCAATAGGCTCAGAGTTTGTGAACTCGGCCAGTTCACTTTCACATTCCGCTGGATTTTTAGTAAGGCAAGCTGCTGTTAATTTGAGTCATGAGCGCTGTGATTATGCTGCCAAAAATGGCTAGGGCTTAGTAGTTCTTGAGCGATCTCTCGAGGATCGTAGCGATCTGCTCAGCGCCGGTCTGGCGCGGCGACAGCTTCAGCACGCGGTGCTGCGGCAAAATGCTCTCAACCAAGGCACCGATGTCTGACGACGAGTACCCAAACGCCGAGATACCGTTAGGCACGCCCAGGCCTTGCAGGAACCGACGCAGCGCATCAGCCATGATCTTGCCCGCATCCTCAAGCTTGGCGTTGGTGACGTCGGCGCCAAGGACTTGTGCGATTTCCATATGCCGCTCCGGGAACATGGCACCGGTGAACTCGGCCACCGCCGGGCTGGTCACCGCCACGCTGATGCCGTGCGGGCAGATTGGGTGGTCGGTGATATACTCGGGGATGAGTGTACGACTTGTTCAGGCCGGAAATGCCGTAGCTGCAGCCGTGCATAAGGTGGACGCCGCCGTTGCCGAATCCGATGCCGGCATAGGCAGCAGCAAGCGTCATGGCCTCCTGGGCCTCAAGATCGTCGGGGTTGGCAACCGAGCGTGGCAGGGCCTCCACCACCATGCGCAGCGCCTTGGACGACCAGATGTCGCTGATCGGGTTCGAGCCCTGGTAAGCAGGACGCTGTAGGGGATTGGCTGGCGCCTCGCCCCGCATGTGGTAGGGAATTGCTGTGTAGGATTCAATGGCATGGCACAAAACGTCGAGTCCTGATGACAGGACGCACCTGGGCGGGCATGCTGCGTGTGTTGAGCGGGTCAATGAGCCCAAGCAGCGGCTTCAGTGCACGGTCGGCAATTCCGGTCTTTGCCTTCTTCTCTTTCAGATCAAAGATTCGCGCTTCCTGTGCACTCCGACCCAGTACCCGCTGTGGTCGGCACCGCAATGAGTGGCAGCAGTGGGCGGTCTACTGCTCTGCCCTTGCCAATGGGTGCATTGACGAAGTCCAAGAAGTCGGCGTCTCTGAACACCGAGTACAGATTTGCTGCCTTGGCCGTGTCAATAGTCGACCCGCCGCCTACCGCGACGATGGCATCGGGGTTGTACTTGCGCGCTGCATCAATTGCCTCTTTGAAACTCTTGTCGGACGGCTCCACGCGCACATCCTTGAACACTGTGTAGTTGATCTTGTTGCGGTCCAGCGACTCGACCTGTTGCCTTGAGTGGGTGCAGCTTGAAGATGTTAGGGTCTGTGAACACCATGACGCGCTTGGACTTCAGGTTGGCAAGGTCCATGCCAATTTCCTGAGTCACTCCTGTACCGACACGCACGGTGCTGGTGGCCATCTCGAAAGCGTACTCGGGCTTGGGCAGCGCTGCCGAAGCGTGGCGTGAGTGCGAGCAGTGCGGGCCGTGGATGTGCGTGTGTCCAACGGTAGAGTGCGCCGGGCAGGAACATGAGCTGCCCACCATGCGCATCAGGCTGCTGACGGCCTGTGCTGAGGGACGACGGATGAAAGACGACATTGTAGAAAATAGAGTGCTCTTGTTGAGAATAGGAGAAAAGGGGGGTTGTTGTTGGTCACTTGATCTTTGCTGGTACTGCTTTTATACCTGTTCTCCTGCCATTATCTTCTAGCGCGTGTGGGAAAGTCGACAAGGCCCACTTTTACGCCTCCCCTGTCCTATCATTTTGCGCAACAAGCGGGCCAACGGTTCTCCCGACACCTGTCCCCTAGTGTAGATCCACACGAGGTCATGAGGAACTCGCTTTAGCGGGCAGATATCTTTATTCGGACCCGCAAATCGCTGAGTAGTTCCGCAAAGCTCCAACACCATACACCCTGCATGCAACAAGACCTTGACAAGGAACGCCAGCAGTGCTAGTGCTCGTCAGCATAAATACTGCCGGATGGTATAGTACACATACATATGCATCACTGCTGCGCTATGCTTTATCATGAGGTTCTCCCTTCAAGAGGATCTCAAGCGGCTTACTTTTGCTAAATAGCCCCATGTTGGTTGACCAATGGAGAAGCTACACTGCAACAGCAATAGGCTACTTTGCTGGAGCTACTTGTATGCCCGCTGATAGTCCTACTACCAAAGCATTTATCAAAAGTGCTTTAAAGCGTCTACAAGAGACCAGTTGACTAGGCTAGGTATATTTGTTGATGGTACAACGTAGTAGTATTAGGCTAGAAAGGTGAGATATCGAGGCTTGCACAAGACAGTTAGCTAATATTTTCAGCTTAGCGACATAGTCGACGAGGTCTCCAACCGTTCTTACGGCTCTAACCGTTCTTACGGTTCCGATGTCATCAGCAGCGTTGTCAATGTCAAATATGCTATTGATGTCAACCAGAGTCTGAATAGTAGCTATACTGTCCACACCAAGGTCTCCCTGGGGGTCAGAATCCGGGGTAATCTATCCGGAGAAGTATGTTAAATAGAGTTTGTGTGCACCACCCGACAAGAAAACTCCAATGCAATACTGACTCGTTTACTTACAGCTCCCTGATCAATCCCAATATTTTTTGCCAGAATTTTGTTAATTTGCGTCTCGATATCAGCCCTGCTCAGTGCACTGCTGTCTGAATATCACCGGGCAGTCACTGGCGACACAACTTGGCTGTGAGCAGAAATGGTTGGTAGAAGAATGAATCGTTGTTTATCATAATGTGCGTTATTAACATGTGCATAGGTAGATATAATGCATGTACAGACACAGCTGTGGTGAAGACCTGTTGACAGAAGGATAGACAACAGTGTGAGTACGCCGATGTTCCAATTCACAATACTACATGTCTCTGTTGATGATAACTACCTTCAGTGAGGCCATAGAATATCTCCGCCGTGATCACTGCTACCGTCAGTAGTACTATTTACAAGCTCTTCCCTAGCATCAATCATGACACTAGCGTGTTTGGAGCTGACAAGATTAAGACGGTATATGGCCTTGACATTGTTGGCAATCTTATTAACGGACAAAGTAGTGGACACTCATTGAAGACAGTAGTAGCAAAGTGCATTCACTCTGTTAGCATGTTACGTGGTCAAACAATCAACCGGCAAGATTTCGCAACATTCGCTAGTATATCAGATATAAGCCTGCCGCTGTTGAGTTTCAAGACTTGTTCACTCGTATATCAACGAATATCTACCGCATGAATCTGCATGTTATGAGGGATATGAATGTGGTTGAATATGTATGGACATGCAACAACAGGCCAAAAATTATTGGAACACAGTACAGCATGGCAGATGAAAAGTATGTTCATCAATACTACATTGAGCAATGATATAGCGCAATGTTGAAAAGGAAAGCAGAAAAGCAAAACATGCATAGGAGGAATACCGAACAAAAGGAAGTAGGCATGTCTGTTAGCCGCCATATGGATTGCAGGAACTTCCGTTGGCAGATATAACACAGGTATTGATGCGGCAGTGGCAGGTCGTAGGTAGCACAAATTATCGTCCTAATTGCTTGTGAGGGTTTCAAGCGCTCACATACAGGCTGTGTCTGCAAATAGCCATGTCTGTGATTCAGCACTGGTAGTCATGTAGGCATGCCCACTCGGTTCATACTACTCATTGTCTCTTTCAAGAAACCGCACCCAAAGTGCAGTGACTGTGCAGGAGCATAGTGCCCAGTACATGTAGGCCACTATGCTGTCTACGCGCCTGTCATGCATTTCTCGATTGCATTCTATCATTCACCTAGGCAATTGATCGGCAAAGAGCTAATGGCTACGATCCAAGCGATAGCTCAATCTATACACCTTGGCGTAGTATGTACACGAGGACCGTTCTCACGTAACTCCACGTCCATTTGTGACGATATCTAGTTATAAAAGGAAAGTGGTGATAGTTGTGTGGAAGACGATAAAAACTATGCTTTTTAGTGAGCGTCGCTGCGGTTGGAAATGTACTCGATGGCATCCTTAACGCTGGCGATCTTGTCAGCCTCGTCATCGGGGATCTCAACAGAGAACTCCTCCTCAATGGCCATGACGACTTCAACGGTATCGAGGCTGTCCAGGCCGAGATCCTTGGTGAAGCTGGAGACCGGGGAGATCTAAGATAAACGGGCTGTTGTCAGTTTTTCCAAATCCTTCGAGTATTTCAAATTCAGCACGAAAATAGCAACCCAGCACACTTACCTTGTCCTGGTTGACCTTGTCAAAGTCCCGCAGAATCTGGTAGATGCGCTCCTGGATGTCGTTGCGGCTCAGGGCACCACCGGCCGAGTACCAGCGGGCAGCAATGACGGGCATGGCCTGGCGGCTGGCGACAAACGAGCGGGCGGCGGCGGGACGGAAAGCGGCGGCGGCAAAGCGGAACATGTTTGAATTCGGAGATCCCTGTGAGGTAAAGAAACAAGACGGATTTATACAAAAAGATTAGGAGAGGAGAAGGTCGCGCTCTAGTGTGCATCGCCCTCTAATAGGATTTTTTCGTGCTTTCAAAATTTACCGCACACTTCCTGCGCCTTCTCGGCTCAGCGTCAGCGCTGGGCGTTATCTCGGCCCACCTGTTTTTCCATTGCAGATCATCAATCAAACAGGCGATTAGATTTGCGGATCAGCTCTCGCTGGCTCTTCGTCGCTGGCTCTCCCGATCTGGGGCAATCAGCGCACGGTCCGTCTTGGCCGGCGGTCTCACAGGCTGCGCAACAGAGCTGCCGTGGAGAGGAGAGCCAGAGATGTTGGGCGATTGTGCTGATTCCGCTCGTCCATGGGAAGATGTCGCTATCGACTACCTCCGCGCGCGCAGGCTATGGAGCCGAGCGCAGCTCCCGAGGAAATCAAATGGCGGGTGATAAGCCCGCACCTTGGCACCCTCATGTTTGAAAGCAAGCCGCCAAAAGAGAAGATAAAAAAAGTTCCCATGGGGCCGAGCAATGCGCATCGATCTCAGCGTATCGCTCTCCGCATTTTTTTCTCACCACTTTTTTGTAAACAGTTTCTCACACCTGGCCAACCACTCTTTCGCGCTGGTTCTCAGGAGCAACAGGGTGCAAAAAGAAGCGACCGCGGCCCTTCGTCTCTCTCCTCTTCTCTCCCAGCAGCATTCTCCCCCACACTATTAATCACATCTACATACACACAAAAGATAAACCATGCTCTCGTCAATGTTGCTCAGAGGGCCCTGTCCCCAACAGCCTGGCGATGACGATGCGGACCACTGCAGCCAGCTCGGCGCAGGTCGCTTCGCGCATCATGGCGGCACGCACGCGTCGCTCGATCGACCAGCGCCGGGCCCTGTCCAACAAGGTGCCGCTTGATTCGAACTGGGTCAAGCTGGCAACCAAGGAGTGCAAGGGCAAGGATCCCGGAGCAGACGCTCACATGGAAGACGCTCGAGGTAAGCTGCTTGGAAGGACAACAGCAATGTGGCAAGCCTGCATATCCGCCTTGTTCATTAAATGGGCTCTTGTCTGTAGGGCATTGATGTCAAGCCCCTTTACACAAAGGAGGACACGGCCAATATCGAGAAGGAGGTGCCCGGCGTCTATCCATTCACGCGCGGGCCCTATGCGACGATGTACACATACCGGCCCTGGACTATCCGCCAGTACGCCGGATTCAGTACGGTCGAGGAGAGTAACCGCTTCTACAAGGCCAATCTGGCAGCCGGCCAGCAGGGGCTGTCTGTGGCGTTTGATTTGGCCACGCACCGCGGCTACGACTCTGACCACCCGCGAGTTGTTGGCGATGTTGGCATGGCCGGTGTAGCCATCGACTCGGTCGAGGACATGAAGATTCTGTTTGACGGCATCTCGCTCAAGGACGTCTCGGTGTCGATGACCATGAACGGTGCGGTGCTGCCGATCCTGGCCATGTACGTTGTGGCAGCCGAGGAGCAGGGCACGCCGTACGACCAGATGCGTGGTACAATCCAGAACGACATCCTGAAGGAGTTCATGGTGCGCAATACGTTCATCTACCCGCCCGACACGTCGATGCGCATCATCGGCGACATCTTTGCGTTCACAGCCCAGAAGATGCCAAAGTACAACTCGATCTCGATCTCTGGCTACCACATGCAGGAGGCTGGTGCCAACAGTGTGCTCGAGTGCGCCTTCACCATTGCCGACGGAATCGAATACATCCGCACAGGCATAAAGGCCGGCATGACTGTTGATCAGTTCGCCCCGCGCCTGTCGTTCTTCTGGTGCGTTGGCATGAACTTCTACATGGAGATTCGCCAAGATGCGCGCTGCGCGGCGGCTGTGGGCGCACATGCTCAAGGAGAAGTTCGATCCCAAGAACCCCAAGTCGATGATGCTGCGCACGCACTCGCAGACATCGGGCTGGTCGCTGACCGAGCAGGATCCGTACAACAATGTGATCCGCACTACCGTTGAGGCCATGGCTGCCACGCTTGGCGGCACTCCAGTCGCTGCACACCAAATGCGCTGGATGAGGCCATCGGTTTGCCGACAAAGTTCAGCGCCCGCATTGCCCGCAACACCCAGATCATCCTGCAGGAGGAGGCGTACATCCCGCGCGTGGCCGACCCGTGGGCCGGCTCGTACATGATGGAGTCGCTGACTAACGACATCTACGAGAAGGCCAAGGAGATCATCCACGAGGTCGAAGGAGCTTGGCGGCATGGCCAAGGCCATTGCATCGGGCATGCCCAAGATGCGCATCGAGGAGAGCGCTGCCATGCGCCAGGCCCAGATCGACTCGGGCCAGATCACCATCGTCGGCGTCAACAAGTACCGTGTCGCCGAGGATGCCGAGGGCAACGAGAGTGGCAAGGTGGAGGTGCTTGCCTATCGATAACCGCGAGGTGCTGAAGGCCCAGAAGCGCCGCCTCGAGTCGGTGCGCAGCAAGCCGCGATCAGGCTGGAGGTCAACAAGTGTCTGGAGGCCATCACCGATGCCACGCGCTCGGGAGAGGGCAACCTGCTGGAGCTCGCCATTGCCGCAGCCCGCGCGCGCTGCACTGTCGGCGAGATCTCCGATGCTGTTGAAGCCTGTGTGCGGCCGCTACAAGCCCGAAGTCAAGCTGGTCAGCGGCACCTACATGCGCGAGTACAACAAGGCCGAGCTCAAGCCCGGACAGCGCGACCCGATTGCCGAGACCGTCCAGATGACCGAGAAGTTCTCTGAGCGCTGGGGTCGTCGCCCGCGTGTGCTGATCGTCAAGATGGGCCAGGACGGCCATGACCGCGGCGCCAAGGTCGTTGCTTCCGGCTATGCTGACCTTGGTTTCGATGTCGATGTCGGGCCAGCTGTTCCAGACCCCCGCAGAGGCGGCCCGCCAGGCCGTTGATGCCGATGTGCACGTCGTTGGTGCCTCATCGCTGGCCGCTGGCCACAAGACCCTGGTGCCCCAGCTGATCGAGGAGCTGAAGAAGCTGGGTGCCGAGGATATTGTTGTTATTGCTGGCGGTGTCATCCCCCAGCAGGACTACCAGTATCTCTTTGACAACGGCTGTGCTGCTGTCTATGGTCCTGGCACCTGCCATCCCTGATGCCGCCCAGGACATGATCACCAAGGTCGAGGCACGCCTTGTGCAAGCCGAAGCCCGCGGTTAAGCCCTATTCTTTCATTTCATTTTCGTCTCAAATGTACGTGTTTCTCACTCCAGCACGCGCAAATGCAATGGTGGCCTTTTCAGAAGCAGCATTAGCACTGCTTTATTTCTTTTACGAGAGTACATGAGACAAGATTAGCGCCGTTCCTAGAGTTGCAGCCTTGGTGTATCTAGGCGCGTCCCTCAACAAACTTGTCCAGGAACTTTGTCGACTCGGGCTCCTTCTCGTTCTCGTCAAAGTAGCGCATCGCATGCGGGTACTGCTTCCACACATTCACAAACTCCTCCAGCTCAATGCGGCTCTTGAACAGCAGCACATCAATAACACGCGGGTCCGACACGAACCGGTGCTTCTCAAACTCCTCGCGGATCTTGGAACGCACCACCGCCTGCGGCATCGACAAGTGGTAGTCAATCATAATCTGCGGCACGCTCTTCTGCCACTGCCGGTACAGCTGAATCGAGCGTGTGCGAGCCTCCGCCAGCGAAGCGGACGTGCGGGTAACGAGGGGCGGCAGGTGCGGCATCCTACATTGTTTGGTCAAATTCACTGTCAATCGCGAGTCCATTTCTTCTCTAACGAAGCGCCGTGTGCTCCTCCATCGAGTCCATTTGAGATAGACGCTGCCCATGGACGACTGTTACCTTGCGAAACTGAGAATGTGTATAATATAAGGAAAAAGTGTATGTAGCTAAAGGGGGAAAGTGTTCGACTTGCCAGGCCAATTCAGAGTGCGAGAACCGAAACAGACCCAGTCACTCCTGCCCTCTTATCTGCAAAAGCCGCCCATCTGGATCTGATCGCCTGATCAAGCATGCTGGGGTTTAAAACCAGCGGCTCTAAAATCGCCGGAGGTTCCTCTTGCTCCGCTCCTTAGCCGTCAGGGTCTTCTTCGCCCTCTTCGTCGCCGGCTCGGCGGGGGTTGCTTCTGCTGCCTCAGCGGGCGATTCGGTCCTCGGCTACACTACGGGGAACTGCGTGGATCTTCCGTCATCAGCTTGGCATGCTTTGCGTAGTCATCGTAGTGCTCGAGTAGCAGCTTGCCTGCCTCCTCGTTCAGCGCCGACTCTGGGTTTGGGTATATCAGCAGGCACTTGACTGTCACCAGCACATGCTCGATCCCGTAGCTCTTTTGCCAGTCCTTCTTCAGCGTGCTGACGCAGATCTCGCCCTGCTCCGACACGTTCGGGTGGAATATCTTTTGTGACAAACGCGCCTTTGGGCGGTGTATTGGGGAAGTTGCTATCAATGGTTAGGCGCACATGGAACTTGCCGCCAGCATACGGTGTGCCCTCAGGTCCCATCGATGACTGCGGATATTTCGCTCAGCGTGTCCTCGTCGACCTCAATCGCTGATACCCTCAGGCGGGCTCGACTGTAGCTTTGTGAGCTCGTTCACCAGTCGCCGCAGCGTCGCGCCCTTGAGCTGCTGCGCCTACCGAAGGGGGGGGGGAATGTGTCAGTGATAAAGCCTGGCCGGCTCTGCTTCTGGTGCTGCATTGGCGCTTACCATTTATGAAGCAAATTCAAACTTTTCGAGGAGCACAGCAGGGGCAAGAAAGCAGGTTGAGCTGGCTCAGTTGGGGCCAAGAGTGGATGCCTCTTTTGCGCAGTGATGTCACGCCATGAGGCTCGGTATTCCAAAGTCTTTCCCAGCCACCGGCTCCGCCAGCCCTGGAGGACCACCGAGCCCAGCCTCGACGCGGACCGCGAAGCTGAGGGAAGTCTGCGGTATGCAGCAGATGCAAATATGCAGCTCACCAACCTCCCCTCACCGTGCTGTGATTATGAGCGCCGGGCGTGTGAACGAGTGCGGTTTTGTGCTCTGCTGCTCGAGATGTGCTCCCTCCCCTCCTTTCCCCCTTATCACTCTGTCGACGCTCGTTTTTTCCTCTTTCTATCAACTCTACCATTTATTGTACTTGGCCTATGGCGACCACCAGTGCGACCATGGGGCTTCCTAGCGAGGTCTGGGTGGAAATATTCAGAACTCTGGGCAATTTCAGCGATGTGTGCACCAGCAGCGAGGCAAGTTGACCGGTCGACCGACAGTGCTGCTTGTTTACACTTTCTCTTCTCTATGGCACGCAGCCTAACAATCGGCGCCAGGAACGGTGTGGATGTGCTTCTAAGCAGTGTAGGTGTGCAGCGAGTGGTGGCTGCTGGCTGACGACGATCTGGTCTGGAGCAACTTGCTCCAGCACAGCTGCGTCGACATTGAGGCCGAGAAGGACTATATGGGCCACAAGCTGCCAGAGATAGGGAAGAACAAGGCCATCTTTGCCAGCTGGTACAGGCGCTACAAGGACTTTGCCGACAGCTACACGCGCATGCGCCGGGCAATGAACAAGCTCAAGGCGTGGGCCGGCATAAACTGCCCGCCTTTGCTGCAGAGCCTGTCGCCAGGACTTGGCTGGATGGGCAGTGAGAGCATTCCTGTCCGTGAGCTGCTAAGCGTCACCAGCGATTCGCCAGAGATGCGCGACTTTATCATCGCGTACCATCTGCATGACGGGCAGCGGCGGCGGATGCGGCGATTCGACAGATATGGGCTGTTTGGCACATACGAGTGCTACGGCGACTTTTGCTCGGTGGTGTGGTTGCCGTCGCGCATGCTACAGGTCATGGAGCTCGGTCTCTTTAAAGTCGCTGTATTCGCCTTATGCCCCGAAACTCTTAACTATCTCGGGATTGTTGTCCAATGTCCCGACGAGTTCAGTAGGCAGACCCTGAATCACGTCGTCGAGATGCAGCCTGGTACATACAGATACAGGGACAAGGGGCTGTTTGGCGACTTCTTTACCTCATACATCGACCAGTTGGTCGAGGGGCATTACGATGTCTATGACAACATGATATCACTTATGCCCAACCGCGGGCCATTCACAAGTACGAGCATTGTGCGTGGCATCAAGACAACTGTGTCTGCCATGTTCTGCGCCCATCCGGTCAGGTCCCAGCGGCTGTATCGCTACCAGGTCACATTCGAGCTTGTCAGCAGTCGAGGCGCTCGGGTACCCGTCAGCACAGCTCAAGTCTGAGATCATGGCTGATCCGCTATGCAAACGACCAATTCACGCAGACAGGCGGCGATGGCGTTATAGGCAAGCATCCATTGCTGTCCGAAAAAGGAACCGTATTTCAAGTACTGCTCTCTGCTGCAGGACGAGCTTGACCATGAGATGCTGGTGGCATTTGAGGGTGACTTCACCATGGTTCCTGGATCGTTGGCGAACCCGCTGGGTCCACAGTTTACTTTGCCTGTTACCCACGTTGAGGTGCCAATTCCGAACGAGTTTTTCTAATATGCCTGAATATACTTTGCATACACCATCTGAGAGCCATTATATCCACATATTCCAAAACGATACTACACGACACGACAAGACACATCACAGTATTACTACTTAAGCATATTAGCTGCTTATATGCTAGGAACATAAAGTATCCTTGAGCCTTCATGATACATATAGGAGCTGAGTAGTGGAAAGGTGAAAAAGGTTTTGGATACTGGTTTTATTTTTTACTAGCGGAGCTAGGCTAAGTCCTAGCTGGTTTTATATGAATCCCGCGAGTTTTCTAACTTCCGCACAATTGGATTAGCACGATATAGTAACCTTTGGTCGGTGCACAAATCCCGATGCAGCAGCAGAGCTTGCCACCGCTATCTCTCCACTATAATAGACAGTCTCAGACAGCAAGCCATGTCCATCTGCTCGGAACGAGCAAGGTGCGAGTCCAGGATTACAGGTCGGTCTGTGGCTCGCACATGGCATACCCGTAAAGCAGCTAATGGCACCGGCTTGAGGTGATGCAGAGGGACCGGCTGGATAGACCAATTACGCAAGCGCTGTTCCTTAATAACCATAAGGCACGTGTCTATGTCCTAGACTATATTTTCTAGCTCCTACGAGTTGGTGCTAGCCACAGACACCGTATGTCTATCAACATGTCTCGTAATACCAATGGAAAACGCGTCAGGTTTGCTGAAGACGATGGTGGTCTGAGCAATTCTGACAATGACATCGAGGATGAGCTTGAGGCCGATATCACCAGCGGCCCTAAGCGGCGCGGCCGGATCAATGCTGACGGCTACGGTAGCGACGACAGTGTCCAAGATGAGGTTGGCGAGAACAGTGACGATGAGGCTAGTGATGTTGAGGAAGGGGACAGCAAGTCTGCAGAGAAAAATGACGACGACGACGACGAAGATATGTTCTCCGACAATGGCGCTGGCCCAGGCACATCCACCGCACACACAGCCAAGCGCAAGCGGTACTTGGATAGCTCCGACATTGAAGGCCAAGAATTGAGTTCGACGGCACGGTTTGACAACACAGACGCCAAGGGCAAACAGATAGACATAGGGGAGGATGAAGGGAAGGGTGGTAAGCTCGAGGCGTTCAACATGAAGGAGGAGCTGGAGGATGGCAAGTTTGACGAGGCTGGCAACTATGTCGCCAACAAAAAGGACCCACAGGCACACCAAGACAACTGGCTTGAGGGCGTGTCATCAGGTGCGATCGAGCAGGCGCGGGTGTCCAAGCAGCGCCAGGAGCAACAGCAAAGGTCCCACGCACAAGAGCTGTCGGTGAAGTGGGACTCTGTGTCCAACGACGACTTGGTTATTGCCATTATCAACTCCCTGATGCCGCGCGAGACTGTCTTGAGTGCCCTGGCACGGATCGGCGGACCAAAGAAGAAGGCGAAGAAGCGGTGGGGCAAGAAGGCCAAGGGTAAAGAACAGGAGCCAACTGGGGAGGATAGGGAGCGGAAGCGCAAGATAGAGGCATTGACCGAGTTGGCCGACCAGATGATGGGACGGGGCGTCGTTGATATCTATGATCAGACACTTGAGCAGCTGGTACGGCAGATGCGTGTAAAGGAGCGCATCCCCGACGACTGGCAGCCAGGCACACTGCTCCCAACCTCTGCCATGGCCGGGGTGCTAGCAGCAGCGTTGGTGGTGGTGGGTGGTGGGTCTGCTGGATGACCTCGATGATCTGGGCCAGAGCCACCACTGACGATACATGCATTCCATACCATAGCAGCCCGTGTTGTGCTGACAAAAACATGGCTCATGCAAACAAAAAAAACTCAGCAGGCTCTTCCAGTTTCTCGTTTCGATATCTGAAAAACATATACTACTGCAAACCAGACAATGGCTGACACTGAGTCAGACAACCCTGCAGTTCTTGCTCTGTATGAGGAGATTGCACGGGCCAAAAAGCGGGCTGCCGAGCGCAAGAAAGCCAAGGAGGAACAAGCCAACGCCAAGTACGGGTCAGTGCTAGAGGGCGATCAGTTGGTGCTGAAGTTGCCTCCTCCACCACTCAAGCCCGACGCTGATGAGTGCTGCAACTCTGGGTGTACGCCCTGTATTCTAGACACATACAAGGAGACAATGGATACCTACGCGTCGGAGGTGGCGGTTTTGAAGCTGAACCACCAGCTAGCACTGCGCGGCGAAGTGACTGACAGTGCGGTCCTGAAACACATGGGTCTGCAGCCCGGACTGCTGAACCCGCTAAAGTTCACAATGGTGCGTGTGATTGCTGTGCAGCAGCTCAACAGTTATTCGCGGCTGTTTATCATTGACGCTGATTCCAGTAACTTCTTTTTGGCTGCCGGCGAGCATATACACATCCGTGCTACGGTCAACGACGCACGGCTAACGAGGCCATTTACACCGCTAATGATTGAAGCTCCCGATGGCGTCGTTCGGCCGCATCTGCTCATTCGGCTCTATGACCATGGCCTGTCGCGCTACTTCCGCACCCTAGGAATCGGTGATTACATGTCTGTGCGCGGGCCAGTGTCTACCACTGGTAACTTGACCAAAGTGCTTCAAGGGGACGCAGTCCTGCTGATTGCCGGCGGATCGGGCATTGCCCCTATCTTTCCAGATTCTGCAGTTTGCGCATGTCAACGAGTCATATCGCGGCAAGCGGATCGTGCTGGTGCAGTGCGCAATCGAACACACAGGCGTCTGGCTGTCGAATGAGATTGCAGGGTTTTGCCAAAGATATGCCGCAGCTAAGCCACCACATCTTTTTGTCGCAAGATTCAACTGGCAACAGCATCGCTGTCGACTGGCCATCGCCATGTTACGCCGGGCAGGCTTACCCTGGGGCGGCTGCGCAAAATTGTGCCTGAGCAACCGACTGACAGACATGCGATTGTCTGCGGACCAGGGTTGTTCAACCAGGACGTAAAGGCACACCTGGAAGCACTGTCGATCGCAAACATCCAGCTTCTTTAGCACACTTTTTCACAAACTCGGAAACTGAGGCCGAAAATCGGTGTTAATGCAGCTCGAGCCGACTATGAGCTCCGCTTGAGCCTCTTCAGGGATTATTCGCGAGCTGCTGCGCAGTTCTGGCAAAGGCAGCAGCCTGGCCTGTTTTTTTTTTTGCGCAGCACCGGTCCTCGCAGGGTTTCTACCAAACCCCCTATAAATGCGCATGAGTCTGCCCGCTCCTTCTCCATTCCAGTCCACTACATCAAGCGCCAAAAACATTTTCTCCTACCTCCTTTCAACAGAGCCACTAATACCTCGTCACTACTCCATCACAAACCATGTCGGAAACCAAGCAAATGCTCATCCAGTTCAACACCAAGGGGAACAACAACAAATTCTACTACGTCGAGCTTCTTGGCGACGGCGAGATGGTTCTCGTGCGCTATGGTCGCGTGGGCAGCAAGGGCACCGAAATGCGGTACCATGGTGGCCAGCGCAAGTTTGATCAGTCTGCTGCGCGCCAAGCGCAACAAGGGGTACAAGGATGCCATGATTGAAGCCATAGAAGATGATGGCTGGAGTTTCGGTCCAGACCAACGTCATCGACACTGCACTGGAGGAGATCAACTACAAGGACGACGCTGCCAAGGAGCTGGTGAAGAGCATCTCTGCCCAGAACGTGCACAAGATCACCAGCGCGACCTCAATCAAGTTTGATGCTGCTGACGGCTTGTTCAAGACACCCCTGGGTGTCATCCAGCGCCTAGGCGTGGAGCAGGCTATCAAGCTGCTGGGGCAGATCGAGGATGAGCTGCCCAAGTTCTTGGAGCTGTATGAGAAGGAGCCCAAGGCAGATTTGGGGTTCCAGAAGCGCGGGCGCAAGAGAAAGGCTGACGGCAAGGTCACCAACGAACCATCAAAGGAGCTGAAGGCGGTCACCGAGCTGATCTCGCAGCTGAACGAGGAGTATTTTGTCATCATTCCGAACAGGGTTGCCAATGCGCGCGAAATCGAGAATCTGCTGTTCAATCAGCGTGCCTATCGACGAGCAGAAGGCGACATGTGACGCACTGCTCGAGACCCTCGACCTCATCGACGACCTGAAGAAGAAGAAGCTGCAGGAGGAGGAGAATAAGAAGGACGATGAGGACAAGCCCAAGGAGAAAGGGCCTCCGACGTTTGAGGTCGAGATCGAGACAGTCAAGGACAAGAAGACCTTCAACTATGTCAGCGAGCTGTTTGAGTCGTACCAAAAACACCGTCCACGGTGGCTACAACAACGGGGCCAAGGTCAGCTGTGTATACAAGATCAAGCTGGCGTCGCAGCAGGCGCCGTTCGAGGAGTGCGAGAAGGATCTCGGTGATGTGCGCCATCTGTGGCATGGAACGCGCACGCAGAACCTGCTGTCAATCATGAGCAAGGGCTTGCTGCTGCCAAAGCTGTCGCCAGGGCAGAAGGCTGGTGCCATGTTTGGAGACGGGCTGTACTTTGCCAACCAGTCGACAAAGTCGCTCAACTACTGCGACGGCGGGTACTGGACGGGCAATGCGCAGAACAAGCCCAAGGTGTACATGTTCCTGGCTTCAGTAGCGATGGGCAAGTACTTTGTGCCCAATGCGGCCGGTATCAGAGGACCGCCACCCGAGGGGTATGACTCGTACTGGGCAAAGGCCGGGGAGTCGTGTGTGATGAACGACGAGCTCATCGTCTTCAAGGCCGGCCAGTCGAGGCTGGACTATTTGCTGGAAATTGAGTTCTAGCTCGACTCTTACTCACGCTCAAATGCAAGCCGCATCTTCGTCATTCATTAGCTCTGCATGTATCCATCAAGTAAAGTTCATATATTCGGTATGGATCATGTGGAAGTGGTGTAGAAACTGAGCTAATATGTTAGGGTGTATCATGGTCTTGTACAAGTTAAAGAGACGAGTCAGGCTCCGTTCTCGCCAAATGCCTGCTGGCACTGGTTCCGCCACACCAGCCGTGTCTCCGCATCCACCCGACGACGCTTTCCCACCAAACACCTGCCACGGAATGGGCGTATCTGCTAACGGAGCCATGAACGCTGGCTGCTTCGGGTAGTACGGGTTGTCCAGGAATTGCATTCGGTTCGCTGCATCAGCCGGGCGCTTCACGCCCTTTTTTGCCTCTTCCGCCTCCAAAGCACCCCGCAATGTAAACGGGGTCATGCCCTCCAGCCCCATGTTGATGGGCGTGGCAGGCGATAGATTTGACAGCGGCGTAAACTCGAGTGCCTCGACCCAGATCCACGGGTTATCGAGGCCAGGAGTATGTGCAGGAGACGGCTGGCAGCAGATCGCAGGTCAGGACATTTGCAGATTCGAACTGGGAACAGGCGGCCGAGGATGTTGGCAAAAGTGCACACTCGGCACCACTGCGCGTACCAGAGGCGCAACGCGGCGCAGCAGCACCAGAGAGCGCTTGCGCATGGCCGCTGTGATGCCCTCATTGGTCAGTCGCTGTAAAGTCCAGCAAGTACTGGTAGAAACCGGCTGTCGCGTCCGTTGGCCGCGCTCTGGCACAGCGGCGACAGGCACAATGTCACTAGCGTCATTAGCCATTCGTCGGCGGCGAATTCCTCCGGGTGCGCGCGCATCAGCCCGCACATGGGCTGCAATGCCTGTAGACGCCAGCGGATCGCCAGACACAGACGCTGTGGATCGACGGGCTGGAGCTTCTCAGTATCCTGCGGCTGCGCAGGCGGCGTTGTCAGGCGGCTTGGGGGTACTTGCCGCTGGTGGCTCGTCGGGGGCTGTCACCGATGCCAACGACAGCGTGGAGGCAACGTCAGAGCTCGCGTGTGCAGAGATGGCCTGTAGCTGGCCGATCAGCCCGCACGCAATTGCCCTTACGCTTGACAGCAGCGTGCCCGGCGCAAATGCTGAATCAACTGGCGCGCCTTCCTTCCTGCTGCCCTGTTTCTCGGCATGCGTAGCGAGCGTCAGCATCAGCTGCTGCGTCAAGCTCGGCCAGTGCAGAGCCGCGTGCCGCAAACACCTCCAAAGCGTCTCGTTCGACTCCATCGATGTCACCAAATGCATCAGGGCTGGTCAAGGCTACGTCAGCCAAATGCCGTTGCTACTATACTCGGCACGCTCTGCTGCACGGACCGAATAATCGCCAATGCAGCCTTTGCGCTGGGCGACTGGTCCTGTTGGTTGCTGCGGGATCTCTGGATCGGCGAGCCCTCGCTGCTGTGCGGTCCTGTTTGATCGCTGGTCGCACGCAGCAGTGGCGTGTTCAGTCTGAACAGCGTGGCCCAACACGCCTCAGTCTGTTGCAGTAGAGTGGTGGGATCTAGGGTCGACAGAACTTCGGCCAAACTCGCGTACCTCTTGCTATCCATGTTTTTCGCGTCGCGGCCGGGTGTTCCCCAGCTGAACACAGCCTCCAGCACGCAGCTGGCCAGGAATGTAGTCGGGTTGGTGACAAATTGCACCTGCCCGCTGCCACGGCCCAGTGTCTGCGAGAGGGTGTCAATATCCTGCAGTGCATTGGCAGGCTCACTAGCTGAGTGCGCAGCTGAGGCCATGGTGGCTGCCCCAGCAGCTACAGCAAATGCATCGGTGGTTGCCTCGGTTTCCTGCAAGGCTGTGGCTGAAAACAGCATGAGGGAATTCAAGATTGTCGCGCACTTGAATGCTGCTGGCGTAGCCTTGCCGCGCGCTGCCGGCCCAAACCAGAACCGGTTCAGGGTCTCGCGCAGGCGCAGAGCCACCTCAGGTGTGGTCATTGCTGAAAATCCCTCGCTCGCCGGGTCGTTTCCCTCACAGAGCGTCAGCAGTGACCGCAGAACCGCACGTTTCACCGGCAGTGATACGGCTGGGCTGCGGATTTGCACCTCGATGTTGGCGCGGTAGATCTCCAACATGTTGTAGTGCTGACCACGCACCGTCTTGCTGCTGGCGTCCTGCTGAGATAGGGGTATGAAGTCGATAAACATCTGCACCCACACAGACTGCGCCAACTCTGTGGCTGCGTGGACCAAGATTGTTTCGAGTTGTGGCATTCCAGAGTCCCGCAGCTGGCCGCCTGTCGATGCGCAGGTGAACACAAGCTCCACCGTCTGGATCCGGCTCACCTTGTTGGCAATCAGCGTCGAGTCCCAGCAGCTGTCGATTATAAGACGGTCGGTCAGGCGGTGGGCAGGGTGCTGGGCACTGGTCTGGAGACTGCCGGCGCGGGAATCGGCGCGGACCAGTGGCGGTCTGTGCAGAATTATCTGGTCTGGCGAGACACTCAATGTGTTGACAATGCCTGCCAAGCACGCATATTTGGCAGCAGGTGTCTGCAGCACGTCACTGCGCAGTTCCTCGATCAGCCAGGGGACCAAGTAGCTGATTCTCAGACACCCGCTGGCCAGCAGCTTCGTCACCCACGCTGAAGTAACGAGCATGGCACGATCGATATCGGCCACAGCAAACAGCGGAGATGGAGATGGTGACTCAGTGGGCTGTACAGCTGGACTGCCTCCTGCAGTCGACGAAACCGGCACTGCCACATGCGCAGCAGCGCTATTCCGCGCAATTGGCCACGCATTAATGGCGGTAGATAGCGCGGTGAGCAGCAGCTGGCTGGTCGTGTGCGGGGTGACAAGCAGGCCAGAGTTATCTGAGAACCACCCAACGTACTGCGCGGCCAGGTCCAAAAAACACTCCATCAGTGCATTCTCCTGACCCGTCGCTCGCCAGCTGCCTGGCTGTCCCTATCGCTGCCTGCGTCGTGCTATTGGCGATATGCGCAAATACGCTCTCCAGCTTTGCCGACCGCGACTTGCTGCCCATCACTGGCGAGCTGATCACGCCGTTTGGCTGCAGTCCAGGCGGACTGCCAAAGTCGGATTTGGCCATTTGGCTCGCGGCCCAGCGACTCAGCTTGTCAAAGCACTGGGTCACTGTCCAGTCGGTCTCGTCTGACGACTGTGCGTTTTCGCGCTGCCGCTCAGACACGACCCGCTGCGCCAGCTGCATCAACTCCTTGTCGGTGTGGACAGGGCCGGCAGCGTGAGAAGGTAGTAGCAGCGATTGCGTCTGCATGTCGACGTAGGCATCGTGGTCGCTGTGCGCCTTTTGTGCGAGGGCCGAGATTTGTGTATCCGCCGGGTCAACAGTGCTCCAGTACGACAGGGTCTTGAAGGACTCCAAGTCGACTGACGATGATGACGAGTTCTCGGTATAGATATTGCCAACAGCGATTGCAGCCTCCGTCAGCCTGCCCAGCAACCGCCAGGCGTCGGTGAAGCGCACCAGCGCTGTGTGAACAGTAGCCAGCACGGGTGTTGCCTTCGAATGGCTGATCAGCCAGAGCAAAAAGTCCAGCATATGCGCAAACATCCCAGAAACACTCAGCACCCGGATAATGGCAGCAGTCTGGCGTGCATTAAGCAGGGAGGTGCCCGGCTGAGTGATGACGCGCCAGTTGTCGACCCCAACCTTGATGTCCTTGACCACAAAATCGTAGACTATCGGCATCAGCCGCTGGTGCACGACCATGTCGAGAATGTTGCGCGAGCTCTTGCTCAGCAGCCCGAGGCACTCGGCTGAAATGTCCTGGCCCAGCAGGGACTCGTCGGAAATGTGGTCGGACAGTGGCGAAATCCAGTCTTTGACGCAGGAAGCACGCGACGACGGAGCTGAAAGCGATACGCCAGCAAGCTGCTCGGGCGTTGGCAGGTTCTGTGGGTCCAGGATGCTGGAGCTCGGGCCAGATCCCCGCCACCACATTGCTAAGGCCGCATCAATCGTGGGCTCCTTGCCATTGGCCTTTGCACGCAGCGGCGTAGCACACGTGTACGCAACAAGGAACGGCAGAATACGGGAGATCTCGCGCCGCAGACTCGCACACACAGCCCCATCGCTCTCATTCTGTGCTGCCCGCTCCAGGTCCATGTCGAATCCGTACAGCAGCATCTGCCGCTGCTCATCGTCTGCCGGAGATCCGACTGCTAGCCCTTTAGCGTACGCCAAATGTCGCTGCGACTTGACGGTAGTAACATTGGCTCCGAAAAAGTCCCCACGGGCCGTCAGCAGCTGCAGGTATTTGGGTACTGAGAAGCAGTTTGCGTATGAGAGGCGCTCAAGCAGTAAACAGACGCGCCAGACGTAGCGCTCATTGTCGGCGTGGGGATCGGGGGGTGTGAATATGTCGAGGAAGCTGACAATGGCCGATTGCAGCGCAGACGTGGGCGTGTCAGGGGGGAGCTGTTCCTTGTGCAGCTGGATGAGCCGTGTGCCGAACATGGTGCGGAACTGCGTTGCAGTAGACGAAATGCTGCTGTCAACGGCCCAGTAGCAGATGATCCGGATCTTGTGCGCATCAATGACTTCAGAAGCTGCTTTGGCGCCCTCAAACACCGAGCTGAACACAGTGCTGACGCCTATGTCGATGGTGATCTCGTTCAATACCTGCAGTATCTGAGCCGATCCGCCCACCTCGCAACCTGTGCCATCTTTTGCAGTGACCACTGTCAGCGGCGCCAGGCTCGAGAATTTTGCATTGCGCTCGTCGACATGTGCCAGCATCTGCTTCATCCTCCTGCGATCCACACGATCGCATTTATCGCATGCAACATACAGCGGCGTGCGGTACCCGTCCCACCATGTCGTCGGCTCCACAAATGCATCAGGGAACTTTTCGAACAGCTCGACCAGGAAGCCACAGACAGTCTTGCCGAATTGCGCCAAAGACGGGTATCGCTGTGCCTGCTCGACGCGGAATGCCACAGCTTGGATCAGCTTGCGCAGCGGCGTGCGCGACTTGCTTATCTCGGGCACATAGTCCTTGATCACAGGCAGCACCAGCATGCACTTGTCGACCGGCAGTTGCCGGAACTGGCTCGCCAGCCAGCTCACCAGATGCCGCTGGTCCATCAGCCCTTGGTCGGCCTGGACATGGAGCAGTGACAGACTGTACGTCCAGTCCTGAGACCACTTCTTCACCTGCGCTGCATCGTGGTCGCCGGTCGGAGCTGCGCTCAGCGTGTGTTCCAGGAATTGCGTCACTGCCTTGGACCATTGCAGCGTATATGATTGCTCCAGCGCCTTGAGCCCAGCGTGGTCGAGTGTGCGCGCCTGCTGGCCAAACATCTCGTAGACGCCCGTTAGCCGAATCGCCCACACTGCCCGCAGCAGCGGCACCCTGTGCTGTTTCAGCGATTCGAGCAGTCTCTCGCCGCGATGCCCAAACGGCATTGTGTTGATGAGCACATTCAGTGGCAGCCGTGGGTTGGCCAGGTTCCTCAGCCACTCCTCCCTCTGCTCGTCGCTCCTTACGGGTCGGTTCGGCAGCCTGGGCAGCGCCAGTGAGCCCACGCTGCCTCTTGCCAGCTGCCTCTGGGCGACTCCCGCCGCGAATGCCTGCAGGTCCTGGAACACCCGCGTATCCATGAGCCGGTCGTACACCATCTCGTGCTGGGACACAAACTCGTTCTCGACGCGCGGCACGTCTGTGTATCCGTACCGGATCGTGTGCTCGTTCAGAATGTCTTCGCTTTGCCCAGGCCTGGTTGGCCGAAAGTCTGTGTATCCAATGTCCTGAGAGCTGTGCAGTGGCACCGTGCCAGAGGTCGGCGTCGGCGTGTACTTGTTGAGCGGCTGAATGTCATTGCCGCCGCGCCACCCCGGTCGCTCTAGTCGCGCGCGGCCCAGCCCTGACGCTGGCGTCGAACTCAGCGATGGCCGGGTGCCGGTGCCCTGCTGCGAGCTGCCTCCGGCTGAATTCATGGTAAAAAGTGTGTTTGGACAAATGAAACTATGCGAAAGTAGAGGGCCTGCTAATAAAAGTGCTGCTGCTGCACTCTGTGTCTGCCAGGCGAACAACAATGGCCGGCGATTTCTCGAATCGCATGCGAGAAACGTGAGCGGCGCGCTATTGGCGCAGCCTGTAGAAACTGCCATTTGTCAGCCCTGCCTCCAGAGTATTTGCTCAGGCATACAGGCAGTTGCGGATATTGGGCAGCTCGTTCTTCTTGTTCCGTCAAAAGCAAAAATCTTTTTGCTTCTCTTCTGTTCAGCTGTTTTGAATATTTCCCTATTTTCTTGACAATCCCGCTCTCGCTTTGGAATTCACTGCGCATTGAGCTCCCACCCACACCTCACAAAGGCACTACTCTCCCCTTGAACAAATACTGGCCCCCTCCCATCCACACTGCTCCATCTCACCAGGTCGCCGTATTCTCTTTTGGTCTCCTCGCCCTATCGCCCCTCCCTATCTGATTTCTAAGCAGGCCTCCCCTCTGGCCACCTTGTCTTTCACTCGCCCCACCCGATACCATGACCACGATCGCTACCGCGTCAATAGCGGACAGCAAGCCGGCGCACATTACGCCACACAAGCGCAATACTGAGTCAGGTAAGGGGATCACAATGTTTCTACGGACCTGCGATAGCCAGGGACAGAGAGCAGTATAGCGCCAGCTGCCCTCCGCCCTCCCTTGTATCCTGCCTCTTTTGTGGCAGCCCAGCGGTAATGGAATCATCTGACATGCATTGATTTTTCACCCTGTCACTCCTGTATAGTTGTAGACAGCGACGAGTCCCACGACGACAAGAAGCACAAGAAGCCCGGCCGCAAGCCCATTATGACCGAGGCCTCTTCGAAGCGCACGGCGCAGAACCGGGCGGCGCAGCGGGCGTTCCGCGAGCGCAAGCAAAACTACCTGCGCAGCCTGGAGGAGAAGGTCAAGGAGCTGGCCGAGCAGCAGGAACGCACGGTGCGCGAGAACGAGGCCCTGAAGCAGCGCGTCGACAAGCTGCACAACGAGAACCTGACGCTGCGCAATGGCAAATTCACCTATGACGAGCCGCCCGCCCAGGTCGACTTTGACAAGGCCATTGCTGATTTGTTTGATACGTCGTCGACCCAGACGCCGGCTGCGCTCAGCCTGTCATCCACATTTGATCTCCAGCAGGCTGCATTGCAGGGCGCCGATCTGACGAAGCCAGGGGCAATGGAGGCAATCCAGCCCAATGCACGCAAGAGCAACAGTCCGCAGAGCGTGCCGACCATGTACCCAGGCAATGTAGATCTGTCGTCAGTCACTGCCAACTCGCTGGTCAGCGGCCTGTCGCAGACTACCAAGGCTGGCAGCGCCCTGGTTGGCTCCAACCCGATGATCGGCGGCACGTCGCCCAGCCTGACCACAGGCTTCTCCAACGACATCATGAGCGGGATCCAGCTGCTGGCTGCCAACCAGAACGTCAGCACGGGCTCGTTCATCCAGCAGTTCCTGAACTCGTCCGGCAACACCACGCCCACCACCGTCCCCATCTCACCGGACTCGTTCACCCGCCGCACATCCACACTCTCGAGCACCGCTGGCGCATCTTCCACGCAGTCGCCAGCATCGAGCAACCCGCTGGCCACGCCTGGCGACATGTATGCCCCAATTGGCTCGCTGGGCGGCATGCAGAATGGCCTGCTGAATGCAGAGGCGCTGGAGGCGCTGAAGACAAACATGCCGTTTATGAAGGCTCTGGAGCAGAGCAGCCCGGGCCCTGCCAACCAGATGCTAAGCAGCGCGGCGTCGGCAGCCAGCTTCAGCGACCTTTTGGCGCTGTCGCCAACCTCGCTCGCCGACGGGCTGATCAGCGTTGTGCCTGGCGCACAGGCAGGCGATAATAGCGCACTGCTAGCCAATCCGCTGCTTTCAACTGCGCTGCCGACATCGGCCCCTTCGCAGCCGCTTATGCAACACAATGCATACAACCCGGTGGCCGCAGCAAATCTGCCTTCCAACCTCATGGCGTACCGCAACCCAGACCCAATCGGCGCCGCCGAGGACGGCGATCAGCTCGAGAAGCTGCTGCTCAGCAACATGTACTCGTTCAATGCAGGCAATGAGCAGACTCCCATGAGCGACTTGGATATTTTGAATGCCTTGACGTCGCTGCCGCCTGCTGAGCCTACCACCAGCAAATCCAGCGAAGGCTCTGACGAGACCACTGTCCAGCCGGTCAATAACTCGTTGGAGCTCATCTGCACCTGTAGCGCCTGCGACTCGGCGCCTTGCGATCCTTGCCCGAAGCACGGCTCCCCGGCCGACATTCCCGAGGAGCTCAAGAAGCAGGCGCCCGAGATGCTCGGCATGGTGTGCACCGAGTCGAACAAGCTGGCTGACGATGAGCTCAACGACCTGTGCAGCCTGATGTTCAAGTATGCAAAGTGCTCGGAGGTCCAGAAGCGCGTCGAGATGGAGCGCGAGAAGCTAAAGTACGAGTCGGAGATGGAGCTACTCGAGACCAAGAAGCGGCTGGCGACCCAGTATGGCTTGCCCTAGAATCTGGCATTCCTGGTTAGGGTATGTCTCGTGTACTTTTTGCTCTCTTCGTATATCACCCCTTTTATTCCTTCTTTCCTTTTTATATTCACAAGACACCTAAATCCCAACACACTTGCAACTTGTCTATGCGCGATATCAGCCTGGTGTATTCGCATTTATTGATTTTGCTGAGCTGCTTTCTTTTCATTTACTCTGACTCTTCATCATCACCTTCGTATCCGTGGTGTTCGGCCACACTCAGCTTCAATATATCCACTCTCTGCAGATGGGAAGAGGCAGAGTGTATTGTCTGTATATGCACTCTTTTGCCTTCCGGAAGAGGAATGATCCCTTCGCCCCACCTGCCAAGGTAGATATCTCGCTCCGTTCCTGCTTGCAGATGCTCGTGACAAGGCAAGTCCACTATGCTGATGGCATCAAGGTACACAGTAGACCGATTGGCTGAGTAGTAGCAAGTATTCAGCTTGTTTCTCTTTCTTTGTCACCACCTTTGTCCGTACGCTCAGGCGTTTGGCTGACAGCGTATGTAAGCATCTGCCAATCCCTGCCTCTTGTCTCCAATGTCCGAACATTCTCTTGTTCCAGCATAGCGCGCCTGTTTCCCCCTGCCACAAAAACTGCCAGAAATCAGCACATGAAATGCTCCCAAACGCAGCATCCAGTGGTGATCTCGCAGAGCGCCTGGCCCAATAGCGATGTAGTGCATGTACATGGTGTGTTTGGTATCAGCACATTCATTCAACAATTGCCTTTAAGAATCTGCCGCATTAAGCGCAGACAGTTTTTGTCCACCTGCACGTTTGCAAAGTGTGGGGCCTTTGCCCGAGCCGTGGCATCACCAAGCACGTCCATGAGAAGCGCATCGTCACCGGGGGCGCCGCAGCAATACTGCATTCTCAGAAGCGAAGGAGTTCGGGCAATGACTGGCATGAGCGGTGCGACTCCCTCGCGCCCAATGGCCGAAAGAACAAATTCACTTGCAGCGTAGCCGTCGACTGCCAGCAGCTGCAGCGATGTGTTTAGTGGCTTGATCGATGGCCGGGAAGTGCTATCTTGGGCAGCCAGCACATCTGCAATCTCTACGCTTGGAGGGTTCCCACTCGTTTCAGTGAGATCGAAGTAGATATGCAGCATCACCAGATGTGGCAGTTGCAACAGAAGAGTCTCCAGTTTAGGAACGGTGAGGATGTAGCTGAGGTCGAGGATTCGGATGTCTGTGCTGCCAAACTGTGTTGGCATTAAAGTCAACGGGGCATAAAAGACGATGGAGACCCTGTCGAGGCTTGACCTTGAACCTAGAATTCTGTTATCAAGCAAACGTGCACTGGCTTCCGAAACTACATGCTCTGTATCAGCATGAATTGACCGTAGTGTTGGGAAGCCGCCCATATCGATATAGTCCAGGAGCCCTATATTTTTGGTAAGCCTCAGTGTCTCCAGCGGCGCATCCTTGAACAGACGGTATGTTTCTGCCACGTTATCAAGCAACCCGCACAGGATGAGATGGCGCAGCTTAGGAAAGCTGTATGTGTACTGACTCGATCCATCATCCCCTGCCGTGCTGCCGCCAAACACATCTACAAGCCCATCATTGAGACCGTCGTATAGGCTACGATCAACAGCCATGAATATGACTTCCAGCATCTCCAACTGCGAGAATATCACCTCAGCCCCCGCCACCGTACTCTGCAATAGGCGGAAGAACTCATCAGTCTGTATATGCTTCAGCCGTAGGCGCCTGATAACACCCGTATCAAGAGGAGGTAGCCAGCCGATATCAGCGTTGCACGAGCAGTCGATCGAGAGCTCCTCCAATGTGGGGAGAACCATACTTGAGAGATCACACATGTTTGTGGTATCGAGGTGGAGTGTTGTGATGCTGTTTGCAGTGAAGATCGGCAAGTACTCCAGGGCATCAATGTCCAGCATTCTGCATCCCTTGACCAGAAGCGAAATCGACTCGATGTTTGGGGTGTAATGTAGAATGTAGCCGACGTCTATGCCAATACCTTCCACCGGCGGCATGACCTGGCCAGCAGTTCCTACGTTGATTACCAAGGACTGCACCGACTTCCAGTCGCGCTGGTCAAATCCAATCGTCTTCAAATAGGCGCATGCCTCGAGCTTGAAATTGTCGGGATGTTCGTAATAAACGACAATCCTTCGTGGTTTTGCGGTTGATGGGATCAGCTCAAGATTCGTCAAGAAACGAGGCCCATCTGAAATATGCTTAGAGTCCAAGGGTTCATCAGGTGCGTAGTGCTCCTCGGGCTGGATCTTACTTCCGACCATGTAGACATGAAAATCGCCATTTATACGCGATAAGACGGCATTTCTCCACTCGCGACAAACCCCTGCCACTCGGTACTTTTCTCGCAGGCAATACGGATCAGAGAATCCTGTGCCCTGATTCTCATATGTTTGGAATGCGCATGAAAATATATTTTCAATGACCAGCGGTATTTTCAAAGCGTCGTGCATGATCAATGATGACAGGAAGTGATCGAAATGGCTACGATTAGTAAGACCCTTGTACAGTGAAAAAGCTATTGCCCACTGCCTACTGCATCTATGAAAGCACGGCTGTTATGGTAACGCTTAGATGATGATGGACTGTATTTTGAGTGAAAAGAATAAACTGAGAAAACAATGCCGACGGCTGTTACGCACGTCCTTTTATATGTGTTTCGGAGTTTCTCAGTTCCTTGTGGCTGACCTCACGTGGACACCATACACTACAATTAGGATTGCAATGGTGAGATATGGCTATAAATGATATGCTGTTGTTCACTCGTATTGGCCGCGAGCGAGATAGGTGTTGTTGCGCGGCCGGCGATGACCATCATGATGGCGCCATGGCAGCTGTCAAGTCGACTGACAACGAGAGCGGCTCCCACGCTGAACCAATGGAGATATCCAGTAGAGGTCTGTGACTACTGCAGTACTAGAGGTCTCAGTACTGTTTTAATCATAATGTTGTAATACGGTGATAACAAGAAGGCGATTAATGAAAATCCATTATAAAATTGAGTCAATAGTTGTTATCAGACACATAATCCCCAGCAGATTATTCTTCAGATCGTTCCTCAAATAGCTCCTCCAAATATCCACGAGTACTCCAAACTTCCAGATCCCTGCTCTGGGAAGTGCAAAAGTCGGGAATGGTGTGCATAATTGAACTAGGTGCGCCTATTCTGAGAAGCGACGGTAAGCATTCAATAGGCTGATCTATCGATTCAACATTGCGAGATGTCCAGGTGGGGCGGGTTCCAAAATGAAACTCTTGAAGTTTAGGCAACGAACCGATTCTAGACGGGAAGGATGACCAGTCTACGAGGTCAAAGTTGTCTCCAGGTTCTCTGTTTGCGACAAAACGACAACTAAGTTGGATTCTAAGATACCGCAAGTTGGACAGCCTGACAGGTTGCTCGACAAACATATAGCGGCATGAGTACATGTCCTGTCCAGTGTAAAGTGCTGGAGGATAGGTGACTGTAGGTATTCTATGGATGGTTTTCCTCCCAGAACAACCAGCCGTGTTCACATCACCAGTGTGTATTCTGTATTCCAGTCCAATACAATCTTCGTCAGGCTATCAGCCCGAATATCCATTCGCATTATATACCCTGGGAGCTGGGTGAAGGAACGAGTCTGAAAATAAGAGCTGACATCGAGGCACCTAATGGATAGCGGTATGATTCTCGGTGTCTGACTGAGTATTCCTCCTCCAAAAGTCACTGGGCAAAAATTTTCGACTGTGAAATCGACGGCCACTAGGCTTGGTAGCTGGTAACAGAACGCGTCACATGTACTACTGTGGTCATATCCATCAACTGGAGGGGAATCCAGGTTGGGGAATTCAGTCTTCATAGTCCTGATACTGCCCTTATTCTACAGTGAAGAACTCAAAATTACAGAGAATCTGTAGCAAATTGAGAATGGGATATTCGTTTATCTAGCCACCCAGTACTAGGGTCTGAGACCAGTCACAAAACCCCGCTGCACCCAGGAACTGACCGATGTTTGAGTGCGATGGATCGCAATAACTGTAGTCAGTAACAAGTGTTTGGCGGATCACCGGAGGCAATATACTGCCCCACATGCGACATGTGGTGGCTAACATCGGGAGCAGCCTGTGACGTCCGATTCCTTTCAGTTCGCCAGTTGTAGTTTCGATGACAACACGGAAAATAAGCAACATAATGTCGCTGCCAAGTGCTTTGCATATGCTCTGCTGAGTAGTGTCCATTGGCGTCAAGAAATTAGAGCTATACAAGTGGGAATATCTTGCAAGGTGCAAAGGCAGAAGACAGCAAACACGTGGCAGCTTGCGGGCTGTGACATTGTTTTGTTGTATTCATCATTGCAAAGGGCATTGATTCTACCCGAATGTGTCTAGGGTCAATCAAGATGACTAGGATTCATTTATCACCATCTCATTCGCTCATGGCGCATATCCACATGCTAGCACAGAAGGATAGCCGGATACATGGTGGTCTTGGCCAAGGGTGTTCCTGAGGTCTGTACTACTACTAACTCCTCGCAATGGCGCACTTTTCTACCCCAGTAGCAAGGAATCATTCAGACTCTTGTGGATAGAAGGTCCAATACAGCTGCTCCGGCAAGCAGCTGGTTACTGGGATGTTGTCAAGCCCCTGATACCTCAATGCGTAGTTAAACTTGAATATAAGATAACGACCAGGAATTCTGATCTTGGCTGGTCGTGATGTCGACAAAAGACACGGTCAATCTTGTACTCAATCCAACGCGCGCTTCACGTCATCACCGCCTGAGCGTAGCCCTTCCCGCTGATTAGAAAGGGATATTTTAGGAAATTGCTTGGCATGCGGTTTCATAATCCCTGTTTGTATTTACAGAAATAAACAGCTCCTCGGCAAGCGCTTTCTGAGAGCCTATGCACGAATTTTCCGGCCACGCATATGCGCGTAGATTGAGGATATCTTCAGATGACAAACAAGAATGATCGCCATGTCTTTTGGCTATTAATACATCTCCTTTCTCGACTTCCGCTGTGCTGCATCTGCGCGTCTAAAATTAGCAATCTCCTCGAAACTAGTCCTGAGCGCGACATTCACTCAACTACAGGATATCCTAATAGCCCATCCAGCGTATATAAAGCAAACCTGCCACGGCTACATTGTCATATTTTCATATCATCATCACCATCACCATCCCACGCTTCACTCAAGCAGCCCCATTCAAAACAAATTCACTTCTTGCACTTGCATCTTTAACGAAAAACAATTCTGACAATGCGCTTTACTCTAGCTACTGCTTTTGCCATCCTTGCTGCTACTGCTGCTGCCAACCAGGCTGGGCCTGTTGACAACGATATCTCGACGCCTTCCAACGATCAGGCTGGTGGAATTATTGAGCCTCTCGTCGAGACTACCGAGGAATACGATGAGGAGGATAACCAGCGCGGCGGTCGCGGTCGCGGCAGCGGTCGTGGAAAGGATTTCCTTAGTGATCTGGGTGTCGAGCTGATCGGCACTGGTGTGGAGTCTGGCCTCAACGCTGCCATCTACAACCAGCGTGGTGGTCGCGGTCGTGGCAGCGGCCGTGGAAAGGACTTCCTCAGCGACCTGGGTGTTGAGCTGATTGGCACTGGTGTGGAGTCTGGGCTCAATGCCGCTATCTACAACAAACGCAGTATCGATTATGATGAGGAGTACGATGAGGATGATAACCAGCGCGGTGGTCGCGGTCGCGGCAGTGGCCGTGGAAAGGATTTCCTTAGCGACCTGGGTGTCGAGCTGATCGGCACTGGTGTTGGTGCCGGTCTTGATGCTGCCATCTACAACCAGCGTGGTGGTCGTGGTCGTGGTAGCGGCCGTGGAAAGGATTTCCTGAGCGACCTGGGTGTTGAGCTGATTGGCACTGGTGTTGGTGCCGGTCTGGATGCTGCCATCTACAACCAGCGTGGTGGCCGCGGTCGTGGCAGCGGTCGCGGCAAGGACTTCCTGAGCGATCTGGGTGTTGAGCTGATTGGCACTGGTGTGGAGTCTGGCCTCAATGCCGCTATCTACAACAAACGCAGCATCGATTATGATGAGGAGTACGATGAGGATGATAACCAGCGCGGTGGTCGTGGTCGCGGCAGCGGCCGTGGAAAGGATTTCCTTAGCGACCTGGGTGTCGAGCTGATCGGCACTGGTGTTGGTGCCGGTCTTGATGCTGCCATCTACAACCAGCGCGGTGGTCGCGGTCGCGGCAGTGGTCGCGGCAAGGATTTCCTCAGCGACCTGGGCGTCGAACTGATTGGTACTGGTGTGGAGTCTGGCCTCAACGCTGCTATCTACAACCAGCGCGGCGGTAAGGGTGACGGCAACGGCAAGGATAACAGCCATGGAAAGAGGCCTATCCGCACTGGTCCTATCCGCACTGGTCCTTTCAACCCTCCCTTCTACAACTTGCCTGAGGTCTACTTCTAAGTTCTATTTAGAGAGTTGAAGGCACAAATGTAAATTACTTTGCACCCGATTGATACAAATGCACTCATCCGTGTTTGGGTTAGTCTGTACATGTCATATCTGCATTCCATGAATCCTAGCAGGACTATATCGTCAATGTCCACAGCATACATGGTGAACTGTACGCAGTGACACCACCCCACGGCACTGTGTTAGAATGCATGCATATGTTTTCTACCACCTGCTCGGAAGACACCGTGCTGCCTATAAAAGCGACAATGCAAATGAGCTTAAACACCATCAGCACTCGACCACCACCTGTATCTCTTGTCACACATACTTGACACGCTGTTAATACCACACTGTTATCCAAAAACCAGTAATGAGCACAATGCCATCTACGGACCGCCACCGCCACAATCAAAATATTGTTCCCCGCCATCCCTTCTCCTTGGAGCGCTACAACGCGAGCGCTACTCTTTAACTCACCTTTTCTTTCTACGGGTTCTATTAGCATGTCTTCCACCGAGAGCATCCAGCCAGAAAAGTTTGCCATTGAGGAATCCTCGGCGGTGGCAGCCGAGGGAGTGCCTGGAGAGGTAAAATACCAGGCAGTTGACGAGAGCGACCCCAGGCTCAAGTGGGCATTTAGAAAGGTCGACGCGACACAGCTCTTCATAGTATTTCTGAGCACGGTACTTAACTCCATGGACCGCGGAAACCTCGGTCTCTCCAAGGTTGTTGGGCTCGAACAGGATACGGGCATGTCTGGATCCGACTTCAACGTCGTCGCCAGCATTATGTACCCGACATACCTGCTATTCATGCTTCCGAGCAATCTCGCCCTGCGCAGGTTTGGGGCACGGTTCTGGCTTTCTCTCCTCACTGTTTTGTGGGGCGTCATCAACATGTGCATGGCGTTCGCCAAGAACAAGACCGATCTGATTCTGTGCCGCCTGTTCCTTGGTGCTGCCGAGAGCGGTGCAACGCCAGGTGCCTTGATGCTGATCACGCTGTGGTACCCCCGTCAGATGGTTACATCGCGCATCAGCCTTTTCTACTCGGCATTCGCAGCTGGCGCAGTCATCGGCGGACCTATTGCAACTGGCATTGGCAAAATAACAAACACCCACTTCAAGCGGTGGGAGTGGATCTTTTTCATCGAGGGACTGGCCACGGCAGGGTTTGGGCTGATCATGTACGCATTCCTGGCAGACTACCCCGACAAGAGCTGGATCCTCACGCCAGAGGAAAAGGCGATAATCAGCCAACGGATGGCGCAGGACCAGGTCGAGGGCGGTAAAAAGAAGGTCAACCGCAGGCGTCTGCTTGACCATGCGCGCGATCCGCTCATCTACTCACAGGCGCTTGTCCTGTTTGGCGGCAACTTTGGAATCAACACAATCCTCACCTTTGCTGCTATTATCGTCAAGGAGATGGGCTACAACGCCGGCGCGTCACAGGCTATGCAGGCAGCACCGGGAATCTGCGGCTTCGTCGGAATCCATCTTGCCCGTTTCTACCCAAAGTGGTTTGGCTCCCACTTTCGTAGCTCGCTTTTCTGCGAAGCTTGGCTCATTGCTGGTTCAGCTTGTTAACCTTCAGAGAGTCCAGTAGTTATGAGCTTTATGGAATGAATAAAATGGAAAATTTGCTGAGGAGAAAAAAGGAGGATGGGGCCGTTCCGGCCCACAAAGTTTATACAGGTGGGGATTTGGATCTGCACATGGTGGCGGAGGGCATAGAGTTGCCCGAATGTCAACACAGCTGTCTTGCTGGGCGTCACCAACAACGTTGCTCGAATCATTGCGCTCTGCATGTTGTCGTTTGGTTGCTTTGGTATCCTTAGCATTGGTCCTGGATGGCTGATGAGCAACGTTGGCGGTCCAACACGTGCTGCCATCTCGAGTGCCATCGAGGTAATGCTTGGTGGACTGGGTGCACTTTGCACATCGTACATCTACCGCAACAAGGACCAGCCACGCTATCTTTTTGGCCACGGCATGAACATGTTTGCTGCATGTCTGATGGTGGTCTTCACCTATGCAACTCATTTCATCCTGCTCCATCGAAACAAGCAGAAAGAAACCAACCCGCTCGATATTTCGGGGATGTCGCAAGACGAGATAAATGACCTTGAGAACGACCACCCCGACTTCCGCTATGTCCATTAAAGAGAATGTAGTATATTCGAATACAGACTATTGAAAACCATCAGCTGCAGCTATTGGCGTGCTGAACATCAGTGCTCCTCTGGTCTGTATGCAGAGTAGCGCTGCCAGAAATCGTCTACAGTCTTGAACGGGGTGTTTGAGGCCGGCTTGGCATCAACAAACCCAGGCACGCTGAATGGGCCAAATTCGACAAAGTAGTCGAGCATCTCGTTGATCTCTGCGCGGTCAAGCTCAGGCACCTTGTAGTGGACATAGTCTGCCGGGATACCGGTGGCGCGCGTGAATGCCTCGGCGATCTCAGGGCCAGTGTAGTCACCCTCAGCGATCTTGACTGTCTTGCCTTCGTAGCTGGCGCGGCCATCAAGGATCCCACGCACAGTGTTTCCAAAGTCGACCTCAATGTCAACATAAGGCTGGCGTGCATCAGCAGGGAGCGGGTAACCAAAGGTGACTGTTTTCTCGCCGTTGCTGTTGGTCGACCAGATTCCTGCGTGCAAGAAGTTCTGGAAGTAGAAGGCGGCATACACGAAATAGCCCTTGATCTTGTCCGAGTGGCTGCGAGCGTACTGCTCGATCTTCTGCTTGCCCTCGGGCTCGTACGCCTTGGAATACTTGCCATTGCTTCCCTGAGACGGGCTCTCAAGCGAGCTGTAGACAAAGTGCTTGACTCCCTCGGCAACAGCTGCATCGACAATGTTCTTGCCCTGTTTGAACTCGGCATCCAGGTCGCCAGCATCGACTTTGGCAAAGATCTCGGGCTGCAGATAGTTGGTGGTAGAAAACACGATGTCAACGTTCTTGAAGGCGCTGCGTAGACTCTCAACATCGTTGTTGTCGGCTGCTACCCACTCGACGCCAGGGTATTGAGCGCGTAGCTCTTTGACACGAGTGGAGTCGACGTTGCGGGTGACAGCACGAAGCTGGTACTTGTCAGAAGCGCTGTACAGCGAAGTGAGGACGGATCCTCCCTGAGCGCCAGTGGCTCCGATGATAGCGACGATTTCAGACATGGTTTCGAAGGTAGAGAGTAGGAGTGCGTTGCTGGGCAGTGTGTTGATGTGGATCTGGTGAGAAGGGCGTGTTTCTCGTCTTTATATACCGTGTACTCTAGTCTGGTCTAGGAGCCAAGCACTTTACCAAGCTGCTGCGGTTTACAGAGAGCTTACAAATCAACTAGAGACATGGCAGTATCATCGGCGGACATTTGAAGGGGTGGACTTTTCTGGAAGTTACCTTTTTTGTTCATTAGGAATACATGCAAATCTATGCGTACGTAGACGTTGCTAATTTGAACCTGATCACTAATCTGCATATAATCATCAAGGTCAAGGTCAGGCTGAGATTGTTGTGTTTGTTAGATGTGTAGGGATTTTAAAAGGTATATTTAATACTGAAGAAAAGAGAGAAAAGGGAATAGACGGGTTGCGCAGGGGAGTTTTCAATACGGCCGTCTGTGCGACTTATCAGAGGCTAGACTCTACCTCCATATCGTAGGCTGTAGCGGGGCTCTCGTTGGCGCCTGGATTGCTATCCCCTGATTCGGCTGACATGTCGACATCAGGGACAGCCGCAGCGGGCGCACAACAGTATTAACATGTTGTTTCACACTTAGTTTACCAAGCATCGACCACTGTATGGATATCAACACCCATCTATCCAAGGGAGATGATCCATACAATACTACAGATCAAATGTGCATGGGCTTGGAACGTAGAATCAATATAGCAGCAATCTGATACAGAACCTTGCAGTCTGAGTACCACATATGCTGGTGTGTCCTCCATGCCACGTGCCGTACACGTCATGAGATTCTCACAGGGTTCCAGGGCGTCAAAGAATTTGGGTAGTTCGGTACATTGGTTTCATCGGGTATGCCTGTAGATATCAAACAACACTTCTCTTGTTAGTAAGAGAGGGTTTGTGGATGGCTACATTGCCAAAATGGCGCTCTTTCGCATGCAACATCACATCAGCCTTTGCTCTCGCTTGGGAGATAAGCTCGGCTTTCTTCGTTGCTTTAGTATCTCCATGCCCAATCAGTGGAATTAGCTCAGCCATCATCAAGCAAAAACGCCAACAAAGCCACCTGATCATGTTGTCTCTTCCCTAGCGTTTCATCAATTGCTTGATTTGAATCATAGCTAAAGTAAGCAAAAGTAGCACGTAGGCTGCGCAGCAACAAAGCACCCATCTCTTCTCTGCAGTTTTTGTTCGTCGCTTTCGAAAGTTTCTACATTCAAAATGGCATCAGGTGTACCTCGAGAAATAGCGCTAGACGATCCCTGGCGTGAGACCTATGACCCGTATGAAGACTTTGCAGAAAAGAGAGAAATGATCCGGCTCATCCGCCCCCATCCTGTTGTCGTCGAAGTCGGCAAGAAACCAACATCGGACATGGAGGACCAGTGGAAGTCGGAGGTAGTCAGTAAAATGATGAGCGTGGACTTCCCCGGTCTGCTTGGCTTGCTTGGCTACCAGAACGACTTTGTCGAGTTCCAGAACTTGGAAGGCTCTAAACTATCTGAGCTTGCCGAAAAGATTCAGACCAAGGAGGTTCTCAAGGACGTTCAGTTCATCCGTGAAACAGGCACCAGACGCGAGCCTGTGCGCTTCATCGACAACTACTTCCACTTGCTCATTGACGAGATTGCTCCCGAGGACAGGGCATACCATGACATCATCAATCACGACTGGCGTCCCATCGTTGACACTGACCTGATGCCTGGTCTCATTGTCAGCTATGCTGAGAAAGGATTCAATGATGATCGAGGTCGCCTTCGAGTAATCCTGGCACACATATTTATGCCAGTGGTTATTTCAGGACACGGATTAGTCACTGACGCCAGCAAAGACAAGGACATGGCAAAGATGTGCGCCTGTGTGCGTGGTATGTGGGCGACTCAGACAGCGCGTACGTTTATCCCAGCGCTGTACATCGATGACGACTTCAATGCGACGTTTTATGTCTTTGCCCGTGGCAGAGTCCTGAGTACGACACTTGGCTCGCTCGAAGACACCAGCAAGAGCTCGCTGACCACAACGATTACGCGACTGGCATTCATCCTTCAGCTGCCAGACACATTTGGTTGCTTTTCTGCTTGGACTGATGGAAAAAAGGACATCAAGTTCGTTCACCCGAGCCAAGGTGAAGAGGGGTCTTCCCTTGCAGCTCTTTATGCGCAGCCAGTGAATATCGTTGGTTGGCTGTTTGGCCCTGGGGATGGAGAGTATATCTACCTGGACTTTCCACTTAAGGTTCCTGACGATATCACCCTCTTTGGGCATCTGAACTCATTGGTGGAACTTAGAATAAGTACTGATGAGAAACTAACACTGTTTTCCTGGTATCCCACGTCTAGCCGCACCTGGGGCAACGTCGACGGTATTCTGCAAACCCAACCCTCTGGTCTGATTCCAACGATTCGAGACCGTGGCATCATTGTGGCGGACTTGTTCGGCTATCGTCTCGAGTACATCATCTTTGACTACAAAGGCGAGCCTACAGATGATCTTGTGAACGAGCTCCTTTGGCTAAGAGACGGTCGTGCATGGGCTACGTCTTCTCTCGACCAGCCTGAAAGTCAAAGACCTTGGGATAAACGCGCCGACAACCATCCAGCTCGGTTTTCAAGCAGGTTCCTCAGAAAGCGCAGGCTGTCTAGCCGCTCTGATACTAGCGCTTCTTCTACTGAGAAGCATGCCCCCCAGCACAAGATGCCCAGGCATCACTAGTCTTCCATCTATCCACTTTACTTTTTTTCTTCCTATATTTTTTCGAATAAATCCAAATGAAGTTTTCAGTACGGAGGCAATACTACTGGACATACTGTAAATTAGCATTTATAGTGGCATGTACATGCCCTCTTGCGCACTAAAGGCTGTCATCTTTGACGATACCAAGTAGAGTAATTAGAAGGACACCGACCCGGGCACCAATAATACTAGAGCAGAAAGCACCAAAAGCGTAAATAATAAAAAATACGTAGAAATGTGCACTCATTAACCGTTGACAGTATCCCTGATTACAGTGTTAACACCAGCTTTTCTCTCGGTGATGACATTATTGGTCTCATGGCTGGGCATGCAACAATATATGATGGCTGTTGGTTTGATGGAAATCGATGTAAATGCATGTATTGGGCTTGTTTGAGTGACTATTCTGCTTGCTATGGATGGCACTGGGGACCATAGAAGCTGGACTGTGGTGCTGTGTTCGAGCCATGCTGCTGTCTCTGGTTGGTCTGGGTATCCATGCGGGCAGATCAAGCATCCGATGTACGTTCGCCATTTGGGAACCTCCCAGCCCACAGGGGCTTGACAGAACAATAGCTCCGACTGGCGCAGTTGAGGTAATTCGATACGTAGTGCCAGCCCATTTATGTCCACGAGAGCGCTCTGCCATGCAGTGGGCAAAAGTGCGTTTTGCGCAGACAAGGGGGAGCGGGAGGCTCTGCGCCATGCGAAACAATATGGTTCTTTCTCGAGAGCCAATTATATTTCTGGAGAGATTCGGCCTATTCCCATGGCCCAGGAATAGCTGACAGAGTAGTTGATCTGCAGCACAGGCAAGCACCCTATTTTTCCAAATGCGGTTCCATAGGCATGCATGAACAATGAAAGCTTGGGCTGCAGCTCATTAGATGCTTATCATCAATTGTGTATCTGCAGTCGAGTTGAAACTGCCTCTAGGGGGTAGTACTGTAAGCAGTGTGAGTCCAAATCCACATCTCGCCTACTCTTACTGACTGGAAAGTGCAAATGATGCCAAGGGCGTGTTGGCGGCGTATAAAAAGGGCAAACCAAATATTTCCCTTGTCCGTCCTATTTTTCTTCAACTTGCAATTCCTCGACTTTGACCTCTTTATAATATGCTCCTAAAAAGGGGCCAGGTGGGATATACGCATTTTATATGGCATATTTTGCAATTGGTGTTTAGTTGGGTTGGTTTGTATGTGCAAAAAATCGCTAATTGCTGGTGTGAGTATTAAGTGAAAAGCAATGAATGCGTATTTACAAAAAGTCAAGCGTTTGTGTGGTGAGCCCCATGCTTTTATAATGGAAAGGTGATGAAAAAGGAGAAAAGTTTAAATAATCACCAACATAGCGACATCAAACTATCTACGCACACCACATAACAGCGGTGAACATCGTAAATGTTCGCATGCCACTGGGGTTTCCTGGCCTTCCAGCCAGGTTGGAGCAGCCTGGTTCGGCGGCCGCTATAACACATCTCTTGTAGGTTCTGATATTTAAATGATGTGCGTGAAATAGCTTTTATAGTTTTTATACGGGATCTCTTTGCCTGATGAGCTACACAGTTAACGCGCAATCAAGGCTACTCCTTGTTCTCGCTTTGCTTTTTTTCCCACTGGGTTTTTTGCCATTGAGATCCTGTTTGTGAATAGAAAAAATAAGACAAAATAAAAAGAATTATGAAATACATACCGAAACATTGCGCCCCCGACCAGCAGTGCAGCAGACATGTGAAGACTGACACCTCATTGGCAATAAAAAGTAAGCAAAGGCTACATTGCCAACTGCTAACTGGCATCGGCTAACCGGGATGGGCTGACAAATAACACATCGTCATTTTGTCAACTAGTGAAATTACACTGGATATCACCCTATATATTCTGGTTCTGTCCTCTATTTTATTTTCTATCTTCCGTTCCCCGAACATGGAACTAGCACTATTCTGATATTGCTTGCTCACCCACGCAGCAATATGCAATCAACATACACGCTTTCACGCTGTGCAGATTATAACAGTGCACGTGACAGCACTTGACCCATTATTTGGCAGAATAGTGTGGATTTTACCCGGCCCGACTACGCGCGCGCAGGTTTTCGTTCAGCGCGTACCTTTTTTTCTTTTCTTTGCAAATTCCACCCATCAATATTTGTGCTCTTTTCCACAATGCCAGGGAGCGACGAAACACAGACGCCTAGCACCAACCGGTACTCTTTTCGCACGCGCACACCTGCGAAGCCTGAGCCCGTACCCTCACAGCAGACACCAGCGCGGAAGCGGTCTCGTCCGACAGGCGCGCCGGCCAATGCTCGCAAGTCAGCGAAGCGGGCAGCATCCAGCTGGGCGAGCTTGCGCAAGACCAAGCCGACGTCCAAGCGCGCAGCAGCAAAGAAAGCACCGGTCAAGAAAACTAAGAAGCGTGTGGCACCAAGAAAAACCGCAAAAGCGGTAAAAGAAGAAGAGAGTGCATCAGAGGCCGAAAACGAAGGCGCAGCTGATATTCCCGAAGAAAATGTACAGGCTGATGCAGCACCTGCAGAGAATGCAGAAGCTACGGTGGTGAGCGGGCCGTCTAAGCGCGGGCGGAAGCCGTCGACCAAGCGCGGCGAGGGATCCGATATGACGCCAGCAATGCGCAGTTGGCAGATTCGGCGGCTGCCAATAAACATGACGAAGCACGATCCGTTTGTAGCGGAGCACCTGATCGGCGTAGGGCGGATTCTGCAGACGATTCCGGTTAGCGGCACACCGAACGAGGAGCTATACGAGATGATCAAGATGAGCGACTGTCTGAAGATGTGCGGCTACGAGCTTGGCGTGGTTGATTTGAAGTCGCAGCCGTTTGACGAGATCTACCGTCTGTTGTCGTGGTCAGTGCATGCGGGCGGGCCAAGCACGATGCCGCGGCCGTCGCCGCCGATTTCAGATGGCGCCAAGACGATTTTGCTGAAGGTTGTGGCGGCAATTGGCAGACGGATCCGTGAGGAAACAAAGGATATGGCAGCATACCATCGAAGGCATGCGAACCGCAAGCTGATGCTGGCGCAGAAGGGCGAGCTTCTGCCTCAGGATGACAAGGGCATCCACAGGAGGAATCCGCTAAAGATTCCAGCACCACTGGTTGATATTTGGAAGGTGCCTTACAAGAAGAACACGGATGAAGCGAACAACGAGTAGTAGCCTTATGCTTTTCAGACATGGTGATAATTATATTGTGTTTACTAGAAATACTCTGCTCGTGACGCGAGCTCGGCTGCTAGTCAGCATGGGTTGACACGTCGATAAGAGCATCACGGCGAACCGGTCATTTGAACGTGTCAGATGGTTGTTGGTGCAATGTCGATCATGGACATCTCCCACCTTGGTGGCCTGCTCAGCGCAGGCGCTTCAGCGCTGGCTCGCTGCTGCTGGCAGCAGAATCGCCTGCTGCTGCACGCCTCTTGCGCGGCCTCTTTGTTGCAGGGGTGGTGCCAGAAGCATCGGCAGCAATGGCCGTAGAACGACGGAACCGTTCAGGAATATTGCCTGAATCACAGAGTGACTGGAAAATGAGTCTGGAGTTTAGAACTGCTGCGAGATCGCGGTTCAAGAGCCGAGACGAATAGGCCCGCCTGTATTGTGCCATGGCCCGCTTACATGACTCGCTTGTACAGCGGAGAAGGTCATGGAACTTCACAGTTGGGTTCTTCGATCTCTGGTAGGGCCGCGGGTTGGGAACATGCTGGAATGTCTGCAGCAGCAGCCGATGCAGCAGCAAGTGAATCAGCCCTACTGCTGCAGTTGCTGCAGTGGCCTCTGTTGCATCCGATGGCATCTTCGCTGCTTCGCGTGCAGCCTTCTTGGCCAATTCTTCGCCCTTTTCTGCTGCTTTCCTTGCCTCTGTTGCTGCCCTCTTTGCTGCGTTGATCTTGGTAACCTGCTCACGGGTTTTCGAAACAAACACCTGCTTGATTATTTGCTTGTCTAAGCGCACATGGCCTGGGATCCATGATGTCCGCAGAGGCAAGCATTGGGGGGGAGACTTGCCAAGCTGCTCATTCTCGATAAGCTGGCATAGGCGAATATATGCACGCAGATGCTGAAGTGGATTTGCCTTGGCATCATAGTATCGGCTGTCTTTGGCGAATCTGTACTTGGCATCATAGGCATTGAGGACTGGTGCCAGCTTGTTGTAGATTGCAAGCATCGGTGGGGTGAGCACATTGAGATCAGGGTGCCTAGAGGCAACTGCCTGGCGGAGCTTCTGTGCAGGTGTATAAATACACACTTGACATGCATTATTGAACTCAGCCTTAGACACATTGCCCATTGTACTGTGCAGTGTGTTTTTGCGGCTGCGAATATTAATCAATTTGGCCAGAATCCGCTGTAGGCAAGTGCCATAGCGCAACACAATGTTGTTCTTGTATGCTGTCATCAGCTCGGTGTCAACATATGTTCGCTACCTGATTCATTTCACGTATCGCCATGTAGCTCGATATCGCCATTATGCAATAGATAATCATAAATATGGTATCTAATTACATCACCGAAATCTGCGCTCGGACAGTTCTGACTTGTCCTTCCGGTTGACGAAATCCTCAGCAGATATGGACAGTCTTCGCCTTTCAGGTTGCGATATAAATGAATAAATAAATAAAACGAAAAAAACCCTTTTTCACAAATGTTGCGGGGTCAAAGGCATCATCGTCAGCTAGTTGATGGAGTAATATCCATCGTGCAAGCATGTATGTATGCTTTTTGATGATAATGACGCTGTGTACAAATTGCTCTAGGCGGGGCAACATAGAATCACGGAAGCCAATACCGCCAAGTGATGTCTTTATGACAGTAGTGCTGCGGGTAATATTCATTTGAGAAATTCTATAGGCAAAGTAAGAAAAGAAATGATGCTGTTCAGTTTTGCTGTATTGCAGTATGCATAGCATTAAGAACTTTTTATTAAGAATGATCTTGGCTTGCATGGTTCTTGGGGCCCTTAGCACTGATACAGTCCTCTTGGAATCAGTCTATACAGACTGGGATCCATTGTGGCCCAAATACTACTGCTTACGCATGTTCATAAGACAAATTAACTTTATAAAATATATCCACAAATATTGCATGGCCTGCTAGAAGAGCTATATGGCCTTATTCAATAGGTGCTCATAGATAAACATCCTAAGAGCATTGCGCAGCTGGTGATGACCACCATGATGGACACCATTGGAAGTTCATCAGCCCAAGCGACAATGAGAGCAGCTCTTGCACTGACCAGTGGAGATATCTAGTGAGACCTGTGACCACTACAATAACAGCTTGTCGCCCTGGTTTCACCGATGAGGTCAGATGCCGCACAAGATCAATAAGGAGTTTACAGAGCAAGTCACCTAAATCCCGTATTGAAGCTTAAGAGTTTTATTCTTTTTAACCAAATTCAAATAAGTTTCTAGCGGGACGGTCCGGACACTTTTTGGACTATAAAATCTTCTGTATAGGTAAAGATAAAGATAACTGCTGCTTGCATACCACATCTACTCTGCAACTATCTGCTTCCGTTGCATTTCTGGCCGTTGTGTTTTGGGGTCCAGCTACAGTGTTCCAGATGCAAAGGCTGGTAATAGGCATCATATTGCTATCTGGTGAACCTGCGTATTGCACAGACGACGGTTATCCAGAAGCAGATACACTCAGTTGATTTGTCCAGTGTTGTGGTCGTAGAGCGGCAAGACTAAACAAAAAAGGATGCTGCTGACCTTCATCCTGCAAGCAGCCATATATCCTAGCGTCTTGAAGTAGCCGTGTGCGTAAATAGCCATGTGCCCACTGCCAATCCAGGCCCAGAGGGGGTTGAATGTGGAGTGCTGTTTACTGCTATTCAATATCAGTTCAGAACAGCCTCTGCGCTCCCCGCACCTTTTCACAAACATCTGGAAATAAGCTGCCAGCAACTGGAACATGGGGCTGCTTTGGCCAAATACTGGCACTGGAGAATGGCTGTTTTGGATTCAAGAACGGTCAAATATTCACAATCGCCACAATAGGAGCACCGTTCCAATGGACGTCATTTGGCACTATTGGCATGGATTTGGCCCAGCGAAAGAGTCTACTACTCGTTCCCTGGGCCAGGAAAGCAAGGAGGCCATTTTGGAGTGTTGGCAGTATCTCGCCCCCTGGTCCTTGTGTGCTGAGCGAGCTACGACGCAAGCAGAGCTGCAAAAAGGATCCGAGGACACTGGCGTTTATTTTATTTTATTTTATTTTTCGCGAACGCGCCATAGGGCAAAATTTTCCCCTCTTCAGCTCCCTCTCCCTCTCCCCCTTCGCTTTCAGCTCTTTAAAAGCCTTATTTTTATTCTCCAATTCGCATTCCTTTTTCATTTTCACTAATCATTTTCAGCATGCTCAATTCACACAGGCCAGCTACACGCACACGGCGCCCTCCGAGCCAGATATCCAGGGAATCGCACTCTTTTGGCAGAAAGCGGTCTAGCACCGCAAACAGCACGGGTGGTGAGACAGCGTTTCCAGAGCACAGCGGCTCACCATCAACAGCGCGGGGGCTCCAGTCCATACTTGGAACTTCACCGTTGCTGGAGCGGCAGTTGAGCCCAATTCCTAGACGCCACGAATCCGGGCGGCAGTTTGGCGCAAAGAACAGTGGCGGTAGTCCCAAGGCGCTGTCGCCATCACACACCCTGGCGGGATGTTATGGCAACGACACGCGGACAGCAAGGCTGGACGCCTGGGCGGCGGCAGCAGCAGCAGCAGCAGCGGGTGCAGCCGACGCAGCTGGGGCTTAGCACGAGACCAGGATCTGGGCAATGGCACAGCGCGGAAGCGGTCAATGACCGTGCATGCGGCAAAGGTAGGGTTTGTGGAGGCAGATCCGGCAATGCCGGTGGACGAGTGCACGAAACGAATCGACCAGCTGTTGGAGCGGGTGCAGAACTCGCACCGGTATTATGAGGCACATGTGGCAATGAAGTCGCCGACGGTGGTAGCGGCAACGCGGTTTGATTCGAGCGGGCCAACAGCGTCGGGGCGGCCGGGACGGCAGCGGGAGTCGACAAGCACGGTGAGCACGCTGAGCCTGGAGGGCAGCGGCCAGAGCGGCGAGTCGGTGGGCGAACCGTATGGGGCGGGCAGACGGCGGGCAGCGACTATGGACCACGGGGTGAGGAGCAAGGTCAGCTCGACACTGGTGGACAGCCAGGGCGTGCGGCAGGAAGAGCAGCCGGTTCAGGCATGTCCCACCACCGCCGCGGCGGACTACGACAGCGGAGGTGAGGATGAAGCTGGAGAAGCTGCGGGCCCGGCGTGCGGCGCGGATGGAGACGGCCGAGGGTTCTGAGTGCAGGCAGCCCGTTGGTAGGGGAGGGCCCTAAGCAGAGTGAGCAGCATGATTTCTTTGACGACCAGGAGGTTGTCGCGCTGTTCCAAGAGATCCCGGTACCACTTAAGGATGCCTGAGTGGGACAAGCGTGTGTATTACTACCATGTGGCGCAGACCAATGCACAGTTCCGTGCAGCGACAGAAGAAGCGACGGTCGGCGACTACCGCAGAGAGTGTCTGGTGGATCTGCTGGGTGAGCACGTGGCGGAGAAGGTCATTGGCATGGACCAGTGGAGCGGCAGCGAGACCGTCGAGGACGAACGAAGTCGATCGCATTGCGGCGTGGATGGACGAGGATGAGGATGATGGCGGGGCAAATGCGTACCGCTCGTTTGACTGGTCACGGGATGGGTTCGGGTACATGGAGTTCCGCCGCCAGTCAAAGGCTATCGCTTGTGGACAGCAGCGCCATGTCTCCTGGCGATAGTCGTCGGGATTTGCCGGCGCTGGCTGCGCGAGACCGGGTGGCATCACCGCCGTCCATCTCTAAGGAGAACTTACCAGCCAGCAGCAGCAGCAGCAGCGGTCGACAACGCCTGACATTGACTTCCCGATGGATCTGCCAGGCATGTCAATGATGGGGGCGGATTCGGGCCTCAGGCGCACACGTGCTGTCGCCGATGGCGGCTACCAATGCGATGGCCAGGTTTGGCGAGGCTATCCCAACGGCACAGCGGCAGAAGGGAGCTCGGCCAACGACTGTATATGGCGATGGCATGTTTGACAATCTTGATTGCGACGGGCTGGATGGCGCGCAGGATGGCGAGTGGGAGGCGATGGTGGGCGATGATAAGGAATCGAAGCAGAGCAGGATCGGCCACCATGGACAAGGAGAACGAGCAGCTGCGAGAGGAGATCCGGATGGCGCGGCAAGCGATTGCGGCGCTGACACGAGTGGTTCTGAAGCACAGACAATGACATTTTTTTCCACATCACTTTTGAACATACAGTCGCTTCCATGTACAAGAGCCTGTTGATCGCTGCAGTTGCGACAAAGAAATCAGTGCACATGGCACATATCAGGTCGGCGCCCCTCGCTCGCCGGTGGGGGTAGGTGCATGCTTATGTGGACGGGGTCGGCCCAACCACATGGACTGGGAGGTTTCTATCACACATTGCAGGCGGGCTTCCGGAGATCGACAGCATGGAGTTTGCCAGCAGCCAACAAGGCCCTGCCATCAAAACAAAAGAGCGCGTGCTGATGTGCAACTGTTTTGCAGAGGAAAAGGCCAGGCGATTGTTTTCTGCATTTGCAACCGACAGTGGGCGGTTCTAGCGGAGTGCTCGTCGGCCTCCCACCCCAAAGAAAAAATTGGCCAGTTCCTGGAACCAGTTCGCGATTTGTTCTTTGTTTCTTCAACGTCCAGCTTGCAAAAAAAGGCTCTTTGAATTTTTTTTTCTTGTACTTTTAAACCACTCTTTAGCGGTCCTAGCATATAGTTTTGGAGCTAAAAAAGGTTTCCTCTTGCATAATTCCCTCCTCGTTTTCTCCGTAATTAGCTATTCCCTCCTTTCCCTATAATTTGTAAGATGTCGACGACACAGTGTGAGCAGACGGGCACAGCAGGGGGCGTGGGTGTGGAGGTGAGCCTGTCTCCGCAAACGCGGGGGTTTATCGTGCCCGGACCGGGGTGCGTTCTTCGAGGTAAGGACCCGTGGGTTGGGCGAGGCGGCTCCAGGCAGCAGCTCGGAGCACGAGGCTTTTTGTTGTTGTTATTGGACAGGCAAGGGACATGGAGGGACAGCAAGGGGCACAACAATGCCAAAGTATTGATGGATATGCATTGTTGATTGACAATTATTTCTGGTGGTGGTTGTTCCGGATAGGCAGCGTGCGAGTTACTGCGGCGGCGGGTGCAGTGGACAAGATCGAGGTGCGGTACCGGGGCATTGAGGTGGTGGGTGGCACTGTGGACGACGACGTGGATGACTTTGACGGCCAGCCGGCGCGCAAGGGGGTGCGGGTGCTGACAAGGGCGTATTTTGATGAGCGGCTGGTGGTGTGGGACCAGGCGACGGGGGCGGGGCTGGAGTGGGGAGCGGAGCAGACGCTCGGGTTCAGCATCGGTATGCCGCGGGCCAACTACCCGGCGGAGATCAGGAGCACGCAGGGCCCTGAGTCGCAGCATTTTGAGATTTGCTACCAGCTGGTGGCACTGGTGTTCAAGGGCGAGGAGGTGGTGGCCCGGCACGTGCACCGGGTGCCGTTCACGCCGAGCCTGAGCAAGACGATCGTCGATGTGCCGCAGCCGGCGGTGTCGCGCACGGCGTACGACGACCGCGGCAACGAGTGCCTAGTGACGCGGGTCACGCTGTCGCAGCCCGAGTATGTGCCTGGCGACCAGGTGCTGGGCGGGGTGTTTATTGAGATGCACAGCAAGGCGAACAATGGCCGCACGGTGCGCAAGGCAGAGTGCCAGCTGCGCCAGCGGATCGAGTGCCGCATGCGTCGGTCGGGCAGCGAGGGCAGCGGGGCTGGAGCGCGGCCGCAGTCGGCGCCAGGCGATGACTCGGATATTCTGTGGACGCGGGTGGTGGATCTGGAGCCGCCACAGACGTTGACGCTGACGTCGTATGGGGTGGGGCTGGCCGCCATGGCCGAGGGCGCCGAGAGCAGCCATGAGCTGCATGGCGGCGGTGGCAGCAGTCTAATGGCCGGATACAAGGCGTGCAGCGCAAACATCCACACGGTGATGCCGATCAACACGCCGGTGATTGCCGGGCATTTCCTGGCGTTCACATATGAGCTGCTGGTCACGGCGACCGTGGCGGGGCTGGCCTGGGGCATGCAGAAGGTGTCGACGCGCACGGCCATCGGCAGCCTAGCCGAGGCTGGATCGCCGACCTGCGAGAGCGCACCGGCGAGCGCCTTTGGCACCGTCAACTCGAGCGTGTCGCTCAAGTCGATGGACGATCCGAACCGGTTCTCGGTCGAGGCCTTCAAGCAGCAGGGCAAGTCGCGGTTCAGCATGATGACCATCAACACCGTGGCTGCTCGTGACTGTCGGCGTCATGCCCAATGCAGTCGAGATTATGCGCGCAAAGACCGAGGACCCGGTCAAGCCGAAGCTGTTTTTGGATGACCAGGCGGACTCTGAGATCCTGGGCGAGCCAGACAGCCGCAGGCACAGTGGCGTGATGGCTGAGGTGGAGGACGCGCCAGAGAAGCCCGATTCGGCACAGCAGAGCTGCGGGTCCTCGGACATCCTGTCGGCTGTTGGCAATAGCAGCAGCAGCAACCACCGGTCGACGATGAACCAGGGCGTGAAAGTACCGCTGATTGCAGACTCCAGCATCATGGTGGCTGGCGATGTTGCGGTGCAGGCGCCGCAGACCGAAGAGACCAAAGAAGAGGAGGAAAAAGAAGAAGAAGAAGAGGAGGAGGAGGAGACTCCAGCCGAGGGCACGCCGGTGTCGGAAAAGGCGCCAAGCTTTGACTTTAGCGTGGGATCAGACGAGTTTGGGTTTGCCAGCGCAGTCTATGCCGCAGCGCAGAAAGTGCTTCGCGCAAAGGACTGGGAAGGCGGCGATGGGCCGGAGCCGGCATCGCGCAGCACAACGCAGGTCGAGGAAGGCGGCGAGGAAGCAGGCGAGGAAGGCAGCAGCCGGCTCAGCACTATCCGGTCGTTTGATTTTGATACCGCAGGCAAGCCGCGCGAGGCAGGGCCTGGATGTGGCCAGTGCCATTGGCGAGCTGGCGCCAGCTGAGCGGCGCCCGGCCAGCAGCAAGGGCTCGATGGACAGCGGCAAGGCGCAGCGGTTTATCGGCAGCATGGAGTTCTTTGACAGCTCGCCTGGGCCCGAGCTGGCCACGGGGATGCTGGCCGGGGACCCGGCGCTGCTCAATGCGCTGAGCTTCGACGTGCCCAGCAGCAGCGGCAACAATGGCGACGGCAACAATGGCGACGGCGTGGCCCTGGCCCCGGAGCGATCGCTGACGGACCACAGCATCCGACGGTCCATGTCGATGCCCGATACATCGGCGGATTCGCTGAGTGCGCGGCGGCGGTTCGACACCGAGCCAGCGAATGCGGTCGCAGCAGATGGTGGTGCAGGGCAGGATAGCGCCACATGTCGCCACGGTCGGTGATCTCGGCAGTCTCGTCGGCGTCGCGGTTTGGCGGCGGCAAGGCAGGTGGTGGTGGTGGCGGCGGCGGCGGCGGGGTCTTGCGGTCGCTTTCGCACCGGCTGACGTCGTGGTTCACCAAGAAGAACTAAGGGAGAGTAATAACATTTATTTTTTATTTTTTTCAATTCACTCATCCATCGATGCTATAAAGATGCCCAGGCGCTGGGCGGCATAGCCGACATAGTCAAAGTCGATTTCGCTGGCAGCAGGCCTGCAGGAGCCCCCAGACACCCCAGTGCAGGTGGGAGGCAGCCACGAAGGGGTGGATTTCGGCCTCGAGCTTCTGGACCTCGTCGTCGATCTGCTGGTTGGTCAGCTCGATCGCCCTTGAGCTGGATCGGCTGGTCGGACAGGACCTGGGACTTGTCGGCGCTCATGTTGGCGTCCAGGAAGGCCTTGGCCTTGACGTACGTGCGCAGGAAGGCGTGGCGCTGGGCCGGATCCGGATACATGTCCTCGTGCAGACGGTGCGGGGCATCGGGGTGGTTGTAGTCAGACATCCACTCGCAGAAATGGTTTGCGATGTCGAAGCCGCGGTAGTTGTACCCGGCGTACTCGAAATCCACCACCACCAGCTCCTGGGTCCCATGCAGGCGCAGGATATTGCCGTACTGCAGGTCGTCGTGGGCAAACACCACCGGCGACCTGGCCTTGTCCACCAGGGCCTTGATCTTGGGCACCAGCGAGCCCACCAGACGCGGCCAGTCATTGAGGATTGCAGTGCACTGGGCATCGCGCTTGCACACCTGGGCGATCTGCGGCCGCTTCTGCTCGACCAGCATTAGCCAGCGGTCGAGGTTGGTCCAGAGCTCGGGCTTGCCGGACAAATCGACATTGGGCAGATCCGTTTGGTCGTGCTGGCCGAACGGCCGGTAGAAGCTGACCAAGCTGTGCAGCTCGCACATGCGCCTGGCAATGTGCTTGCTGGTCCACGTCTCCATGATATCCGTCTTGGTCAGCGTCGCGCTCTCCAGAAACTCCTCCAGCCGGCCGTTGCCGAAGATCCCGAAACAGCCGCGGGCCAAACCCCAGGCTGCTCAGCTGGCTCAGCCAGTAGAGCTCCTTGTCGCGCGAGATAATCTCGTCCACGCCCGTGCCGTATACGCGCAGAAAGGTACTTTGCTGGCAGCTCGGTCAGGTCTGCCCTTCTGCTGCCTTTGCGCTCGCGCACCCACGTGTACACCTGCGACGAGTGCACAGAGGCCACCGGCGCCGGATCCAAGGTCACCATATACACGCAGTTGGTCAGCGCCCCGCTGATCCGCGTCACCCTCACGCCCTTCGCCGCAATCGCCTCCAGCGGCTCAAACACCAGGTTGAACAGCCGCGCCACGCGCCGCGACAGCTCCTGGGCCGTTGGCGAGTCCTGGATGTCCATCGTCACCGACATCTTGCGCAGCGACAGCCCGGCATCGTCAATGTCGTCCCACTGGTCGTCCGAGGCCTTGCCTTCTTGCTTCATCAGCCGCGAATGCCGTGTGGTGCGCCGGGCGTGGCGGATGCGCCGGAGCATGCGCTTGAGGTTGTGCTGCTGCGTCACCTCCAGCTCGCTTTGCTCCAGCGTCAGCCCCGTCATTTGCGACACCAATTGCGGCGAGGGATTCAGGGGGGTGAAGAGAGGAGAGGGTCGGGCTGACATTTTCTTTTGAACTCGATTTCTTTCACGCGTTATAATTTGACCTAAAGGGAGAAAAAAATGGAAAGGGGGAGAAGCGGGAGAAAAAAGGGCGGTAATCACAGGACGACCAGGTTGAAATAGGCGTGGTTAACAGCCAGACTCTGGGGAAATTCCCAAGCATGGTCAATCGGAGGCAATACCAGCGACGTGGCAGAAAAATGTCATTCTTCTGTCATGTGAAAAAAAAAAAAAAGCGCTGCCAATGCACGCACAAGCAAACAGAAAACGCCATGGAAACGTCAGCAGTTGGTGTCTATATATTGGGTCACATGAGCAACATCTAGTTCTGCGGGACCTCGGCCTGGATGGACTTGCCCGACTTGGGCTCGGTGGCCACGATAGTGAGCTTGCGGTCAGTGCCGACAAAGAACTTGACCTCGACGCGGGTGTCGGCGTCGGCGGCATCGAGCTCCAGCACCATCTCGGCCAGGAGCTTGGACGGGCGGTACAGCGGCTGCTTCTTCTCCTCAGCCTCCTCGTCCTCCTCGTCCTCCTCGTCCTTGGGCGCCACCGGCTCGCCCTCGGCAACCGCCAGGTAGGCGCGCTTCTCGCCAGCAGGCAGCGCAACCTTGACAGTGCGCGACGCAGGCAGCGGGGTGTCCTTCTGCAGCACCGCAACCAGCTCCTCGGCCGACAGCTGCAGGCCAATGGGCTTGGCCAGCACCGGCACGGCGGCATCCTGGGCATCAACCTCAATGGCGCCCTGGGCAATCAGCGCGGCCTGCTCGGCGCAGCCAGCGGCAATGACCTCGTCGAGCTCGCCGACTTCGTCGCGGATCTCGGTGGACTCGGGGAACAGCAGAGCGACCTTGGACTGCAGCTTGCGGATGCGCGCAGCGCCGCCGCAGAAGACGACCTGCGAGACCTGAGCGGGCGTGTAGCCGCCATTGGCAATGACATCGCGCACGGCGTCCAGCAGCGGGTTGTAGGCGCGGCCGGCCAGAATGTCGAAGCGCGTGCGGTTGATGGTGCCGTTGAAGTCCATGCCGTCGGCCAGCGACTCGACCGCACACGGCGCCGTGGTGGCGGCGCTGAGCGTGCGCTTGGTGATCTCGGCAGCCTCGGTCAGCTTGCGCACAGACCGCGCATGCTTGCCGTCCAGCACATCAATGCCCGTCTGCTTCTTGAACTCTCCGGCAAAGTGCTTGACCAGCACGCCATCCAGGCTATCGCCGCTGACCTCGGCCGTGTGCTGGGTGCCGATGACTGTGAACAGACCGCCGCGCACGCCCACCAGCGACACGTCGGCGCCGGCACCACCCACATCCACCACCAGCGCCAACGCATCCTTGGCGTCGTCGTGCGACGCATCGGCACCCAGGTCGTACATGAGCGCCGCAGCCGCCGGCTCCGCAATCAGCTGCAGCACCGGCAGATCTGCCGCCGCGCACGCCGCGCGCACCGACGTCTTCTGCTCGGCCGTGAACCACACCGGCACCGCCAGCACCGCACCGTCGATCTTTCTGCCCAGGTACTCCTCGGCCGTCGTGTGCAGCCGCACCAGGTACCGCACCGTCGCGTCGTGCGCCGACAGCCGCAGGGTCGTCTCCTCGCCCTCCTCCGACACTGTCGTCACCTCAAACACCGGCGTGCCGTCCTGGTCGACGACCTTGGCGCCCTCGGCTCCCGCCGCCGCCGCCAGCTCGTTGCTGTACGCCTTGCCCAGCAGGTCACGGAACCCGAGGATCGTGTTCTGCGCATTGCGCACAAACTGGTGCTTGGCCTGCGATCCGTGGTACTCCTCCTCGCCCGAGAATGCAATGTACGACGGTGTCTTGTGCTCGCCGTCCTCGTTGGCGATGACCTCGGCGCGGTTCTCCTTGTTGATGATTGCGATCACCGAGTTGCTGGTGCCGAACGAGAGTCCGATGTACGTCTTGTTGTCTGCCGCCGCCATTTCTGTAAGGTGTCTGAGATTCGCCTTTGGAAGGTTTATGTAAAAAGGGTTGAGAGAGAAAGCTGTTGAGAAGAAGCAAAAAAGAGCAGTAGCAAGCGCCCGCCAGCCCGTATGCCCAACAAAAACTGAAAATTTTTTCACTGGAGGCGATCCAGGTTTCGCTCTCCTGCTGCCGCAATTCGCCCAAGGCGGGCTCGTGGCCGTAGCTTGATCAGCGCATCTAATCTGCGGCCAGAAACCCCAGCTACCCCTGGCTCGCTGGTAGCGCAGAGGCAGGTTTCGCATAGCGATTGACAAGACCCGTCGCGGGCTGAGCTTCCTCACGTACGCCCACGCATTATGTTTCAGGTATGACTCCGTATTATGTACAACGTCAAACACTATGAAAATAGGGAAACTAAATAATAAGAATGCAATAGGTGATGCGAGCTAGGGAGGCAGAAGGGAAAGCAGGGTGGGAGAAGAAAACAGGACTAATAGAACAAACGCTTCAGAGCAAGCGGGAAATACAGATGCCTGAAGGTTAGGAGGCGGATATGAAGAACAGCCTCCCCCGCCACCAAGTATCTAAAATGGAGGGGAGGGAGGTCAGCAAGGCCGAGAGCGCAAGCAAGGAAACGAGTGCCGCCCAAGCCAGAAGGTTAATACAAAAATGTTACAATTCCCAGCGGAGGGCTTGCTGCTCTTCTCCAGCAATATGCAAGACGGACGAGAAACGTTCTCCAGCGCGCACGGGGGGCGGGGAGGGGATTTTGGAAAAGAGGAGGGTTGTGGGCCTCGTGGACGAAAAATGAGGGGTTCATTTTTGGCCAGCTGGATCTTTTGTCTCCGAGACTGAGCGGTGGGCAAGTGGTGTTGGTTTGTTGTTTTCTCCCAATGGGGGCTTTTCCTCCCAAAACAGGACCCATTTGCTGGCCCTTAGAAGGAAGCGCCAAAGCCCTCATTCATCGGCATCGGATTGCTGGAGCGCGAGATGGGCGAGCACGAGCCCACCACAATCTCCTCGAGCGGGAAGAACCCCGACGGGTCCGTCTGGCCCTCAACCGACGGCGCATACAGCGACGACGAGCGCGAGCTCGACGGCTCGACCTCGCCGTGGACCGAAGATGCTGCGCAGCTCCAGGCACGCCGCGTCGTCGTCAACAAGCGACGACGACGACGAGCTGGGCCGGCACGGGGCGAACCCGCGTCGGGGGACGGGCGCCACGCAGTCGCTGCGAGGGCGACACGTGGCCGGCCGCGACGGGCACCAGCGCTCCTCTAGTCGGCTGAGCACCGAAAAGTCGCACGAATAGTCCCCGTAGAACGAGGGCACTGTGGTCGTCGCACGCCGCGGCGACTCAAAGGAGGCTGTCGTCTCGAGGGGACGGAAGGCAGTGGGAACTCTGGGCGACATGGCTTTTAGAAAAGGTTTTGTAGATTTGAAAATTCAAAAGGCTGGGATTTCTTCTTCAAATAAGAATATGCAGAGGGGATTAGAAAAGGAAGGAGGAGTTAAAAATATGGACAGTGAAGAGAAATCGATGGGGGAGTTTATTTTAGCAAGAATACAGGAGGGAAAAAAGAAAGCACACGGATGGGAAAGAGAAAGAAAAAAGCGTCGCTTTTCTTGTGCGCCTTTTTATCCTCGCCTCGCCCGCCCTTTCCCCAATTCTCTGCACTCTTTGTGTCGGGGGGAAACAGGAATACAAAAAAATGAGATTGGCCCAAATGCGACAGTGGCACAGCGCCGTGCATGCGCTTTGCAGAAATGCCGATTGTGCCCAGCCAGTCAACGTCACGTTAGCCGGCGCCGGCCAATCGCGCGTGCAGCCGGTTTTAAATATTGGATCGACCCCAGCTGTCACCCAATAGCGAACGCTTCTTCTTTGTGTCGCTATTGACGCCCTGTGCCTGCGCGCAGCTCGTAGTCCGCCTATATATCTACGTAGCAGGGTGCGGACTGTCCTTTTGGGGCTGTGTGCGCAGCTGGGCCCTCCCCACTGCCAGGAGAGATTTTCGGAGGGTCGGCCTTGCAGGCACGCTGCGCAGAGGCGGATCGGAAGACTAGCGGTGCTGGCCTGGAAATTTGGACCACAATCATCGGCGCGCCTGCCGGGCTCTCATCAGAAAGCCAAATGCGGCGGGAAATCCTCGCAATGAGCCGCTCCACCCCCGAGGCTTATTTCATTCTCTATTTTTCCGGATATCTTCATTTCGCACTGGAATATGCCCCGCTCGAAGCGCATGCGCTACACCTTCTCATCGCTGCCCCGTGCCACGTCGCAGCCAGTTATTGCGTGGTAATTATAAACATGCTCGCCCCTGTGTGACTTTGCCTCGCTGCGTATTCTGCTGACTGCAAGCTATCGTGAGCCATGTAGGGAAAGGAGATGGTCCGCCCCCAGCACTCTACCGGGTGACGACGCAGCCGCTGCGTACAGGCTGTTCAAGTGGACAAAGAGTACGTATGTTCCTTTATTGAGCCTGATTTTCCAGGGCGTGACTTTGCGCGTGCATAAATTTATTGCTGTCTTCCTTCTCCCATTGGATAGCGGGGCAGACGGTGGTTCACGAGGACGACGAGGACAACGAGGACAACGAGCCAGAGGTTGCTGAGACCCCCAAGCCAGGTGAGGGGGACGCGCAGCTCCAGGCAGAGAATGCCCATGCGGATGATCAGAGCGACGCTGCTGCCGAATCGTCAACTCCTGTGGAGCCCACAGCGACTACTGCGTCTGACCAACACCAGCACTCGGAGACTACTGCTGCTGCATCTTCTGCTACATCGGACAGGCAGTGACGCGCCTACTGTCCTCCCAGTAGAGACTGAAGCCACTGTGGAAGCCGTTCCTGCTGCTGTTGCCACTGGCGATAAAGCCGCTGCTCCAACAGCCTCTGAGCAAGCAGCTGTCTCTGAGCAAAGCAGCTGTCTCTGAGCAAACAGCTGTCCTCTGAGCAAGCAGCCTATGACCAGCTGTCTATTGGCCAGCCAGCCTGTCTCTGATCAAGCATTCGCTGCTATTGCCAGCCCCGATAAGTGATGCCCACTGTGACCCCACTCTCACCACTCTGGAGAACGCACATTCTGGCACCACTGTCGATGTGGTACAGCCTGCGCAGGAAAATAAACACATCCACCCCCGCATCTGCTGCTCCTGCTGAAGCTGAGGCTGCTGCTGCCCATGCCCCCAGTGCCCCATGCAGTGCTCTACCTAGCGGGGATGCCAGTGGCCCCGCTGGCAACGAGACTGGCCCCGCGCACCCGCCGACCCAGTAGCTTGTCTCATGATAAATTCTTTCATCTCAATCCCACATACTCGCTATCGTATGTCTGAATAATGTACCGTTTTCCTGGGCAGATCATCCCCTCCCCGACCCCCAGCGGAGACGCCATTTAGGCAACAGCCATCCTCATGTCTCAAGGGCATAGAGGATACAGAGGGAGCACGATGCCGCCACCGTTTCCTTTGTGGCTACACATGTCAATAGCACACATTGGGCATACGCCCCCCGTCAACTGACACAGCCCCCATGCACTTCCTGTACATAAGTACATATATACACTGGGTTTGATAATCTATTCCTTCTCTTCCTGCTCAGGAGCGTGATCCACCTTGACGGGCACAGATGCGTCAACCGAGTCCCGGATCTTGGTTCCGCAGCACATTCTCCTCCTCCAGCGACGCCGGGGAAATGTGCAGAATCCCGGTGTCCGACGCATCCAGCAGCGGCGACTGGTCGCCACCAGCCCTACTGCCTCCGAAGTTCAGGCCTTAGTGCCTCGACTTCGCGCTGCACGTCAGCCGACCGCGGCGGCCTGCCAGTAGCAGCCATCACGCTGCCAGCGGCGCCCGTGCTTGTGCCGCTGATCTTCAGCGCGCTCTGCGGCTTCGCCGTCAGCGAGTGTACCTCCTGGGACGCCAGGAACGAAAACAGCGACGACGGCGCATCCGCACGCACGCCATCCTCAATCGCCTCCTCCTGTGTCGGAGCGCTGGTTGTCGGGAACTCCTCCACCGTCGACGTCACAAACACCGTGCGCTCGACCGCCCGCAAGTATTTTATCACATTGCGGTAAGTGCCGCTGCGGCTGCGCCAGCAGCTCGGCAATCCGCTGGATCGTAAACGGCGCCTCGTCGAATGTGTGCAGGCTGTAGCCGATCCGCTCCTCCAGGTCGTGGATGTCGCGCATTTGCGAGTCATCGCCGTTGCTGGACTCGCCAGACTCCATGGCTACGTCGCTGGCCGCCCCGGCCGCCGGCACCGTCAATGTGGCCTTGGTTTCGTCTGTGTCCATTGCGCTTGTGCTCTCCTTGCCCTTGGGTGTGTCTGGCTCGCTGTCAGGCCGCCTTCTTGCCGCTGCCGTCGTCGCTCTGCTCCATCTCGGCGTCCTCGGCCTCGCGCTTTCGCCGCTCACGTTCCTTCTGCTGTTGTACGAGGTCCTCGACCACGAGTGTCAGCTTTTGCCGGATTATCCGGCGCACCTCTGGCCACGGCGTGCTATGTAGGAGATGCTGCAGGCTATGAGTGTGTTGTTGGAAACCGGTTACTTTGGGCGCTTGCTTTGCATGCTTCCCGCGCCTACCTGTCCTTCTCGTTGTTTGCGAGCCGCTCCAGGATTCCGGTCGTTCTCTACAAGCAAGGTCGCCGGTTCCTGTTTAATACACTTGTTTCAGGGAAATCGTCTTGCAAACTTTCTTGGAATGCCTGTTTCCGAAAACAAATGCTCGCTGCCCGTACCTGCATCCCACGCATTCGGCTCCTCCTGCCGCTCCCGATTCTCGGATTGCTGTGTGCCGTTGATGCCGTTGCTCATTTTCGGTCAAAACAAAACAAAAAGCTGGAAAAGCGTGTGTAGCAGAGTCAAGCATCAGCTCCAGGCACTCTCCACAGCGCCGCCATCGTCAGGGAGCATGATGCGCAAAAATTATCTTCCGCTGGCGTCACGTGCAGGTCCGGTCTGCGCAATATCCCCAGGCGAATAGCTGGCCGCTGAATGCTGACTAAAATCTTATCTTTTCCTTGTGCTGTAAGCTTTTTTCTCTCTCCCTGTACTCCCACCCCTTTATATTGCCTTTTCTTCTTTCAGCGAAATGTTTGCGCGCAGAATTCTCCAGGCATCCACCCGCATTGCAGTGCGGCGGCCAGCGCCCGCACGGCGGTTCAGCAGCATACTGCCCCGCCCCACACCTACAACAGCCAAACCCACACCCTTCCTCCAGCAGTACCGCACCATGTTCATCCAGACAGCAACAACACCGAACGAAGACGCCCTGCAGTTTATTCCCGGCGTGCCTGTGCTCGAGGACACAGGCTCACGGCGCACAGTAGAGTACACGTCGCCGCGCGACGGCCTGAAATCGCCGCTGGCCACGCGCCTGTTTGCAATCGAAGGCGTCAAGGGCGTCATGTACGGCAGCGACTTTGTCACGGTGCGCAAGGAGCCGGACTATCCGTGGCAGCTGATGAAGCCGGACATCTATGCAGCGATCATGGACCATTTCTCGTCGGGGCGGTCGCTGATCCGCGAGGACGAGGAGGGCCAGGACTCGATGAGCGTGGGCGACCAGGACTCGGACATTGTGGCCGAGATCAAGGAGCTGCTGGAATCGCGCGTGCGCCCGTCCATCCAGGAGGATGGCGGCGATTTGGACTTTGTCAGCTTCAACGAGGGAACGGGGATCGTGAAGATCCGGCTACGTGGTGCGTGCCGCGGATGTGCATCGAGCTCGGTGACCCTGAAGCACGGCGTCGAGGGCATGCTGTCGTACTATATCCCAGAGGTCACTGGTGTCGAGGATGTTGGCGATGAGCTGGAGGCCCAGGCGAAGAGGGAGTTTGACAAGCTCGAGGCTGAGCTCAACAACAAGCAGTCGTCATAGTGGCGTTTTTCAATTAGACAAACGAGACATGCTGCGTACAAAAGTTTTTTGTTTACTCCAATGTCTTTAGAGGCAGGAATGGCGAAAGAAAGCAGAGCCGTAGGCGTGGGGTTCAGTAGTTTTGCTGGCCCTGCTGGCCGAGATTCTGAGCGTGCTGGCCAAGATCCTGCGCCTGCTTGCCGAGATCCTGCGCCTGCTGGCCGAGGTTGTGACCCTGCTGGCTGTAGTCTTGCGCTTGCTGGACCGAGGTTCTGACCCTGCTGGCTGTAGTCTTGTGCTTGCTGGTTAAAGCTTTGCTGCTGCTGCTGCTGCGGGTTTCCAGTCACCTGCCCCTGCTGCTCTTGGTTGTTTGGCAATCCGTCGCCTTGCTGGTTGAGGTTGTGCGAATCTTGGTTGTCGTTGCGGCCGTACGAGTTGTCCTGGTCTTGGTTCTGGTGATGGTCGTGCTTCCCCTAGCACGATGCATTTCACTCTTGACCTTTTCCTTCAGGTTGTCGATAAATCCACCAAGCGGCATTTTCAGATCCTTTTCTTCTTTTGGGTTGGCTTGCAGAAAGGTAGGGTGTTACGTTTGTCGTGGGTTGGCTGTTTCTGAAAGTAGTAGGGATGTGTGCTGTTGCTGTAGAAAGCCGGAGAAACGGCTCGTCCGCCACGGATAAACGGCATTATATATGCGAAACCCTTTCACCTCCTCGCATCCACGCATTCTGCCCCGATCCCTGGCAGGGTTTGGTTGGCAGGAATCGCTGTCATAGGCGAATCGAAAACTCAGTGCATCTAGCCTAGACTCTTTCAGCTCTCTCCCTCCCTCCAGCTTTCATATGCCTGGCTGCCAAAACATAAACATCCCGCGCACTGATCCCAAGCAAACAAACAAAAAGTTATATACCGCAACAGCGTTTGCCAAGCGACCCCATGATCATGGCATTATGGCGTGGTTGACGCATGTTTCATGCAACCGAGTTACAGCCCTACGTGGGGCCGGCATTTTTATTGTTGGCTTCTACCGGCCGCTGGCCTTGAAGAACGTGTACGAGAGCGTAATCGTGTCGATATCGTCCATCAGTGGATCGTCGGCAAACTCGGGATCAATGAAGAAAAACACAGGCATATCGATCTCCTCCTTCGGATCCAGCATCTGCTCGTCAAAGCAGAAGCACTGGATCTTGTTGAAATACGGCGCCGCCTGCTCCGGAATGACATTGTACGTCGCAATACCCACAACCGACTTGTCTGACCGATTGTACGCCTTGTAGAACGCCAACGCAGGTCTCGCCCGGCACCACCGTCACCTGGCGCTGCTCGGGCTTGAACGACCAGTCCAGCACCGTCGAGACCTGGCCCGAAAACTTTATGCGCAGCTTGCGGTGCCCTTCCAATGGCTTGAGCGTCTCCACATCGCGCACCGTTGGCTCTGTCTTGGGCGTGCCCATGTAGCCGGTGGTTTTGCACAGCAGGCGGTAGAGAGGCACAGCCGCATACGAGATGCCGAGGAAGGTTATCACAAACGAGCTCACGTAGAGAATGCCCGAGACGTTCCTGCGCCGCGCCAGCTCTTGGTGCCGGAGGAACTCTTCGCGCGGCGACACCCGCCGGTTCGTTGCCATCAGTCGCTGGTTGCGGAATACCAGCGGCCGTGCGCGCTGGTGTATGGCGGTGGGCTGCAGGCGCAGGCCAATTGTAGACCGAATTCCACTGCCCGCGCGAAACAGGTGCTGGAACATTTTAAAAATTGGAGACAAAAGATAACAGAAACTGAAGTGGAGATCTGGGTTCTACAGCGCTGCTCAGCCTGCCGCCGAGGGGAGGGGGCTTCAGGGTAGCAAAAGTCGTTGTACCCGCCCGCTTGCTCTGCTTTTCGAGGGGATTTCGTAATAGTTCCCTGAGCCGGAGCTGGATGCAGCGAGCTGAATCGTGCCAGAGACGCGCACAGATCGCCCAGCGACAGGTGGACTACTCTAGCCTGACCACTGAGGATATGTCAATCGGAGGCACAAGTCCGCAAGACACTGTTTGCTGGATCAGCCCACTGTATGGTCCCACTTGGGCATGTCTCATGGACATGAAATGAAACCACAAATACATGAAAGCTGGCCTGTCGCTGATAAGCCAAAGGCGATTAGAACAGGGACCAGTCAGCAGCGATATTGCGCAAGTGAAAGCTGCAGCTTTGCTGCTGTCCCACTCGAGATACTGGTACCTGCGCACTGCCCAGACAGCTACTTAAGCAGCAAAGTCAGCACGGCTCTCCTTGCCCTTTCATCGCAATCACACTAGCTGTCCATACAAACCCCGTCTATTCACAATGCCCAGCAATAGCGCCCCGTCCAGCACCGCCCAGACCAGCAAGACCGACGCCGAGTCCGCTGCCGATCAGAAAGACGCCCGTCAAGCTGACCCGCTCTCTGCGCGACGCCATGTACACAGTGCGCGACGCCATCGAATCCGTGGCGAACTCGTACCGCTCAGACACCACGCTGAGCGAGAGCCCTGAGAGCCGCCGCACACATTTCTAGACGGCTCGACTCCGCCTGGCTCTCCATCTTTTCTTCCCGATTGATCCCACACGCCTATTTTTGTAGCTCTCTTTCTTGCTTTTCTTGGAAAAAACTAATACACCTTCTAATTTCAAACACATGGCCCTCGGCAAAAGAATGCAGGCACTGCTGCCATGAGCAGCTCGGCAATTGGGTCCGGCACATCGAATAGCTCGTCAAAGGGCGGTCGGACACAGCAAGGTACAGAGGCCTTTGCAGCAAAAACATGCTCTCTGCGCTTCCTCATTAAGCTCTCTTGGTCAACTAACAGACTGTCGCTCCTCTCTTGTAGTTGCAAAGTACACGCCGGTAAGCAGCACGGGGCTCGACAGTCAGCATTCCAGAATACCCCTGGCTCAGTCAGCTAACAGCACCTCTCCCTCCCCGAATTGCGTGTAGTTCGACTTTAACGCGCTTAACATCCACACGCTGCGCAAATACCGGCAGGCGTTCAAGCTGAACGTCAAAGCGCGGTCGTCGAAAGAAGAATTGGTGGTTGCTGCAACGCGGCATTACTCTGGTCATATGGTCGACGAGGTCGACACGATTGCCCGGTTTCTGTATACTGTCCACAGCAGCAAAGGTACAGTCTCACCCACTGCCCAGAGCCGAGCCGTGTGGGGATCGACCCTGCAATTTGCGGTTGCTTTATGTGGCCAACCTCCCAGATCAACTCCAAATTAACCTCGTGCTTCATTTTCTGTAGAAGGACGGCGCTCGCTCAGGTCAGCTGTAATGGCACGGCGCTGCATCGCTCGAATAACATACCAGGAGGCTTTTGGTGCTAATAATAAAATTCACTTGTGAGACTATAAAGATGAGGTTCTAGGTGGGCGGCAGCTTCGCTTGCGACGACAGAAACCTGGTCGACGATCTGCTCAGCAGCGACTCCCGGCGGTAGCTGGCCAGAAACAACATCCGACTCGAGCGATTTGGCAAAGAAGCGGGTCTCAGGGTCGCGGTTGAGCCGGCTCAGCAGCAGATTTGTGACCTCTCTCCACATCCACTTCTCCTGCTGCTCGGCTCTGAGCCCGTCCCACTCGCCCGACTCGCCGAGTTTCTTAAAGTACGTTTCGATGGTCGACCACACGCGCTCGAGGTTGAATCCGGTGACGGCCGATGCACGGACCACCTTGGGATTCCACGACTTGCGCCTCGGAATCATCAGATGCAGGGCATTTGTAATCTCGGTACGGGTAAGCTTCGCCGGAATCTCTAGCGCGCCATCGGCCTTGTTGATGATGATAAGGTCAGCCAGCTCCATGATTCCGCGCTTCACGCCCTGCAACTCGTCGCCGGACCCCGGCTGCAGCAGCAGAATGAACATGTCGACCATATCGGCGACCATGGTCTCGGACTGGCCGACGCCAACGGTCTCTACCAGACAGATATCGTAGCCGGCAGCTTCCGTCAGAATGATCGAATCGAGAGTGTTGCGGGCGACGCCTCCCAGCGACCCGCTGTTGGGCGATGGCCGCACGTACGCGCCATCAGCGACACTCAGATCCTGCATACGCGTCTTGTCACCGAGGATCGATCCACCCGAGCGTGACGACGACGGGTCGACAGCAAGCACTGAGACACGGTGGCCCATGTTGATGAGCATCATGCCGAACTTTTCTATGAATGTCGATTTCCCGACACCCGGCGTCCCGGTTAGACCGATGCGCAGCGATCGGGGACGGTCCAGCTTGATGCATTCGGAAACAAGCTTGCGTGCTTGCTTCTGGTGGTCGCGGCGGGTTGACTCGACTATTGTGCGCCTGGGAATGGTTAGGTGCAGGTGAGATATCTAGGGCGTGGAGAAGGCCGCAGTAACTGAGCTGGGCAGATGGCTTACCAAGTGTGATACCGCGTGCCAGCGATGCGCGGTCGCCATTGCGGATACCCTCGAACAACGAGTCGCGCTGTGTAGAAAGATGCTTTCGAGACAGCCCGCTGGAGGTGGCAGTGCGAACTACCTTTGCGACATTTTGTGTCAATTGAGATAGCATTTCTAGGAAGAAGCAAATAAAAAGTACAGTAAGGTTGAAGAAACGGGGGAGTATATTAATTGAAAGTTGAGTGGAAAAGAGGAGCTGTAGAGTGGAAAACACGATATCAGCATCGCGTTCCTTGCGATCCCATGCACCAGCGGAAATAACATGCAACTTTTTAATTTTTTTCCCATCGGCCAAATCTACAGCAAAAACCATCACATCCGGCGCTTCTCCTTCTTTGCCGTCCTGCGCTTCTCCTTTTCTTTGCGGAGCCGATCTTTCTCCAACAGCTCCTTCTCACGCTCCACCTTCTTCTGGTGTGCAGTCCGGGAGCTCTCCCGCAGCGCCCGCTCCTTGTCTGCCACAATCTGGGCATTGGTGTTCTTGCCCAGTCCCATGTCCGTTCTTGCCGCTGCCGCCTCCTTGTAGACAATTTCCGCCTCGCCATTCGCGTTCTCCACGATTTCCGGCACATCGAACCCGTACGTCATCAAAAGCTTCTCGCGCTGCCTGCGCTCCTCCATGGTCAGCTGCTTGGGCGCAATTGGATCGCGTGGGTCCTTGGCATCCTTCTCAAGCTCAGCCTTCTCGAGCTCTAGTGCGCGATCAAGCTTTTGCTGCGCGGCCTGTTGCGCGGCCAGCTCGGCTTCGTGCTGCGCAGCAGCGGTCTTGGTGAGGGCCGGTAGCGACAAGCTCTGAGAGATCCTCCTCTGTGACTGCCTCGAGGTACCCAGTGATTGCCTCTTGCTTTTCGTCACCCTCCATGGTCTCATCGTCAAGTAGCCCGACGCAGTACTCGATAATCGCCTCGTCGTCGATGCCGCGCTTGCCAAGCTCGCTCTTCAGATATGCAGACATTTTTGGTGTTGAAAAATCTGTTGAAATCGAGAATACGCCAACCGCCGGTGCTCACAAAAACCGGAACTGTCTCCACCAATTAGTGTGCACATTTGCAGTTTTGGTTCGGTCCAAGTTAGGGGTGGAGACCAGGTTTATGTGGGCTGATATGGACTGTGCTACAGCCACTGTTCCCCATCGTACGACATCAGGAATTGGCTTGAGCATCCTGGATGTTTGTCCGCACAATGTACAGGTCCGGAAGGGAAGCGACTGGTCAGATACTGTAGTACCGATTTCAGCAATAGTCTGCATTGAAATCACTGGTCGTCTTGTAAACATTCTGTGTGCACAGACGTTTAGGAGATAGCATGACAATAATCATGCTGCTCCAAGTAGTGGACAGCACTACGCTAACAACACACTGCTGACAGCACACTACTGACAACACACTACTGACAACATATATTCCGCTATGCTTATTTCACAAAAAATCTCCTACACAGTGTAGGGGTCAGATGACAGCGACGATACGGTTCCAGGTTTGCTCTCTATGCCCCCAGAACCAACACCAGTCGAATAGTATGCTGCAAATCGTCCCCCTTCGCCAATAAGCACCTCGGACCAGTACTGCAAGTAGCTCTCATGATGGACTGCACATTTGTACAACGGCACAGCCCAGCAGTAAGTACAATTGCAGGTTGACGCAAATGTGATCCGTGTAAACAACCGCCGTGCGCCATGCCAGGTGTATCGGAAAGTACTGTACAGCAAGCATCGACACAGTGTTGACAATGACCGTGATCAGTGAAATAGCCATCAAAATGACCACGTCTCGGAACTCGCCAAAGACCATGCTGACCCTACTCAGCTGCAAGTTTACAACAGCAACCACGCCCCACAGCAACCAGACAATAACAATGATTGCGTGCTGGAATCTGTCGGCTACAAAGCAGATGTCAATGTACGGCAGGTACCAGAATGTCATGCGGTGCGGCAGTACTGTTATCACTAGTGCACCCAATGTGGCCAGAAGCAGTACAGTTGCATAGGTTATGTAGACAACCTTGCCCCGGAATGGTCTGCCCAATACAAACATGTAGTAGAGCGAGAACTGTCGGACAACAACCAGCTGTTGAACCAGAATTGCGCCGAATGATGCACGCAGCCAGGCAATATTCACCGCACACCTACGCAGTGCTGGCCGATCAAGCGGCACCACGCTGGCCTGCCAGCAGATCGCCAATAAACCACATAACTGACGCAAGATACATCAGGACAAAGAACATGACACCTTTGGCTCGCAATGGCGGATAACGTCGGTTGATGACGAGGTAAACCATGATAATGAGGCCAAGCGAGTATATGCAGCTGAACACAACCACTGTTGCCAGATCGACACGTCCAATTGGGTCAGAGTTGAACCCGAACACGCGGGCCCATTCTGCACGTTCTCTTTTTTCTGGTGTTATTGAAAACGACATTATTAGATATGTATATTTATAGACTATGCAAGGAGGAAAGAGAGAAAGAGAGGCGGGGATTGATAAAGGAAGGAAGCACCAAGCCGTTTGCTTCCTTCTACTGGCTGGTGATGGATATCTATTTGTGAATATGTAACATGACCGGAGTATACGTTACTGCTACTGGTGCCACTTCAATCCGCCAATATCAGCCACGCCTTCCAATACATGCATAAATTGTGTGTATTATTGCGTAAAGTGTAAGCATACAAGCAGCGTCACTATTAAGCATTCCATTATCGCTCTTGTGAAATGAGCATATTGGAGCATAACACAGACTATGCACCTGCTTCAAGCGATATAGCGTCTAAGGCATTTGCTAAATTTCTCTGTATTCAATATCACGAATGTAGGGACAATCATCAAACACCGAGCGGCGCGTAAATGCAGAAATATCCTGCTGCAGCGTCGAAAACGTTGCAATGTAGTGGTCCCTCGAGCTGATGGTAGCCAGCGAAGGAAGCCTCGTGGTGGCAAGGAAAATGAGGTAGAACGCGTTTAAAACCGTTGGGTAATCGTGGCTATTCCCGCGGATCGCGCTCAACGAGATTTCTCTAAGGCTGCACGTTGTTACTACTGGGAGTTTGCTTCGCACGCTAGCAATCTGCGCGTTGGTAAACTGGCTAATCGTCCAATCTGGGTTCCGTTCGATGAGGTAGGAGAATTTGGACGCGGAAAAGTGCTGGCAGCTGGTTAGTCAAGTACAGCAGGTCGATGATGCCAATTTGCGTGCCGCTAATATCCAAAATACCGAGGCGGGGCTGGTCGAGCGATAGAGTTGAAAACGTGCCCGGGCTGATATCGTGCATCGCGGTGTATATGAGACGCTGCAGCTGCGAACCAATACTTAATACCAGCGTGATTTTTTGGATATCATGAGCATCGTCTTGAGAGGGAGTGCCATAGGACCTGCGCAAAGGAATCCATAATAGAGACGGTTCGCAGAGCCGGGAATGTATGTTGCGATGCAGATGTAAGCATCGTCAGAGCCTTGCATGGTGGAGATATATTTCCAAGCGAAATCTGCTCGATCGTACTCGTCGCGGACATTGCTGCCTTGACTATATTAGGCGATGCCCATCCATTGAAACGAACATACTCCAGACGAGGAAACTGACGTATCGGGAACCCAGGAATATCGGCAGTGAATTCTGAGGTGGGAGGTACTTTTCTACAGTCAACTGCTAACCAGCGAAGCACAGGGTATGTAATCGTCGTTTTGCGACCATCACCAAGAATATTCCAGAGAAATATCCGAGTCAGTGGTATGGATAAACAACCGTTCCAATGTCTGTGCATTGCGACGGATTAGCGCGGCCCATCCAAGTTCGACTTTCAGAAGGCTGATTTTTATATACTGAAGCGGTGCAGGGCTCAGTGGCTTGCACCAACCCTCAGTTGGATTTCGCCGCCTGTTGATAGCTGCCGCAGAGTACCAGCAAGCGAATTGTAGATCTCCTGGTATGACTACCAGGCGGAACTCCTTGTTAGTGCTTATTGCCTCGACTCCCAAGTTTCGAACTCTTGGAAACGCGCTCTTGAGCAGCATGCCGAGATCCGCCGAAAATCGTCGAGTGTGCGTGAGTATACTGGGGTCCTGGCTGTCACTTCTGTCTATAGTGTTACCACGGGGACCACTCTGTGGCCTTTCCCAAGCCACCCATTCGTCCCGAATCGTTACTAGCAGAGTGCTTGCAGCAGGAAACACATTCCCCTGAAGCAGCCTGGTAATATAGTCGATAATAGGCGGATAGAAACCTCTGGCGAAAGTAATGTCTAGGCGAAACATTTTTAGCAGCGCATGATGTCCGTTAGCAATAACTACCCTCAGGCTATTTCTAACGCTTCTATCGCTGACACCTGACGCCGAGAAATCCTCTGCCGCTATCTCGAGCTCAGCGCATTCATTGGCCATTGAGTCGACCACCCTGCCCCATGTCTGGTTCATGATCGGAACAAGCGAATGGTCATGCACTGCACCGGTGCCAATCTCTTTTAGCCAACTGCCTGCCAGACCATGGCCAAGAATTCCCCGAATTATTTGTTCTACAATCAGAACGGGGAGGTTGTCAAATTCTGAGCGAAGCATATCTAGATAGAAAAAGGGAAATGTAATATAAATTCGAGCAGAGCTAGAAATTCATTTTCTAACCCCCACCTCCTCTCGACTTCCAATTATGCCTTTCTCATGTACCCTGGACGTTATGGACACGATTGGTGGTATGGGATATGACAAGCGAGCTTTGTATATAGGGTTGGTAAACCGCTGTACATCATGCCAGCCATATTTGCATTCATAGCCATGGGTATTTTGGAACGTTAAACCCTAACAGGTGTGGCACACCAGCATGATAGAGGCGTATGTTTAAATAAACTGTCGCCAATGGAGAAATGGCCGGTGGGTGTTATTCCGCTGTGTTGACATTCGGGTCGGATCTGCGCACCATAGACAAGCGAAACGCATACGTACAAACAGACGACTACCTTCTTCCCTCAGTCGTTTTGAGAATTATTCCATATATCGATAACTCATCCAAGTTACATGCGATGTTTATGGAAATGAGAATCTTTAGGTTTACAGTGGCATTTCAAATTAAGATTGTATAGCAATGGAAAAGTGAAACACATGTACTGGCTACAGAATTGGTATTAAATATCTACATGCGTCGCATATCAGAGATGGAAATAGTGTATTCTTGCATATCACTGAGGTCATTTCTAGTTGGGTAGCCAGGAAACTCTCCAACTACTACAACCCAAGCCCAACTGCACTGGAGCTGCTTGACGCACCTAGTTCAGTCATCTTCAGATATGTATCTAGTTATCCGCAATGTTGCAGCTAAAGAATTTTTTGTTTGATGGTTCGAACACTCCAAGTATATCGTCTGCCGGTGGCTGGGTAGTGTTTGCAATAACCTCACACACATTCTTATCCACTTCTTCAATAACAGCATTATGCGCACCAATCTCTTCTTGAATATCATCATCGCTGTTAGAAATCGCATAAACCTGTTCTTCAATAGCCTCAGTGTTACTGTTCCGCGCTTTCTTGACCCATTCGTACTCGCTGTTGGTTAGGTTTACCGGCTCTGAAAGCACAATACCAGAGAGGCCGAGAAGTGGACAACGAGCGAAAGAGAAGATAGTTTCATCTTGAAAAGTAGAGTAAAGAAAAGTAGAGAGCCTTGAAATCGTGGTCAGAATAGTTGGTATTTATAACGACCAGACGCCGAAGTACTTTTTAGCAAACTCGTATGTTACCAAACCATCGCTAGTGACATTGGTGTTGGATATACCGGGGAATTACAATCTTGTTCATAATATGATGATGTCGCTGCTTTGTTTACAACACACCGCTGCCGATGCTTGTCTTAGACATGTGCCACAGCGAGTTGGCATTTGCTGAATATCCAGCAGTGTGTGCTGCTGTATGGGGCAGTACGAATCAGCAGTAACATAAAGTGATTCGATGTACCTTAGACGTTTGGCCCATGGGATACACCCATGAAGTACCATTGTTGGCAAATGTGTTTACTAGGTAAATACTAACTATGCATTACGAAAATCGAGAGATATCACTCGCAAGTTTGCCAAGTTCACCACGTAACAAGCATACATCGTCCTGATCCAACGCCATGTCCCTCGTAGCTGCTAGTTCCTGTCTGAGCCGTGAAATTGCCTCCAGCAAACCGGTGATGCCAGAATCCTCCGACATCAGCGACTCTTTTGGGGCATTAATATCAAAAACCGCGCGATAAACATGATCTTGCTCTCCATTAGCAATGGGCTTGCCAGCTGGCACTTTTTGGATGAACTGCAGCAGCGCCTGCTCAGCGCTCCCTGTAGCGACTGCCTCTACAATATGTGCGTTATGCTCGTCCATAGCGAATCGAATTAACTGGCGATGCGCAAAGTGCCGGACTATCCACGGTCGTGCAGAATCAAGCAAGAAGGCAAACACGGGCTTCACCGCCTTGCCAACAGGCATGAGCAGCGGCTGCTCCAGGTCAGTCTCGGCAAAGCACCCGCACAGAAGTCCCAGCATCACGGCCGAAGCAGGATGCGAGTCAAATGCCTTGCCATTCTGCGAACAAATGTGGCTGGAGCATTCGCTCAGCACTGATGCAGGAAATGCTAGGTCACTCTGCGCCAGAGAAACAGCCATTGCCAGAATGTTTCCAACAATACTGGCCTCACCTGTAGCATTTAGAGATCGCGGACAACAACTGGCTAGCAAAACTGCACATGGATTGGCCGACTTCGGCAGCTCCGAGCTCAGTACCTGCCAGGGCCAGTCCAGTAGCAGCAACGATCGCTGCGCAGCCGGTCGTAGCCTTTATTTGCTGTGCTGCCTTCCTTATCGACAACAGTGCACCGCTGTCAGTAAACACTGACCATGGCACCATCGCATAGACCAGGCCAATGCCCGCAGATTGATTATCGAATCGGGCTACCAGTCTGGCCAGCCATGCAGTAAGGTCATCTTGACTGATGCCCTGGACAAATCCATCGAAGAGTGTGGCAAAGCGACTGCGTGCCATGTCGGATATGCTTTCTGGTGCTGAATAAGCGATGTCGATAATGCTGTCCATCATTGACACAACCAGCGCAGATGGGAGCGCATTACGAGCGACGATAATCCATGCGTCAGCAACTATGCAGGCACCAAGACTGCCTGGAGAGGACCATGAAAGCACGTCAAACGCGGCGATCTCCCAGAGCTCAAACACATCCGGCGTGGCCACCTTTATCGCACTGACTGCTACCGATGAAACCAGCTGCTCATATGCGGTTGACAGACTCACGCGCTCGCTGATAGCGCTGCTTGCAGCCGAGCCCAGTGCGGCCAATATAGATGTGGGGTCGCGATCGACAGCCAGAGCCAGTGCGCTGACCAGTGATTTATGCCGGTGCAAGTAGCTGCGATTGCTGGTGGGCAGAAAATGAGTCGATGTTGGAAAGCACCATGCGAAGGACCTCGATATTTGCCACTGGCCGTTTCAATCCCGTTAGCAGTGGCAAATACGAACAGCGACTGCTTCTGTCTGTTGCGAATGAGTGCACCGTGTCTACATAGGACACAAGCTCCTTGACGCTGTGTGAAAACATTGCCACCACGACCTTTTCTGCCACTGCCAGCACTAGGTTATGCATGTTGTCGGCAATGTTTCTGGGCATAAACGCCATATTGTGCGGTGTGACCAGACTGCCCAGCACGTCATCAAACATGGGCATTGCATGCTGGAATGCGGCAGTATCGTCGACTGACGGATCCGAATGCATTCGCTTCAACAATGCCGACATGTGGAACATGAAAAAGCGCACAAACGCCAACGAGTTCATGATCCGATGGGCGACCGTCCGCTGGGCTAGGTCCTTGGCCAGCGACTTGGCCAGTATCCCTGCAGTCTGCTGTGTCAGTATACTAATCATCGAGCACGACTCGGAGAAAACACGCGCGCACAGTCTACCGCCCGCAAACGACGGCGGAGCGAATCTTGTCGCAGTCCGACACAGCGCTTTCCAGATTGCTTTGAAGTGCTGTGGCTGTGACAGAAACGACCGGTATGCGGTTAGTACATACTCGCAAAACCGCTCCAGCACGGCCCGCTTCATTCCAAGGTCCTGGGACAAGTGCGCGTCGGTGGTGAGCGACGACGATATACTCTCGACTAGCGTGCCGGCTGATTTGGCTAATTCTGTGATGTTTCCTGCCAGCGACGCGGTTTTGCGCATTGTCGGGGTTGTGCTGGTTTTGGAGAGCTGGCAGGCCACTTCGAACCACTTGACCAGCGCCATTGCCAATGGAGGGGTGCCGCTTTGTCCTGACGACCAGATCCGCTGTGATGCGATGGCACCGGACAGCGAGGAAACCAGCGAGCATACGCTGTCAGTCATGAGCAATGCCAGCCGCACTGCATCGGCGGTTCTCTGTGTATCTGCGCTGGTTGCCTGACGTGCTAGCCTTTTCTAGCACAGAGCAGGCTTCCTCGTATACTCGGTATGTTCGTTCAATGCACAGATCAACAACCTGGGCTCTAAACACTGCGGTGTCCGGGGATTCCGTGTCGGAGGCGCCCAGAAGCGCCTTTGACAGAATGGTAAAAGCCGACCGTATCCCACACTCACACAGCTGGCATACATTCGGGGCATCAAGCATATCTGTACAGAGCATAAGGAAAACCTCGATTCTCTGTCTGTCGCCTGTTGCGATGTCTAGCCCGTCGACAAAGCCATCGATTATCTGCTGGAGCTCGATCGCAGCGGCTTGCTCACAGCTACCCTGCTGCTTGGCAGAGCCTATAAGCGATCTGGCCCTGGCCACTGCGGTCGAGCTGCTCGGACCGTTTGTAAACATTGGGCGAAATTTGGCAAAAGGGATTGAGGCAAAGCTGAGGCAAAGGATGAGGGAAAAAGCAGCAACGACCCGACTGCGCAAGCTAGCAAGTAAATGCGAGCTGAGTTGAGCACTGATCAAACGAGAGCCGAGTCGAGCCTGTGTATTCATGCGAGTTTAAGGTAAACAAAAATTTCACGGCTCTCAGCTTCGCCAATCCTTGCTCTCGCGTTCTCATTCTAATTCGCTCTCGCCTAAACTACATCAAAAGAAATTCAAAATGGCAGGCATACCTCCCAGCTCCCCACCGCTCGGCCACGGCTCAGACGATGAGCGTATGGGCAGCGACGCGTACAACACTCTTCCCGAGACACCGGCGCCATTTTCGCCCCTGGCCAGACAAACTGGGCCAGCGCAGCGTGCAGCTCCGATGGTGGGCAGCTCGTCGCCGCAGCTCGGATTCAGTGACATGCCTTCGACCGGCATGCAGTTTGGGCTGAGCAGCCAGGCCAGCGTGCAGGTGCTGTCGTCACAACTGGGGGCGATGGCGATAGAGAGCCAGACACCGTCAGCGCACCGGCGCGGCGACCTGGGGTCGCGTGCGCACGCGCTGTCGTCGGAGCTGGGCTCGATGGTGTCGTCGCAGGGCGTGCAGCCGCAGGAGATCCGGACAATCTGGGGCACGATTGTGCATGTGCGGGATGTAATGACAACGTTCAAGGACTTTCTGCTGCACTTCACGGCATCGCACCGGCCGCCCAACCCAGACAATCCTGTCAGAGTCGGAGCGCATGGAGCCGGTGTACCCGCAGATGCTGCAGCGCATGCACGATTCGGAAATTTTCCAGCTGAACCTGGATGCGCAGAATCTGCGGGCATATGCGCCATCGCAAGCGCTGTACCGGCAGTTGGTGAACTACCCGGAGGAGGTGGTGCCGATTATGGACTACGTGCTGACGGAGTTGTTCCTGGAGCAGTTCCCAGATGCGGATCTAGCGCAGACGGACCTGAAGGTGCGGCCGTACAATCTGTCGGTGACGACCAATATGCGCGAGTTGAACCCGTCGGACATTGACAAGCTGGTGAGCGTGCGCGGGCTGCTGATCCGCTCATCGGCAGTGATCCCTGATATGGAGCGGGCATTCTTCCGCTGCCTGCAGTGCGACTGGACCACGACAGGTGGGCATTGACCGCGGCTCAGTCACCGAACCGACGCAATGCGGCAACGCAGCGTGTCTGCAAAAGGACGCAATCGAGCTGGTGCACAACAGGTGTACGTTTGCCGACAAGCAGCTGGCGCGGCTGCAGGAGACGCCCGAGGTGATCCCGGACGGACAGACACCGCACACGGTGACGCTGGTGATGCACGATGAGCTGGTGGACGCCAGCAAGCCTGGCGACCGGCTCGAGATCACTGGCGTCTACCGCGGCGTGCCGGTGCGCACCAACCCGCGCAACCGCACGGTGCAGGCCATTTACCGCACATACATTGATGTGGTGCATGTGCGTCGGCTCGGCCGCAGCCGCGTGCAGCGCGAACCGGCTCAGGGCCTGGATACTGCCTGAGGCGGTGGTTGACGTGCAGCGCGATGTGGCGATGGCCGAGGAGGGCAGCGGCGAGGCGCTGGCGTTCACCCAGTCGGAGGTGGATGAGTTCCGGCGGTGGGCACGCGACCCGCGGCTGTTTGACATTCTGTCGCGGTCGCTGGCACCCAGCATCTACGAGATGGAGGACGTCAAGCGCGGGCTGCTGCTGCAGCTGTTTGGCGGCGTGCGTAAGCAGTTTGCGCGGGCCGGGGCGCCGCGGTCACGTGGCGACATCAACGTGCTGATTGTGGGCGACCCGGGTGTGTCCAAGTCGCAGCTGCTGTCGGCAGTACATGGGCTGGCGCCGCGCGGCATCTACACGTCGGGCAAGGGCAGCTCTGCAGTGGGCTGACAGCATATGTAACACGTGATCCAGACACGCGCCAGCTGGTGCTCGAGTCGGGTGCCCTGGTGCTCTCCGACGACGGCATCTGCGCCATCGACGAGTTCGACAAGATGTCCGAGGCCACCCGGTCGGTGCTGCACGAGGCGATGGAGCAGCAGACCATCTCAATTGCCAAGGCCGGCATCATCACGTCGCTGAACGCCCGGTGCTCGATCCTGGCTGCCGCCAACCCCGTCGACAGCAAGTGGAACCGCGAGCTGAGCATCGTCGAAAACATGAACCTGCCACCAACGCTGGTGTCGCGCTTCGACCTGGTCTTCATTGTTCTTGACACAGTCGACGAGACCATGGACCGCCGCTTGGCCCGCCACATTGTCGGTCCTGTATACCGACGATGCCGAGGCCGAGCCCAGCGCCGAGGACCTGCCGGTTGTGCCGACCGAGAAGCTGACGCGCTACATTGCCTATGCGCGCCGCCACGTGACTCCCCAGATCACCGATGCCGCCGCCGACGCCCTGGTGGCCGCATATGTGGACCTACGCCGCATGGGCCGCGATGCCTCGTCGACGACTGCCGGAGCAGTGGCCGGCGGCAATGGACGCGTGACTGCGACTGCACGGCAGCTGGAGTCGATGATCCGCATGGCCGAGGCCCACGCCAAGATGCGCCTATCGGACTCGGTCAGCGTCGACGACGTCAATGAGGCATCGCGGCTGATGCGCGAGGCCCTGCGCGAGTCGGCCACCGATCCGCGCACCGGCCTGATTGACCTTGATCTGCTGAACACGGGCTTTGCTGCCAGCGACCGCCGCCAGCTCGACTCGATCAAGCGCGAGGCGCGCAATATGCTGGTAGGTGCGGCCCGTGCGTCCGTGGGCGCTGAGGGCGCGCTGCCGGATGCCCCGCATGCTGGCAATAGCGCTACCTACCAGACGTGGCTGGATCGTCCTGAACGCCCAGTCGTATGCGCCTGTCGCCCCGCGCCTGTTTGAGCAGGCTGTGCGTGAGCTGCAGACTGAGGGCCTGGTCAACCTGGTCGGTACGGGTCGCAATATGCTGATTGTCGTCAAGCAGAGCGCCTTGAACAACTAGTGGTTTTTCCTTTTTTTTGCAAGCTTTAATAATTCTTCTTTCTTTCGCTATTCCTTGTCGTGTGTTTGGATCGGATGTGTTGAGTACCGCTTGGGAATGGCTAGCGTGACTAAAGGATATTTGTTTTTGGAGCATGATATTCCTTTGCGAGATGTGTGGTTTCGACAGGTTATGTCTACTCACATGGCCAATTTACTGAGTGGTGTTTTTGCTGGAGCTACGCGCATCTCTTTACCTATTGGAAGATGTGCTAGCCGCCTGACTGACATTGCGCATTGCCTTGCATCGAAAGAAAGAATCACAAGTGAATGGGCAGTTCACCGCGGTCTCAAGACTAATGTCTGATGGTATCATCTCAGCCAGTCCCAATGCTATAGCAAGGCCATATTTTGTGCCATTTGTCCACCATTGCTACAGCAGACACCGAAGCCGTCATCAGAACTATCATAGCGCAGACTCTGGAAGGTCTTGGAATCATCGATCAATGCCTATACCTTGAGGCCACTTTTAAGATACTTCGATATTCAAGACGAATATGATGTACACTTTAGGCTAACCTGCGACCAAAATGAGAGAAGACAGCAAGTAGCAAGTGAAATTATGGAAGAGACGTAGCCCTCTGGCAAACATTATGTTGGCGGAAAGACTCGCTAATTCTATCTCTGTCTATTTTTCATGCTGTGTCAGTACTATTGGTTGCTATACGTATCCTTCAGCTTTCGCTCACCCACCTGGATATTGGTTCAAATATAGTCTTGGTATTATTTCAATGACTTCAACCATTTATTTAACTCATTGTTCGAACACTTCTCCCCGTCATGCTTTTCCTTAGACAGCTACAAATTGCCACCTTTTGTCATGTTGGTTATATCTGTTAACAATCAGGCAAATGAGTGCTTATTGGTGTGCATGGAGGAAAGTATGTATAAGGTCAGCTGAGGAGAAAATATGGACTGGCAGGCGCTTGGAGCCCTTTGAAATGCGTGGTCCCCTTTGAGCATGGTGGATCAGGGCGGTGCTAGCGGCCTAATACCAACAGCAGGTTCTAGCATAGAAAAAGAGAGAATTTTACAAGCAGTGACGGTGCTTGAGTAGTTTCAGGCCGTGTCGGCTTTCCATGAGGATTACTGACTCTTGAAAAACGATAGACCCGTATCGACTACTTATTGAATGCCGCAACTGATAGACCAGTGCAGACAGGCTAGTAGTTCCAAGCAAACGTACCGAGAGTTAAGCTTCCCATGGTGTAGTAGCCGATAATACAATAGCAGCAACTGCAAGCTAATAGTCAAATGGCCACTCTTGGAGGCAATATCCCTTGATGGCATGTTGATTTTGTACGCAGAATTAAGTACGCGGCTAATATCCATTGACTGTCGAGGATACGTTTGCTTGAAGCAGGATCCATGTTCATTTTTAGGATAGCCAAGATGCGCCAAGCGAGGTGTGGGGATGGCTTGGCGTGCATCACCCTATTCTTAGTCGATAGAAAGGAAGGATCTCCTCAATCTCCCAAAGGAGAGATTCACAAAACCTGTTTGCCCATGCATCTCGTTGGCGGTCAAGAGGATATAGCCTTGGGATGAAGTGTGGGATTTGTTTTCTTGGAAGCAGTTTTCCACAAAGCAGCTACCGACCTTTCTATCGGAAGCCAGTTGCCACAATAATGCAGGTTTTCAATATAGCCGAAGTGCAGGAAGCAATACCACGCTACCGGGTATAAAAGGTCGAGGCAGAACCGCACTGTCCAAAAAAAATCACCAACAACAACATCAGCAACCACAGCAGCAACCACCTCACAAACCCACTCCACTCCAAGACAATCAACCATGAAGTTTCACTGCCACCGCTCTCGGCCTCCTCGCCACCATCGCCACGACCAACGCCGCCATGTCCGCCTGCTCCAAGAAGATCGCTCTGGGTCTGACCAACATCTACGAGAACGGCGACACCTGCCTTCCACTACGACTACTGCGAGAACATCCACGATGGCCGTGGCTTCACTGCCGGTATCGCCGGCTTCTGCACTGGCACTTCGGATCGCCTGGGTCGTTCTTGCAGGAGTATCACAAGATGACCGGCGGCAAGGACGAGTTCAGCAAGTACGACGCCGTCATGAAGAAGCTGGACCAAGTCGGGCAGCGGCTCGACCAGCGGCCTGGACGGCTACTGCTCGGTGTGGGGCAAGCTGGGCAAGTCCGGACGCAAAGTTCCGCGCCGCGACAGGACAAGGTGCGCGACGAGATGTACTTTGACCCGTCGCAGAAGCTCGCTGATACGCTTGGTGCCCAGCTCGACGTAACCCGCGCTCCAGCTGTACGATACGAACAATCCAGCACGGCGATGGCTCGGATCCCGACTCGGTTGGTGCACTGATCAAGAAGACCAGCGCGTCGTTCAAGGCCGATGCCAAGGGCTCGTCGGGCAGCACGCTCAAGATCAACGGCCACAATGTCGACGAGATCGTCTGGCTGACAAAGTTCCTGCAGGTGCGCGCGGATGACCTGAAGAACCCGCACAACAAGGGGACACAGAAGGAGTGGGCCAAGAGCGTCACTCGTGTCAAGTCGTACCAGTACGTGGTCGCCCAGAAGCAGTACAAGTGGAGCAACTCGATCAAGGCTCTGGACAACGACGGCAAGGCCACCACTGTCAAGTGCTAGACATAAAAGTGCTCAAAATATTCAAATACACACTTGCATACATTACCATGCTTAGCCAATGTCTTTTTGCGTCTACGACGTCCCAAAAAGGCCCTATCTGCTGCAAAATGGAAGGTACATATCGTCAGCTGAAGGGTACTTCAACTATGCCGTTCTTCAGCAGCATGTCCAGAGCCTTGCTCCAGCCATCAGCGATCTTGGATATCCCCCATCTGAACTGCACATATGAGGGGATCCCTTTATTTGGACTGACTCTCGGCTATTCATATCGCAAGTCTTTCAGTGACTTGCTGCAGAAGTGCAGTTTCGGTTAATGGGCGGATTTGACGACATGGTCGTACGGATGTTTCCAGACTGCAATTTCGATCGGTTTGACCCACAGCATGCGAGGCTTCTCAAAAGGGGTTTCGTGGGCATCTCCGCGGGCTGCTAGTCCGTTTGCTGGCAGGAAGGTCCGCCATCACTACTAACAGGATGCCTGTCTGGCCAATGTATTGCTGTCTCTTCAAGATAATCCGCCTTTGCAGAAGTTAAGCGCTAGTGAGCCCTTAGTCCCCGAAAGAGTTCCGCTTATAAAACAGAAGAGAAAAGGAGCGGCCGCGATGAGTTTTAGGAATAAGGACTTATCCTCAGCGAATACAATATTCATGTGTCCCCGCCATATAGCCGGCTCCAATGTATTGCCGCTATGTGCTGTTAGCTGGCAGGTTCATTAATTTAATAACGGATGATCGCAATTACCACAAAGCTGATATGAAGCCGAAAAATGTTATCGATGTATTGGCACACAAACCCAGATATTTCTCCTCTGCTCAATTCCAGCGCGTTTTTCTGCATTTTCCTCACCTACCACAACACAAATCCGAAAACGCAGTATGCTTGGCCAGAACCTGACACGGATCCTGCGGGCACCGACGACCCAGTTCTACCGGACAAAGCTCGACGGCTTGTTCGGTGGAACAGCAATTCAGCATGGCAACAACAAGCCCAAGTCGCTGCATAAGACGCGGCGGATCTGGCTGCCGAATATTCAAATGGTGGAGCTGTACTCTGTGATCCTGGACCAGAAGATCAAGGTGCGGGTAACGAACCGGGTTCTGCGCACGATTGACAAGAAGGGCGGTCTGGACAACTATCTGCTGGAGACCAAGGACAAGAATATCGCGAGTGAGCTCGGCCTGGAGCTCAAGCACCTAGTTAAAAACGACGGTGGAGAAAGCAGAAGACGCAGTAGTTACAGAGAAAGGCTTTATACGGTTTGGAAAAATAGAATATGCAGATGTTACATGTAGATACGGCGGAGATCGGTGGGCTGTGTGATTTGGACCGCACTGTGGGCACAATTTTTTGGCTTCCTAGTGTGCGGCGCCAGCAGGCTTCGCAGCATACGTGCCAGCAGTTGATAGACGTGCAGGGCTTGATGAACGGCTTCCAGACACACGAAGCATTTGGGTGTAGCCTGGATCAGCCGATCTTGCTGCCGGATACGCTCTTTCAGCGCATCGATGATGAGCTGCGAGGCACCTGAATTGAACGACAGCGCCGGGTGGGGAGACGACGGGCCACCATCGCTCGGTGTCCCAGCTGGCTCGGCTTCAATGGCAGGCGCATTGAATTCAAACTGCGGTCCAAGCGATGTGCGACGGGCGCCAGCAGCCGGCACCTCCTCAAAGTCAAGGTCACGGTTTGTATACTGCGCGGGGCCGTAGTTGGTCTCGTCGTCTGCGTCGATATCAACATCGACGTCGTCGACTTCGGCTGCAGTGCTGAAGCCAAGGACCAGCCGCTCTAACGCCACCCTCAAGCATGGCTGTAGCACGAACCCTCGTCTCGCCTGCCCACTCATACTCAACAGTCGGACCCGAGTCCTGGTCTGGATCCTGGGCCGCTAGACACCTATCGACGTGGTTGTTGACGTCGGTGCTATTGCCTGTCAAGATCTTGCAACAGATCGGGCATTTCTGCTGGTGCGGCACAGCGGTGCCATCGGTGAGGATGGACACTTCGAGGCTGAACTGCGACTCTGAGCTGTGGCTCCTCCTGGCCTGTGTCGTTGTCCGGTGGCGCTTTCTCGACGACTCCGCCTGATTCCGGGAGCTCTGTCTGCTGCTAGGCACGGCTGCTAGTTTCCTGTTGACATCCTCGTGCTGCTGCGCGTGGCCATGGCCGACATGTTCTGCTGTGGCTCTGTGCCGGGTGTCTGCAGCACCCGTTGGATACGCTTCCGCGTCGACCTGCGTAGCGGCTGTCTGCTGGTCTCTGTGCTATCGCTGGTATCACCGGACTCTGGCGACGAGCTGCGTTCGACGGGGGCACGCATATGCAGCCTTGGGAGCCGCGCAGGGGGCGGTGGCGTCAGCTGTCGCGCGAGATCGACGACCTCGCCATCCTCCAGATCCTCCGTGCGACGGTTGTGGCGGTCCAGTCCGACCTCCATCTCATAGTGCTGCATGATAGTCTTTGTCGGGTATCAGCTTCCGGCAAAACGGGCATTCAATTTGTGGCCGGCCTAGCAAGTTAGGGAATAGAAATTGTGAGTCGAAAATGAACAACTGAGGAAAAAAAATCATAGAACATCAAGTTATCTTGCCATACCTTGCTCGTTAAAGGCACTTGACTCCAGCTCGCTTGTTAGCGGGACTCGAGTCAGGGATACGGCGCTTATGCATGGGGATGTGGGACCGGTGGCTATTCTGCCGCTCGTCCTTTGGTAGGTGTCTATGGTTCAGCATAAAAATCCGTATGCGCAGCGGCGCAGTCTCAGGTTCGAGAAAATCGCCGGAGCAGGTTCTCTGTTTCGGGTAGATTGGAAGACGAAGACAGCAGCCCTTGCTGTGGCGAAAGCGCAGCCCGCAAGACCCAGAATCCATGACGATGGATACGCTTAAAAATAAATGCAATCACGTGATCAGCGAGGCGATTGGTCAGGTGCTGGTGGCTCTGGCGCCGCCACCGCCTCTGCAATATCGGCGGGGTCCACTGGCACTTCGTCCACTGTGTGTGCTGGCTCCGCCACGGGCGATGCAGGGCGGTCCTCCATTCGGTAAAACTGCTCGACGCTGCAAAACTCGACGATATCCCTGACCTTTCTGACCAGAACGGGAGCCTCCATGATCTCGCTGGCGAACGGCGGCTCTGACGTCGGGTGATGCTGTGGCTGGGTAAAGTCGTGGTGCAACTGCAACATTGCACAGCATATCACATGCCTGATCATCAGCTGGCGGAGGTAGTCATCGCTGAGGAACTTGCGCATGCCCTGGTCGACAACATACGTGTTGAGGAGCTCGAAGGCGAGGTCCTCGAGTTCGCTGAAGAGCTCGACAAGCTCTGACCACCTTGGCAAGGCAATTTTGGACAGCTGCGAGATGCCACAGAAGGCGAGCAGCGGAGAGTGCAGGAAAGAACGTGTAGAGGCCGCCGCGGCTTGACGCAGTCGGATACTCAGTGGGGGATAGAAGGCACAGCAGCGACTGCGAGAACAGGTTCGGCATTCCCTTGTATGCATGCGAGCACTCGCTCTCGACCACCAGGAAGAACGGCTTGCGTGTGTACGGCAGGAGGTCAACTGGATGTACAGTGTTGATGAGCCGCTCAATATCGCGATCTTTCGTGCCTTCTGGCGATTGCCTCTGCGTTGTGTGTATGCCGCCTGTAAACCCGTACTTGCATGCCTCCAGACTCGGTCTGCTGCGCCTTGGCGGGCGAGCCATCAGACGATAGATATAGAAGGACGCACCCCTGGTCACCGATTTCACGGAAGGCGTTGGCGAGATACACCTGGATTTGGGAAAAGTTTGGCAGATACAGGAGATACTTGTGCGGGTTCATGCGGCGCGCTGTCTTTTCACGCTCCACCTCCTTCTCGTCGTCGTGCTTCTCCGTTTGCGTCGGCACTGCAGGTGATTGCCGGTGGAACCACGTCCGTTTTGACAGGATCGTCTGCAGGGTCCGCGTTGCTGCTGCTGTTCCTGTTGGCGTCGGCCAGTGCACCCATATCGCCTTCAGCTATTTGAGCGCCTTCAGAGACCAGCGACGCAGTGTTGATCACCGATGTGCCAGCTGTGGGAATCGCCGTGCTCGCCACAGTCGTCGGCGGCGCGATTTGTCTCCTTGCTGCTGTCCTTGTTGTTGGTTGGCTCGCGTTCCAGCACCTGCAACATGTAATGCATGTCGAGGGTCAGCTCGGAGAATTTGATTTGAGTCGGTTTGTTGCCAACAATAATGGCCTGCTGCAAGCGGAACCTGGGCGTGTCCTTGTCGAGGCGTGGCCGGCGGCGGGCAACCAGACGGTAGTTGACAGGCAGCGGGACGCCGCTCGGGTCACTGGGCACAGGACTGCACACGGCCTGCATGAACAGCGCCATCTCCTTCACCACCAGCGACCACTCGAGCTTGTCGACCGGGTTGAATGTCATTGAATATACATCAATCAGGTCGCGCACCTCCTCCAGCAGCTGCATCATCGTCGACGTGTAATTCATGTGCAGACACACAACAATGAACCTCGCATAGTACCTGAGCTTCTTGATCATCAGCGCCGAGTTCTTGGTCTCGCGCTCGTCCTTAAAGTAGTTGCGCTCGCGGATAGCGTCGTAGAATGCAAACGCCTCCTGCAGATAGTTCGTCTCGCTGGTCCGCAGATAGTACCGGTAATACAGCTGCCCAATTTTGGATGCAATCTCGCCGACCTCCCACCGCTTCAGCCCATAGTGCTCGGGCTTCTCCAGAAGCAGGCGGTGCTGACCCTGGAACTTCCAGAGCCGTGTGTAGACGTCAAACGTGCGCTGAAAGTGCGGCTGCCAGAACTTGCTGCCGATTTCGGGCAGGTCGCGCAGGCCCGCAAACAGCTGCTGCGACTTTTCCAGCAGGTACTCGAACTCCTCGACTATCTCCTTGGCCTCTTCCTCGGTAATCTCGGAGTCCTCCTTTTTGGCGGGCTGTGTGGGTTCAGTCTCTGCACCCGGCGGTGCCTTTTCAGCGGGTGCATTCTCGACAGGCGTAATTCCACCAGGGGTTGTTTCAGGCTCCGCTATGGGCTCCACAGGCGCCTTGGTCTCGCTGGTCTCAGGGACAGTGTCTGGCTCGGTAGCCATGGCAGAGGTGGTTTCGAAAAGATTAGGAATTAAATGCAAGTGTAAGGGAGAAGCGCATAAAGCGACTGAGTTTCTTTTTTGCAGGCTATTGTTGTGCATACACGGCGGGCGTTTGATCACCGCTGTGAGGGTGATTTTTTTTTGGTTTCAACTAGGTGACGTTGCACACAGAACTCTATGCCTGCGAGGTGCATGAAATGAAAGTTCCATGTCGATATACATATACTCCACACCGCCGGGGGCCGCTGCACAAATTCCTCCAGTCACCACCTCGCCTTTAAATAATGTCGTCCAAAATGCAAACAAAACGCCTGCTGCGTGAGCTAACGCAGCTCAAGAAAACGCCATGCCCGAACATTTCCCTCCAGTCCACCGACAGCCTCGAGACATGGTTTGTAGACATAAAGGGCGTCGACAACACGCTGTATGCAAACGAAAACTTTACACTGCAGTTCAAGTTTACCCGGGAATATCCAATTGAGGCTCCAGAGGTTACGTTTATTGGGAACGTGCCGCTACACCCACATGTCTACAGCAATGGCCACATTTGCCTCAGCATTCTGTACCAGTACTGGACGCCTGTGCTCACCGTCGATGGCATTTGTCTGTCGATACTGTCGATGCTATCGAGCTGCGAGAAAAAGGTAATAGATCAGCTTTACATCCGATATGCCACATGTGGCCACACCGCTAACTGCGCTGCATGTCATGTCTTTAGGAGCTCCCACGGAAAAACGACGTGTACATCAAGAAAGCCGGTCCATCGCCTAAGGACACAGCGTGGATCTTTGACGATGGCACAGTTTAGATAAATATAAACGCGATGTGTATTGAGGCCATTTGAAAATAAATTTAGTGTGCAATGGAGTTCATTTCGGATTCTTCGATGTCGAACCGTAATTTTCTGCCTGCTCCTCACTGCCAACCAGCAGCGACGTGTGCTCAGCAGCAGTCCGGACAGCTGCTCGAAAGCTGCTCACTGTCTGGTAATACCACTGGGTTCGATGCCCGTGCGTTCCGGGGTTTCCGGATGGACACGCCCATGTTTGGTGGATAGCGGGGTGAAGCCGTGCGTCTGCCAATGCTGAACAGGCTGGTGGATGATCGTGAGGGCGTCAGTGTCAGGAATTTTTGCACGGCCACGGTGGCAGTGGGCACAGCAGCAGCAACATGGTACAGGGGGATGGTGATGCCGTGGACAACGACCGAGGCAATGACTAACGAAAACACAATTGGCAGCAGGCTCTCTTTGAAGCGCGACCCTTCAAACACTGGGTCCTCGAGCTCTTCGTATGCCACCATTGCATAGAAAATCGCGCCGACTCCGATCGGTCCAAACCACCCAGCAAAAGCGGCCTCGCGGAACGTCACAAGCGCGGGTGTCAGGCGTGTCACCGCCAGCACCGCTGGCAGGCGTCGGAATAGGATGACCAGGATCGACACGGCCACCAAACGGCCTGGCGTGATGAACTCGATGCTGCCAGAGAACGTGTCCCATCGGAACGATGGCGCCCAGGTAAATGAAGAACGTGTAGTTGAACAGCGTGTCGAGCACGTCCTGGAAATGCGCCTCCTTGGTCTCTGTGCGGAACCAGTCGTCCCACGTCAGCGTGTTGCCGGCAACAAAACACGCCAAAATATCATCGCTGCCCACGAGTGACACAATGCCCAGCGTAAGCAGTGTCAGCGAGATTGCAAACGACAGGAACGAGTCGTGGTCGACCCAGCCACGCTCACGTGCGTATTGCAGCAGCTTGCGCGCGCACCAGCCGATGACTCCGCCTAGAACAACCGACACAACAATCTCCCACAGAATGACAACGACGAACCACCGGGTCAGTGCCTCTTTAGTGCCGAATTTGAGCAAGTACAGCGCCAGGTACAGGTACGGGTAGCCAAGCCCGTCGTTGGCGCCAGACTCCGCCGAGATGATGTTACGCACATGCAGCGGCACTTTTGCTTCGGCAAACTTGCCCTTGACAATCGAGTTCGCCAGCACCGGGTCGGTCGGCGCAACGCACGACGCAATGAGCATTGACTCGATAAACCCCAGCCGGAACACGAGCATGATGGCTACAGCCGAGGTGATCCACATCCACGTCATGACTGGACCCAGCAGCATGAGCAAGGGACTTTAGCTCCGTGGACAGGATACTTCCTACAAACGGGGCGCTGTTAGCGGGCAGTCGGTGCTTGGCGGAATTGCTTTGGTTTCGCTACTTACTTTGGCAGCGTGATGCCTGCGGCCATGACTTGGATAGCGATGATCAGCCGGGTGAGCTCGAGCGTGAACGAAGGCACGTCCACCCAGTCAGCTGGGCTAATGGCGCCGACACCAGCCGGCCCGAACCCCACACCAAACAGGAAAAGCGACCAGCGTCTCCGACACAAACAGCCACTCCTTGACCACCATCGACACCAACCCAAAGCAGACTGCAAACACGCCCAGCAGCAGCGGCACCATGGTGCTGGGCCCAAAGTTGAGATGAATCCAACTATCGACCATGGGTTGTAAAAATACAGAGCGGAAAGAAACAAGTACTAGATGGAAAATAGGAATCTGGCTCGCAGCAGATGAAAAAAAGAGAGGGAGAGAGAAGAAGTCCGATAGTGCGCAACCAGCCTGGGTCCAAGATACGCAATGCGCATTTATGCACGCAGCAGGCACTGCCAACCGAGTCAACAGGCCTCCAGGGACAAGATCGGCCACGATTTTCGTCGAACTCTTTGAAGCTCACAATTTGCCGCTTCGAGAACTGCAACCTTCCATAGTGCTACCCTGGCGCCGCCTCGGATAAGGTATGTAGTCCGTGTCTGCAGCAAACAGCCAAATCGCTCTGTCCAGGGTGCCGGCCAAGCGCAGCACACCGATTAGCTGCTGGGCTGCACATCAGCAGCCTTTGTCTCGGATATGAAAAAAAAAAAAAAAAAGCAAAAGCAGCCGTAGCGTCAGGCACTGCGCCCAGTGGTGGTCACACACGCCATGGTGCGGAGACACATGACCAGGCAGCCGAATATAGCAAGCCGCGATAATCACGTCCTCGCAGTGGCGGATCAGTGGATTGGAAAATTTTTTTTGGCTCTTCGCAGAGCGCGCGCCAGGGGTGTGCCTTGAGGAGAGTGCACTTGCGGTGGGCACAAAAAGGGCGAAAAATCCGTTTCTTTCCTTCCTTCCAACTTAAAAAAAAACATATATATTTCCAGGCTTTGTCAATTTGGTCCTTCAGCGTCTACCTGTTCGTTAGAAGCCAAAACAAAATCACTTTAAAAAACTTAAAAAAACCCAAATTTTTCCTTTTCTTCTTTTCTAATCATGTCGGAGTCCGCTGCTGTTCCCGCCACCGCTGCCCCCGTTGAGACGCCCGCTCAGGCCCCCGAGCAGGCCGCTGCCCCCGCTGTCGCTCCCGAGGCTGCCGCTGCCGCCCCCGCCGCTGCTGCCCCTGGCGGTGTCGCGTTCCCCAACGCGTCTCTGTACGTTGGTGAGCTCGACGCCTCGGTCACCGAGGCGATGCTCTATGAGCTGTTCAACATGATTGGCCCCGTTGCCAGCATCCGTGTCTGCCGCGACGCTGTCACCCGTCGCAGCCTCGGCTACGCCTACGTCAACTTCCACAACCGTGCTGATGGTAAGTAGTAGAACACCTTGTGCGTGCCCCGACGCAATTTTTGCATGCTGTTGGGGAAAGATGGCACGAGCAGTAATACGTGTGAGAAACATCGCCTTTATGGAACAAGTGCCAGGTGCTGCCCACACGCACATCATTGCGCGTGGTCACAATACCCTGACATGAATGCTCCTGCCTTTTGCTGACAGCGCTATTGAGAAGAGGGGACTCTCAAAGCCCACCTGCTGGCTCATTGCGACAAACAAAGGGTGACGGTATTCATGCAACAGGCTGCATGGGCGACCGCCCCCCTGCGGGCAAGATAAACCGCACAGCTCTTTCTTGCAATAAGCGAGGATTGCCACCTGTGTTCTCCGCATTATGCATATGCGGGCAATTGTGCTGATATCCAAAACCACTGCCCCTTTTTCACTCAATAGGCGAGCGCGCTCTGGAGACCCTGAACTATACCGAGATCAAGGGCCGCCCCTGCCGCATTATGTGGTCCCAGCGCGACCCGTCGCTGCGCAAGAGCGGATCTGGCAACATTTTCATCAAGAACCTTGACCCGTCGATTGACAACAAGGCCCTGCACGACACGTTCGCGGCGTTCGGCAACATTCTCAGCTGCAAGGTCGCCCTGGACGAGAGCGGTAACTCGCGGGGCTACGGTTTTGTTCACTACGAGACGCGCGAGGCTGCCGACGCTGCCATCGAGAACGTCGACGGCATGCTGCTCAACGACTCCAAGGTGTTTGTCGGTCACCACGTCTCGCGCCGTGAGCGCCAGTCGCGCCTGGACGAGATCCGCTCGCAGTTCACCAACGTGTACGTGAAGAACCTGGACGCCGAGGTCGACGACAAGGCTCTTGAGGAGCTGTTCTCCAAGTTCGGCGAGATCACCTCGGCCGTCGTTCAGCGTGACGAGGAGGGCGCGTCACGCGGCTTCGGCTTTGTCAACTTTGAGAACCACGAGGACGCTCGCAAGGCGGTTGAGGAGCTCCATGAGACTGAGTACCAGGGCGAGAAGCTCTTTGTCTCGCGCGCCCAGAAGAAGGCCGAGCGCGCTGAGGAGCTGCGCCACCAGTACGAGCAGACAAAGGCGGACAAGATCAACCGGTACCAGTCGGCCAACCTGTACGTCAAGAACTTTGATGACGATGTCGATGACGACAAGCTGCGCCACGAGTTCGCGCCGTACGGTGTCATCACCAGCGCCAAGGTCATGCGCGACGACAAGGGCGTGTCGCGCGGCTTCGGCTTCGTGTGCTTCTCGGCGTCGGAGGAGGCCACCAAGGCCATCACCGAGATGAACGGCCGCATGCTGGGCGCTAAGCCGCTGTACGTTGCTCTGGCCCAGCGCCGCGAGCAGCGCCGCCAGCAGATGGCTGCGTCGCACAGCCAGTGGCGCGGAGCCGCCCCTGTCGGTGCGCCCGTCTACGGTGCCCCGATGTACTATCCGCCGGGCTATGCTGCCCCGCGCGGTGGCTTCCCTGCTGCTCCCCGCCCCGTGCGCTGGCAGCCGGGACAGCCCCCGGTCCCGGGCCAGTACCCCATGCCGGGCCAGTACCCGGTGCCGCAGTACCCGGTGCCCGCTGGCGCGCGTCCGCCCCGCCCTCGCAACCCCCGCCAGCCGGGCCGTGGTGGCTACGCTGCCCGTGGCGGCCGTGGCGGCTACCGCAGCAACCCGCGCACCGCCCAGCAGGCCCCCGCCCAGCCGCAGGAGGCCCCTGCCGCTGATGCCCCGGCTCCCGCTGCTGAGCAGCCGTCGGTCCTGACCGCTGCCGCCCTGGCTGCTGCCCCCGAGGAGGAGCAGAAGCAGATGCTCGGCGAGGCCCTGTACCCGCTGATCGCTGCCCATGACGAGGAGCAGGCCGGCAAGATCACCGGCATGCTGCTGGAGATGGACAACAGCGAGCTGCTGCACCTGCTTGAGAACGCCGACGCCCTCGAGGCCAAGGTCAACGAGGCCCTCGAGGTGCTGAAGGAGACCCCGGCGGAGGATGCCGAGTAAATGTCCTTTCTACGCCCCCTGTAAAGCTGCCGACTTTTTAATGTGCGCAAAGAAGAAATCTGATTACCCTGGAAAACTTGATGATCACGCTGGCTTAGGAATGCTGCAATGTGCTGCTCTGCTTGCTGCTGCGCCTGACATCTCTTTTTCCCGCCTTTTAGCAATTTGCGCGTCTAATTCCTCAGCTTTTTTGTATGCATCCTCTGAAATGACAGCCAACAAAGCTGGCCGCTACATAGTACGCCCTGCACGAGCGTCTCTGCTCTCGTGCACTGAACCCAAACCCACACAGCTCCGACTACATGGCACGGCAGCGCCAACAATAGCATGCGCAAAGGGCGATGATGACAGTGGTGACAGCAACGACGAAAGCGACGAGCAGCTGGATATCTGGCGGCCACAGCCGGCCCCCGACCCCTTACGCAATCCCTCACCGCTCTTGTTTACAGCCGATGAGCTGAGCGATGTCGAAGAGCGACTAGATTTTTGGCTATGCCCAGAGATCCGGAACTGGATACTGAGTGATCTGAAAGCAGAGGAATGGAAAAGGCAACGGCTGGTGCTGGACAGAGAGGCAGAGGAGCGGCGAAGAGAGAAGGAAAACAAGGCGAAGGAAGAAGACGAGGACGAGGCTATGGAGAGCGATGAGGCGAGTGATGACGATGCACCTCGGCGGCAACACACTCGGCGACGTATCTGCGTAGACTCTGACGACGAGGACAGCTCTGACGGCGATTCTGGAGATGAGGAATTGCCTGTAGAACCCAAACCAACGATAATGTCATCGCCCACCATGCATTCACCCGAGCTTGCCGCGCAATCTCTCCTGATCCCTGAGCTCTTGCCCAAGGGCTTCCTGCCTACCATCGACCTGCATTCTGGCGATTCCCACATGCTTGTCGAGGAATCGCAGATCAAGGAGGAGGAGGAGCAGGAATCCACCATGGATGTTGATACGCAGAAGGCAGTGGTGGACTTTGGGCTCGGGCTGGATATCGATATGGACGACCGGCCGAAGCCAGATGAGTTTGTGGATGTTGACCAATCAATCATGGATATTGAGGCGTTCTTGGAAAGAGATATTGATGTGTTTATGCCGTCAGACGTAACGACTGGGAGCGCCATTCCGTCGGCGTTCTCGATTGGGTTGAAGTTCTCGCCAAAGCTAGGCAAGAGCAGTAGCGGTGAGGGCAGGCTTTTCTCAAGTAGCTAAATAATAGGCTCCCTCATTGTAGAAGATGCTTGCTATTTTATGCCAGTTGGATGTGTAGTTGTTATACTGCATACATTGGTCCAGGTGTGATGTTGACCCTCTTCACACTCTTCACTGATCGTGAAACACATGTCATCCCTGGAAGCGCCATTTTCACTGAGGACCATTTCTAGTTTGTTTATTATCGATATGCTCACCAAGCAGAGCCACCGTTACATACATGGTAGACAATCCGTTTCCTGGCCACAGCGTGCTTCTTGCGCTAACATTTCTCAGCGATGCGCTAGGCTACATGCGACCCTGATATGGCACCAGACGCTATTACTGCCCGAAGTGTAAATCAAGGTTGCCCATTATAGGCTTCTCTGCAGTTTGAGAGTACACCCCCGCTATCTCCGCTATTTTTTCAGCAGGCGATTTGCCAAGAAGCACCTTTCCAGCATTCACCACCACCCACCCATGTTTCTAGCACGCAACCTCGCTCGATCTGCGCTCAGATTGCGGTCTGTATCCACACAGCTGCCCGTGCTACGCTCTGCTCGTGCAGTCTCAACGATATCCAGAGCTGACGGCTCCACAGTCAAAATCAGAGAAGAGCTTACACCTGTGGCCAAACACATCCGCGAGATCATCCTATCAACAGGTCCGATCTCAATCGCGCAGTATATGCAGCTGGCACTGACCAGCCCTGTTGGCGGCTACTATACGCGGGGGCAGGTATTTGGCCGCTCAGGCGACTTTGTCACATCGCCTGAAATCAGCCAGATGTTTGGAGAGATCATGGCGGTCTGGTATGTCTTGCACTGGGAGATGATGGGACGGCCAGCCAAAACGAGATTTGTGGAGTTAGGGCCCGGGCGCGGCACGCTGATGGACGATATGCTGCGGGCTGCCCGGCGATTCCCACAGTTCTTCGCAACGATCCAGGGAGTTGACTTTGTTGAGCGTAGCCCTGAGCTGCGCAAGATGCAGCTTGAGAAGCTGGGTTGCATGCAGGAGTCGATGCAGCCTGTGGAGGATAAGAACGAGCCAGATACGCCGGCCAGTGCTGTCAGCGAAAAGTATGGCGGGATCTCAGCCCGCTGGCACACAGTGCTGGAGGAGGTCAGCGTAGATGCCGACTGCGTGCCGCTGGTCATGGCGCACGAGTTCTTTGATGCCCTGCCAATCTACAAGTTCGAAAAGGGCGCTGGCGGATGGAGCGAGATTCTTGTTGACCTCGATGACTCGGATAGCTCAGCAACCACGGCGACCACCTCGGCCAAGCTGGCAAGCTCGCCGCACAGCTCGCTGTCTGACGGCACTGATGCCTGCCACTTCAAGTTTGTGCGCTCCCGCCAGGTGACGTCGAATGCAGCGGCCATTTTGAGCGACCAGCAGTTCAGCTCGCGCTTCGACAAGGGCGATCACATTGAGGTGTCGCCAGACTCGGCACGCGTCATGTCGGTGCTTGCCGACTGGGTATCGCAAAATAGCGGCATGGCACTGATCGTCGACTATGGCCAGGACTGGACGCAGGGAGACACGTTCCGTGGCATCCGCAAGCACAAGTTCGCCAACCCGCTCAGCCAGCCCGGATCCATGGATCTGACAGCCGATGTGGATTTTAGCTACCTGCGCATGGCCGCCCGCGGCAAGGCCAAGTGCTTTGGACCTGTCGAGCAGGGCAAGTTCTTGCACGACATGGGTATCCAGGCACGCCTGAAGCAGCTGCTGCAGACCACCAAGGACACGAAGGTGCAGCAGGACCTGGTTGACTGCTACAAGCGGCTGACCGACCCTAACAGCATGGGTCGCATCTACAAGGTGCTGGCTGTGCTGCCCAACAGTGCCCAGGGCGTGCCTGTGCCGTTTACACTGCCCACCAAGGAGGAGCTGAATCGGCCCAAGGTTGAAAAGATCGTAAAGTAATCAAAATTCCAAAGTCTATTTCATAGAAGCAGAGCATCCTCGAGAACTCTTAGGTCGAAGCATTGGCTGTTGCCAGCCGATTGTAGAGCTTTGGCGATGCCTGCGCGATCCACATCGGATCCACTGCAGACACAGCTCTGGCATGCAGCTTGTTAGTGAACACGAGCTGGTCGTAGAAGATCGCAGGCACCTTCTTTGCAAACAGCGACGAGCCGGGGTGGATGTGAACAACTTGGGATCCGTTTAGCGACCGGTACGTGCCGTCAGGCTGCAGCAGCGCGCAGTTGTGGAAGAAGCCCGCCAGGAAGCACTTCAGGACATGGTCCAGGTTGGAGCCGCAGGTCACCTCAACATCCATACCCAGACGCACGCAGAGACGGTTGAGCTGCTGGCGCACATCCAGAACATGGCGCATGTTGCGGCGGTTGACAAAGTGCTCACTGCACCACTCCTTGTCGCCATGAATAGACTGGTACGCCCGCAGCAGGTTCAGGTACGTCAAGTGGATCGCCGTCAGTGGACCTGAACATCATTTGGGCTGCATTGCTCTCATCACGCTTGTCGGCTGGCACATAGAAGAGGCTGTCAACCGACAGCAGCGACACAATATCGATAGCCTCGCGCGTAGCACCCAGCCTTCTGTGACGCGTATATGACCTTGGCGTACGAGGGCTCGAGAGGGGAACTCGGACATCCATTTTCCAAGATCTGTCAGCTCGCCCTTGTCGATCCAGTGCCTCCAGAGCGTAGAGTTCAAGCAAAGCGTGCTTCAGCGCTTTCTTCGACTGGTCGGTCCATGAAGTCAAACTTCATGACGTCGTGGACGCCAGCGGCCTTGAGCTGCAAGACAACCATCGACAGCTGGCATCGCTTGATCTCGGGCACACTATCCTCGGCCAGCTGGGCATAGTCAGCCTCTGTGTACAGCCGGTAGCATGAGCCAGGAGCCTCACGGCCAGCTCGTCCTGTGCGCTGGCGCGCCGACGACTTGCTGACGGGCTCGACCAGCAGCGACTCACCAACACGGGGATCGAAGCCGCGGACCTTGTGCACACCTGTGTCAATGACAAACCGGATCCCTGGGATGGTCAGACTTGTCTCGGCGATGTTTGTGGCAAGAATCACCTTGCGCGTGAACTCTGGTGCGGGGTCAAACACTCGCGACTGCTGTGCCTTGCGGCAGGGCAGCAAAGATTGGGCAGGGCAGCAGGTGGGGCACGCCCTTTGGGAAGTTCTCGGCCGAGTCACGCAGCAGTCGCTCGACATTTTCAATATCCTCCTGGACCAGACAGGAAAATCAGGACATCGCCGCTATCGCTAGGCGTTTCTGTGTGGATCTGCAGTGCCGCTAGATGTGCTGCATCAAGGTAGTCAGCCTGCGGCGTAGTGGTGTAATAGGTCGTCACAGGAAATTGTCGCCCGGCCACATAAAGAATCGGGGCGCTGTCAAAGTATTCAGAGAACCGCTCGGCGTCCAGCGTAGCACTCATGACAATAACCTTGAGATCGCCGATTCCACTGACATCACCATGCACCTCATCGATGACAGGCTCCAGGTCCTTCGCCTCTGCCATCTCGGGCCTTCTTTGTCGCCGCAGGCGACCTGCTCCTCCTTCTCCTCGCCAAACGTAATATGAGATCCGCGCGATCTGTGATCGGTCCACTGCTCTTCGGCCTGGTCGTAATGATCCTCCTTGCGTAGCCTCGTAGCTTCGCTGCTTGGCCACGCGATTCAGCTCCGCAATGCGCGCACGCTCGCGCTGGATATCCTTCAACATTCCAAGCAGAATATCTGTGCGCAGCGTGCGCTCGTGTGCCTCATCGAGGATCACCACTGAGTACTTTTTCAGCAGCGGGTCCGACAGGATCTCGCGCAACAGCAGACCATCAGTGCAGTACTTGAGCTGTGTGCGCTCCGATGTGCAGTCTTCGAAGCGGATCGTGTATCCAACACGGGCGCCTAGGGGTGTGCCGACCTCCTCAGCTACACGCCGTGCAATTGATGTTGCTGCAACTCGCCGAGGCTGCGTTACCGCGATCATGGTTTTCCCAAATTTGCTGAATCCTGACTCCAGCAGATATTGCGGAATCTGAGTCGTCTTGCCCGACCCGGTCTCACCAACGATAACGACTGTCTGGTTGCACCGGATCTCCCTGCACAAGTGCCTCGCGCGCACTGTAGATAGGTAGCTTCTCCCGCTGGGGCTTGAGCTGCTGCGCTATCGCTTTATAGTCCTTGCGCTCTTTCTTGTGCTTCGACTTCTTGTGTTGCCCATTCTGCGTGGCCGGCATGCTGGCTGGCTTATGAACAGCAGGCTCCTCGCTATCTCCGTCCTTGAATAGGACCTTTTTTGGCCCAGTGTGTGTATGCATTGCTAGAAAAAAAATAATCAAGAAAAAAGTGGAGCAGAGCTGGGTTGATTTTTTTTGCTTGGGCAAGATCATCATATCAACTTTTTCTAGATCGTGAGCCTTGGGTCACGTTGAGCCGGTGATTTATAAATGCGCTATCGGCTCAGAGGTACAATGTCTAACGCCTGCTCGCAATTCTTGCAATATGTGCATATGAAGCTGTTTATATTCGGCAAGTGTGTATGTCGTAGTTTGGAATGAAATCATAAATGAGAAAAATGGAGAAAAAAAACAGCAAATAGGAATAAGATGTTATAAATGTGTTGTTCATATATGCCATGTTTATACTTTAGTAGTAGTAGTAGTAGCTCACGACAGGCAGTGTGTAGAAACGGTCGTTTCCCCAGACCCTGTTGCCACAACTGTTGCCTGAGCTGCGCTGGTTGTTGATTTTTAGTGAAGATGCTAAGTAGTGCAAAAGGTGATTGTGGAATGAGTGGTGCTTGTGATGTTGATGATGTTGGAAAATTAGAAGTAACTGCAAGCCATGCTGAGATTTATACAGGACAAATTGGGAGTTGACGAGATATCCTTAATACTGCAGTTCAGAATTATTGGTCTGAGAAGGCTGCTAAAACTAGAAACCACGGATATGGATCCAGCAGAAGACCAAGAAAAACGAGAATTGGCAGCTCAAGGGGCATGTTGATCATGCTGGGGATTTTTTATTAATGCACACCGGGTATCCTCGATCCAATAGTGTGTTGCATAGGATGGGATGCTCATGCATGGAGCTCACGGAAAGCGCATACAAAGAGATCTGAGGAGCGAGATACCGATGTGGGAGCGGCAGTTTCTGGCAAAATAATTCATGGATACTATATAAATAAATACAAGTCGGCAATGTGTAAGCTCATTAGAATGCGAATGCGCCTCCAGGGTGGTCTTGGCGTCAGTAGTTCTGAAGTAGCAACAGGAGACTCGAAACACCAGGTATCTTTTCGCAGAAGCCTCGCTGAGCTGGCCATGACATCGCTCAGCCCTTTTGTTCCTGGAAAAGCCAAGTGTGATTTAATACGATCCAGGTAATCCGAGGTAATTGCTAGTGCTAAATTAATTCCCCAGCCAAGAGCCTACCGATCTCAAATCGCAAAGCACTGAGCAATGAGCAGCTTTTAGCCTTCAAATCACTCTTACATTTTCCCGAAAAAAAGATAAATTCATACAAATGTCGAAGCTAGCCACGGATATTCTGCTAAAGAACGGCGCGCCGCCGGTCGTGCAGTGGTCGCAAAAGGCAAAGACTCTGCCGGAGCTCCTGAATGTGCAGCGTCTGCAGGCGTACAAGTTCAAGGCACAGCCTGAGCACTGGTTCCAGAAGGGGTTTGAAGGGTGCTATTACGAGGTGCATCGGGTCAAGTACAAGGAGTACAAGGGACAGCCGACGCACGGCAAAGGTGTGGGGGATTGAGTTCTGGAACGGCAAGGCGATGCAGTCGAAGCCAGTGGAGATCCGCGGCGGGCTAAAGTTCAGCTGGCGCAAGTACGAGAGCCCGCGGGCGCATGGGATCGTGTACAGCCGGGAGCGGGCGCCTTTGGTGGAGCGGCGGCGGACAAACCTGCTGAGGCAGCAGGGCAAGGCGGAAGGAGTAAAGTTTGGAGTGGTTCTGGAGGGCAAAAATGCGAAATAGAAAAGGAGTATATTGGTTCTCTAGATGGTACATTTGGAAAGGGTATGCTTTTACCGCTGCGCCTGTAGAAGGCCCAGCGATGACGTGCGGTGGCCATGCTTGGGTGCCATGTTGCCGCCCATCACCGTGGAGGCGTCGGAGATACCGCGGGAAGTGCGTGCGGCCAAATGCGGTGTGTATGCGCGCGAGTCGCCACGGGGCGGAGGGTCCCTGCGCAGGACGTTCATCTGGTAGGTCTCTGGGTGAGCCACGCTCTGCGGGTACGCAGCTGAGGCCATTATACGGAGCCGGGTCCACCCAGCCATTGGGCCGTGCACTATATGCACCGGGCGGCTGGTAGTGTGCCGGTGGCGGGTACTGCGGCTGCTGGAAGTACTGGTTGGGCGGGGGAGCCTTCTTCGGGCGGCGGCATCCGGTACAGCACGAGAGGCAGCGGCAGCAGAGGCTGAAGATAATGCACAGGAGGATCAGACCAACGGCAATGGCCACGGGAATGGAGATGGCCAGGTTGCGCTGGAACAGCAGCAGGAACTGGTAGAACCAGTTCTCGCCCTTGCACTTGCCTGACCGGCACTGCGCGTGGAAGCCACACTCAGTGCCGTCGGTGAAGCTCCCAGACATGAAAACACACATGCCTAGGCTGCCAGGCCGCGAGCACTGCTAGGTCGCACGGGTCGCCGCCGACGCTGATAGTGCAGCGCTGCGTCAGACCGTCGGAGCCGCCGCGCGCTGCACACTGGGCATCGCGCGACGTGCATTGGCCGGACGCGCATTTCAGCGAGCCGTTACTGCACCCGGTCCCGTCCTTCACGTGACGGTCGTCTGGACACGTCGGGGACTGGCCATCGCACACCTCGGCAATGTCGCACTCGGAGTACTTGGCGCGGCACACCGAGTCCTTGGGACGGATCTTGCACTGGTTGCAGCACAGATCGTTGGCGTCGGCGCACTGGGCGCCCGGGCTTGAGCTTGCAGGTGTGGGCGTCGCAGCACGGGTCGTTCTTGCATGCCTCGCTGGTAGCCGCAGTCGCACTCCTCGCCCGACTCTTTGATGCCGTTGCCGCACATGGCCGTGGCTAGAATGCTGCGGCCGCCTGGGTCCTGCAGACACTGCACGCCTGTGGACTTGATGGTCTTGCAGATGTTGCGGACCGAGCATGGGCTGAAATCGTCCGAGGTCACGGGGCTGGTCGGGTTCATCAGATACCGGCCCTTGCAGTCGCACCCGTCGGCGCACGGACAGCACGAGTTGCAGGCGTTGCCCGAGCACGGGCACTCTTGGTTGGTGCAGTCGTGCGATGCCCCAAAGTTATGGCCGACTTCGTGCGCCACGACCTTCCACTCGTCACGCGAGACCGCCGACACGCCCGGTGCCCGACGACACACCTCCCTGCTCCGTCAGCGTCGACGTGCCAGTGGTACACATGGTGCCGACCCACGCCAGGCCAACCTCAGTACCAGTCGGGCAGTTGGTCATCAGATGCCACAGCCCCGCGCTGTCCTTGCCCTTGGCGCCGCGCCAGGCAGCTGAAGTCGCTCAGACGCTTGTCAATTGTATACGGGTCGCTGCAGGCGCGGTTCCATGCCTTTTTGTTGTCGATCTGGTCCGGACACGTCAGCTCCTCGATCTGCAGTTCAATCAGGCCCAGCGCCACATTCAGCTGGCGTTCATACTACGGCGCTGGCCTGGTTCCAGTCGCTGAGAATCTGCAGCCGGCGCCTTGTCCTGCGACGAATACCGCGTCACGTACGTGCAGTCGGCCGCCGCCCCCATGTACAGGATCTTGCGCACCGGCAGACATCCCGGCGTCCAGAGCCTCGGAGCTCTGGTCAAACGTCGTGTTTGTCCCGCGCTTGAACAGCCCGCGCACCGCGTCCCTGCGCGTCCGCACCGCATAGAACGGATCGCCTGGCTTCAGTGCCTCCGCCTTGCCGCCCAGCCGCTGCGCCCCGCACGTTGCTGGTCTGTCGTCAATCAGGTCTGCCTTGCGATAGATGATCGAGTTAGGCGTACCGCATGCGCCGATCCCGGGCATACGCATTGGCCAGCATCGGGTCCGAGTCGCGCTTGGTGGCTGTGTAGGCGCTGGCCGGCTTCACGTAGAACGTTTCGCCGTTGACCGAAAACACTCCATCCAAAACCGCCCGTCCGCCCGCCGATGCATCCCGGAACACGGCTACGCGTGCCCACGAGTGCCGGTCGTCGAACGAATATCGAGCCGCGCATGAACCGGTCCCACTTGCGCAGGCTCGCCGATACATCCATTGGCTGCTGCGCACCCACGCGCAGCACATGCCCACGGTACACCCCGATGTCGATGCGTGGCCACCGCCGAGCGCACGATTGTGCCGTCCTGCTGCGTCCGGTGCTGCATCAGCCTCCGGGTGCAATAGGTCGTGGTTTGGCTCCAGCACCAGTGTGTATGTAGTGTTGTATGCCTGCAGCTCCACGTGGAATGTCCCGTCGTCGATCATGTCCTGCAATGACTGCCGCTCGTGGAACGAACCGCTTCGACACATGCTGAGGTGCTGTGAACCGGTGCACTACCGGGTCTGCCAGAAACTCATACCGAGACAGCTGCGCTTCGCTGTTGCGTGTCGATCGTCCTACCATAAACAAGCTAGGGTTAGCATTATCCTGTTTCAGGCCCAGTGTGAGGAGCACAGGACCAAGCAACCACTCAAGGAAGAGCGCAGACCGCCCCCCACCATGAGTATCTTTCCTGCACTGCCAATGCTGCCCGCTATGCAGTAATCAAAAACTGCATGTGCTGGCACCCCCCAAGAATCCTTCTGCGAAGCTCTACCTTGCACCACCACCGCCGCCATCTGCAGTGCTGCCACGGCAGCCGCCCGAAATATCCTGCCTGCCTTCATATCTGTCGTATTTGTCTACTTGTGTTGCCCAGGACCCCCTGTGCTGAACCCCTGCTTCGAAGTTCTATTTACAAGTGTGTATCAGCTGGCTCCCAAGGACTCTGTGCAGGTGCTATGAATTCAAAGTGTGCAAAATACAGAAAGTGTATGGGAAAATAAAAAAGCGAGGCGAAAAGGTTTCCAAAAATATGCTGTCTGCGCTGAGAAACAGCCCCTTGTGTTCCTCTGTACACCACCGCTCAAAAATGCGTCAGTTTTCCCTTCAACCCTCCACACTACTACTCGCCACCAAACCTGGAACAATGTCCGTGTGGGCTGCCAAACCCCACTCTGCACTTATCCCCCCATCCTGCCACACATCCGCGTGTCCACTCTATCACCTAGGTCTTGGCATCGCCAGCTACTTGTGCGGAAATCATGACATCAAGCAGGAAATAGAACTTCTGGAAGGCCATCTATTTTTGGATCAGCTCACATATCTGAAAATTCAGTTCCCACCCACACGCTTCGTTTGCCACAACCCTTCCGTGAACACATCCGTCACCATCGGCTTGTGCTTCAGCGACTCGCGCGTCAGCAGCGCCCCAGCACTATGGTTACGCCACCCATTGCGGTACCGCTGCGCCGTCTTCTGCCAGAACATCTCCAGCGAATTGCTGTCGTCGCAGATCTCAATGAAGTTCGCCCGCAGCGCATCCGGGCTGGGTTCCATTGGCGCTGCTGCCGCCGCCACCGCCTGTGGCGTGCTGGTCCCCGAGTTCTGCATCCCCTCCTCTCCGTACTGGTTTGGCGATGGCGTCATGTAGTAGTAGTCCGGCGACGCCTCGCGGTACTCGCCCGGCCGCGTGTAGTCAATGTAGTGGTCCCCAATCACCAGTGGCAATATAGGCGCCATCATCCCCTGCGACACCATCCGCGTAACCGCCGCGTTGATCGAGTCAAAGTCCGTTGGCAGCGACCCAATGTCTCCAATCGCCGAGCTGTCCAGGGCTTGACCACCTGTCTTCGCCGATTTCGCTTGCAGATCCTTGCGCGATGAACGCTTGTCCAGCACCTGGTGTGGCCACATGTGGTGCCGTGCCCGCACCGGGTAGTACATTGATTGCCGCCCACCGCCTGCTGAGCTGCCCCCTGGCGATATCGTTCGCTCATGCAACCCATGCCCGATCGCCGCCGTGCTGCCATCGCTCGGGCTAGCCTCAGCGGACTCAACCTTGGATGCAACCGTAGCTGCTGCTGCTGCTGCTGCTGCCGCTGCAGCGGCCGCCATCGCTGACGGCGCCAGACTCTCACGTCGCCCCCCATATGCCCCACCGCCAGCTGCCACAGCGACATGGGACGCGCTGGGATTGGCCGCCAGCGTGTTGGTCGGACGCATCCGGTTCTGGTGCGACGTGTACAGGTAGTTGTTGATCCACAGGAAGACCCCTGGAGAACAGATCTGCACAAACGCCGTGCCTGACCGGTGCACGTACTGCGTGAATTTGTGCCCGACCCGCTCAAACGTGTACTCGCGGTGAAGCAGCTCATCCGCCGGATATGCCTCTTCAGCCTCTACATCTAGAATAAAGTCCTGCTCCTCTAGCAACTCGCGCTCAAACGCGTACTTTGGCAGGCACTGCGCCATGCGCCGCACAATACGCGCCTTCCGCCTCAGCTTTGCAATCTGCTGCTCGTCCAACTCGGGGTCTTCGTCATAGTCGTCGTCAGACACGTCATTTGGATCCTCAATGTCCGCCAGAAACGCAAACTCTGACACCCACTCGTCATCAAACATCGTCTCCACCCGGGGCGGCGGCGCTGCCAGCGTTATGCGTATCGGCGAATGGAACGGATGGTTGTCTTCAATCAGCGTGTCCTGCGCACGCGGTGCCTCAACCAGACGCATCCCGCACCGCTCGGCCCTGCGTGCCCACCCCTGCACCAGCTCGTCAATCAAGTGGTTCGTGCAGTTCAGCCAGTTTATCGACAGGTGGAAACATGTCATCGGGTTCTGCACCGCATCCAGGTGAACCAGACAGTTCTCGATCCGCGTCGACTTGCGCGTTTGATCCAGATCCAGCGCAAACATCCGTGACTGCTGCATGCTCTTGGGCAGGTCGCGCAGCGTGGGCTTCCGCGCAAGCTGTGGAAACATGTCTGGTGTGACACGGTACCCTGCGCTAAAACTACGCGTGTGGGTCTGCGCCCTGGGGGTCTCACCCGCCACCCCATCGGACTGCCCCGCATGATCCGCATGGGCTGTTTCACTCATCACAGACTCGCCTCCCAGCGAATGCGCCGGGGTTTGGCCCACTATTCCCTCCGCCTTGACCTTGTTCAGGGCCTTGTTCTGAATGCTCATGTCATGTGTGATGCCCTGAGCGCCAGCCTCGTGCTCTGTACCAGCATCCGATCCAATGTTTGACATAGTGTGCACGTCATAGTCGTTGTTGACAGACGGCGCATTGCTTCCATGCCGGCTAGCTGGCCGACTCACTGTCGGCGACGCATTAGTCGACCCGGGCGTGTACTTGCTGACCACATCACTGAAACCTATGGTCGCCATCAACGACGTCTGCATTCCGCGCAGGTGCGGATTTCCAAGGACACGCGCACCCAAAGACGCATCGGTAAACTGGTAAAAGTGGTAGCCGTCCTCGAATACCTGCCGCTCGCCCGCATGCTGGAACAGCTTGCGCTTCATCATGCGGTTGCCGGCCTCGACAGCCTGTGCTCGCGTACTGACGTTGGCAAAATTGACCAGAATCCAGTCCACTAGCTGGTACCCCACGAAGATGTTGTCGTAGTACGTGAAGTGCCAGCGCACATTGCGTAGTTTCAGCCCGACCTCGTGGTGCTGCAAAGCGAACGCCAGCGTATTGGTAGGAGACTCCACATTGAGCGAGTCACCCAAGTTGAGCCTGCGCGCAGCGGGCGGCGGCAGTGCGATCGGTTTATTCGGATCCAGATAGTTCTTTTCGTGCATGTGGCCATACAGCTGGTGGCTCAGGTACGAGATCGGATACAGCGACGTGTACCGGATCTGCATCAGCGAGCTGGGCATAATATCATGTATCCCGATCCGCTTCTCATTTCCAGCAGCAGCAGTAGCACCCCCATCCTTGGCAGGTACCCTACCCACGCTACCACTCTGCTGCTGCTGCTGCCTATGCCTATGCCGACTATACACAATCTTCTTCATATCGTCCGGAAGCGCTGCCAAAAACTTCCTCTCCAGGCCCTCGCGCTCGTCATTCCGCAGGAAATTCAAGATGTGGTCCAGGAACTGCTCAAAGTTAGCAATCCGAACATCCTCGGCCGACATGTGCGGGCTGGTCTTGCTGTTGAAAATCGTGTCGTTGCCAAGCTGGTCAACCGGAATCAGGATATACCTCGTGCGCCAGTACTTCATTGCCCGCGTCAGGTTGGTCTGGTATCCAACGATCAGGTAGTCCAGGTTGTTCCAGTTGACCTCATCGTCGCTCGGGTACTGGAAATTGATCCCGGCTGCCTGGTACCCCCGGGTGCTGTTGCGCGACCACATCAAGCAGTTGTACTTTACCGGGCTCTGGTCGAACGGCTTATTGCGCTCCCATCGTGTCACAGCCACGCCAGGCATGTGGTTCGTGCTGCTACTCTCCTGGAACTCGAGCCGCTGGATCTGTCGGCCGTTGCTGAGCCAGATCGTGTTGCCCGACTTTTGCGAAAACCCTGGATACGACATCAGCCCAGGAAGAGCAGCGCTGGTCGACATGTACGTAGAGTCGCTGAGGCCTGTCCTATCCGCCTTGTCCTTGCGCGCCTCCAGCTTAAATCGCGAGCTGGTCATGTTATCCAGCGCTGTGCCCACTGTGTTTCCAGCCGCAATAAACTGGAACCCCTGCGATAGCCGCTGGAACACCATCTCACGCAGCATCCTCAGCGTCATGATATCCTTGGGCGACCGCAATCTTGCCAGCGCTCCTAGCGGCCGGCCGGACTGATCTGTCTCGTTGCGCAGCAGATCGATGGAATCGTCGGGTTCATGTCCGGCGTGGATATGTGGTAGTTGTACTGCTTGTAGTACACACCCAGCTCGCTAGGCACATAGTCGGTAACCAGTGGCAGCGACGCCGGTGTGCATAGCGACCGCCACTTGCTGGTGTATGACGAATTCGAGGCCCGTGTCGGGAATGCAAATGACCAGCGCTGCGATAGCTCGGTGGGCGGAAGAGGAAACAGCTCCGGATTGCATGGGTTGTAAGGATAAAACCCACGTCCCAGTATGCTCCTGGGTACCCGCTCAATAGCCCCGACTGACGATGCTAGCGCAGCTTCGCCGGGCCACGATGACTTCAATATCTTTGGCGAATTGCTGTGCAGCTCCGACGACACCATCGGCACCATCGATGGCACGGCAAACCCACTGGACTGACGCGCACTGGGCGGTGTTAGTTTGAATTCACGATCTGCAGTCAGTGGGCTGGTCAGCGCAGCCTGGCGCTGTACGCGGAACGGCCCAGTGGACATACCACTGTCGCGTGCAAGTTGCTGTGAATGCGCCTTGCTGGCAGGCGAGCGGAACGTCCGTATGTGATCTGCCATATGCGACTGCTTGGATATTGACTCCGAGACACCGTCTCTCTTCTCTTGCGCTGGCGCGGTCGGTTGCTGCGAATCGCGGTCCAACTGAATCTCACGGGTGCGCTGCATCGGCAAGGCACTGTCCTGCGCAGCCACATCTCCTAGAGCGATGCTGTTGTGTGATGTGGTACACTGCGCTGCCAATGGTGCTGCCCCAGGTGCCGGCGATGCAGTAAGCATTGGCGACACGCTGCGTGCCTTGGCCAAGTACCCGGCACTCGACACATCGAGGCCTGCCCCTTCGGTAGAGTTTGCAGACGCCTCTGTGCTTGCACGACTATATGGTGTATCCTGACCAGCCTGAAGCTTGGTCTGGTGCTGATGCTGAGCGCGACGTCGTTGGTGGCTGCCTGCACTTCCAAACACTGATGCGCGAGCCATGTTGTTGGAGCGTCCCAACCGCACCTCCCGCGGAACTGACGACGAAATTGTGCCCTGGCCAGACACATGGGACTGCGGATTCTCCGGGTTTGTCGGCATATTCATCGGAATACTCAGCTGCGTCCGTGCATCTGGCGAGGCAGATGCCGATATCGGTATCTTGGCTGGCACCACAGACGATTGGCTGCGGCCAGGCGGTGAGCCCATGTCTGCCCGTACTATCGAGTCGCTGTCCATCGAGCGCCGCTGGTGATCTGTGGAATGGGCCGACATTGCTGATGACAGTCCGCCCCCTTGGCCATAGTTCCATGACGCTGGGGTCGGCCGCGATGTTTCCATATCGCCTCTGGCATTCTGTTTGGCGTCGAGGCCGCTGGCGCTTGCACTCATCGTAACAGGACCCGAAGTGCCCCTCTCATCACCGAGCGCGCCGTCAGCATCCACTGCTGCCTCGTCGCTGCCGCCGCCTAAGATCGCCTCGCGGTCAAACTTTGCAAACATTTTCAAAAGCATGTCGCGTCTGTCACTCCGCTGTGCGTCGCCCCTGACGACCCGGCCATGCGAGAACGAACCAGCAGCTGTGGCCTCCTGCCGCATGCTACTAGCCTTGCCCCGCACAGCATCGGTTCCAGAGCTGTGGTCGGATTGGTATGTGGGAGCACCATCAAATGTGGCCATGGAGGCAACATCCTCAACTGACAGATGCAGCGCACTGTGGAGGTCAGGGATCTGCGGCGTGCGGCGCATGTACTCTGACACACCGGCGACAGCGATGTCGCCAATCTTACACGACGGCTGGAAATCGTCGGCGCGTGCCGATGCCCGCTCCTCGGCGTAGCTGTAGAACCCACAGTCAATCCAGTAGGGGAAGTAGCTGTACGTGGCGCGGCTGACGGATGGCGGATGGGCATCGGGTCCCGAAAAATACGGGTACGCGTCCCGCTTAATGCCCAGGATGCTCTCTGGCGCATTCTTCAAATCCTGCTCGTCCATCAGCACAGCAGCCACTGGGTTGCTATAGTCAGACGACATGCCGCCGATCAGCTCACTTGCTGCTGTGCCAAGGTAGTCATTGCTCTGCTTACTGTTTGCCGGCGCATTCCCCATCCGCCGCCCCGTTGCACGGTGTAAATACGGAAGGTACTCTTTAACCCACAGCTCATCGTCAAAATATAGCGGGTCGCTGGTCAGTGGGTCGCTGGTCTCGAATGCATCGGCCTTTATCCCCGAGCGAGAGGTGGATGGGATGCGGTCCTTTGGCCAGCCAGCCGCCAACCCCACTGCAGAGCCAATGGTGCCGCCAGGGCTGTCGCCGAGTGGTGATCCGCTGCGGACTCCGGCGTCTCTGAACCGACATGCATCCACGGCCTCCTGACGCCGCTGATGGACTGCACGCATGCGCTCAGTCTCAGAGGGCACCGGATATGACTTGAAGCGGAACACAGGCGGCTTGAACAGCGGCTTGGGCGCCAAGCACACGAGGTCGACACGCATGCCCTGGGTCAGCATGCGCTCGGTGGTCATCCGCAGCAGCTTCTTGGGCACATCAAACACGCCAAACGAGGGTGTGATCACTATAATGCTGAGGCCGGTTCGCGACAGATCGCGGTCCAGGTGGTTGCTGGCCAGCGTGTTGATGCCTAGGTTGATAGCCTCAAGGATGTTACCCTGGTTGGCCTTGGACAGATCCCCTCGCAGTCGGTAACCGCTGGAGTCGTACATCTCCTGAATGTCTCGCCGATAGTTGCGGAACTCGGCCAAGATATCCGGCAGAAACACCGACCAGTCAGACCGCACATCCATGTCGGCAATGACCTTGTAGTAGTCGCGGTAGTATCGGTCGCGGTCGCGGTCCCACTCGAGGTCCTGGAAGAACACGCTGTCGCTGGTGTGATAGCACCACCGCGAAAACATGACAATGGTCACCATGTGATTGAGCTGCATGTCCGACCAGCGCTTGAACAGATCGGCCAAGAAGTGGTTGACGGCCTTTTCGAAGCACAGGTTGCTGTCCTCCTGGTACGACCACATCTCCTCCGACATCTGGATGAACAGGATAAACCGCCCTGACTCTGACCGGAAGATTGCCTGTGTGGAGTCGTCAATGTACCCGCACGCCACCTGCTTGCCATCCTTGTATATCCGCCGTACCGACGCGCGGATCAGGCCCTCCAGATTGGTCTGCTTGTTTGTGTGCACGACGCCCTTGGCCAGGTACCGCCACATCCGCCACATGTCGCTGCGCCCGACATATTGGTCACGAAACGCAATCTCGACGTAGTCGGCGCGTATCAGCTCGCACTCGCTCTCTTTGCTGACGTTGATTTTGCGGATGATCGCCTTCTGGTTCGACTGGTACTCCCCCCACAGCGTGCGTGCTACCGAGCTGATAATCGACGCCTGCAGCTGCTGCGCGTCCTGCTTCACTTCGCCAACCCTGACCAGAATTTCACGGTGCGGGTCGGGTTTTAGCACCTCCTCTTCATCGTCGCCGAGTCGTTCGCGCTCGCGCAGCAGCTCCACGTCGCTGTCAGGCATGTCGACGTGCCACCGGCTCTGCATGCTCGTGTACCATGACTTACCCTTCTTGCGAACATCGCCCAGCACCTTCCCAGACTCTGCCCTTCGCCCGCTAATCCTGCTGTCCAGCCTATCCTCTGTGCCCTGTGCACTGCTGACATTGGACACAGCTGATTTAGGCGACAGCACCGACCCGTTGCCCTTGCCCTTGCCTGCAGGCGTTGACTCTCCGGTGGCATGCGCAACAAGCGCCGGGTCCCCGTCCAGCGAGCCACGCGGTGACGCCGCTCCATTCTCGTCAGCATCGTACACCGGGCGGATCGCCACTATATCGCCCACGCACACGCCGGGGAAAAACGACGGGTTCAGCACGAGGTCGCTACGCGAGAATGCCACTTCATGCACTCGCAATTGGCACGTTTTGGTAAATGTCGATGGCTTGCTCTGGGCATCGTCATGCTCGGCTGCTGTGCCGTGGCCAGTGCTGCCGCGGTGGCCACCCGCCGTGCCGAATGACGTGGTGCCGCCCCCTTTGCCTTTGCCCGTGCGTCCGCCCAGCGCCCGCTGGCCCTCGCGGTGGAAAATCGACTTGCTTTTGCGCTGTTTTCGTGGAAACACCGGCTTCTGATCAGTCATTCACAAAGTATAATTTCAAATAGCGAGAGCAAGTGAGAAAAATGTGTGAAATTTCAAACAGTCTCTAAAAGTATAGGGGAGGTTAGACGGTGTGCTTCGGAGGAAAGGAAAAGCAAGAATGGAGCCAGCAGGGAAAAGGCGGGTGAGGTCAGACCACGCGTTGAAAGAAATTGCGCCTGCAGGATATTGCGTCCACGCTAGGCTGCTCATGTTTTGATGCGCTTGGCCTGGATCTGGTCCACCTGGACATTGTCTGCTCCCGGTGCCTTTCCCCGGGCCTCCTGGGCAGCACGCTTGTTCTTGCCACTGGGAGTCGCCGGCTTGCCCCTCACGTTTTTGTTCATGTTCAGATCGAGCCGCTCTGTCAGCACCTTTGTGCCAACATTCTCATACAGCTCGCTGAGCCCAAGTGCCGCACACAGGTCGCGGTAGCATTTTGCGCTGCGCATGTCCACAAACACCTGTGACTTGGTGTCGGTGTACATCTGCATGATTGAGTACTTGGTGTTTGTGTAGTTGTTGGCCATCCGCACGCAGTTTTCGATGTATGCGTGCGCGACCTCGATCGCCGGCAACTTGCCTGCACTGCGGAAAACCGATGCATTCTCCACCACGCCCCGTGCTGACATTGCGCTGGCCGCACCTGTCTCTCTGCGTGCGCGGTCAAAGTCCTCGTAATTAAAAACATCACCGTTCAAGATCACCGGGATGTCGGGAACAGCCTTTACAATCGCATCCAGCCGCTTCCACATTGCTGGCTCGCGCGGCCGCATGTCCTTGGTACGACAATGCACCGTCAACGCTGAAATTCCTGTAGCCACGACTCGCTTCACCAGCGCCAGCGTCTTTTCCTCGTCGTCAAACACACGGATCTTGCACGTGATGGGCAGGTCAATGTTCTTGACGAGGATGTCTAGGATCGAGCACAGCCGGTCCGGGTCGGTCATCAGCGCTGCACCCATGCCGCCCTGGAGCGAGAATTGCTTGGGACACCCGCAGTTCAGATCGAATCCGGACACGTCCTGCATGACCTTCTTCGCTGCCGCCAGCGCCGACTCTGGCGCAGCAGAGCCCAGCTGGAAAATCAACTTGTCCTTCTCGTTCGGGTGCGTTGTGAACATATCACGGTTGTTCTTGATGTACCTGACTACGCCTGTTTGCTCGTCAACCACCCGCTCTGTATCAGCAACGCTCTGATCCACGATCTCAGGCGACCACACTAGGTCGGCACCGTACTCTAGACAGAGCAGCCGCATGGGTAGTGTTCCAAGGCGCACCATTGGGGCCAGGAAATTGCCGTTCCGGTACCGGTCCCTCCATGCCTTCCGCGTGTCGTCGTCAACCATGGTTTAGTCCAATAAATAGAGAGAGAGAATTCAAGGCGTATTGAGAGGCTCAAGAGGAGAAAAAGAAAATCTCCAGCCGCAGGAATCTAAAAAAATCTAATTCCGGTTTGGTTGGGAGTCTGGTCCAATCACTGCCACCAAGAAAACCTGCGGTACGGAGCAAGCCACCAACCACGAACTCACCACATCCAGTATGACAGGTGTGGGGGGTGTTCGAGGTCTTCAGTCCTAACTAGAGTGCTGCAGGAATATTTGATAGAACTCCAGTTGACAAGTCATTGATGGTCTGTGAGTGGATCGAAGGCAGCCTTGGAACTTTCCCAATACCCTGGTACTCAACTAGGCAATTGATTTTTCCTTGCATTTGGGTATGCTGTAAGGCTGTCTCATTTTCAGTAGAAAATAGAGTGTAATTCACAGCACCTTAAAAGAATTCCGCAGCCAGATATCTGTAAATGCTCAAGCTTTCCTCAAGATCTTGTGAGATGGATTACGGTAGGACTTATTCCGAGGTCGATGACACTCTAGAGTAGTTAACACCACATTCCACAAAACCAATGAGCTCCAAGTTTTCATCAACGACTAGGTACTCAGACACAGTAGTCATATATCAAGAATGCACACTCGGTCTGTCAAGGAATTCCTGCTGTCAGAGATGGGTGGCATCGCACAAGCGGACACGTACACAAGCAGCAACACCAGAATCATATCAACAAAGTGGTCCTGCTTATGATGCACTCCTCTGTATTAAACGGGCCGCCCTTGCCGCATGCTGTGGGCTGAGCCCCTTAAGCAGATCTCACTTTGATTTGCAGCTCATGTTTCCAGTGGACCTCGGTCCGATATCGTATGTTGCAATCTATCCTACAGCTCGCCAGGTGATCGCTACCAACTGCTTCTTTTGTGCTGCATACGAGTAGTTTGCATGGCTACTCGGAACCTGCGGTGTCAGGTCAGGCCTAGGACCAGCAGTCCGACTCTCCGACTTTGATCGAGCATCTCTGGAGATGGAAAAGCATGCTGTGGCACCGAAGCAGCTGGCTACTGAGGTCCCATCAAGGATTGCAATTGGTCTTGGGCGCAGAGTATCCTATCTTCCTGAAATCGACACGTTTGACTAAGCCATTAGCCATGCTGCAGAATGCATCTGGCAGTAGAATCAAGACTTGCCTGAATATACTCCCGCAGCACCTGGATCTATTACCTTAGAAAGCAATAGGCTTCTTTGCTTTCCGAGTCTCGGTTTTGGTGAGGAATGGATGAGTCGTGGGCTGCACCAACAGACTCTCCACCCGGGCTCAATCAGGCTCGCAATTACACGCATGGATCAGTTTTTAAATGCAGTGCTCGTCAAATACCTGTTTGCCGTATCCTGGATCGCCAACAACCCTATCATAGCTACTAGTCAAAACAGTTCGAGGGACAACTACGATGCATTCTATGAATTTGAGAACAGCTGGTCAGTCAAAGCAATGCGTCTAGGTCCAAATATTGCATGCAGTGAGCGGAGAGGCGATGATCTTGTAAAGGCGGTGTTTATTGTGCTTTGTGCTGTCGCATGGCTGCGGGTCCAGGGTGATCGAGCCTGCGTCAATGGCTTGGGACTCACATTCACCTTGTCCAAAACAACAGCACATTGTATGCCATGCTCGCATTGAGGCTACTGGCGATCCGCGACTCGGCCGAGTCTGTTCTGCAGTAGTGCGATTTGCAGCTCGCTACCTCATGGTCGCGCTGGACCGATTCCTAAAATAGAAACCATTGGATTGATACTTCCAGAAATTGTTTTTGTAATGACGGCCGTCTTCCTTTGCTTTCAGTTCCACCCAACTCCTCTGCTTTTGCATCTCTATTCCCTCCTCTTGGTTATTTTGCTGGGCATAAACGACCACATTCGAATACTCTTTCCCTCCCTCATACTCTTCGGCTCCACGTACTCTTCGCGCTTACCCTTCCCTTTTTCATAACAACACCACCATTACCAGATATCTCAACACGACCACAATGAAGTTTTCGCTTACTCTTGCCTCCCTTGCCATCTCTGCCGCAGCTGCCAACCAGTTTTCCGGTCTTTCGTACAACCCGAAACAGCTCACCAACGGAGACTGCCCGACTGTCGATACTGTCAAGGATGATCTGAAGGTGCTGAGCAAGTACACCGACCAGGTGCGCATCTACAGTGTCCACGACTGCAACCAGGGCGAGCCAGTGCTGCGCGCTATGGAGAACACAGACTGGAAGGTTCAGCTCGGCCTGTGGGTCAACAAGAACGACACTGTCTATGAGACCGATAAGAACGAGCTCCTGCGTCTGGCTGGTGTGTTCGACTTCAAGAAGCATGTTACAGCTGTCATTGTTGGTAACGAGGCTGTCTACCGCAAGGAACAGACCTCGGCACAGATTGCTGACAAGGTCCACGATACCAAGGCTGCGCTGACCAAGATTGGTCTGGGCAGCATCCCTGTCACGTCGTCAGAGACCTGGCCATTTTATGACAAGACGCTAGTTGACGCTGTCGACTACGTCAACGTGCACGCCTTCCCGTTCTGGGAGGGCACCGACATTGACGGCGCCCAGGACAAGGTGTTTAAGCACATTTATGACATCCAGGCGATCGCCGGTAAGAAGAAGGTTGTTGTTGGCGAGACTGGCTGGCCCGATAACGGTGGCAACTACGATGCCGCGGTTCCGTCGCTCAAGAACGAGCAGCGGTACATGCGCGAGTTCATCTGCCGCGCCAACCTGGAGAAGATCGACTACATCTGGTTCAGCGCCTTCGACGAGGCATGGAAGCCTGTGACAAACGCCAGCGACGTCGAGACCCACTGGGGTATCCTCAAGGGTGACAAGACTCCCAAGTTCAACTCGCCAATGTACGACTGCAAGGGCTTCGTGCCAAACCCGAAGGAGGACGCCGAGGAGAGTGCTTCCGCTTCTGGCAGCCGCCACGCCTCGGTCTCTGGCGAAGAGAGTGATCTCGAGTCTGACGAGGCCGGCTACGACAGCAAGTCTGGCGGACACTCCTCTAAGGCAGTTTCTAAGGCAGTTTCCAAGGGCTCGTCGTCAGCCGCTGGTTCTTCCAGCACTAACGGTGCCTGGTCGCTGACCTCAGGCTACTCGACCGCTGGTGTTCTTGCCTCAGCTGTTGCTCTGGCAGCCTCCGCCTTCTTCTAGATATACACGCCCCACGCTCTTTAGATAGCCTGGTCGCTAGTAGAACCTGTTTTATGATTCTCGATATTAAAAGCGCTTCTCAACCATACAAATGGGCAATTCTGAGCATGTAGAGTTGCAGAGATACAGCGTTGGAGTGTGCTACAGATATACTAGTCCAAGATGCGCTCAAGAAGCTGCTCACACTGGCCCAGGTATCCAGACCCAAACAGGTTGTAATGGTTCACTGTATGGTACAGCTCGTATATTAGCACCCGCTTGTCAAAGCCCGGGGCCTTGGGAATGATCGCATGGTACGCATTAAAGCACTCAGGACCGAACCCACCGAACATGCGCATGATGCCGAGCTCAGCCTCGTTGTGACCCCAGACTGTAGCTGGATCGAAGATCACAGGCTCGCCTGCCTCATCAGCAGCACAGTTTCCGCTCCAAAGGTCACCATGGATGAGCGCAGGGGTGATAGTGATTCCCGAGAAGTACTCAGGCAACCTCGCGAGCAGCTTGTTGCTAAGCGCAGCAACAACGCCTGTGAATCTTGCCAGCGAGAACTGAAACTCCAGGCGCATTCTGAGGAACTCGACCCAGTCATCGTTCCACGTATTGGGTTGGGGTGTGCTGCCAATCAAGTTGTCGACCTCAAATCCAAATCTGCTCGGCCCCTTTGCCAAATGCAAATGCGCTAGTTGTTCGCCCATCCGCTGTTGGTTACGAAGCGGCTGCATAGGTACGTATTCGGTGACAAGGAAAGCACCGTCGGAGATCCCACCGACTCCGATTGGAGCCGGAACTTTGAAGGTGCCGGTTGCCCTCAAAGCTGCCAGCCCCTTGTGCTCGGCGGCGAACATAGCTAGGCACTGCGCCTTGCTCATTTTCGGACCAGCCATGTGGGCTTTGACAAAGTAGCTCCTGCCTGAAGTCGTTTTGGCTTCAAAAGCGTCGTTGATGCAGCCTCCACCGATGCTCCGTAGCGAGACTACTGGGCCACTGTCACTCTCTGCACTATCTGCCAGGAAGGCTGTAAGCGTCGATTTAAGTTTGTCCAACTCCAGTACGTTGTTCATGCTGTAGAAACCAATGTTAAGGTATTGATATTACCATGGCCAGCCATTGCCAAAGGCGGGGTGTTTGCCTCTATTGCTGCAGGCATTTCTCTGACACTTATGCATTGTGTGCCAGGTGATAGCTGACTGAATAAACATTTTTGGCCTATTTCTTGATCAGTTGGAAGCCGGGGGCAGCATTCTCGACATATTTACCATCTCCACATACATTTCTCGATATGGCATCCGAAAATGCAACCCCTATCGTCACAGCTATTCCAAACCAAATGAAAATTCTCTTTTATCCTGATACCAAGTAGAGCGGGGAAGCAGCCTTCTAGCTCTCTGGCAACCATCACCATCTGACTCTAAACCCCCTCACCCGCACCTTTGCTCTCGTCTGCACTCATCATCAAAACCTCTCAAAACCATGAAGTCCTATTTGTGTTATCTCTTGCCGCTCTCGCTACTTGTGGGTACTAGTCTTGCGCAGGTTGAAATGCGCGAGCCTGCACCGCGGCGTTCCAAGTTCAGCAAGTACTATATGGACAGCGATGACGTTGACTACAACATGAAGACGCCTCTGAACAGCGTTGTCGGCTATCCATGCCGTAAGTTCCCTGAGGGCCCTGTGCAAGGAACCTTGATAGCCGGCCATAACTTCAAGGTGTTTTTTGACGGTACGGCGACGCGGCAGGGTGGTGATTGCCAGTTCGCCATTTCGTACGACAACGGCACCACGTTTGGTGTGCTCTGGGACAAGCAAGATAACTGTTTACTGGACACAATTAATGGCGGCTATGATGTGCCCATCCCCGAGACGTTGCCCAGGGCAAAAAGGGCGATATTCGCGTGGACTTGGATTGAGGCGCTGTCTGATCGCTCGTTCTTCATGAACTGTGCCGATGTGCGCGTTGAGAACTATGGTACCGAAGAGACATTTACTGGCCGTGAACTGCTGGTTGTGAATGTACCTGGAATGCCGACGCTGGCACCCAAGGAGTTTGCGAAGAAAGACGACTTGGCGGTCATGTTTGAGAAGCGCCCATTCGTCAATGTTGGCGATGTCGAAAAGCCCAAAAAGCGAGTTGAGGATGAGTCGACCACCGAGGAATCTAGTGAGTCTGACAGTTCGGTCGAGGAGCAGTCCAACGACGTTGAGGAGACAGCTAACTCTGATTCTGACTCTGGCACAGTCGTTTTGCTTGTTTCTGAAGACACTTCGACCACTACACACGTTGTGTACGCGACTCAATTCATTACCGAGGAGGACACAGAAGCAGACTACACATATGGCCATGGAATACAGACGCGCGGAGGCGGTGCTCGCATTTCAGCCTCTAATGGTAACGAAAAGCCTATCTATGGAACGAATGTCGGGCTGACTATTATTAGCGAGTCCGCCGACATCAACCAGTACACACAGGAGAAGGCATTCCCATCGTTTACATTTGGCTCAACACACAGCACACAGACTAGCGATAGCAGTGCCTCCGAGGACTACATCCCGCCCTCCCTTAGCCCCCCACACAGAACGACGCCTGCATCAGGGCCAGAGGCTCAGGGTCTGGACATTCTGGCGTCTACAAATACAGGTTCATTTATGGCACCAGCCACGGTTCCGCTCGGCACACCGCTGTTTGACGACAAGCGCGCGATCAGCAAGGGGCCGCTAGATATTGGAGGGCAGGGAGATAAGCAGTATGAACATGAACTGTCGACACTTGGCGGGTACGAGTCCACAGTCAAACCATTCATCACGAACCGTCCGGATATCAAGAGTGTGCTAGCTAGTGCGTCACTATCGGTGAATCATAGGTATCCGACACAGGTCACCCCCGCTGCCAGCGTGCTTACCATGATGAAAACAGTCACTGTAAACGACAAGCCAGTGCTCCAGGTCGTGGTGTCGTCAAACAACACTGTGATACCTGCAAGTCTGACCATATCGTACTCGAACGTATAGAATGCGTGTATAGCGTTGCACCAGAGAGCGAAGCGGCATATTATTCTGCTGTAAAGGCTGATAGTAGTGGCATCGGCAGTGGTTTATGTTTGAACAGTGGGATTCCGTATTAAAGTTACCAAGTCAATATGATTATCATCATACCTGAATATTTGGCAGTTGTTTCTACTCTTGCCACATACGCGCTATTGTAGACATAGGCCAGAATCAATTAAACTGCACTCTCCTTGCTTATCCCTACTGATATGGGGGTGTTCCGAGGATGGACAAAATGCCACACATCTCCAAATGATGACAGTGTATATTATTTTTAGATTTTGAAAAAATTACAATGAACAGAAAAGATAAATTGAGCTTGCAGGGTATTAAAATAAACAGACAGAAAGACACAAAGTCCAATATGCTAAATAGTATAAGTTGAATGTGGCAGGGTGTAGGATGTGCTATGAGTGGCAATCCTGGTACCCACCGGGGTAATTGGCAATGCATGTGGCGATGACGTACGCAGCTCAGGCTGGTCATGGTGGCTGGGATATCAAACAGTGGGGTAGTTCATCTCAGATTACGGCACTGCTTGGGAAGCTGTAGCGGCCGATGCGGTCGACGGCATACTCCAGGATCGAGTCCTCAAGTCCAACAAAGAGCGCAGAGCTGTCAGGCGCAAAGCGAAGCCCAGTAATCTGCAGGTCCTGCTGGTGCAGGGTCACGGTTGAGTCCACAGAATCCATCGATTCGCTCAAATCAGCAGCGACACGCAGAATCTGGCGCTTCTCGAAGCTGCGGGCGTCAACGATGTTGACAAAGCTGGTGTGCTACAAGAGCAAATGGAGCTGAGTCACAATGCGTGCAGGGTGCATGTTTGGGGAGAAAAGCGTCACAGGGTCGGCTGTCTCGCATGGAAACTTACCTCCGAGAACGCCAGCAGATCAACAGAGCCGCTGGGCGAGAACTTTACGTTGCGACAGGCACCGCGGGACCTTCCGTGCTGGTATGTCTCGAGCGAAATCATCTTTTGGTGTGAGCGGATATCCCAGACGTTGACAAACCCATCCTGACTGCCAACGGCAAATAGCTCGGAGCTTTGGCTCCAGTCGCACGAAAACGATGCATCGTTGGAGGCAGTCAGGGTCGCAATCTTTTCAAAGTCGTCGCCGCGCTTGTTGAACAGGAACACGCTGTTTGAATCGCCAACCACACACATCTTTGTCCCGTCAGGACTGACCGCGGCTACAATGGTGAGAGTGATTAGTGTGTGGCTACTGCATAAAGTGGCAATAATCTGGAGTCAGGTGCGCAGGTCCTTACCGTAGTTGACAGCGACCGGGAACTTCAGCTCCGTGATCAGGCTCAGGTCGGGCAGCGACAGCAGCTTGACTGATCTGTCATTGTTGCAGACAAGCACGCGTGGCGGGGCGGCTTGGCTATTCATGATGTTCAGGTTGGTCACACCGTCCTCGACAAATGCCGCAGAGTCGCGCAGGCGGCGGCGGGTGGGCAAGGCGCGCGGCTGGCGATCCAAAGCGACAAAGTTGTTGATGGAGCCGCCCATGTGTGTCAAGCTTATAGTCTCGCCCGGGTTGCTAAGTCTCGCTACGGCCAGCTCAGCTCGCTGCCCGCCGACCACGATAAAGTCGCCGCCAACAGCCATGCTCACGGGATCAAAGGACAGATCGCCGAGGACGCGGGTGGACTACAATTACAAGAGAAGAGAGCGGCGCATTTGAGCAATCCACGGCGGGTGGGATGTGGTGCTTGTGGTTGGCAGGAGGACAACCAAGGGAGCAACTTAAAGCGCAAAATAAAGCGCAGTTCCTGCTTGGCCGTAGCACACCTGATCCACGACACAGTAAATAGACAAAGCGGAACGCGCGATGCCGCCTCTCACGGCCTTCTTGGCAGCAGGAGGTGCATCGCACTGGCATGCATATGCATCCCTCCCTCCTGGCTAAAACCGGGCCATCCACAATGGGCACGAATCAGCGTACTGTGGGAAGCCTGCTGGCAAAGCGACTTACCTGATGCTTGCGGGTATCATACTTGTCGACATTGCAGCGGTAGATCGAGTAGAGCTCCGATTTTGTTGCCGGGACACAGGACAACGTCACGCAGCTGCCTACATAAGCAACAAACAGAATAGCGGGCGGCGTCTCTGAGTAAAAAATCGGTTGGTAATGTTTGGACGGGATATTGGGCATCACAGTAAACCTGCCAGAAGAACCGTGCAATAGAGCGCGGCGGGGTAAAACAAGAAGCGCAGTGATATGTGCTATAGCAGCACTAAAATTAGGACACACTGAGGTCGCCCACTGGCCCGCTTTAGAGCCCATTAGAGCACATCAGGAGGAGACGGCTCTACCTACCAGTGGTTCCAGCTGGTGCGCTGCTGGTGCCGCCGCGGCGAGGGCTTGACAAACTCGTATGTGTTGACCACACTGCGGTATCCAAGTTTTGCATGGTAAGCCGAATCCGACAGCGACGGCGCAGCTCCGTTGGTGTTTGGGTTGTCGGAGATTATGTATCGGTTCCGCATCGTCGGGGCGACCATTGTATAAAAAGAGCGTGGGTGTGAGAAATGTGTTTATGTGAAGCGAGACGCACGCTGATGACGCTGATGCTTATGTCGATGCAAAAGAAGGCTGGCTTTTGAAAGTACCAGGTGAAACAGAAAGGCTGAAGCACCAAAAGCTTAAAGTATAGAGAAAAGGGGGGTGCTGGGGAGGGCGAAGAAGAGCCCCTCCGCAGAAGGCACCCAGGCCGGAATTTATACCTGCAGTTAGGCAGGCCCGGTCCCGCGCAAGAGCACCGCGAAAAAAGTTTTTTTGCAGTGGCCGCCGCAATTTTTCGGGGCATTTTACGATTCACTGTACAGCCAGTCGGAGGAGCAACGCATCCCTGTGCTGGCGTCCAACAAGCACTGGGCGCAATGGCTGCGTGGGAACAACCGGGTCTGGCACATCACATGAGATGCGCCTCCGAATGATCCAGGCAGCAAGCCAGCTGGCGCCCGGGGGAGTGGCATATTTTTCGGCACTTACCGTTCTAACGTGATTGTCATCAGCTGTGCAGGCAGACGGGAAAAGAGGGGATGTGGGCTGTGTGGGGTGGATTCTATTTAGCGATCGTCGCCGCGCTGGTGGTCGTTTTCCTTGTTAGGGATTTGCCGCGATTGTTGGGTTTGCTTGCGATTCTGTCGGCACGGGCAGTTGGCCGGCGGGTTTTTCTGCAAGATGTGCGCAAAGGGAAGGAATGCTGCTGGTTCTATGGAAATATGACAGTGCGAATCGGCGGGCTTTTTGCGGTTGTAAGGAGAAAAAGTGAGTCTACAGCGAGAGGGGATTGGGAAGCCAATACGGGAGACGGGCGTCTTGGTGCGAGCCTCGGGTATAAATACGCGTCGAGCCAGCGCAAGCTGCCTTGTGCTGCGCACATCACTGCCGCTCGCGCCCGCATCTGGTGCTTGCCGTTTGTCGCTTATGCGCCCAATCTCATTTGCTGCCTGTGCCTCCGGCCATACATACGCAATGAGCGAGTCAGATTGACTTTGAGCAACATGGAAAAGGAGACGAGAGCATGCGCTGCAGGGGAGCCTAGCCACTAGGTCGTGCCGCTCAGCAGGGCTGATCGCAATTCCACAGAGTGATGAGCACAGCCCAGACCGCCGGCCCAACTCGCCGCTGCCACGGCAGATTAAATGTAATTAATAGGCCTGTTATGTAAGCCCCGCTGTCCGCTGCCAGACGCGAGCCGCAGTGACTGCTTTCGATCGTGGGCGAGCCGCCACGGCAGCAGCGCTGTTGGCGAGCCGCGTTCCCACCTGCCTGGCCCAAAAAAACTGCAGAGGCCGCTTACCCCTAATCACAAGTCACCTGCAGCCAATCACAGCGCAGATCAGTCCTCTCACCGTAATGGGCAGCAGCAGCGCCAGCATGCTCATCGAAAGCGAGAGAACGCGGTGGATATTACGCTGAGCCGGAGTGGGGGGGGCTAGCGGCCAAGCGGGGGCCATTGGCGGCAGCAGTGCCATAGCGGGCACACTGTTTAAAAGACGGGCTCGGCGGCTCTCGGCGCGCCCCGTGTGTGCAATGCTTACCAGAACGAGCCGCGCCATCGACCACTCGCACACCGGCTGATAGACGGCGACCCCTGTGCAGAAACCGCACGTATAAAATTATTAATCTCGCGTCTTCCCGCACCCAGCCCTTCTTTGCTTCTCTTATCTCCAACTTTTTTCTTTTTGTACTCTACGCCCCTCTCCAGAACCAGCCTCTCTTTCTCGCGAAAAGAAGGATCTATAGATAAGTCTTTTCTTCAAAAATGTACATGTCCTGCATGCGTAACCTGCGGTCCGCCGCCCGCCCCACCTTCCTGTCGGCCAGCCGTGCCAGCCAGCAGCTCTTCCGCGGCATGAGCAGCAAGGTCCAGGGCCAGGTCATTGGTATCGATCTCGGAACCACCAACTCGTGCGTCGCCGTGATGGAGGGCAAGGCCACTCGTGTCATCGAGAACGCCGAGGGAGGCCGCACCACCCCGTCGACCGTCGCCTTCACCAAGGACGGCGAGCTCCTGGTTGGTGTCCCGGCCAAGCGCCAGGCTGTGGTCAACCCCGAGAACACCCTGTTTGCCACCAAGCGCATGATCGGCCGCAAGTTCCAGGACAAGGAGATCCAGCGCGACATCAAGGAGGTGCCGTTTAAGATCATCAGCCACAGCAACGGCGATGCCTGGGTTGAGGCCCGCGGCAAGTCGTACTCGCCCGCTCAGATCGGTGCCTTCGTCGTCGGCAAGATGAAGGAGACCGCCGAGGCCTACCTCGGCAAGCAGGTGAAGAACGCCGTCATCACTGTTCCCGCCTACTTCAACGACTCGCAGCGCCAGGCCACCAAGGACGCCGGCTCGATTGCCGGTCTCAATGTTCTGCGTGTGATCAACGAGCCCACGGCCGCTGCTCTGGCGTACGGCGTCGACAAGGAGGGCGACAAGCTGGTGGCTGTCTACGATCTCGGAGGCGGAACCTTCGATATCTCGATCCTCGAGATCCAGAAGGGCGTGTTCGAGGTCAAGTCGACCAACGGTGACACCCACCTTGGCGGTGAGGACTTTGACATCCACCTTGTGCGCAAGGTCGTCGAGGACTTCAAGAAGGAGTCGGGCATCGACCTCAGCAACGACCGCATGGCCACCCAGCGCATCCGCGAGGCCTGCGAGAAGGCCAAGATCGAGCTGTCGTCGACGGTCCAGACCGACATCAACCTGCCGTTCATCACCGCCGATGCCTCGGGCCCCAAGCACATCAACCTCAAGTTCACCCGCACCCAGTTCGAGACGCTCACCAAGTCCCTGATCGACCGCACCGTGCAGCCGTGCAAGTCCGCCCTCAAGGACGCCGGCGTCAGCTCGAACCAGATCGGCGAGGTCATCCTGGTCGGTGGCATGTCGCGCATGCCCAAGGTCCAGGAGACCGTCAAGTCGATCTTTGGCCGCGAGCCGACCAAGGCCGTCAACCCCGACGAGGCTGTCGCCATGGGCGCTGCCATCCAGGGTGGTGTGCTTGCCGGCGAGGTCACCGACATTCTGCTGCTCGATGTCACCCCGCTGTCGCTTGGTATCGAGACCCTCGGTGGCGTGTTCACCCGTCTGATCAACCGCAACACCACGATCCCGACCAAGAAGTCGCAGTCGTTCTCGACTGCTGCCGACGGGCAGACCGCTGTTGAGATCAAGGTCTTCCAGGGCGAGCGCGAGCTGGTCCGCGACAACAAGCTGCTCGGCAACTTCCAGCTGACCGGCCTGCCGCCTGCTCCCAAGGGCGTGCCCCAGATCGAGGTCACCTTCGACATCGACGCCGACGGTATCGTCAACGTGTCGGCCAAGGACAAGGCCACCAACCGCGACCAGTCGATCACTATCGCCGCGTCGTCGGGTCTGACTGACGCCGAGATCGAGGACATGATTGCCAACGCCGAGAAGCACGCCGAGGCCGACAAGGAGCGCCGTGAGGTCATCGAGGCCACCAACTCTGCCGACTCGATCATCACCGATACCGAGAAGAACCTCGAGGAGTTCAAGGAGCAGCTCGACAAGGCCGAGGTCGAGAAGATCCGCACCCAGCTCGACGAGCTGCGCCAGACCATCGCCAAGGTCAACTCGGGCGAGGTCGAGCTCAAGGCTGAGGAGATCAAGGCCCAGGCCGGCAACGTCCAGCAGGCGTCGCTCAAGCTGTTCGAGATGGTCTACAAGGCCCGCGCCAACCAGGGCGAGCAGAGCTCGTCGTCCGAGTCGTCGTCTGCCAAGGACGCCGACTTCAAGGACGCCGAGAAGAAGTAAACGTGCTTCGCGCTCGCTGCTAATCCCCCTAAAAATTCCCACCTCCTACATATTTTTGTTTCTTCGTCTTTAAAAAACTCCAATTTATTCCAGGTCTGCTAGTGGAAGTACGTCTCGTCGACAGTCACCGGTCTTGTCAGCGGCACGACGGACTTCTTCTCCTTGTCTCTGGCTAGCGCCCGGCGCATGTCATATGCATCCTCGGTTGGCATGACGCCGTCGGTTAAGTAGTACTGTGTCACGGTCCGATAGACAATGTACCCAAGGCTCTCGTACATGGCAATAGCGATTTTGTTTGACGGCCGGACGAACAGATCGACAAAGTAGCAGTCGTAGACCTTCTCGGACGCATCTTCCAGGAACTTCATCATGCCGCGGCCGAGCCCAAGCCGGCGCCCCTCGGGTGCAACAGTCAGTGCGGTGACGTGTCCGTGCCAGAGCTCGCGCTTGCCCTCAACCTTGCCAATCATATATCCGAGCAGGCGCTCGTCGGCGGACTCGCACACGTGCGACAGGTCGGGCCAGCTGAAGAGATAGCTCAGGTAAAAGTTCAGGCTGTAGGTTTCGGTGAACTTGTCCAGGTTCACGTTGTTGAACCGGAACATGTCCATGGCCTTGAAGCGCCGGATCGTCGACATATTCTTCTAAAAAAAGAGATAGCAATGGGGCTAAGAGGAAGTGTTTATTTTGTCGGCGGACTGTTGCCAGCACCACCACCAGAAGCGGAGTGTACGTGGACAATGTAATGTTGGTGTGTTATGTGTCCAAAAAAATATATTTTGCTTCGTGTTTCGAACCTTGAAAATCGCTGCTGCTTACTCAATGACATTGGCGGGGACCGAGGCCGGATCAACAGGCGAGTATATGTTGCTGGCCATCTGCCAGACCTGCACAATGTTGTCCTCGGCGGTGGTGCACAGAGTCCAGTCCTCGTTCAGGTTCCAGCCCAGATCCGACACCTTGCTGGTGTGGCCACCATGGATGAACATGAGCTCGGGTGGGCCGTCCTCGGCATCCTCAGCAGTCTGCTCCTCGCCTATGCGACTGACATCCCACACGTTGACACGGCGGTCGCCGCTGGCCGACGCCAGCACCGTCTCGTGCTTGGGCGACCACGCCAGCTGCAGGACCTCCTCCTTGTGCGCCTCCAGCGAGTGTAGCTTGTATTTCAGGTTGCGCAGGTCCCACAGCGCAATGGTGGTGTCGCCGGAGCCCGTCGCCAGCACATACTCGGACTTTGGGTTGAATGCCACGCAGTTGACTTCCGACTCGTGGGCCACAATGTCCTGCGCTGGCGTGTCGTTCGAGTCCTTGCGCGTGTCCCAGATCAGCAGCCGCCGGTCGTCGCCCACCGAAGCAAAGATGTCCGCGTGCATAGCGTGCCAGGCCACATCCTCGACAATCGCGGTGTGACCCTTGAACACGCGCAGCGCCTCCAGCGACCGCTGCTCCTTGGTCACGCCCTTGATGTCCCACAGACACACCGTCGTGTCTTCAGACGCGCTCAGAAGATGACCCTCACGCTGCACGCTCCACGACATACCATAGCCCTCGCGCGTGTGGCCCGTCAGGCGGATATCCGGCCGACACACGCCGTCGCTGCTGGGCGTCGACGGGTGGCGCGTGCGGTCAAAGATAAACACCGCACCGTTCTCCACCACCGTCTTGGTCGCAATGATGTCCGGGTTCTGCGGCATGTAGCGCGCGCGGTTGATCTCGCCGTCGTGGTTGATGCGCTGCATGATGCTGATTTTGCACTCAGCCCCGCCGTACCCGCCCAGCTCGTTCGTGTCCGCGTTCAACTTGTGCTGGTCTGGGTTGACGTCGTCACGCGGCACCTGCACCTGCGCGATTTGCAGGTAATTCTGCTCATTCTCCGACGTGTGCGTGCCCAGCAGAAGCCGCTGCAACGTGTAGTCCTTGCCCTCAGGCCGCTCGATGTCAGGGAACCACTGCGCCGTCAGCGACGGCCACTCGAGCGCATGGGTCACCAGGAGGTCGTACAGGAACGGCGAGTTCTTTTTCCACGTCTTGTACTCCTCGTTAATTACCTTCTCCTCGGCTGCTGCCTTGTCGGGCTCCTCAGCCTGCGCCGTCGTGTCGCGCCGCAGACCCGAGTCTGAGGGCGCCGGTGTGCCTGCATGTGAGCCAGTAGTCGTAGGCGTAGCCATGGTTCTCGAATGTATTTGCAGTTTAAGATTACAAGAAAAGGTTGCGAATGCGAGAGCCAAAAAAAAGGACTGAATATGCAGCTCGTCGCGAACACAGTATTTACGTCAAGCACACAAATCAAATGGAAATCCAGTAATAGATTTCTGCAGATCTAATCTAGCTATGGCCCAGACATGAGTCTTTTTTGCGGTGCGTCCAGCCGCCCATCCAAGTGCCCAGCCAATGGCACAAACTGCTCGCTCCGGATTTGCCGAGCGCTCCCCCAAGCGATTCACCGCCAGCGTGTTCCCAGGCTATCAGGCGCCCGCTTTCGTTTTTTTGTTTATTGTTTTTAAGGGCCGACCGCCATGTGTCACGTCAGTTCACACAATGCTCCAGGCGGAAATGCGCAACTGGCTGGAGCCCCTGCGCATGCCAAGCAGTATTGTCAAATAATTGCGCTGTTTTCGCCTCACTGACCCCGCGCAGTTATTTTGTGTTGCTGCCCCTTAGCTGCAGGGAAGCACTGGCAGCAACACCCGGCCCAAACCCCTAGTCTCGAAACGCCTATATAAGAGGATCGGTTCGCAGCCTCTCTCCCTCTCCACAGACTCTTTACTTTTCTATCGATCACTACAATCCACAAAAGCTTCTCCACACATACCAAACATTCACCAAACAATTATAGCAATGGTCTGCCCCTGCGATAAGAAGACTGCTGCCGCTGGTTGCGTCTCGTGCACCTGCGCTGGCAAGTGCGACTTCCCCACCTGCACCTGTGGCCAGCCCGGAGCCGGTGCGTGCTCGTGCCCCGAAACCTCCAACTGCAAGACATGCAAGTGCTCTGGCAAGTGCGAGTGCGCTGATTGCTCGTGTGCCAAGTGCGGTGCCGAGGAGGTCCAGAAGTCGTGCTGCTCGTCCAAGACTGAGAAGTCGTGCTGCTCGTCCAAGCCTGCTGCTGCCTGCCAGTGCGGCGACAAGTGCGAGTGCTCATCGGCCAAGGCTGCCTGCGCCTGCGGCCCTTCTGCCTGCAAGTGCAAGGAAGCCGGATCGAGCGTTGCCGAGTGCAAGTGTGCTGAGTGCAAGTGTGCTACTGTCTGCAGCTGCGGTGACAAGTGCAAGTGCGCCGAAACTGCCAAGTCGTGCTGCTCGTCCAAGCCTGCTGCTGCCTGCCAGTGCGGCGACAAGTGTGAGTGCTCATCGGCCAAGGCTGCCTGCGCCTGCGGCCCTTCTGCCTGCAAGTGCAAGGAAGCCGGATCGAGTGTTGCCGAGTGCAAGTGCGCCGAGTGCAAGTGCGCCAGTGTCTGCAGCTGCGGCGACAAATGTGCCTGCGGCCCGTCCCTTGCCAGTGCGGTAGCGCATGCGCCTGCGGCGACAAGTGCGAGTGCGGTGCTGAGTGCAAGTGCAGTGAGGCTGCCCCGGTGTGCTACGGATGCCCGTGCGGTGCCGAGTGCAAATGCAACGGATCTGATGACAAGTGCTCTATTGGATGCACTTGCTAAGCACTTTTGCATGCGAGTGCAAGCAGCATCGCCAGCCACATCTGATCTTTCTGTAATTTTCTTCCCATCAGTAGCTTCTCATTAAAAGGAAAAAAAGCCAATCATAAAAATCACCCATGATCAGCAAACCAGCCTACTATATTGGCAACGCCCTGCCTGTGTGTATTGAGCCCAAGAGCGCGTGTAGCAGAGTATACCGTTTTCTATGTATGCTTCACATGTATAAATTTTGCGACTTGGGCATTAATACATTGCTAATAATTAATGCTACTATGGTTCGACAAACACAGTGACCCCCTTTAAATGCTCCAATATTGTCCAATGCTTCCAGATCCCTGCTCTGGGAAGTACAAAAGTCGGGGATGGTGTGCATAATTGAACTAGGTGCGCATATTCTGAGAAGCGACGGTGAGCATTCAATAGGCTGATCTATCGATTCAACATTGCGAGGTGTCTAGATGGGGCGGGTTCCAAAATGAAACTCTTGAAGATTAGGCAACGAGCCGAATCTAGACGGGAAGGATGACCAGCCTACAGGATCAAAGTTGTCTCCAGGTTCTTTGTTTGCGACAAAACGACAACTAAGTTGGATTCTAAGATACCGCAAGTTGGGCAGCCTGACAAGAAGTTGCTCGACAAATATATAGCGGCACGAGTACATGTCCTGTCCAGTGTAAAGTGCTGGAGGATAGGTGACTGTAGGTATTCAATGGATGGTTTTTCTCCCAGAACAACCAACTGTGTTCACATCAGCAGTGTGTATTCTGTATTCCAGTCCAATACAATTTTCGTCAGGCTATCAGCCCGGATATCCATTTGCATTATATGCCCTGGGAGCTGGGTGAGGGAACGAGTCTGAAAATAAGAGCTAGCACCAAGGCTCCGAATAGATAGCGGTAAGATTCCCGGTGTCTGACCGAGTATTCCTCCTCCAAAAGTCACTGGGCAAAAATTTTCGACTGTGAAATCGACGGCCACTAGGCTTGGTAGCTGGTAATAGAACGCGTCACATATATTACTGTGGTCATATCCATCAATTGGAGGGGTATTCGGGTTGGGGAATTCAGTCCTCATAGTCCTGATACTGCCCCTATTCTACAGTGAAGAACTCAAAATCACAGAGCATCTGTAGCAAATTGAGAATGGGATATTCATTTATCCAGCCACCCAGTACAAAGGTCTGAGGCCAGTCACAAAACCCCTCTGCACCCAGGAACTGGCAGGTGTTTGAGTGCGATGGATCGTAATAACTGTAGTCAGTAACAAGTGCTTGGCGGATCATCGGAAGCAATATACTGCCCCACATGCGACACGTAGTGGTTAACATCGAGAGCAGCCTGCGATGTCCGATTCCTTTCAGTTCGCCAGTTGTAGTTTCGATGACAACACGCAAAATAAGCGACATAATGTCGCTGCCAAGTGCTTTGCATATGCTCTGCTGAGTAGTGCCCATTGGCGTCAAGAAATTAGAGCTATACAAGCGGGGATATCTTGCAAGGTGCAAAGGCAGAAGACACCAAACGCGTGGCAGCTTGCGGATTGTGACATTGTCTTGTTGCATTCATCACTGCAGAGGGCATTGATTCTACCCGAATGTGTCTAGGATTAATCAAGATGACTAGGATTCATTTATCACTACCTCATTCGCTCATGGCGCATATCCACATGCTAGCACAGAAGGATAGCCGGATACATCGTGGTCTTGGCCAAGGGTGTTCCTGAAGCCTGTACCACTACCAACTGCTCGCAATGGCGCACTTTTCTACCCCAGCAGCAAGGAATCATTCAGACTCTTGTGGATAGAAGGTCCAATGCAGCTGTTCCGGCAACCAGCTGGTTACTGGGCTGTTGCCATGCCCCTGATACCTCTATGCGTAGTTAAACTTGAATACAAGATAGCGACCAGGAATTCTGATCTTGGCTAGTCGTGATGTCGACAAAAGACACGGTCAATCTTGTCCTCAATCCAACGCGTACTTCACGTCATCACCGCCTGAGCGTAGCCCTTCCCGCTGATTAGAAAGGGATATTTTAGGAAATTGCTTGGCATGCGGTTTCATAATCCCTGTTTGTATTTACAGAAATAAACAGCTCCTCGGCAAGCGCTTTCTGAGAGCCCATGCACGAACTTTCTGGCCACGCATACGCGCGTAGATTGAGGATATCCTCAGGTGACAAACAAGAATGATCGCCATGTCTTTTGGCTATTAATACATCTCCTTTCTCGACTTCCGCTGTGGTGCATCTGCGCGTCTAAAATTAGCAATCTCCTCGAAGCTAGTCCTGAGCGCGACATTCACTCAACTACAGGATATCCTAATAGTCAATCCAGCGTATATAAAGCAAGCCTGCCACGGCTACACCGTCATGTCTCCATATCATCATCACCATCACCATCCCACGCTTCACTCAAGCAGCCCCATTCAAAACAAATTCACTTCTTGCACTTGCATCTTTAACGAAAAACAATTCTGACAATGCGCTTTACTCTAGCTACTGCTTTTGCCATCCTTGCTGCTACTGCTGCTGCCAACCAGGCTGGCCCTGTTGACAACGATATCTCGACGCCTTCCAACGATCAGGCTGGTGGAATTATTGAGCCTCTCGTCGAGACTACCGAGGAATACGATGAGGAGGATAACCAGCGCGGCGGTCGCGGTCGCGGCAGCGGCCGTGGAAAGGACTTCCTCAGCGACCTGGGCGTCGAACTGATTGGTACTGGTGTGGAGTCTGGTCTCAACGCTGCTATCTACAACAAACGCAGCATCGATTATGATGAGGAGTACGATGAGGATGACAACCAGCGTGGTGGTCGCGGTCGTGGCAGTGGCCGTGGAAAAGACTTCCTGAGCGACCTCGGTGTCGAGTTGATCGGCACTGGTGTTGGTGCCGGTCTTGATGCTGCTATCTACAACCAGCGTGGTGGTCGTGGTCGCGGCAGTGGTCGCGGCAAGGACTTCCTTAGTGATCTGGGTGTCGAGCTGATCGGCACTGGTGTGGAGTCTGGGCTCAATGCTGCCATCTATAACCAGCGCGGCGGCCGTGGTCGCGGCAGCGGCCGTGGAAAGGACTTCCTCAGCGACCTGGGCGTCGAGTTGATCGGCACTGGTGTTGGTGCCGGTCTTGATGCTGCCATCTACAACCAGCGTGGTGGTCGTGGTCGCGGCAGCGGCCGTGGAAAGGACTTCCTCAGCGACCTGGGTGTCGAGCTGATTGGTACTGGTGTCGAGTCCGGCCTCAACGCTGCTATCTACAACAAGCGTAGTATCGACTATGATGAAGAGGACTATGAGGATGATAACCAGCGCGGTGGTCGTGGTCGCGGCAGCGGTCGCGGCAAGGACTTCCTTAGCGACCTGGGTGTCGAGCTGATTGGTACTGGCGTTGGTGCCGGTCTTGATGCTGCCATCTACAACCAGCGTGGTGGTCGTGGTCGCGGCAGCGGTCGCGGCAAGGACTTCCTTAGCGACCTGGGTGTCGAGCTGATTGGTACTGGTGTGGAGTCTGGCCTCAACGCTGCCATCTACAACCAGCGCGGCAGTCGCGGTCGCGGCAGCGGCCGTGGAAAGGACTTCCTCAGCGACCTGGGTGTTGAGCTGATTGGTACCGGCGTTGGTGCCGGTCTTGATGCAGCTATCTACAACCAGCGCAGCGGTAAGGGTAACGGCAAGGGCAAGGATAACGGCAAGGGCAAGGATAACGGCAAGGGCAAGGATAACAGCCATGGAAAGAAGCCTATTTTCACCGGACCTTTCCGCCCTGGACCTTTCAGCCCTGGACCTTTCAGCCCCCCTCCCTTCTACGACATGCCTGAGGTCTACTTCTAAGTCTTATTCAGAGAGCTGAAAGCGCAAATGTAAATTACCTTGCACGCGATATATATGCACTCATCCATGTTTAGGTTAGGTTGTACATGTTCTGTCTTTACTAGAATTGCTCTGCTCGCGATGCGAGCTCGGCTGCTAGTCAGCATGGGTTGACACGTCGATAAGAGCATCACGGCGAACCGGTCATTTGAACGTGTCGGATGGTTGTTGGTGCAATGTCGATCATGGACATCTCCCACCATGGTGGCCTGCTCAGCGTAGGCGCTTCAGCGCTGGCTCGCTGCTGCTGGCAACAGAATCGCCTGCTCCTGCTGCACGCCTCTTGCGTGGGTTCTTTGTTGCCGGAGTAGTGCCAGAAGCATTGGCAACAATGGCCGTAAAGCGACGGAGCCGTTCAGGAATACTGACTGAATCACAGTGACTGGAAAACGAGTCTGAAGTTTAGAACTGCTGCAAGGTCGCGATTCAAGAGCCGAGACGAATAGGCTCGCCTGTATTGTGCCATGGCCCGCTTACATGACTCGCTTGTACAGCGGAGAAGGCCATGGCACTTCACAGTTGGGTTCTTCGATCTCTGGTAGGGCTGCGGGTTGGGAACGTGCCAGGATGTCTGCAGCGACTTTTCGCAGCAGAATGGGCACATCGACGATGTCCGGAATTCGTCGATCAGATAGACTTCAAAGCTATGGTGCTTGAACTTGTCGCGCCATCCCTTGCCACGAATCGGCGCATGGTGTCGGGCCATCGGCGCACCCCAATTGCCCATGATCAGCACTGGGTCTGGACCGAACTTGCTCCGGAGTTTCGCGGCAAGCCTGTGGTCTGCACGGGCAGCAACGTAGGCACGGAATTTTGCTGGGCTAAGGGTCCGGCAGCAGTGCTTGGAAAGCTCTGCCTCTGCTCTGCGGACAGCATCTTCTGGGGCTTTCAGTTCCATTCGCGGAAACTCCGTTTCCACAATGACTGCACCTAGGGCTGAATTCGTCCAGCAAGTTTAGACATGTGGTGATCCTCAGCGATGATTCAACTGCTACATATCCCTGACTCCATACATTTTGTCAGTTGAAGCGAGGTCCGGTGTCATACCCTGTTCCTCTAAAGTGGAAACCAGACGGAGTACGGTTCCCTGCGCTCAAATATTTGGTTTTCTCATGGTGCTTATCCATTCTGAGATAGCAACATGCTATGTAGATGAGGATTCACCGCCATTTCTGGACATGCTTGTGTGCAACAGAGCCCTTGGCATGTTCAGTGGGTTTGATTTGTTGGATGAGGGACGGTTTAAGATATTGATTTACCTGAACCCACACAGCCCATCATCGGCGGCCCATATTTTTACTGAAGACCGTGCTTCACAGGTACTCTGTACTTTTCGCCAGACACCGATGATCAAGCTCAGCGATGTGTTCGATTTTGACTATGCTATTCTTCAGCAGTACATCAACAGCCTTGCTTCAATCATCCATGGCCTGAGCATCCCTGGGATGAGATGAATATATGAGCAGATTCTTCACTTGATTGCCTTTCTGCCATTCATTAGAGAACTCTCATTGGCTTGTCACAGAGGTGTAGCCCTGGAGGAGACAGACTTACCAGATGCGGTCGAACTTTTGGCACAGGCACGCCTGAACTATGAGGATGTTGTCGATACAATTGGATAAGTTTTGCGGGTTGTAGCCAGCATTGGTATGATAGCTGAACCCAGTCCTCCCCTCTCTCAAACAGTACAGCGCATCTCCATTCGGCTAGAGCAGGATGACGGACATGCTCAGGCAGCAAAATTAATGATCATTTCAACGTTGCGGTGTCCTACTGTCCGCATTTTTCATTCGTTTGTCAGCGATTACTAGGTTATATCCCGCTCGGAACTCACGGAATTCAAGCACCTCGCCGAGCTTGCTGCTCGTTTGAGCGCGGGCAGCAAGCAAGCTTTTTCTGGAATGGTTTATTTCTTTTCATAGTCAATGCTCTTCAGTAACGTTTCGCCATATATGGCCAGCCCGTTGTGCACCCGCATGGCTTCTACTAACTCTGACACGCATCCCTGTTACGTCTAGTTCAAGGAAGCCCTTACCGGGAACGCAGGCCAGGTCGATACGTCATCGCCAGGTTTCTGGTGTTCAAGATAAAAATTATCAGCTCGCCCAAAATCCTTTGGGTGCCGCCAAAAAGTCGATCCCAGTGCAACCTGTGTTCGCCCAGTTTACAGTAATGTGATCCAGCAACTTCACCCCTTTAGATATAAATTTTTATATTTTCATTATGCCATCCTGCGACGGAATCCGTGACGAGTACATCGAGTGCCTTCTGCGGTCCGAGTGCGTGTTCATCAAGCGGCACTCGGTTGAGGAGTGCGTCAAGAACAAGGACCTTGCGACGCTGATCCCAGAGCGCTGCCATATGCTGCGGCAAAGCCTGTTCGAGTGCAAGCGCGGCCTGCTGGACATGCGCAAGCGGATGCGTGGTGTGCCAAACTCGGGCCTGCACCGGAACGAGCACGTCGACGACAGTAGCAAATGGAGCGAAGAGTGACAAGAGAGCATCGGTTTATAGAGGCGACTTTTCCATTAAATTTCTTATCTGCTACGGAATCGCGCAGCGGTCCAGGGGCGGCGCACCTGACCCCCATGTCTGGATGCTGATGAAGGTGACGTAGACCAGGGAGACCAGAGCAATAACGATCAGGACCATGTCCTTGGTCTTGGCCCAGCGAGTTTCGGCCACAGCCTTGTAGTGCAGCATGGCAGGGTACAGGAACGACAGCGGCAGGCACGCACCAGCGCCGACCAGGGCGATGAAGTTGTCCAGCTTGTCGGCGCCGAAAATGGCCACCATGGCGATGAACACGACCATCATGGTACGGAACAGGTTCTTCTGCCACTTGACAACTGGGTTGCCCTTGCCCGAGCGCGTGAACATGCCGGACTCGATGATACGGATGGCTGGGAACAGCTGCAGGGGCACAGACATGATGATGGCAAGCGTGTACAAGAACTGCACACCAACAGTCCATGCCGAGTCGTTGGGCAGGTTGAGCAGAATCACAGTCTCAACCTTGTCGCCAAATGCCAGGTAGGAGATTGCGCCGATGCATACAAACAGACCGGCGCAGATCACCAGCGAAGCAGTCAGAACCATGTTGAACTTTTCCTTCTTCTCCATGCTCTCGACAATAGGGATCACTAGCGAGATGCCCTCGTACGAGAATGCAGCGGTGCCAACGAGTAGGGGGAAGCGGCTGGGGTTGAACTGGGTGACCTCAGATGGGCCCTTGGTGATGATTGACCAAAAGTCGTAGTAGAACAGATAGGCAAGACCAACCATGATGAACAGGTTTCCGAGCATGGACAGCGAGGCAAACTTTTTGATCTTGCGCACAAAGGCCAGAGGGATGTACGCCAGGAGCTGGACCAGGATCCAGAACTCGGGCGAGTAGTTGTACTGGCAATTGGTGATCGAGTTCCACAGATCGCGCATGTTGGTTGACACAAAGATCACGTATGCGCAGCAAAATCCTAGCTGGGCGAGAACAATCGATACCAGAACGCAGTACTTGAGCGGCTTGCCGTACAGCTTCAGCGCCAAGTCGCCGTAACTGCCGCCTATCTTCAGGTAGACATCGGTAAGCAGAACCATACAGTGCAAAGCATACCAGGCAATGCCCGACATCAATACGGTGGAGAAGATCAGCCCGCCGTTAAAGAAAGCGCGCGGCAGGACCAGCACACCGGTGCCCACGAATGACTTGACCAGCAAGAAAAACGCCTTTTGTGGTGTTGCTGTCGCCTTGAGATCGTGGGACGACGCCTTCGCACCCTTCTTGCCCCTGAGTGGGGACCGCTCAGTAGCACGCGATTCGGCATCCTGCTCCTCAGTCTCAAGGGAATCATCCTCGTCTGCGACATCGTCATCTTCATCACTCGGATAGTCACCGCCAGCAAAGTGGCCATAGAGCCCGATGAAGTCGACGAAATTGGTAGTCAGCATGTTGACCGGCTGGCGACCTTCGCGGAGCGCACGCTCCTGTACAAACTGGCGCCGGAAACCACCAGGGGCGCTGATCTGGTCGCGCGTATATGGAATATCCCACTCTGAATCCGATGCCACTGCCGAGAACGAGCGCCGACGCTGGTGCTGCAGCCCACGCACACTGGGGGTCTGGCCATGCTCCTCCTGCCACTTGTAGATGTGGTGGGTTATGTCGCCAGACTTTAGCGTGAACGGATCGACAGGTACATTTTCTGCGTCCTCGTCGTCAGGGCCATCGTCGTCCTCGTAGTTGTCGTCGCCAGAATATCCGCCATCGTCATTGGTGTCGACGCTGCCGTAGCTGCGTGCGACCGAGCCCTCATTGCTTGCGCTGTTGCCACGCAGCTCGCTGATCGGGCGGGTAACCAGATGGCGCTTGAGCCTGCGAGCAGCCTCCTCCTCAGACAGGACCATGTCGGGCATGACGGATCCACTGTCGGCTTCGTCATCGGGGGTCACTGCCGACGGGTGGTCAGCCCGACGCCGCCTATCGGGTGACTGGCTCAGACCCACCTTGGCGGAGGATGCGCTGGATGCCAGGATCTCGGTGGCCATTGCAAGCGAGGTCGGCCGCACGCGCGGGCTCTCGCTATTGCTGTTTAGCGCTGCCGACATGCGGCGGGACTGTGCGTTTGGCGGAAGCCGCTGTTTGCCCTTGGTAATGCTGATGGACCGCGGGCTGCTTGACTGCGACATGTAAAATGAAAGCGCCTCAAATAGGAAGTAGAGGTAGAAGAAAAAAGAAGAAAGGTGAGGTACAGATGAAGTCACTGCATCCGGGTGGTGCAGACATCCCGCCTTTTATATTTTTCCGTAGCAGAAACCCGGGACAGCGTGGCTGGCGGCCAATCGAAAGCTCCGGATATTCCAAGCAAACGGCTCCAGTTGGCGCAAATCTTCCCATGCTCGCCAGTTTCGTGCAGGCTGCAAGGTATCACTGTGGAGGCGAAAACAGGGCACGATGGTGGGTTCTGCTGGAGCCAGCTTGTCGCCGGTGCAGATCGCTGGCAACGGACCCGGGCCCAGGAGCCTGAAAGCGACTGCCAGCTCCAGCACCATTCCGGCTCTTCCCTCAGGAACTCCCGGGCGCTAACATGATCCCTACTGCGCTTTCCCGGATGGAATCATAGTGACGCCATTTCGTTTGTCGCCCACTTATCGCCCTCCGTCACCACCCAGCTTTTTCCGCTCTTTTTCGCAAACGATTTTTTTGTTCCTGTCGATTTATTGGCAAATTTCAATAATGTTTTCACGCACCGCAGCCACACGTATAGTGCCGCGTGCTTGCAGCTGCCGACTCAGCAGCACGCTGGCGCCGCGCAACCCGTACCTGAAAGAGTTCAAGTACAAGGATCGCGTTCCAGTCAAGAACGGCGAGCTGACACTAAGCACAGACGAGCACTCGATGATTGACCGGTTTGTGCGCGTCAACCAGGCGGGCGAGACAGCCGCCGTGACCATCTACAAGGGCCAGATGGCGGTTCTTGGGCGCGACCCGCAGCTGCGCAAGCTGCTCACGCACATGCGCGACCAGGAGGTTGTGCACCTGGAGATCATGGACAAGCACGTGCGCGACTTTTGCGTGCGCCCGACGCTGCTTCTGCCGCTAGCGGCTGCAGGCGGCTACATGCTGGGCATGGTGACGGCCATGCTGGGGGTTGAGTCGGCGATGACGTGCACGGAGGCGGTGGAGACGCGAATCGGCAACCACTACAACGACCAGCTGCGGGACCTGCACCAGCTAAAGTATCCGGAGCTGGACGAGCTGAAGCGGACGATCGCAAAGTGCCGCGATGAGGAGCTCGAGCACCTGGAGACGGCACTGGAGCACGGCGCAAAGCTGGCGCCGCTGCATGAGCTGCAGTTTGAGTTTGTCAAGGGCGGCTGCAGTCTGGCCATCTGGGTATGCGAGAGAATATAGTTTATCCGACAAAGCACTCAATACATTAAAGTTTTTTTTTTTTTACTCAAGAGAAAACCGGTCCAGAGCACCACGCAGTTCAGCGTTCTGCATCAGGCCGACCGACTCGTCGCTATGGTTGACGTTGGTGTTGTACGCGCGGTGGTGATCGCGCTTCATCTTCTCGTACTCGATGGCCTCCTTCAGTCCGTTGTCAAAGTTGCGAATACAGAACAGCGACACGATCGCCGACGCAATGACCAGCAGCATAGTGGCTACAATGGTTATCATAAAGTAGGGCCGGCTGTCCTGGTACGGGTCGCCAGGCTTGTTGAGGATTTCGGCCCGGCACACACGATAGATCTTGAAGATGAAGTAGCCGACCGACAGCGTGTAGCAAACCATGACTGTACGCATAATGCTCCGGTTCTCCATGCGCAGCGAATAGAAGCTGGCGGCCAATGTGCCGATACTGAACGGAATAAACACTGTCATCTGGATCCACGTCTCCGGGTTATCCACCTTGAGCACCAGGATTGACATCTGTATCAGGTACGACACAACAAAGAATATGTCGAGCTTCAGCAGAAGCATCAGGATCTGGTACCATTTGTACGACCGGTGGAGGAGGTTGTCAGCGCCAAACTTTTTGTACACGCTCCAGCCGACCTCCGTCTTGAGTTTCCACGACAAGATCGCCAGAAACACAATCGCCGCGACATATGTGCCAATAACGCTGAGCTGCATGTGGTGCATATTCTCGTCCCGCAAAAAGATATTTGCTGTCAGCGTCGGGTACAGGTAAAAGGCAATGTAGCGGGCCACGGCGTACACGAGGCACACAAAGTAGAACCCGACCGACGCAAATATCTGGATGAAATTCTCGGTCGCCACGGCCTCCAGACAGAGTATCACCATGTACACCTGCGACAATATGTAGATGGCGTTGTACACCTGATATGCTGTCATCGACGTCTGCACAGAGTTCTGCACGCCCTCGACCTGCCACTGGTTGTTTTTGGCTGTCCAGTACCCCTCGCGCAACAGCCACATAATGTACGACTCTGCGATGATGAATGACAGGGCCAGCAGTATCACGGCAGCGATGTATGCCCGCGGCACCGTGCCATTGGGGATTATTTTGCGCACTGGCTTTGGAAGCTTTGCCATCCGGGAGGTAGCTGTGTTATTAGTGGTTGGTAGATATATATATATATACAGGGTCAAAAAAAGTCTCGGGCAGGAAAGGAGAACTGGCAAGGCGCTGCGAACAGACAGGGAGAGATATGCGGGTTTTAAGAATGCAGACAGAAGAGAAAAAGCGCAATGCCATCGCTGCCTGCAAAAGCTAGCTCCACAAAAATAGAACAATTTCCAGACACCCTGTGAGGGATTGTCATCATTTTGACAACCCTCCCCCGCTCCTTGGCATTTGTGCGAAATCAGGCGACCGAGCTGGGACGAACATTGTTTTGTTTGTGGCAAAAGTGTCCTGTGCAAGAATGCTAGCCTGCCCAAGAACGGCTACATGCAGGTCAGCATTGCCATGCAACATGGGCGGCCATTTCGGATACCAAACGCAGTCGTCTACAGGGAGCTCGAAGAGGCCGTCAGCTTTCCAGCCACTGCCAGTGGCGCCGGTTGGCAACTTGCCATCAACCACCCACCTTGTGTCTTTGGGCGAGCTTGCCGCGGGCCCGATGTAGATGCTGTTGTTTTTCGGCAGTTCCTACATCGCTCCAGAGCACTATCAGCACAGTGTGGGTGTATATAGCGCAGCACACGCAGCAACCCCTCTTACCTGCTTTTGCAGCTCAACAGCATCGATAGAATCGACAGACAAATCATCTCGACTGTCAGCACAGGGGCTCAATTCTGGTACCGAATGCTCAGACAGATATGCCCATTCGTATACACATGCGGATGCATGGGCACATTTCCAAAGAGCATCACTTCGGGAGCCTCAACTGGGCAGTTGTCAGGAACCTTGAACAGCAGGGTAAACTCATCACCTGCGTATGGCGTGTGCCCTGCGGCGTGCAGTTTCAGCAGCCAGCGATCGGGCTGAGAGGCGTTGTACACGGATACTTAACTGGACGGCGATGCAGTGAGGCCTGCTAGCTCTTTCATCAGCCGCTCCGCACGCAGGCAGCCAGCCATCAGAATGGCAGCAAGTGAAGCAGAGACAAGAGGTCCGCGCCTGCGTTTGCCAAGCACTGGCAACATACCCTCCATGCATGGATGTGGGCATCTGAGACCTTGCACCAGCCAGCTGGGGATATGCTTGATCTCGCAGACACAGACACTTCACACCGCCCTTGATCCTGATCGGCGCAGCGCTGTCCATTACAGGTCCGTGAAGATTACGACGGCCCACAGTTGCTGCTGCGGAAACAGAAAATAACTGTACATTTTTAGCATTGCTTTTTCGCTCTTCTTTATTTTTGAATTTACCAAATGGCGCGCGAATTGACAGACGACCAGAAGCAGAAGATTGAGGAGAACCGGAAGAAGGCCCTGGAGCGGCTAAAGGCTACCAAGGCGCGCACGGACACAGCCAAACCGCCCGAGCAAAAGAAACGGCTGCGCGGATCGAAAATGTCGACAAACTACTACGAGTACAACCTCACAACCATGCGCGACACCAAGGCAGGCTTCATCGAAGAAGACCCCCAGAAATCGCCCGAGAAGCGACGCAAAATCCTTACTCTGGACGAGATCCCCTACGACCCGTCGTCGACACAGAAATGCCGCGAATGTGCGTCGCTTGACCTGGACGTCGCCTACCTCAAGGTGTTCAAGGTCCCTGTGTGCCGCAAGTGCATAGAGAGTGTGCCTGACAAGTACTCGCTGCTGACAAAGACCGAGGCCAAGGACGATTACCTACTGACAGACGGAGAGCTCAGGGACAGGGAGCGGCTGCCCGTGTGGGAGAAGCCGAATCCGCACAAGCATACGTGGAACAACATGCTGCTGTATTTGAGAGAGCATCTGGAGGCATTTGCCATTGAAAAGTGGGGCGGCCTGGAGGAGCTCGACGGCGAGTTTGCCCGGAGGGAGACAGAGAAGCAGGAGCGAAAAGAAAGGAAATACAAGAAGTCGGTAGCTGGTAAGCAAGAAGCCAACATTGGTTGCATGTATTTGTAACGGAGTTCATCATTCTAAAAGGCTGTGCCGAGTAGAGCTGCGCAAGCGAACCAGGGTCGAGGAGTGGGAGCGGAAGCGCCGCGAACGGCTCAGGATTGAGCAAGCGCACGAACACACGTTTGAGGCTATCGGCGATGACAGCTGCGAGCAGAAATGCACCATCTGTGGGCTGACTGTTGAGGTCGAAGAGTTTTAAGAAAGCATTCGTTGAGAATAAACGGCTCTTTATTTCCTTTTCAGTTGCCAGCGTTGCGGCGCCTAAACACAGCAGCAAAGTCGCTCATCAGCGACTTGACCCTGGCCCACTGGCGGCCCTGGATATGGTTCGACAGGTCGCCCATCAGCGACTGGCGGTCGGTCGGCGGCAGATTGGCATCAGGCACCTGCGCCAGCACCGCCTGCTGCCAGTCCATTATGGTGGCCTGTGGTGGAGAGTCGAACTGGCCCGTGAGCGTCGTCGGCCCGTCGCTGACAATCGCTGCAAGAGACGCAAAGATCTCGGTGGCCTCGGATATCGCCTCCCGGTCAAAGCTCTGCATAAGGCCCTGCATCAGCTTGAACACCAGCTCAAAGCCGTTCTTGGTACACAGCTCGACGATCTGCTCGACCGGATACGTGTCCATGCGGATGCTTCTTCTGCGGGTGCGCGCAGGCGACGGGAAGTGGCCGGGACTCGACGACGATGCTGGCATGGATGTGGTGGACCGGTTCTCGCGCATCACGCGCAGATGGCGGCGGGTGGGGCTGAGCACCTGAGACCAGAAATGCACGACTGCCATCTGCGCATGGAACTGGTTGACCTCGAGTGCCGCGATGGCAGCCTGGAACACGTACGGGAACGACTGCATGGTCAGGATGTAGCCGGGCAGCGCCTCAACCGCACGCTCCATCAGGCGGAAGTAGTCCTCAGTGGTCTCAGGCACCTCCGAGAAGGACCTGGTCTGGAAGAACGACATGGCTGCCGAGCTGATCTGGCTCACCATGCTGGTAGCCAGCTGCAGCGATTCAGTCTCCTCGGCTGCCAGCGTGCGGTGCACATTGAGGATCCGGCGGGCCAGCCACAGGTAGGCAGTGCTGGCAGTCTGCTGGAACGCCTGGACCACAGCGTCGACGATCTGGCCGATCACTGGCCGCACGACAGTCGGGTAGAACTCGACCAGCACGCGCACAAACTTGCAGATGCTCTCGGAGATGTAGGCGTCGCCCCCAAACCGCTGGAACGCGACGCTGAGGACCTGCCACGAGTCGGCAATGATTTTGCCGGTCCACGCCTCGGCTGTCTCATTGTCGTCAATGTGCACATACCGCAGAAACACGCCCAGCCGGTCCAGCAGCAGCGAAACCTGTCTGCGCTCGTTCTCGCTCAGCTCCGGCGCCTGCAGCATTGCCGCCAGCTGGTTGCCCACCGGCAGGCAGAACGACTGGAGCGCCTCGGCCGTGTTCTGGTCTGGGATGCCATTGGCCACATGTGCCAGGGCTTCCGAGAACTCGATAATGTCGTTGTCATCCAAGGTTCCGCTGGACGCCACCTCGTTGAAGAACTCTAGAAGTTCAGCCCAGTGGTCGGCCATGAACTTGGCGCAGTCCTGGCACAGGTACTTGAGCGACTGGGCACTGGCAGCAGCAACCTCACGGATCTTGAAGCCGTCGGCGATATAGCTGAGTTGGAACTGCACGTACTGCGGGTGCTCGTATGTCCACTCAGTGTACCGCCCAATCACCAGCGTTGCTGCATACCGCAGCTTCGGGTGCGGCGGGAACTGCGCAAACATGTCCATGATCTTCGGCAGCACGTCGTTCTCGGTCGGCGACACCTCGGCGCCCATGGCCCGCAGTGCAAACAGGGGCGCCTCGATGTCCTGCCACGGCACCTGGGCGCTGGTGATGCGGCTGGCAATCTGCTCGTAGGCATGCATCAGCGCCTTGGTCTGCCCCACTACGCGCACGCAGTCCTTGAGCACATCGCCGATGGTATGGCGGAACTCCCTGAACTCGTCGCGCTCCTTGGCGGTCCACCCGCCGCGCTCGTTGGTCGTGTCGTAAGTAGCCGGGTACTTTAGATGGCCGATGATGATATCTATGATTGTGTCAAATACGCTGGCCATCATGCGGCGGCCCGGATCGCACGAGTTTGTGTACTCCAGCACCTTGTCGGCCAGGATAGTCCAAAAGTCAAACAGCATAGCAATGACGTCCAGGCTCTCCAGCCGCATACAGTCCACCAGCGCGCCAATCAGGCTCTCGTACGGCGGCGTCGATAGGACCATGCGGTGCACCCACGCCTCGCCTGCCTCGGTGAAGATCCGGCAGTATCCGCGCGACCGGTCTTCGTCGCCGGCCCGCACCATCTGGTCCCCCCGCATCTGTTCCGCGACCATGCTGAGCTGCGGCACGAGCTGCTGCTCAACCGCCGCATTCTTCGCCTCAACCGCTGCCGGCTCGTCGTCGCGGTCCAAGTGAGTCTCGTATATGATCCCACAGATGGCATCCACTGCCGTATCAAACACGTCCGAGTCGTCAGCCTTGAGTGCCGCAAATGCGAGCTCAATAAGCGGCGTATTCGCTACCATCATCAGCGTGATCTCGCCACTCTTGAGCCACGTCGTGAAGCAGATGAGCACGCGCGTGTGCGCGTCTGCCTTGAGATCCGGCTGCTGCAGGCATTGCACCAGTAGCTGGATCAGGTCGGTGGCCTTGTTGGTCAGCAGGTCCGCCGACCGCTGCTGGTAGAAATCGTTGGGCAGGATGATCCGCTCGTTCACTACCTCTTCCGGCAGCACCGCCAGAAACTCAAGCAGGCACGATACCGATGCAGGGTCGCTCAGGAACGACCCGGCCATGTCGCTGAACGGGTCGGCCCACGCGCCCAGCTGCACAGCCAGATCGGCCAGCGACAGGCATAACTGTGTGATCAGCGGCTGGGGCCCCGACCGCGCATTGCCCAGGTGCACAACCACCGAGTCGCGCAGCGAGAGCGCCCCAGTCTCGCCCAGTTCGCTGAAATCGTTGATAATCTTGTTGCGCAGCGTCTGTGCAGCAAACATTTTCACCTCAAGCCCCGCTGTTGCCGTCCCGAGGATTGTGTCAGCCGTCGTCCATGCCTGTGGCTACAGAAAAGCCCATGTTAGTGCCAAAAACTATCACAACTGCACTCAGCCAACTTCAGTTTGGTTCACATACCGTCTTTTGGAACTGCTCGAGCCACGCATTGGCCTGCTCCCGGGCCTTCAAATCGCCGCCCTGGTAAAGTACATTTAGCGCATTTATAACCTCATCGACTGACGACTGGGCAGACATTTTAGGAATAATATAAAAAATAACGAAATTGGGACAAACAGCCTTTTTTTCAAAAAAAAATGGTAGTAGAAGAGAAGGAGTGATAAAGTTCTGAGAAAAATTCACTGAGCTCAGATTTTTTTTTTTGCTTTCGTCACTGATTGGAAGGGCTTTTTTGGCCGCAGGCGTGGCCGCAGGCGCTGTCGATTGGTATAAAAGGCTCGCTATAGCAACAGCAAACCCCCTCTCTCCTCAACTCACCCGCTCCTCATTATTTTTTTCAAGCTCGATATATTCATGGCTATCACCGTTGGAGAAAACGCACCTGCAGTCACACTCGCCTCGCAAGCCGAGGGCAGCCACGTCCAGCCCAACAGCCAGGCTGCTGCCCCAAAGCGGAAGGCGCGGCGGCAGAACCGCAAGCGCAATGTGGTCTGCCGCTACATCCAGCGCGGCGAAGAATGCAAGGCCGGCAACGACTGCCAGTTCCTGCACACGCAAGATCCCGTGGCCGATGACCGGGATAACCGCAAGGGCAGAGGCAAGAAACCCCGCGGCAAAAAGGGCAAGTCCGACACGTACCGTAAAACGCAGATCGAGGATATGCTGAAGGCGCCTAGGCTGACAGTCAAACGGCTGAGCTCCGACCGCAACGAGACTGCGCTGGCAGTCGAGATGCGGCCGTCGGATCCGGACTTCCCATTTGATGTGTCGCGGGTGTACATGGCGCTGGTGGTGCCTGGCAGCTATCCAACAGCACGCACATCGGACGCAATGCTATCCATCCAGATAGCGAACAAGAATATCCCAGCTGGTGTCAAGCGCAACATTGAGGTGATGTTTGGCAAGTATGTGCGCAAAACAGTCAATCAAGCAATTGATGCGGACAACGCAGAGGATATCCCGACGCTCGAAGAGTATGTGGACTGGCTAGACAAGAACCTCGAGAACATGATGCAGCAGAAGCCAGCGACGACAATGAAGTTCACGACGTTCAGCAGGCCCGCTGTGCAGGAGAAGCCGCGGCTGGAGGAAAAGCCAAGGATCGAGGACGATGTGGCTAGCCATAGCTCGGTCTCATCGGCCACCACGCAGCTCTCAGCGTCCCGACCACCTGTGCGTCGACCAGTCCCGCGTCCACTGCAGAATACTGCTGCAGCCACACCTAGTGCAGCAGGCGAAAACCCGCGGCGCACCATTGAGCTCCAGCAGCTGCAGCGGCGGTTCCGCAGCTCCTACTCTATCGTCTCGGACGATCCATCGGGCGACACTATAGTTGGCATCGACATTGTGCCGTCGGATCCTGATATGCCTGTCGACGTCACGCTGCTCAAGAGCGAGCTTGTAGTTGCGCGCACATACCCAGACTCGGCCGAGTCCGCTACACTGCGACTTACGGAGGTCCTGGGCCGCAAGAACCGCCAGACTACGTGGGATCCTCCCGAGGGCCGTCGGGCTTACATGGACTTTATTGAAATGTGCTTTAAGGAGCATGCCAATGCAGCACCCAGCAATTCGCTTCTGCATCATCTGAACTGGCTGGACCGACAGCTGGTTGATCTTCTCACGTCGCCGCCGCCCCCGCCGCCGCCACCAGTCAAGCCACAGAACTCCACACCCAGCACTGAGAAGAAGACCACCAAGCCAGCGCTGTATGAGGACACCACCAGCAGGCCGTGGGTCAAGACGATTTCGATTGCCGAGGCTGGTCTGCCGGCAGGCGTTGCATCGATGCACCTGAACGATCTGGACGAAGAAGCCGACTCTGGCTCGAGCTCCTCGGACACCGAGAGTGATCCGCAAGCCGAGTCTGCCGGATCCGACTCGGACGAGAACTCGGATGGCGGATTCTCCAAGCCGCTGCGGCGCGGCACCGAGATCCGGTTTGGCAAAACCGAGCTAGCAAACATCTCCCTGGCGCACTGCCACTCGCTGAACCTCAGCGTGCGCTGCGCTCGCTGCAAAAGCAACACGGAGCTGAAGGCAATAGCGCCGACACTGCGTACCGGCAAGGACAACCAGATGTGGAAATCATGCGACTCGTGTGCCAGCTTGCTGGGCGTGCGGTTCCGCCCTGACTGGATGTTCCAGGGCACCACCACACTGGGGTTCCTGGACTGCTCCGGCTGTGCGCCCATCGATTTGCTGCCGTCGAAGATGACACTGGCGTGCGAGAAATGCGCCATGGGCGACGACCAGGCGACGCCTGTCGATACGATTGCGGCGGTTGGTGTGGGCGCACCTCTGCAGACAAACTGCAGGACGTGCTTCCAGCGGCTCAAGATTGCGCTCAGCGAGCCGCAATTCGTCCAGCTGATGAGCGGGCCGAGCCTCGGCGGCGCCGGCAGCGCCTCGCAGATTCAGAGGGAGGTTACGCGGACTCACAAGGCCAAGGTTGACAAGCGCATGGAGCTTGCCAAGCTCGGCGTCGTGCCTGGCCAGCCCCTGCCAGACCGCGGCGCCTGCAAGCACTACCGCAAGAGCAACCGCTGGCTACGGTTCCCGTGCTGTGGCAAGACATACCCATGTGGTGAGTGCCACGACGACAAGGAAGACCACCCGCACGAGTTCGCACACAATATGATCTGCGGGCTGTGTGCCAAGGAGCAGAGAATCGCAAAGGCCGACTTGGCCGGCGTGTGTATCGGGTGCGGTGGCCAGGTTGTGAAGAAAATCGATGGAAACAACGCCTTCTGGCAGGGCGGCACGGGCGTGCGCGACAAGAAGCGCATGAGCCGCAAGGATACCAAGAAGTACCAGGGCATTGGAAAGACCATTTCTAACCACAAGCTGGCTCAAAGCAAAAAGCAATAGACTACATTGACTAACAGGATAAGTAATAAAGATATTTTCAGTTGTACTTTGGTTCGCGGAAGAGCTTCAGCGACAGGCTGCTCATCATGACCGTCAGGCTACTGGCAATCATCAAGAGACCAGCGATAACTGGTGGCAGTCCGCGGTTGATGGCTGGGTACAGGATGCCTGCTGCGATCGGAATGCACACGACATTGTACATGGACGCCCACACAAAGTTGAGCTTGACGCGGCGGAACACAATGCGGGACAGGTCGAGCAGTGTCAGCAGCGAGAGCAGCGTCGGCCGCATCAGCAGCGCCGCTGTTCTGGCCAGCGTCGCTGGTGCGGCGGGACCTAGACCTGAGCGACCCCTACGACTACTTGTTTCTGAAGCGGGGCATTCTACAGTATGTGGTGGTGAAGCCGATCCTGGCAGCGGCGACAATGTTGATGCGGTCGACGGGTGTGTACCGCGAGAGCAGCTGGGGGCTGGCGAGCGGGTACATGTGGACGCAGCTGGTGTACAATGCGAGTGTGTCGCTGTCGCTGTACTGCCTGGTGGTGTTCTACATGGCGACCAAGGACCACCTGGCGCAGTGGACGCTGCTGCCCAAGTTTCTGTGCATCAAGGCAATCGTGTTTTTCTCGTACTGGCAGGGGCTTGGCATATCGATCCTGGTGGCACTGGGGCTGATTCACGACACGCCCGAGCTGTCGGCTGACCACATCGCAACGTTTCTGCAGAGCTGGCTGATCTGCCTGGAGATGGTGGGCGGTGCGCTGGGTCACTGGCTGTCGTTCTCGTACCACGACTATGTGCCGGTGTTCCACCTGGCCGGGCGCGTGCGCCTATTCCACGCTGTGCGCGATGCGCTGGGTCTGAAGGACGTGTTTGTGGATGCCAAGAGCGCCTGGTCGGGACACCAGTACACATACCGGTACTTTGACCCGATTGTGCCTGTCGACCAGCTCGACACCCAGACACCGCTGCCGGCGCCGCAGCGTAAGCGCACGCTCAGCAGCATTCTGGGCAGGCACTCGTCGTCCACATCGCTGTCGACACCAGGGAATTCGCACGAGACTGATCGCATTGGTACGGTCGCCAGCACGCCGCTGACGCTTCCCGAGTCCTCACTGCACTCGTCGAGCTCGTCACTGAGCTTGGGCAACTCTGGCGCCCCTCTAGGCGATTCGGCAATGGAGCCCAGCGCGGTCCTGCAGGCTGTGGACCAGCAGCTGGCGGAGCAGTCAACTGCTGCCATCCATGGCGGCAATTCGTCGTCGGGGGGCGCGATCAAGGAGCGGCGGCTACGGGCTGGCATGCGGTATACGCAGGGCGGCAAAAAGACGTACTGGCTGCCGGTGGAGCCCGCCGACCACCGGGCGGTGGCCTTTGCGGCAGGTGGCGCTGGCAAGGTGCGCGCGCGACTACTCCATGGCGCGTCGACTGCCGGAGCAATGCGCGCATCGATCGAGTACATTGGCAGCTCAATGCATACTCACTCCAGGGCGACGCATGAGAACCGCCGCGTGCAGCGTGCAGCTATGAGACAGCCGGACGAACATACGCGCTTGGTGTCTGGGCCGCCACCGGCGGGCGCCGACCTGGCGGTACTATCGATGGATCTGGGTGAGCGCGAGATGTTGAGCGACGACGCATTGTACAATGATGCCCGGACGGTCGAAGGCGATTTTAACTACCCGGTGGTTGAGGTCGGCGTGGCCTTTGGGTTCAGCCGCAGAAGACCGTATGGCCACACGATCTCTCATCGTCGGAGCTCGGAGGTCGGCCGGCCGGCTATACAGGGCGAGACGTTTGCGGTGCCGGCGTCGGGATATGGTGCCTTTGCATAATTTTTTATTTTTACAAGCGCTAAATTGATTATTAATACACTTCCAATATCAAAGCCCACGCATGTATTCATAACCACACCGACAAGGAAATAGCTCACATAAAGCAATTAACTACTTTATAACTTGACAAGATGGAGAAATAGTGGACCGTCGTAGGTCCACTCTAGGTCTTTAGAGTCGAAGTGTATGTACCCTCTGTGATCAAGCCAACTCTTATAGGTGTGTTTTGATTTGTCCCACGAAGCAATGACCAGCGCGCTGCCATCGTACTCGAAATGGAGCCTTTTGCTCTTCTCTGGACGCTCAGGAGTGAGCTTTATCATAATATTATGATTTTTTGCGCAGTAGAGATACTGGTTATCGAACTTGAGATAGACAATGCCGTCGATTGTCTCGCTGGTAAAGATCGAGTCATCACCTGGGTACATCATCAAAAATCCACTTGAGATGTCTATTCCTGCATAGTCTGGTTCCTCATCATGCCGATTCTCGTCCGCGTAGTACGAATGGTATCCTTCATAGTCTTGAGTGAGTCGAAATTTTTCACCGTCAAGTACCTCATTACCGAGATAGTCTTTGAGTCTAAACTGTCCGTCAGGTAGACGCTTGAGACCATGCTCCTTCAGAAAACGTGCCTGCCTCATGCGCCTTCCAATACATGCTGGATTCTTTGAAATCTTAAAAAGGAAACAGCCGATATTATTCGCACTGACATCGATGCTGTTGTCAGTGTCCTCCGCCTCAACACACTTGAACTTGTTGTCATATGCCACGACAAACAACCCTTGGAAACAGCTGACCATCCTTTTAACGGTCTGCACGAAATCCCCGAGATCGATATTGTCGTAGTAAACCAGAACGCTGCTGAATTCAGGTACCTCCATAGGGGGATCAATGGAAGAGCCGGTCGGGACGAAATAGACAACTGCCGGGTTTGTAGCTGTCTTCAATCCATCCTGTTCGCGAGTGTATCTATTCCAGAGACCCTTATAGTTTGGGTGGATCAGCTGAGTAATACAGTTCCTGGACCAGTAGCTGCACTTGACTGTCCCTTCGGGTGAGTTGTGGAAGATAAAGTGGTCCTCTTCAAAGACTAAGAACGGGTCCTTGTTAGCCGCCTCGAGGTCAACAGCCTCCTGCTCGGTCGCCACATCGATGAACTCAGTGTTCTTGTCGGCAAAGCACCTGACAATGCTGTCCCGGTTGACATGCTTCGGGATGTAGGCGCGGATACTCCAGTGAGGCAGCATGTTTCCAAAACAGAGAAAGGAGATGGGGGTGAGGGAAATGAGAGAGACTCCAGATGCTGTGGACCTTTATAGCCAAAATCCACGCCAGTGGCTGCACAAAAACAGGAGGTTCAGTGCGAGGCATTTCAGGTGAATAGTTGGGGATGCAAATCCTACCCTCCAAAGCACTCGGACTTTCTCCGCTCCAAACGCTGCCAAAGGCTGTGAACATCGATTTGCCTGGCGTGTGCTGGGCGCGGCGGTCAGGTCGTGAAGAGAGCCGGTGGCGGCAATGCCTTCTGGCAGGGCGACACGGGTGTGGACGACAAGAAGTGCATGGGGTGCAGGGGCAACAAGAAGTCCCAGGGCACTGGAAAGGCCATTTCTAACCACAGGCCGGCTCAAAGCAAAAAGCAAAAAGCAAAAAGCAAAAGCAATGGACTACATTGACTAACAGGATAAGTAATAAAGATATTTTCAGTTGTACTTTGGTTCGCGGAAGAGCTTCAACGACAGGCTGCTCATCATGACCGTCAGGCTGCTGGCAATCATCAGGAGACCAGCGATAACTGGTGGCAGTCCGCGGTTGATGGCTGGGTACAGGATGCCTGCTGCGATCGGAATGCACACGACATTGTACATGGACGCCCACACAAAGTTGAGCTTGACGCGGCGGAACACAATGCGGGACAGGTCGAGCAGTGTCAGCAACGAGAGCAGCGTCGGCCGCATCAGCAGCGCCGGCGCCGTCTCCATAGCAGCAGCCGTGCCTGACCCCACAGCAATTCCGACATCAGCCTGCGCCAGCGCCGGCGCGTCGTTGATTCCATCGCCGACCATGGCGACCTTGGCAAACGGGCGCTTCTGTGGTCCCCTCAAGCGACCAAACAAGCGGGAAGCAACTGAGAGCGTAGACTTCACAGACTGCCCCTCCTTGAAGTCGCTCTCGCTCGCATCATCGGCCGACTTGCCACGGCGCTGCAGCGTGCGGATGGTCTCGGACTTCTGATCGGGCAGAACGCCGGCCATGACATGGTCGATACCGAGCTGTGCTGCAATGGCATTGGCCGCCGCCTGCTGGTCGCCGGAGATCATCCAGACCTCGATTCCGCGACGCTTCAGCTGGCGCACAACCTCGCGCGACTCCGGACGCACCTGGTCGGACAGCGCAAAAGGCTGCGACGACCTTGCCGCGCATGCTGCGGCCAATTGGCACCAATGCAACAGCAACCGATGTGTAGCCACTGGAGGCCCACTGCGCGCGTGTGCCCATGGGGACCTCCATCAGGCAGCCCTCCTCCTTGGCCCACGCCTCCTTGCCAACAAGCAGATGGGCAGTGGTAACTCCAGTCCAGCCAAGCGCGTGGGCAATCTCTGCTGGGAGCTCGACAGTCGCCTGCATGCCGCGGCCAGGCAGCTCCTGGTGCTCAAGCAGCTGCGCACGCACCGAGTCCGACTGCGTGTGCTCGCGGATATACGCACAAATGGCGGCGGCCAGCGGATGGCTGCTCAGCGACTCGATCTCGACAATGTGTGCATAGAGCCAGCCCGAAATGGCCTCAGCGCGCGACTGCTCGATAAAGTGGTCCGAGACTGCGGGCTTGCCAATGGTCAGGGTGCCAGTCTTGTCGAATGCGACGATGTCGATCTTGCTCGCAGCCTCCATCGTAGCGCCGCCGCCCTTGACCAGAATGCCCATGCGAGCGGCCAGCCCCGTGCCGACCATGATCGCTGTCGGCGCTGCCAGTCCCAGCGCGCACGGACACGCAATGACCAGCACGCTGATTGCATTGAGGAGCGCAAAGATCGGGTATTTCATCGGCGGTGCATCGTCCATATGTCCCATGCTGTCGGTGTGCGAGAGCTTGCCGCCCAGTCCGCCCATGAGCTTCGACGCCAACCAGTCGGCCTTGATATTCCCCGTGGCACCGATGATGAGCCAGACAAAGAACACCAGCACCGACGCCAGGACGACCAGCGGCACAAACCGGTTGGCCACCCGGTCGGCAACCTCCTGGATCTGCGGCTTGCTCGACTGCGCGTCCCGCACCAGCTTGACGATCCGCGCCAGCGTCGACGACTCGTTGATGGCTGTTGCGCGCATCCGCACCGACTGCGACAGGTTCAGCGTGCCGCCGGTCACTGCCGACCCCTCGCCCTTGGCCACCGGCAGCGACTCGCCAGTCAGCAGCGACTCGTCGATCTCGGTGTTGCCGCGGACGATCACGCCATCGCACGGCACGCGCATGCCGTTGTTGACTTGCAGCAGGTCGCCGAGCTGGATCTGGCGCGAGCTGATCGTGGCAAAGTCGTCGGCACCGTCCTTGGCTCCGGGCTTGACCAGCAGGGCATCGTCGGGCTGCATCTTCACCAGGGCCTCGACAGCGCCGACAGTGCGGCCCTTGGCGATTGCCTCGAGCCAGCGGCCGAGGAACACAAACGTCATCAGGAACACAGCGGTTTCAAAGAACTGCTCGCCAGCACCCTGCTGCAAGACCACGCTGATGATCGAGCCAGCGTAGGCAGCGGTGGTGCCCAGCGCAATCAGCACATCCATGTTGGCAGTCTTGGCACGCACCAGCGACTTGTATGCGTGCTTGTAGAAGAACAGGCCGAGCGTGAACTGCGTGGCTGTGGCGATGAAGAAGGTGCAGATGACCGAGACCGAGTACTTCTGGAACACCTTGCGGTGGAATGCCTTTGCCACAGGGTTCGACGACGGCAGCGCCATGTCAATGATCATGGAGATGATGAGCATGGGGATGGCAAACACCAGCGACCACAGGAAGCGCAGCATGGCCTGCCTCCGGTGCTTCTCGAGGTTCCGCAGGGCCATTGTCGACGGATCAGCTGCGCTGCTCGAGTCTGCCCCGTCCAGCGGCGTCGCTGGATACCCGGCATCCGTCAGGGCATCGGCAATCTCACGCACGCCAATCTCACGCGGAATGTGCTTGACCATTGCCTGTGCTGTGAGAAGCTGCACATCGGCAGCCTCCACGCCCGGCAGGTCATTGAGCAGAGATGTGATGGTCGCCACGCACGACCCGCACGTCATGCCCTCGACATTGAACCACGACTCGACTGCGCTCTCGCCGAGGATCGCCTTGGCGTCAGCCTTCGTGGCATCGCTGACAGGAGCCAGTGTCTTGGTGCTCAGCACGGCTGCATCATAACCCATGTCCTCGATGGCTGTGCAGAGGTCGGCGACGGGCAAGGCGTGTGTGTAGTGCCGCACTGTCGCCTGTGCTGTCATCAGATCGACGCTGATGCTGATGGCGCCGTCAAAGCTGCCAATGTGTCCTTCGATGCTGTTGACGCACGACGCGCATGTCATGCCAGTGACGCTCAGCACTGTCTCAGTCTCTGGCTGTATCTTGACCGAGTAATCTGACGAATCTGGAGTGACGGTGCCGCTGGCGCTGTAGTTGATGTCAACTGTCTGTCTATCTGGAGTAAGCGACATACTGATATAATTTTTTGGAAAGGGCTTCGCAACGAGAAGGACGTATGTGGAGTACAGAAATGTATGAGGTGAGAGGGCAGTAGAACACCAAAGCTGAACAGGCACCCTTGCTTGTTTAGTTACGAAAACGGCTAGTTGATATACAGGAGAAATATGTAAGGAATGCCTCTGAGTAAATGTATTGCAGCTTGGGGTGCAGGTTTCTTCTTTGTTTTTTGTTTTTTTGCTCTAGGGAAAAGGCTGCAGGCTGTCACAACTGGGTTGCTGCAGTAGTAGGTGTGGTTGTTGGCTGGTAAGTGGAGTAGCAGGGGTGAAGATATACAGCAGCTGGCTATGTACAATGACCAAAAATATGTGTGGCCACTGTTGAAATGATTGCTGAATGGAAGAGGATACAAAAGAAATTAATGTAGAACAGATTATGTTGGATGCTGGGGCTGCTAGTCCGTATATATAGCCATTTGGCAAGTTCTCCCAGCCTCTTGCAATAATACCATTTGCGTCTAGGACAAACTCCAGCGTCTCTACAGATCTCACATGCGTTATTTTCGCGAGCCAACCGACACTCGTGGGATTTGAGCCGAGTGCCTGCAAATCTTACAGGTGAGCGACTTTTGCCGCGGGTCTGGTCGGCACGCAAAAAACGCGCTCATTTATCGCTTACAAACGCACATGATGCAGGTGAGCGATTTTCCCTCTGCTCAGTTCGCTGGGAAACAGGGAAGTGGCACTTATCCTGAATGTGCGTCTCCGTGTGACCAATTCCGCCTCGCCATATACCGCAAATCAATTTGCGTGCACAGGGCGGTATTCATCCAGTGCGCACTATAGGGCGACAGCAATGTGGCGGATATGGAGCAACTGACAAATACAAGCAATATATTGTGACTCGATAGAAGAGCTGGTCTTCTTACCATCTAAAGCACACAGCCAGCAGCACATACACCATGACGCACATCATTGCCACAAACAGAAAAGACACAAAGAAGGATATGTCGGACAAGGCAGGCGCAGCACCAACGGTCTCGTGGACCGGTTCATGCTCCTCTGCAGCTGCTGATGAGCTCAGCGCCTCTGCCTTGTCCTCAGTGTCAAAACCGCAACTGCAGGTAGCTTGCCACGAAAGAGCGCATGAGGACACTCAGGTCCTCGATGACATCCTGGTCCAGAGCATCGGCATTGTCGTCCAGAGTGTGCCAGGCCTTGGGGAACGGCACCGAGATCAGGTGCAGCACTGGGACGTCGCGCTCAATAAACGGCCTGTGGTCGTCATCGACACTATATGCGCCAGGCGGAATGCTCGTGTTCATGTAAGTGCGGCCCAGGGCACCTGCCTTGTACAGGCGCTCCTCCAGCTTGGCCAGTTGCGTGAAGATACTGGCGGTTGGCACCTGCAGGGCCGCAAACATGTTGTCGGGTGCGCCCATCAGGTCCATGAGCACCATCAGATCAACGCGATCGAGTTCAGGACGATGATCACCCAGATTCTTGGTAATAGCAGCCGTGGCAGGATCTGGGTTATGCTCCCAGAACTCTGCCAGATGGCGCGAGCCGTACAGCGAGTCAGTAGCGGACCACTCATGGTAGGCCTCCTCGCCGTCGAAAAACACCAGCTGTAGGGTGACATCATCGCTGTCATACTCGTCAATGGCATCGCTCAGGCCGCGGGCAACATCGAGCATCAGAGCCACAGGCACGGCCGAGTCGGTGGCTCCGATGAATTCGCCACCTGCAATCACCTTGCTTTCGTAGTGCGCCGAGAGCACCAGCCGCCGCTGCGCCGCCGGGTTCTTCGTCGCGATGATGTTTGCCATTTTGACCTGGCCCTCGGGCGTCGCTGCCGTGAAATTGTCCCAGGAGATTGCGTATCCGAGCGTGCTCAGCGTGTCGACGATGAAGCCCTGCGTGGCCCTGTACCCCGCCGAGCCCACCTGGCGCGGGACCAGCACTGGTGCCAGGAGCTCGCCCTTATGGATATCCAGCCACGTCCGCTCCTTGGTCGCGGTGCGCGCTAGCCGCTTGAGCTGCAGGTTGCTGAGGGCTCCCGCGAACGAGGGGTTGGCGAACTTGCGAACAGAGACCGCGCTCTGCAGCGACCCGTACGCCATGCCTGGTAATAGTACTGCCAGTGATGCAGCCACTGCCGTTGCTCGCTGAAGCATGTAAGGAATATGCATTGCTCTGAATTGTAAGGGGGAGTGTGCTATTTAAAAGCAGAGCTGCACGCGTGGCTCAAAGGTGCGTGTGAGTGAGAGGCTAGGAGGGAACGGAAAAGAAAGCGTTGGCGCTTTGCTAGCGTAGGCGAGCAGTATGGCGAGTCCCTGTATCCTGGGATGGTACGTGGTGTGTGTCGCACGTAAGACCGGGGTGGAAATAAAGGAGGAAAGAGCTGCTGTGAAGACAGAGGAAGCGAGCGGTCCACGAGCAGCGCTTTTATTAAATGCTTTTTGTGGAGGGCATAAGCTGATGCGCACGCTGAACTCGGTTGCATTTATTGCATCAACAGCACGCTTGTGCCCATTGCGGAAGCCTATTTGCGCAATTGACGCCGCCTGGCATTACTGGGTCATAAGAGCAGCCAAGTCGGTCCGAGCCGCGAGCTGCAGCTGTGTGCAGAAGCTCAAAAGCTCGCAATCGAGCCGGCGTGGTGCTATGCTGCTATCTCTTCCTCGCTCTCCATTGCCAGCCCTTACAGCACACTTTTTTTTGACCAGAATGTCCTACGACAAGGCGGCGGCCAGCAGCAAGTACTTTGGCAAGTACATGGCCATGGATCCGGAGGAGCGCAAAACCTTCGACACGTGGAGCAAAACACTGGCGAATTTCACCGGCCTGGGCCTCACCGACGCAGAGAAGAAGGAGCGGGACATGAAGAAGGCATACGACAAGGACCTGAAGGACTGCCAGCAGTGCGAGAAATGGCGCAATGAGCTGCTGAAAACCAGCCCGATCGTGCGCTTCATGTCCGAGAGCCTGGACAAATCAGGCTCGCACTTTGGCGTCGACTCAATGCCCTGCATGAAGTGCGACGAGATGCGCAGCGGCGGATTCTCGACAGACGGCGTGATCCAGCTGTGCTACAACCGGCTGTTCAGCAAGGGCCATCTGGAGACCACCATGGCCCACGAGATGGTGCATGCATACGACCATGTCAATTACAAGCTGGACTGGTACAATCTGGAGCACCATGCGTGCACCGAAATCCGGGCCGCCAGTCTGAGTGGCGACTGCAGCTGGTTCCAGGAGATGCTGCGGGGAAACGTGGGCTTTTTGAAACAGCACCAGACGTGCGTGAAGCGGAGAGCTGCGTTGTCTGTGAGGGCGAATCCCAACTGCAAATCAGACAAGCACGCCGAGGCTGCTGTAAACAAAGTCTTCACAAGCTGCTTTACAGACACACGTCCATTCGACGAGATCTACTGAATAAAATCGTTCGCAGCCCCCGTGGTTTTGTTCTTGGACATATGTTTTGATGTATGAGCGCTATTCGGAAACGACAACTGCTCTGAAGGATAACCAGGCAGAGGCCGATTGTCGGCCAGATGGCTTTAAAGGCCCGGTGCGACCAACGGGAGGCGGCTTGCTGGTGCTCCTGCTTCTTCCATCTCCCTTCTCTACTATTTTCCTGCTGCCAGATGGACACTCTTTCTATTGCCAGGCTCTGCCAGCATCTGGCTGCATCTCCCGCTGTTTGGATGGCGGTTTTGCTGGCAACTGCTGTTCACCTCGCACGCCTGCTTCAAGCAGCGTTCTTTTCGCCGCTCGCACACATTCCGGGCCCTCTGCTCAACAGGTTCACCAACCTGCCTCTCATGTACCATGTCCTCCGTGGTCAGTACCCAATATACATGCGCCAGCTCCATACCAAATACGGCGAGATCGTGCGTACCGGCCACGACCACATCTCGCTCGCAAACACCGCCGACACTCGCTACATCCTCTCATCACATGCATTCCGCAAGGGCCCGCTTTACGAGAAGAGCACGGTTCTTGCTGCCAATTCCTTCCTGACCACAGATCCACAGCTCAACAAGATGCGGAGACGCCAGATTGGCGATGCCTTCTCTGCTCACACTGTTGGTGCACTGGAGGAGCTGGTTTTCGAGTCTGGCACCAGCTCACTCATGAGCGCATGGGACCGGGCGATTGCCAACCAGGGCGGCTCTGGGGCTCTGGTCAATTATTATGACTCGTTCTATCGCATGAGCTATGACGTTATCGGTGAGCTGGGGTTTGGCCAGAGCTTTGGTATCCTGGCCACAGGCGATACACGGATCATCGACATGTTCCAGGAGCTGATCCGCCTCAAAAACGTGCAATCTCTGACGCCTTTTGCCTCACACGTGCCATGGATGTTTGTGAGGCTGAATAGAGCCATCAATTCACTGTACCGCCTGTCACATGATACGGTGGCGCGAAGAAAGCAGTACATAGATGAATCCGGCTGCCCGCCGCGTACTGACGTTCTGCAGAAACTCATTGACGCCAGAGATCCGACCACTGGCGAAAAGCTAGACATGCACAGCCTGTGCTCCGAGATCCTGCTCTTGCTTGTAGCTGGTACCGACACCACCAGCAACACGCTGACCTGGACGCTCATGAACCTCCTACACCACCCGCGCGTTTACGAGCGCGTCACTAGCGAGATCCGGGCCGCGTTTCCAGCCACTTCCCGCCCGATTCCGTACGCTGAAGCTAGGCAAAGGTTACCCTATCTGACTGCCGTTGTCTACGAATCCATGCGTCTAAACCCTGCTGTATCGGGCATGCTGCCGCGCAGTGCTCCGTGGGATGGAGCCACCATCCAGGGGAAATTTATTCCCAGCCGCACCCAGATTTGCGTGTCGATTGACGCTTGCCATCGGAATCCGCGTACATGGCCAAACCCAGATGCCTTTGATCCAGAGAGATTCTTGGGCGAGAACGCTGAGGTGCGCATGAAGGATATTATTGCCTTTAGCTCTGGCGTCCGTGTGTGTATCGGAAGAAACCTGGCGTGGATGCAGATCTACTCGGTCCTAGCCAATATCCTGCGAAAATATGACTTTGCACTACCGACAGATGCCGCATATGGCCCGCACAGGACCAACTCTGAAGGGGTACCGGTCGCGATTCCTGCAGTCTCATTTATTGTTACCGGCCCAGCTAATCCCAAGAGGGATTGCTTGGTCAACATCTCGGCTTACTGAGTAGCTTTTAAGATACATGTGCATCGCTAGGCGACTTTTAGTTGCAGTTCATTGTTAACACCACTTGGAATGGCAAACCATCTCATACATAGAATTTGTACGTAGTCGATATCAGACTCGGTATTTACTAACTACCCAGCACCATCCTACATCAAGCGGCTTTCTGCAATTCCCACTACATTCCTACGGCTTGCTCACTTTCAAAGAATCGTTCGAAATGTATAAAAATGATGTTTATTATACTGACTACTACCAACTGCCTTAGATTTTTACCAATTCAAGTGTTAAGCACTCATCATAAGGGTCTATCACATTGTCTTCCAGAAAATACACCTCACCGGTATGGCGGTACCAGCTCACATGGAGACATCCAATTTTGTTCCACCGCGAAAAGGTGAGCATTTTTCTGTCATATTGCAAATGCAATCGCTCATTCTCTTCAGGAAGCTCAGGCATCAGTTTTATTTGCCATCTGCCATCATCTGAACAGTACAGGTATTGTTCATTGTACTTGAGATACACAATGTCGTCTATGGTCTCGCTGGTGAAGATGGAGCCGCCATCCATGGATGGAGCGATTCTTCTGCTAGGCATTTCGAGCCCGGCATACTCTGGCTCACTATCATCATATGGATCTTCGCCTGTGTAGCACGAATGGTCGTCATAAAAATAAAAGATCAGTCGAAATTGCTCGCCATCGCGCACATCGTCTCCAAAACAGTCCTTGAGCTTGAACTGCCCGTTAGGTAGACGTCCTGGTCTGTTCTCCCTTATATTGCGGACGTGTTCCATGTATCTTTTAATGAACACCGGATCTTCCGAAATCAAAGGGGCGTACCGAATGATGTCAGCCATAGTGAATTCGACACTATTTTCTGTGTTCTCCACCTCGACACACTCGAGCGCGCTGTCGTGTGCTGCGACAAAGAATTTCTGGTTGCAGCCATCCATTTCCCTGACACTTTGAGCAAACACCTCAATGTCCATGCTCTCATAATAAACCACGACACTCCAGGATACAACGTGAAGGCTATTGTTAGTAAAGCCAGCTGGGAGAAAATACACAACTGGCGGGTATGGAGAGACTTTTAGTCCGTCCTTCTCATGAAACTGCTGCTTCCAACAATCTGGGCTGTGTCCTAGGAGTCGGTCCATAATGTGGTTCCTTGACCAGTAGTTGCATCTGACAGTCCCTTCTGGCGAATTGCAGAAGATAAAGTAGTCTTGCTCAAAGACAAAGAATGGGGTAGAGCTGGTTGCCTCAAGTTCGATAGCCTCCTGCTCGGTTGCCACACTGATAAATTCGATATCCTTATCGACATAGCACTTGATAATGCTGTCTCTGTTGACATGCTTCGGGACATAGACACGGGATTTTGTATAAGCAGACATTGTTCGACACAGCGACTAGAAATAAAAGAGCGAAAGGGTGGAGACAAGGAAAAGACCTGATTCCATGATGCCTTTTATAGTCAAAAATCCAATCTAGTGGCTGCGCAAAAAAAGGATATCGTCTGCTTGAAACATTTCCTGTTGATAGTGGGGGAAGAGAGTTTAGATCCCTTGAATGTGGCAGCTCATCTGGCCTGTACCGCAGTCAAGGAGAATATTTATACCTATACAAGCTGCACCACTATGACAGGATTCGTTGGGATACAAAGGATCAAGTCCCAGAAGATGCTGTCTGCAGAGCGGAGGCAGAGCTTTCCAAACACTGCTGCCGGACCCTTAGCCCAGCAAAATTCCGTGCCTACGTTGCTGCCCGTGCATCTGTGCGGTGTGTCCTAGCACCGTTTTATGCCAACACGATGACAGTGCGAAGGTTACCAGAGTAGCAGCCCACTAAGTCAAACAAGCAGCACCAGAGGCGCTGGAAGGCCCATCCGGGTGTCAGTACCAGTCCCAAGGTGTACCCGCTTCACCACAAGCTGCGCCTTGATTCATTCATGAACCAGGCCCGTGCAGACCACAGGCTTGCCGCGAAACTCCGGAGCAAGTTCGGTCCAGATCCAGTGCTGATCATGGGCAATTGGAGTGCGCCGATGGCCCGACACCATGCGCCGATTCGTGGCAAGGGATGGCGTGACAAGTTCAAGCACCATGGCTTAGAAGTCTATCTGATCGACGAATTCCGGACACCGTCGATGTGCCCGTTCTGCTGCGAAAAGTCGCTGCAGACATTCCGGCATGTTCCCAACCCGCGGCCCTACCAGAGATCGAAGAACCCAATTGTGAAGTGCCACGGCCTTCTCCGCTGTACAAGCGAGTCATGTAAGCGGGCCATGGCACAATACAGGCAAGCCTATTCGTCTCGGCTCCTGAACCGTGATCTCGCAGCAGTTCTAAACTTCAGACTCGTTTTCCAGTCACTCTGTAATTCAGGCAGTATTCCTGAACGGTTCCGTCGCTTTACGGCCATTGCTGCCAATGCTTCTGGCACCACCCCTGAAACAAAAAGGCCGCGCAAGAGGCATGCAGCAGCAGGCGATTCTGTTGCCAGCAGCAGCGAGCCAGCGCTGAAGCACCTACGCTGAGCAGGCCATCAGGATGGGAGATGTCCATGATCGCTATTGCACCAACAACCATCCGACACGTTCAAATGACCGGTTCGCCGTGATGCCCTTATCGACGTGTCAACCCATGCTGACTAGCAGCCGAGCCCGCATCGCGAGCAGAGTATTTCTAGTATTTCATAAAAATAAAATTGTTTTACATGCAGACGGGAAAGAGATAATAATTAGTTACGAGAAAGAAAATGTGTGTTTTTTTAGAGAAACAACCTCTGCCATTTTTCACAGAGCAAAGTGCGGATCCGACCCACCGTTGACATCGTTGCCACTGGAGGTGGGCGACTTGAACGGCATCATCATTGGACTGGCCGATGCCAGGACCATAGCCCGGGGTGTCGGGTCGCCGCCGGGCGCCAGCTCCGGCATGGCAAACAGCGCCAGATCATCTTCGTCCTCGAGCCATCCGAATACATAATCGCTGCCACTCGACGCCGACCCGGTGCGGGTGCTGCGCGTCGACCCACGACGCCTCTGCTTCCCGCCCGTTGCCGCGTCAGCCGAGTTGGCCGTGGCCACAGAGTTGTCCGACACCTGGCTGGACAGCTCCCAGGGGGTGCCCGTTCCTTTCTGCACCGTATCTGCTGCCCGCGTCGCTGTGCTGGCGTTTAATCCAGGTGCACTGTGGTTTCGGGTCAGGCCGTCCACGGAAACACTGGCATCGGGCTGCTGACTAGCGCCGCTCTTCAGCAACAGCGAAGCCAGTGTGCCCGCCGGATTGGCCAGGTCTACCACGGTGCCCCTGGGCGTGGGCGGTGGAGGCGGCGGAGGCATTGCTCCAAAGCCGGCGGCACGGCGGACACCCTTCATCTTCTGGCGGTGCAGCAGTGCCTCCGACGGCAGCGTGTGCTGAGCCAGCAGCGTGGTATTGACAAGCGCCCGGCGCTGCCGGTTGGACTTTATCGCAGTCAGCGCCAGCGACGACATGCTGGTGGGAGAACTGTCGGCGCCCATCATGGCGTGGCGCCCGTGGGTTGATGCCAGGGCACGCGAGCGGCGGAAGATGTTGACCGGAATACGGTCCCAGCGAGCCAATGGATCGGCTACTGACTTCCGGCTAGCTAGCGACGAGGAGAGCTGCTGCGAGATATCTGTCGCATCCGAGCTGGCGCCGTCGGCCGGCGAAGGTGGCGGCGACTCGATCAGCAGAGCATCGGTGTCAACCAGCTGGTCCATGGTCGCCAGCCAGTCGTCCTCTTCGCTCTGGTACGACTTGCGCGTCTGGGCAACCACACCCATTGGCGAGTCACGCGCGTTCATCATCTGAGTCATCGGCGTTCCAGGCCCAAGCGACGCTGCTGCCGATGCACTGCCCGTACCAAAGAGCATCGACAGGTCAATCGGAGTGCTGGGATCAGTGATGGGCTGGTCTGCGCTGGCACCTGTCGTGGGCTCGGTACTGCTGCGCCGGCGCTTATTCTCCGATACCGCATCAGTCTGTCCCATGTCCGATGGCTCGACGCTACTCGACATCTTGCGCTTCAACGAGACACCATCGGTGGTGTTGGTGGTCATGACTGCGGGCGTAACAACAGAGGGGCTCGTAGACACCTGCTCGGCCAGCGCTGTAAGGGCGGCATTGACCTCAGCCAGCGACACCAGCGGCGCACCAGAGCAGAAATCGGCAACTGTAGCCGTCGCAGCAGCAACTGCAGCGGCGCTGCTGGCGGGCATGGGAGCAGCAGCCGATGGCTCGCCTCTCTCCGCAGCCTTGGTCGACGCCGGAGATATGCCTTCGCTCTTGGGTTTGTCGCCCATCGGCTGACTGACGTTGCTACTGGAAGCGGTGCGAGATAGCGGCGTGCAGATCGACGACAACGGCTTGTAGAAGGACGAGTTCGGCAAATGGCTGTTGAAATGACCGGGTGATGCAGAAGACGTGGGCTTTGGCTTTTGGCTGTCATCGGCCGGAGCCGGTGTCATCGGTGCATCCTCGACCTCAACTGCCGAATCGTCGTCCTGCTTGGACGGATTGACAAGCGAGTCCAGAGCCTCGGCAGGCTCTGGGGTATTCCTGGCATCGCCAGTGTTGACGGCGCTGGCTATCACCGACGCCACGACGTTGGGATCGCGGGCCTCGTTCAGATCCTTGGGCAGCACATACGACACTGCGGGCTGCGGCTTTTGGCCATCCAGGAACGCTGAGGCTGCTGCCCGCCAGCCGGGGTTGCCGAACGGCGTATGCGCACCAGTGCGCATGCCCGCCGGGCTCATGAACCCAGACCGCGCGGCACTGCCGCCACCAGCACTACGCGATTTGATTGACACAATGCCGTCGATTGGATCAGCCTCGCCGTTGGCATTCATTGAGGCAATGATAGTAGTCGCTGCGCGCTTGTCAAGGATATCGCTAGTGGAATCGCCGTTGGCCGATGCGTCCGGATACGCTGCTGCAGTGACAGCTGCCACTGCCGCCGCTGCCTCGGCATCTTCCTTCGAATACCCCTGCTGCTCCATGCTCATTGCCACGCCCAGCGCCAGTGACGCACTGTCAATGTCGAGCTCTCCCGGATACAGCGATTGGTCGTCCATGTACGAGTCGCGCGCATAGTAGTCGTCATATGCATCGTACGAGTCGCTTGAAAACACATCGCTCTCCTCGTCCTCGTCCTTGAGCCGCAGCTTATTGATCTTGGACTCGCTCAAGCTCGACGAGTCGCTCGATCCGTCAGATTCGAGCTCCCACCGCATGCGCGCATCCGAGCCCCAGCCCTCCATCAGATCGTCCGAGAGCCGCGTATCTGAATCGCTGCCAGCTGCCCGGCTAGGGTCGTACGCAAATGTGATTTCACGGTCAACCTCGCCCTCGCTGGTATCTGACTCGCTAGCATGCTCCAGCAGCGGCGACGAGTATCCACCAATGACCGAGCGCACTGCTTGCAGCTGGTCGAGGTGCATTTCCAGCATCGCATCCTCGCGCTCGTCATCGGAGCCGGTCTGGGCTAGCAGTGCCCTCTCCTCGTCAGTTTTGGGCCGGCGGAATGTCAGCTCCTGTTCGGATTCGCTGTAGTCACTCTCGGTATCGCCCTCATCTCCGCTAAACATCTCGCTGTCCAGTGCTGCCAGCCGAGCATCATCAAGGTCACTGAGACTCGACGACGAAAGGTCGCTATCCGACATCTGCGCCAGGTACCGCTCTTCTTCCTGCTCCAGGTTGCTGTCGTCCCCCAGCATGTTCGAGTCGCTCCACTCGTGGCGCTGCGCAAACATCTCGCCTGTAGTGTCTGGCCGGTCGAACTCGGTCTCGCTGGGGAATCCGCCGCTGGCGTCGCTGGTCACATCAGTGATGTTGATAATCTCATCGTCCTCCTCAGAGATGGCGGCTCTGGGTCGCCGCGCAGGAGCAGTATTGCGATTGCGTCCATGGATCACTGCCGCGTCGACCTCGTAGATTGCTGGCTCATCATCACTATATGTGCTGCTGAACTTTGGCCGCGCTCCACGGCCGCGCCAGCTGCCAGGCGTGCCACTAGCATCGGGAGTCTTTTTCGTTCGCCGGCCCGTCTTTGTCGACTTCGCTTTTGATTTGGTCTTTTTTGTCTTCTTCTTGGTCTTGGTCTGCTCGACATACTCCGCCTCAGACTCATAGTCCTTGGTCGGGCCGCCAATCTGCGCCAGGCTCAAGCTATCGCGACGCTCGACAACGCCTTCGGATTCTAAATCAAGAGAGGGTCTAGATGCGGCAGCTGCCACAAATGACCGGCCATTGCCTTCACCATCGCTTCCTGACGACAGTGTAAATCCGCCCTCGGGCATCGGCAGGTTCTCCGCACTGAACGTCTCCTCTTCCCCGGAATCGCCCATCGCAGGAGCATCCGCACTGTCCATGGCGTCAACCAGGCGCGAAATGAGGTTGCGCTCTGACTTTTTCGACTTTTTCGTCCGCCGCGACTTTGCCTTTTTGGGCTCTTTGGATTTCGCCTTCGCCTTTGTCGATGCCCGCTGGCTATCGCTGCTGTCGTCAACAACCTCAAAGTCGATTTGGCGAATCTCTTTGGTGACCTCCGAGAACAGCGGCATCTGCATTTCGCCTGCAGCCTCGTTTGCCCGGGCATTACCGCACGTGCATTCATCCTCGCAAATCGGGCAGATATCGTCGTCATCCATATCGCCTGCCGCACTCATAAACGCTGCAAGTGCTATCATGCAGGACACAAAAATACAGAGTAGGGAGGAGGGAAATAAACTGGTTTGTGAGCAAGAGAATGCAAGAAGGTTCACGAAAAAGCCAGCACACGGACCCGCAAATTGCGCGAGATAGTAATGAAACACGCCAGCACTTTCTGCTACTCCTGCCCCTCCATGACAATGACACCACAGCATTGAACTTACCAGCTTGATTGGCAGGCGGCAAAGCCGCGGGCTCGACCGTCTGGACACTGGGATCGGCGGCCGGCCTCGGATTCAGGTATATTATATCGTCGCTGTCGTCCGCGTGCGTCGCACGCTTGCTCTTCTTTTTCCGCCTCGCTTTCTTCTCCGCGGCCGGTGCATATGCCTCTGGCGTGTGCTCCGCAGAGGCCACCCTGTCCCCGGCTCCCAGAATTGTGCCGGGCGCGCGTATCCGTCCGGGGTCATACTTGAGACACACCTCGCACACATACCCAGGCATTGCACTGGCAGTAGCCGGCGAGATTCCAACACACGATCCGTGGAAGAGCTCTATATGGGGGTTAGGTGGGCAAATAGTCGCAGGAATGTGAGTGATTTGGTGACAAGACAATGTGGATGTAGGGCTCGCACAATGTGTGGTGGAAAATGTCCATGGAATAGGTACACTTGTTCTGCGCCTAATTATAGCCACCCCCTCTCCCTTACCTTGGCAGTCCACGCACTTGACCATCGCCTCGTTTTCAACAAATCCACGCCGGCACACGCAATGCAGCTGCCGTGGACCCTCGATTCCGCCTCGCGGGAAATCAAACTCATCCTCGGCCTCATCAGCAGACCCAAATACAGTGCGTTGGCCTGGGGCTCTGCGCCCACCCTTGCCGCCTCGCGGCTTCACCGGAAACCTGCCCGGGCTGTTGCTACGCGACTGCTGGGGCTTTGGCGACTCGCCCAGACCGCTCAGGTCAGACGCATCCTCCTCGTCAGACATGGCTGTGCTAATTGGACTCCGCTGGGCGCTGTCGCCAGTCTGCGCACTCTTGCCGTGGCTGTTGTGGCCCTTTGCATTCCTACCAAACGATTTGCGGGGCGGTGGGGCCTTGTTACTGGCAACAACACGAGGCGCCTTTCCCATCCACTGAGTCTTTGTGATGCTACTGCTGGTTACTGCGGTTGGTGCTGTCGAAACCGCCGTGATCTGTTTGCTGCTGGAAGACGCTGTCCTGGCTATTGTTGGTGCTGACGGGTGCGGGAACTGCTTGGTTTTGGACATGCGCGTATACTAGCTGTGAAATATGTACGATGTATGGCTGTTCTCTCTCTGGCGTCCTCTTTGTGCGCGTGTGTGCGTGTATACGTGATAGAAGGCAGTGTGCAGCTGGCTGTGCAGCCTAGGGATAGTAAACAGAGCAGAGTATGAACAGGCGAATGCGCGTTGACAAAAGAGACGAATTTGCAAAAACGCCTTGTAAAAAAAAATCGAATTTCGTACAGGTGAAAGAGGGAGAAAATAAGTCCCAGATGCGGCTCTTTTGTGTGCTTCCCACCGCCCAGCCAAACTTTTTTTCTCCTGATCACCCCAGATTGCAGGCTTGATTTGCGAGCCGGCTATAGTGTGGATGGACAGGGGAGATTGGGGGACCACGGACCAATATGCGCAGCAAATTATTGCTTGAGGCGACGGCCAAGCCATACGAGCCGCAGGTTCTGCCACACGCCCAGGTCATAGATATTGTCCAGCTCGGCCAAGCTCTCGACCAGCCGCTTCTCGCGCGTGTCCTTCTCCTGGTCCTCCAGCTCGATTGCCTGGATCATCGACGAGCCATCGGGCATCTTGACTGCAAATGCAACCTTGTCGTCAATGGCCATTGCGATGTTGGCCCACTTGGACTCCTCGTTGCCCGTATATCCGCACATCAGGATCCAGAGCTGGTAGGCGGAGAACGCGGCCACCATCGGCGACAAGAGGGCAAGCAGGATTGCTAACCCGCACAGGGTACCGTGCATATGCGCCAGCACCAGCAGCGAGCGGCGGAGCGGCATCGCGACATTCATGCCGGCATCTGCATCCCACACGGTTGTCCTATCCAGCCCATGCATATGGCGCAGCTCCAGAACAACGGTCCCAAGCACGACTGCGCCATACACGCACACGGTGCTGAACGAGACAAGGAACAAGACGAACCAGCGCACGTTTCCCAGGCCAACGCAATTATTGATCCACACGCAGTGGTGGTCCGCCATCTCCACGCAGCACCCACAAACCGAGCAATGCTTTGACCTTGCAGGCTTCGCCATCCGACACGTCCTGCAGTCCTTCCTGAAGAACAGCAGGTTGTCGTACGGGAACCGCCGGCACGCCGCGCCGACGTTCGCCTTGGTCACGATGCCCGGGTCCGACATGCACGCCATCGCATACGAAAACATGCTGGCGGAAATGACTGGCACTATCGCCATCCAGTGGTACGCACCGAGATACCGGTTCGGGATATATGTGGTGGCCTGCGAAACAAACACCCCAAGGCCGCCGAGGTACAGCGCTACGGTAATTATCAGAAACATCGGGTTGCGCTGCCCAAACAGCCGGTGCACGAGGCGCTTGCTGTGCTCGGCCACCGGGTTCCCCAGCGTCGTGCGCACAGCCCGCTCCAGCGCCCGCGGCCCAGTCTCGGTCAACCCCACGTACGCATGCTCGACGACGGTGTCGCGGAACATCCGGCTCGGGCCAAGAACCATGACAAACACCCATGTCGAGAGCAAGCACAGCGCAACCGCCCACCCAACCGTCGATAAGGGTCACGCTAGTCATCGCCATTATCATTGGGAACAAAGAGAAAAAGTGCGAAAGAAACCGCCTACTGCCAAGAAACGACCCGTTGCTACCAGGCAGTAGCACGTGCGGGAAAAGGCGCGCCTGGTGTGCGCAGGTAGAATGGGATGTTGAAAAAGTTTTAATAACACATCTGGTGAAGAGAAAATAAGGAAAGGAATTGAAATATAGAGCGGAATGGACAAGTTGTGAAGTGAAATATAACGTCGTCAAGAGCTGTGCCTATTTACTTCTTGGCCTTGGTCGCGGCGGGCTTCTTTTTCGAGGCGGCGGCGTCCTTCTTGGGCTCGGCAGCCTTCTTGGCTGGGGCGGCCTTCTTCGCCGGAGCAGCCTTCTTCTCGGCAGCCTTCTTGGGAGCGGCGGCCTTCTTCTCGGCAGCGGGCTTCTTGGGCGCAGCCTTCTTTTCGGTGGTCTTCTTCTCGGCAGCCTTCTTGGCGGGCGCAGCCTTCTTCTCGGCAGCAGCCTTCTTCGCCGGAGCAGCCTTCTTCTCAGCGGTCTTCTTGGCAGGAGCAGCCTTCTTCGCCGGAGCAGCCTTCTTCGCGGCAGGCCTTCTTGGGCGCAGCAGCCTTCTTCTTGGGCGCAGCCTTCTTCTCGGCCTCGGCCTTCTTGGGAGCGGCGACCTTGCGCTTCTTGTGCGACGACGAGCGGCTGATCACCTCAGGCACGTACTCCTCCTTGGGCGCAGAGCGCTTGCGGCTCGATCGCCGGAGGGTCGACTCATCGACGGGCTCCTTGGGCGCAGCAGCCTTCTTGGGCGCAGCCTTCTCGGTGGCGGCAGGGGCGGCAGGGGCAGCAGCGGGAGCAGGAGCGTCGACCTTTGCGTTCTCAGTAGACATGGCTATGGTGGTAGATGGGTGGGTTTGCTAACTACAGGGGGAGTCGTCGTGATGTTAGTAGGCGCTGGTGTATTATCTGGGGCTGCACCCTCTGCTTTGCACAAGCGCTTGTGAGGAAAGGGCTACTGGCCACTGATTATTGGGCAGAATGTCGGTGGCGATTTCCCAAGAGACTTTCAGGACAGACTGCTGCCTTATGCCGTGGTCGCACGCTTCGCGATTCGCAGACCATCGGCAGATGGCGGATAAAGGTCCGAGCGATCAATATCCAAGCCAGCAAGGGCAGGCGCACCGCAGACAGGGAACCAATGGCTGCAGCAGATGCATCGTCCAAGCTCGCGCCTCTCATTTCTGGATGGCGATGATAAGGAAACACCACTATCCCACAAGCCCACACATTTCATGGAAACCGGGCTCGAAATAGCGACTGGAATAGCGCCGATGAGTTTAACGGGGATGGACAGTACTCGGCGGCCAAACAGAGGAAATGCACGAAAATGGGGACAGCATTCCAAAAGCGAAACAAATAGTGGCGGGCCGTGGTGACCAAGGAAATGGCACCCGCTTTTTCAAGCGCGCGCACCATGTAAAGGACGGGGGCGCGCACGGCCAACAAGGTGATTACGAACCAATATAAATGCACATGAGATGTAGGGCAGTAACACACACCATGCCTACTCCTCCATGGCCACAGGTCCCCTGCCTCCTTGCTGTCAGGCAAGGGTAGAGCTTCTCCCCTTGGCTTGTGTAGCGCGAGATTTAGAAATGCAAAAGCAGCGGCACAGGGGCAAACGAGACACATCTGGTGTACAACAGAGCAGCCGGCATCGGCAACGTTCGTGCGTACTCAGCAGCAGCACCAGCACCAGCAAACCCCCCGGCCTGAGGTGGCCCAACATGAGACACAAGACTTACAAGTATAGGTTGTGGAAAAGATGGCCTGGAGTTGTGGACGAGTCAGGTCGCAGATGAGCTTCAGAGCAGAAAATGTGAGAGCGAAGAAAAGAAAGTAGTGGATTATACGGAGCAAAGTAAAAAGGAAAAGAGGAGAGTCGCGAAACGGACGGCCGGGCACAACTGCCGGCTTAAATACTCGCGCGTGGAGCCCAGGGCGCAGGCAGTCGTGGAGAAATCGACCAGATGAAGGGCCAAAACGGTCTCCACCACAAAAAATTTTTTTCACCACACAGAGGGACAGCAGGCTAGCCAAAATGCCAGTAAAGCCTGATGATGCTCGACCTTTTTTTACGCGCCGCGTCTGGGTGGATTTGTTGCAGGTCATCAGGCGCAAATGTGGCCAGGCTGAAGAATTTCAGGCTGCAGTTTAGCCAATCATCGGCTGCTGCCCCCGCAAGTGGATTGCGAATAAATCGACCCATGTCACTTTTTCTCTTCACATCCAGCACCCACTTTTGCTGTCTTTCGACGCCGGTGGTGCAGCAATGCCAATTTCTATTGTTGCCAGAGACGGCCGTGCAGCACCTGCACGCGACGCGCTTTCCAGCGACCCCCGACACGCCATGCCTTGGGCAGGTATCCGGCTCGTTGATGTTCAAAATTTCGGTTCTGGCTCGGTTCCCCCACCACTTTCCGCCCCCTCATGGCATGTTTGCTGGCGAGGGATGTCGCCGCCTCCAGCCTAAATGCCATGAAGTGCCGGCATGCTGCTGGCCACCACACCCGTACATGTAGCCAAGACATGGCGTGTATTTCGCTTACAAGCTTTAAAAGAGGGACATAGAGGCAGCATCGCTAGAGGAGCGCAAGGCTTCTCTTCCTCCCCGACTTTTTTGAATCAAAAAGTGCATGGGGTGGAAAAGACGGAGGCTGGGTTCAGCAATGCCTCTGATGCTGCAGAAAAAAAGGAAAACAAAACCTTCTGAGGAAAAAGTAGCCGGGTCGTGCCCGATGTTCTTCCAGAGCTAGGCGTCGGCGTCAGCAACGACAGGCTTACTGGGCCGTCTCACCAGTAGCATCGTCATGGTCATAGTCCATGTGCCCGCCCATCTCGGTGTAGACGCTGGCGCCGGCATCGCCTGCCTGGCTCAGGCGCTGGCGGCATCAGAGAGATGGGCGTCATGCATCTCTTCGTCAGCATTAGCACCATCAACCGCTGTGGCATTGGCCTCGCTGTTGTTGCGCGACTCTGCGCTCTGGCTCCTGCGCTCGTCGTCGTCATCCGTCGTCGTTCTTGACTACGGGCCGCCGCGGGCTAGGCGTGCGCGACTGCGACCGGGCTGGGCTCCGGCTGGCACTCCTACCGCGCCGCGAGCTCACGCTGCGGCTGCCGGACCGGCTACGAGAGTAGCTCGGGCTGCGACGACGGCGCCGGCTGCGAGACCGGCTGCGCGAGTAGCTGACGCTGCGCGAGTTGCTGCGTCCCCGCCTGCTGCGGCTGCGGCTGCGGCTGCGACTGCGACTACGGCTACGGCTACGGCTACGGCTGTAGCTCCGCGACGAGTCACGCCGCGAGTAGCTGCGACGGCTGCTCCTGCCCCGGCGGCTGCGCACGGGCGATCTCGAAGGCGAGCGGCTGGACGAGGGCGAGCGCCGTCTCCGCGACCGGTAGCCGCGCGACGAGGGCGAGCGGCTGCGGCTGTAGCTCCGCGAGTAGCTATTGAAAGGCGGGTTTTGATGCGACGATTAGCAAGCCCTGGCACCTTTGCACTTTTTCGGATTCTTACAATCGACTAGCACGGCGTACGGCGCACGGCTGATTTCCACCACCGCTTTTTCGCTCCAACGCTGCATCCATTCCATTTGTGGCAGGTCAGCAGATTGCAGCAAGCGGTTTCTGCGCACCAGCTGGAATTCTTAAAACTTACCTGCGACGGCGGCTTCCACGTCTCGGGCTCGGCGAGCGACGTCTGCGGCGACCACTAGACATAGAAGGAGAAACATTTTGCAAGATGAGTCGCGTGTTGGTATCCAATTGAAAAAGTTTAGCTGTGCAGGGAAACTGTAATCTCGTTGCCTTGTCAGTAAAAAATTGCGCTTGATAGAGGACACGTATCCAAAGCGGATATTGTTTAACAGGCAGGGTCTCAGCAAGGAGGGATAGGGAACTGGTCCGGGTAATATACTTGCTCTTGCCTACCGCTCTTGCTCTCTTGCTGGTGCAGGAGAAGCGCAGACGGCGGCCTCTGCTCAGGCTCTCTTGGCATAATTGTCATTGTACGTGCAAGTAAGCACAGATCTTGCTGTTCTTGCCTTGCAAATTTGTGGATGGGGGCGATAGCCTTGAGATCATAAAGCCTGAGCCATACAGCCAAATGTAGAACCAGAGAAATATAGAAAATACAACACGCATGCATACACACAATCACATTACATATATACATTATATAGAAAGTGGGGCGTAAACGACATCAATAGCACATGCACTTGTCTGTTTGATTGGGGAATTATAATGCCATAGTGCATGGCTCCCAGGAGTGGGTTGATCTACTTACGTATTATCAGTGGAGCGCATCTCCCGCGAAGCTACAAGAGCGAGAATAAATAGAAACCCGATAATTTAGCAGGCGCGGTGTCCATTGTGCATTGCACATGTTCAGAAACTGGTTATTTCTTGGCACTCCCACACTTACTCTTACGCTGCCCGCGCGCGAACTCCACAGTCGGCGCCTTTCCGCGGACGACAATGTCCTTGCGCCGATCATACGCTGCCTCCTGCATCCTCCCGGTCGTAGTACCTACATGCACGGACACCCAACCTTTATTAAGCGATGGCCCAATCATGGGGGTCTGTCGGCTGCACTGCCGGCCGGTACTTACTCCACATAACCAAAACCGCGGGACTCCTTCGAGTAAAAGTCCAGCGGGATATACACGTCCTTGATTCTGCCGTACTTTTCGAACGCTGTCCGCAGATCAGCAGCCCTACATGAATTTGCAACGTGAAATTAGGACCAATGCTCCAACGTTCTACTAGTAGCACGTCTAGCAGTGCGTCTCAGATACGTACTTTACTCCCTTACCGAGCCTGCTGACATGCAGCGAGCAAGTGCAATCGCGCGCCATAATTGCTGACTGTCAAAGCAGACCTCTGTTTTGCTCAGCAATTCAATAAAGTAATTAAAATAAAACAAAAGCCAACTGCTCTCTGAGAGTCGAATTAGCTTCTAGTCGTCAATAGGAATGTGACCAGACAAGCCGAAAAAAGGCAATTTTTGCGAAAAGAGAGTAGACAAGGAAAGAGTGCGAGAAAAAAAATAGCTGACCAAAATCGAGCCATGCCCCAGACTTGTCCTTGAGGGTCTAGATCATTTCTTGATCAGGCAGGTAGATATAGATCTGCTGGCTCTGCCTTGTGCTGATTCTGCGATCACCGGGACCGAGTTGCTGGTTGCAGCGCTTAGGCTATGCGTTTGAGCAGCCATGTGTTTGAGCAGCTATGCGCTTGAGCCTGTGCTAGTGGGCTGCATGTGGAGGGTGTGCACCGCTTGTTTTAGCCAGCACGCTATACTGGTACCTGCTAGTTGCAGCTTGGGCCGCCCCACTTGCGTCACTTGGCAGCCAGCAACGTTCAGGAGTCAATTGCCAATCCAGGAGCCTCCCTAGCCTGCTGTTTCAGCCATCAGACAACGTCTCATCTGGCGCAACCCTTTGCGCACCCTGAGCGACAATGCCGGGGCTATTACATCACCTCGGCAGCCCCTTGTACCTGCACCCCGTGACATTCAAAAGGGGGCAGGCAGCCCATCGCGTTCCCTCTTGCTGCTTCTGTCAGGGATATCCTCTGCTCCCAGGATCTGTGACACCGTTTCCGCGCCTGGGTGCACCCCCTTTTGCTTATCCGCCGAGTCACCATGCCTTGCCTTTTGCCCAGGCACCAGACTTTATCTCAACCGCACCCACGCCTGCATGCATTGCATTCAGCGGGAGTGCCGTCTCGCCCAGAGATCTTTACAAAAAGGGGTGTGGATCGTGGAGCGTGTGCCAATTGGCATTGCTAGATTACCATTTCATTCTGAAACCGTCCAACCCGCTGACCGTCTGGGTGCAAAGGAGCCCAAAGAAGATCTATGTCAGCGCAATCTCCTGCACGTCTCCGTGTAAGAAAGCATGCCTTCTAGATCGCTATGCCGGTGGGCATGTCGGCAGGTGTGCAACGCACCTTTGACCACCGAAGCCAGTCAACCGCAGGCGGAGTAGTTCCCAACCGATGTAAGGCGCACGATAGCTAAGTAGCGGCGCTGAACGGAGCACAGCTGAATCAGCAAGACCGTGACTGTGAAGCATTTCCCCCCAATTTTTCTATAAGAGTCGGCTGGTGCGACGGAGCGGAGGTGGCTCTAACTTCATCTCCAGTCCGAGCTTTTCTCTTTCTCCATCCCCTTTCGTCAATTCCCTCCTTTCTACGTGCTCTATCTCCTCGTGATTTTTGGGTGCATTTGCATTGCTTCTGCCTCTTTGTCTCCTCGCACCCATCCCGCCTTGCTTGCTGTGCTGCTGCCTGCGAGAACCACAAGACCTGCTGGTGCTGCGTGCCGTCGCATTCTTTGCTGCAGACATCAGACGCATATTCAACCTGTTCTCTCCTCCAATTGCCAGCATTTAACCACCCTCTTTTCTTACTGCGCGTAACAGCTGCCAATCCCTCCAGCCTAGCCAGCCTAGCCAGCCATTGCGGCCTGTTCAACGATAAAAGGGCCCTCGCCTGCCTTCCTCCACCACCCAGACCCCGCTTCATTCTCCTCTCCTCTGCTCGCCCCTTCCGCACTCTTCCCTCAGCCATGTCTACCACCACCAACATCTTTGATGTGGTGCTCCACCCCAGCATCTTTGACCAGTCCAGCCCGCCATCTTCGTCCAGCCCGTCGGGTGGGTCGTCGATTTCGACAACCACCTCTGCGGGCGGCAGCGGCACATCGTCGCCGTCCACATCCGAGCCGCAGTGGTCCGACGACGACTGGTCGTCCATCCGCCAGCGCCTGTGGAATGCAAAGTAATGGCAGCAGCCCCCTGGGCCCGGGGCGGATCCCGAGCCTCGGTGGCGACAAAACTCTGTTTCTTCCGTGGCGCGCCTCCCAGGGGCAGACGGCCAATATCGGTCGGCACAGCACCACGTTGTTTCCACGCCAGCGTGCCTCTAATTGCCGCCTGCCTCTGCTCGGCCGTGACCACCGCAACCACCACCGGGTTTTCAGCTTTTCATTTCCCATCCTCGTGTATATATCGACAATTTCTTCGTTCTGTAATATAGGCGTGATCCCGCAATTTGTGCTGTGTGTGATGTGCGGCAGATGTGCGGCAGATGTGCCTGTCTGCTGTCGCCAGACGACGCAGTGCCTTTTTGGGCACGGCAGATCCTGCTGCTGCTGCTGCTGCTGCGGTGGAGCTGCCGAGCCGGTCCCTGAAGCCGTGGCCCGCGCCTGCGCTTGGCGTCAGCCAGCTGGCTCAGGCACGCCACTGATCGCCTCCCGCGGTGGTTGGCTGGCGGGTCAGCCGCGCCCCAAAGCGCTGCTGCAGACAAAGGAAGCTCAGCTGGGCGATTCAGCGCCAGGCAAGCCGCGGGGAGCCTGCGAGGGCCAGTTTCCGGCTCGGCGAATGGGGTGGCCGCTTCACACAGGCCCGAGTCTGGCTGCCAGCTGCCTTTCCCAACTGACGCAAACCCACCCGGCAGTGTGTCGCCCGCCGCTATTTTTGCCCTTTCTGCCCAATTTTTCTACGGGCAGGCCGGCACTGTGAACCCCGATTTTTATATAAACCGCGGCCAGTCCCTGGCCATTATTTTCCATCCTGCAGAACCTCTCCCCTCATTCACCCTTTCTACCACACCCCTTGCCCCTCTGTATTTTCCCTAATGGCGCTTTCCACAGACACTGCTCTCTCGGAACAGCCGCCGCCGCCGCGTCAAGCAGCTGTCGTCGATACGAGCATCGCCGGCGTTCTACTCGATGGCCAACAGCTACTTTGAGGACGGCGAGCCGATCACAACCTACCAGTCGTTCACCGACCTGCGCAAACTGCTGGACGAGGAGTGCGCAGAGATCGAGCGCCGCGAGCGCGAGGCCAAGCGCAGCCTGGAGGCGCGCATCCAGCGCAGGACACAGCGAGGACATGCCCGGCACCAGCGGGTCGGCGGGCCTGATGGGCTCGCTGAAGCGCCTGATTGATCCGCTGCTAGCCATGGGCGGCAGCAGCAGCAGCGACTGTGACGGCAGCTCCACGCCCAGCAGACGCAGCAGCAGCGGGATGTCGGCGCTGTAAAAAGTGCGCAGTCCCCTCGACCAGACCAAAGACACGGCGTTTCGCCCCTGTACATTCATTCAAACTCCGCCCAGAGCACACATGCCCACCTCCCTATTCCATATCCCCTTTGTATTTGTTTTTTCTTCCATAGTCTGTTTGCTACTGTTCTGCAAGACGTCTCATACACCATGAAATAATAGCAGTTTTCCGAGTTCACCGTGCGCCCCTGCGTCCTCGGCAGCCTGTCTCTGAGTGGGAAAACAAGCCCGCCCGCTTTCTGTTGGCGGAAGAAATGGCGTGGTAAACGGGGGCGGCCATGTGGACCGGCCCGCAGCTGGCGGGATGGGGGCTTCTTTGTAGAGCCATGCGCAAACACAGCAGCACCAGCAGCTTATCACGCATAATGCTGCAAGCGCACACTGCGATATGAAGGGCATGTGAGCTCATCATGGTCACTGTGAAAGCACACATCGGCCGGTGCATAAATAGGCACACATCGCTTTGGAAAAAGAATGTTTGCTTTGGGAAATCACGGCTGTCACCGGGATGGGAAGGCGCGGGGGAGTGGTGTGGAGGTGCCGTCTGAACATATCCACAAAGGCCGTGGAGAAAATCGCATACAAACTGACAGCTAGTCATGAATCATTTGCCAGCAACCTGCAAAATGCAGATGGCGTCCGACACAAATCATCATTGAAAACATAACCCGTTGTTGTGCTGTTTCATCGCAACGGTTCAGACCAAAACACACTGCAGATTGCAGCCGGTGGCCACTGCCAGAGATTGGCAGCCAAGGAAAGACACATCCAATACCTCAGCGCGGTTGGAGCGATTTGCCGCCAAAGAGCTGCGCCTTGCTGCAGTGCTGTTGCCATTAACGATGTGCAATTGCAATAGCTCCGAACGTCCGGCTTGTGCATAAAGACAGGCCGCTCTTTGGTGCAAAGGCGTTGGCGAACCGCTTCGGTAGTAACACGAGTCAGCTTGCCCCCGAGCCACAGGCGATTCACCGCCTGTTTCCAAACCACAGCCATTTATTTTTAGCTTTGCTACTCTGTACTTTCTCACAGCCTGTGCTCCTCCTTGCTTTTCTAATGCCAACCTGGCGAGCCCCGAATGCACAACAAAAGCGATCCTTTGCAGCAGGAACCGCCAGCGAGAGCGATTTACCGTCGCTGCTGGACATATTCCAGTTTCTGGACTCACCCGATCCGAGCAGATACCTGAGGGCGTGTCTGGATAGCACATACAGCGACATATTCGAGGCATGCCTGGAGAGCGGCGTATATGCCGGCATGCGAACCAGCCTATACCAGTATCAAAAGAACTCCGTATTCAAAATGCTCAAGCGCGAGCTCCTACCAGACCTGTTCTTGAGCCCAGACTTTATTCCGATCAAACGGAACACGGAAAGGGCGGAAACGCTTGCTGGCCAGCACCCGCTCCTGCCATACTTTCAGTTCTCCCGTGATGTCGTGAGCCCATCGAACCCTTGGATGTATCGGTACCGCAAAGCCCAGAGCGGATCGGCCTCTGTTGCGACAGACCGGGCTTTAGACGCTGACGATGTGCGGTGGCACCAGGACACCCGAGGCGGGATCATATGCGAGGACATGGGTACTGGAAAAACATGCGAATGCCTGGCGCTTATCCTGCTGACAAAAAGGCAGATGGCGAGGCCGCCGACTGAGGGTGACATGATTCCACAAGTAGGTACGGCTGTGTCTGGCCTGTGCACGGACATGACCAACAGTGCATTCACTCGGCCTTTGAACTCGGCTGCGACAGTCGTTGCAACACGCCCTGATTTTCCGACATTGTCGTTCTTGACGGCCCGAGCGGCTATGCTCAGCTGTGCCGAATCGCTGCGTCTGATCCACGAAGATGGGCTGCTGCCCACATCGCTCTGGAAACGGCTATCGCCGTTCTCGGTGTTTTACTGGGTGTGTCCGATGGTCTCGGGGCTATCCCGGCGCAGCGACATTGGTGACAAGGTCCTCAGCCTCTGGTTCAAAGTGTACATGAGCAGCTCGACCCTGGTGGTGGTGCCTGACAACTTGATCGACCAGTGGGTCAAGGAAAAGTACAAACACATCGACGACACCAGCGGTTTCTCGATGCTCAAAATCGACCATGCTACAGAAACTGTGCCCGACCCAAAGGTCCTGATAACATACGATCTGGTACTGGTCTCGGTGAGCAGGCTGTCCAAAGAGTACACGCCCATCGAGACCAATATCAGCGAGTTGGGCAACATGTGTCGGTGCTGGAGCCTCGGCTATGACCGCTGCATGTGCAATGAGCGGCACCAAAATGCCACAGACAGGTCGCCGCTTTTGTGTGTGCACTGGAAGCGGCTGATTGTTGATGAGGGCCATATAATGTCGTCCAAGAACACAATGCGCTCTCTCATTGCCGCCTACATCATTGCAGACCGCCGGTGGGTGTGCACAGGAACCCCCACACACAACCTGGTGCACGCCACTGCTGCTACCGGGGTGAGCAGGCACCAGTCCGAGGCAGAGGATCTCCCATGTACAGGCAAAGCCCGCACCTACCGGCTGCACCGCAAGGACATTGCGTCAGACTTTTTACAGCTCGGCATGCTGGTGGCCAAATTCATGCGACTGGACCCGTTTGCCCAAGCAACAATAGCCTGGAGGCGCGACATGGTTGGGCCATACCGGCGCAATGACCCGGGTGCCCACGAGAGGCTGCAGGCGCTGATGCAGGCCATAATGGTGCGCACACGGCCCGAAGTTGTTAGCAGCGAGATTCAGCTCCCACCACTCCATGAGCGGCTGGTGGTGCTGCCACCCACACATCTGCAGATGCTGGTTTACAATACTGTGGTCGCGTTCTTCCACATCAATGCGGTTCTGACGGAGCGCGAGGGCCGCGACTACTTTTTTCACGCCGAAAACAAAAAACATCTGCGTCAGGTCACAGAGAATCTTTTCCTCGCCTGCTCCTGGTTCCCTATCAGCATCACCCATGTGGCCGACGGCATAGACAACGGGAAAAAGGCGCTGGCGGCCTGTGTGGAGGGCAAAAAGACATATTCCCCTGCTGACATCACACTGCTGCACAGCTGTATTGCTGTCCTGGAACGCGCTGCTAGCGATCCGGGCCTCTTGTATGCCGCTAGCACAGACTCGGTTGGGTACTGGGTCTCGCAGGTGCCGCAGCAATTCAATCGCCTTGTCTCCCGCCCAACCTCCAGTGCCCAGTGCTTGACAACAGCAGCAAGTGCCGAACAGATAGTATCAGCAGCCAAAGCTGCGCTCCAAACATCCAACGACAACCTTCTGCCGCTCTCAACCAACCTCACCCCACCCGAGTTTGAGCTCCTGTCATCTGCCGAAATAACCGGTACGACCAGCAACAAGGTCTCCTACCTGATCGACCAGCTGGTCCGTCATAGCGACAAAGAAAAGTGCATCGTGTTTGCAAACAATCTGGCAGATATCGTCTATGTTGATGATGCCCTGCGTGTATTGCGCATCCCTCATCTCCTATACGCGCACCGCGGATTGACCCCGAGCCAGCAGCGGCATAACGTGACAACATTTGCCACGAGCGCAACATACAACGTGATAATCATGGATGTGCAGTTGGCAGCATACGGAATTGATCTATCAGCAGCGTCACGCGTATGGTTCATGAGTCCAATCTGGCAGTCGGCGCGCGAACGGCAGGCAATTAAACGTGCTCACCGGCTCGGTCAGACTCGCCCAGTGTTTGTTGAGACTTTGATCACGGAGGGATCCGTGGAAGAGGATCTGTGGCGACGTCGGCAGGAGCTGGCGACAGGAGCGAATGATGAGATTATACGTGACATCGAGGAGGACAGCAAAATGCGCTCGGTGCTGTCCAATGCTCGCTTTGTTGGTACCAGCACAAGCAACATGCATGACAATGACCACGGTATGCTCATCAATGCGCAGAAACTACTGCCACGCAATATCAAGTATCCGAACCTACTGATGCGCAAATACGCCATGTGGTTTCCTGAATTCCGGAGCGGTACAAGCTCTGCAGTTGATGTGGCACCGTTCGCCAAGACAAGGCGGCTACGGCTCAAGGTAACCTGCCCAATATCCTATGAATCAACTACACCCGCCAACACACACTTCGATGAACCACAGCGCAAGAAAGCCAAAATGGCAGTCAGCTTCAACATCCCTAGCGCATCAGATTGACTCCCAACCCTTTTATAAAGTACTAGAATTACTTTGCTTGCAATGAGGAGGCCGCGCAAGAGGCGTGCAGCAGCAGGCGATTCTGCTGCCAGCAGCGGCGAACCAGGGCTGAAACGCCTACGTTGAGCAGGCCATCAAGGCAAGAAATGTTCAAGATCACCATTGCACTAGCAATCGTCAAACATGTTCAAATGACTGATCTGCTGTGATGCTTTTATCAACGCGTCAAGCCATGTTGACTAGCAGCCGAGCTCACATCGCGAGCAAAGTTTTTCCAGTAGATATCACTAACCAATGTGTTCACTGAATTGATACGTAACGGAGAGCACTAATTAAAACACAGGTATACGAGAGATATGGAGCTATTTACTTGCGGTTACGGAGTTCCTCCAGCTCTTTGGTAAGGAGATCGAGGACCTGGGCCGCTGTCGCCTTTGAGAGATCAGTGGATTCAGAGGCAGGCGCCGGAATGTCGTCCGAATAAACCTCTGGCGTGATCTTCTCTGCGTCGCGCTCGGTGATGCCGCGCATGCGCTTGATGCTCTGCAGGCGCGCGCGCCATGGCGAGATAAACTCGTTGTTGACACCAACCGAATTCAGGAAGGTTGCATGCACATTGGACAGGATAGCAGCATGAATGGCAATGCTCCTCACAAACGATGGTAGCGCCGTCAGAGTAAGCAGCTTAGGCTCTGTGGCAGACCCAGCGAATGGCACCGTCGGGTTAACCTGTGTCTTGACCTTGTATAGCTGCACCATCGACTCGTCCTCCTTGTTCGGCATCCCGTGCATCCAGGAACGGTCAACCTCATGGCTGGGAATCCGCCCATCGACTGGTGTCACAATGATCTGCACGTAGTTGAACTGGGTCGACACCGTATCAAACCGGTATTCGCTCCCTGACTCGTTGAATACAATGTGCACATAGTCGTTGCCGATAAGGCTCTTCTTCCTCAACATGCTCTGGGATCCAATTTCACCAGATGGCATGAGGGTGCCGACGTGGAACACAAGCTGTGCAATGAGGTCGCGCCACTTGATCGTGTATCGACCGTCCATGTCCTGGCCAGAGGTATCAAGCCCTGCCGAGAACCCCTTCATACCGCTCAGACGCGTGGTGTTACCCAGACCGTGCAGAAAGTTCCAGTACGCTAGCGAGCCCTGGCGGTTGCTCATGATTTCATTCTCCGTTGTCTGCCCAGGGCCAACATACAGGACGCTGACCTTGTGCGCGTCGATGGTCGACGTACTGCCATCCAGGAGACGCAGAGACCGCGCAATTGGCTCGTGGTGCATAGGCAACAGCTGCGGCGCCTCAATGTTTTGCAGGCCATGGTACGCTGAAATGAACTCCTGTGCAACACATGGCGCCGGCCCAAACTTGATCGGGAAGTGCGTGACTACCGAGGGCGAGCTGGGAGTAGCTACCATCTCGGCATGCAGCAGCCTGGCAATCGTGTTATCCGGAAGCGTGAACACCTTCGATGCTTGTCCAGAGTTTCCGCCCGCCCCAGACGAGTGCCAGCGGCTGCGAATCGTGTTGTGTATACGCCCTCCAACCGGCTTACCGTGTCCATACACGCTGCCACGACCCGTCGTGCCTGGTTGCCGCGCGGGTAAGGGAGGCGAGGAAGGCTCGACGAGGGTCGTCATCGATGCGGTATCGCCGGTGGCAGCGTTGGACTGCACCTGCCGTTCGGCGAACTCGGCGTACTTTTTGGCGGCTTCCTCTGGCAGATTAATCACCCGCGAGGAGATGTTGCTTGGGCTCCGAACGATGATCTGGGCCAGCGGGCCGTTCTGCTGTGCACGGATCGTGACAATGGCTGAATATTGGATCCACGAGCGCTCGGTAACTGGTCCTAGGTCTTCCTTCTCAAGAACAACAACCTGGTCCAGAACGGCGCGACTGTCCTTCTTGTAGTTCTGCAGAATCATATCCAGACACACCTCGCTGGGCTCATCCAATACGTCGCGACTAGAATTGGACACCAGTAGGCCGAGAATGACATGGTCAGCGGTTTCCCCCTTCATTGCCGGCGACAAGGACAGGTAGAACGCGTCGATCAGCTGGTACGCCATGACATACGCATATTGGTTGAGTGAGGTCTCGCTCAAGACCGCTGGATCGACCTGCTGAGCTCGCCCCACACTATGGCGTCTTGTCTCAGCTGTCGGAGCACCGCTGCTACCACCACTACCACCGGTGCCGCTACCGCCACTAGCGCCGCCACCTGTGTTAGCAGGGGTGGTCTCGCTAGCCCGATGTGCTGCCGCTGTAGTCTGAGCGCGACGACGAGCGCTGTTGTGGAAGCGAATGTAGTTCGTGGCTGCTGTGAACATGAGGCGATAGTCGGAGGCACGGAAGTTCACATGGAGACTATGCTCGCGCGACAGGCCAGAGCCAAACTCGAGGATGTGTGTACTGATCTGGGTTGCCGAGTTGATCTTGACAATCTGCTGCAGGATGGGCGTCATCAGGCGCATCACCGAGGCGGGAAGCTCAAGCATGCACACGCTCAGGGAGTGGAGGCAGATCTGCGGCGTCGAGTAGGTGTTGGATGTTGCAATCAGGCCGTTACCGAACGACCGGACCAGCTCATCCTGAGCCTCGCGCTTAAGCTGGTCCTTATAGTGGATGGTCGTGGCCAGCAAACCGTACGACACCTGCGCCAGCCGAGTCTTCTCTGCATCTGTCATCCGGGTGCGAGTGTCGGGGCCGACCGTGGCCTTGCTAGTGAACTTGATCAGGTAGTCAGCCAGCTCCTTGATCTCGTCCTGGCACACATCAAAGAGGTATGGTGTTGCCAAGCTGCTCTGCCAGGCCCTGGCATAGCAGGAAGTAGGTGTCCATGTCAACATTGTCGATGAACAGCTGCTTGACTAGTCCCACATAGCGCTTGATTGGGAATTGCTCAACATCGATCGGTCCTGTGGCAGTGCTGCAAGAGTCGTCTCCCGGCACTGTCAGTCGCAGGCGGGCATTCTCATTGAGTCCGACACGCTGGTCCATAAGCGTATCGCGCCCAGAGATCAGGATGTACAGCTTCGAGTACGAGTCAGCATGCATCCGCAGGAACAGGCCCAGGATGCTGCGCTGCACGTCAATGAATGTATGCTCGGACTTTAGAAGGTCAAGCAGCACATTGGCCAGCTGGATTGTGAGCGTGGACGAGCATGAGCGGTTGGCGATATTGGCATCGTCAGTAATCGACATGCGCCATTCCAAGGCATCCAGCAGGCACTGGATTGTGAGCGAGACACGTGTGTACCCAAGGTGCTTGGGGTCGGCAGCTGGCTGTGGGTCCTCGTTGCCAGCGCTATCCGACTGCGATTGCGGGTCTGGTGGTGCGAGGTTCAGAACAACAGGTTCTGTGTGTGCAGGCTGCCCAGGCTCCTTGGGAGAAGCCTTGGGTCGCACATAGCTGGTATCGGTTGCCGAGCGCGTAGCATAGTTAAGAACCTTGCCAAAGACATCGGTTGCTGCGCTTTTCAGAATCTGGCCAAGAATGGCCAATACGCTGGCGATAACATCCCTGTCAGTCTCCTGGTACAGCATTTCGATGGCAGACAGAATAAACGGCACACTCCCACATCCAGAGAGTGGCTGTCGACTGCCTCGTTGACTGCTCGCACACACAGCTGTATCATAGAGCGGCGCAAAGCAATGTCGCGCGAATGGTCAAAATAGTAAAGGCTGGCCAGCTCCTCCAGCATGGCTAGCCAGTCTGTGGCGCCAGGGCGCAGGCTGCCACGTGCATCGAGCAGCTGCAAGAGGTTGTCGGCGATTCCATCGTCGATGACGGCACGTAGCTCGTAGAGCAGCTCTACCAGAGAGTTGGGCGCTGGCCTCTCATTGCGCGTGAACGCTGCCAGCGTTGAGACAAGCACGCATTTGTAAAGGTCCGACAGATCGGCGGCATCGGGGGCCTGATCGGCTACAATAAGCATGTCGTCCTCAAACTCGTCGTCTTCGTACTCGTCTGCATCACGCTCCTGGTGTTGCTTGCCATCAATATCTAGGTCATGCTGGGAGTCAGATACTGCAACCTCCGAGTCGCTGTCAGAGCCAGCTGCAGCATAGTCAGAGGAGCACGGACCAATGTAGCACTCCTTTGTTGTGACCAGAATACCGATCAGCGCCTGCCAGTCGTCGGCCAGGATCGAGTCAGCCCGCGAATCGTTGACTACTTTGCACAGATACGGGAACACCATGCCCAGCACCGTGGAACTGCCACACTTGACAGCCTCACCCAGAACCGGGAGGCAATTTCCGATACGCAGACTAAACTGGAACCCAGTCGGACCCGTATCCATAACCTCAGTGATGTACTTGACCATGCCATTGATGGCTACCTGGTGCGGCGTCATCCCTTCAGTCATTTGAATTGGCTTGTTGTCGTCTGGCGAGTCGACCTCGCGCAGAATGTGGTTCATAGCCAGCAGCGTGTCGCGCATGTAGCAGGACGAGAACAAGCTGTAGATGATTTTGCCGCACAGCTCCTCACAGCGGTCGAGTGTGGCAGTCGTGCACAGAAGGCGAATGCCCGGACGCAATGACTCCTGGGACAGCGCGCCATAGTTGATGACCGTCTGCAGCAGCCTCAGCACACCATATATATGATCGGCCTCGGACCACACCCATGCCACCTCTCCGTGGTCAACACCGTTCTCAAACACAGACTGGGTGCGTGCGGCATGATCGCAGAGTCTGGTTGTCGCCAGAGAAATGGCATTGGGGTCCAAAACCGGGTACTCCTCCATCACAATACTCGCCAGAAATTCCAAGCGCAGCCGACAGCACAGCACGCTCATCTGCCGAGATCTCATGGAGCGGGCTGCGGACCTTGTCATCGGGATAGCACTGCTGTACGGCCTTGTCGGTCCAGCGCAGCGCATGGCTGAACCACCTCATCGAGTCAGCTTGCAGGTGCTGGGCATTGCAGGTGGCCCACATTGCGCAGTGCGTAGCAAGAGCGATCTCGTCCCACGTCTCCGCCTGAGAAATAACATGCTGGACATTGCGCCGCAGCCGGTCTGCGTTGTCATGGTCAAGCTGCTCGTGCAGCTGGCCGCTTTCAGCCAGCTCGGCCAGCAGACTCAGAATCAGGGTGCGCGCTTTGACCTTGTCGTCCTTCTCGGCTGACAGCGGTTCGGCCATATCGCCGAATGCAAAGTCGACGATGTCGCCGATCGCCAACCACAGCCCGTGGAAGTTGAATAGGCTCTTGTCCTTGAGGCTGGGCAGCAGCTCGCTCTTGAATGCCTCCAGACGCACCTCCAGCGGGAAGCTCTGATCGAGGCGCTGCGGGACCAACAAAGCCGCATCGGCCACTCTGGGTGGTGCCACAGCCTCGGCTGCAGCCTCACTGGGCGCAGTCCCGGCCATGGCTGCATCGTCCAGAGCTGGCGGCGTGGGCTGCGACTCGTGGTCGGCCGAGAGATCCAACTGCCGCAACGACGCAGCAGGCGGCGCTCGGGCTGCAGAGGCAACAGAGTTTATCGATCCAGTGGTCGACCGCCTCACCAGCGCCCGCTCGCTCTCAATGTCAGCGGCAGCGTCACTGTCGCGGCCAAAGGCACTGAGGATAGCGTTGCGAATGACAGCAGTGAATCCGACATTGGCGGTGGTTGTCTTTCGAGCAGAGCGGCCCGAATCAGTAGAACGGCCACCCCTGCTCATTGCCAGCGTTGCAAAAAAAAAAGTGTTTGAATAAGAGCAGGAAATATTAGAAGCACGTACAGAGGGAACAGAAGAGAGAGAGGGCTTTTATGTTAAAACGTTGAGCTTCGCCAGGGCAGAGAAGAAAGGGGGAGTTTTTGGTTTTTTTGGGTTGAGCCAAAGAGGAGAATCAAAAAAAAGTTAGAGGAGCGTCATCGCCCAAGAAAACAAACGCGCCCTGCCTCGACATCTTTATACGCGCCGGGACATTGAGGGATCTCCGTTTCAGCGAGCTTGGGAAATTGGGCTGCTGCACATCAGCGCAGCAGCTCCAGCACCTGCTGGTAGTTTGAGTCCCAGTCGATCTGGCGGAACCTGTCGGCGCCCGCCAGTAGCCGGCGGTACTGGCCATCGATAGCGTCGCGGTCCCTGGCAATTGCCTAAAAGAGAGCTTTGGGTCCAGCGGGTGGTTTTCTGTCAGTACCACAAGCCTTCTACTGCACACTGGGCCTCTCGCGCCAATTCCTGTTCTTACCTGGATCTGCGCTGCCAGCTCTGCGGCGTCCTCAAACACCATGCCGTTGTCGGCCGTGACGAGCTCGTCAATACTACATGAAACCACCAAAGCAAGGATCCTCAGCGACGTGGAATGAAGGCAGACAAGCCCAGCCGGTTTTCCCTCTCAATGCACTACAATCCTCGCTTACCATTCAAACTTGTAGGCACACACGGGGGTGCCACAGCCCAGCATGTCGACTACCTTCATTGGCAGGTCGAGCCCAGACGACGACGTGTGCAGCGAGACACCCAGGTCAGCCGACCCCAGCAGCAGCGGGTAGTCCTCGGCAGACAGCCAGGCCGTGGCAATGGTGACATGGCGAAGCTGGCGGCGGGCAATCTCAGATTCGTACATGGCTCGCAGCGGCCCCTTGCCTGTTATGAGAACAGCCAGGTGCGGCAGCGCGCCATTGTGCGGCAGCCTCCGGGCCGCAGCTGCCTCATACAGGGCCAGCGCATCGAGCAGCACGGAAAAGTCCTCGTCGGCGGTCCAACTGGTGCTGCTAACAAGCAGCATTGGTCGGCCAGTGCGCATGCTTATCGCCCCGTCGCGCTGCGTCAGCAACAGCTGCTGTCTTGCTATGTTGGGGGCAAGCTCCGCCACTGCTGCCAGCTGCGGGTCCTTGAGTAGTCGCATCCACAGCTATATTAGGAAGTACGCGACGTTTGGTTGGGTTCAGCTGCCCGCTCGGAAAAACAGGTAGCAACTGGGCATCCAATGCAGAACAATGTGCTCTCCTCCCCGAAACAAAATGGGGGTGGGAGTGTTTGAAATTACCTTGTGAATCTCAGCTGCATCAAGACGCCTAAAGTGCTTGGGCGCCTTGTCGTGAAGAACGAGTAGCCTGCCACTATATACATGCACACCGCGACAATCGGGACGGGAAATGTTAGCACAATCCTCGCCGGATGCATATATTAAACGGCGGGTTCTCTGTGAGCCCGCAAGAGACGCTGTGGACAGCGCGCCCTTTGTCCCTGGCCAGACATTGCCTACCTGATACCCCATCGGCTCCGCAAGTCCTCGGCCATTGCCCGAGTAACACACAGATGCGCGAATGCCGATCTACCAAACGCCTTCTCGAACCTACCCAAACAAACAAGAAAGAAATCATACCCCCATGTAGAATGGGGAGAGCGTGAGTAGATGTCAGTTGCTTGTTCGTCTCAGATACATGCTGGGACCTGTGCATATCTCCTTCATGGCCCTCTTTGTCTCACCATTTGGCCAGCCTCACCACTGGATGTCCGAGCCCCAGCCTGATTCCGAGAATAGTGTATCCGTAATTGTGCCAGTCGATGACCAGCCTGGCGCCAGTCACCAGGGCACACATTTGAGCGACGAGCAGGGTCGGAATCGCCGGCGGATTCTAGACACAGCACGGAACGCACGGTGATATGTTAGTCCCAACTGCAATACCCTCTGGCGCCACCTCGTATGCCCTCTTCCAATTTACCTGCACCACTATGAACTCGGGTCGCTGAATCGCGAACAGCAGCATCCAGAACAGCGCAATGACCTGATATACGATCTTAATTGGTGCATACAGGTAGAATGCTGCACGTGGAGCCGACGCTGGCAGCGGTGGCGGCACCTTGATGTGCCGCAGAGCAATACGCGGCGACTGCACCACGTCCTCCATTGGGCGTGCGCCATCGTAACCGACAAAGTCGACATGCATGCCGCTCTTGGCCAGCGAAATGGCATGGTACTGCATCCGCGGCGACCGGCCGATATCGCCCAGCACCAGCAGTGCGACGCGCTTGCCGCGCAAATCAGGAGCGCTCGGTGTTGACTCCCGGCTCTTCTTCATGGGCCGCTGCCTCAGTTTCGCTCCCTTTTTTGCCATTACCACGAAGTTGGAAAAATAACAGGCACTGCAGCTTGTATACGTCGAATGCAGAGCAAATAAGGATGTATATTAACCCGTAAATTAGCGTAATAAACGCCTCTCAAACACAAATCTCGCATGTGCCTAAACCAGTGTCTGCTCGGCACATACCCGGCTGTATTATGGATCAGCAGCAGATACTGGCCCATCGCACGCTTCCGGCGGATTGGAGGTGTCTGACGTAGCAGCCACGCTAGCCTGATTCCGCGCCTTCAGCAGCCCCTTGACGTACTCCAGGATTGCATGTGCCTTTGCAGGGTCCTCAAGCGCACTAGCCAGTGAGCTGCCACCCACAAGCGACGCAATTCCGCTGGTGTCGATTGGCTCCGGGATGATATCATCCACATTCTCGCCACCCGCCGTCGGCTCCTGGTTGTCGCCCCACCGCATGTCATCGGCAAAATCACTATCGGGCGCTTCCTCTGCAAACAGAACCGCCGACTCGCTGTGATCGCCAGCGCTGGCAGTGGAAGTGTGCCCAGGACTCACCAAGGCTGTTTTCTGCTGCCATGATCGACGCCAGCCTCCGGGTTGCCTCAGCCAGCATGCTTGTGCTGAATGGAATGCCAAATGCCTCAGCTGCCGATGAGATGGCGGAGATGTTGAATGGTCGCAGTTTCTTCAATATATCCGTCTGGCTCGCCGACCCATCGTCCGAGCTGGGTCCTCTGCTAGCTGCGCTCTCATTAGAGCCACTGTCGTCGCCTGTGGTTTCGGTGCCGACACCTATCGTCTTGGCTCGCAAGATGGATGCTGCAGCCTTTTGCCAGCCCGGAATGCAACATGCCGACAGGGCAGCCGTAGGCGCCGACGAGTTTGCTGATGCTGCAGCATCGGAGCCACGTGTCCAGTAGCAGAACGATCGGTGCTCGTCTGCCACATTGAGCGTGTCCCTTGCTGCATTTCCATTGTTCTGGAACAGCCACAGGCCAACTGATCTGAAGCACAGCTCGCATTTGACCGCCGGCTTGGAGAACTCGGGGTCTGGCCGCCACCCAAAGAGGGCTAGTATCAACGCTGACTCTGCGTCTGCCTTTGTAGTGGTTTCACTTTCGCCTGCTATTTTCCCCGCCAGGTCGCTCAGCAGGTTTGCCTGGAATGAGCTCAGCGGATGCACCAGCGCCGGAAACTGCTCACGCGGTTTCAACAAGTCCACTGCATACCCGCATATACTGTCGACTACCTCCTTTGATGTAGCCAACGGCAATCCGTACAGTGCCTTGTCGCACTCGTTCCCTTTCCATGGGCACCGGTCGTTGTGCGAGCTCTGCAGCTGCTGGCTGATCCGATCCACCCACAAAACCTCCTCGTCGTCGTCCAGGTCATCCGGGATCTGGGCAATCACTCGGGCACAGCATTGCGAGCACCTTAACGTACTGCAATCGATGTTTATCCACCCATTGCGTGCGCACTTGACTGGGCTCAGCTGAAGCGAATGCACCAGCCAAGTGTGGATTTTAAATGTGCCAATGCGTGCTAAGAGGTCGTCACGGCTCCATGGCCGGAACCTGTCTATGCTACCAGCTGTTTCTTCTAATGCGTTGTCAGCTGCTTGTATGACCCTGTCTCTTCGTACCGCTTGTGACGTGCTGCTGTGGTTGTGGTGCCGTGGCCGCTTGGTGCCAAATGACGACAATGCAGTCTCGATTCGCCGCTTTGTAAGGTCCTGGAACGATGCAGTTGCCATGGCAGACTCGTTATTTGCTGTACAGGGTTGAATTGGAATGAGGATTTGGGAAACTGGCAGAGAAGAAGACTAGATATTTGAGAGTGCATTTTTCTTCTCTGAAAACTAGCAACACTCACCGGCTTGTTGTGGCTCGAGCCGACTGCGATCGCTCCGGCTCAGCGGCACATTAGCAAGACGGAGAATAAGCAGGCACGGGATGAACAGCGACAGCCAAGCGATCGTGCATCTGCCTTCTTCGTCTCTGTCATCTCCTCTTGAATCGCTCTTTTGCTCTCTCTATATTCACGTCTAATACACATAATGGTATGCTGCTGCTGTTGCTGCTGCTGCGGCACAGCAAACTCAATGAGTCTAGCGTGATATACACCCGAGTTTTACTAAGCACCATATCTGTAGGTCTCAATCAGCGTACTGCTCTTTGCCTCGGCCCGCGATGCTGCGCAGGGAAAGGAACGTGACACAGTAGAGATCGGATCTGCTAGCTCGACGACGCTGGACAAGGTGGTTTCGGCTCTTACTCAGCGCTATCCAGCTCTCGAACGTGTCCTTCAGACAGCCATGCTCTCAGTCAACGAAGAGTATGCAGAGGAAGACGACCTGGCGCTGGTTGCTGTCAAGGAAGGCGACGAGGTTGCCATTATTCCGCCTGTTAGCGGTGGATGAGTCCCGACTTGCACGGCACCATGTCTTTAGAAATATGCTATTGTGTTTTGTAAAAAGAAGTGGCTCTCAGGAACAAGGAATGGAGGAGAAAAAGCGACAATGAAAAGTGGAGGTAGGGTATATAGACGCAGAGATACATAGATATTAAACGACGGCGCGCGGGTGGTCAGGTCTGGCTGCAGAATTTGCGCCAGGTGTGGCATGAGTCGGTTGATGCCCCATGCCAATATCCATGGATGCAAGACCCGGCCACTGTTCACCCGGAGTAGTGATGCTATGAAGTAGAGTACTGCGCAGCGGCTGTGGGAACGAGATCTCGAGCCCCAGGCGCGTACCCTCCGGTGACGAACCATTGTGCAGGTGTGTCGGAGTAGCGATTTCGGGCGGCTAGGCTGAACATGCCTGTTTTCGGATTCACAAACTGCGCATTGCCTGTGCTGCCGCCGTACCCAGCTGTCTTGGTATCATCGTTGCTGTAATCGCTGCTCTGGCTACTTGTGGTACTGCTGCGGCAGTCTATTGGGTTGGACTTTGGCGCGGAGTTGTTTGTGCCCTTGTGATCTAGCGAAATCTGTGGGAACGCCGAGTGGTCAGTGCCACGTACGTTCGAAAAGATTCCGGAGCTTGTTCGCAGGGTCGGATGGAGCTTGGCAGATGCACCCAGGAATAGGCCGCTGCTGAACAAGGATTCATGTGCTGGACGTATGTGCGGCATATTTGTAGTTTCTGACACTGCTGGATCCGTGCCCGGGTTCTTGAACTCCGATGAGTTGACAGCAGAGAGCCGGTAGTTTGACAAAGGCACGCCCATGCCTGTAGCCGGCGCATTGAATGAGTCGAATGAGCCGGGGGTCTGCTGGAACATGCTGGGCACGACGGTGCGGTGCATCAGTATGTCTAGGAGCTGCTGTTATCACTGGTGCGGATACTTCTGTCGCAGTGAAGCTGAATCCAGATGGGTAGTCGAGCCCTGGACATGCGGGGTGTGGCAACAGCCGTGGCTGCTGCACCTGTGAGCTGGCACTAGGCGCCACGGCTGCCGTGTCCTGAGACTTGGTAACGCCGCCCTGGCTCAAACTGTCGAGCAATGCCACAGCAGCAATGTCGCTCAAATTAAATGTGTGCTGCTTTGTCGGTATGGAGTGCCGCAGCTTTGGCTCGTAAGAAGGCATGGGAAGGATATCTGAGAACGGGCGGCTGCTCCCCACGGTTAATCTGTGGTCCACGGTTGAAGGCAGGATACTGCTGCCCAGCGCTGTGGTCAACAACCTGGCGGCATCGAGTGCGGTGGCTGGTGGCACTGGTCGGCTCTGAATTGTGAAAACGGATCGGTCTGAAACACCAGCATTCCAGAGCTAGGGTGTCGCTGGGCAGGCATAGTGCCAGACAGAGATGAAATCGGCGACGAGTCTGCGTGCTTCTGCCCAAAAATATCTGCGTCCAGGATCCCGCGTATCTCTAATGAGCTGCACGGCGTGCTGCATTCGCCGTTTCTTCTCTGGCGCTTTGCAGCCGCACCCGAAGCTGCTGCTGACTTTTTTGCGCGCTTCTTCGTCCCTGCTTCGGTGCGGATCCGGATACGCAACCCCTGGTCGGCAAACAGCTTTGACAGCCTTGTCGACTCCATCATACCGGGGAAGCGCTTCGGCGAGTACACCGAGAACACATCTGAGGTGGCCGACGCCCGGCTGTGCACCATGCAGTCGTCGAGCTCGAACAGGTCAAAGCGCAGCCGGAACGAGCCCTCCATGCGCACGCTCAGGTCGCTGAAAACAAAATAGGCGCCCTGAGCCATGCTCTCGTCGCGCAGTGTGTGCAATGGCGAGACCATCGAGCCCGCCATGGCGTCGGCCTTATGCCCTTTGATCTGCCGGATCACTTGCTCGCCGGCCTCGTCCATCAGCTGCACGTGCATGAAGTAGGACGGGCTGACGGTGAAGCTTTGACCGAAGGGGTCGGCGGAGTCGTGCACCAGGAGCTGGAGGATCGGCGGTGGGTCGATTGGCCGGCGGTCGAGCTTCTCGCTGATGCTGCCGACGCGCGATCCGCTTGGGCTGTTGGCGGACTAGCAGCTCGTAGCGCTTGCCCTGGAACACAAAGCCGTCGGCTGCCTCGGCTGCGGCCGAGCACAGGAGCTGCAGGTTGTTGTTCATCTGGGGTGTGTTGGATCGCGGTCTCACCCACCTCGAGCAGCAATGTCAGAACCACTTATCGATGGGTAGATGTGTCTTGCTCGCTGCCAGGTCACAGCTCTGTGTGCACGGGGCAGCCAAATCCAGGATATATTAAAACCTGGTACCAGAGCTTCCTAATAGTACGTTGCCCACTGAATAGTACTGGTGTTATTTGGTACACTAGACCCTGCACTTGGGTAGGTAAAATTATGTGTACCAAGCAATGGACTGTGAGCAGAGTGTGCAAAAATGGGAAGGATTAATGACAAGACAAACTAAAGGGGCTGGAGGAGAGGGAGCCAGAGTAGAGGGAGTAGAAGGATGAATATATCCAAGCGTCCGGGACCTTGTCGGAAAAAAAAAGCAAATGGAAAAAAGAATGCAAGCATACGAGAAGAGCATGGGCTCAAATATAAGGCTCAAGTAGCAACCAATATACCACAGGAGAATTACCACATTTGCCTCTTCACATCCCCTCATAAACGCACATCCCTTTCCCCTCACTATGCCTCTGCAATATAGCTCTTTTTCCCCATGGCTTATACGGGAAAATGAGCACAACAACTGCTCAATATCTTTCAGCACGGCCGCCCAAAGGCAAGCACGGCTTGGATGCATGTTGCCCATTCCCTAGAATTCAATAAACATGAGAGAATGGCTATTCCCGATCCATGCGGGGAAGGAGAAGGAATGTTGTGCGCAGGCTCCGACCCACACTGCACGAGTATTCGTCAAAAACATGTGGAGACAGAGGGGAGGCAGTCAATGAGGGGCAATATGGTGTGGGGATGAAGGGTATATTGGAGAGCTGCGGGGAAACCGCGTAGCACTAGGAGAAAAAGGCTGGCTGAGCGCATAGGGGCTGGCTGGGTCCGCCTGTATCGCGCCAACATTCCTTCTATTAATCACCACGGCATGCCGGCGAGTCTAAGCATGCCCGGCCTTGGAGATGTACGCGCGTGCGGAGAGAGGGATGTGAGTGCGGGGGGTGCAAGTGGCGGGCTGTGAGGGGAGGCGTTTGGTGTCGTCTGCCGCTCCGGGCACCAACAAACATTGCCCAGCATGCTGATTTCGAGCGCAGATCAAGGTTGCCGGCGGCACCAGCGACCCAACCTACTGCCGGCTCTGCTCAGAAGGACTTTTTCGGGGAAAGTATAAACCGTCTGAACTCGCCGCTGCATGGCGCCTGGCGGAGGGGAGCAACGGGGAGTACGAAGAACGCCGGCTGCACAGAAAATTTGCGTTTTGGCTTCTAGCAATTCCGGACTAGAAGCCTTGGATTGTTCCAACGAGCGCTGACTGGCTGGGGCGCACGAATATGACAGCTATCTGTGGAAAAGTTCAGCAGGCTCAAGGGGGTGACCATGCAAACTGTGTCCTTCTGGGCCTTCCAGCGAATCCCGAGTGTTTCACGCGCAGCCCCTCTTACTAATGGCTGAGTGTTAGGACGCTTCAGTGCGCTTGTCCGGATTCAATGAGGCAGGCCAAGCCTTGGGGCACAGTTTCCCATCCTGGCGGGCGATATAAACTGGCTAGAATAGCCGCAGACGTGGGCCAGCCATTTTTTTGAATCTCCCAGTACCACCATTTTCACCACTTGTCTCCCCCCACACAAACGCAGCACCTTTTTTCTCTTCACCAGTCTTGAATTCCGCCTTGTACAGATTATAATATTCGCTCTCTCTTCAATTCACGCACATGGGAAAGTCACACAGCAAGCTATCGTCGGAGCAGCTCACCGAGCTGCAGAGCACAACCAGCTGTACGTATGCCAGGCGGGGACCATGGACGGCAGGCGAGAACGGGAGAAGCAGCCGGCCGAACACACATGTACTAACAGCCAGCACTGCATCTGTCCTCTCTGTAGTTGAGCGCAAGGAAATCCAGCAGTGGTAAGTCGGCCGGAAGGGGAGCATAACGTCATAGGGAGGGACGGGGCATGCACGGACAGGCATGTCCATACTGGCGCCATCGGTTTATTCATGCAGCAGTTTATGCGCTTTTAGGTACAAGGGATTCCTGAAGGACTGCCCGTCAGGCGAAATCAACCGAGCGGACTTTAAGGGTATCTACAAGCAGTTCTTCCCGTTCGGCGACCCGTCGCGGTTTGCAGACTACATCTTTGATGTGTTTGATCGAAACCGCAACGGGACCATCGATTTCAAAGAGTTCCTGCAGGCGCTATCGATCACATCGCGTGGGACGTCGGACGAAAAGCTCAAATGGGCGTTCGAGCTGTATGATATTGACAGCGACGGGTACATCACCAAGGACGAGATGCTGAAGATTGTCGATGCGATATACAGGATGGTCGGCAGCATGGTGCAGCTGCCCGAGGACGAGGACACGCCGGAGAAGCGTGTCGACAAGATCTTTGGGCTGATGGACTCGGTAAGTTTTTGCTGCTGGGCGGCAGCTACAGTGAGGTGATGGCAGCAAGCGCGGCTTCATCTGGTTGCTCAATTGATGGGTGTGTTTCCTTTGCAATGTAGAACCAGGATGGCAAGATTGACATGCGGGAGTTCAAGGAGGGGTCGCACCAGGACCCACTGATCATGCAGGCGCTGAATTTGTATGATGGGCTTGTGTGAAGGAAGGGAAGGCGGAGATACCCATCGGGTCACTATCAAGGAAGGCGGAAGACGCCAGTTATCGGGCGCTCAGACATTCATGTTTTCTAGTTTCCCCCTTTGGGTGTTTCCTTTTTTTTTTTTGTTGCTCAAATGTTCACATTCCTCAACGGTTTTTACAGAGTGCCAGAACAGGCAAGCCTGCGCTGTGTTGGACAGCTGGCAGCCAAAGACAACATCCTGACATTCGGCGTACACACTGGGGAGCCCGCGTTCGCATAGGTGCATTGACGCGTTGAAGAACTGCAGCGGCGGGCAGCGACAGCCAAGTAGCTGGGCCCGTGCGAAGGAACTAGCACATTCAAGGGGGGGATTCTGTGCGGGTAGGAGGGCAAAGCACACGAGAATCCGCAGCCTGGAACTGGTGGGTCGCATCTGGGCTTTTGGCATTTTCTACCATGCCGCTTGGCGGATCTGGGGAGGATGGACACATTGCAGGTCGTTTGACCTATGCGAGGGTGCTGCCCACACTAGCCTATGCGCGCTGGGAAGGCCGGGGGAGTGTCTATTGTGTGCGCAATTTCATAAGAGGCAGACGGACGGCAGGGGGATCCTCAGCTAGCCAAATATTAGCGGTGTGCATAAATTCAGTCAGGTCGGAAAATGAGAGCACATCTGAGCGAAGGGGCCGCGTTCATTGGCGGGCTAATGCCCGGGATGATGTCCCAGGCTGTGCCGCTCTGTAGAGGCGACAGGGAGCGACATAGCGTTTTGACAGAGGGAAAGCGGCTCAGTACCCGGCCGGGCAGAGGCATTCGAGATCAGGTTACCGAAATCACAGCGCAAAGGGCGGTCGGGAGGTACATGGCAGGCAGGGAAATCGTCTCTAGAGTGTGCTCGGGCAGGCAACAGGCGGGGCGTGGTTTGAAAGACAGATGGGGTTGTTACTCACATAGTTTCTCCAAGGGGCTGCGCTCGGACTAATCCGTTCACTGGTTTCGGGCGCGACAACGGCAGAACGCACTTTTTCTGTTGGGGGTGGCACACCCAGCTGAAAACGTGAGGGGAGAGGAAATAAAAGCGAGGGCAAGTCCCGCGTGATGGACAAGGATCGCGGGTACCCCGATAAGTGAGCAAGCGTCTTTTCTCCTCTACACTAATACTTGCTAATTTGCAGCACTTTGCCCTTTTTTCCATATACTTTTGCCGTCTCTCTCCAACACCTCCCCCTTTTCAATAGTTCCTGGCTTGGGTTGTTCATATACGTGCGTGACGAGTGCTCAGTCCAGCCATCTATTACACCACCTATACAGCAGCTTTGCCTCCTCCTGACAAACCGGGCTGAAAAGAGCCATCGCTCAGATAGACCTCTTTACCACATTATCAACCAGCCCTGTACAGACACCGCCGCTGCCGCTGTTCCCAACACCCCTACGCCCACGGCCTCTGTACTTGTAAACGCCTGAGGCTCAAACCGCAACAAGGGCTGTACCAGGGGCATTTTTTCCTTCCACTTGTGCGGGATAGCTTTATTTTTCGTTGCATATAGTGGGCGCGGGCAAAAACAATAGGGAGAGCAAGAGCTCAGAGGATAATACACCGCAAGCACAGAATCAATGGCGCCTATCCTGCTTCGCATCAAGGGCACGAAGCTGTTTTCGCCGTTCGACGACATTGACGATGTGGGAGACTTGTCGACGATCTGGCGGGTATGCACAAAGGTCAAGGACTCGCTGGAGAACGGGTCGCGGCTAGAGAACCTGTCGTGGCGGCTATGGCACCTGCACCAGATGCTGGAGGCGCGCGGCCATGGGCGCAAGTACCGGAAGCTGTCGCCAGCGACGAACCAAGCAACTGCAGCGGACGATCATCAAGCCGGAGAATTTGCGCAAGACGAAGCCAGTACAGATCCGTGTACGACTGGGCAAGTCAGGTGACCGGCCCCCCGAGGACTCCGGGCTGGTGGAGCCAGTGCCATCGCCAGCCAACGGCGAAGTGGATCGCGACAGCACAGGCGAGGAGACGCGGGCAAAGGAAGGCAGGCGGCGGGCGAAGCGCAAGCAAAAAGGCAGTGGCGAGGCAGGCAGGAGTCAAGCAGCGCCAGCCCCGGGCCGGCAGCAGCGGGACAGCAGCGCCCGGACGCCAGTGTGGCTGAGGAGCCCGCCAGGCATACGCCCAGCGAGATAGCCGAGCAGTCGACAGTGGAGGCAAGCGCAGGCGAAGAGAGCAAGCCTGGCGGCATCAGGAGGCGGCGACTGCTGTGCAGCTGGCGAGTGTCAGCACGCGCGGTAGCGTGTCGATTACCGGCGGACCGGCTGGCGATAATATGGCTGCGTCCAGTGGGCAGCTGGCAGGCACGGCGACGCCGGCTGGCGAGGAGGTGCAGGCGTCGGACTTTATGTCGCTTGGGCCGTCGAGCTTCCTGTCGAGCGGGTTTGATCTGGATCCGCCGCAGATCGAGATCACGCTGGACGATATCTTCTCGGCCAACAACGCAGCGGACTGGTCGCAGTTTGGGATTTTCGTCGATGGGCGGGGCGGCGGCGGCCGGGCTGCAGATGGGCGACTACGCGGGCAGCCAGGGCATGTGGAACGGCGTGCCATACCCGGGGGCGCTGCCGATGGCGCCGTATGGCATGGCGCACGCAATGCCGGCACAGGAACCAGCGAGCAAGTCCGAAGGGCCCATCTGCAACAACTGCGGGGTGAACGTCGACGCCACTGTGGCGGCGATCGGTCAATGACACGCTGCTGTGTAATGCCTGCGGGCTGTACTACAAGCTGCACAACACACACCGGCCCAAGTCGCTGCGGTCAAATGCGCAGCGCAAGGATGGCGAGGAGGAGGATGTGCCCAAGACCGAATGCACAAACTGCAAGACCACGACCACGCCACTGTGGCGCCGCGACGAGCAAGGGCAATCCGCTGTGCAATGCCTGCGGGTTATACTACAAGTTGCACAAGGAAAGCCGCCCGATAGCCCTCAAGACCGACGTCATTCGCAAGCGGCCAGCGCTTCGACGCAGCCACGGCTCCAGCCCCTCGCAAGCGGCAGGACCGCCGCAAGCAAAAGAATGGCGAAATGACCGGCGTCACAGCACCGCGCCGATCCGCCGCTGTGCAGCCAAAGGCAGCTGCTGGGCGTGCTGCCGCAGCTGCCTACCCAGCCCAGCATTGCTGGCAGTGCGTCCGCTGGGCCAATTCACAGCGCCGATGGCGCCCTCATACACAGCTAATGGCACTCAGCTGCTGAACAGCGCCGATGTAAGCAGCTCTGGCGGCAGCTCCGGCAGCTACACGCAGCAGGTGCAGCCGCCGGTGACGCAGCCGGTGGACTTCCGGCGACACAGCACGGCGCTGCCGGAGTTGCCTAGCATGGCCAGTACGTCGCGCCAACCAATGGATGTGCCGCACCGCGCGTCGCTCAGCAGCTACGATGCAGCTGCCGTTGCTGCCTCGGCCGCCGTCGGCAGTCCTATGGGCGGCGGGCGGGCGCTGGGCGGCTCGATCAACATCCCGATGTCGCCGCAGCCCGTGGCTCGTGGCGAGTCGTCGTATTTTGCTCGCACACCCAGCACCTCACAGCCCCGGCGGCTCGCATGCGCTGCCGCCGCTGGCAAATGGTCTGCAGCAGGGGACGCGGTATCCGGCGCATGGGTTTGGCAGCAGCGATGGCGTTCCCATGCATACGCCACTGTCGGCTGGCGGCAGGTAAGCAGCATCTGGATGCGGGGTCGCGGCAGCTGCCGTCGCTGTCCGAGCTGGCCAGAACAAGCACTGGCGATGGTTCATACCAGCAGCAGCACCAGCAGCAGCAACAGCAGCAACAACAGCAGCAGCGATACATTTCCCCCCACTCTGTAAATTCAGGAGCCCCGCACCGACCCTAGCTTTCCAGATCTTTAAGCCATTTAGGCATTTAAAATAAAATAGTTGTTCAGAAGATTGTCAGCAGCGCGAAGCTTGCGTAGAATAGACCAACAGGGTAGGCGACAAGTAACCGCTGCTCAGACATGGACAGGATGGTGACAAACATGGTCGCCGACGAGTACGTGCACCACAGAATCGGCACGACAGCCGCCAAGCCGGCCAGCTGCGCTGCCTTCAGGTCCACCGTGAGCCCCAGGCCGCCCAGCACCAGGATAGGCAGCAGGCAGTACCCGAGAATGCTGGCGGTCCGCATAACCTCAATGCCGCCGTGCGACATCAGGTTGAGAATGGCCCAGATGCCCAGAGTGCCCAGCAGCCCCACGCCATAGATATACCCAAACTGCGACTTGCCCGACAGCAGCAGCAGCGTGCCCAGCACCAGAATGAACAGCAGCGGGCCGGCCATATCGGCGTCATCGTAGATCTCGCGGTCAATAGGCTTGAACGGGTTCAGCACCGCCAGCGTCTTTGATTTTATGTGCTGGAAGTTTATCTCCAGCTCCTCCAGAAGCGGCGGCTCGTTCGGGAACCCGCCGGTGCCGAAGGCTGCCAGAAACGACCGCTCCTACCAGCGGCGCCGCCGTGCCGTACGAGGACGCGTAGAAATCGTCGCCGGTGCCGTGCATGTTGGCTTGCGCGGCCGACGGGTCGCTGTACTGCGTCTGGTAGAACTCGAACCCGTCTGTCTGCTGTGCGTGGGGCGGGAGCCCGCTGTTGCCGTAGCCGGCGTCCTGGTCAAAGAGTACCGAATGTGCCATGGGAAGAGGTGAGAGATGAGGATGGAGTTTGAAAATGAAGGAAAGGAAAAAAAAAAGAAGGAACCGATTTTTCGCCAAGCAGTTGAAAGGATTTTTTTTCTCGCAGAGCATCGCTGTTGCATAATAGTCTGCTTGTGCTTATTTTGTACAAGGCTAGCGAGTGCAATTGCACACGAATTTGGAAAAAGAGCATACTCTTTTTTCAAACACCATATTCTATCATAACCATGCGGCCAGCAAAAGACACCGACGGCACTAGTGGCGACGCAGGCGGTCAATGCAGCTACACTCACATCCAGCAGCAACAACAACAGGCAGCAGCAGCTCCAAGGCGCGGACATCGCAGAAGCAAGTGGAAAAGATTGTGCTGCAGTACCTGCAGGACAAGGGCTACAAGGAGGCTGAGAAGGCGCTGCGCAATGACGCCAAGCTAGAGGGCAGCGAATCGACGCTGGCAGACCTGGCAAGCGGGTTCCCGGCGAACGAAGTCGGGGCGGACGCCAGCGTGCCCAGCTGGGTGATGTTCTACAACCAAGCGGAGCAGGGGAACCCAGGATGCGTACAACCAGAGCTATGGGTCGCTGCGGCGGTGGATCGACAGCTCGCTGGACGTATACAAGCACGAGCTGTATGCGGCGTCGTACCCAGTGTTTGTGCATGCGTACCTGGACCTGCTGATGCGCGGGCTGGGCGAGAAAGCGCAGGAGTTCATTGACAAGTACTCGGGCGACCACATGGTGTATCCATGCTGGCGATATCGCCACGTTGCGGACGCTGCAGAATGCAGAGCACGTGCGCAGCAACGAGCTGGCCAAGGCGTACCGTGACAACAAGTACATGGTGCGGATGACACGCGTGGGGTTCGAGCTGCTGCTGTCGTTCCTGCAGGACCACCAGTACACGCTGCTGATGCGGTCGGTGAACCAGCACCTGAACATCCGCACCATCGACGGCACCGAGCCGATCAGCTCCGAGGGCGCCTGCAGACGTGGGCATCACCTGGCCACACGCAGAACCAGATCGACGCGTTCAATGCGCAGCCGGTCGCGCTGGGCCCGGCGCCGATCGACCCGTTTGTGCGCGAGCAGGTCGAGCGCACATTGCGGATCGGTGCCGGATCGGCGTGTCAAGGACGAGGCGGCTACGGAATCGGCGGCGCTGCTGAGCGAGTTTGGCAAGATCAAGCAGGAGGGCGTGGCCGGCGCTGTGCCAATGCCGCCGGCGCGCGGACGCGACGTAGGTGCAGCAGATTGCAGCAATTGCAGGGCAGCACGCAAGCGCGTGGCCCTAGGCCCGGCGGCGCTGCCGTCGGTGTGCATGTACACGCTGCACAACACCGGCGGCACGCTGAACTGCACGGACGGTCTCGGACGACCTCTCGCTGATGGCAGCTGGGATTCTCCGAGTCGTACATCAAGCTGTGGAGCCTGGACACACGAGCCGCTGCGGCGGCTCAAGAGCTCGGTGTATGCGCCGGCGGTCACCAGCGAGCGCGATCTGGAGGCGGCTCGCGAGCCAACGGGTGGCGAGTCGCGGCGGCTGGTGGGCCACGCGGGCGCCGTCTATGGGCTGGACATTAGCTTCGATAACCGCTACATGATCTCGGCGTCCGAGGACCGCACGGCGCGGCTGTGGAGCCTGGAGACGCTGACCAATGTAGTCAGCTACAAGGGCCACAACTACCCGGTGTGGGACGCCAGCTTTGCCCCCCAGGGCTTCTACTTTGCCACAGCCTCGCATGACCGCACGGCGCGGCTGTGGAGCTGCGACCACATCTACGCGCTGCGCATCTTTGCTGGCCATCTGTCGGACGTCAACTGCGTGCGGTTCCACCCGAAACAGCAAGTACGTGGTCACAGGATCCAGCGACAAGTCTGTGCGTCTCTGGGACGTGCAGCGCGGCAGCTGCGTGCGTGTCTTCACCTGGCCACACGGGCTCGGTCGACACTGTGGCCATTTCGCCCGACGGCCGCGTCATGGCGTCGGCTGGCGAGGACATGGACCGTCAATGTGTGGGATCTGGGCTCCGGCCGCCGCATGGAGCAGCTGGCTGGCCACACCGGCCCCGTCTACTCGCTGGCCTTCAGTCCAGGAGGGCACATTGCTGGTATCGGGCGGCGCCGACGAGACCGTGCGCGCATGGAGCATCAACCGATCGCCCGACGCCAGCGACCATCCGATCGTCGTCCACCGCCGCGAGCACCCGGCGACCAGCGACAAGGACGCGGCGGCAAAGAAGCGTGACGCGGCGGGGCTCTGGAAGGCCAAGAAGGTCCAGGAGAGCGAGGCGCTGCTGGCTACGTGGCGCACCAAAAGCACTCCGATATACGATATCATGATGACCAAGCGCAATCTGGCCGTGGCCACCGGCGCGTTTACATTATAAGCGAGAAAAAATACATGTTTGAATGATCCCATGCTGGCTCTTACCCGAACCGCGACGCCCCGCCGCCCTCCCAGTTCAGCGACGCTTCGACATCCAGGAACGGATCGGCTGCATAGTGATTGCACACCGTGAAGCCCACCGCCTGCTGCTGCCGTGACCGCTGGCCATTCTGCGCGCTGCTTGACAACACAACCGGGCGCACCGGCGCACTGTGCGATGCTGCCAGACGCCCGCTGCCCGCCCACCGGCGCCCGGCTGCTGCCGACGTAAATGGCGCCTGGCCGTGGCTGTGCATGCGGTGCCGTGTGGCTGCGCGTGGGCTGGAACTGGTTATAGTACAAGGTCGCGCTCCGACGCATCCATCTGCGATGCATTCTGCAGACTGCAGAATCCCTCCAGCGGCGACTCGGACCCAGAGGCGTGCGCGTCTTCGCTGTGCTGGCTGCCATGCGATGGCTCGGCCGGAGTCGCCCTGGCTGCTCCAGGTTGTCGTGGTACCATTGCGTGATGCTGGCCAGCGGGTCGCTATTGCCGTGCTGCTCGAGGCTGTTCTCTTCCGACCTGAACTCCGAGATCGGGTCGCTGTGCAGCTCTGCCAGGGGTGGTATATTTGCGAGCTCTGGCAGTTGGTCCGAGAGATCAGGCGACTGGCCCGGGGTCTCCGGAATAACCTCCAGCGCTGCTACCACGCCCTCCCCTCCCGGCTCCTGCGCGCCCACAGCTCTGTCAGCCCGGAGTAAGGCGAGCTCGGCAGCGAATCCTCGCCATCCAGCGGCCTGCGTGCAGTCCACCAGCACGGTCTGCATGGCCGCATTAAACCTCTGCACCGTCGGGCTGCTGGCATTCAGCATGACCGGCGACGACTCATAGCGCATCCGCTTCGGCTTCACCTCCTCCACATCGCTGTCGCTCAGCTCCACCACCTCATCCAGTACGATAGGCGACGACGAGGCAGGCTGCGGCGATTGCCTGGTGCACAGGGGCTGTGGCGCCGGACAGGGAATGCCGGCTGTCGTCGAGCAGCACGCAGTCGGACGTCTTGGGCTCTTGCGAGCGCGACAGGGTGCGGCTCCACATGGTCAGGGTTGTTTGTGTGGGGCCATGCGGCCGCTCGTCGACTATTTCGATGTCCCAGTACTCGGCCAGATCTCCGCTGGTTGTGTGGCCTGCTCCTTCTTCCTTTTCTTGGCTGGCCGTCGCATTGCAAAAGACAAATAAATTCAATTGAGCAGGGCTTCGTGTGCAATTTAAAAAAAAATACAAGAGGCGAAATAGGGTTTCGTGGGATCACGTATCCCAAGGATGCTTTTGTAAAATTAAAAAATGGCTGGCTGAATATCGATCTCAGCTATCTTTTTTTTTTTTTCCTAGCTCGCAAAGTTTTTTTTTTATCAATGTTTGCATGGACACGGACGGTGGTGCGCAATTCCCTGAGCGTTAGCAAAGCACAATGCCGGTTTTACGCTAGCGGCAAGTCCAAGAAGCGCGGCCCACACCCGTCAGTCAAATACCCGCTGACCAGCAACATGATGATGCGCAATAGCATGGACTTTCTCTATGGCATGCAGCCGGTGCTAGGCAGCGCTCTCTCAGGGGACGCGGCAGGTCTACGGCCTGTACGTGCAGCACCAGCGCGAGGGCGATGCACCGGCGCCAGAGCGCATGCGGGCGCTGGAGCTGGCAGCGCAGCAGGACATTCCAGTCAAGCATGTGCCCCGGGATCTCCTCGACCGCATGTCCCTGGGCAACCTCCACCAGGGCATAGTCCTGAAGGCCGACCATCCTGGCGGCCGACGAGTGCAAGCAGCTGGGGCCGCTCGCTGACTCGCAGTACTGGGTGGAGATCCAGACCACGCGCACGCAGCTGACGCCGCAGCGGCCATTCCCGCTGTGGGTGCTGGTGGACCGGGTGCAGGACCCGCGTAACCTGGGGTCGATTGTGCGCTCGGCTATGTTCTTTGGCGCCGACGGCCTGGTTGCGTCGCGCAAGGACTCGTGTGTTCCGAATGCGGTGGTGGCCAAGGCCAGTGCCGGCGCCCTGGAGGCCACGCGCTTCTTGCGCTGCCGCAATGTCGACAGGTTCGTCGAGAAGTCGCGCGAGAACGGCTGGCTGGTGGTCAGCGCCGCCGCGGGCGCCTCGGGAGACCCCCGGATGGCCACCGTCGGCGGGATGGGCGAGATCGACCGCCCCGTGCTGCTGGTGCTGGGCAATGAGGGCGGCGGCGTGCGCTCCTCGGTGCTGGACATGAGCCATGTGCTGCTCAGCATCCCTATGCGGTCGGAGCTGCCCAGATACTTTGACTCGCTGAACGTCGGCGTCGCTGCCGGCGTGATCCTGTCGTCCCTGCGGTTCAAGGGCGAGGAGTCGTAGCAATCGTCAGGTGGCTCTTTTGTTTTTGTTTTCTTTCTGCAACTTCGTTTTTATTCTCAACTACCTGTGTATAGCATTTGGGGTTTAATGAGCGAGAGCCCCCTGCAATCCATGACCAAATGAGCCCGCAACCCGGTCCGCCCACGCTCTACGTGCCCGTCGTGCCGCTCCACGACAAGTACCTTCCAGCCCAGCGCCTGCTCGAGCAGTACCCGGGGCTGCGGTACCGGCGCTTCCTAGAGGCGCCGGTACGTGTTGACGCGCGCGACTCGCACTCTCTACCGCTAGGCCCGCACGGCCGGCCGCTCTGCCGGTGGTGCGGGCTGGAGACATCCGGCCAGCCCTTCTGCGCAGGCACGCAGTGCCGGCATGAATACACGGTCCGACGCGATGGCCAGTACGTGCGCAAGCAGCTGTACCAGCGCGACCGCGGCATCTGCGACCAGTGCACAGTCGACACCTTCCAGATGCTCAAGCAGGCAAACAGCTGCACTGGGCTTGCGCAGCGCCGCAGGCTCGTAAGGCAGTGGAAGTCTGAGCAGAACGCCGAGTGGGGGAACAAGATGCGCAAGCCGCTGAATAGCATGCAGGAGCAGTTCCTGCCCGGCATGTTCTGGGAGGCCGCGCATATTGTCGATGTGCAGGAGGGCGGCGGGGTCTGCGGCCTGGAGGGGTTCCGCACCCTGTGCGCCCCCTGCCACTTCGAGGAAACCTCTGCTAGGCACCGCGCGCTGCTGAAGAACATCCAGCACAGATGCCCCACCTGCGGCGATCTGCCGCTTGCCCGTCCGCTGCGCGTCAGGGCAAAGTCGTCGCCCAGCCTCTGCGTTGAATACGCGCGGTACGAGTTTGGCCGCGCCTCCATCAGCGCCGACCGCCGGCTGCCGGCTGCCTGCAGCAGGTCTGATCTGACTCCCCGCGAGTCGCCCAAAGAGTCGCCCGCGAAAGCCGCTGCCAGGATTTCCGACGCTGTCGCCAGAGTTAGTGCATCGCTTGCATGCTGCAGGATATCTGCAGAGAAACCAAGAGTGCCTGAGCCAGTATCGCCGGAATCTGCCTCGCCAGACTCGGCAGCCAAGGGAGACAGCGACGCCTTTGCCACTGACTCCACAACTGCCAGCAGCACCACCAGCACCACCAGCACCAGCAGCGGCACAGCTGCCAATGGACGCTGAATCTAGGCAGCCGGTTCCCAACGACATCGCCGACCTGGTAACAGGCTTCGCTACCATCCAGCTCGATCCATCTGCCACCGCCGCCACTCAGCCCAGGACCATCCACCGCGCAATCAAGGAAGAGCGCCCACGCCCCGTGATCCCCTTCCCCGATCTCTCCAAGTTCGCCAGCCCGTCAGCCGAACCAGCCGAGCCCCTCCCCATCTGGACTGCCGCCGAAACCCTAGCCGTCATCCGCGGCTTCCAGACACTCGGCCTCAAGCCCTACGCCATCAAATGCACCTCCAAGAAGCAGCTCGCCGCGCGCTCTCTGAGGCAGATCGAGGACCGCATCTTGCTGCTGCAAAAGAACGGCAAGCTATGACTCTAATTGTACATAAAATTACTCTAAATCAACCAAAAACTGCCTCTCTACCGCTGCACCACCAGCATCGCCGAGTGCACAAACGACTTGGACCCTGTCACCAGCACCTCCACCGGCGCCACCAGCTGTCCCAGATCCACAATGCTCTGCGACCCCTGCCGCATCCGCGCAGGCAGCGTCGCCACCAGAGGATCGGGCCCCGCCCCGCTGCCCATATTGGCTATCGAGAACTTGCGCCGCCGCGCCCGCAGGTTGTCGATTGAGATCGTCGCGCTCTTGCTCAGCGACCGCGGCGTCAGCGTCGGCATGCTCGTATTCAGCACCGGCCCCCGCCCCTGTGTCGCCGATACCAGGCTCGCCATGCTGCTAGTCGGCGTGGTTGGCGACGCCATCTGCGCCGAGAACCTGGTTGCAATGAACTTCAGCGCGCTGGCCAGGCTCGGCGCAATGTATATCTGCTCCTGCCCCATCCCCGTCAGCTCCGTCCAGTAGTCGCGCAGCACGTGCTGTGACAGCTCCGGCGGCACATTTGAGTCAATCACGTTCGACTCGTGCAGCGCGTTCGTTGCAAATATGCAGTGGGTCCACGTCTGCCTGCGCAGCGGCTTGTGCAGACTCCGCAGCAGATCCCGGTAGTCCGCCGTCAGCCACTGCCCTGTCGTCTCGCTGCGGTACCGCACGCTGCTGATAAACGAGTCCGGGCAGGTGTATCAGCAGCACCCGCGGACTGCTCGTCCCCAGTGACGCAAACCACTCGCCGGTAAGCCCATAGTCCGACGGCGTCTCTGCCGCATTGAAGTGCCAGCTCGCCGCTATCCGCGTCTTCCTCACCACCGAGTAGAACCGCCCTGGGCACCGCGCCGAGACCAGCCCCCGCACCATCCACTGCGCCGTGTGCGCTGCCAGCGAGATCGAGCTCGCTGCCGTCACTGATGGCCGCCGGACCGGTGCTCGGAGCGTGATCGTCGCCGGGATTGTCGGCCCCGCCTTCTCGATCCCCTGTGTCAGGGGGTGGTGCTTCGTCAGCCCGCACGCCTCTGTCCACGCCTGGCACAGTGCCATTGCCAGCTTGGCAGACCGGTTCTGCCCCGGTCCAAATACCCCCAGCTGGATGCCCTTGCACGCCGGCATAGTCGACAGCGACGCTGCAAACACCACCGGGATGCTAAAGATTTGTGCCACGCTGTGCAGCTGCATTCGCACGATGCGCGGCTGCGACGACGACACGATCTGAATCTGGTGCCGCAGCATGTACATCAGCCGCGCCCGCCAGTTGTTTGGCAGCTGCTCCGCGTACGACGGCAGCGACTCGAACCCGCACAGAATCGTCGCCGGCTTGAACCGCTCTATAACCATGTGCTCCAGAAAGCCTGTGTCGTCATCCGGTCTCTTTGCGCCCTTGGCCTGGTATGCACTCGGCAGCAGCCCCATTGCGTCCACCGGCGTCGGGACCGGCTCTGACACTGCAATGGCGATCAGCGTCACGCGCAGTTTCTCAAACACGCGCAGCGCAATGTCCACCAGCAGGTCGTCGAGCTTCTCCGTCGCACTCTTCTGTGTTCCCGCACGCGCCCGCTGCCGCCCCGGAAGCCCCTCCAGCACCTCCTTGACCGTGCTATTAAACAGCATGCTGTCCACGGGCTCTCCACACACCGTGATTCGCTCGCGCGCATGCAGCGCGTGGTCGTCCAGGATTATCCCGTATGTCGGCGCTGCCTCTGGATGGCTCGCTCGCAGCTGTGCTAGCATCGAGTCCAGGTACACCAGTGTCATGCCGCCGTGGCTCCGGTACACAAACAGGACTGTGCGCGCCGACGGTGTGCTACGCAGAGATGGCGGCGGCGATCGCGTCCCCGGCGTGTGGCCGTAGCCATGTGTGTGTGAAACCGGTGCGTGATTGCTGTACGGCGATCGGGGCAGCCGGGCCCGCGGATATGCATCTCCATGTGTCGCGATCATCGCTTATAAAACAATAATGTGTAGTGGTCCCCGCCTACTTTATTCGTCGGTCCCAAACTGGTCCTCCCTACGTAATGAGCTGCATTGTTAATGCCACTTCCGCCATGGCGTTGTTGCTGGTGTTGATATGTCGGGCCGGATCGCCATGCCAGTACTATTTGGGAAATGTGCGCCCATCTCATTTGTAATTGCCAGGCTGCCCAGCCCTGCCAGCGTTTTAAAAATAAACACGCCCATGGCAACACCGAAAGAACCTGCACTTACCCTTTGTAAAAGGAGGTGGGCTATTCTATGCCAGTATGCTGGCCAACAGGGAATGGCGCTGTCGTGTGAGCAATGGGTAAAAGAGAAAGCTTTCGCCTTTGCGGCTCTTTGTGAGTCCAGGAACCGGGAAAGGAATTGAAGGGATCTGCTGGACAGACAGCAAAGCGCAGTAATTGAACGAAAGTTTGCTTGGATAAGAGAGTAAAAGGGAGTAATTCAAGGCAGAGGAGAGGAGAGAAATAAGGGCTGTTGGCTGAGCGGCCTTATTTTCTTTTGACGGTGGTCTGACCCTGCCCGAGTCAGAGGACGTGTTTTAGCTATCGGCTAGTGCAAATGATACGCGGGCTGCAGATGCACGAGTGGTATTGATTCCCCCTGGCCGACAGACTCGGAGAAGGGTGTGTGCGTGTGTCAGGGCGCAACGCTGGACAATGAACAGAAGGTGATTGTGTCCGAGGCGCCAAGATGATGCGGGGAGGGAAAGTGTGGGGAAAAATAATAATCAAGCGGCAGAGTGGAGGAAAAAGTGGTTCTGTGCGCTGTTGCTCGAGTGAAAAAAAAAATATGGCTGCTGCTGACGACGACGAAGAAAATAGGAACAAAAAGGCGGCAATTCGCCTTGCCGGAGGAATTACTTTTCCTCTCTCCGCCTGCGCACCCCCCGCTGCACTCAAATGCCACCTTGCTTGCCAGTGCATTGCTCTTGCAGACATCTCCCTTTGAAGAGCCTCCTGTTTGCTTTTCGAAGCGGCCTGCACTGATAATCGATCGTTTGGCTGCGACGGGACTTGCAGTGATTCGCACCATTCGTGTTGTCGCTAACGCTAGTGCTGCGCCAAAGCGCGCACGCCCAACCCACACCGAACGTGTGCTTTGGGGAGGGATGGGATGGGCGGTCGTACAACAAGCTCTATTTGACTGGTACTCTCGTCATCTGCAGCCGCCACGTCCGCCGCCGCTCGCCTCGGCTCAGCCCCGAATCCAGTGGGGCTCTCAGGCCATCCCTCCCTGGCATAGCCGGCTGACAGTGCTAGTGGCCGGGCGGTCCTTTGCTACTTTGGCGGGTTGCTGGAAACGCCAGACTGGCCCAAAACCTGCTGAAGCCAGCAAACCACAAGAGGGATTGGCACCTCCCATCTCCTCTCTGGCGCAACCCACATTCTGTTGATCTACCAACACCTGGTTCGCCAAGCCAACATTTTTCAGCCCGCATACTTGCCGCTCCACCGCGTGTTGTTGCGAATCGTCCATTTGCGTACGTCCTGCAGTCAAATTAAAGCCTGCCGGCCATGGCAATTTGGGGAGAGAAGGCTGTTGATTTCTAGATCGCTACAAAGATGAATATTACCGCGCCATCTGCTGCTCGCTGACTGCCTGCGTGCCCGCCACCTGCGCAATGGGCAATGGCGACACCGTCATGTTCGAGGTCCTCCCGTGCCGCTCCAGATCGCAGTTCTTCAGCGACCACGCCGGTCGATATACTCCATCCCTCTCGCATAGCGCCGGATTCCGCACTGTCTCGTCGACATCGCCCAGCGATGTATATCCCTGGTTATACAGCCCGCAGTAGTGCACGTCTGCAGATCGGATAAACTCCCAGATATCGTCAAACGACCAGTCCAGGACAGGGTTCACGCGCGTGAACTCGGGCCACCCGTTGTCCGTTGGCGAGAAAAAGTCTAAGTTCTTGCCGTGCGGGTCGTCGCGCCGTGTGCCCACGAAGATTGCTTGCACATGTGGGAACGACGCCTTGAATTCCTCCAGGCCTTGCCGCATCCCGCCGCCCTCGCGCACCAGCTGCAGGCGGTACCGCCCAACTGACTCCTCCACGAAATCGTCCATCTCTGCGAATGCCTTCGAGGACACCACGTACAGAGACAGCAGTGGCAGGGCTGCCCGTCCACCGCTCGCCGATGCCTTTGGTGTGCTTGTCCGGTACAGCGCTGCCCGCAGCAGGTGCATCAGAACCGTGCAATCCTTGCCGCCATTGAAGCTCAGTGCGATCCGCGACGGTCTATGCAAGATGCGTATTAGTTTATCCGCCAGGTCTCGCCTCCCTATGCGCATTCCCCTTGGCTTACTAATCCCACTTACCCGTATGTGCCGATCGCCTCCTCAATGACCTCGAGTGCGTGTGCGACCTTGGCGCCGAATTTCGTCGGCTGGGCGGCAATGCCGTATGTAGCTGCGCTGAGCGCTGCGAAGTCTAAGGGGTTGGTGGTGCTGGTCCGCGAAACCATCGTGTGCTGTACAAGTGTGCTGAAAAGGATACAAAGGAGTGTGTTCTTGGGTGTTGGTAGTCTGGACGACAGAAAGCTAAAGTGAATTTACAAAATAATAATAAAGTGAAGCTGAAAAGGAGAGCTGAAAAAAAGCCATCGATTTTATAGCCCAAGAAAAACCAACACTTGGCGTGCTCGCGGTTGCCCCTTCACGTGCAAACCTCCACGGAGGCCCACCAATCCCCGGACCAACCCTGTGTCTGTCCATTTGCTCCCAAGGCTAATCGCATGCAAGGCTCTCTAGCCAACACTGCACCAGACTTCTAGCTCATATCCGAGGCTTGCCATAGGCTTCACTCAGACGCCGGGAGTGCATAATGTGGCATCTTTGAAACACAATTCCAGGCGCCTGCGTCCCACCTGCCGGCTGGGCTGGGCCAGACCAATCTGCGCAGACAGCACCCGCATATTCCATGCTGTCGTTCAGCCTATAGCGTCTGCTACTACCTAAGGCGCATGTGCGGGGGGTATGCCTGCCATTGCGCATGAGCCCACATTGATTTATGCCACACGGGCTGGTTATGCACTTTTTGTATTTGATTGCAGAAAGACGCCCCTACTCGACCTGGACGAACGGGTTCGCAATCTCTTCTGATCCGTCTGTCGGCGAAATGAGAATGATGCTGGGCCCGCGCAGGACCACCAGCCCGACCTTGCGCGTTGTCTCGGCCTGCGCCGCCTCGCCATTGTCGTGCGCTACATAAATTATACTATTAGTGTGCGTGGTTTACTCGCCGCCTGCAGGCTCCTTTGCTTGCACGCTTTCCTTACCACGCAGAGTTTCCACCGCATCGTCAAGCACAATGTTCATCAGCTGGTCGAAGCCCTTGAGTACGCCGGTGACTACATGGTGAAATACAGTTAGTATCAGCCAGCCTGCCACGCTCCATCCACCACTGTGGTTGCTATTGGCCTCGTACCTTCACGGCCGCCCTGGAACTTTACACGAATACGCTTGTCCGAGTATCTGTTGAGGTCGAAGATCGCGTCACGCTTCCTCTTTTCCTTTTGCTCGCGCTCATCGTGGTGTCCATGGTTGTTGCTCCGGTAATTCCCGCTGCCACTGTTGCTGTTGAAGTGGCCGCCGCCGCGCTGGTTGCCGCCGCCTCTGTTGTAGTACCTGGTGCCGTCGCGCATTGCTAGTGGGTTGCTGAGCTATACAAGGAATGTCGCCTGGAAAAGAAGAGAGCAGGAATGAAGCTGCGAATTGCGGCACTGCACACCCAACTGCCACCCCTGATTCGGCAAGAAATCAAATCAAGCGATCGACGCGGGCTGTCTGTGCTGACAGGCGCGCTTTCCGCTGGGTGCAAGGGGGGTCAAAAGTTTTTTCCCGTCTTACCACACTCGGCAGACACGAGCAGGACTGAAAAGGCGTAGAAAAAACATCCCAGCATCGCATTTCCCCTCCCTTTTTCCTCTTTCTTCTTTCTTTCTCCCGCTGCTACAGCCCTTTTCGCTTTTTGCTTCAACCAAGCAGCATTTCTTCAAGCACACCGCCCAGCCATTAGCCATGCCGATGGAATCCTAGCCAGTGGATTGATGTTGTCGAGGACAAGTTCAACTACAACCTGGACCACTTTGTCATCCCCGACCACTACCAGCACGATGTGAAGAGCATTCTGATCCCCCACGGTCTCATCATGGACCGCATTGCCAAGCTGGCTCAGATCATCACCTCCGAGTACGACAACGAGCGCATTACTGTGTGCTGTGTGCTCAAGGGCGGCCACCAGTTCTTCAGCGACCTGATCAACTACATGAAGAAGGCCCTCAACAAGCAGGGCAAGACTCTGCCCCTGACCCTCGACTTTGTGCGCGTCAAGAGCTACGAGAACGACCAGTCTACCGGCGATGTCCGGATTTCGTGGACCGAGAAGGAGCTCAAGGAGCTCAAGGGCAAGGTAAGCTTCTCTGTCACCATGATCTCACCTCCACATGACTTCAGGCATGCGATGCTGTGCACGCCAATATCCAGCACATGTGGTTGAGGATGTGCACCCAGCTTCATACAAGCTGCCGAGCGCAGCCAAAAACGCCTCCCCCTATCCGGGAATGATTAATGGGTGGTGTGAATGAACAAACACCCGATTATTTTTGATTGTGTCCTAATTTGTAAACGTGGGTACGTGATTGCAATTGTAGAATCTGCTGCTTGTCGAGGATATCATCGACACGGGCAACACAATGAAGAAGCTGCTGGCCACGCTCGACAAGTACGAGCTCAAGTCGCTCAAGGTCGCCTCGCTGCTGCTCAAGAAGACCCCGCTGTCGTGCGGCTACGTGCCCGACTATGTCGGCTTCGCTGTCCCCGACCTGTTTGTCGTTGGCTACTGCCTCGACTACAACGACATCTTCCGCGACCTCGACCACATTCTGCGCTATCAGTGATATTGGCAAAGAGAAATACTCTGTCTAAACTGTTTCGGCCAGCCTGGTCTCTCGTTTTTCTCTCGCCTCTTCACCGCTTACCAAATACATACTACAAAATTGGCGGAGACCCAGTGCCATGATAGCATTAGGCGGATATTAGGTTGCTCTTTGAGATGCAAAAAAGGAACACATGCGCACAATGGCTGAATGCACACCAATACATGGAGGTGCATGTCTCGTCATGTGACTGCTATGGAACAAAAACCACGATGCCTGGGCGAGCGGAAAGTGTCTGAGATGTTCATTCACACCCGGGGCAGAAAGACACCAGGAAACACAAGCTGCTGCACTGCTGCCGCGTATGCAGCACTGTGGGCGGGCATTTTCTTTCCTACCCACAGTGACCATGATGAGCTCACATGCCCTTCATATCGCAGTGTGCGCTTGCAGCATTATGCGTGATAAACTGCTGGTGCCTGCTGTGTTTGCGCATGGCTCTACAAAGAAGCGTGGCCGCCCATTCGCCTGGGCCTTGGCGACGCAAGCTTTGACAAAGAAGCCCCATCCCAGCTGCGGCGTCCACATGGCCGCCCCCGTTTACCACGCCATTTCTTCCGCCAACAGAAAGCGGGCGGGCTTGTTTTCCCACTCAGAGACAGGCTGCCGAGGACGCAGGGGCGCACGGTGAACTCGGAAAACTGCTATTATTTCACGGTGTATCGAGACGTCTTGCAGACAGTAGCAAACAGACTATGGAAGAAAAAACAAATACAAAGGGGATATGGAATAGGGAGGTGGGTATGTGTGCTCTGGGCGGAGTTTGAATGAATGTACAGGGGCGAAACGCCGTGTCTTTGGTCTGGTCGAGGGGACTGCGCACTTTTTACAGCGCCGACATCCCGCTGCTGCTGCGTCTGCTGGGCGTGGAGCTGCCGTCACAGTCGCTGCTGCTGCCTGCCGCCCATGGCTAGCAGCGGATCAATCAGGCGCTTCAGCGAGCCCATCAGGCCCGCCGACCCGCTGGTGCCGGGCATGTCCTCGCTGTGTCCTGCGCTGGATGCGCGCCTCCAGGCTGCGCTTGGCCTCGCGCTCGCGGCGCTCGATCTCTGCGCACTCCTCGTCCAGCAGTTTGCGCAGGTCGGTGAACGACTGGTAGGTTGTGATCGGCTCGCCGTCCTCAAAGTAGCTGTTGGCCATCGAGTAGAACGCCGGCGATGCTCGTATCGACGACAGCTGCTTGACGCGGCGGCGCGGCGGCTGTTCCGAGAGAGCAGTGTCTGTGGAAAGCGCCATTAGGGAAAATACAGAGGGGCAAGGGGTGTGGTAGGAAGGGGTGAATGAGGGGAGAGGTTCTGCAGGATGGAAAAATAGTGGCCAGGGACTGGCCGCGGTTTATATAAAAATCGGGGTTCACAGTGCCGGCCTGCCCGTAGAAAAATTGGGCAGAAAGGGCAAAAATAGCGGCGGGCGACACACTGCTGGGTGGGTTTGCGTCAGTTGGGAAAGGCAGCCAGCAGCCAGACTCGGGCCTGTGTGAAGCGGCCACCCCATTCGCCGAGCCGGAAACTGGCCCTCGCAGGCTCCCCGCGGCTTGCCTGGCGCTGAATCGCCCAGCTGAGCTTCCTTTGTCTGCAGCAGCGCTTTGGGGCGCGGCTGACCCGCCAGCCAACCACCGCGGGAGGCGATCAGTGGCGTGCCTGAGCCAGCTGGCTGACACCAAGCGCAGGCGCGGGCCACGGCTTCTGGGCCGGCTCGGCGGCTCCACCCAGCAGCAGCAGCCAGGATCTGCCGTGCCCAAAAAGGCACTGCGTCGTCTGGCGACAGCAGACAGGCACATCTGGCACACATCTGCCGCACATCACACACAGCACAAATTGCGGGATCACGCCTATATTACAGAACGAAGAAATTGTCGATATATACACGAGGATGGGAAATGAAAAGCTGAAAACCGGTGGTGGTTGCGGTGGTCACGGCCGAGCAGAGGCAGGCGGCAATTAGAGGCACGCTGGCGTGGAAACAACGTGGTGCTGTGTCCGACCGATATTGGCCATCTGCCCCTGGGAGGCGCGCCACGAAGAAACAGAGTTTTGTCGCCACCGAGGCTCGGGATCCGCCCCGGGCCCAGGGGGCTACTGCCATTACTTTGCATTCCACAGGCGCTGGCGGATGGACGACCAGTCGTCGTCGGACCACTGTGGCTCGGATGTGGACGGCGACGATGTGCCGCTGCCGCCCGCAGAGGTGGTTGTCGAAATCGACGACCCACCCGACGGGCTGGACGAAGATGGCGGGCTGGACTGGTCAAAGATGCTGGGGTGGAGCACCACATCAAAGATGTTGGTGGTGGTAGACATGGCCGAGGGAAGAGTGCGGAAGGGGCGAGCAGAGCAGAGGAGAATGAAGCGGGGGTCTGGGTGGTGGAGGAAGGCAGGCGAGGGCCCTTTTATCGTTGAACAGGCCGCAATGGCTGGCTGGCTGGCTGGCTGGCTGGCTGGAGGGATTGGCAGCTGTTACGCGCAGTAAGAAAAGGGGGTGGTTAAATGCTGGCAATTGGAGGAGAGAACAGGTTGAATGTGCGTCTGATGTCTGCAGCAAAGAATGCGACGGCACGCAGCACCAGCAGGTCTTGTGGTTCTCGCAGGCAGCAGCACAGCGAGCAAGGCGGGATGGGTGCGAGGAGACAAAGAGGCAGAAGCAATGCAAATGCACAATATCTCCGGCTGGCAGTGCAAGTATAAATAACGGCGAAAAAGAACAAGAGTGGCCAAAGAGGTGAGGGAGATGTTGGTTTGGGGAGGAATATTGGTGTGGTTGTTGGTGGGGGTAGTAGAAGCAGGACGGCAAAATGCAAGTTTGTCCAAAGGCAGCTGCTTTATAGCACACGGTGCTTTGCGAATGTGCCGCATCCCTGAGTCTGCTTTCCCCTGCCCTCGCAGACCCAACCACTAAAACTTCACAACTTTGCGCAGACGCTTTTGCGAATCTCATCAATTGTTGGCTCGGCAACAGACGACTGTCCACATCCAATGGAGATGTTTGGGTGGGGTAGCTCAAGCGAGCCTTTGGCTGCCTGATTTGCAGATGGCGATGTAGAACGACCTGCTTTTAGCCCTTGCCAGCCACGTGAGTGGTAGAAAATGGCGGCTGAGGATCATCTCAGCAGCGCCAACCTGCTGCTCTTGGATCTGTCGCAAGAGCGATGGCAGCATGCAAGCGTGCGTGGGTGGCAACACTGTGGCAGAACAAAGCGTCATTTAGCCCAATGGGACTGACAAGAGGAAGCATGGCGCCCGCACGCCTGGTCCCTATGCCTGCTTTGGGCATAGTAGCATGATGCCTGCGCACACTTGGCAAACGGCACAATGCGTGTAGAGGAAGTGCCGTTTGTTTGGTTCCTGAATTGGCACTGCCGGGGGAGACACAAAAGGATAAGTCACTGCGGAATACTATAGGTCCTCCATGTGGAGGGGTATGTGCTGCATATGCAGGTAGGCTCAGCCGACGGGTATCAAACGATTGGTTGAGGGTGCCCGTGGCTGTGCTGCGAACTGCTGGCCAATTACCAACCAATATATCCAAAGCCTACATCATTATCCCTTTTGAGGGCACATATGTACATCGCCTGTGTAGGCCGGCTTCCATACAGAGGGTTAGATATGAGCAAGAGCTGTATCACCTGCTAACTCCCGGAATGTATTCTAGCACACTGTTGACCCAACCCTGTTTGCGGTAGAGCTATGCAAAAGTCGCCAGTACTAGCAAGAACCGATAAATGCATTAATACAAGGGATGCAGATTAAATAGACGTACTTCTGATGTCGTATGGTGCATGCGCAGGGACCTGTGGAATCCAGCTGGATACCCCAAAGTATGACTTGCAAAAGCCCCCTTCTCCGCTGGCGGAAACAGCTAAGTAGCGTACGCAGTACCTTGCAGATTGCGACACCGGATAGAGAACTCAGTCACAACGGCCTTGAAGCGATTGTACGAGCGTGTAGAGACTGCCTGCTGGAGAAACAGTTGCTTTTCCTTGTCATTCACATGCGCCGACGGGAACCCCTGTCGGGCCAAAAGCTCCGACATCCAGGTTCGCGTCATGGTTGGGTTGTTTTTGACCATCGCAAACAGCAGCTCCGAGAGATTTGCCAGCAGCGAGCGGGGATGCGTGCCGCCGATGCCGCCGATGGCTGTCTGTAGCCACGTCTGTCCATACTGCCTCCACAACATGTGAAATAGCTGTTTTACGGGTCCTTCTGACTGTGACTCGTTTGAGAGTCGTGTCAGCGCTGTGAGGAAGTACGCGGTTGGCTTCAGTGCCAGGCGGTTAGGAATCGACAAGGCTTGTGCGCTGAGCTCGCATATCCGGGCCAGTGCCGGCGGACTGATGTGGACAAACAGGTTTGGCCGAGTTTGCAGCGACTGGGTGCACAGGTCAAATACGGCTTCGTTGACATTGGGTAGCTGGTCGACTGCTGTCACCACATCATCGGCTTCCCTCGCAATCCCCAGGATTGTGTCATCAAGCACACGCGTCAGGATAGCACCAAAGATTCGGTCGGTCTCCTCGGCCCCTGGCCGTGTCGGCTGCCAGGGGTTGACTTTGCCGGTAAACACCTTGATGAGTTGTGAGATCGACTGCAAAAACATCGGGCACTGCTCTATCCAACGCTGTGCATAGACTGTGCTTCCGGTGTTCTGCATGACAACCAGCCCAGACCAGGCCTCGCCAATCAGCGAGGTTACTTGTCCAAACGGGAGCTCAAAGGCGTGCGGACCTCGCCGGGATATGCTATTCACGATCGATAGCAAGCACTCGAGCAATACGTCGGGCATGAGCTTGATGTCGACATCCTGATGGCCAACCCGCCAGACCTCCGACACTACAACATGATTCATGAGGACCAGCAGCGAGCGCCGGAATTCTCGCAGCCCAGCAGACCCCTCGTAGCAGTGCGCTGCCTGCACAAGAATATCAACTTCCTCAGGGTCGCCCATCAACGCCCGCTCTTCGATGTCGTCTGCAAACTCTAGACCCCGCGCCAAGGAATCGACGAGGTTTAGATGATTCAGCAGAGGTGTCCAGTACGGCTCCAGGTCTGTGAAGCTGGTTCCACGCGGCACCGACTCTAGTAATGCCACGTCGCTGTGCAGACGCTCGATAACCAGCGAGATCAGCGGCTCAACAGCAGCTGGCTGCTGCTCAGGGGCCAGCGCCATGATGACTTCCGCAACTGGACTCAAAAATGCGCTTTTGCTCACGCGGCGGCACCGTTGTCCCAGCCAGCAGCACCTCGCGCGCCAGTTGGATCATGCTATCCGAGGCTCCAGCCAGTTGGTCACGGCAGCTGTCGCAAATGCTGCGAAAGGCTTCCACCGCTTTGGACACCAGGGAGTGCTGATTCAGACTTGACGTCACGCACGGGACCACGATCGGCAGCAGCTCAGGGTGGCTTTTCCACCACTCGCCGTAGGCACGGATGAGTGAGAGCAGGCCCGACTTTATAGAAATGAGTCCCCACTGGGCCGTCCGTGTGTCTGCATCCAGGCTACTCTGCAGTAAGGGGAGGAATCGCTGGGATAATGTCTCGGCGGCGAACAGGCGCGGCAAATGCACGTTCTCTGTGTCTGGCACGTTCTCTCCGATACTTTTGAGTGCAAACAAAATCGCGCCCAGTGGTTGCCAATTTTCGAGACTGAATGTAGAGAGTGCAGTCAAGGCTTCGTCAACCAGGATCGCCAGCATCTCGTCGCGCAATACGTAGTATGTCGTCGCCAGCGTCTCGCCCACCTCTCGCTGGTAGCTCAGAAACCGTCCCTTGTCTTCCTTGTCACCATCAAGCCATGTGCTGGTGGGTGGGTATGTGGCCTTGGTGATCAGCGCCTTGAACACCTGCAAAAACACGCTTCTGACCGACTGACGAGTCTGCTCTAGCTTTGCTTTGTCAGCCTCTGCATCTCCAGTCTCTGGCTCATACTCGGCCAGGGCCTCTTGCAGTAGATACCAGATCTCGAGAGAGCTGCCGCTAATATCCTCGTCAAATCCGTGGTAGCCGGGGAACCGCGTCAGGTCCAGCATGATCTGCAAGTATGTCTCTATATGCCTGGACACCGCGCTGTTGGTGATGTTATTGACCAGGAACTCCATATATACCTCACCATATGAGATGAGCGGCAGGCACCACTGCAACGCGGCGTGGTCGTCATCCTCACTAACACAGCGGCTGATGGCACCGATGAGCCAAGGCTGTGTGTACTGCTCCAATACCAGTGTGCTGATGGTTTTCCCGAACCTTCTGGCCATTGTGTCATTGCTGAGCATATCATCGAGCGTCAGGATAGCTGCTTCAACTTCGTCGTCAGTCACCTGTGACTCGGCAGGCAATGTGGTACTGCCCAACTGCTGTGCTGCCAGCACGCATAGCTGCTTGATGGTCATATCTACCAGCGGGATGAACAGCTTTTCCTCCTTGATCCCATACTGCAGCCACTTCAAGATAGCCTTCCAAGCACGGGTGCGCCATGTCGGATCGTGTCCCAGCTGCCGCACATACTCTGGGGTATCTGCTGCTGTGCTGATCTCTGGGTCGGTAACGCCCCGTGCAATGTTGGTTAGAATGCCAAAGACCATTGGTAGCGACTGTGAAATATCTTGGTTGAGCCGGGCAATGCGGTTGGACGCAAAGCTTATGTTGAGCAGTTCCTCGGGGAACAGCTGCAGAATATCGACCACTGCGTACCCGACATGTACGCTATCAATGCCGGTCTCATGTGCCATACGGAGTAGCTCATCGACAACCGTGGTCAGGAAGTTTTCCCACCGGTCAGGAATCACCTGCAATGCGTATACAACCAGCGCCTGGTTGACTTTGTTGAGCACCGGCAAGGGCCCCACACAGTGCTTGATTACCAACCGCAGAAGCTCATGTTGCAGGGCGTCCTGCCGCTCCTCATCCAGCGAATCCCTATACGCATGCAAACCCGTTAGTCGCCTACTGCCTCGGAAAGAGAACGCGATGGAAACATTGCTGCTGAGTGAGTGCAGGTGGCTCTCCACTTACCAGTCCTTGGCTATCTTGTTTTGCAGCGTGTGGGCCCCAAAGAAACGACAGTTGACACTCTACAGGCGAAATAGCCGTTGGTGCAGGAGTTAGAAGACCAATAATGCGCGAATGCATGCCGGGTGCCAGATTCCCACCCCTACCTCTGACGACAGCAGCGTAAATGCAAACTCCCATGGCCTCGGGCCGCCTCTGGACCTGTGGCAGAATGGCAAGTGCCTGCTCGGTTGGAACGCTGAGACCCTGCGCCAGCTGCTGGAGATTTATGCCGTCAATGCTCATTTGCGCAGTTTTCAGAAGTCGACTAGAATAAAGCGTTTAAGACACAGGCAGGAAGAAAATGCATTATTGACGACACCGCACCTGCCACACTGAATTGGTGCCATGCACTGGGCGGCGAGCCCCCACCCTGAATGAGCCGCCGAGCCGTGCGCGGCATTTTTCTTTGCTGCTGAGAAAATTTGGAGGATTCCAATTGATGGTCCTAGTTTATGATAAGACAGCGTCCGGCCCAGTTTCGGGCTGCACACCACTCTGGAACCTCTCTTTACTCGCCTCTCATTCTCCTTGAAATTAGCACGCATTGACAGCCCGGGGATATTCCTCAGCTCCTGCACCTTTCTTCACACATAGATAGAGATAATGCTACGCTCACTTGTCAGAACTACCAGCGTGCTCAGCCGCATGCACACACCAGCCAGCCGCATGGCCGGATCCTGGCTCGCCCGCACAACTCCAGCTGCCACAAAGCCCAGCATTCCCATGTACCAGCAGACATCGCAGTTCAGCACCACATCGCAGATTATGAAGCAGGTTACTGTCACGTTCATCGAGCCCGATGGCAACGAGGTCGAGGCGACTGGTGAGGAGGGTACCAATCTGATGGAGTTGGCGCACGAGAACGATGTGGAGCTGGAGGGCGCGTGTGAGGGCGCCTGCGCAGTGCTCGACATGCCATGTTATCTTGCCGGAAGAGATCTTCGATAACCTCGAGGAGCCAACTGACGAGGAAAACGACATGCTGGATCTGGCATTTGGACTCACAGACACGTCGAGGCTCGGGTGCCAGGTCGAGCTGACCGCCGAAATGGAGGGCATGCGGATCAAGCTGCCGTCGGCCACCAGGAATTTCTATGTCGATGGCTCCAAGCCGGCGCACCATTAGAGATACCTTGAGGCTGTAGAAAAATAACTCGTGAGGGATGGTGAAATAAAGAAACGATGATTTCTAAAACCCATAGCGTGGTCCTGAGGTCTATTAGATGTGGTCTCTCGCTGATCCACCGCTTTTTCCTGCTGAACTCGGTGCTGTCCTTAATATCTACACCTTGTGCAACGCTCCTATTTCAGAACGCGACAATGAGCAACAGCAATGCGCAGCCGGTCAAGGTTCTGGTAACTGGATCGGTTAACGGCGGGCTGGCCGATTTCTTTGGCAAAATCAAAAAACTAGACGCAAAGTACGGGCCATTTGCGGTTCTGTTTATTACCGGCAACCTGCTTGACAGCGACCCCAGCGAGGACGAGGTCAATGCATTGCTGAGCAACGATATACCCATTCCGCTGATGACATACGCCATCATTGGTGACCACAGGCTGCCTGAGCGAGTCCTGTCCCGCATCGAGGCTCGATCGGGTGAGGTGTGCCAGAACCTGGTGCTCCTCAAAAACCACGGCATTCTACAGACATCCGAGGGTATGAAGGTGGCATACCTTAGTGGCCAGCAGCAGCCCGAGCTGCAGCAGCCTGAAGACAACAGCGAAGACAATAACGAGTACGAGGCTGCTGATGACAGCGACGAGGCCAAGGTGGCCACTATGGCTGAGTCCAATGAGTGCACGTACACCAACCAGGACATGGGTGACCTGCTCAAGCAGGTGGTTGTGGAGAACAATGTGACGGCCGAGACGACTGGCCCGCATCCCAGCATTGATATTTTGCTCACCTTTGACTGGCCGTACGGCATTGGCCCCGACCAGCCCGAGCCCGAGCATGCGTCAAACAAGATCTCATTCATTAGCGCCACGACCAAGCCCCGCTACCATTTTGCTGCTAGCGAGGGCACGTTCTTTGAGCGCCAGCCATACAAGTACAGCGACAAGATCAAGGTCGGCAGCGGCTCTAAGTCTGCTGGCCATTTCACTCGGTTCATTGGTTTAGGATCGGTTCGGGGCCGTAGAGAGAAACAACGAGTAAGTAGTAAAAGTTTTGTTTTGTGATTGCTCCAATCACTCAACATGTGCCACGGCATCAGCCCAACTGCGCGCACAGAGCTGAACCAAAGCCTTGCTTTGCTGCTGAGACTCTGAGTGCGACCTTCTCTTTCCCAAACCATCGAATTTTGACCGCCCCCCCCGATACCTTGTGTGTAACCCTTGCTTTTACACCTCTCCCATTGCGACGGTGCAGCTGTGTTTGTTCAGGCATCCGTGCCATGCGTAATAGAGTGGCATTAGTCGACAACTAGCTCCACTATTGAGCTACTATCACCACCCGTATACTAACTGTCGCTGATTTCCATAGTGGTTCTACGCCATGAACATCATGCCACTGCAGAGCTCGAATTGCGGCGATACCAGTCCCAGCCAGGTGCCGGAAAACAGCACCGAAAACCCGCACAGGGCGCACTTCCCGTCAAGCAATGGCATCATGAACAGGGAGGAGCTGCGCAGGATAATGGCCTCCATAAACTTGTCGGGATTCCAGCTAGGCATACTTCCAAAGGGAAAGCCTCGGGGCAAAGCGCGACGGACCTGACCTTAAGAGGCAAAAGGGCGCCCCGCCCCCACTCGACTACACTTGCAATATATGCAAGGTTGGCGGCCACTGGATTAGAGACTGTCCTGAGAGACACCAGGCAGAGCGCAAGCCCAGGAGCGAGATCCCGCCCGAAGGGTATGTCTGCTACAAGTGTCGGAAGCCGGGACACTGGAAGGAGAAGTGCCCGAACCTCGACATCGCGAATGAACCTGATCAACATTGCGCAAACCTGCTGGTTCTGCCTCTCGAACCCGAATGTCGACCAAAATCTCATCGTTGCCATTGGCGACGAGGCGTATGTTGCCATGGCCAAGGGCCCGCTGGTAACTGGTCCTGCAGGCGTTCAGAGCGGCAATTCGACGGCGTGGGAGCAAGGAGAAGTCAGCCCGATTCCGGGTGGTGGCCACGCCATGATTGTGCCCATCGAGCATGTGTCGAGTCATGCGCGACATTCTATCAGGCGACCAGCAGAACGACTTGAAGAACGAGACTAGCCAAGTGGACCCAGTCGTTGACTGCCCTCTACGCCGAGTACGACTGCGTGCCGCTCATGTTCGAGGTTTGCCGTTACGCGCCACATGTACACACCGCCATCCAGGCTATACCGATTCCGAGGACCAAAGTAGACCAGGTCCAAGCCTTACACTGGATTCCATGGCCCGCGAGGACAATCTGACTGACTCAGAGCAACTATCCGCGCGACAAGAAGGATGGCTATGTGTGGGTCAGCACACCAACCACGGGTGCCAAGCCGACATGTGTCAAAATCCCTGCAAAAGAGAAGAGGTTCAATTTGCAGTACGGACGGCGCCTAGCTGCCCGCATCCTCGGCATCCCGAGCAGAGAGGATTGGAAGTCGTGCACGGTTTCCTGACAAGGAAGAGGCGCGTCAGCGTGATGCGTTTATCAAGGTGTTCTCAAAGCACGATTTTATGAGCGGCAAGGATTAGGTGTTTCTTTTACTGCCCACTGCTAGACTTTGCTCTTGTATACCGCAGGGGGTACTTTGGCTCATATAGATTTATTGAATATGACTTTTATTTTCGCACTCTGGACCATGAGCAGGTGGACATTGGTGTTCCAGGGTGACACTCATCATAGCACTGATGACCTATTTGTACTGGACAAGCGCAGCTATGACCTTATTTCCCGCTAGGATTAGATATGCAAACGATGTGGGAAGATATAAATAGGTTTTGGAAGAGGAAGGAGCTTTTCCACCCTGGGACCGAGCAGCGCTGGTAGTGGAGCTACTCATTGAATCAGCTGGCATTAAGCCTTGACTCCGAAGCCGACAGCATTGCAATCATGAACCAACACAAAACTACATGTATAGTATATTGTAGTACTCTGTCAAAAGTAAAGTCGTAGTTGCCTATTGCGAGGAGAATGCAGCACAAATAAGTATGCAGATTTAACAAGCGAACACGGTGCTACTCTTCACATTTCATTAGGGCACCCTGGCTAAACAGGCCAGCCTAGTGTTCAGCTGTATCTCACTCACTACAATGTGGAAACAAGTCAGGATTGTGGAGTACTGCATGTAGCAGCTCATTATTATGTGCAGTTTAAATGATAGTAAGGGATACAATTATAAGCAAGTGGGGTGTTGGTCCTCTAGAATTTTTAGATGCTCTGAAGAAGGCATGTCCGATATGACTTCTAGTGTTTAGAGCGAGATGCAGTGTTGGCAAATAGGGTCACCGACGGTAGAAAGTAAGGATGGGAAGCGTTAAATGAGTACCAATAGAGATCCAGGGTGGAGAAGAGTAAGCCTATCTGGCTTGTTACTCTCATCCAGATCTAAAGCAACTCAGGCACTAGAGACATGGAGCCGGTGGTCCCAGAAGGGGGAGTTTGGGTCGCGGTGAGCAGTATAGAGCCAATGTATAATCTGCTGTGGCAGCACTGTGTATGAGCGGGCGAACATCACCTCAGGTGTGAGGACATGGTTGCTCATTGCTGTTCCGACATGTGCGTGGAATACTTCCAACATAACAAGACCGTGTGGCACATTTACATTTGGAAATGTTTGGTGCCAAGGAATAAAGCCAACGACTAGCTTTATTTAGATCAATCAGAAATACCGCCTGAGCATGCAGGAATCTTGAGGCAAGCCGTCAAGTGCTTGTTCGCTATGTGTCAATGAACAATAGAGTGAACTAGGATGAATTCATGAATGCCTTAGCATCCAAAGAAGGCTTAACGGCCATGGCACCAGCGGAGATTAGCAGAAGCGAGGGCGTACAGGGTCGGGGTTTCCTTCACAGGCAAGATATAGGTGTAGATCATTTACCATTGTAAGGAGACCGGCTTGTGACTTCACAGTCACAAGTCATTTTTATCATCTTCAAGCACCATGCGATTAATGAGTGCAGCTAATAATATTATCACCAAATGATGTGAATTATGATGAGGGTGACACTAGTAAGAATACCGGTCATGTTTCAATCCAGCAGCTGCAATAAAAGGAATGGCCTACCAGAGCCTCCAGACATGGGTCCCTCGCTACGGTACACAGCTTCACTCTGGCGATTCTTTTCCCTACTACACCACCATTCTTTCTACATCTAGCATTTAGCTAACTACTTGAACTACTTCGTAAAATGGCCCATCCTTAGTCTTCCCGGCAATAGGCTGTATCACTTTACCCCAGAACGTGCGGACGAAGCTTTGAGTGCTACGCGGCGTCTCCCACTGGTTGCTGATGCAGCCCATGGATACGAGCGTATACATACAGATGCCTTTCTTAATAGACTCGGCTTTTATGAGGGCCTTCAGCCATTTCTGGCTCAGCATGCAGACACTTTCAGACGAGCTACCGATCTACTCTTATCCCCCCGCTTTTTCCCTAACAATTGGGGCCATTACAATCATAGACGAGGTCATCCGCGGGGCTCAGAAGCTGATGTAGCGGCGTGTCTGTTGCGATACTTGCAGCTTCTCAATGGCGAGGCTGATCCTAGCATGACAGATGAGCTCGAGAGGCGTGCAAGACCGGTTCTGAGAGAGATGGAAAGGATTATGGAAGATCAGCAGTTTGTCATTGCGGACCACCAGGATGTCGCAGTTGCTGGTGGTAATCTTAGACCAGATCTCGTTATATTCCATAGCCCACCGCCTGGCATAGCGAGGATAAATGGATTCCGTGGCTGGCCCAGCATTAGGCTGATTGCCGAGGTAAAGGCTACACCGAGGTACTTTACCAAGACGAACATGCTCGACACACATTCGGCGGGATTCGGACAGCTGTGCGATTACGGGTATGAGATTCTAAACCACCAACCCACACGTCGATTCGCACTACTTTTCTTTGTTCATGGGAGGCAAGTCGACCTTATTGCCTTCATACCTGGCCAGGTTCTTCATACCAGCATTGGGAGACTGGTTTCATGCAGATACGGATAAAATCACTGCTACAATGGGGATTATATCCTATCTGCTCTCAAGGAACGCGCGGAGATTTGGCTATTTCACAGATTACGACAATGAGACAATTGGCTTCCGGTTCGACAACCCATCCACGGCTGGAACAACAAGATGGACCCCCGCGCCTCGCTATCACACGTTTGACAAGCTGCTGGTGAGCTGCTCGACAATGATTCGAAGAATGGTGGAGGGTCGGAGCTGATACTCAGTGGGTTATTCCAGTCTTGTCACATGGACAATCCACTGAGTGTCAGCTCCGACCCTCCAGCCATTCTTCGAATCATTGTCGAGTCAGTTCGGCAGCAGCTGTCCAGGGCAAATGGCCTGTTGTCAGACGATGATCTTATTCTGAATTCGGGCTTGAGGATATTGATGATGTGACTTTACTTGTTATTCAGCGGCTTGCGTGCAGGGCTGTTTACTAGGGCAGATAACACGTCCTTTGCAGATGCTGCAATACCGGTTTCCATATACCATCCCAGGGTTCGGCTGAACTTCCGCCTAACATCGATATACTGCAGCTAATCTTTGATGGGACAAGCATTCGCCGCCTACGTCATTTATTTGCTCAAGACGCCATTGTTGAACAAGTAGCTGTGCTTCCTGCGGGTGACGACGATGGACCAGGCAGCCAGTCCCACTTCGCAAGTGACGACGATGGACAGGCGGCTGCTCCAGCCACTCCTACCCAAACTAGAAGCGGTCGGGTGTCCCGTCCACCAAATCGCCTTACATATGAATATGATGGCGGTTCTACGAGTTACTCAAGAAGGACTTGGATATTAAGTTTTTATTGTGCGAGCAATGTGATTTCACTTTTATATAGATTGTTGCACAGCAAAAGTTACACCAGACCATATCCTTTGGTATGTTCACGTTGAATATCATGGTTTGTACACCGTTGCTATTAGTCATCCAATAATGTGTGTTGACTTTAAAAATACTGAGGAGAAAAGGGAGGATGAGGCTGTTTCAGCCCACCATATGCTGGTGAGGGTTTGGGTTTATACATGGTGGTGCAGGGCATGGGGTTGCCCTAAATGTCAACAGTGTATAATACACAGTATTTCATATGTAGAACCAGGAGCCATTCCTTCTATCGGCACTCATAGTAACCTACAAATTAATAAACATAAAGAATAACGGTATCTGCCTAAGAAGACCTAAATCAAAGTGTCTGGGAAAAAGTACTAGGTAGCATGCTCCCCTAGTAGTATATTGATAAAGCAAATCGTATGTGTTCAAAAATATATTTGAAAACCAGGAGGAATCCCCACTGCTACGAGCCAGCAATGGGTATTTAAGCAAACTCCGAATGGGCATGCAGAGCCTTTACCTAAGCTGCGCACAGCCCTTGGATAAAGGTGCATCACTCTCAGCGAGTGTGCCACCTTGGAGTACAGCAGGACAACCCTAGCGGCATGCCATATATCGTATCATCTCACTCTTGTTGTAGGTCTGTTGCGTTTGTTAAATATGTGATTTTTTGAAGGTGATGTTTAATACTGAAGAAATGAGATAAAAGAGAAAAGAAGAGCTGTGCAAGCATATTTTCAATGTGGCCGTTTGTGCAACTCATCAGAGGCACAATGTTATCTCCACTGTGTAGGCTGTAGCAGGGCTCTTGCTGGCATCTGGCTTGCCGTTACCTGGTTCATCTGGCATATTGATATCAAGGAGATCCATGGTAGGTGTGCAACACTATGTATGTATACTCAAGGCGTGCATATGAGCACCAGCGCCCTTCCATGGCCAAAAATGCTGCTATTTGAAAGAAACAAGAAAAAAAAAAAGTAAAGTGGATAGATGGAAGACTAGTGGTGCCTGGGCACCTTGTGCTGGGGGGCATGCTGCTCAGTAGAAGAAGCGCTAGTATCAGAGCGGCTAGACAGCCTGCGCTTTCTGAGGAACCTGTTAGAAAACCGAGCTGGATGGTTGTCGGCGCGTTTATCCCAAGGTCTTTGACTTTCAGGCTGGTCGAGAGAAGACGTAACCCATGCACGACCGTCTCTTAGCCAAAGGAGCTCGTTCACAAGATCATCTGTAGGCTCGCCTTTGTAGTCAAAGATGACGTACTCGAGACGATAGCCGAACAAGTCTGCCACAATGATGCCACGGTCTCGAATCGTTGGAATCACACCAGAGGGTTTGGGTTTGCAGAATACCGTCGACGTTGCCCCAGGTGCGGCTAGATGTGGGATACCAGGAAAACAGTGTTAGTTTCTCATCGGTATACTTATTCTAAGTTCCACCAATGAGTTCAGATGCCCAAAGAGGGTGATATCGTCAGGAATCTTAAGTGGAAAGTCCAGGTAGATATACTCTCCATCACCAGGGCCAAACAGCCAACCAACGATATTCACCGGCTGCGCATAAAGAGCTGCAAGGGAAGACCCCTCTTCACCTTGGCTCGGGTGAATGAACTTGATGTCCTTTTTTCCATCAGTCCAAGGTGGAAAAGCAAGCCAAATGTGTCTGGCAGCTGAAGGATGAATGCCAGTCGCGTAATCGTTGTGGTCAGCGAGCTCTTGCTGGTGTCTTCGAGCGAGCCAAGTGCTGTACTCAGGACTCTGCCACGGGCAAAGACATAAAACGTCGCATTGAAGTCGTCATCGATGTACAGCGCTGGGATAAACGTACGCGCTGTCTGGAGTCGCCCACATACCACGCACACAGGCGCACATCTTTGCCATGTCCTTGTCCTTGCTGGCGTCAGTGACTAATCCGTGTCCTGAAATAACCACTGGCATAAATATATGTGCCAGGATTACTCGAAGGCGACCTCGATCATCATTGAACCCTTTCTCAGCATAGCTGACAATGAGACCAGGCATCAGGTCAGTGTCGACGATGGGACGCCAGTCGTGATTGATGATGTCATGGTACGCCCTGTCCTCGGGAGCAATCTCGTCAATGAGCAAGTGGAAGTAGTTGTCGATGAAGCGCACAAGCTCGCGTCTGGTGCCTGTTTCACGGATGAACTGAACCTCCTTGAGAACCTCCTTGGTCTGAATCTTTTCGGCGAGCCCAGATAGTTTAGAGCCTTCCAAGTTCTGGAACTCGACAAAGTCGTTCTGGTAGCCAAGCAAGCCAAGCAGACCTGGGAAGTCCACGCTCATCATTTTACTGACTACTTCCGACCTCCACTGGTCCTCCATGTCCAATGTTGGTTTCTTGCCGACTTCGACGACAACAGGATGGGGGCGGATGAGCCGGATCATTTCTCTCTTTTCTGCAAAGTCTTCATACGGATCATAGGTCTCACGCCAGGGATCGTCTAGCGCTATTTCTCGAGGTACACCTGATGCCATTTTGAATATAGAAACTTTTGAAAGCGACGAACAAAAACTGCAGAGAAGAGATGGGTGCTTTGTTGCTGCGCAGCCTGCGTGCTACTTTTGCTTACTTTAGCTATGATTCAAATCAAGCAATTGATGAAACGCTAGGGAAGAGACAACATGATCAGGTGGCTTTGTTGGCGTTTTTGCTTGATGATGGCCTGAGCTAATTCCACTGATTGGGAATGAAGATACTAAAGCAACGAAGAAAGCCGAGCTTATCTCCCAAGCGAGAGCAAGGCTGATGTGATGCTGCATGCGAAAGAGCGCCATTTTGGCAATATAGCCATCCACAGACTCCCTCTTACTAACAAGAGAAGTGTTGTTTGATATCTACAGGCATACTCCCGATGAAACCAATGTACCGAACTACCCAAATTCTTTGACGCCCTGGAGCCCTGTGAGAATCTCATGACGTGTACGGCACGTGGCATGGAGGACACACAAGCATATGTGGTAGTCAGACTGCAAGGCTCTGTAACAGATTGCTGCTATATTGACTCTACGTTCCAAGCCCATGGCACATCTGATCATTAACGCCGTATGGATCCTCTCCCTTGGACAGACATTTCAGGCAGACCTTGGGAACTCATCTGTAGTATAAAGCAATAGAGGGCATTTGTTTGGCCTCTCAGGTGTACATTTGCCTTCCATTGAGCCATTGGCATTGTCTTCACCAGCTCCCCGGCTATCCAGCGGTAGAGGTGTGCTGAGCACCAGCAGGGACACTTAGCCTGTTTATGCCTGCTGCGAGCGGAAGTCCATAGAGCCAATGCAGCCAGCTCACTTTTCCTACCGCTTGATATATTAACTTTATCTTGGCGCTGCCACTCTTCACTCATCAAGTAGGCGCTTAGTGACATCAGTTTGATGAGCCAACTACGTCTTACTCCCTTTCTCATGAATCACAATGCGCGGATATTGCCTAGCATCTGAAGGGCCTAGGGGTGCATCTTTCACCGGGCTACCGCGCCTGCTCTCACTCAGCGCACCCCCCTGGATGCAATTGGAGGCTTCACACGTACGTACTTGCTACGCAGATTTGCCTAGCACTCTACCTAAACAAAACTTCTATTTATACATCGGGTCATGGGAAAAGGACATGAGTGGGTCAGAACAACAGCCGCTGGCGGATCACGGGGGCAAGTCTGTGCTGGGCAATCTGTGGGCAAATCCATTGAGCAGGAATATTGGGCATGCAAGCAAGCTGCAGGGTAAAAATAGTCTTGGCAAATATTGGTCGCCTACTCTTCGCTGCGCCGAATATGTGAGAGGGGAAGTTCTTTTGTCGCGGATCGCTTCTATTTTTCTGGGCCGAGCCGAGGTGCACATCCTCCGGCACAATCGCTGGCATCTCACGCATCGCATAAGGCGGCGCAGAGTGCGGAACACCATTGCGGCCCGCTCAACAGTCGTGCATCGCTTTCCGTTACCATGCAATTATCGGGCATCACTGCACAAACGGCGGTGCCGCTGCTTCAATCAACCGAAATTTAGCTTGATGTCCCGGCTCCGAAGCTCAACAATGCTGTGGTCCAGGACCAATGCGGTTCGCTCCGCCACCCGGGCCAAGCTGCAGCAGCGTAAACATTCGCTTCGTCGCTACCGGCCTGTTTTCTTATTTAATCCAGTACTCGGCTGCGCCGGACACCGGCGAGCTTTGCACAATACCTCGCTGATGTATATATATAGCGCAGGCCAAAAATACGATCTCTTATCACCTGAAGGCTTCGCCACTCGGCACGGAACTTGAAGCAAAAATACTCTTCCTGTCCCCAAATGGGCGGCCCCAACAGCGACTAGAAACAGGTTTTGTATTTTAAACTCGCAGCTCTTGCGCGTGGCCAAGCTCCGCAGGCGTATGTCAAGTGCGCCTCCGCCTGGGGACATATAAAGGTGCGGCCCTTGGCTGTATAGGCTGGAATCTCCATTCTGAACATTTCGGACTTTCTTGCATTATACGTGCTCTTTTTCTCCTTTCTATTGCGTTCTTGCTCTAAAGCTCATTTGGACCCACTGTACATCACAGAACCATATAGAACCGTATATTCTCTAACAAAAGTCTACTAAGATGAAGCTCACCGTTTCTATTGCCACCCTGTCCCTTATTCGCCACCGGCATCAATGCCGATGACGGATACTATGCAGTGTCCTCGGCACCTGTCTACAACACCGAGGCTCCGGTTTACACCACCCAGGCTCCCTGCGTATACGACTGAGGCCCCTGCCTACACTACCCAGGGCCCTGTGTATACCACTGAGGCTCCGGCTTATACCACTGAGGCCCCTGCCTACACCACCGAGGTTCCCGCGTATACGACGACTACTCCTGTCTACGAGACGACCCCTGTCTATGAGACCACCTCTGCCGTCTATGAAACGACTTCGGCTGTCTATGGGACCACAACGCCTGTCTACGAGACTACTTCGGCCGTTTACGGAGACCTCATCAGCCGTTTACGAGACCTCGTCTGCTGTCTATGAGACCTTCGTACTGCCTGTATATGAGACTTCGACTCCTGTCTACGAGACCTCGTCAGCCCTGTCTACGAGACCTTCGTACTGCCTGTCTATCGAGACCTCGTCGGCCTGTATACGAGACTTCGACCCTGGTCTATGAGACCTCGTCGGCCGTTTACGAGACGTCGACTGAGTGCGAAACCTCGGATGTCTACGAGACCTCCTCGGACCCTATCTACGAGACTTCGACCCCTGTCTACGAGACCTCGTCGGCCTGTTTACGAGACTTCGACCGAGTGCGAGACCTCGGATGTCTATGAGACTTCGACTGAGTGCGAGACCTCAGATGTCTATGAGACTTGCGAGGAGTCTACCACCGAGGAGACTTGTGAGACTGAGACCCCCATCTACACCACCAAGGGTCCCATTTATACCACCCAGGGTCCCGTCTACACGACTCAGGGTCCTGTCTACACGACTCAGGGTCCTGTCTACACGACTCAGGGTCCTGTCTACACGACTCAGGGTCCTGTCTACACGACTCAGGGTCCTGTCTACACGACTCAGGGTCCTGTCTACACGACTCAGGGTCCTGTCTACACGACTCAGGGTCCTGTCTACACGACTCAGGTCCCGTCTACACGACTCAGGGTCCTGTCTATACCACTCAGGGTCCCGTCTATACGACCGCAACTCCGGCCCCTCCTGTCTATACGACTGCGACTCCGGCTCCTCCTGTCTATACGACCGCGACTCCGGCTCCTCCTGTCTACACAACTCAGGCGTGTGTTCCCTCGACTGTGGAGGTGACGAAGGTCATCACGGTTACTGAGGTTGTCGTTGTTCCCACCTACACCAATGTCCATCCTACCGAGACCAGTTACCGTTATTGTAACTCAGGCTCCGCCCCTTCCCCCTGTTTACACTACCAAGGTCTCGCCCCCTGTCTACACTACTGGGGTCCCTCCTCCTGTGACCTACTGACTGCGAAGAGGATTCCGACATCTACACCACCGAGTGCGAAGAATCCGACGTCTACAAGACCTCGTTCTGCTGTCTATGAGACTTCAACCAGAGTGCGAGACTTCGGATGTTTACGAGACCTCGTCTGCGGTTTACGAGACCTCGTCTGCGGTTTACGAGACCTCGTCTGCGGTTTACGAGACCTCGTCTGCGGTTACGAGACCTCGTCTGCGGTTTACGAGACCTCGACCCCTGTCTACGGGACTACCTCAGCTGTCTACGAGACTTCAACCCCTGTCTATGAGACCTCCTCGGCCGTCTATGAGACCTCAACTTCTGTCTACGGAACCTCCTCGGCTGTCTACGGGACGACTACCCCTGTCTACGGAACCACTTCGGCTGTCTACTGAGACAACTACCCCTGTCTACGGAACCACCACGCCTGCCTACACCTCTGTGCCCTCTGCATACAGCTCGGTTGGCTCAAGCGTCTGGTCCGCACTACTAATTAGCAAGTGTCGTTTCTCTGGACTATAGCAGTGTGCGACTATCCGGCCATTTTCATTATGAATTCTTTCCTAACTTTATCATCTGAATAATATGTATCTGCCCAATATACACTCTACATATGCCATGATATGTAAAATAGCCGTCCCCCAATAGCGCTTGGCCGTGTGTCTGTTGAGCACCAGAACGGTTGCGTGGATCCCAGGCTTCATGTCCACACCTCGTAGAAAGGTGGCTGGCTGAACGGAACACCCTTGCGAATTCGATGGTTAGCAGCGGACTTTCTCTTCGCAATCCGCTTTGGTTGCCCGCAGAACAAATGTCGCTTGCCAGTTTTTTTTACGGAGGACTACTAAGGTGCTACATCGTCCTCTCAGCAATTGCCAGCTACAAGCTAATCCCACGGCTTGCTATCCTACTGCTGCTGCTGCTGCTGGCGTGCTGCTCAGTGGCTGCAGCTAAACCTGCTGTGGTAAGCAGGCGTGACCTCCTGCGGACGCAGCCAATGTCCTGCAAAAATGCGCCTGGCTAGCACAGGTTGTCGATGCACGGCCCTGCACACTATTTGCTCCGTGTTCCCATCCGACTGCCTGGTTTTATTCAACAATAGCGTCCCAATTTCCTCTCTGCTAGTGCTAGCAGACAAGGGATGACCGGGCAAAAATCAGCCCGTTTCGCCCTTGATTTCTTGCGCACTCAATAGTTGGTTGTGCCTGAACCCAACAACGGGCACTGATGGCCGTGCATCTAGCCTGAACATCGATTCAATTCGGACATATCCTGGCGGCCATGGCTGGCGCCTATCACCTACATTTCTTTCTTCTGTCCACTTTGACTGTTTTTAATCTTGCCACCCTTCTAAGCTTATCTTAGGCCTGCCCCCAAGTTTATTGCTGCGTGGATATATATCCCAGCCTCTGTATATTCACACACTTGCTACACCTGTCGTCCTTTGTTCATAATCGCTAAGCTTGTTTCTCGTGTTAATCGCCTTGCTTATCAGACACCAGACAATGAGAATCTCCACACCCGTTTCCTGGCCCTTTCCCTTGCCGCGGGCGCTCTCGCCAGCGTAGATGTCGACCTCAACATTGGTGGTGGCTATGGAGGCGGCTATGGCACTGTCACCACTGTCACTCAGACGAAATGGAAAACAACCACTGTAACCTCTGATGTAACCCATGTTGCAACCCAGGTGGTACCAACTACCATCACCGAAGTTGTCACCAAAACCGATATCCAGCCTACCACCATCACCGAAACGGAGACTAAGACAAGCACGGTGACGCAGGAGGTCACAGATGTCATTACTGAGACGCGGACCGTTGAAAACACCGTCCATGATACCACGACTGTGCACGACACCGAGACGGTGACGGAGACAGGCCGTCCAGACAGTGGACCACACCAATACCGTGTCTGAAACCGTCACAAAGACAGAAACCGTCGTCAACACAGACACTGTCCACGATACCGAGACCGTGACGAAGACTGCGACCGAGACGGTTGAAAACACCAACTACGTCACCCATATTGAGACCGTTGACCATACCGCCACCGTGGTTGATACTGTAACGGAGACCGCGACCAAAACCGAGACCGCGACCGTTACCGACACATCGGTCAGCGTATCCACTGGCACTGTCACCGAGACCGTTGTCGAGACATCCTACGAGACCGTGAACCACACAGATGTCAATACTGTCACCGATGTGCAGACCTACAACTGCGACCGAGACAGTCACCGATACCACGGTCGGAAACAGTCACTGATACGCAGGTTGAAACAGCCTTGATTACGGTTGAGGTCACCTGTCACCATCTCTGATGTCCTCACCGACCTTGTCACCGAAACTGTCACGGCCACAGTCACCGATACGGTTACCGACACGCAGCTCGAGACCATCACCGACGTGCGCACCGACACTGTGGTTTGACACAGTTGTTGACACACAATTCGAGACTGTTGTGCAGACCAGCGTGCAGACCGTCGTAGAGACCGACATTGAGACCGTCACTGAGCACCAAACCCTCACCCAAGTCGAGACTGACGTTGACACGGTAATAGAGACAGCCACAGCTACGGTCACAGCCTACAGACTACGTTACAGAGACAGGCGGTAGCTACGAGGACGGTTGAGCAGACCGATGTGCAGACTGAGACGCAGATTGTGACCCACAACGGCACTGTCACCATCTACGTCACCAGGACTGAGACTGTGGTTGATGATGGCGAGTACTACACCGAGTTTTGCGACTGCTCTGACAACGGATCCGTGTGCGGGGCTTGATTTGCTCTCCTGAAGACGTTATCGGTTTTCGACCTGCCGCAGTTCCAAGTGCGCCTTTCTTGCCCACTCACGATTTTTTCTAATTATTTCCTGTTTATTGAAGTTGTTGATTCGAGGAATTCAGAATGAGGTTTGCTGCGTTGTGTCGCCAAGGATTAGCTCGTCGAATTGCCCAGCAGGTCATCAGCGCTGGCTATGAAAGGAGCTTGGGCATCGCATGCCGCAACTACGCTGGACTTGGCTTTCGGCCTTTGGGTGCAGCTGGCGTTCGCTGCGTCAGCACATCAGCGGCTTACCGGAGATGCGGAGAGAGCCCTCCAGCAGCAGCCCCATCCGCATCTACAGCACCCACTCCAACAGAGCCTAGCAAGGGCAAGAAGCGGCAAGCGAAAGCCCCGGCTCCAGAAGTCGACCCGATCGATCTCGTCGACCTACGGGTTAGCATAATCACCAATGTTGAACCACACCCGGATGCCAACAGCCTGTACATATTGCAGGTCGACGTCGGAGAGACAGACGAGGGCAGCACTCCGACAACCCGCACTATTGTGAGTGGGCTGGTGAAGTTCTACAAGGCCGAGGAGCTGCTGCACAAGCGAGTCGTCGTTTTCGCCAATATCAAGCCGTCAAAGCTGCGCGGAATAAAGTCAGAAGGGATGCTACTGGCTGCAAGCAGCATTGATGCTGACGAGGTCGTGGTCGAGTTGCTTGAGGTGCCGCAGAACGTGGTGCCTGGAGAGAGCGTGGTTGCTGCGCCAGTTGTCAGCGATGCAGGATCAGAGGAGGTCACCAAGTCAAGGCTCCATAAAACCACGCTGAAGAACAAGAATATCATCGGCAAGTTTATCAGCGGCCTGCTGTTGACGTCTGGGACGGCAAGGTACAATGGCCGGCCTTTGCAGACAAGCCAGGGCATTGCTGCCAAGCCAAAGACTATGCTCAGCGGCAAAATCTCGTAGAAAATCGAATGTATTACAAAGATATGCGGATGCTAAGATGTAAGCTGGTACGTGTGGATAGTCTTTTTGAACCGCTTAAAGTTTGGCATGCCGGCGTTTTGCTGGTTCTGCTGTGTACCTATTGCAGGCTTGGGCTTGACCAGGCGAACCCTCTTGACGACTAGCCCAGGACCATCTAAACCATGACGGTTTGTATGGTTGCTGGCAACAGCAGCAGCATCAGCCTGCTCTGGCTGTGAGATGTGAGCCTGCTTGTCTACAGGTTCAACGGGCGGAGTCTCAACACGATCTGTAACAGACATTGCAGCAGAAGTGGGTGCTGGTGGAGCCGGTGTCTCGTCGCCTCTAGACTTGGAATCGGCCGGAGACGAGACAAGGCTGCTCCAAAAGCTGTTGATCCCCCGTCTGCGCTTGCGCTGACCACCATCGGCTGACTGTGCAGCAGGCTTGATCGCTTCTGCAGCAGCAGGTGTTGGTGTAGCTGGTGTGCTCGTATCAGACACTTTTCAGCCACAGCTGGCTCCTTGGTTTGCTCTTTTATCTGCGGGTTCACATGCTCTCTGCACGAGACGAACAGCACCGCAAGGCCGATCTCCGATTCCGAGACCGGGCATGTGTTGAGTTTGCGCGCCAGTGCTTTGGCCAGCAGCACAGCCCCACCGCCATCTTGCCTACTTGAGCCACTAGACAGCGGCGTCACAATGCAGATCTGCTGCCCACAGTCGTCGCCTGCTGCCCCCTTGATAGCAGAGTTATTTTTGACCTCCTTGGCTGCAGCTTCGACCAACTGCTCACCATTGGTACTGGCCCCATCATTCTCTCTGCTAGACCACTGCTCGAATCCCTTGTACGAAATAGCGGTGCCGCCTGCGCCCTCGACAAGATCAACGTAGCGGTCAAATTGCGTGCTACAAACAAACACGAAAGCCTTTCCGTCAAACAGGTGTTTCCGTCGTGCATCTGGTCCCCAGCCAACGGTGCTCAGGTCAATTGGGCTGTCATCAGGCACATTGGGTAGCCGAGGCGGCGGCAAACACCGTAGTGATGCGACAAATGACGTGACCGAATCCGAGGTCGGGTCATCCACCCTGAAGGCGTGTGGTAAGGCTCGGATTTGGTCGATCCAGTCAAGGGCAGCAATGGGCAGACCATGCACCAGTGCCGTCACGACTGCGCTCTTCACTACCAGCGACGGCATAACCACATGCGTGCTGTCTAGCACATCCGCTGCGATCTGAATTCCAAGCTCGGCGGACAGTTTCTAGGAACTCGCCCTTGGCCTCCGCAGTTGCTGCCTTCATGTTCACTGGGAATACGGCAAACTTCACGTAGCGCAGCTGGAACGTCGATGCCTGCCCACCGAATGTCACTAGGTCGTCGATGTGGATTTCGATGATTTCGTTCTTGCTGCTGCGGCGGCCGTTAAGAAACAGGCCAAACTTTGACCCCTTCGTCTTTGATCATGACTGTCGGAGCCACCTGCCCGTCAGCAATCTCGCTGGTGGAAATGGTTGCATGGCGCCTGCTCACAGAGTGGTCGCCACCAACAATAAAGTCAGTGCCCTTGCGCCCGACCGTGACTGTGCTTTCCCCGGGCCGCAGCCACCACACGGTGCCTAAAGCTCGATCGCGCCCGACCAGAAACAGCATGCTGCCAGGAGCTATAGATAGGTGAGGTGAAGGGCTGTGTTAACGTACGGAATAACAAAAAAAAAGCTGAATTGGGCCAGCGGCTGATCGGATTGAGATACGAGCACGAGCTGCAGTGGTCCAAATATGGTTCCGCGATGCCGCACATGCCCATTTTTTTTTCGACTCGGCCAAACCTGTCCCACGCCCGGACCCGCGGGGCGAACAGCCCACCCTGGATTCGTCGCGCATGGTTTCGCGTGTGCATGCATTGGACAAAACAAGGAGGAATCCTGAGATCAGCCAGCAGCTGACATACCACACTCTATATGCCATTTCACATGCCAGAGATGACAAAGTGGAGGAAATCGGTGCGCTATGGCAGATGTAGAGTATATGACGGTCCACCACAAACTGGGCTACGAGGGATGCAGCGCGTGACATACTTTGAAAATCCCAAAGGCTGGTCTTGCTAGGAGCGGCGGCTCAAGCGCTCCAGCATATGCATCGTCCTAGGCGCGTAGAAAGTGCGGAAAGTAGATCTTATTGGGACTTACTGTCGCGAAATGCCCAGAGGTAATCCCAGGCATGGCGCGAAGGGGTTTATAAGAGACGTAGCCAGGAGGACTGCCGCTTCCCCCTCACCTCCTCATACTCTTCATACTCTTCTCATTCCTCTGCCAATGGACAAGATTAACGACAACCAGCCGCTGGTCACACGCGGATTCAACTACGACACGCTGACGCGGTACATTTCCCGCACTGTGCGCTCGCCCCTGGTCAGTTACCTGATAGTCAATGCGCTCTCCAACAAGTACCGGAGCGGGTCCATCGAGGTGCGCAAGAGGCTGGCGGCGGCGGCGGCGCTCTGGGCTGCCACCAACGTCGTGCTTCCTGGCCTGTGCAGCCTGACCGCCAAGATCTTTGGCAAGCGCGATAACTCGGTTTACTGGCCCAACGAAATTGTGGTGGTGACTGGTGGCAGCCACGGAGTGGGTAACGAATTGACGCTGCGTCTCCTGAAGGCCGGCGCGCAGGTCGTGATTCTCGACGTGAACCCGTTCGTGCTCGACGACGAGCGGTACAAGAGCAAATGGCACTACTACCAGCTCGACGTCACCAATGTCGACCAGACCAAGGAGGTGGCCGAGCAGATCCGGAACGACGTTGGATATCCGACCATGCTGGTCAACAACGCCGGTATTGTGATTGCCAAGCTGCTTCTGGATATGACCGACTGCCGAGGTTGACAAGGTCATCAATGTTAACCTGACATCGCACTTCCATTTGATCCGCCAGTTCCTGCCAGGCATGATCAAGGCGCAGCGCGGACACATTGTCACTATCGGCTCGATCGTGTCGTTTGCTGGCACCCCGCAGGCCACCACGTACTGCGCGTCCAAGGGCGGCGTCAAGCTGCTGCACGAGTCGCTGCGCCGTGAGGTCGCGTCGCGGTATGGCGCCAGCAACATCAAGTTCTCGATCGCCTACCCGGGTGTCATCGATACCGGGCTGTTCAAGGGTCTGAACCTGGGCCAGTTCTTCATGCCGAACCTGAAGCCGCATGCGATTGCGCGCTCGGTGTTCTCCGCGCTGGCAGCAGGCGAGGGCAGGGATATTTACCTGCCCAAGGCAGCGGGAATGCTGCCGCTGATCTACATGCTGTCGCCGGGCACCAGGGACGTGGGTCGTCAACAGCACGTCGGGCGGAGACACCGCCATGGCGACATGGTCTGGCCACACAAAGTACTAACTATAGACACCTGCACCCTGTAGCTGACGGCACCAGGTTTTGTTTTTGAAGGTCTTTAAATTACATTTGTTTGGTACAAGAAGCATCTCCACCCGCCGAGGTCCAAGACTTTGGTGGTTGATCGCCTCATGCATAGGCCCAGCAGCATGTCCATTAGGGCTGCATTTGCTTTCACATGCCACTACGAAAGGCACTGCGAGCATCGTTGTTTGGCATGGTGAAGAATAATATTCGAACGCTGCGGATGGACGGTGGTCTAGAAATAAGAGAGCGACTACTGAGACGGGCTGGGATGGTGCTGGTGGAATGCGGCGAGATGCTGGGTGGCGAAATGCATGGGGGGAATGGAGTGGGGAGTGCCTTCGAGACGCTTGCGCAGTATCCGGTTGCCCTCCTCGAGCCCGCGGATGAACTGCACGGCGTGCGACAGAATGACGGCCTTGCTGGGCGTGCTCTGAGCAGTGCCCGGGTGGTTGCCGAGCGCTGGATCACGCAGAGTCGTCACCAGCGTCATCAGCTCTGCATAGCCCTGGCGGATCTGGTTGCGGCGGCGCTGCTCCGACGCAATGTGGTTGGCGCGCCGCTCGTCCTCAGTCAGAATAACGCGCTGCGAGTTTTTCTTGCTGTCTCGCCGCTTGACGCCGGCCATGCCATCGTCGCTGTCACCAAACGACATTGCTTTCTCGCGGGTCTCCTGCACGGCGCTGCCGTCGGCTGCAGGCGATGTGCCCGGGAACGAGGCTGTTTGTGGAGACATGATCGACATCATTGGCGTAGCCGGCGACGGCCGACTGCTGGCGAGCATTCCGCCTGTGCTGATAATCGGCGCTTCGTGCAGAGGCGGGCGCGGAAGGCCGCCGCGGTTTTTCCTTGGCTGGTCGACCTGGTCATGCGACGCCTTGCGTTTCACAGACATCTCCGACTCGGACGATCGGCTTCGGGTACGGCAGCGTTGCTGATGTGGGCACAGTGGGGCTCATCACCGAACCCATGGGGAATGCGCTCGAGAAGCCCGATGGCGAGTACATCTGGTCATGGCCATACATGCCAGCCGTGGCGGGTCCAGCCATCGCCAGGGAGGCAAGCGTCTGCGGGTCGCGGAATTGACTGGTGCTCGGCATGCTTGACAGCGGCGCCGAGTTTGGCACATACGTCTCGCTCTGGTGATCCTGGTTCTGCATCAGCCAGGACGACACCTTGTGCAGTTCCTCCGACATCACGTTGCCCAGCGACAAGGGCGCTGTGCTGCCCAGGCTGTAGTCAAAGTATGGTCGCCGCTGCATCGGGACCATGCCGCCCACGGTGCCGCGGCTATGGGCGCCAGACGCGCCAGGCGAGTTCATGCGCGCAAAGTTCTGTGTTCCGTCGTGAGCTGCTTCGTCGAGTGAGAGATGCGGGATGGCGTCGTCCATGGTGCCCAGCATTCCGGCGCCCACTCCCATGCCCATGCCCATGCTGGTCAGGTCACTGCGTGCGCTAAAGTTTTGCATTGGCGGTGGTGATCCGAGGTACGTTCCAATATCGAATCCGTCGGCGTCAAAGCTGCTGAGGAATGACTGCAGGTACGACTCTTCGTTCGTGTCAAATAGTGTATCGATCGGGGCGGGCGGCTGGGCGGCTCCGGGTTGGCTGGTCTGTTCGATCTGCTGCGTGTCCGCCAGGAACGAAAGCTGTTGTTGCTGGGCGAGAATGTTGGCCGCGGCTGAAGCCTGCTGTTGCTGCTGTTGCTGCTGGGTGGGCTGGGGGTCACTCGTAGATATCTGGTGGTTCTGGGCAGCGATGTTTGTGCTGCTGGCTTGCGTCTGTTGGTCGGTCGGCGAAGCAAACAGTGGCGAGGGCTCGAGGTCTGGCGGGATAGATGGTGGCTGCAATGGAAGCACAGTTGACGGGAGCGGCAGATTCTCAAAGAAATCAGAGGCCGGTAGTAGTAGGGCCGGGTCTAATGCGACAAGAGGGGGATGGGCGGCTGTGTTAGTAGGCGCTGTTGCTTGTATGTGCAAGAGGGAGGGGAGTGGAGGAAAAGTCAGTGGAGGGAGAGCAAAGCGAGAAACGCTGTCCTTATGAACATTTCAGAGTCGCCAAGGCAATGCGTGCTAATGCTCCGAACCATCGTGCTAGTGTGTTCGTGTTGTTATCGTCCGAGACCCTTATTTAGCTAAGCAGCACGCTGTAGGTGCAATCAAGTGCAAGAATCATCGAGTTGCAATGGCATGTGAAAGTGGTGCTGCCGGTGAGCGCTAGCTGACAGGCCATTACTCATGCGCTGGGCGAAAAAAGTAAAATAGAATTAAGCGCTGATGGGCCATTATTGGGGCAGAATGACTACAGCCCAGTCGGCCCGGCCGTACCGCTCCTTCTGCCGCCGGCGTTCGGGCTATGTAATGCGCCCTTTCGCGATCATTGACTGATGGCGCTCAAAACATCCACCCCTTTCTCAAAGAGAAATTGCACGCAGACATGCATGCCGGCGAACCCAATAGCCTCGATAGGCACTATGAGTCCCCCTACCCCCGCCGTCTCAAATGTACATGAATATGAATTCTCAGGAAGGGAGACCATGCCATATCGATATGCATCTCGGTCCCTGGAGCTAGGGCAAGTGCACAGCCACTGCGGGGCGCTCGGACATTTCAGGGTGCGGCATTACCCCCGAGATGGCGGAAGGGAAGAAGGGGGAAGAGATAGGCCGGCAGATAAACGCAAGCCATGTACATAGGTGCTTTGTCACGGAGTAGCCGTCACAGGAACCGTCCGCGTGTTGGGCGCAATGCACACATCGGCAACGTGATGGTGGACAAAAGTGGGGCACGCGCCGGTCGGCGTGAGCACAAAAAGCATAATTTTTGAGAACGGGATTCTGGGAAACGTACCTGTGTCGAGAGTGCTGCCGTCGGCGTTACCGGAGCCATCATTCGGCATAAACAAATGCGCCCAGTCCATTGTGAAGTAAGGTAGGGCTCTGCTTTGCGGGAGCGCGGGGGTTATAGCGCAGGTCGATCTGGATATCTGCCGAGCTTGCTTATCGCGGAAAAGCTGGCGTTGGGCTGCTACTGTCTCAAACAGGCACTGCGGAGAACGTCCGTTTTGTCCTCTAGGAATGCACTGTTGAAATTCGGGGAGTCCGTTGGCTTTGTAAGGGGTCCGTTGGCTTTGTAAGGGGGTCCGGGGTCCCGTTTTCACAAGCTTTCTGGTCAGTGGTTTTGGTGCTGAGACCCACAAAAAGTACAGGTATGCCGCACGCTTGCAGGGCAAAATACAACTTAAAATTAGGCAGGAGAGAAAGGGGAAAGGGGAAATAAATGCGAATCGTACAAGAAGGAAAGTGGAGAGAAAAGTAGAAAATGGTGTACACAGCAAGAGGCAGGGCGCAGAGCTTTAGTATGCAAAAAAGCAGTGCCTGAAGCCGCCGGGAAACTGGCAGCTCGGATTGGGCCCAGGTTTTCATATCCTGCCACTGGCCAAAGCCTTTGGATTTGTCGCCTTGGCCAGGCAAGACACTCCCGCACAAGCCTGATGAAAAGGGGGCTCTGACTGGCGGCAAATCCTCCTCCCCCTCTTGCAGTGGAAGGCATCTGCAGCAGACCAATTACACCGGATGCGAAAGCGTGCGGGCGACCAGGGCAGCTCGCCCGCTCCCCGCCTTGTGAAAAATCCACAAACAACGCAGCCCAGGTCGCCGTGTCAGGTGATTACTGCCTATGAAGCAGGCAGTCCATCGTCGTCTGCAAAACCCGCCCTTTCGTGGATCCCTCTGGATGTCTATCCCGACCAATAGGTTCAAGAGTGTGCGGTCCATAGACCGATCATCTTTTGGTTCATGTCCGTGCGGGCACGCACACCGCACACAGACGCACACGGCGGCTCTGAATCGCAGGAAGATCAGTAACTGCATCTCCCCTGCCCCCTTTGGACACCTCGGTATGTTATGTAGCAGCCTCTCCTTTGTGAGGATTTAGATAAGTCCCCTACCTACGACTAACAGGCACAGTACAGGGCGAGCAGCACAGTATATCTGGCCGCGCTGATAAGGGCTGTGCTGTGACTGCAGCTCTCTTCCAACCATTCGTCTGGCTAGTGCACCGCGCGGCATGCACGATCATATGGCGAGAACCTCTTTGCCCCGGTCTACTTGCAAGACGTTCTATTCTTAAGCTCAGGTATGATTCAGCCATTGGGAAGGCGTGTGTATGCCCTTTCGCTACGCTTGCTGCCTGGCTGCCATCGAGGTTTTCTACTTTAGATCAGCTGGCAATCTCGTGCAGCCGAGCCCAAAACCGCTCTGCTAGATTCACATGCTGCCACATCACCACAGGCGATTGTTTGGGCGCCATTTACACCCGCGCTTCCTTTGCTGGAATCGCTCACTACCCGATCCAAAGACGTGCACTGCCGCCACACCCTCCGCATCTCCAGGCTGGCGCTAAACGCGTAATTGATCATGGCATCTGATTGCGGGGTGTGATCAAAGTGCCTCAACGCGCTCAGGAGTGATCGCTGTCAAGCGCGCGGCAGGCGAAAAGAGACGAAAAATAACGGCCCAGGTGATGGAGAAAAAATCGATTTTTTCTTTTGTAAGCGAGCCTTTTATATTTTTTCCATTCTATTTAGCATTTGAATTTGCGCGTTCATAAACCGGCACTTGCCTGCGCCAACACCCCCACTTTACAACTCACCCACACCTTGGTTGCGCTGCGCGTAGAGGAGCCTCTACCTATATCCTTCCTCCGCGATAATACCTCTCGTTTCTCTTAGTTTACCGACGTGCTAGAGCCCAACCTCTCCTTTGCTGGTCGACATTGCGCCGTCAGCACCTAAATACCGCATAAGCCCAGCGTGGAGCTCTTTCCTCTACTCCCAGCTCTGAATTTGGCTAGCAGCGCCTCGAACTGGCGTCCTTCCCGGGCAACAAGCACACGCTTTTATTATTCAGGAGCACCAAAAACCTCCATTTCTCCCCTCCCTTTATACGCCCTGCGTGGTTTACTTTTATATTCTCTTTTAATTCGCAAAAATTCCTTCCATAATGCTCCCAGCAAGTGCTGCCATCGTCCGAGATGGCGGTGGTGATTCGACGCCGGACGAGGACCAGGGCGTCATTCGGTGCATCTGCGGAATCAACGACGACGACGGCTTCACAATTCAATGCGAAAACTGCCTGGTATGGCAGCATGCGGTGTGCGTTGGCGTCGAGCAAGACAACGTGCCAGACGAGTACCTGTGCGAGAAATGCAACCCGCGCAAACTGGACGTCAAGGTAAGCGCATGCTTGGAACGGCTATATGGCCCAGCTCGTCACAAATATATTGAAGCCACTCTATTTATACCCACACTGGCACACTTGCCCGCTTCCTTTTCCACCTGTATAGAAGGCCATTGAATACCAGAAGCGGCGTCTGGACACCGAGTACCGACACTCGAAGGAGACTCGGAAGAAGGCCAAGTACGTCGCTGGGAAGGCAAAAAAGACCGACGATGGCGGTGAGCGCAAGAAGCGCATCCACGACGGAAAGCAGCCGCGTGTAAAGCACACCAAGGGCACGCTGGGCAGGGACTCGTCCAGTCCAACAGTCGTACGATCTGGCGACGGGTACCGCCGAGAAAGCTCGTCGTTTGCGGACGCCAGCTATTCACAGATTGAGCAAAACATACTTGGCCCGGACGTCCAAATCCTGTTCCAGAGCGTGCTGAGCCAGCTTGCAGAGCAGCGAGACATGGTTAGCGCGGCATCGGCGTCAGTGACAGCATCAGCAGCTGTAGTGGCGGCAGCAGCAGCAGAGCCATCCGAATCGGTCGATACAGCTACCAGCGAACCCAAATCTCCCGACTCCGGAACGCCCAGCGGTACAACAGCGGTCTCGCCGACAACAGCAGCACCGGTGTCTAACAAAGAAGACGGCATTGTTGCGATGCCGCCACCGGTTCGAGACAACCCATCGCCGCTGCCCTCGATTGTCTCAATGAACAGTGAATCGCTCAGGAGCCCAGCCCCTACATACTCGTCGTTTGTGGCCAAGGGTAAAAGCCAAATCGGCCTGTTTTCACGGGGTTCTATCGATGGCGGCCGGTACGTTTGTGAGTACAAGGGCCAGGTAATACTGAAGGCAGCGTACAAGGAGGACCCAAAGAACTACTACGATTTGTTACGGACGACTCGACCACACACACACTTCCACCCAGAGATTGACTTGTGTGTTGATGCACGGCGGCAGGGGTCTGAGGCACGGTTCGTTCGGAGCAGCTGCACAGCGAACGCGGTGTTGCGAAGCATCCACATAGCAGATGGCGCTGAGTCGCAAATCCACCTGGGCCTGTTTGCGCTGCGCCAAATCGAGCCCGACGAAGAGCTTACTGTTGCATGGAAATGGGAGGACGGCGAAATGCCTGCAGTGGCTCGATTGTCGCCCAGCGATGCCGAAGACTACCTAGGACGGCCCGAAGGGCGTCGTATGAGCAAGGTCTGGCGGCAAGCATTCAATGGGACGTCATGTGGGTGTGCCGATGCGCAGTGCGTGGTGCGTCAGCTGTTCGCGATGCTGGGGGTCGAGGAGTCGAGAGCCGACTATGGGCCAGAGATCAAGCGGCGAGCAAGCCGGCCGCCCAAAACCGAGACCGACAACCCGCTGTCGCCGCTGCTAGTTGGCTCGGTGCGGTCGCCAGAAAACGGTAAATCTGTGCGTGGCGGCGGGCACTCCCGCAAGACCAGCGATGCTGGATTGGATGGCGTGTCAGCAGACTCGCCAACCTCGTCGGCACAACGGCGGCAGGCACGCAGCAACAATAGCTACGGGTTCGGGAATGGCAGTAATGCCGACAACGTGTCTGGGAAGGCGTCAGCTGAGATTCTTGGTGAGCAGTACGTGGGCGACGGCCAGAGGAAAAGCAGCGCCGATAGTAACTTTAGGCAGTCACTGGACCGACCCAGCGACATGGAGGATATCGAAGATGATGAGGATGAGCACGAGCGGTGTGGCAGCGAGCTGCGAGGCGCTAATGGCGACGATCCAATGGATTCAGTGCCAATGGAGCCATCGTCGAGCGAGAATGGGCGTGCCAGGGGTGGTGAGAAGCATGGGCGCAAACGCAGGGCATGGCAGGTGAACGGCGAGGCTGCACACAGCGCTGGTCCGGGCTCCCTGGGGATATCCACGCACGGCAAAGGAAACGGCAAGAGGCGGCGCACGTCGAGCAACAATCCGTCATCATCCTCTTCTTCACCGACATGTCACATGCTCCCGCAAAAGAAAATCTGGATGAGCCAATACATCGAGCTGGCCAGTGCTAGCGCCAGTGCAAACGGCACTGCAGAGGCGGTGGGAGACATCGGCGGTTTCGTCATCGAGGAGCCATCTCCCAAAAAGAGCCCTAAGCCCACAGCTGCTAAGCCTGCTGAATCTTCTCCGACAGCCCCCAGTGACACCCCTGTGGTGGCACCGCCTGCACAAACCACTGCCAAGACCGAGCAGGACTCGTCAATGAATGCCGATGCGGAGCCAAGCACCGGCAAGCCCGACCTGTCTGTATCTATTTTGGGCACTGGTGCTGCCGGTGCAACCAAGCCGGCTTCGCAAAGACAGCCCTGCCTCTGGGTCAGCAGCGGCGCTCTCCGCATCTCCATCGAGCCCATCGCATGCAGCAGATGAACCGCCAGGTGGAGTTCCGCAGAACAAAGCTGAGCAAGACAACGTCAGAAGAAGCCGCTAGTGAGCAGACAGATGCCCCCAAATCGCCTGCAGACGAGGAGCCCAGCACTGGCGGGGGTGATGATGCTACGTCAGCGCTGGACCGTGCCCGCGCCAAAGAAACAGCGACTTTCGCTTGAGGAATACAACAAGCGGCGACGCGTTTCTCATGCGCAGGGCATTACCAGCAAGGAGGAACCGGCACTGAGTTCGTCAGCCCCTGCTGCTTCCACGGCTGCTGGTGCCGCTGGTGCCGCTGGTGCCGCTGGTGCCGCTGGTGCCGCTGGGCTGTTGCTGGTGATGCCGACGTCAAATCTGAGACCAGCAATGACAGTGGCAGTGTGGCAGTTGTCAAGGAGCTGCCGCCACCAACCAAGGTCAAGGTATCGCTAGAGGAATATAACCGGCGTCGCAAGCTCAGCGGCACTGCATCCATCGACAGCAATATCACTGCGGCAGCTGCACCCAAGGACCCGACGCCAGCAGATTTGTCGTCGGCTGCTTCGTCGGTTGGTCCGTCGGTTGGTCCGCCAGCCGCAGTGCCTGCGTCCTCTACACTAGGCAAAACTGACCTTGCTCTGGCTGGTGATACTGCTACAAAGCTCAGCAGTGGCCCAGGGCAGACATCGCCTCCCACCAGCGCTGACAGCGTTCCATCTGGTGTGACGATCGATACAACAGGCCGTCGTAACAGCTTTTCACGGACCGTTCGCTCGCCGCCGCCGCCACCACCTATCTCAGCACCTGCTGCCACCCGCCCTGGTGATCCCCAAGGCCGTCGCGGGCTATTGACCCCTCCACCCCCCATACCGCATGCCTCTAGCCATCCTGGGGGCGGGCGCTTCGACGATCGTGGCCCCAGCACGTACTCCAGCGGGCGAAAAACCAACAGTGGCTCGCAGAATGAGCCGTACTACCGACTCGAGCGCAGCGCTGGCGGATACTACGATGACTACGACCGTGAGCGCGACCGCGACGGACGAGACTTCCGCGGGCGCGACCGAGAAAGCTACCGCGACCATGACATGAAGGATCGGATCCGCAACCGCGACTTCAACACTCCACCACCCCCGCCGCCGCCCATGCACGGGTCGATGTCGGCGTCGGGCCCTGGGTTCCAAGGCCATGGCGCGTACCGTCAGCGCGACCGCGAGTTTGGGCGGCGTGATGGCAGCCTGGAGCGCGAGAGCGGCGAGATCTCGTTTGGCCGCGGCAGATCCCGGTCCCGCGACCGGGGCAGCAGGATGGGCGGTATGGGTGATCCGTGACCGGCGGTATGGCGGGTCCATGGGCCAGGGCGGCGGATACTACCCGTCGCACAATAACAGTGGGTCGCCGCCAGCACGCTCGCTGACGCCGCAATCGAGCAACAGCAACAGCGAGTGGCGGTCGAGCGGGTATGCCCCGCCGCTGCTGTCGCCGCACCACTCGACACAGGCCGGCGGAGGCAGTCCGTGGCTTGTCCAACTCGCCGCCCCGTCGCCAGCAGCAGGCGCCGGATGCCCCGTTCGCGTCTCCACATCAAGCAGCCGCTGCCCGGACTGTCTACGACCAGCGGCAGCCCCGTGGCGGCTGGGGGTGGGTACCGCGGAATAAACAGACGGGGTGGCATCGGCAATAACGGTGGGGGCAGCAGCCGGGGCGACTCGCCTGTTCGGAAATAACCACATCGCTGTAATTTTGCAAAAAAAAAAAAAAACATAAATATCATCCCGAACGCCTGCATTACTGGAAAATGGGCTGTTCTGGGCAGGGATTTAATTTACATTTTGGGCTCTGATAGAAACACCTGTTTCTTGAACATTTCCGAGTCGACCGACCCTCTGCCATTGTTTACCGAGCCATTGCTTCTTCGATATCGGATCTAGGAGCGAGCGAGCGAGCGAGCAAAGCCCGTAGAACCGCGTTGTTGTGACAGTAAACACGACGGTCCGCTGGCCTGATTGGGCCGACGCGATAAAAGGGTGGGTGTCCTGGCAGCACCAGAATGGCAAGCCTTGCACAGTATACGGTGGGGGAGGGACGAGCGCGGAACAGCTTCCCAAAAACAAGGCAGCACCGCATTACCCGACGGTGGGTTTCAGTGTGATAATGCTGCTGCAGCGGCCAGATAACAATGCCTGTGCCCAGACCCGGTGCCAATATGTAGGCACTATCTCGTTGACAAATCCTGTGCATATATCCACAAAGCCTGCATCCAAAAATAGCCGGATAACCGCCTGTGTTGGCACCAAGCGTAGAGTGTATGAGCTAAGAGCGAGCAGTGCGTCACTCAGCCCTGACTGATCCAGGCTATATCACTCATAGGTCCCTCCTCTCTCTCCCTCACACTCGCTCGCCTCCAGAGTCGCAATTTTGGTCAAGTGGGCCTTACCATGGAAGTTCCTTGAATGTTTCTTGGCTTTCTGCGCGCATGACTATGCCGTGACCCAGAGCAAGGCGCTTATGACAATTATCTCAGCATCAAGTGACTGGACGCGGAAAACGAAAAGCCGAGCTGGACAAGCGATCCCTTCTACGTAGAACATTGCAATTGCAAACACTATTTCGGGTCCTTTGCCCGCGGACGTCCGCCCGCCGCAAACAGGAGGACATGAAGGTTCCTGGGCAGCCTACGGAACTTGGGTGCAGTTTGCGCGCCCAGCGTGGGCAGTGCTCGGATGACACTGGGACCGTTACAAGGGCGATTTGTTGAGGACACCCGAGTCGGCCAATGACGCAGCCATGGCAGCGACTGACAAAGCCCAGGATTTCTTTCCTAGAGCATTAGTCAACCTGCCCCCAAAATCTTTTTCCGCGCTTGACGTTTGCGGCTTTCACTTGACTCGCAGTTAAAAGGAAGCCCGTGCCCAGCACAAAGGCCGATTCAGGCTTATTCGTATCACTCCTGCTCTTTTGCTAGTTGTTCCTTTATTTATTTCTGCGCTCTCTTTAATTTCCCGAGTCTGCCGAATTTAATTTTTTGTTTATAAGGCGTCCATTTGTCAGTCCACGAGTCTGGGTTCAGCAACCGCTTTACAAGAATCGCCCCCTCCCCACCTGCCTTTTCTCTTTCTGATTTTATTTCCTTACTCTGGATACTCCTGTTATACCTTGCGGCTTATCGTGCATACAACCATGAAGAGGCGGTTCTCGACAGTGCTGAAGCAGCTCAAGCGCAACGCAGTGGTGAAGCTGGCTGGCGCATCGAACCCCCAGCGGCAAGCGGTGGTCAGCCTCCTGCTTGTGGTCCTCACCGAGGTCGCGCTCCTGGCTCTGACGTTCTGCACCAACTTTTTGTCGGCATTCATCCACAACACGCTCGAGGTGTTCCACGACTTCCGTCTGCGCTCGCTAGACAACGCCCAGCGCATTGTGTCGTTTGAGCGCACGCTCGGCATCTTCTTCGAGGAGCCGCTGCAGCGGTGGCACGAGAAGCACATTGGCGGGTGGAGCTTCTGGAACACGTACTATGCGGGCGTGCACCCGGTGGTCACAGTTGTGTTCCTTGTGTTCATTCTCATGCGCATGTTTGCCTGGAAGCTTAAGCGTGTCAACTGGAAGCAGGTCAGCGAGGGCCACCGGCAGTCAGGCGACGAGGACTCGTATTATGCCCCCGACAACTCCAGCGCCGTGGTCACACGCGGGTCGTTCAATGAGATGACGGCTGCGCAGCAGTACCGCTTCCTGCGGTCGGTGTGGGTGCTGGGCGCCTGGGTCGCCTTCTTTGGCTTCCTGTTTGCCCCGACCATGCCGCCGCGCCTTCTGCCCGTGTGCGATTTCTTCAACGCCCAGGGTGCCAACGTCGGCGCGTGCCTCAACACCGAGTTTTCGTTCATGGACTCGATTGGCCTGCACGGCTCGCTGCTGTGGGACTGGAACGACGAGTCGGTCAAGACCCTCAACAACCCGTACGCCGCGTTCCCCTCGCAGCACACCATCTTTGCCGCCTGGTGCGCCCTCTCGTGGATCCACCTGGTTGGCCCCAATGTGTCGGGCAAGGGCATTGCGTCTGCCTGGTTCTGGGTGCGCGGCGCTATGCGCTGGGGCATTGTTCTGTATCCAATGGTCACCATCTACTGCATCATCATTACGGCGAACCACTATATTGCCGACGCCTTGTTTGGCCTCCTTGCGCTGGCCTTCTCCTACGCTGTGGTCTACTTTTACTACTCGTACCGCAGCCGCCACGTTGTCCACGGCAAGGAGATGCCCGGCACGCTTCTGCCGTACTAAATACCCTGCTACTTCAATCTTCTTAATCCCCCGCACTCCCTATCTCGCTAACCTCCTCGCTGCTCTAACCAGCCTGTACGATACATTTTTAGTTGTCTTTTCCTCTAATACACACCAAAGTCACAACCCTTCTTGCTTGGAGCCGGCACAAAGTCTTGGCACCAGAGCCGCTCCTTCGTGTTTTCGCCGCGTGCGCGTCCTGGCCCATGCTTCTCCTTGGCGCCATGGGAAGATCGTCGCTGAGCGACCCTCAATGTTGGTGCAATTGAGTAATCAACTGCTTCCACAGGCCTATTTCTGCAATTTATCTCGCAAAGACCTCGGCGGTCTGGGCCGCTCCTCCCCCTCCTTGCCTCCTGGCACCAGAAAGACGCCCCTGGCACCCGCATCGCTTTTCCCTTTGAGCCCTTTCTGCCACTCTGCGCCTTCTACCTCATTCTGCAAGTGCCACCTGCATAGAAGCTTCTGCCATTCATGTTGGGAAGCGGCTGTTGGCGAGAACCACACGCGGATTTTTATTTTTTGTTCGCTAGTCTGAAACAGAGCATTCGTTTGCCTCACTCTTCATCCGAGTCTTCGTCGTCGGTGGTTTCATCGTCGCCGAGATACTGCCGATTCGGATTACCTGCCATCAGCGGATCATCGTCGCTCTCCTCGCTCTGCACCTCGACCTCGGTTGCGCCTGCCTGCCCCTTCATCATCTGCTCCCACATCGCCTCGTACTGGTCCGGCCACTGGCCCGTCTGCTTCAAGTGCTTGACCTGCTCTGCCATCAGGACCTGCGCAATCTCGCCACCCACCTTGTCTGTGAACTGCTCGGAGAGGTTGGCGAGCACAAAGCTGCCGCGCTTGACCCACACCACGCTGCGGTATTTCGGCGGCAGCTGGGCCAGGGTCGTGAACCATGCGGAGCTGGTCGGGTTGAGCCGCTGGTTGATCTCGGGCGTTGTCAGCGATTGCAGGACCGCGATTTCGTGCAGGTGCTGGCCGCGGGGACCCAGCACGCGGGCCACGGGGCAGGTGGGTGTCGGCTCGGGCAGTGTCTCTAGGGCTTCTTGCGCTGTGTACTTTCCGCGTCCCATGGCTGCCAATGCTGGATTGAAAAAATTTTGTACCGATTTTGTGTTTGGGTAGTAGTGCTTGGGTAGGCAGGCAGCACACTGGGCGACCAGGCCCGTGTAGGCCATGCGGCGGACTGTCCACCATGACTATGGTGCCCCACGGCTTTTTGGGGTCTGAGAATCTCCACGCTCCATAGTAGCTTGGCTCGCTCACACTGTGCTCGGACACCATTATCTACGGCCCAAAACTTTTTTGGTGTGACCGACCTCCGATCTGGATTACTTCTTGAACCACCCGCCCTTTCCTACCTTGTACACTTGTTTATCCGGCATGTCTCCCCAACCCGCACCCCTCTGGCAAATCTACAAGGGCATTGAGCCGCGCTACCGCATTCTCATGGGCCTCGGCTTCATGGGCTTCAGTATGGCCGGGCTGTGGGTCAGCGACAAGCTTGAAGAAGCCTATCCGGCTGCTGCAGATACCCGCGTCGTCCATATTAGCCACGACGAGGTTGCTCGGGCCGAGGAGTATCTGCGGCGGAACAGCAAGCCTAACAAGTAGACTGCCATTGATACTACTAAGAATACATGTATGTGCACGCTTTCATGGCCGTGGGCGCGTACGATGTTGATGAAATAGTTACAGCTACAGTTAGGGTGACAAGCTTCACATATATGTGCAGGAAACCCGCCCTTACGCCTACTTTGTATCATCAGGATCTGATGCCGTGCACCATATTGGGTCTGGGTATGGCCAGATAGCTGCAGCTTGGATGCACTCTCTCATTTACAATATGCGCTGGGCAGGTCTCTATCCGAGCACACTGGACCTGCCAGTATTCCTTTGGGCAGAGCTGGATTCTAATTTCTGGCAGTGCAGATGTCAGTTAAAAAAGCGGCAATAAATGAAGTAGCTTGTTAGGCGGGACTTCATAACATTGTCGATACTATCGACCAAAGAAGAGCACTCTTAGCACTCACTAGCTCCTGGGAATGAGGTTCGCTGCTCGGCTAGATAATATAGTTTGTGTGCGATGTTGGACCCAGCTATGACGAAGGGTGAGTTGAATAGCTATGGAATTGCATACCATATTGGCCAAGATGCTTGTATATTGCCAGATAGTGGTCTCGGACAACCCTTAGCTAGTCTATTCTCGCAGCATATATGACCACAATCTCGCCAATCATCTGCTCACAATGCCAGATTTTCACCTCCAGGCATCTCTCCTTCGCCATGTTCATGCCACAAAGATAATGTCTGCAGTCGGTATACAATCTGTCAAGAATCTGTGCAAGACACCGAATCACCCCGAACACCACTGCCGTTGCAACCAACAATTCATTTCGCTTGTCGACTCTTTCTGTGTTGACTCAATACTGAGTTATATGGCAATGGAACTTTACATGAGTCTATGTATTTGGCTGAATGAATTGAAACTATTTCGAAAGGAGCGGTACGTAGAGAATCGCTTTGCATATTAGATAAGCAGTAGTACCACGTTTTTTTGAGAGCTGGTGTCCTTTCTATCAAAACTTGGTTTTTAAGCATGCTCTTGGTAACATGAGTTGATGCATGTGTAGCCTCATTGATTTCCGTGCTATATACTGGCAGTGCAATGATAAAATGCGCATGGAAAAGGCGGTCTAGGTTGGCAACCTATATTTATATCTGGTATTCACATGTGTTACTTTATGTGTATGAAACCATCGCTTTCTCAGCCATATGCACTGTGCATCACAATATACATTCTTGGTACTTTATAAAGCTTGTGACCATATGTTTCGACAGTTTGTCTGTCAAACGCACTGCTGAGAGCTGCTTATTAAAGCTGATCCTATGTAAACCATCATTGGCTGAGCATCCATATAAATGGGTTCATACTTGGCAGATTCAGTCTCAATCTCCCCCTCTCTCTTAATATAACCCTGCTGCTATCATCCATGGTGTGGTTGAAATGAAAACGTCGCCAGTAGGGCGAGGTGGTATACAAGATAAAAAGCAGTTGACAATAAAGAAACATAGAAATAACCTTCAGTAACGCTATTAGTGCTCTGAAAAGTTTTCTCCTAACAATCTTCCCACCAGCTCACAATCCACTGCGACGCCACTCACCATTCACCAGCTCTTTCTCCTTATTGCACTGTGTTCAAGAACATTGTTCGCCCCTTGCAGTGTACGGCACGTTGCAATCAATGTTGCAACTGACGCTGTCCAGGAGCTTAAATCAGTATGCCTTAGACTGATAATATAGCAGCCATGTGCAGTACTCGTACCTGTATGTCTCTGCTGACCCATGGGCGACAAGCTGTACAGGGTTCAATGACTGATATGCATGTCGTGATTGGTGTTGAATATTTTTATTAGCTGGCCATTTATAGATTGTTACTGCAGCGAATGCAAATACATGAGCTCATAGGGAATGGGATCAGTGGGAATACCACCAATGATAGTACGGTCGCTGTCATCCATAGGTGCAAGTGCAATGCAAATGTTGCTTGTGAAGTGAAGAGGTATGGAAAATAAAAGTAATAAGACGATGAAGAGACTCCAAGAATTCGCTGCCAACAACACCTCAGCTACTCGGAAAATTTTTCTCCCAGCAAACTTCCCACCAGCTCATAACCCACCGTGACGCCACTTGCTATCCACCAGCTCCTTTGCCTCGTTGTTATCCGCTCAGGATCATTGTTTACAGCTTCAGGGCTGCCTTTTGCTCGTCTGCCCAGAGTGGCATTTGCGAAAGCAAATTGCTCCTATTCTGCTCATCTGATTCCTAAATTTAGATTTACTAATGCAAGCTGTTCAGCATTGGCTCACAATTACGCAGCGCATGGAAAAAATGTGGCATTTCGGTCATGATTACCGCATAAGCCACATTCAAGCTTTCATGACAGCCGATCAGTGTGGTCAGGTATACCGTCGTGGTTTATTTGTATCTCTACCATGTGCTGTGCAATCAGAGCTAGGTTGTAATATACATGATACACTAAATACAGAAATAGGGAAGAGTTGTTAGTTGTCTCCAGATTGGTCCGCAAACCTTCTCACATATATCCCCTTGATGTGCTGTCTAGCAAATGGCCGAATGGCATCTGCCTGCGTCCGTCTCGCTGTGATGCGTTCTAAGCAAGGCAGTCGTGGAATGATGTTCTCGAGGACCTCAACAACAAAATTGCTAGGTATTGCGATGTCAAGGCATCTCAGTTGTCTACTGAGAGGTGGCAAGACTTGGACATCCACAGGCGGATCTGGGTTAGGAGGTGGTAGTGGAAGCGGGGCAATAATTTGCTGCATGCTTGCCGAGACCACACCGATCCTGGAGGTATCTCTGGAGACAAATGAAGTGCTCGCTTGTGGTTCGCCATTGGCAGGTCTTGGCGCGATAGCTGGCAGCCTACTCAATGATGCTTGTGGTCTATGGATATTCTGCCTGCTGCCTGATGCTGTGCTCCTTTCTTCATCTTCAAGATGCCATGTGTATTCGCGTGCTCTTGCTGCTTTAGTAGTTCTGGTGGAGGATGCGGAGATGGCGTAAGAGAGGGAGGCATCTGATGAGTTCTGGAAGTCTGTGCAGGTCATCTGGATTCAGATCAATGATCAGCTTTATCAGCATGGGCCAGGCTATCCAGTCAGAGAACGGAATCGAGTTACCAGTTAGCGTGGCTCTCGTGACAATTGACGGGCTGCGGAAAAACCGATTGATAATGTCGCGCGGCAGCCGCCCAGGTAATGCATCATACACGTTGGCAAAAACCCTTAAATCGGTTACGCCGGCCACTATCCTTGGGTCGATAGACTGGAGTCCTTGAAGGTCCTCCACCATGTATAGGGATCTTGGCAGACGCCTGTGGAACAGCCTGTAAACATCCTCGTATAGCAGGCAGGAGTGAGAAACAGTTACCGATCTGATGCTTGGGAACTGAATATCGAGCCCGCTGTTGGGTGTCTGTCGTAGCAAGGTGTGTCTTATCTGTACAAAGCTGAGACACACCTCCTCGACGTTTTCAAAGACAAGAGACCGCTCACCAGTCAGAGCAAAAAAGTCCCATGGAATGCCATTCATTATGCGCAGTATATTGATCTTGCGCAGCTGCCTGACAGCGTATCTTGGCAGGGCACCGATGGTTCTCAAGTGTTCTTCGTGAAGCTCAACTGAAACAACCTGTGGGAGAATTCCGAGAGGGCGTGTTGGAACAACAGGAGGTATCTCTTGAACCTCAACCAGCTGTGGCACGTATGCTGTGTACAGCATCTTGTAGAACGGATTCAGATTAAGCGCGCTACGAAAATCAACAGGATTTGAAACTGTACTTTGAATCAAGCTGTAACTCATTGATGTAATCGTAGGGATGAGCGTGGAGAACATGCGGCTGTCAAACGATGCCTGTTCGACTATATCCCTGTCAGATACACCAACGCCGCGCTGGAAGACACCCGGACCAATGAATCGGAGGTTATGGAGACTGCTCCAGTCGAAGAATTCTGGGCGTAGTATGTTAAGCAACTTCAGAATTGGTGGTCTGCAGCAACACCGCCTGTTTTCCATAAGAACCAAGATCTGGGTTACCTCGTCAGTAAATCCATGGCTGATGAGCCAATTAGCACTGGTGCGCCAAGGGGACGCATGGCAACCGCGTCCGTTGCATGACAGGGCAGAGCGGTGTTCGAATACAACTACCTGTCTAGGTGGCCTAGGCAGTAGTGGCCTGATGTCTCTGTGGGTGTTGTAGAGGCTAATGAAGTCGCGCAATCCATAGAAGTTGCTGCGCATCGGCACCAAATCAGTACATGCCAAGCCAAAGATTTTTTCCAGAATGCCTGTTGGAACTTGGTAGATAGACATGGTTGTTTCTGTCGAGTATTGTTAGAAAATAGGCTATGGAGGGCCGATGGGGTACTCGCCAGAATGCGCTCTATTTAATATCGTACCGCTTCAGATATTTCTAATTTTGCATGCACCACCGTCCTTATTCTACAATTGTAAACCGTCGTTATTATCACAATAAGGACTCTATTCTGCAATAATGGCAATAAGAGGACATGTGTGTGTCAGCAGGCAACCGACAAGCAGAAATAGTGCTGAGCGTGGATGCTAATGTCTATTGTTAATATTCGGGGTCCGGAGTCCCTCTGCGCCACCATGGGCAGACCAAACCGCATAGGTACAAAGGCCCAGACATACGGCCAGCTTCCCTTCTTCCTCTCAGTCATATTTATGAGAAGTTGTTTCTCAATATACCTGATAGCCAATCATCCCCTAGGTCAGCACCTATGCTTGGAAACAGCACCAATCGCAAGCACACAATGCCCTAATGTTTTACTTGCATATAATTTAGGAATGATTAAACCACACCAGGTGAAACTCAGGCATGCAGGAGGGATGAAAGGATGCGAAAAGGTGATCATGCGTTGCTCAGGTATTGCCCATTGTTCTGGCAGTTGTGCTTGGAGGCACGCAGGTGTTTGTACGTGATGCATATACAAAAGTACTACATGAGGTTTTCTACTATTTTCTTACTCACTTACACTGCCGCTACGTGCATTTTTGCTTATTTATTTTTACGCTGAATTACCAGGGATCTGGAGGATCAATTTGTTGAACACCATGTGAATGCATGGTCACCCAGTACATTTTGTTGCTGACCAAGACACCGAGTAGCCAGGCAGTATCACCCCCCCCACTGTGCTCCGATCATTTTTCTGTGTCTGCTGCCGCACCATTGCCATTCTCCACGTAGCCTTTCTGTAATAGAATAGTGAAAGTATGTTTGCGAAGTGAAAAGTTGATGAGAAGCAAGGAACATGTTTCAGATATCCAGCTACTAGGCCAATGTACTGCCAGCTGAGAGTCCATTCCGTGAATGACTGCTCTGTTCATTTTATGACCCAAGTATGCTTTTCTACCATCAGGTTCTACAGTATTGATGAGGCGGTCACCAAAATTTCAGATGAAGTTGGATCAAAGCTCACTTGCTTGGACATCTGCTCGTGCAAGTCTCTGTGTGTGGTCTCGGTTTTGGGTCTCACTGCAATCCTGCCGAGCATATATGTGCTTGGTGTAAACGATGAGCCGATTGAGGCTGCGTACATGAGGAATAGCAGCCCCAAGATTCGGATTCGCGAGTTTATCTCACACATCGACGAGGTGGATAAAGCGAGGAACAAATTATTGTGTATATATTGGTATCAGTATTAGATGTATCCAATCAACATGCCATTATCCTTGACACTTAGTGCACAACATGGCATCAACCCCAGTGATCTCCGATTAGCGTCTCTGATCTGAAATCAGGATCTTGAGAAAAACTACGGCAAGCTTCCAAGTACTTCGGTTCAGCTGGCCAGTGTTTACATTGAGGCAAAAAAGGCCCGACAGACTCAGCCAGCGCTTTCTTACTTTTCAATCTCCTGTTCGGTCACATTTTCCTGCGTTCTTGCACACATTAAGCCCAACACGAGAACAGAGAAGCGTCCGTTATTTGTAATCCCTTACATTTCCAGACAGCTCATAACAACAACAAAGAATGGCGAGACGCAACCAAATGCCCATGATGCAGCCGCAGGTGATTGTGCTCAAGGAGGGCACTGACACATCCCAGGGCGTGCCCCAGCTTCTGTCGAACATCTCTGCGTGCTTGGCGGTGTGCGATACTGTGCGCACAACGCTCGGTCCGCGCGGCATGGACAAGCTGATCGTGGACAGCCAGAAGCGGGTGACAATCTCGAACGACGGCGCAACGATCATGAAGCTCTTGGATGTGGTACAGCCGGCAGCACGCACTCTGGTTGATATTGCGCGTGCGCAGGATGCTGAGGTGGGCGATGGCACAACCAGCGTGGTTCTACTGGCGGGTGAGCTGCTGAAGGAGGTCAAGGACTTTGTTGACGAGGGAGTGAGCCCGCAGGTGATCATCAAGGGCTTCCGGAAGGCGGCAGAGCTGGCGATCGAGCACATCAAGCAGCTGGCGGTCAGTGTGGACCGGTCGGACAAGCAAAAGTTCCGCGAGCTACTGGAGAAGTGCGCGGCGACGAGCATGAACTCGAAGCTGATTGGATCGCAGCAGGAGTTCTTCAAGACCATGGTGGTTGATGCGGTGCTGCGCCTGGATCAGGACGAGCTGAACGAGGAGATGATCGGGATCAAGAAGGTCCCAGGCGGTGCGATGCAGGACTCGTATTCTGGTGGACGGCGTTGCGTTCAAGAAGTCGTTCTCGTACGCTGGCTTTGAGCAGCAGCCCAAGTCATTCGACAACCCCAAGATTGTGTGCCTGAACGTCGAGCTGGAGCTCAAGGCGGAGAAGGACAATGCTGAGGTGCGCGTAGACAAGGTGTCCGAGTACCAGGCGGTGGTGGATGCCGAGTGGAAGATCATCTTTGACAAGCTGGAGGCGATTGTTGAGACAGGCGCCAGTGTCGTTCTGTCGCGGTTGCCGATCGGTGATCTGGCGACGCAGTACTTTGCTGACCGCAGCATCTTCTGCGCTGGCCGTGTGACCAAGGACGACATGGATCGCGTGTGCGAGGCGAACCGGCTGCCGCACGCAGAGCACGGTGAGCGGGCTGACGGCAGCGCACCTGGGCACATGCGCCAAGTTCGAGGAGCGGCAGATCGGCGGGCAGCGGTTCAACATGTTCCGCGGATGTCCCGAGGCCAAGACGTGCACCATTGTGCTGCGTGGCGGTGCTGAGCAGTTCATCGACGAGGTCGAGCGCAGTCTGCACGACTCGATCATGGTCGTGCGGCGTGCAGTCAAGAGCCAGGCGGTGGTTGCTGGCGGCGGAGCGACCGAGATGGAGGTGTCGCGGTTCCTGCGCGACACAGCCCGCGGTATCGAGGGAAAGCAGCAGCTGGTGCTGACGGCGGTGGCCAAGGCGCTGGAGGTGATCCCGCGGCAGCTGTGCGAGAACGCCGGCTTCGACACGACGGACTTTATCACGCAGCTGCGTGCCCGCCATGCGCAGGATCCCGACAAGTTCAAGTGGTACGGCGTGGACATCGACGAGGAGGCAGTGGCCGATCTGTTTGCCAAGTTCGTGTGGGAGCCAGCGCTGGTCAAGATCAATGCGATTTCCAGTGCCGTTGAGGCCGCGTGCCTGGTGCTCAGCGTCGACGAGACAGTCAGCAGCCAGCAGTCGGAGTCGCCGCAGGCCAAGGGGATGCCGCAGATGCAGATGCCGCGCTAAGCGCAAAAAGGAAAACACAAAGCCATTTTTTGCTGAAGAGTACAAAAAAATTCCGAATATCTCATAAAGAACCGCCTTACTCGGCAGCGGCGGAGCTCTTCTCGGCCGAGACCACGGCAGACTCGCGCCAGTCGCCGTTGATGTTCATCCGCCAGACGCGGGTAACGCCGTCATCGCCGCTGGACACTAGCAGAGTGCCAGTGCTGTTCCACCGCACATGCCGAACCGGCGCTGTGGGCTCAGCAGCGAGGTCGGCGACCAGCTCTGCGCGCGGTGCGGGAGTCTTGTCGACGGGCTTCGCCTGAGACTTGTCTTTGCTCTCCTCTGGGATGCTCGCCAATCTGGCCGTTGATGCGCATGTCCTCGTCATCCTCATCGGCCGACGACTCGTTATCGCTGGACTCCTCGCCGGTGACGTCGTCGTCGTCATCGTCGTCATCGTGGTCGAGATCCGAGTCCTCATGGACGAACAGCGAGTCCTCGAGGGCGCTGCGCGTGGGCATGGCTTCTGGACCAGAATTTGTAGATGCGGATGTGTCCGTCGGCGCAGGCGGTGGCGATCAGATGGAACGACCTGCCCATGGATGGCGCCCAGTCGACGTCCAGGACGTGGGCGTCATATTTGTCGATTTCCAGGACCTCGACGCAGCGCATGGCGATGAGCTGGAATACCCGCACCCTGTTCCCCTTGCTTCCGGCGACCACGATCATGTTTGGTGCGGAAAACCTGGACTTGCACCAGGACACACACAGCGGGCCGTCCGAGTCCGTGGCCTTGCGGCTCGGCCACGAGCTGTGTGCTGACGGTCCAGTTGCGCAGGCTGACCGCCTCGGTGGGCGAGTAGAAGCGGACGGTGCCGTCGGAGCTGGCAGGCAGGCAATGGTAAGGTTGGTGTACTCGGGGGCGAAGGCAATGCTGTGTATGGCGGCTGTGCTTTCAACAAGCGTTGCCGCGAGCTTCCAGCGTCCAGTGCTGCCCTTGACTGCTGCATCCTGCTCGATCCAGATTTTGACCGTGCGGTCGAGCGAGCACGAGGCAAGGACCTGCCCGAACTCGGGGTGCGCCCAGCTTACCTTGAGCACCGAGCTGTCGTGGGCCGAAATGGACTCATTGAGCACCCACAGACCTGTCTGTTTGTTCCAGTCCCAAATCTTTATGCTCCGGTCGGACCCGCATGTCGCCAGACGCGTGCCGTAAAAGTTGTACGCGACGTCGTGAATGAAATCGTCGTGATTGACCGGGATAGAAAACTCCTTCTCCATTGTCAAATGTGTTGTGCAAAGACGAGTGCGAAATTAACAAAACTGAAATTGGCGCCCAGAAAGCCAGAAAGAGCAGTATGCAGGTGGTTCAAAAGAAAAGCGTGAACTGCTGTGTGCGTCGATTTGCAATCATCCAGCTAGGGAAAAAAGCGCTTCCTTTCGCTAGTGCTTTGGAATTCCCCTTGTGGCTCACTGGTACACATGCCATGCGAGTCGCGGGAATGCTCGTCCGCTTGGGATAATCCCCGCCGCTGGGAGAACCCCGCAAGCGGGCTCGGCTGGGAGGTTTGGTAGAGCAAAGGATGGGACTTGGGAGGGACGTGGACGTGCTAGCGGACAGGCGGGCGAAAGCTTCTGGACTGCAAGCCCTCTTGTACAATAGGATGGACCAGCTTCCCCCCTTTTTTCTTCAAAGGCACACGTCCAGAAAGCAGCATGTCCGTACAGCACGAGGAAATAATGTCGGTATTCCTTGTTCCATTTGAACAGGCCACGCAAACGTTGCACGATAATCGCACTTCAAACAAAAACACGACCTAGCACTAAACTGTGCAGAGATAGTAGAGGTTTATAACATTTTATTAATGGGTCTGAGACTGAAAGAAATCGGAAGAGACGATAGTAAATGTAATATGAAATGCTGACTGATGCATTTTTCGAACTGAAGAAAGTGCAAAAGTACAATTTTTGGATGTTGTTTTACAGGAAGCAACGGCGTCAAAAAGGCCCACGGATCAGACTGGCGACGAACGGATTGGAGGACTCAGTACGGATCCTGAGGAGGATCTGGCGGGTGTCTGACCGGGTAGTCGCGTAGCGGTGCTAGCTCATGTGCCGGCATGATTATGTAAGTGTATGTGGATTGGGAGAGGAGGAGAGGACTACTGGATATCCAAACGAGGAGGAGGCCCCGGCGCCAGTGCTATTTATATGAAAAATACGGAGGAGACGGCAAGAAGGGGGAAGAGAATGGACAAGAATGAATGCTGCTAGTAAGTGAACGCTTTTTGCAGCAGAAAGAGGGGAGAGGGGATGGGGGAAGCAAGTTAGAATCGTTTTGTAAAAAGCAAAATAGTGCGATCGCGCGGCTGGTGATGAAGCGTGAAAGAAGAACCTGACACACTGAATTCGAGACTCGCTTTATACCAGGCGCAGTTTCTCTTTGCAGCCAGATTTTTCCCTTTGCTGGTCAAATTCCCCCTGGGCTTGTCTGGCTGGCGGCGGTTTGAATATCCGGGTGTTCTATAATAGGAAAACCTGAGACATGAATTTGTGGCGAAGGTCAATTACAGCAATTGCCGAACCCCGGGCATAGCTCCATCATTCGCACTGCGCATAAACACCCACATACTCCGCAGAGTATGAATATCCCCTGGCCATTCTTGCTTCAGCAATGGCAGCCCCTGCGGGGGAAGGTGCCATGGTGTCTCGTGCTACACAGGCATCGATGAATGCCGAAAGGCGAGGCTCGAGGCATGATTGTAAGAGCGTATCATGGCGTACTACTGCTCCATGTTCCAGCCGAGACTGTCCATTCCGCTTTTCGGCAAGTGGCCAGGGAATATGCAAGTGCCGAGTTATCTTGGCATGTGCTATTGTCCGGCGCACCACCCCTCTTCCACCACCCCCAAACATGTGCCACCTACCTGGGTCCTCGACCTGCCGCGCGCTGATTCCTATTGGGAGATATTTGGCGGCGAAAGGAAAAGCCACCCAAGCTGTATATAGAAACGGCTGGGTCGCCTCTATTGCGCCTATTTTTGGGCATCTCGCTGTCGGCCGGTGCCAGCGCAGCCAAATCCGGATGAAATGTCTAGGACAAGTGATCAGGATGCTACTGTGTGAATGGGACATTGGGCAGTTATTTCCGAAAAGAGGTGTCAGCGAGCGAATATCTCGATCATCACATGGCTGAACCACGTGATCGCAGTTCCTGGAAGATAGATTCCAGCCATAAAACGTGCTGCGCCCAAAAGCCGGCATCGATCCTGGCCCGGCGTGCGAAAAAAAAAAAAAAGATGCAATCGCAATCTCCGGGCTGGCGGAGACTTGGCTCCGGCCGGTGGGGGACAGAGATGGAGGATGAACCTCAGCTGTGCATCATCCCTCAGGTCCCTCGCTCGGCATGTTTCCCACGCACCTGCCATTTGCGGCAGCCGGCCCAAGAATGCCGGGCTGGGATTGGGACGAAACCTTTCAAGTGCTTCGCGTTAGCGGCTCCGCCTGCCCTCAAATGGAGCGTGGCAATCCCAAACAGCCTTGCCTGTCCCTCTCTCTCGCAATGTCCGAAGCCAGCGCGCCATTTTTTCACACGGCCTGTTCGATCGTTTCCATCGGGCTAGTCTACAGGGACCCAGCACGCATTTCAAGGGACCTCATCTATGCAGCGAGGCATGCATGGGGAGGGAGAATTCATTTCGCTTATTGCGCTATTGCATGGCCACGAGAAGAGGTTTCAAAGTGTGCAGAAATGCACGGCACCCAAGTGCTGCTGTGGCGAATAATAACCTCACCCGGCCCTTATCCTGAGCACGCTGCCATGTGCCCGAGGGCTGGATATAAAAGGCCAGAGCAGGGTGGAGCCCATCTTGCCTCCAGCAGCGCTCAGACCCTACTACATTTCTTATCTGTAATTTTTTGTGCTTCTTTGGCTGCGACCACTTTACCAACTCGCAAAGGTAAGCAGGCCCAAACAATCGGTGAAACTGCCTATTGTCCTGAGCAGCTTCATTCTTGTTGTCCTTTGCAGCTTCATGCTTGTGCGCTGCATGCAGCCCACTGCCTTTTCTGCGTTTTTGGGCTGCTCCTAAACCACTGCACACGTCATCCCGGCTCTACCGCTCGCGATTCTCTCCAAAGCCTCTCCAGCCCTTGTGCTAGTGAGCCATCTGTCTGCGTCAGGAACGGCCATTGACCTTCCACCTCTCCTCCTTTGACTGGCACTTTATTTCTGTTTCTATTCAAAAAGTAAATGCTCAAGACGGCTACTGCACAACAGCGCTTTCCATTCGTAAAGACCACGTTATTCATCGTCCCGCTGCTTGCGTTTTTTCTCTGGCTTGTAGTACTTCCGAATTCGCGTTTTACCATGTGCACGACAATCAAGAACCCCGTTGAGGAGCGCGAGCTCCTGCCGACCAACGTCACGCCGGTGCACTACGACATTCTGCTGGCACCCGACCTGGATGCGCTGACGTACACGGGCTCGGTCAAGATCCGGGTGCGTATCAACGAGAGCACCGACAAGATTGTGCTGCATTCGAACGAGCTCGAGATCTCATCGGCATCGCTGTCCGGTCCGGCAGCGGCGCAGCTGGGCTCCGATTCGCTGGCAGCCGCCAGCATCACGCTGGAGAAGAGCGACGAGACAGTGCATGTGGCGTTTGCACAGGCGCTGCCGGCGGCAACGGACGCAGAGCTGACGATCTCGTTCAAGGGCATTCTCAACGACCTGATGGTTGGGTTCTACCGCTCGACATACACGGATGCTGAGGGCAACACCAAGAATATGGCCACGACGCAGTTTGAGCCCACGGATGCGCGGCGCGCGTTCCCGTGCTGGGACGAGCCCATGCAGAAGGCCACGTTTAATGTTACGCTGCGCGTCAAGGAGGACCTGACGGCGCTGTCGAACATGGATGTGCGCGAGACCAAGCAGGTGGGCAATGGGCTGAAGGAGGTTGCGTTCAACACCACGCCCATCATGTCGACCTACCTGCTGGCCTTTATCGTCGGCGAGCTGGAGTACATCGAGGCCACCACCAGCGGCAAGCACAACGGGCGCCCGATCCCCTGCCGTCTGTACACAGCGCCGGGCAAGAGCGAGAAGGGCCGGTTTGCGCTCAACGTTGCTGTGCAGGTGCTGGAGTACTTTGCCGACGTGTTTGGCATTGCGTACCCGCTGCCCAAGATGGATCAGATCGCGATCAACGACTTTGAGGCTGGCGCCATGGAGAACTGGGGCCTGATCACGTACCGCGAGGTTGCTCTGCTGGTCGACGAGGCCACGACCAGCTCGCGTGCCAAGCAGCAGGTCGCCTACGTTGTCAGCCACGAGCTGGCGCACCAGTGGTTCGGCAACCTGGTCACCATGGAGTGGTGGAGCGAGCTGTGGCTCAACGAGGGCTTTGCCACATGGGTCGGCACCTTGGCCGTCGACCACGTGTTCCCCGAGTACCACATCTGGACGCAGTTCCTGGTCGACGATCTGCAGCGCGCACTGAACCTCGACTCGCTGCACTCGTCGCACCCGATCCAGGTGCCGGTCAAGCGCTCGTCGGACATCAGCCAGATCTTCGATGCCATCTCGTACTCGAAGGGCGGCAGCGCCATCCGCATGCTGAGCTCGTACATCGGCCTCGATCTCTTCCTGAAGGGCATCCGCATCTACCTGCAGCGGCACAAGTACGCCAACGCATCGACCAGCGATCTGTGGACTGCGCTGAGCGAGGCATCGGGCGTCGACGTCACCGAGTTCATGGCGCTGTGGACCCGCACCATCGGCTACCCGATCGTCACCGTGACCGAGGCCGAGAGCGGCGACAAGATCACCGTGCGCCAGAACCGCTACCTGTCTTCGGGTGAGGTGACCGAGGCGGACGACAAGACGCTGTGGTGCGTGCCGCTGGGCATTGTGACATCCGAGACTGCCGATTCGCCCTCGGCCGATGTGCTGACACAGCGCGAAGCCACCGTCGACGTGGCCGTGTCGTCATCCAAGTGGTACAAGCTGAACAAGGATACCGTCGGCATCTACCGCGTAAAGTACCCGGCTTCGGCCGTTGCCAACCTGGCCAAGGCCATTGAGGCAGGCGAGCTGTCGACCAACGACCGCATCGGTATCATCGCCGACGCCGCAGCGCTGGCCTCGAGCGGCCACAGCAGCACGTCGGACTTTTTGACCTTCCTGCGCGCCTACTCGAACGAGACCGAGTTCATTGTGTGGCAGGAGATTTCGATGCGTCTGGACGCGCTGCACTCGGCGTGGTCGCTGGAGGACGCGGCAGGCCAGGCCCAGCTGCATGCGCTGGCGTGCTCGCTGTTCTCGCCGCTGATCAAGCGCCTGGGCTGGGACGCCGCCAGCGCCGACGAGGACAGTCTGGTCAGCCGCCTGCGCGCGCTGGCCATCCGGTATGCCGGCACGTGCGGCGACAAGGAGGTCGTGGCCGAGGCCAACCGGCGGTTCGGCGAGTTCTTTGCTGGCAACAAGTCTGTGCTGACGACCGACACCCTGCGGTCGGTGTTCTCGGCTGTGGTGCGCCAAGGCGGCCGCGATGAGTTTGAGAAGGTCAAGTCGTACTACCTGGACGAGACCAACCCCATCGACCAGCGGCTGTCGGCGCTGTCGGCGCTGGGCTTTGCTGCCGACCCGGCTCTGATTGACGAGCTGTTTGAGTTCGCCATGACCGAGCACGTGCGCAACCAGGACCTGCACCAGGCCATTGTGTCAATCAACCTGTATCCGGCCCACCGCCAGCGCCTGTGGCAGTGGTACCAGGACAGCTTTGACCAGCTGGTGGCCCGGTACCGCGCGTCCATGAACTACATGGGCATCCTGGTGCGCCTGTGTGTCAGCGAGTTCGTCGGCAGCGACAAGGCCGACGAGATCGAGCAGTACTTTGCTGCCCACGACACGTCCAAGTTCCAGCGCGTCATTGACCAGAGCCTGGAGAAGATCCGCGCCAGCACCGCGTGGTTCGAGAAGGACCGTGAGGATGTGCGCGCGTGGTTCGCCAGCAGCGGGCTCTAATTTTGCATTTCACTTGTGCTGTTTTGAATATAACCTCGAACGCTTCCCAAAGGCAGGAAAAAAAATTACAAAGTTGGCGGGAAGAGGGGGCACGCCCGGTTTGCTTGTCATACCGACGCTTGCCCGTCGCCTGCCTCCTCCTTGACCGCAACCTCGGGCGACTCGAGCGGCTGCTTCTTCTTGCTCTTCCTCTTCCTGTTCTTCTTCTGCTGTTCCAGGCTGGCGCTGGCGCCCTCGTCATCGCCCTCCGTCTTACCCAGCGCTGCAATCTCCGCCGCCGTCAGGAACCGCCCACCAGGGCCTCTCGGCCGCCTCATCGCGTGCTGGTGGCGGGACTCATGCAAATACGGCTTCCTAGAGACCTTCATCCGATGCTCGGCTGTCATCCGGGCCCGCGCATCTCGCCGCTTCAGGATTCTATGGTACTGCTTGGCATTGACATACATGGGCTCTTCCTCGCGCGGCGGCTCCTCTTGCTCGGCGGGCTTTTGATCGTGTTCGCTGGTGCTTTCCTCCTCCACCGCCATGGGCGACGCCGCCACCGCGGGATTGGCAACCGCTGCTGCCGCTGCCGCCGCCGCTGCCGCCACCGCCGCCGACGTCGGGTCGGCGAAGCTGCCGAGCATCAATGGCGCCGATGATGCCGGCATGCTGGCCGAGAGCCCCGACGTGCCTTCGTCCTGGGAGATCAGCAGCCCGTGGGCTCCCAGCTCGGCCGTGTACTGCTGCGTGTAGTCGAGCGTGCCGGCTGCCGATGTGTCTGTGCCCATGGGCAGCCCGTATGAGGCGTGAAAGTCGAACGATTGATTCATCGCTTTATTCCGTGACTCGCTTATATGCTGTGTTGGTGTCTATGCGCGCTTGTTATCTGAATATTAGCTTTTCTTTTATGCCGCTGAATTTGGCACCCACGGCTGATGCGTGATAGGAAAAAAACAGCTGCTTGTTTTCTATGCTCCTCAGGAACTAAAGTGTGCGGGGGCAGGTCTAATGCAAGGGGTCTTATGTGGGTTGCGGAGGCGTACAGCATATTTATCTCATAGGTCCACCCGGCTCGCGGCGCTACATAAAGTCACTTACCGCTTGGTTTCTCGCTTCAGCCGCTTGTGAGGTATTCTGCTGGCGAATAAGAGAGAGGAAAAAAGGAGAAAGGCTCTGTCAATTGTGAGGGGTGGAAGAAAATTTCGGTCCGCGAATGGGAATGGAGGAGAGATTGGGGGCAGGCTTAAATCGCCAAGGGGCGAGGGCTGGACACCTATTCGCCGAGTCGCGACCCCCTGAACACGTGCTCCGCGGGCGATTTGCGAATCAGATCACTGGGCTATTTATATGCCGTGTCTTGGCGGCGGCTTGTTCGTTACAGATCCACGGCCCGTGTCCTCGTGGACATTGCCTTCTTCTACCCGCACGGCGATCGGCAAGAGGAGACAACCAGCGCTAGCGCACAAAAGAAATCAGGCTATGCTGGAAGCTGGCGGGGGGCTTCTGTGATGCGCGCAAAGGCACTTACCAGACATGCGGCGGATGTAGATGCAAGGGCGTTTATTTTTAAACAACGCTCTGAAATCTGGTCTTTTCCGGCTGTCTCTGAGCCAGTCAGACTTGAGTTGTATGGCCCCGTGGGTAGCATGCTGGCACGGACCCAGAGCTACTCCACGCAAGGCGCCATTCGGACACATACTGCACCTCATTCATCGATGCTGGGCAGCCACTGCATAGTACTCAAACCCACTTATATATATGGACACTCCTCTCATATATGCCACCCAACGAGGATTCATCAGTGCACTTGCTATTTTATCCTGAGCAGTTGCCAGATGGGGGTGACGCATCACTAATGGCATATGTGGCAGTGATCATAATCACTAATTCTCAGGAACTCTTGATTGTGATGCATTGGCCCACCCCCCTAGTCCGCGCGGGCAGTCATGCGTGGTCCCGCAATTTCGCTGTCGTCAACCCTGCAAGCTGTCTTTGAATTCCCAATTGTTTCACACAAAAATTCGCCTTTTCACTTTTTCACTGTTTCGAAGCACATTTGGAGAGACCTGCGCAAAATGTCGAAGCTTCCGCCTGTTGTTATTGACAATGGTACCGGGTACGTGCACAGCGCGAGAGACAAGCCGAAGTGGATGTCGTCACATCTGCGGATGAGAGCAAATGCGAGGCCCCTGCACTAAACAACCGCCATATCTGCCTTATTGTAGCTACACCAAGATGGGGTTCGCTGGAAACACAGACCCGCAGTTTGTCATCCCGACCGTCATCGGGCTGCCAAACAAGTCGCGCTACGGCATCGCGTCCAAGCGCGGCATCGAGGATCTGGACTTCCACATCGGTGACGAGGCGACAAAGAACTCAAAGGCGTACGGTCTGGACTACCCGATCCGCCACGGCCAGATCGAGAACTGGGACCATATGGAGCGCTACTGGGAGCAGAGCATCTTCAAGTACATGCGGTGCGAGCCCGAAGACCACTATTTCCTGTTGACCGAGCCGCCCCTCAATGCGCCCGAGAACCGCGAGCAGATGGCCGAGATTTTCTTCGAGTCGTTCAACGTGCAGGGCATGTACATTGCGGTGCAGGCTGTGCTTGCACTGGCTGCCAGCTGGACCGCCAAGAACTCGCAGCAGACGCTGACGGGAACCGTCATCGACAGTGGAGACGGTGTCACTCATGTCATTCCCGTCGCCGAGGGCTACGTGCTGGGCTCCAGCATCAAGCACATTCCTATTGCTGGCCGCGACATCACCGGCTTTGTGCAGCAGCTGCTGCGCGACCACGGCGAGACCAGCATTCCGCCCGAGGACTCGCTGGAGATTGCACGCCGCATCAAGGAACAGTACTCGTACACGTCGCACGACATGGCCAACGAGTTTTTGAAATTCGACCAGGATCCGGTAAAGTACTACCAGCAGTTTGACGCCGTCAACAGCGTCAACCAGCACACGTACAAGGTTGATGTTGGCTACGAGCGCTTCCTGGCGCCCGAGGTGTTCTTCAACCCGGAGCTCGTGAGCTCGGACTTTTTGACGCCCCTGCCGGATGTCGTCGACACTTGCATCCAGGTCAGCCCCATCGACACCCGCCGCGGCCTGTACAGCAACATTGTGCTGTCGGGCGGCTCGACCATGTTCAAGGGCTTCGGTAAGCGTCTTCAGCGCGACATTAAGCGCATTGTCGACGGCCGCATCAAGAAGAGCGAGGACCTGAGCGGCGGCAACTTGCAGGCGCGGCCTATTGATGTCAATGTCATTGCCCACAAGAAGCAGCGGTATGCTGTGTGGTTCGGCGGCAGTATCATGGCCTGCACCGACCAGTTCTACCAGTTCAGTCATTCCAAGGCCGAGTACGAGGAGTACGGCCCCAGTATCTGCCGTCACAACCGCGTGTTTGACTCGCTGGCCTAAACCAGCAGTACTAAATTTTTCTTTCACTCTGTCTTTCAAATCCTCATACCCATTCCATACATGGCGGTGACTAGATGCAAGGTGTCCATGCGCTGGTGGTATTAATTCCACCAGTACAGATCCTGACATCACCGCCGCCATTAAAGTCGGATCACATGGGAGTATGGAGCTGCTTTGTGTTCGAACACATTGCGGTAGCCCACTAGGCTGTTTGCTGGAGCCGAATTCAATTTCGCTCCCGCAGATCTTGACATCACCTCTGACCGTGTGTGCATATGGTTCTAGTGGCTAATATAAAAGGACCATTGCAGTTCCGCTGGCTACAACCCGCGTGGTCCGGCTTCAGAACGGAGGCGTTCCAAAGGATGATCTGGCAATTAATTGTATGCTGCCTTATGACCAGCGGGCATCCAAGTGCATTGGACAACCCTAGATGGGAAGTCCCAGACACATGGCTATGGTCATTAAGGTGCGTGACCGGGTTTTAATACAAGCGTGCATAAACCCTACCGCCCGCTTTATTTTCCTCACTATTACAAACATTAGATCCGCTGAATGACCCGTCGCGCAATATAGAACCTGTTGACCTCTACATCAAACTGGCTTACATTTTATTTACCAGCTGGACTCTGGAGGAAAAGGCTATCATCGTAGGTGTATATAAACCGGTTTGAGCGAGGCCAGGGACGAACTTTGAGTTTCTACAGTTCCAGTTGTACTTTTACATCCTAATACCACACGCCTAATCATGTTTGCAAGACGCATCATCACTCTCTGCACCGCCCTATTCTCGCAGGCGCTCGCCTTTAGCTCCAGCAGCAACTCCAACTTTGTTGTGTACTGGGGCCAGAACTCTGGTGGGTCGCAACAATCGCTTGGCGACTACTGCCGGGATTCTACCGTCGATGTTATCGCCCTATCATTCCTGTACCAGTTCCCTAATACTGCCCTGAACTTTGCCAACGGCTGCGAAACCAAGTTCGAGGGGTCAGATCTCCTGCACTGTCCGAACATGGCCAGCGATATCAAGTACTGCCAATCGCAGGGCAAGATTGTAGTCCTGTCAATGGGCGGCGCCACAGGTGCCTATGGGTTCTCTAGCGATGCCGAGGGCTCCAGCTATGCCGACACGGTCTGGAACATGTTCCTTGGCGGTAGTGCTGACAAGCGCCCGTTCGACGACGCAGTGCTGGATGGCGTTGACCTGGACATTGAGGGCGGAGCCACTGCCGGCTACCCCGCGTTCATCAGCCAGCTGCGCTCGCACTTCTCGGGCAAGCAGTACTACATCACCGGCGCCCCACAGTGCCCGTTCCCTGACGCCATGCTTGGATCAACCCTGAACTCAGCCTGGTTTGACATGGTCTTTGTACAGTTCTACAACAACTTCTGTGGCCTGGACGCATACCCCCAGGGCTTCAACTACGATGCATGGGACAACTGGGCCAAGACTCAATCGGTGAACAAGAATGTCAAGATCTACATCGGTGCCCCTGGCTCGCAGAGCGCTGCCGGCCGCGGATTTGTCGATGCAGGCACGCTTAACCGTATTGTCAACGACATCAAGCAAAAATACACTAGCTTGGGCGGTGTCATGACATGGGATGCAAGCCAGGCGCTGTCCAGCAGCAATTGGGGCAAGTCGGTCTCGGCGAACTTGAAGTCTGGAGGTGGCGCACCGGCGCGCAGGAAGCGCACGACCTCGACAGGCCACCAGATTATGACGCGAGCTGCAAATGTGACCAGCTCGGGCACTGAGATCCCAGTTCGCATTGAGGTCGTGCAAGGCAAGGACGCGGATAGGTTTGGATTCTCGGTGAAGATACGGGCCCTTGATGCGCCAATGGGCAAGAACTGGGAGCTGAAGATGCCACTGCCGGATGGAGCCGGAATCAGCGATGCCCATGCTCCCGGGTTTGATACTTCGGTGCATGATGGTCACTTGATAGTCAGATCAGATTCCGATAACAACGCCATCGCTGACCAGAATATGTCTATCCATTTGCACGTGGCAGGAAAGCTCGATTCTGGCATGTCGCGCAGGTTCGCACTGCCAGACCCTGCAAAGGCTTCACTTTTGTTCAAGTAAAGTTCATGCCAAATAATATCTACTATCTACTAGTCATGGGTAGTTGGGGTGCGCTGATGGTCCGACACCATGCGCCGATTCGCGGCAAGGGGTGGCACGACAAGTTCAAGCACCATGGCTTTGAAGTCTATCTGATCGACGAATTCCGGACATCGTCCGATGTGCCCGTTCTGCTGCGAAAAGTCGCTGCAGACATTCCGGCATGTTCCCAACCCGCGGCCCTATCAGAGATCGAAGAACCCAACTGTGAAGTGCCATGGCCTTCTCCGCTGTACAAGCGAGTCATGTAAGCAGGCCATGGCACAATACAGGCGAGCCTATTCGTCTCGGCTCTTGAACCGCGACCTCGCAGCAGTTCTAAACTTCAGACTCATTTTCCAGTCACTCTGTGATTCAAGCAGTATTCCTGAACTGTTCTGTCGTTCTACGGCCATTGCTGCCGATGCTTCTGGCACCACCCCTGCAACAAAGAACCCGCGCAAGAGGCGTGCAGCAGCAGCAGGCTATTCTGCTGTCAGCAGCAGCGAGCCAGCGCTGAAGCGCCTACGCTGAGCAGGCCATCAAGATGGGAGATGTCCATGATCACCATTGCACCAACAACCATCCGACACGTTCAAATGGCCGGTTCGCTGTGATGCTCTTATCGATGTGTCAACCCATGCTGACTAGCAGTCGGACTCACATCGCGAGTGAAGGAATCCTTGTATATAAATAACATCAGAAAGCAATAGAGAGGGAAATGAGGTGGGTACCGGTCTATCTATGCCCCTATGAGGGTATTTGGTCTTGTTCATGGTATCGCAAGAGGATGTCAGCGTTTCGAAACCAATAATGACAGCTGTAGCCCAATGAGCCAAGAACTTCAGTATGCTAACACCAAGTGTTAAACTCAAGACCGTTATCTTTACGTGAGCCTACTTTAGGCTTAACTATTTCATTGAGACGAAGCATGTTCAATGAGTCCTTAGAAACCATGGTAGGCGAATGCTCAGAGGAGATGTATTGACGAAGAAAAGTGTCCACGATGATGTTGGTGAGAGACATGAAATGACATCGTTATCCCTTGTATCTCTGGTCTCCATATAAACCTTTGACCCATCCACACTCAGCACCCAAAAATCAGGCGCTTTTCACCAAGCGCCCCTACAATGCAGCTTCCTTCAATGCGTCTGTCTTTTCCTGTCATACGAGTAGTATAGTGCACATACAGATTGTCATTTCAAAGATTGTTCTCTCCATTTGGTGCCGCTCGCTAAATTGGCACACAAATTCAGCCCTCTGGCCTGTCCTGCGTCAGAAACTCACACTATATGCTGAGGCTAAGAGTCTGATTATTATGTCTGTCAGTCCTTACTTTAACACTGGCAGCCAGCAACTTGTACGGTCATACTGTGATACTACATAAATACTCGAAGCTGTTTGGTGAGCGTACCACCAATGCAGTCAGCGCGTTTCAGCTGTATTGAAGTGCTGCTTTGTGAAATTGATTCCCTGTATTCAGCATTGGTGGCCTATGGAGTACTGGAGAGGTTATATGATATGTTCAGAGTTTATTTTATTTCTGTGGATGCAGTCGAGTAACAACTCAGTATCAACAGGACAAATGATGTTATAGACGGTCAAAGCAAGCAATTTCAAGCGCTTATGGACTGCAATTTCATGTTGCAGAGCTCAGGTTTAATGCTAAGAATATATTCATCAATAACATTGCTAATATAAAAGGATAACCCAAATATAACGTACTTGTTCACACTGGTGAACGCGTATCTAGGCGTGACGTACTTGTATGTGCCATTGATGATAGCTGTAGTCCGATGAAACAGGAACTTCGGTAAGCTAACCAAAGGTATTGAATTCAAGGTCATTATCTTTATGTGAACCAAATTTAGGTCTAGGCAAATCATTGAGACGAAATATGTTCAAGGGATTGAATGAAGCCATGGTAGGCGAATGTTCAGAGGAGATGTATTACCAAAGAAAAATGACTACGATGATGTTGGTGAGAGACATGAAATGACATCTTTATCCCCTGTATCTCTGCGTCTCCATATAAACCTTTGACCCATCCACACTCAGCACCTAACAATCAAGCGCTTTTCACCAGGCGCCCCTACAATGCAGCTTCCTTCAATGCGTCTGTCTTCTCCTGTCATACGAGTAGTATAGTGCACATACAGATTGTCATTTCAAAGATTGTTCTCTCCATTTGGCGCTGCTCGCTAAATTGACACACAAATTCAGCCCTCTGGCCTGTCCTGCGTCAGAACTGTTCGGTATGATGTGATAATAATTTTCTCCCTAGCCGCTCGGTATTACGCCAATATTAGGTTTTAACTGTTTGTACAGACATGCCAAAATGCTGCCATAAACACTGCAGCTGTTTAGAGGATGTATCAGCGTGAAAATGCTGCGTTTCAATGGTAGATAAGTGAAATTAGGAGAGTATCATAAGTGCCCCAATACTCCACGGGCTACCAATGTTGAATACAGGGAATCAGTTCCACAGAATTCATTTTTAGTTCTGTGGATGAGGTCGTTTAACAAGCTTTTACATATAGAGCAGTCAAGGCTATAATTCAATAATTACAGAGTACACTCTATTCAGCTAAATTTTGTTGAACCTCAGTGGATGCCCACTAAGCGGTCATTATTTAGTATGTAGGTATCCTTTTTGTCATCACTTCAGTTTAAGCCAGACCTCATGGCTATGAAAGCCATACCACAAGATAAGCAAGCAATTTCAAGTGTTCACAGATTGCAATTTCATGTTTCGGAGTTCAGGTTTATTGCTAATATAGAATGATGACACAAATACATTGTAAAAATTCATGCTAGTTAATGTATAGCTAAGCATGAAGTACTTGTAAGCGTCGTTGGTGGCAGCTATGGTCTAATGAAATAGGAACGTCATTAAGCTAGCACCAAGTGTTGAACTCTATACCACTATCACTATCTCGACCAAATTTAGGCCTAGGTACACTATTGAGACGGGCATGTTCAAGGGATTGAATGAAGCCATGATAGACGAATGCACAGAGATTTATTGATAAAGAAAAGTGTCCACGATGATGCTAGAGGCTAGATATGACAGCTTCATCCTCTGTATCCTCGCGTCTCTATATAAACTTTTCGGTCAACCCACACTATGCACGCCATTGGCAGAAGCAGTCCTCTCCCTTCCTTAGCCGTGCACTCTCACGACAAATGTAGCCTACTCTATTTAAAACAATCACTTAAGCTGTAGGAGAAAATTTCTTTTTTTATGAGCTTGCGGGGCCAGTGACACGGCCAAATTTAGCGGTGCATTCATGGCAAGAAGTATTGTGTGAAGAAGACAATTACCAGCTCTCTCTCTCTGCCAACCGCTATACCGAGGTAGAACAGATGGCACCTCGGACCCCTTACCCCTGCAGAGATGAAATTCGCGCTTGTGCGTTTCTGAATCTCGGGCTGACCCAACAAATATGCAATCTGCCTTTTGTTAGAGCGACATGAGTAATATAGTGCAAGTATGCATTGTCGTTCCAAGTGTAGGGTTGGGCCAAACGCTGTTTATATGAAAATTCGCAAACTACATGGAACATGAATACACTTCAAGCTCTAAAAAGGCATATGTTCTACAAGCACAAATCTTCGTCTCAGGTTTTTGTAAGTTGCAGCGACAGACTAAATCCACAAATAGCAGAATGCACGAGCACGACCACTAGCATCGAATATACAGTTATTTATTTCAGCTATTAGAATTCAGATTGCTCAGTGAAGCGCAGGTGCAAATGAGCAAACCTCAATCCTTCTCCCACTGCCAGCAAAGTGCCTTGCAAGTTCTTCATGGTGCGCATCGTTTACCGTAACTGAGACTAATGTTGGCACATGTTCGACAAAGCTGCGTACGGCTGGCCTGTCAAAAAACGCTTCCGACAATATCTCGAACTTGAGTAGTTCACAGGATGGAGATATAGCATAGGTAGGCCTGTGTTGCTGTCAGTGCGTCTTCTCTTCAGCGGTGGAAACGCCAGTGTCGCTGATGTTGCTGTTAGACGGTATATTGACGTGGGTATTGCTGGTCGAAGGCGTGTTTATCCTAGCAGTGCTAGCCGAGACAACAGCCACTGCCTTGGGGGCAATGGCTGGTAAATTGTTTCTATGCACAGCAGCTGGCATAGCACGCTGGATACTGACTGGGCTAATTCCAGCGTCCATGTGGCTCATGGAGTTGCACCAGATTCGTAGGTGCTGCAAGCGAGGCAACATCCACAGAATATCCACGATATCGTCAATCCGTGACCTGTATGTAAGCGTGATGGTAAAAGATACGGAGGTTATACAGGCGAATATCGTCAGGTACTGCATAGCGCGCACCGATAACGTACAGTTCCTCGACGTCCAGAGTCGGCAGTGAAGCAAAGTGTGCGACTTCCTCCTTAATCGGACTGGCTAGTCTGTCACCATTAGGGATGCCAGCAGCAATGGTAACTGATTTGGCATAACGGATTATGTTTGGCACTAACACGAATGAAGCTTCTCTGTAAGTTCTCCGCAATCCGTAACGTAGAAAGCACTGGCGAACCGAACAGGGTGTAGAAATCAGTATAAGAGACGTGTGGATGCTTCGACCGATAGATCTCCTGAGTCTTGGGAAGTGAACTTTCAAGATCCATGTCAACAAATATCGCTACTAGTCCATTAGGCTCAGCCGAGAAGCTGAGTTTCAGAGAAGTGAGGTTGCTGAAATTGACAATGCCAGGTCAAGCTAGGGTCAAACTTGCTCCATGTCAGGATCGTTCATCGATATTTGTGATCAGTTCAATGACTCTCAGGTTTATCGGCAGGCAGAGGCGGTATCGTTATCTCGGTCAGTGGATGACATCACGATAGTAATGCATAGTGAGGTTTCCGGATTATTGTCGCAAGTGCTGGGTAGTCCTTCTCTGGGAATGGTGGCATGAGCTCTACATCCGGTAGCCTGTGACAGGTACTGGAGCTTGCTAGCTCCGAATACAGTCCAAGAGGTTCAAAAATCCATATCACCATCTGCGCCACGTGCCTGCCCATTCTCCAGACAGCTCGCGGAACTTTAGAGACTTGACGTTCGGCAGGTAGGGTCCTGAAGAAGAGGCACGTGTCGCGGATAATCGTCGCGCTGTTCGTCAGGTGACTGAAGAGTGCTGCCTAGCGAAGAACCCGAGCCCATAGACCTCGATAGTTTCAACCAAGTTCCACACGGCCGAATCCGAACTGGAGCTTGCTGCAGGATCTCCAGCAGCCCGAGTGGGCACTGAGCCGCATTCCGCATAACGATTTGAAGGCGTCGCGTCTCCTCTGCCTTGCCAGCACGCAGACACTCAGGTATGTTGGAATACCAGTTGTGGATTCATCACTTGTGTTGGTGGAGTGACACTCGGGTCGTACTGAGGGGTACGTGTGATATAGACTGTCTTGTAGAGTAGCTGCTGGACAGCCCCGTAGAAGTTGCTATCGATGGGCCAGCCATAGACTGCAGCCAGCGGTATCCGCTGCCGCCTGGAGTTTTGGTGAATTTCTCTTCTGCAAGCAGCGACAGAATAGGCATGAGGATGTCTGGTGGGAGACTGTTCGCGCTCGCCAGCTTGCTGATGGTTCATGGTATTTAACTGGCAAATTGTTTTGTTCTGGTGTAAAATGGGTGAGGTATGCTTACTAAGATGTTGCAAAAAAAAAGGTTGCGAAAGAAAAGTGCTGTGAAGAAAAAGACCCCGTCGTCTGTTGGTTGCCTATTTATCCCTGAAGTTTGAAATAGAGGATTGCTGGGTACTTCCACACAAAATACGCAGGTTTTTGTCTCATTATGAAAAGTGGGCATCACCTATACTGCCACCCAATTTATTCCACAAGTAGTCGCAAGCACGGCCAGCATGCCAGAACCCATTTCCCAACTTGCATGTTGGCGGGCGTGGTGATGCTCACAAGACATGAAAACTGGTTTAAAGGGAGAGATTGGCGAGCCATGGCTGCTGGGACAATGGGTGACATCCTGCAAGTGGGCAATGCATTACATCCCCTATGTTGCTTCTCCGCCCTCTCACTCTCGCACTCGCTGGCCCAGGTTGCCCCGACAGGAACACATTCATTCATGAACAGCATACTTTAATTGATTTTTCTCGGCGCTCTCGGCTTTGGGAATCGCCTGTCCATTTTTGGCACAGCCTACCACCCATGTGTCTTTGCTGTTTTGGCGCTGCCTATTTCAGTGCTGCATATAGCCCGATGACAGACTATTGTTCACATTTCGTAATGGCTTGGCCATCCGGCAGCCGCTTAATGTTCGGGAATGACCCGCCTTAAGCAAGCAGCTTGTAGAATAATACATCTCTAGGGCTGAACATCTTGCCATCTGTATTGTTGACTAGTATAGACTCTAAACACTCGGGAGTGATTGTCATGAGCCTTTGCCGCTCAACCACCAAACATAGCACACAGTTAAACAATCAGAGCTCTTTTCGTATGGTTCATCCTTGGCATATCACTCCTTTTGCCTGACAAAGCTACAGGAATAAGGGAGTCTCTTGGCGGAAAATGAAGCAGCAACTGCTGGACAAGGCCAGCATTCAGCCACAGAAGCTGTGCCCAGGATGACGAACGTCGACCTCTCCAATGTTCACCATAGGTCAACAATGCAATGTCGATCTTCGGTGTGCAAAGGGGATGGGGGCTGTCAGCTATGCCACAGCAGCAAAACCTGACCAAAATATCCTGGATGTGCTCTGACAGAGGGAAGCAGGCATGTATTCGCGATTGCTAGAGACAAGTCGGCAAGTTCCTCTAATGAAAACATCCGACAACAGACCCCGTGTGCAGACAGATGCAGACAGCGACAGGTGCTTCATCCCCGGCTCGCCCAAATTGACAACGGCTCATTTTGGATTTGTGACAGACGAATGCAGCTCGTCCACATTCACACATACACTATTACAGATGGACTTGCATTTGGGACACAATTGCTGGAAACAGCAAATGAAGTAGTGGTGATTTTGAAAAGTTAGTCGAGCCCTGCTCAAGACTGTTGGGATATGTAATGTGCCAACGTGGTCGCCATGCTAGTAGCAAGTAAGGTATAGCATGCACAATGTGGATATAGCGGAGGCTGCTTGTCGTCGTAAGAGGGCATTCGGTCTCGAGCTTGACCACAGGACAATCAGGCACCATCAGGCAGGGGTAGTGCAGTACTAGCCCGGTCCTGGAGAATCGCTCAGTCTTGGGCTCAATGCAGTGAATATAGCGAGATCCCGAATACCGAGGCCACAGTTCGTGTTGTGACTGTGCAGGGAGGGCCATTGATGGATTGAAAAGACTGGCAGGGCTCGACCTTTTCAATGGCGATCCGAGCCCTGGCTGGACGCACCAATTGCCATGACGTGGGGGCTGAAATAAGCTGCCGCCATACACAACAGATACCGCTGATAAGCGATTTGGATGCCGAAGCAACCATCGATCTGTACATAGCAGTAGGTGCATAGGCTGATAAACTCGCAGGTCTCGTTTGATTGGGATCCGTATACATTAAGGAATCATTACTATCACAACTAGCTATGCTACAAAATCATGGCCTGCGTTCTTGAGGAACCGCACCTATCGGAAGATACAAGTATTAGTACCCGGGCTCTGCTGTTGTCCAAACAATGAGGCCATGCAGCCAATGTATTACATGCGCATACGCCTGTGTCAGATAATGAAGAAGTTTAAGTGAAAAGCTTTCCTCAGCATGGGTATCTAAGCTGTCCCTACTTTCGGAGTCATCATACACAGAGCGCGAGCAATGAAAGCAACACCAAGAAAGGCGGATCCGTACCTGTACCAATACCTTGCAAGAGCGGCAAAAAAGGAGCGAGAAGCAGAGACAAGAGAGCTAGCAAGAACGGACCGCCCGCACCTGCCAGATAAATGCTGGATGAAAAATTTTCATTTAGTGGCGACTCGAGCCGGGTCTGCCAGCCCTATTCCGTGTTCGGCGAGCCTGAAGCCGAGGACAAGGGGCGTGCCTTTTCCACACGCATGCTCGGTACTGCGATGCTGCCGCCCGGGCACGCATGTCTCGCAGAGCGAAAATTTGCTCACGTCAAAAACCAAGGGTCGGCGGTCCCAGCGCTACAAAAATGGAGGCACCTCGCGCTCGTTGCAGGCCTCTCTTTCTTTTTCTCCTTCTCATCTGGTCCGGCAACCTTTAATTCAGAGCCAAATTGACACAACCCCTTTTTATTTCTCACGTTCACCTCTCAGCCTCGCTATTCACACAGCTGCCTCGTTTGTAAACTAGCCAGAGAAACGAGTGCCTCCGCATAAGCACTCTCTTTTCCCTCCGTCACTTTTTACTCTCTAATTCCTTTTCTGTTCTTTTTCAAAACCACAGCAGGGCCAACACAGTGCATACACAGCCATTAGCGTCAACCAAGCGCGCTATACCTTTCCCACTACCAATTATTCGAAAATGGATCTTCGAATTGGCAACAAGTACCGACTCGGGCGCAAGATTGGCTCTGGGTCGTTCGGCGACATCTTCCTGGCGGTGAATGTAGTCACCAATGAGGAGGTCGCGGTCAAGCTCGAGTCTGTAAAGGCGCGCCATCCTCAGCTCGAGTACGAGACAAAAATCTACAAGGCGCTGGCCGGCGGCGTAGGCATCCCGTTCATCCGCTACTTTGGCGTCGAGCACGACTACAACGCGATGATTATTGACCTTCTGGGTCCGTCGCTCGAGGACCTGTTCAACTTTTGCAACCGCAAGTTCTCGCTCAAGACTGTGCTGCTGCTGGGCGACCAACTGGTAAGTGCCGAGTATATCGCGTTCCGCTGGCTTTATTGCCGCCTCCGCCACTGCAGCTCCCCAAACTCCCCCTCTCCTTGTTGCTGCTCTATGCACCTTTTGTAAAGTGCTGTTGGTGTGTGGACGTGTCTGGCCGATTGTGCCTGTGCCTTTACCGATTCATATGCCTTTGCGTCGTTTTTCTGAAACGCTTTCAGCTGGAGCGCATGCGTTCTCTTCCATTCAGGGCCGGCGGCGTCCTTTGTCGCTGGGGCAATGGGGGAGAGGGCGAATCTCAAACCAAAAAGCTGCCGCCAAGCGTTCACACCGCTTGCTAGGCAGGATTTCTCCTTCCGCCTCCTTGCTCTCCCACTCCCCGCAGCGTCGCCCATGTTTGCCTGTTCGAGATTACATTTACCTGCTGGGTTTACTGTGATAATGAAAGGGGCCCATGTTCTAACCCGTACTCAGGCTGCGTGAAATTTTTTACCGCCTTTTCTATTTTTACCGTCATTTCCTTACCCCAATATGTGCCCCCTCATCCTGCATGTCCGCTAATTTGTTTGTTATTTCCTGCACATGCCATGGTGTAGCTGTCGCGTATAGAGTATATCCACAACAAGTCGTTCATCCACCGCGACATCAAGCCCGACAACTTCCTGATGGGCATCGGGCGCCGCACCAATCTGGTGCACGTGATCGACTTTGGCCTGGCCAAAAAGTACCGCGACCCGCGTACACACATGCACATTCCGTACCGCGAGAACAAGAACCTGACGGGCACGGCCCGCTATGCAAGCATCAACACTCACCTGGGAATCGAGCAGTCGCGGCGAGATGACCTGGAGAGCCTGGGATACGTGCTGATGTACTTTTTGCGCGGCAGCCTGCCGTGGCAGGGGCTGAAGGCGGCGACAAAGAAGCAAAAGTACGACCGCATCATGGAGAAGAAGATGAGCACGAGCACCGAGGAGCTGTGCCGCGGGTTCCCGCCCGAGTTTGCAGTGTATCTGAACTATGCGCGCAGTCCTGCGGTTCGACGACAAGCCCGACTACACGTACCTGAAGCGGCTGTTCCGCGATCTGTTTGTGCGCAGCGACTTCAAGTACGACTATCTCTTTGACTGGACCACATTCAAGCAGGACCGGAATGCTGGGGGCCAGAACCCAAACTCGGCCGAAGAGCTTCGGCAGAGACAGCAGCAGCAGCAGCAACAGCAGCAGGCAGCTATGGCTCAGCAGCAGCAGCAGCTTCCAGTGTCAGCGTCCGGCTCCGCAGCAGGCGCAGCAGATGGGGTCGTCGCAGCTTCAGGGTGTTGCCAAACCCGGCAGCGTATAGAGGGCAGGTCATGCCCGGATCATCACAGCAGGTAAGCGGTGGCAATGGGCACAATGCTCAGCGAGCGCCAGCAGATGTGACGCAGCTGGGGCGGGAAACGCAGAACTCTAGCTTCCGTCGTTATATTGACAAAGTACCTTCTCGTTCTATGACTTCGCAACAGCAGGCGCCTCCACCGCAGCAGGCGCAGATGAACGCATACCGCATGCAGCACAGCGCAGCACCCAACGCGGCCATGGATCCGGCGATGCTCCAGGCGGCGCAGGTGCAGCACATGCAGTCGATGGCTCCGCAGCAGCCGGGGGTGCAGCAGCCGATGGGCGGGTACATGCAGCCGATGGCCAGCCAGCCGCAGGCAATGATGTACGGGCAGCAGCCAGGCGCAGCATCCGTCGGCGGCGCGCAAGGGGATTCCGCCCAGCGACCGGATCCTGCGGAGCAGCGCCAAGGTGGCACCGACCGGCATGGACCCGACGCACGGTGCCCAGCCCCGCTACCGCACCGGCTCGCGCGAGGAGATGGCGGGCGGGCAGAGCGGCGCGTACAACCCGTATGGCCAGCACCGCTAGAAGGGAGCAAATGCATGTTTGAGTTCCTTTGGTTGGCATTTACATGGAGCGAGGTGACGGGGCGGGGAGAGAGGACATTGGTACCGGAGGCGAGAGATAGGGGGATTTGGGTTCTATGTGTTTTATTGTGTTCGTATTGCTTTCTTTGCCCATCTTCAGCCCTATCCGCTCTCTTTTCTGTCCAGTGGCCATCCTTCTCCCTGCGTAGACCTTGGAGACAACTAGCAGCCGCACCTTTTTTGTTCCTACCACACAAGACATGTGTGAGAAGGTGTGGGCCATGTATGGAGCGAGAGGACGTGCCGTTCTTTTTTCCTTTCCTCTTTTAGTACTTTTTCTCATTTTTCTATCCTTTCTTTTCTTCAGGCATCTCTTGGCATTCCAATAACCCTCTCCTCCTTGACTTTATCTTTTCTTACTCTCTTCAGGCTCAAAGCAGCAGCAGCGGCAACAAGTCCTGTATTGGAATACATTTGGCTTTTCTGTTTTTGTTGACATTGCATCATCAGCTTGATCTCCGGCTCAGGCGAATCAGGTCGACGTCGATGTCGAACGGACTTTTTTTTGTGGAATTTGTACATCATCGGGACATCGAACCTGAGCTCGGCCAGGACCTCGCAGTCGAACCCCCACGAGTCGGCCTTCTTGACGAGGAACTCGCGCGTCGACGACTTGTGCAGGGAATAGACGGCAGTGGTGGCCATTTCGCAAGCGGCCTGGAGGAAAGCGACGTCAATGCCCTTATTGCCAGGCTTGGTGCCAAAGGGCGGGTTCAGGATGGCGGTGTCGAATTTGCGGGACAGTTTGGCCACCAGCGCAGCGTTCATTGCCAGCCCGTCGCGATCGGGCTGGCACAGGGACGCGTGGAGCAGGTCGATGGTGTCGTCGAGCTCGAACTCGTCGATGTTCTCCTGGGCGATCTCCAGGGCGTCGGCGTCGATGTCGATGGCGAGGACGTTGGTGGCGCCCATGATGGCTGAGGCTACGGAGAGCATGCCGCAGCCGCAGCCCAGATCGACTACGGATTTGTCGGAGATATCGCCAAAGGAGGACTCGGCAGTGTAGAGGATGCGTGCGGCCAGGTGGGCGGTGGTTGGGTACTGCTCGAGCTGCACCTTGGGGTTGCGGAACGCCTCGACATCGGAAAGATAGCCTTCGAGCTGCTTGAGCTTCATGGTGCAGAAAGTGAGCGGGAAGGGAGGGGAGGGGGGCATCTTTTTGCGTGGATGGGCGGGGAAAGAGCGCGGAACGTATAATAGAGTACCTCGCCGGTCTCTATGGGACCGAAAGGGAAAATTACGTCCATTTTTGGTACCTGTTTTCGAAAGGTTTTTTATATGTATCTAGGATGGGGACGTACAGCGAGACATAGGCGGCGGCGGCAGGCAGGACCAGATTCCGAGCGAGCATGCAGCCAGGGCACGCCCTGTCAGACCAGCCGAATGGCTGGCACTGCAGGGCTGGAGCAAACAGCACGGGCTACGCAAGCACAAATTGACATTAGCGTATTTCCCCAAGACATTCCGCGGCATGATGGCTACGCGCGACATAGCCATAGGGGAGGACATCGTGGAGATCCCCGAGCGCCTGCTGATGACGGCGTCCAAGGTGCAGCACGCCGGGCATCTGAGCGAGCAGCAGGCGCTGACGCTCTGGGTATACCAGCAATACAGCCTTGGCGAGCGGTCGCCCTGGCACGCGTACATCTCAACACTGCCGCAGGACTTTGACTCAGTGCCGCTGTTCCAGCTGTCGGGTGCGTTCGCCCGGAAAACTGGCGCAGACCGGATTGTGGCACGTTCTGCCGCGGTCTGTGCAGGCGAAAATTGCCGACCAGCACCAGCGGCTGGTGGAGGACTGGCGGTGCGCGAAATTGGTAGCGGCGGATAATCTGACAGACTGGCGTAGATTCGTGTGGGCGTGGCTGGCAGTAAGCACGCGGTCGATTAACCTGGGCAGAAAGCACAAGGACCGGCTGGCGCTGGCGCCGTTCCTGGATTTTCTGAACCACAGCGAAACCGCGCAGGTAACGGTGCGGTACGATGAGCACCGGCGGGTGTTTGCGATTCGCTCCCTGGTGGGTTACAGGAAGGGCCAGGAGGTGTTTATTTCCTACGGGCCGCACGATAACCGGCACATGCTGGTTGAGTATGGATTCGTGCTTGAGCACAATCCGTTCCGGTTCCTCGAGCTCGACAGCCAGGTCATGGACTGGATCAGCGAATGCAAGCTGGTAGTCCAGAGACGCAAGCAGTCGGCGGTCAAACCGGAGGACTTTGACCGCATGGTTGAGGTGCTGAAGGGGTATGGGCTGTTTGGCGACTACACGTTTGACAACGAGCCGTCGTTCCGGCTCCTGGCGGCCCTGCATTTGCTGCTGCCGCTGGTGGAGGAGGGGGCGGCGGTAAGGCGGGTGCTGGCGCGGTGGGAGCGGTGGCGCCGCGGCTGAGCTGGAGCTGGACGAAAGGGCGGCGGAGCTGTGGGTCGAGGCGCGCGTGCCAGAGCGTGCAGGAACGGGCGGGCCACGTGATGCGCGATCTCCAGGCAGAGGACAGTTTCCTGCTGGTCTGTTTGCGTGTGATCTGGGCGGAGATTGGCGGTGTCGCGGCGGGGAAATTGATCTGCTTCCCCCTGGTCCATGTGACGTCTTTTTTTGCCTGAATATATTCCAGCAGTCACTTTGTGAGAAAAAAGAAAATTGCGCCTCGCAGGCTGCCGCAGGACTGGGGGAGGGGGTCATGCGGGCAAGTAGCAGTTTTGCTATATAAGCAGACACGTCCTGGAGGGGCAGGCAAGCGTGGTTCCTCACACACCACCAACGAATATTTTTCTATTTCCAACCTACTTGTATCAGTTATGCTTGCATCATCAAAGACACTAAGGCTGGGCGCACGCCGGGCCCCTGCACTAGGCGCGCCGCAGCTGCGCACGTTCTTCAGCAGCTTCAAGGCGCGGGACGAACAAGCCGGGGGAGAATCCCACCAGCTCTTTGCCGCAAAAGGCGTCGCGGATGGTACGCAGCGTCCTGTACGGGTCCGAGCAGGTGCGGCAGGAGACGCAGGCGACTTTGTCGAAGGTTCTGGCGCGCGGCAAGTACGTGCACGAAATGGCAGTGCACCATGTGAAGCCGGGCTGCTTGCACGAATACCAGGAGATAGTAGGCAGGCTGTATCCGCGCATGGTCCAGGACATGTCGCCGCAGGTGAAGCTGGTGGGGAGCTGGATGACAGACATTGGCGAGCTGGACACGGCGGTGCATATCTGGGAGTACCAGGGGTATCCGGCGCTGACGCAGGCAGTACAAGAACCTAAAGGACCGACGAGACGTACGGGGAATTGCAGAGGCAGCTGGCGCAGCTGCTGGTGAAGAGGCGGTCGCAGGTGATGCTGGAGTTCCAGTTCTGGCCGACCCACCCGCCGGTTGAGAAGGGCGGGGTGTACTGAACTGCGCAGCTACACGCTGAAGCCCGGCACGCTGCTGGAGTGGGAGCAGAACTGGCGCGTGGGCGTCGAGTGCCGGCGGCACCACGAGGAGCCGATGGGGGCGTGGTTCTCGCAGCTGGGCGTGCTGAACCAGGTGCACCACCTGTGGCAGTATCCGGATCTGCAGGTGCGCAAGCAGGTGCGCGAGGACGCGTGGAGCGAGAACGGCTGGCCCTGAGACGGTGCTCAACACCGTGCCGCTGATCCAGGAGATGAGCTCGAGAATTATGCTGCCGATGCCGTTCAGCTCGCTCAAGTAGGGCGATTTTGATAAAAAAAATATATTTGAATTTCTACTGGTTCAGCACGTCCACATACTTTGACCGCGCGCCACGCCGTCTGCCCGCTGGAGTGCCTGCCCGGCTGGTGCCCGCACTGGCAGCCATCGGGGGCACCGCCGACGCCGGGCGACCGGCCATGCCGGGCGGCAGAGAGTTCAGCGGAGGGCCGACGGGCGTAGCCGGCTGGGCTGGCGGCGGCACCGACGCGCTCTGCGGCACAAAGCCCATGGCCTTGGGCGGCGGCGGTGGCAGCGGCTGCTCGGCCTCGGGCTTGGCGTTCTTGTCAACCCAGCGCTCCAGCACCGGATCGTAGACGAACTTGGAGTCGTCGCCGAGATTCGCCTGCGTGCGGCGCCCGCCCCACAAGCTCTTGAACAGCCCCATGACGCCGCTGGCCTCCGCCTCGGGCTTCGCCTCGGTGCTTTTGCGCGGCTCGGGCGGCGCCGAGCTGCGCTGCTCCACCGGCTCCGGCTTTACCACAGGCTTCTTGCTGAATCCAAACATGTCCTCGTCCTCGTCTTCCACCGGGGGTGTGGCGGCTGGCGCCGACATGGCCGCGTGGACCGGCGGGGCCGAAAAGCCCGGGGCCGAAAAGCCCGGGCCGGGACACCCAGCGCTGCCGCTGGCATTATGAACCCGTCGCTGCCCAGGTTGGCCGTACCCGGATCGCCCCATGCTGCGTGGTCCAGGCTGCGGCGCGCGTCAGTACTGCTGCGGCTCGGAACGGCTTGTGGCGAAGTGGCGAACATGGGGATATGGGGCTCGCCAGTTTCTTGCGGGACGCCAGGGCTGGGCGTGCGGCTGGCAATAGCACCGAGTGGCCGGCCAGGATGCGTGGGGCCGGAGCGGCCAGGACGGTCGGGGCCAATTTCGAATCGGCCGGGCGCCGGGCCCTCGTCCAAAGCAATGCGGTGGCCGTCGGCGCCGGTGATGAACTTGTCGATTGACGAGTCGAAGGCCGACATCAGCGACGTGAATGACGGCCTGGGCATGGCGCGCGCCAGCCACGACTTGCCCTGCAGTGCGGCCTCATCGCCCACCAGCTCGGCCGCCTTAGCCGACGTCATGCCGGAGCCGATGAGCCGACTGCGTAGCTCGCGCAGCTCCTGCACCAGCGACGCATGGACAAACGGCACGGCCACGCCTGCAGGCAGAGTTGCCAGGACGCCCAGCACTGCGTCGCAGTAGCGCAGCGCCAGCGCCGTCAGCCCGCAGTCCGCCATCCACCACGCGCGGTAGAGCTTGTACGCCTGCAGATGCGGTAGGCATAGCGGCGAGTCGCCCGACCCCCGCATCGCCGCTGCCACCTCGTACAGCTCCGTCAGGCAAATCGCCGCCTGGCTGCGGTAGAACCGCGAGAACCGCCCCAGCGCCCCGCTGGCATCCTGCCCCAGCAGGACCGCGCGCGCCTGCCCCGATGCGTCCGGCAGAAACACGTCCTTGGGTTGCAGCGCCAGTGCGTAGCAAATGTGCGCGGCCACTGCCTGCCGGTCACTGCGCAGCCGGTCGCCCAGTTGCAGCATCGCTGCCTGGTCGCCGGGCGTGCGGTTTGCTAGCATCAGCGCTAGCGTCTTTGCCCAGCCTTGCGGAGCGCTGGCCTGCGGCGCCGTGTCCAGCTCCGCCGCTGTGACAAACCCGGCTTGCGGCTCGCTGCGCTGGTCAAATGGCCGCGGCGGCTCGATGGCTGTAGCCCCCATGCCTGCAAACAGCCGGTACTGCAGCCCCAGCGGCGCCAGGCCGCCTGGCATCGCCGACGCCGTGTATGCTGCCACCACCGCCTGCCACACGTCCTTTGCCGGTGCAGCTGGCCACCACCAGCGCATGCGCCCACATGCCGCGCTGGCACGCCAACGCAACCGCCTCCGACCGCCGCCCCGCCAGCAGCAGGCCCTCGATCTCCTGCATGTCTGCCAGCGAGCCGTGGGCAATCGGCTCCGGCGGCTCCTGCCCATTCGGCTTGGTCGGCTCCTGCACGCTGAACAGCGGCTGCAGGGCCTCGCCCGCACGCGCCATCTCGGGCTGCGCATTGTCGCCCAAGGCCTCCAGCACGCCCGCTAGCACGCCCACCAGCGCCCGCTCCTCGTTGCTGCCCTGCATGCGCTCCAGCCAGGCACGGGCACAGCCCACCGCCACGTCGCGCCGCTTCAGTAGCGCCGCCTTGGTCGTCTCCCCGCCCAGCAGCGGCGTGTTGAACACCGCCGCCTCGTGCTGTGCTGAGAGCTCCGGCGGCATGTGCTCCGCCAGCTGCTGCACACGCAGCATCCCCGGCGCCGTCTTCGCCGACCCGCCTTGTGCATTGAACCGCTGCACGTGGCGCGGGAACATGGTGAACAGCCGCCCGCCGAACCCAAACGCCATAATCGGCCGCCGCCCCTGCAGCCGCCCCAGCGGGTCCTGCACCTGAGCCGGAGCCAAATCGCCTGCCGACAGGTCGCGCTCATACGCCATGTCCAGGCTGCTGCGCTCGCTCTGGCTCTGCAGATCAAACACTCCTGCTGGCGCTGTGGGCACTCCCGTGTAACCAAACGACTGCGGCGTTACCATCTGCGCTGACCCGTGCGGGCTGGATACTCCGCCTGCATTGTACGGGTCAAATGCTGCATATCCACTCGCGCTGTCTACCTGCATCTGCTTGTCCGCTGCCACCAGCGACGAATCGCCCACGCCATTGACCACCGGTGCCTGCGAGTATCCCCCGCTAGTATACGGGTCGTACCCGCCATACCCAGGGTATTGCTGCTGCTGCTGCTGCTGGCTCTCGCCGCCATTGGCCGTGTCAACCACTGCAACTGCCGCTGCCCCGTTCTCCACCGGCGCCTGCGAGTACCCAGTAGTGCTATACGGGTCGTACGCCCCAAACTGCTGCCCGCTACCACCATCTTCCTGTCCGTATCCACCAGAGCTGTACGGATCGAACGGCGTATATCCGGTGCTGCCATCGAATTGCTGCACTTTGCCCGCCTGCTCTTGCTGGAGAGAATCTGTTCCATTGGCCAGTGGCGCCTGCGAGTACTCACCTGAGCCGTACGCATCATACGTCTCGTACTGGCCCATGTCTGCCACCTGCTGGTAATCTCCAGTGCTGCCGACTGTCGCCGCGCCTGTATCCATCACCGCATAATCGCCATTGCCTGCTGGCGCCTGCGAGTATCCTCCTGTGCTGTACGGATCATACGTGCCGTAACCAGCGTTCGCATCTTGTTGCTGCTGGTTGCCAACCGCGCCAGTTACCGCTGCTGCAGTCGGATCCACCACCGCACGCTCAGTTGCCATATCTGGTACTTGTGAATATCCAATAGTACTGTATGGATCGTACGCACCGTAAGCAGCATTCAGATCCTGCTGCTGCTGGGCTATCGACAGCCCCTGTGGCCATAGAGCTAGACAAATCGCCAACTGTCTCGAATCCACCTGACGTAGCTGGTGCTTGCGAGTATCCTCCAGTAGTACTGTACGGGTCGTACGCACCATAAGCAACGTTTGGATCCTGCTGCTGCTGCTGGCTATCGACAGCGCCTGTGACAACCGAATTAGCTTAAATCACTCACGGCCTCATGCCCACTCGACGTAACGGGCGCCTGTGAGTAACTAGTGCTGCTATACGGATCGTATGTACCATGTCCAGCATTCAAGTCTTGCTGCACGCCGTCATCAAGCGCCAGACCCGCGAATCCCTCCTGCTTCTGCTGCTCCAGCGATTCCATACCAACTGCCGCTGCTGTCCCGCTCTGCTGGTCCTGGTAGAACGACACATAACCGGTCTGCCCACCCGTCTCGCCAAATTCGCTCTCAAATGCCTCTGCCTGCGTGGTCAACGTGCCCCACGCCGTTTCGCGCGACACCGCAGGCTCGCCAACGCTCGACGGCTGCGTCTCCACCGGGATCTCGGCCGGCGTCTCTGGCGCGCTGTCGGAGAGCTGAGTGTAGAAATCCAGGCGGCAGGCGGCGCAATTTCTGATACCGTTTCCGTTGCAGCTATGGATTGCGATTGCTCAGTGGAGGCAGCGGAGACTGGTAACTCAGCCTCCACTGTTGATTCCCGAGACAGCTGGCTGGCCTGCTGGCCGGCGTCCGCCACCAGAGCGTCTTCATGGGTGATAGGTGGTGGCACATCTGCGGGCTGAAGGGGTGCTGGTTCCTCAGCAGCTACCGGCTGCGGCTGGCTGATGGCTGCGTCAAAGATCTCGGCCGGATCCGATGGAACCTTTTGTATGTCGACTACACCGACAGATTTACGCTCGATGGCAGCTGGCTCAGTAGCTTGATGTGCCTGCTCTGCTGTGACAGCCTCCAAGTCAAGAGTACCGGCAGGCTCCGGTGATACTTGCTCGATTTCCACAACAGGACCTGCTGCTGGCAGCTGTTGCTGTTGTGCTGGCTCCAAATGGGGCTCTGCAATGTGCTGGACCGGCTGTGATTCGCTGATGGCAGCATCAAAGATAGCAGCTGGATCGGATGTCTCCAGAAGAGCACTCTCCGCAGCAACAGCGACAGGAATCTCGGCAGCAGGAGCTATCTCCGCCGCCACCGCCGCCGGTTGGCTATGAGTTGACTGGCTGATTGCTGCATCAAATATGTCTGCTGGATCGGATGTCTCCAGCAGAGCGCTCTCGGGAGCCACAGTAGCAGGAATCTCAGCAGCAGAGACTGTCTCCGTCGCCGGCGGCTGGGTTTGAACTGATTGGTGGACAGCTGTATCAAATATGTCTGCGGGATCCGATGTCATCTGCCGTACGTTTTCCGGCGCACTGGGTGCAGGAGCAGCCGCAGATACTGCTTCTACCTGCACCGGCGGGCTCTGGACTGACCGACTGATGATTGCGTCAAAGGCTTCAGCCGGGTCCACCACTGCATCACCTGTGCTATCAGCTGCCACCTGCGTGGCAACACCAATACTAGACTCGGCATGTGTGGCAACAGCAGCCTCGCCCACTGCCTCTGCAGCAACCGGCACTGTTGGCACAGCCGTGACTGGCTGCTGGGCCAGACCCATTGAGTAATCAGCGTGCTGTACTGATGCATCGGTATCAGCGTCTCCTAGGTTGTCAAAAAATGCAGCTCCATCAGCGACCTCGGGCTGAGCAGGCTGCGCATAGCCTGCTGTTGCGGTAGCATCTGGAACACCGCCACCACCAGCAGTAGCAGGAGCGACTGCCGGGGGATTGTACTCCTGTGTGGTCTGGGTATACTCGGTGCCGTAGCCAGCGGCAGCCTGCGGGTAATACCATGTCCCCGAATCGTTGTCGTAATACTGCCCGCTCTGCGGATCATAGTATTGTCCCATCGCCTCATCGTAGATGGGCTCAACAGCCGCCTGTTGCACCTGCGCAGTAGCGCCCGAAACCGCGGGATCGGCTGTCTCAGCATATCCAGCGTACGCCGGCTGCTGTGCGGCTGCCTGGCTGTACTGTGCGTAGTACCCGTTTTGGTCAGCCGGCGCTGCCTGCTGGGATTCGCCCGCCAGTTGGTCAAAGAACGCTGCGCCATCCGGTGCCGCATTATTTTGCTCATACCCGTACTGCGTGCCATACCCAGGATACACCACAGAGGCGCTCCGGTACGGGTCCGCCTGCTGCCCATACTGCTGATACTCGGCCGGCCCCGCAGTCGCGCTCCGCGGCGGCACTCCATGCGAGGCGAATGGCGCCGTGTATGGCTGCTGCCCGTACTGCTGAAACTGCGTTTGCTGGATCGCCGCGTGCTGCGTGCTGCCATCCATTGATGAAAAGAATTCGGCACCCGAGCTCGACGCGTCCTGGCCGCCAAAGAACGGAATTGGTCCATCCGCGGAGGGCGTGCCGCGCCGCGACGGCGGACGCACGGGTGCTGTCTGCGGGTGGTAGGACATTACTATAGATGTACTTCACGAATTAGGTTCTCAGGCTTTTTATCTCTGCCAGACACTCCTCAACACTACAACAACCGGGCTTCTGTACCTTTATGCTTTTTGGAAGAGGGCTGAATAAAGAAACAAGAAGCCTGTATCGCGGCGGCAACTGATGAATGACTGTTAATAAATGTAATAGAAGGACGCGAAATTGAATAGTGGAAAAAAAGGCTCCCGGCGTAGCAGTGAAACTTTCACATAAAGTTCAAATCCCGGTTTCATGGTTGTTACCGAAACGCTGCTTACCACGTCGCAGCGGCTCGACTCGCATGCAGTGGCTGGCGGCTCGAGCCGTGGTTTATTAAAAAATATTCGGCTTTTTTGCGCTGACGCGCGCCCGCAAAAGACACCTCCATTCAGTTTCCTTGTCGAAATTCAACTTCGCTTTCCTACTCCCCCCTTTATATGAACAGCATTAGCAACACAATGTCGTTTGGCGGAACTAGCAGCAGCGGCGGCGGCGGCCTATTTGGCTCAAACAATAACACCGCCAGCAATGCGACCACGGGCGCGAATCTCTTTGGAAGCAACAGCGGCACCACAAACACAGCGTCGGCCGGGACTCTGTTCGGCGCGCCCGCTGCAGCCAGCACGTCGACCGGTGGCAGTAGCCTTTTCGGCGCCTCGACCGACAAGCGGGCAAGATCAGGCAGCCTGGTGACGGGCGGCAGCAACACGTCGCTGTTTGGAGGAAGCACAGTAGCCAATAGCACGGCACCGGCGGGCAGCGGTCTGTTTGGCAGCGCAGCGCCGAGCAACACGACGCCGGCTGGTACTGGCCTTTTTGGCAGCTCGACGGCCAACAATGCGGTTCCGCCGACGGGCGGCTCGCTGTTTGGGAATAGCACGAATGCAGGCACCACGGGCGGCGGGGTGTTTGGCAGCTCAACAGGTGCAGCTCAGACCACCAACACATTTGGCGCTGGCTCAAGCTTGTTTGGAAGCAATGCGGCAAAGCCCGCAGCACCGGGGCCATTTGGTAATGCCCCTGGTGCGACTCTGCAGAGGGCTCAGCAGTATCTGAACATGCCCCCGCAATCGGCACTCCAGCAGCAGCAGCAGAACCAGCAGCAGCAGCAGCAGCAGCAGCAGCAGAAACTGAGCGAGGCAGAGGAGCTGAGCAAGCAGTTCATGATGATCAAGGAGTGCTGGGACCCGAACTCGCCCAACTTCCAGTTCCGGCACTACTTTTACAACGTGTGCGAGCCTGGGCAAGGGCACTTGTACCAGTGCCCGCCGAACACGGACCCACGCCTGTGGGAGCAGGCGCAGCAGGACAACCCGGATCCCTCGTCTCTGGTGCCGGTGGTGGCGAGTGGCTTCGACGACCTGCGCAAGCGTGTGGACACGCAGACGCTGCAGCAGCAGAGCTACCAGGAGCGCGTGACGGAGATTTCGGACAAGCTGCACACAATCCTGCAGAACCACCATTCGGGTACGGCGGTGCGCCTGGCGGACTGCCGGCGGCGGCAGGCGGACCTTGCGCAGCGGCTGCTCGAGTTCATGAAGTGTCTGCAGGTGCTGCGCCAGGGGGAGATGCAGCTGACGGCCGAGGAGGTTGTGCTCAAGGAGCGCATTGCGCATCTGGACAACGAGCTGTCCAAGACGGGCTCGGTGAAGCAGCGGCTGGCCGAGCTGCAGGACCACACATGTCGGCTGCTGGCGAGTGCGCGCCGGCGCCGCGAGATGTTGGGCATTACTGATGACGATGCAGTGGGCGACGGCTATGAGGTTGCCGACGAGGCGCAGCTGGAGTCGGTGCTGCACATGCTGGCGGAGAAGCAGCGCGGGCTGACACAGCTCACCCAAGTTGCGTCGCGGGACCAACAGGCCCTGGATGACATTGAGGCGGCTATTGAGGCCCGGCACGAGGAGATTCTGAAACAGCAGGTTGTGCAGAATGGCGCAAGACTGGCCAGGCCGCAGTACACTCCGTGGTAGAGGCAGTGCAGCTACTCTGGCTGTCTCAAGAGGTCTGTTTCTCGCTTTTGTAGTCTTTGGAAAGGAAAAAAAGTTTATTCACTCAAAGCACGGGTCCTAGTCCCTATCATTGAGGATCCGCAGGATGTAAATGAACAGGTTGACTATGTCCAGATACAGCTCAACGCTGGCAATGATGTACTCGTCGGGCGACAGGCGGTTCATGATCTGGTGGGTGTCAAACAGGATGTAGCCGCAGAAGACAACGGCGCCAAACACCGAGTAGATCAGGTCGGTGGTGCGGCTGAACGGCACAAAAAGCTGCACCAGACCGACCATCATCATGCCCATGAGCGCAAAGAACAGGATCGGGCCAAGGCTCGAGAAGTCGTACTTTGACTGGATGGTGAACACGGTCAGCACCACAAACAGGCCCAGGGTAATCAGCAGCGCCTGCAGCACCATGGCCGTCGGGAACATGGCGGTGACAGCGCCCAGCGTATACGCCTCCAGCAGCGTGAACGCCGACAGCGCAATAATGTTGGTTGGGTGCGAGTGGCGCTTCCAGAACACCACGCCCAGGGCCGCAATCGACCCGAACATGGCCACGTAGATGGTCCACATGTGCTGCAGGAGGAAGCCCGTCGACGCATCCACGTAGCGCATGTACCCGCCCACCAGCGTCGTGGCCAGGAGCTGCGCCGTCAGGATCGTGTACACCTTGCGCACAAATGCGTGCCGGATGCTCAGGTCCGACTGGCCCACAGTCACGCCATACTTGAAGTCGTCGGGGACGTCGTCGGGCGAGGAGCCGTGCGGCGCGCTGGGCCCGGCCTCGGAGATGCTGTTGTCTGTGGCCGCATAGACAGGCGGCAGTTGGGTGTAGGCTGCGGTTGACATTTGAATAGCGTGTGCAAAAAGAGATAGTAGAAAAATACAGAAAAGAGTGGCTAGAAACAGAAAGAAAGGTGAAAGGAGGTTTGCGGTGATGACTGCATTCCCCAGCGCCAAGAAATCAGTGCAAAAGAAAACCTGGCTCCTTTGCGGCCTCAGCTCACCACAGGCCGCATCACCTGACCGGCTCGCAGGCTCATAAGGAGAGCTCCAAGCTGTGGTCTAGCCCGACTCGCAGCCCTTCTCTCCGCGCCAGTGCATTCCCAACGACACAAATACAACCCGAAAGCCATGGCTGCCACCGACTCGACCTCGCCCAAGTTCATCGTCATGTCTGACTTTGACGGGACCATTTCGCTTGACGACACAGGCAACATCCTGACCGACGCGTCCATGGGCAAGGAGCGGCGCGAGGCCATTGACAACGAATACATGGAAGGCAAGATCTCGTTCCGTGAGCTGCAGATACAGGAGTGGTCTGGGGTGAATCTGACCTGGGAGACAGCAGTTGAGCTTCTAAAGGACAGCACAATTGATCCGCACTTTGCTGGCGTCGTCGACTGGTGCATCGCTCACAAGATCCCGCTAGGCATTGTCAGTGCCGGACTCGACAAGCTCATCGATTTGCACTTTGAGCACAGTCTGACCAAAGAGCAGCTCGAGTACATGGAGATCTTCTCCAACAAGCTCATTGTTGTCGGCGACAAGTGGAGCATCAGATTTGCTGATGACAGCGAACTCGGCCACGACAAGGCGGCCAGCATCAAGAAGGTGGCAGACCGCTATGAAGTTGCGCCCAAGGTCGTGTTTATCGGCGACGGGATCTCTGACGTTGCGAGCGCCAAAGAGGCAGATTACCTGTTTGCCAAACGCGGCCTGGATCTGGACAACTGGTGCGAGAAGAACGGCGTCAAGCGTGACCCGTTCGACGACTTTGCGTATATCACCAAGCGGCTGGAGGAGATTAGCGCTGTCCTGTAGATGCAAACTAGTAGACATTTGCTGCAAAGATACACTATTGACGCTCTAGCCTCTCTGCTTCACCTAGATTGCAGTCAGACACGTGTGATTCTACCATGGGACGTCTTGTGAAGATCAGGCGAGCTGGAGCCCCGCTTAGTCCGCCGCGTCCCTGTGCCAGCCAATGTAGCACCCCTCGTGCAGAATTTGTCTTCCAGCATGCAGCAGCAAGTTCCGCTGGTGGATCCTTCACCAGACGGGCCTTTTCTTTTTCTTCAGATCTCTACACCGATATATTTACACTCTTTGCTGCTCACTTCAACCATGACTGTGTCGAATCCCTCGCCAAAGCTGGTCGTCATGTCCGACTTTGATGGCACCATCTCCATTGACGATACGGCGAACATCATCATCGACGCGTGCATTGGTGAGCAGCAGCGCAAGGCCATTGACGATGCCTACATGTCCGGCAAGATTTCGTTCCTCGAGTTGCAGCACCAGCAGTGGTCGCAAGCAAAGCTCACTTGGGAGGCGGCTGCGGAACTGCTCAGAGATAGCAGAATCGACCCCCATTTTGCTGGTGCCATTGAATGGTGCATTGCCCACAGCATCCCGCTTGGCGTGGTCAGTGCAGGATTGGACAAGCTCATTGACCTTCATTTTAAGCGCGGTCTCACCGAGGACCAATGCAGCTATCTTGAGGTGTTTGTCAACAAGCTTGAGGTCGATGGCACCAACTGGCGCGTCGCCTTTGTTGACGACAGTGAGATGGGCCACGACAAGGCGGCCAGCATCAAGCGGGTAGTGGACAGATACGATGTTGCGCCCAAGGTCGTGTTTATCGGCGACGGGATCTCTGACGTTGCGAGCGCCAAAGAGGCGGATTACCTGTTTGCCAAACGCGGCCTGGATCTGGACAACTGGTGCGAGAAGAACGGCGTCAAGCGCGAGCCGTTCGACGACTTTGCGTATATCACCAAGCGGCTGGAGGAAATCCACGCCTCCCTGTAGACAAACCACAGACACTACATCAGCAGCACAATTCCCTGCAGTATGTACGCAGGCAGCACACTGGCTGTCCTGAGCCACTGGAGCAATTTTGTGATTCACACGGGCAAATCGCCTGGTTTGAATAATAAAAAATTGTGACTCAGAAGCGATTTCGGGCTGGCCTCGTGTTCAGTGGATAAAAGGCGGATCGAGCCTCTCCGTTTCGGAGCAGCAGCACCACAACTCTTCTTCTCATCTCAATCTCTCTTTATTAAGCAAACGCCAACCACCTGCCTTTAACAAGAGACCCTTAAGTAATGGCGCAACGCATTTCGAATGCCTTCAAGACGGCAGCTCAGGAAGAGCGCCCCACGTTTGTCGCGTACGTGACCGCCGGCTTCCCCTCGCCAGCCGAGACGGTCGACATCCTCCTCGAGCTCGAGAAGGGCGGCGTCGACTGCATCGAGCTGGGAATTCCGTTCACCGACCCGCTGGCCGACGGGCCGACGATCCAGGAGGCGCATATTGTTGCGCTGGAGCATAACACGGACATCGACGTGTGCCTGGACCTGGTGGCGACAGCGCGCTCGCGCGGACTCTCGATCCCGGTCATGTTCATGGGATACTACAACCCGATCATGCAGTACGGCGAGAGGGCGCTGGTGGATAAGTGTGCTGACGCCGGCGTCGACGGGTACATTGTGGTGGACCTGCCGCCCGAGGAGGCCCAGTCGTTCCGCGCGCTGTGCTCAGCCGCCGGGCTCAGCTACGTGCCGCTGATCACGCCGTCGACGTCCGAGGCCCGCATCAACCGCCTTGTGCAGGTTGCCGACTCGTTCGTCTACGTGGTGTCGCGCATGGGCGTCACCGGCGCCCGCGCCAACCTCGACACGCACCTGGGCGAGCTGCTGGCTCGCGTGCAAAAGTATACTGACCTGCCGCTGGCCGTCGGCTTTGGCGTCAGCCAGCCGCAGCACTTCAAGGACGTCGGTGCCATGGCCGACGGAGTCGTCATCGGCAGCAAGTTCATCACGGTGCTGCGCGATGCCGAGAAGGGCAAGGCCGCCGAGACTGCTCGCAAGTACGCCGAGGAGGTGTCGGGCCGTGCTGCCGGCAACGCCAAGCGCGACAACCCGCTGCCCGAGCTGCACGACAACACGACAAAGGAGGATGCCAAGCTGCACACGCTGCTGCCCGATCGCTTCGGCGAGTTTGGCGGCCAGTACGTGCCCGAGGCACTGTATGACTGTGTCGAGGAGCTGGAGGCTGCATATGTCAAGTGCCGCGAGGACCCGGCGTTCTGGGACGAGTTCCGGAGCTTCTACCCGTACATGGGCCGGCCCAGCCCGCTGCATTTTGCCGACCGTCTGACCGCGGCGTGGAAGGGCCCCAAGGTGTACCTCAAGCGTGAGGACCTGTGCCACACGGGCTCGCACAAGCTCAACAACGCCATCGGCCAGGCCCTGGTCGCGAAGCGCCTGGGCAAGACGCGCATCATCGCAGAGACCGGAGCCGGCCAGCATGGTGTGGCCACGGCCACCATCTGCGCCAAGCTCGGCCTCCAATGCATCATCTACATGGGCGCCGAGGACATGCGGCGCCAGGCGCTCAACGTGTTCCGTATCCGCCTGCTGGGCGCCCAGGTGATCCCGGCTACAACCGGCTCGTGCACGCTCAAGGATGCAGTCAACGACGCGATGCGCGACTGGGTCACTAACGTGCAGACCACCCACTACCTCGTGGGCTCGGCCATCGGCCCGCACCCGTTCCCGACCATGGTGCGCGACTTCCAGCGCGTTATTGGCGACGAGACCAAGGAGCAGATGAAGAAGCTGACGGGCCGTCTGCCTGACGCTGTGGTTGCATGTGTCGGCGGCGGCTCCAACGCCATCGGCATGTTCCACCCGTTCATCGAGGACAAGGAAGTCAGGCTGATTGGCGCCGAGGCTGCTGGCGACGGCGTCGACACCGACAAGCACTCGGCGACCATCTCGGCCGGTACTCTCGGCGTGTTCCATGGTGCCAAGACCTACCTGCTGCAGGACAAGAAGGGCCAGATCATGGAGACCCACTCGGTCTCGGCTGGGCTCGACTACCCGGGCGTCGGTCCCGAGCACGCCTGGCTCAAGGCCACTGGCCGCGGCGAGTACAATGCTGTGACTGATGTGCAGGCGCTCGAGGGCTTCCGCACGCTGGCACAGTACGAGGGTATTATCCCGGCTCTCGAGTCCTCGCACGCCGTGTACCAGGCCATGCAGACCGCCAAGACCATGGACCCCGACCAGCAGCTGGTCATTTGCATCAGCGGCCGTGGCGACAAGGACGTCAACACTGTGGCCGAGGTGCTGCCAAAGTTTGGTCCCCAGATCGGCTGGGACCTGCGCTTCGAGGAGGACCCGACCAAGTTCAGGCGCAGCAAGTAAACGGGAAAAAGGCCCACGTATTGCTCACTGAATATAAAACCTCTGCTTTGCTAATTGTGGACCGAATGATCAGTGCAGCTCCCCAATTCGGACCAGTCAGTGAATCTGACGATATGAAATGCACCAATATCGGCTCTGAACCAGCGTGGGCAACAGCAGGAAAAATGCTTGAGCTCGCTTTCGAAATAGCGCCATACTTGGCCAGTCATTATGCATCTTCTCAGAGGCGCACAACAAAGCTGACATGTGGAGACAGGGAGAATGCGGCGTATGTTGTTGTGATAGCGAAATATAACGATCTGCAAGCGGTGCTTGGCAAAAGCTTTGAGCTTCATCAGTAGCGTCGGTTCGGTATCACCATGCTATCCCTCGCGGCAGGGACAGTAGTAACGTGGATACACCGAGATGCATCGCACCCCCATAGCGTCGCCCTGCGGGCACAGCCCATCCCTTTGCGATGCGAGCGATTCGCATCACATTGCCCAGGATCCAGACAGACATGGCTAAAAATACCTGTGACACCCATTCGCGCATGCGCGGTTATGTGAGGGGGAGCAAAAATAGACTCGCTCCTGACAACCTTCTCCCTTTCACAGTGACCACACTCCCCCAACAGCCAGGCTTGGGAAGGCGCCTAGTGCGCGGGCACCCAGGCTGCGGGACAGCCGTGCCCAGGAGCCTAAGACTTGTGTGCGTACATCGTGCAATGGCCTTGGGGATGGGATTGACAATTCGAAAACCTCACGGAATAGTACTGAAAAAAGTGGTGAGGGACAAAACCGGTTTTCGCTCCCGCCGATTATTTTTTTCTTCACCTTCCCTCTCTCTCGTTGCCCCTCTTTTTACGCTCTTCTTATTTTCTGTTTTTCTTTCTTGCATTTCTCACTTTAGCCCTTTTTCTTCGCAAGGGGACTATCTCGAAATTCGGTCTTGTTTTCACCTGCCTTCACGGAATTTTCGTAGTCCTTCTTTATTGCCTCCCCTTTTATTTCTAAAATGCGTTACGGCGATTTCAGAAGCCTGTGTGAGCGCTCGCCGCTGCCCGTCTGCCGGGTGTTTATTCGAGGCGACGACAGGAAGTTTGTTCTGGACAACTTGGACATATGCAGTTTGAAAGAAACGATAATAGGTGGAAGCACCAAGATGTTGAATATCCGTAAGTGAGCATAAACGCTAGGCGTCCTGAGAAGTAGTGCATACGCGCATACCTAGCTAAAAATATCTTGCATTATCTGTAGCCGATTTTGCTATCTCAATTGTCGCCTTTCTTGCTACCGTCTATCTGGGCTTCAAGGCCCATCGCAAGCTGGCTGCTGTCGGTACGTATACGCTGCTGATTTCCTGGTATTTTTGTTGTTGTTGTTGGTCACATATGCACATGCAGCGTACTTCGAGAGTGGTACGCTGATCACCATGCACGGGTTTCTTCCCATGCTCCCTTTCCTCCAAGCGATACATAAATCGTGGTGGGAGGCGTACGTGTTCTGCGACGCAGCAGGATGGAACATGCCCCGCTTCGCTCTGCTCCGACACACTGGAATTGCCTGACACGAAAACTAAAGCAGCTTGCGCTATCCAATAGGCCGGCGAGAGATGTCGCTACTCCTGTCGCTGTTCTGCATCCTGCTTGTGGCCAACCTCGTGGGATCCGACCTGTGGTTCAAGTCAACCAGGGTTAGCAAAGTAAGTATCATTACACACAGCCCATATAAAAAAGAACCGTCTGTCGCCACAGAAACCGGGGAGGGACACGGCTCGGTGGGTTTTCTAATACACAATTATCCACGCCTGTGTGGCTTAAGCTTTGTACTGATTGTCTTTGGTAACCTTTCTGCACTACTGGTAGTGGCTGGGTATTGCCAACACGGCGCTCGAGGTATCGTTTTTCTGGGCGCTGATTCTGGTCGGTCTCGTGGGCTTCCAGATCCTGCCTGACGGCTCGTTTGCATCGATTCTGTCGATTGTCGTAACCACAATCATTGTCTTTGTCGGCATCGGGTACATTGCCGCTGACACCGCTTTTGGCATCTCGGACGGCCTGAAGCCAAAGGACAGCGACCCGTTTTACTCGCCGGCGCTGTTCACGGTCTATCTGGTGTTCCCGCTGGTCTCGATAGTGATCTACCTGGCGTCGCAGATCGTCGTAGTCGTCAAGTACCTGGCTGTGCGCGGTCCGCTGGCGTGGCTGCTTGTTTCGGTCGCGTGCTTCGCACTGGCTCAGGCCCTGATGTTCGCTGTGAGCCGCAAGATCTGCACAGGCACGAACAAGAAAATCGATGGCGCATTCTTTGCCACGCTGCTGGACTCGGCGGCCGTGTTCTGCATCTACGGGTTCTGGGCGGCCATTACCGAGGACGACAGCGAGGACTATGCGGGCATGTACAAGTTCTAAGCGGAGCCTACTTTTTCTTTTGTACATTTCCGTCGTGTGCTGCGTCCCATGTCTATCGTCGCGTATCGCCCTACCCGCCCTTTTGCCCGGTACTTCTAACCCCCTCCCTCTCTCCACAACGACCTCACGATCCCCTCTTTCATCTCAGACCCCACGCCTTTGCCGTCTTTTCTCTATACTTTTTTGCTACCCTTTTCAATAATTTCGCATTTTGCCTTACATGTGTTTCCCACTACTAGAAATACTCTGCTCGCGATGCGAGCTCGGCTGCTAGTCAGCATGGGTTCTTCGGTCTCTGGTAGGGCCGCGGGTTGGGAACATGCCGGAATGTCTGCTGCAGTGGCCTCTGTTTCATCCGATAGCATCTTCGCTGCTTCATATGCAGCCTTCTTGGCCAATTTTTCGCCCTTTTCTGCTGCTCTCCTTGCCTCTGCTGCTGCCCTCTTTGCTGCGTTGATCTTGGTAACCTCCTCACGTGTTTTCGAAATAAACACCTGCTTGATTATTTGCTTGTCTAAGCGCACATGGCCTGGGATCCATGATGTCCGCAGAGGCAAGCATTGAGGGGGAGACTTGCCAAGCTGCTCATTCTCAATAAGCTGGCATAGACGAATGTATGCACGCAGATGCTTAAGTGGATTTACCTTGGCATCATAGTATCGGCTGTCTTTGGCGAATCTGTACTTAGCATCATAGGCATTAAGCACTGGTGCCAGCTTGTTGTAGATTGCAAGCATCGGTGGGGTGAGCACACTGAGATCAGGGTGCCTAGAGGCAACTGCCTGGCGGAGCTTCTGTGCAGGTGTATAAATACACACTTGACATGCGTTATTGAACTCAGCCTTGGACACATTGCCCATTGTACTGTGCAGTGTGTTTTTGCGGCTGCGAATATCAATCAATTTGGCCAGAATCCGCTGTAGGCAAGTGCCATAGTGCAACATAATGTTGTTCTTGTATGCTGTCATCAGCTCAGTATCCACGTATGTTGCTACTTGATTCATTTCACGTACGCCATGTAGCTCAATATCGCTATTATGTAATAGATAATCATAAATATGATATCTAATTACATAACTGAAATTTGCGGTTAACAGTTCGGACCTGTCCATCCGGTTAACGAAATCCTCGGCAGATATGACAGTCTTCGCCTTCAGGTTGTGATAAATGAATAAATAAATAAAACGAAAAAACCCTTTTTCACAAATGTTGCTGGGTCAAAGGCATCCCCGTCAGCTAGTTGATGGAGTAATATCCATCGTGCAAGCATGTATGTATGCTCTTTGATGATATTGACACTGTACAAATTGCTCTAGGCGGGGCAACATAGAATCACGGAAGCCAATACCACCAAGTGATGTCTTTATGACAGTAGTGCTGCGGGTAATATTCATTTGAGAAACTCAATAGGCAAGTAAGAAGAGAAATGATGCTGTTCAGTTTTGCTTTATTGCAGATGCATAGCATTAAGAACTTTTTTATTAAGAATGATCTGGCTTGCATGGTTCTTGGGGCCCTTAGCACTGATACAGTCTCTTGAATCAGTCTATACAGGCTGGGTCCATTGTGGCCCAAATACTACTGCTTACGCATGTTCATAAGACAAATTAATTTGTAAAATAAACCCACAAATATTGCATGACCGCTAGAAGAGCTATATGGCCTTATTCAATAGATGCTCATAAATAAATATTCTGAGTGTTGCGCAGCTGGTGATGACCACCATGATGACTCTATGGAAGTTATCAGGCCGACCGACAATGAGAGCAGCTCTTGCGCTGAACCAATGGAGATATATAGTGGAGACCTGTGACCACTGCAATACCAGCTTGTCACCCTGGTTTCACCGATGAGGTCAGATCCCGCACAGGATCAAAAAGGAGTTTACAGAGAAAGCCATCCAAGCTCGCTTTGAGGCTTAAAAGAGATATATAGGTTCTAGCAGACAGTCGGACACTTTTGGACTATAAAATCTTATATATAGGTAAAGATATGGAGTCTGCAAAAGCTACATATATAGTATGATAATACAAAGAGTCTACTCCACATTCTTCGACTCTTCCTTGTTGCCAACAACCAGCGCCGGCAAGGTCGCCTCGACCTCCTTGACCTGTATCCCGAGCTCGGCCAGGTCGCGCGCAGCAGCATCTACCTCTGCTGCGCCATTCGCGCCTGACGAACTGGCAGGGGGCGAGTCTGAGCTGCTGACCGACCCCCTCCTCGTCGAGCTCGACGACCCCGAGTCCCAGAACGTCAGCTTCTGGATCCACTTCTTCTTCTTCTTATCGTGGGCTTCTAGCAGCTCGGCCGCCTTCTCCAGCTCCTCGATCATCTCGCGGTCGTGCGTCGAGTCGCCAGACACCGTCTCATTCGGGTCGTGCAGCTCGGTGCTGGTAACCCGGATCCCCTGCTTGCTCATCAGCCGCGGCATCAGCTCGCGGTACGCTGCGTGGCCAGGCACAAGCTCCGAGATGTCCATGTTCTCCAGCCCATTGACGCCGGTGATCGGATGCAGGCCAGCGATGGAGTTGCGTCCAAGGCTGGTGGTGCGGTAGAAGAAGCTGAGAATCCAGTCCTTGCCGCTGTGCGCATTGACAAACCGCCCGCCGATGACGCTGGCTGCACGCCGCCACTCCTCGGACGACTCCACTACAGGCGCGCCAAACAAGTACACGTCCTCTACAAGCCCAAAGGCGTTCATGCGTGCCAGCTCCAGCAGGGCATAAAATATCAGGCGTGCGCCGATCGAGTATCCAACCAGTGTCACCGGCCGCTGGCCCTGCACGCGCTGCAGCAAAAGATCAGCCAGTACTGGCCCTGCCTTTTCCGCCATGTCGCAGCCGGTGGACCACGGGTTGTCGAGCACGTACCCGAGCTTGGCCAGCCACATTGGAATCGACAGTGGTCCAAGCAGGCTCGGCAAAACTGTGTGCTGCAGGGTCTGGGTCAACGTAATTGAAAACACTTCACCGACAATCATGCGCAGCGAGCTGCCAAGCCGCCCCAGCGCCTCTGACTCCCACAGCAGACTGCAGTGGTCGCCGTTCAGCGGGTCAAGCGTCGAGAACGAAAACACGCCATTATCGGCCTTGCCCAGCCATCCAGGCACAGTCAGAATCAGGTTCGTCTGCTGCTCACTAATGCATGGGATAAACTCGAACTGCTCGGCAAACCGCGTGCGCCTGGTAATTTGCCGCCCCGCCAGCCCACTGCCCGTCAGCGTCGCTGCGCCAGTGATCAGCGCAGTGCCTCCAATGCTGCCAAAGAACGCACCGGTGTTAGCCACGCCAATAGCACCTAGGGTTGCACCAATGCCTGCACCAATGGCTGGCGCCAAGAGCCCGGCGCTGAGACCGATCACGAGCCCGCCGCCCACTGTGGCCAAACCGATAATCATCAGACGCTTCTTCTTGCCCTTGGAGGCATGCTCTTTTAGCACGCTCTTGGACGAGTCCTTGGTCGCCACCCGCACGTCAGTAGCATATTCATGCAGACACAGCTGGCGCGTTACGCGTCGCTCGCACTTCATCACCTCGACCCACGGGTAGCCGATGGCTTCAGCCATGCGACGCAGCAGGTAGCGGCTGCGGCTGTCATACACATCGTCAGTCAGCAGGAGCAGGAATAGGTCGAGAATTAGGGTCGCACGCACGTCGATTACAAGCGTCTGGTCGACATCAACCTTGGTCAGCGTCTCGTCGTCTAGGTCGTTGATGGATGGAGGCATTGGTGATATAGGCGTCTGCGGTTCTGAGCAGAACATGCTGACGTATGGCGGTACGGCATCGTCTGTATCTGTCTGCACCGTCTCACCGCTTGTCTCGCGCCCAGACAGTCCAGCGCTATCACTGCCAACTGATATCCGAGCCGCCGGCTGCTCCGAAGAGGTATTCGCAGGTTCTGGGAGCTGCTTCTCAGAAACATCGCTGTCAAACGAGCGCTTCTGCTTCTCGGCGCCATCTAACGACTGTCTATCCGGTGCATCCGTCGGCAGCATCGAGTACTGCGAGTACATGTCGCTGTCCTCGTCATCCGTGTTCTCCAGCGACCCGCTGCCCATCCAACTGAGCCCCAGCTTGTTCTTCCTTTTCTTCTTATCCTCGCGCTCCTCCTCAGCGCTGTCTCTAGTTGGTTTCAGATCATGCACGAGGTCGTCAGTTGCTAGGTGCGCAACCGCCAGCTCCTGGTCTGCCTCAACAATGATTGTGTCGCCCTGGGCCGCCAGCGAGGCCGCCATGTCTTCTATCTGGATCTTGTGGCGCGGCAGCATATCGATCATGCGCTGCTCCTCAAGCGAGATGCTGACATGCCTGTACATCTTGCGCATGACCCGACGCGAAAAATTCATGAAGCTGGCTGTCGATGACTGGGACTCCTTGAACTGCACATTGAGCCGGTCCTGCATGTCCACCAGCAGCAGATACACCAGCCCGACATATGCAACCTTTTGCTCCTCCGACAGAATGCCGTCGCTGGCATGTAGCTGGTTCTGCCGCTCAGCCGCCAATAGCTTTGCCTCCTCGATCTCCAGGATGCTCCTCATAGATGCCTGCTGGTTGGGTTTAGGCGACCCTGCCGAGCTCTGACTCCGGGCGCTGGCCACACTTGTCCGTCCGCTCATTGACTCTGGCTTCTCGCTCTCACGCAGCATCCTGTCGACCATAAACCTCGGCAGATGCGACTCTGCGCCGTACCCACCCGGGGACTTGCCCGGTGCCCGTCTGAATGCCGGCGACCGTTTGCCTGGTTCGCTGATATGGTGAATCGCTGGTGCTGCAGCTTTTGCTTTTTGGCGCCAGCGACATTGTTGTCGAGTCAGGCCGCTCCGAGGTGCTGTATCTGATTCCCGTGTTGGTTGGTGCTGCTGCACCCATGGCTGCGCCCAGCGTCTGGCTGTCGGTATAGTAGTCGCGCCGCCGGTCCACCCGGTGTGCCAGCGCTGTGGGCACAGAGCCTAGCGGCACAGGCATATCGGGAACAACCACAGACAGCGATGTCTCGGAGTGCCCGCGCGCTGGGTGGTTCGGCAGTGGCCCGGAATACTCGCGCATTCGCGGAGTGCCGACGCTGTGCACAGAGGGGCTGCCCCGTCCGCTTATGCTGGCGCGCATCTGCTGGTGTCTAAATGCATCGCTGGACATTTTCTCTAGAGTCCACGAAACGGGTGTGCGGGTTGGAATTTGTAGGGACTGTAGGGAGAGGGGAGGGAATTATGTGCGATAGACGGCAAAATAAAACAGCAGAAAGTGTGCAAAAATCGAGGAAACGTTTGCAGAGGGCAAGCTGGAGCTGGCTGGATTTTTGGCTCCCCACACCAGTCGCCCATCGCCTGGCCAATGGCCACCTGCCGCTTTCAAACGGGCGAGTGCGATTATTTTTAGCACTTTGCTTTTTCCACTTGACCATCTTCCCCCCACCGAAGCCCAGCACATGTGGAGTGCAGAGACATTCAATCAACGTTTTGTGCCAGATGTCTAGCAAACAGCAGTGGCGGGGATAGCATGATGCAGATGCTACGGCCCTCTTGTTATTATCCTATGCTAGTCCAAGTTTGTGCATGGCGCAAGTTCCTGAAGTAGACCGTCTAGACCGCGTTGCGCTGGACCGCTTGCATCTCTCGCTCTCCTTCTTCCTCTTCCCCACACGCAATACCACTGCTATTACCTCAGCCTATCGACAATTTACAAAGTACATTGGAAAATGCAAACATCGCTGGGACTTGGAGCGCCGATGCAGATCATGCATGCTCTTGCGGCTTCTACCTTGATCATATCTGTATCGCATGCGCAGCTCGGCAGAGATAATCGCTACCTGCATCCTGGTCACGAGCTCTACGACGCCCTGGGTCTGCACGATATCCCTATGCAACTGCAAGCAGGCGGGCTGTCAGATGCATCTCTGTCTGCGGATGAGCAAAAAGCCCGGCTACACGGCATATTCGCACCACCGGCTACGCACCGCGCCATTAGCCGAGCCAAGCGCCTCAGCGGTGTCGCTGATCCACGCTATGGAAATGGAAGACCCGGCTGCCACGCCGCACCCGAGAGACAGCGTGGTAGGCAGCAACTGCTTCTCGCTACGAACATCGCGGTATTGCGGCGGCACCTTTGGCGACTACTTCATGTCAAGCCGCTCCAAAGTCAACGGCCAGCACGTCCTGGACACCCGCGGCTTCGACTCTGTCCTCGACGGATACTTCAACACGTCCAGCGAGTTCGAGTACATCAACAGTTTCTTTGGCTGCGAGTCATGGTCCGGGTACCCGACACCACGGTACCGCATCGCTTACACATGCCGCAGCCTGCTCGAGAGTGCTGAGGCCAAGCTGTGCAACAAGCTGCACCAGCCGCCGCCTCTATGCAAGGACAGTTGCAGCGTAGTACGTGAACCAGTGGGCCGAGATGACCAGCAATGCAATGCTGTGTCAAGAACACCGGTTTGGCCGAATTCCATCGACTGTCGCTTGCCCAGAGCTGCGATTCGGCGCCGTACAATGGATCGATCGGATGCATTCCAGGCATCGAGAGCGGTGCCGAGATTTGTGGTAAGCTTGTTTAGACACTGCTCGCGCAGTAGCGACACTGTCTATTTCTCCTGCTCAACCGCCTGCTTTGCTTTCTACTACTGTAGGGTTTACTATCCTTGCGCACGCGACAAAAAACCAAAGAAACGCAGTATGCGATTTCTGCAAGCAAAGCAACGACGCGTGCTGCACCAGCCGTGAAGCCTTACAACTCTGCGATGCAGTTCCATCGCACAAGTTCTACATGGCGATCATCGCATCCATGGCGCTCCTGCTGATCCTCATCGGGGTCGCCGCCGTCTGGTTCTTCCATCCGACGGGCTAAGCGCATGGAGCCCTCGTCGAGCCCCGTCTCCCAAGCAAGCACTGAGATGCCCGGTCCCCTGAAGGCCGGCTACTGGCCTAATAAACGCAACATGCAGCCGGCCAAGATGCCTGATGATTGGTGTGACAGCGTCAGCGTGTTCGTCTCGGCACCATCCACACCAACGCAGGGCCATGTGCAAGGGACCGCGCCCGAATCCAGATGCCCTGAGCCACCCACACCTCAACACAATCAAAAACGGGCGCCGCACTGTGGCGCAACAGCTAGTGGCATTCCTGGGCACCTCAGTCAGCAACAAGCTGCAGACACTTGCAACCAAGGCGCACAAGACCGCAGCAAGCGCCCTGCCTAAAATCGGGCGCAGAAAGGGGCAGGCTGAACAGCCGCTCCAGGCAGACCCCACAAAGCCGCTACCATCTACACCAAAAAATTCGCGGGTACCTTCACTGCCGCCGCAGCTAACACCCCACCCGTCCCTCCTCAACACCCCTGGTGATATCTGCCGTTCTGGACAACACCAGAGATGAGCATTGCTACCAGTTCACCGGTACTAGGAGACGCAAGCCCGCCCAAGGTCCTGCGCTACCCACCACCCAATATTACCATCGGCAAGCGCACCCAGTCATTACGTGGCGGCCAAGTATCGACCAGGCATTCAGCATCGACATCTATGGCAGGTGGAAGCAGCAGGAGCCCCCAGCAAGTCCCTGCTGCTGACGAAACTGCTGCTGAGCCCGATTTGTTTACAGTGCTATACCCGTACACACCTGTCGAGAGCGATGAGCTGTCAGTCCGGCCTGGCGAGATAGTGCGCGTGCTACGGCTTTTCCTGGACGGCTGGACGTTCGTGCAGAGAATGGACGACGGCGCCATCGGCGCAGTGCCTGCTGTGTGTCTTGACACAGGATCTTGCCGACATTGAGTTTGCTACCCTGCACAAAATGCTGCCTCATTAACCCCCAGCATCATATTTCTTCATTCCTTTTTCAAGACGACAATGCGATCGTGACTATAAACATTCTTAACAAGTCAATCTGGAGAATGTTGTCGGCAATTGCTGTTTTGCTAACATATGTGGCTACGGTTCTTTTGATGTGCGGCGACTAAACGTTGGCGATATTACAAAAGATGGAAAATGCTGCCAGTAGCAGTTGCGAGCATTTTCGTGCTGCCTGAATATTCCTTCACTAGGACCCCTGTCTTTAGAGCATGAAACATATATGCGAATACTCTCGACCTGATCATATTGCAGTAGGCTCATCGCTACTGCTGCACTCCTGAACGATAACGTTTCCCGATTGCTTGACTTGCACAGTGCACATACTTTCATATATATGTGTGAGCAATGGCACGCTGGCAAATGGAGCAAATGTGCGTCCTCCTTTCTCTCCCTCTACTTTCCACTCCGCTGTTCGCTACCGCCACCCCTTCCTTCACCTTGCATCCTCCGCCGATCATCCTCCAACTGCTCAATATATTCAGTTCTCGTCGCTATTCCGTGTGTATACTATTGCGAATCATTTTCAATTTCCCACTCCGCCACGCTCGTTACGTATCCAGACAAGGGGGGCTTCATTTGCTAAAAAAGAATACGTCGGACCGTTCTATTATTTTTAGCAACAATCACCTAGCACAGCCTGCCTCTAGCTGTGCACATTAGACCGCCCAATTGTTTTCTTGCCGATTATTCTTATATCCCTCGCACCTTGGCAACAGCGCTCCTTTCATTGAACCACCCGTCTTCCCCCTCCCTCCTCTTCGCATCCTTGTACCAGACACTCTTCTGTTTCCCTCTACCCTTCCGCAACGGGGTTTTCCTTGGTGACATAACTGCCCTGCCATGCAAATATTACGATTGGTGACATACTTAGCGCTTGGTGCGCTCGGCTGTGCTATTCCTATGCGGCAAGCGCTGCCGCTGCCCAGTGGCCCATCGGAGGTCCAGGCTGGGTCATACTTTATAGAGTTTATGAGCGAACCGGCAACCCTGCAGAGTCAGCTCGAGCACATCCAGTTTGCCCGCTTGGTCTCGGCCTCCGGCATCAAGGTCCGCACCCGCAATTCATTCCGGCGCCTTTTCAACGGTGTTTCCATCGACCTTCCTGACAAGCGTGATCTGGAGACCCTGACATCCATGCCAGGGGTAAAGCGCTCATGGCCAATGCAGATGCGCACGCGCCTGACTGCAATCCACACAGATAATGCCACACCAAACCTCATGTACGCACACTCGCACACCGGTGTCGACAAAGTGCAAAGGGAGCTCGGTCTCGATGGCACGGGAGTAAAGGTCGGCGTGATTGATACAGGCGTCGACTACATGCACCCGGATCTGGGCGGTTGCTTCAAGACGCCCGGGTGTCCGTTCCAGTACGGCGAGGATTTTGTCGGCGACAAATATGACTCGTCGAGCTCGCCGCACCCAAAGCCAGGACCCGACCCGCGCGATACCTGCGATGGCCACGGTACGCATGTCACGGGTATTATTGCTGCCCATGGATCGAGGGTCAAAGGCGTGGCTCCAGGCGTCACCCTCGGTATCTACCGCATCTTTGGCTGCCCCGGAAACGGCACTGGCCAGGCTGCAGACGATGTCATTCTGAAGGCCATGGAGGCTGCACACAGGGACCGGCATGGACGTACTCAACATGAGTTTTGGCAGCGGCCCGAGCTGGAAAGAGGACGCGCTGGCTGTAGCTGCCTCGCGGCTGGTGAGTGCCGGAGTCATCGTTGTAGCGTCTGCTGGCAATGATGGCGCTAACGGCCTGTACACATCCGGATCCCCTAGCCTGGGCGACGGCGTTATCTCTGTCGCATCGTTTGACAACTGGATGCTAACCAGCCTGAGTATTGACATTGTCGGCCCTAACATCAACATGTCGATTGTGCATTCGTCGCCTGGAAACAGCAAATTCGGCTTTTCTTTCGCTTCGCCAGTCGAGATATCCGGCGCCACCGACAGCACTGGTTCCAACGAGGGCTGTGCACCCTACAACAATGCCAATCTGACCAACAAGATTGCGTTTGTTAAGCGTGGCAACTGCACGTTTGTCGACAAGGCCCTCTATGCCCAGCAAGCTGGTGCCATCGGTGTGGTTGTGTACAACTTCGAAAATGAGCTTATGTCGCCGACATCTGTCTCGCTTAATGTCACAATCCCGCTCGTGGTCATCAAGCTGGCTGACGGTGAGACTATCCAGGGTGAACTCAAGCGCGGTACTGTCACCTTGACTGCAACCAACCATACAGTTAGCGAGGTCAATCCGTCAGGAGGCCAGATCTCGCACTTTTCCTCGTGGGGACCCGATCCCGAGCTGTATATATCACCTGCAGTTGGTGCCCCTGGCGGTAACATCTTTTCGACGTTCCCTCTGGCCCTTGGCGGGTACACATCGCTGTCAGGCACCTCGATGGCAACGCCGTATGTGACTGGCATGGCTGCATTGATCCTGCAGTCCAAGAAGATGCGTGTCAGTACTGGTGAAGTGAAGCGGCTGATTCTGGAGAGCGCGCACCCGATCAACGACGGGAATAAGACTGAGCTTCTATCCCCGCTACGCCAGGGGTCTGGTCTCACCAATATTTTTGATTCGCTTAGTGCCCTGGCCACCATTGACCCCCCGCAAATCTCGATCAACTCGACGGTGACTGATGACGATGCAAGTGTAGCAAAGCGACGGATCGACGATACGCTTGCCATGCGCAGTGTCCCTCCGCAGATCAGCAGTGGTCCGGGTCGCTCATCCTCTGGCGAAGTGTACCGCACGCTGAAGCTCTACAACCACAACACGGCTCACCACCTAACATGCACAATGACCAATCTGCCGGCATCTTCAGTATCCTCGTTCCTTGCCAACGGCAGCTTTGCCGCTGTACCGCGCACTTGGCCCGAGGATGCTACTAGCAGCGTTTCACCCGACATGCAGCCCCAGGCTGTCATTGATGGCCAGTCCTTGCCAATCCGAATTGGTCCTAATAGTGTACAGCGTGTACGGGTTCGTATCACCCCTCCCACGGGACTCAGCTTGACCGATCGCTGGTTCTTTGGTGGCTACTTGCGCTTCAACTTCTTATGGGACGATCCGGCAGGAACGGCTCAGAGCCTGCATATTCCGTACACTGGATTCCTGGGTGACTACTCAGCGCAAGATATTTTGTCGCCGCCCGAGCAGGGCTTGCCGTACGTGAGCGTCAAGGGCTCAACCGACCCGATTGCAGATGGTGATGACTTCAATATTGACGACACGCACAAACTCGCAGTACACTACCGCCTAGAACACCCAACAGCCAGGCTGAAGCTGCAGCTGATCGATAGCCGCAACCAGTCGGTTGGCTACCTGCCATACGGATATCTCGAGTACATGGGCCGCAACTACCAGGGCATCAAAGGCCGTTTCTCCAACGCCACCATAAACGGCACATTATTCCGGGATCAAGAGCTCACTCAAGCGTTCACAGCTGAGCCCGGAGAATACCGTGTGCGTATCGATGCTCTGAGGCCACTGCGCGATCCCAGCGACCCTGAGGGGTTCCAAACCTGGGTGTCGCCAAAATTCATCATTAACAGCGTTCAATGTCACTCCTGGTGGTTCCAAAACAAAGAACGGCGACGACGATGACGATGACGAATCTTAGTCTCCCTATATTTATACTCAATCCATACTACTTCATGTCACTTGCCTATATATGGCGATGGCGGTGGAAACTACATGAGAATGTGAATTTATTTGGCTGTGTTAACCTAGGGAATGAGTGGTTAGTCGAGTATATGGGAAAAATAAGTTCTCAAAAAGTGACTGAGGGGAAGAAGGAAGGCTGGTCGTCTGTCTGGGCCTTTGCACGTATGCGTTTCGACCTTGTCTATGCTGGCGCAGGGGGGACTCCAGGACCCCGAATGTCAGGCATTAGAAATCGACAATGACAAAAGACAACCTGCAATAGAAGCCTTGAGATAGAGTGGAAACCATACTCTTCCACATACTGTCCTGCTGCTGATACCCAGCTGATGAGCCGTGCTTGCATTATGCCAGGACATTATTATACTAGCAGAACATTTCTTAGCTGGTACAGTCGAGATATCCTTGGAAAATAAATGCGAGGCAGCAGTTTTGCTTCAAATGGAATGGAAGCAGCGTCCATACAAGGTATAACCACAGGGTGACCAGCAAAGAAATGGTGTGGGTATTATCTGATACAGCCCAAGGCTGTTGTTCTGCATACCTCAAAGCAAGCTCATGTCCACCCAATGTATAATTTGTGGACAGTCAGTCGTGTCCATGTCTGAGTACATACACAAGAGGTAGGGCAAGAGCCAGAATCCAAAAATCACTAAATGGATACAACAGCCATGCCGCTTGAACCCTCAAATCCGTCGTCTGCGCGCATCACAGATGCACAGATCATTCTCTGCCTTGCAGCTGTTTGGGTGGGTTCAGTTGACTGACTGACTCGACTTTCATGCACTTCCGCATATCTCTGAGCCAGACACTCCAGCACGGAAAATAGGTGCACACGTCTGTGTTTGACAACCATCCGCACCGCCCTCACAGTTCCTTGTTTTCCTCTGGCATTTGGTGTTTTTCGCTGTTGGCGGTGCCAGTGCAGACGCAACCCATATGCAAATTTAAGCATATGCGAATCGGTCCAGTGAAGGGGTTTCAGCGAATCGCATGTCTGTAGTCGATCTCCACATGGTCAACAGAGAGGATGCCACCAGCAGAGGCGGCTGGGGTTGCTAAAAGCGACAACTGTCACATATCTCTGTATCTGTTTAGTTCTCGGCTGTCCAACAATAATAGTATCGTCGTGTAGTCTGAGTCCAAATGCATGTCAATCTACACACACGATTTTTGAGAAAAGGAGAGCAGCTTTTGACTACAAAACTGTAGGGGGCGAGAGGGGCGCATAGCAGGACTCAGCGGTACATATCAGCACCTCCCGCAATATCTGCAAGTACACCGCTGTCTGCGATCAATTTTCGCCATGTCCAAAGTGCAGATGTATAGTCGGCAATCATTGTGCCATGCGTGAGGCCGGACATGCAATTTGCATTGGTGTCTTAGCTGTAGAGTAGTGAGTTGCTAGAGACCTGTGTTGGATAAAACCAACATTTCTGCTGATGTCTCTGGTACAAAGGGGCTTCTACAAATTAGAATACGACTCCTGCTCTCGGCTGCACCTATGCTTCGCTCCGGCATGCTGTCTGTCATCCGCTCCATTCCTCCACATGACACTCAACACTGTGCATGCACGAGATGCATATAGTTCGAACTGGCCAAGTGTGAGAAAACAGCCTCTGTCTATTACCTTGCCCTGCCCACAAATCAATAAATATAGTGTTGGGACAGTCAGGCGGACAGCAAGCAGCGGAAGAGAGTGAAAGGAATAAATGCGCATCGCTTGCTCTTTTGCAGAGGGCAGAGTGGTGGGGGGCAGCCAAAGGTGGCTTCCGGAAGCATTCCATGCCTTTGCGACAGGCTAAAAGACATGGGAACGACGCCAGGCGCTTCCGTTCTCTGCACTCGACCTGGCCTTGCTCGCCATCCTCAACACGAACACAAACAGCATATAGCTATTATTCACTTTGTTTCCCTGTCACAACCATGCACTTCCAAGACATATCCCATGGCGATGCACCAGATGCTGTGTCGCCAAAGATACTTGGCAGCCTGCAAGAAAGCTTTCCACCTGTACATCGACAGTGTCGGACTACGAGCAGTTCATTGACTTTTACGACAGCTTTCCCGAGTACCACGCGCTCATACCGCCGTTCATGAAGACTCCTGCACTGATTCTGGAGTGCCTCATGGACTGCTGGTGCAATCTCACAGACTGCCCCAAAAAGCACTCTCGGAGGTGGGTCTCGAACTACACGCTCCTCCGCACACACAATCTCCTGGGCCAGGTCAAGGAGCTACGTATTGTCCTGTACAACGACAGCGCTGAGGTACTCAATCTTGACCAGGCGCTTGAGGATCTCTGCATTCCCCAGGGGCAATCGCCAGCACCAAGCTGATCATGTTTCTTGGGACAGGCCTCTTCTCGGCTGGAGACAAGCAGGAGATACATCTAGCTAGGGTGGAAGCCGCACGCACTGCCAGGCTAATTGTCGACCTCTGCCCTCATGCGACTGGGCTATGGTTTCACCATCTGCGAGACTGGTGTACGATTAAAGGGCTGCTATATGGTATCCCTGGTGTTGGGAGTGAGATCATGCTACTTCTTCGCACCGAGCTTCATTCACAGCTCACACAGCTTCAGATAGCACGCCCTTTCCCTAAAGCCCTCGGCAAGCCGTTTGCTTCCAATCTCGAAATTTTGGACATTGATCTCGATTTGCTCTCAGAGCTCACATCATTGCCGAAAATCCCCATCAAGCACCTGCGCAAACTTGCACTATATGCTATCAGGCGCCAAATCGACTGGGACGTGTTCGAGGTAGAACCAGATGGAGAGATGACGTTCGGGCATCTCGAGGAGATTGTTCTGCAATTTGCTAATGGGCATGCCAACAGTGGGTATTTTGTGACCGACAAGTGCAATGTGGCATTTCCTGTGACGACATGTGTCAAAACAATTGGTCTGTTAGATACCAGCGTGGCGATTCAGAACTACCTGAAGAAAGGACAGTGTAGACCGCTAATGCTCGTGGAAGATCCCTTCACTTTCGCGACTCGGAGTCTCAATGTTCTTTATTGCGCAACATATGTCCACATCATGTACCTTTATAGACACAACGACGAGCAGACAGCGTATACATCACACTGCATGCACAAGCTGTACAGACACAGGAACAAGTGGGTTCGCGGTCTTCGGCTCACTGGTATCAACTACCCGATGCCAGTGAAAATCAACTGGAAGGGCTTGCGCTGGATGCACATCGAAGCTAGCATTGCCGACATCAACAGCATCATAAATGTGGTCTCACAGCTGAAGGATCTGGAAGCGCTCATCATCGACTGCTTCTCGATGAAGCGCAGCCATCTAACGGTGCCCGAGAGAGGTGAGCATTTTGCCGACCAGACCAGCATGTTCTACAGTATTGATGAAGCAGTCAGCAATATCTCCGACGAAGTTGGATCAAAGCTCACTCGCTTGGATATCCGGTCGCGCAAGGCTCTATGTGTCGACTCGGTTTTGCGTCTCACTGCAATCATGCCGAACCTGCAGGAGCTTGGTGTAAACGAGGAGTCGATTGAGGCTGTGTCCATGAGGAGTAGCAACCCCAGGATTCGGATTCGCGAGTTCACTGTACACATCGACGAGGTGGACAAGGCGAGGGACAAGTATTATTGCGAATAGTCTGTATCAGCTTTTCAATATGTGTATGTAACCATCAATTATCTGGAATGAATCGCATGCACGGCTGATATGCTCCAATATCGTTAAATGATATATTGAAGTCTGTTAATGAACTTTTCGCGAACCTTAGTTCTTCATGTTCTTGGGCAGAGTGTCCCTGACAAACGGCACAAACTCGACACCACCCATGTACGGAACCAGGGGCTTGGGGATCCTCAGACCCTCGGGGGTCTGGTGGTTCTCCAGCAGACAGCACAGGGCACGCTCAGTGGCGCACAGAGTGGAGTTGAGGCAGTGCACGTACTTCTTCTCGCGGTCGCCCATCTTCTTGGTGCCGCAGCGGATCTCGAGGTTGCGGGACTGGTAGTCAGTGCAGTTCGAGCACGACACAAGCTCCTTGTACTCGCCCTGGTGAGGGAACCAGGCCTCCAGATCGAACTTCTTGGCAGCGGCGTCATTGAGCGCCGAGGAAACAATGCCGACAACCCGGTACGAGATACCGAGGGACTGGAAGAACTCTTCCGAGGTGGCGATCATCTCGTCAAACATAGCCCACGACTTCTCGGGTTCTGTCAAGACAAACTGCTCGATCTTCTCGAACTGGTGCACGCGGAAGATTCCCCAGGTGTCCTTGCCGTGAGCGCCAGCCTCCTTGCGGAAGCAGGTCGAGTAGCCGGCGTACTTGGCCGGGAGCTGCTCGGCGGGCTGCTCGAACCACTCACCCGAGTGGAAAGCAGAGATCGGCTGCTCCGAAGTGGCGATCAGGTACTTGTCCTCGCCCTCGCCGGTAACCTTGTACAGCTCCTCGTCATACTGCGACAGCTGGGCGGTCTTGGCCATAATCTCGCGCCGCATGAAGAACGGGGTCTGAATCTTGGTGTATCCCTTCTTACCCAGGAACTGCAGACCGTAGTTGATCAGCGCCAGGTTCAGATCGACACCAACACCGGTCAGGAAATAGCCGCGGTGACCGGCGACCTTGGCGCCGCGCTCCTGGTCATAGCCGCCGAGCAGATACAGGACCTCGTGGTGCGAGCGCAGCTCCGGCTGGTGCTTGGGCTCGACGCCATCGACGAAATGCGTGCGCACAACGTCGTTGTCGTCCTCGGTGTTGCTGACAGTGACCGAGTCGTGCACAATGTTGCCGACAGTGTTGACCTTGGCGCGCAGGGCCTTGTCCTTGGCCTGCTCGGTCTCGGACAGATCCTTCTTCAGCTGCTCCAGCTCCGCCTTCTTCGCCAGCAGCTCCGAGGCGTCCTCCTTGGCCTTGAACTTCTTGCCAATGTCCTTCTGCACGGCGTTGATGCTGCGGTTGACGGCGTTGAGCTCAAAGTTGACTATAAACGCAGTTGTGATTTTTTGTTAGTGCGTCACAATGTCTAACACCTCACATCTAGCACCTGTCATGCCGCAGCGCGAAGTCGATGCAAAAAAAAAAAACAGTCCCTGCACAGCGGGCAATTTGGGGAGCTGGAATTTCGAGTTCCTACGGCGGGATTTGGCAATGGCACCCAACTTACCCTTGGTCCACTCCTGGTAGTCGGCAATGATCTCGTCGACGATCTTGGGGTCGGCACCGCGGCGGCGCTGCGACTCGCGGATGGCCTCGGGGTTGCCACCCTTCTCAATCTGGAACATGTTGATATCGAGCATGGTTGATTATTTGGCTTCTTCTAGTAGAGTGAAGAAAAAAAGGTGTCAAATCTGACTTGCTGATGAGCAAAAAAAGAGAAAAATGTAGAAGTGAGAGAGGTGAAGAATGCGGTTTGTATTCCTGGCTGATCTTCTGGGATGGTTCAAAGCCAGCGATGTTGGGCGGACTGGCCAAAAAAAAAAAAAAAAAGCCAAAGCCCCAGCATTTTTTTCTGGTGGTCGAGCCGAACCGCTGTGGATCGCGACTCGTCCCGCGAGAGAACGCGACTGCGCGCGCTCGCCGCGATTGCTTATTTCTAGCGCTTGCACTGTTGGTTTCTTGCCTGGTGTCTGCTTCTTGCTGCTCTCGAATAGTCTTTTTCTGCAATTGCTTTGTGCATAAGTATTCCAAAATGTCAGAAGCTCTCGCCGACAGCAGTCCCCGACGCCGAGCTGCACAGACTCAAGCATGAATTGAAAGACTGGGAGGGCGCCTTCCAGAAGGCCCATGGCCGAGCGCCCACCCGCGACGACGTGTCGCTGCAGCCCGACATTGTGCGCAAAGTACCGCAACTACAGCAAGCTAAAGGCCCTGGGTGGCAATTCGGCGCAGAAAAAGCGGCTGCAGCGGCGGCACACGGATTTCCCAGGCAAGCCGCCGGCCCCACCAAAGCGCAAGTCGGCAGAGCCCCAGCGCAGGCTGATCGATGAGCAGAAGGAGCGGCAGATCCAGAAGAGCGAGCACGCTGTTGCAGTCAATAAGCATATCGGCTATTGCTGAGGAGTCCGGCGACCATGCAGACGAAATTGAGGCGACGCCCAAGCGCCGACGCACTACGGCGATGGTTTTCTCGCCAATTACGCAGGCAGCAGAGTCGGACACGACGGTTACTGAGGATGGAGACCCCAAGCGTGCAGCGGGCCGTTGTTTGCAGATATATTGCCACTTGATCAAAATACAGAGATGGCGGTTGAAGATGTGCCGCCGGTGCCCTCGCTGTTCCAGAGGCAGACGCCATCGGTGAGTCGGTCAGCAATGATGGCTGCACGCCGTGCTAGTGCTGGGCCATTTTCTTCAGTATCGAGCACCAGCTCATTGTCGTCGCTGGGCGAACCAGAGGATCCGAAGAGCCGGCGCAGAACGCTGATCGGCTCGATGCGCACATTGGATCCTGGGAGTGCAGTCGTTCCAGGCGCGTGCTGGAAAGCTGGTCAAAACCACATCTATCCCGCTGAGTGCCTTTGGAGCGCAGTTCCGCGGAGCCTCAGCAGTTGCTGGAATTATCGCAAGGCGGGCATTTGAGCGACGGTGGCGACAATCTTGATATTGGCCATGTCGGGCCTTACAGCTGAGCTTGGAGACGCCGATCTAGTCGAAGACGCTAGCAACAACAGCCCGGCAGGAAAGTCTGGGGACAGTGACGCTGAGACGTCGCAGATGAAAACAAGGAAGAAGACCACCCAGAAGCGCAGCACGCGTCCGCGTCAAGCTTAGACCAGTGGACCATGACGGCAACGCGAAGATGCGAAAACCCAAAGAGGACACGTCCGGGCTTGTCAGCAGCAACTTTTACAAATTGCGGCTGCGCAAAGGCAGGCGCGGGGCGCCATCTGCTGATGAACGGCGCACGGCCATGTACAAGCGTATGGTGGCAGGCAAGAACCGCCGAGAGCGTGCTGCGGCGGCAAAGGAGAAGGCAGCGGCAGGATGATGATGCTGAGCATCCGGAGGAAGGATGAATTCGACGGCGCATTTGACGAGGAGCTGAGCAGTGAAGCGGAAAATGCTGATCCAGTGCCGGTGGGAGAGAGTGAGTCCCAAGACCATTGGGCAGCCAGGATGGTTGCGGGCAAACCGCTGTCGTTCTTTGTAGCCGATGATTCTTCAGCGGACAAGAATTCCTGCACAGTCAGCGAAAAGTTCATCGATGGCCATGATGTCACGGTCGATACACTGAAGGTCCTGAAGCATGTCTGGGGCCACGACCAGTTCCGGTTCGGCCAGGCAGAGGCCTATCAGGCGGATCCTCGGCTGCCGCTCCACGCTTCTCCTCCTTGCCACTGGCTCTGGAAAATCGCTTGCCTACCAGCTCCCCTCCCTGCTTCTCTCCTCGCTCTGCAACGGGCTGACTTTGGTTGTCACCCCACTGATCTCGCTGATGCGCGACCAGATCAAGCATCTGCCAAAGGAGTTCCAAGGCAATCTGCATGTCGCTCGAGTCTGCTGATGCCTCTAGCTACAGCAGCGTTCTGCAGCGGCTGGCGTCGGGTCAGGTCCAGCTTATGTTTGTGTCACCGGAGCGGCTAGCGAGTCCACGGTTCCATGACCTGATGATGTCTGAGCGCACGCCGCAGGTGCAGCTGGCGGTCGTCGACGAGGCCTCATTGTGTCAGCGAGTGGTCACACAACTTCCGCCCCGCATACTTCCAGGTCCCCCGTGTTCTGCGGCCTGCTCAATGTCCCCTGCGTGCTAGCCATGACCGGCACTGCCACCAGCGCACTGGCTACACAGGTATGTAAAATGTTTGATATCGATGCTTCCGAAGGTGTTATCCGCGGCGACATAGTCCGCAGCAACATCTCCCTGAGCGTCGTGCCAGTCTACATGGGCACCAACGCAAAGATGTACAAAAAGTCCTGTGCTCGCGAGGAAGCCCTGCTTGGGATCCTGCGCCAGCCAGAGATGGCTGCTTTGGAATCGATCCTTGTCTATGTTGCAACCCAGACAACGGCCAATCGAGTGGCCGAGTACCTGACCAGCCGCTCCATTCCCGCGCAATCCTACCATGCGGGCAAAGTCGGCGGCTGAGCGCACACGCATCCAAACCGCCTTCATGCAAGAGACATCCCGCAGGAAGAAAGCAGCCATCCGCGTGCTGGTGGCCACGGTGGCATTCGGAATGGGCCTGGATAAGCGCGATCTTCGCGCAGTCATCCACTTCAATCTGCCCAGAAGCACAGAGGCGTATGTGCAGGAGGTCGGCCGCGCTGGTCGCGATGGCCAGCCGGCCAAGGGCATTCTGCTGCTGGCCTGTAGGAGCAGACGACGGCATGCCGTGCAGCCGCACCAGCATTGATGCGACACGCACACGCAGCTGGGCAAATTCTGACGGGGTCGATCTGGCAGCCGTCCGCCGGCTTTTGCACAGGCTCTTCCCGCCTGAGTTCATGCGCTCGGCCATCGCCAAGGCCAAGCAAATGCGCTCATCCAGCACCCCGCCCGGCGCGGCGTGGCATGCAACCAATCTGGCTGTGCTCTGTCTGAAGTCGCTGGAGGCAGATCTGGATGCCGAGCAGGCGGTTGCCCAGACCTTCATCAGCTACCTGGCGCTCCGCGAGCCAGCAGATGTTCGTCGTCCGAGCCCAATATCCACCGCAAATGCACAGGTGAGGTTCGTCCGTACCGAGCTAGGCACGTTAGCGGAATCCCATGAGCTGTTTGCAAAGCTGGCCGACTTTGCTGCCCCGCAGACCTACTGCAGGTGCTCGCAGGTCCCGGCGCACATCGCTGGTCCGCACGCCTAGCGCCAGCAAACGCACGTCCACACTGACTGTCGATATCCTGGACTTGGCCACGGCCTTGGGCACCACTCCCACCGATGCTATCTCTGAACTGTACAGGTGGAGGGCCAAGCGCGAGATCATGCTAACATGGCTCGAGCCCTCAGCCGTCGTCAATGTGACCCTGGATACCGGCCGGTTCGCGGAGATGGTTGGCGAGCCAGGCAAGTTGCCCAAGGACTGCGATCCAGAGGAATGGTGGGTTGAGCAGCTAGCCATGCATATCGAAAAGCACATTGCCGACTTGGCCTCTGCTCTGGCGTCCCAGAACGAGGCGATGGTGCGCGGGAATGTGCGCAAGGTCGACGCACTGGCGGAAACCATGGGTGCTGCCGCCGTGCTAGACAATGGGGGCGCACAGAACTCCTTCCTACAGGCTGCCACTGAGGCGTATTTCGCCGCCACGCAGTCGGACCGTGATATCGCGGTCCAGCGCATCCAAGAGATAGCTGGAGATGTGCCTGCATGTCTAGCTGACGATCCGGCTGGCAGCACATCTGTGACTGGATCGGAGCCGGTTTCGGATGAAGCCAGGAGCCGCATCTGCCGCTTCATTGCGCAGCACGGTCATGAGGTGGCGACGGGTCGTGCTGTGGCACGCATTTTCCACGGGCTCTCTAGCCCAACATGTCCAGCGGCACAGTGGTCGTGGTGCGTCGAATGGGGATGCATGGCGCATGTGGATTTCGACGCCATCCGCCAATGTGCCCAGACAGAGCTCATCCGCATCCACTGCCAGACAGTGGCCGATACCTCATGTGCTTCTCAGTTGTGAGCTAGGTTCTCTAGCAATATATTGCATTGCACTACGGGTTTAGTAAATATCGGGCTCCTTTCCCTTGCCTGACGCTCTGATCGGCAATAGCGGCTCTTCCTCATCCTCATCCTCATCCTTGCCCACAACGTCATAGTCGCTACCAGAATCGTGCACAGGAGCAGGCGCCGAGGTCTCCGCCTCCTTATCCTTTGCCTTGGCCTCCTGTGCATGCTCCTTTTCTACCGTGCTCTGTTCATTTGCCGCCTGTGCTGGAATCGACTGCACCTGGGTAAGTGCCACCACCATGTGTGACAGCTGCACCTGCAGTGCCGACAAGATCCGGATCCGCTCTGCAACTGCTGCCCGCGAATCCGACTCCAGATTCCTGATCTGTTCGTCGCTCAGCATTGCCAGATCAGGCATGGGGAACTCGCGCAGGGATGGGATATATGACCCAGTAGTGCCTGCCTGGGACTGCGGAAACACATGCATCAGGTTGCCTGCTGGCAGATTTCCACCCAGCGAATGCTGCGCGGTCTGCCGCGTGTATGCGGTGAATGCGCGGATCGGATGGCGAAAGGACGCCTGGAAGGAACGGTAAGACCGGGTTAGTCCCTGCGTTGCCTGGTGCAACGGTACTGGTACGGGATGATGGCGGCCGGGGACGACTGGGACTGGACGTGGATACCGCCACTGCCTGACGATGATCTGGACTGCCGCTGCCGCCGCCGCGCCGCCGACGACGACGACGGCGATGGCGAACTACTGTTGTTTCCATTATCCTGGCTGTCATTCTGCCGGCCCTCTTGGCCCTGGTTTCACCGGGTCAGTACCACGAATCTGCTCGTCCATTCCTGCCGCGCTCCACACCAGAGGTCGCTGCTGGCTGCGCCTCATCTTCTAGTACCGTATGCCGGCACGTCGGGCAACTCTGCTGGCGCTCCAGCCAGCTCCTCAAGCAGTTGAAATGGAAAACATGTCCACATGGCAGTTTCTTTCGGCGTGTCGCCACTGACAGCTGGCGCCCTACCCTCTGCACGCTCCCGATTCCACTGGCTCAACTACCTGGCGCGCTGGCCCATTCATGTCTTCACGGCAGATGATGCATGTGCGGTCGCTCATCTGCTCCAGCTCCTCCTCGCTGACGGTCGGATACCGCAGGTGCATGTTCTGCATGGCACGGCGGTACCGAACCCAGTCGCGGCACTTGTTGACAAACGAGCGGGTGGTCATGTATACATCGCGCAGAATATGCAGCGGCAGGCCGTAGAATGTCATCAGCACCACAATGAAGCCAACGTACACGATCAGCTTGGCCAGATCCGTCAGCATCTCCAGGTAAAACACATACGACGCCTTCTCCTCCCACTCGCCGTCGCGGCGCATGTCTATCGCATTCAGGACAAACTTGACCGATGTGCTATGGAAATGCACCAGCAGCAGCGCGTACTCGAACCCAAACACGATCATCATTGTCGCCCCGTACATGCGCGTCACCCGCACCGCATATGCCAGCATGAACATGTCCACAAACGCCAGCAGCATTGCCAGACTGCCCATGCGCGCAATAAACAGCTTCGACAGCCGCGGCTGTTGCTCCATGAAGCTCACGCGGTCCTCCATGATCCAGTGGAATACCTTGCAGAACAGCAGGAACACAAAGAGCGTCAAGGTCGCTGCATCGAACTCGTCCCGGAATATCGTCAGCGCCAGACACGTCTCGGTCACAGCGAACCACCCCTGCTCGTACAGGTGCTCGACCTCGATCGTGCGCAGCTGCCCAAAGAATATCCGCACCAGCAGCTTGCCCAGAAGAATTGTCAGGAGAATCCCCATGTTCGCCAGCACCATCATTGAAGCACTCGATTGCGCCAGCTGCACACAGGCCGTGTAAAAGTACTGGTGCTGCATAAACGCCGATACAATGACGCCAGCTGTCAGCACCGTGGTTGCTATGCCGTACACTGCCAGCCGTGGCACATTGCTTTGCATGTAGTCTGCCATTTTGCTTCACAAAGGGCTCATACAAAAGATATGAATATAAAAGTGCTGCGAATTGTACGAAAAAACGACAGAGCGGAAAAGAGAAATAGGCGGCATCACACCTGCCTGCTGTGACGTGGCAGCGCTTTTGTGGAAAGCAGGGCGGCCCCTTGGGAATCACAAAACCTCGATGGCCCGAAGCTTGGCCGACCGTGCCCGCGGGTTCTCAGAGACCTCTGCTTCAGCTGGGCGTGACCACCTTGCGCGTCCAGGCTCTGGACCGCCTCCGAATCGGTCCACGCCCTGAACCGCTTCTTCACCACAGCATCCTCCAGCGAATGGAACGACACCACCACCAGCCTGCCCCCAGGGTTCAGCGCCTCCACTGCTGCGTCCAGCGCCCTGTCCAGCTGCCCTAGCTCGTCGTTGACCTCAATTCGCAGGCTCTGGAATACGCGCGTGGCCGGGTGGATCTGCCACTTGTAGCTCTTGGGCACGGCTGCCAGCACCGCCTCGACGAGCTCGCCGGTAGTGGTGATAGGGGCCTGTGGCCCGTCTCCTGTCAATCTCCTTGGCAATTGCCCGGGCGTGTCGTTCTTGGCCGTATGTGCGGAATATGTGCGTCAGCTTTTCGACGGAAAACTGGTTCACTATCGCATGTGCCGGCAGGAGTCGGGTCAGAGCGCCGTGTTCCTGCGAGTACGACATGCGCATGTCGAGGGGCGAGTCGGCGAGCTGGAACGAGAACCCGCGGTCCTCGGACGCGATCTGGCTCGAGCTCACGCCAATGTCAAGAACGATGCCGTCAAACTTGGCTTTGCAGATTACCGAGATCGCCAAACTGCATCCAGCGTGCCGACAGACGGCCAGGGTACAAGGCGGCCAGCCTCTCTGCCTTGTCAATCGCCGTCGGGTCCTGATCAAGCGCCGTTACACTGCAGTTGGCGGTGTCTAATAGCTTCTTCGTATAGCCACCTTCGCCGAACTGTGCCGTCCAGATACGTCTTGCCGTCCTGCGGGCTCAGGTGCTGGATGACTTCGTTGAGCATCACAGGCGTGTGGATGCGCTCGTACGGGAATGGGGGCGGTGAGGTTCGGAGCTGCGATGATGTCGAAATGGACCGGACCGATCGGGACAGTCGGGGGAGTATCGATAGCATATTGGCAAGGGATTTACTAATAACAATTGAGATACAAATAGTGCCAGGAATCTTCTTGCGCTGCCTGAGCCAGATCGTGGAAGCGAAGGAACCAGGGAGTGTCGGATCACCATTATCCCCGGTACCACCCGTTGCCATGGAAACAGCCAATTATAGGAAGTGGGGAGCAGGTAGCCACGAAATGTTCGCACGCTTGGTCGCTTTCTGAACGAGATGCTGTGAGCGCCGCTTGTCTTCTTTTCTTCATCCCTTTACATCCATTGACAGGTCACCTTCCCAACATACCGCTCCACACACGAAAAAGAATGGCGATTAAGGCGCTAAAGCATGCTCTGCTCACTGGCTTCGAGCCCTTTGGGAATCCGGTGCCCGACGATAACCGCAGCTGGGAGACGATCAAGCAGCTCAGCAACGAGTGCATCGAGACCGACTCTACGACCATCCTCTGCCACTGCTACGAGATTCCTGTCAGCTACGGCCCAGTCTCGGAGCTGGTCCCCAAGCTGCACCTCGAGCACCCCTACAGCTATCGTCATCCACTGCGGAGCGGGCGTGCCAGGCGTGGTGAGACTCGAAAAGCAGGCGCACAAGTCCGGGTACACCAATCCTGGAAATGGTGGGTCAGCGGATGTATCCGCTGACGGACATGTGCCAGTGGCTGCGGACCTGCCCGAGACGCTGGAGACAGAGATTGATGTGGATGGGCTGAGGGACCACCTGATCGAGAGAGGCTGGGACAAAACGGAGGTCAGCTTGGATCCAGGCAGGTACCTGTGCGACTTTACATACTACACATCGCTGGCGGAAGCCCGGTCCACGTACGAGGGGCGCGGGCTGGCACCGCCAAAGACCCTCTTCGTGCATGTTCCCCCCAAGACCGAGGATCCGTACAGCGACCTGCGAACTAGCCGAGCTGGTTCGCCAAATCATCCGCTTCTTGGCCTGACAAGGCTAATGCCACGCATTAAAAATACACATAGCATTGGAGGGAAATGGGAAGAGGAATAGGTTTTGCATGGAGGTTGCTCAAGTTTGAGAGGAGGGAGGGATAAGAGGATACGAGGATACGGCAATTGGAGGTGGCCTCAAGGGGGCTAAAGAAATATTCACAAGGTTTGCCAACCACCCTTGCCTGCATCCCGGCTCATGTCGGCAGAGTCTGGGGCGAGGAGAAAAAGATGTCGTCGATAATCTGCTGGTTTTTCTTCGACGACCGCTGGAAGGGCGCGAGGTCGCGGACATTTGTGTCGTCAATAGGCAGCAGTGCCCGCGACTGCGACGTCTCGGTGGTGTTGCTCCGTGTTGTTGTCGTCCGGATTGTCGACGCAGAGTTGATATTGGCACCACGGAGCACCGACGGCTGTCGTGACGAAAACGAGTTGCCGTTTGTCGAGTTCTCGCGGTGCCCGCGTGCCACGCCCTCATTCACCAGCATGTCGTTCAGGTCCTGTCAGCAGCATTGACCGGTCGAGCTGCGGCACCACGTAGTCAGGCGGCCCTGACACCTGCTCCAGGAATATCGTCAGCTACCAAGCAAGACAAAAACGAATAGGGTCAGTAGGAAACTGCCAGGTGTCGCTGGTGATTATTCCGGGATCCCTGAATGCACGGAGGCGCATAAAGCTGCAATGCAGCGCACATTGTGGCCATGTTTCGCAGGGAGGACAAAAACGACGTGTATTGTTGCCACAGCATATGTGTCCCCCTGCCAGCATTTTCCATCCAGATCTCTTACCTTCAGGGTGCAGTTGAGCTTCGATTCTTGCAGGAAATACCGTCTGGATGACACCGGCATCCGCGCGTACTCGGCCAGGTTCACCGACAGCGTGCCGATTTTGTTGCGCATATGAGGGTACACTTCCTACGTAGTGGTGCGATTAGCATTATCACGCGCAAGCTGGAACATCTGGGCTAGATGCGCCGATATCCACTCCGCGATGCGCCGATCCTGCCACTCCCATTAGACAACCCGGAAAGAGTGGAAAAACAATCCAAACAGGGGCGAGGGACGGACATGCGCGCACACTCGTGCTGCACACGCTGCAGATGAAATCCCTAGGGCTAGTTTCTATCTTCCAAGGACCCAGCCAAGACAAAAAGCCCGCATGCCCAGCAAACGCAGGATGGCCGTCTGGCAGCCCACTGATTATGCAATCCCAAGTACCCGAGTAACTGTCCCCAGAAACAGCGGGGAGAGGAGGCAAGGCCTAGAAGGCACATTACAAGGTTCTAGATAGCCCCGTTTCCGGGTCCACACTTGCCTGTTTGACTGCCAGCTTTATCTCGCACGGCGACAGCACCAGCTCCTTGGTCATCGGCACGTACATCTGCCGCTCGATGGTATGCGACCACCGTACTTCCCGATTAGTGACTGGTATTCTACATACGGCGAGGGGGTTCTTTGAGCAAGAGGCAGAAATACCATTTCCCGATCAATCTCCGAACTCTCTGCCGCTTACCTGGACGTAGACCCCGTGTGGTCCTGGCATCGCCATTTGACGTAGAACATGCCGTTGAGCGGCGGGACGTTGTTGACATCGTCGATACGCACTCGCACGTTGAACGACACCAGCCGATTCCGCGGGACAAACAGGTGCTGAATGGTCATTTGTGAAGAAAGACGGGGAAATAGAGGGGAAGAAAATAGTACAGAGGAACAGAGGAACAGAGGAAGGAAAACAGAAGCACTAGGGCGAGGACAGCGAAACGGAAAGAGGGACGGACTGAAGAAAGGAAAAAATAAAGTTGCCGTCTAAGGCTGGGTGTGGAGCTGGACAAAAACAGCTGCTCAGCCAGCCCTCGGCTATAAAACTGCTCTGCACAAAAGAAGTGCCCTAGTGATTTTTGCTTTTGTAGGGAAAAGGGGGGAGATTGTGTTCCTCTGCTTGATAGTTTTTTTTTTTAAAAAAAATCTAATGTTTCACCTAGGCGGGAAAAATCACTGCTGTGTCCCCTAAACGAGCGCACCACAAACAGGACAGCGCGCGGCGGGATGCACTCATTGCATCCGCTTCGAGCACACATACACAAAGTAGTCGAATCCGCCGTCGTTCAGCGTCTCGACCTGCACGTCCCAGCAGTCACGCACCAGGTGCCGCTTGCGGAAATGCGGCTGCCCGAACGTGATCCAGATGAATTTGCCGCCGGACGCCAGCACTCGCACCACCTCGTCGACCTCGCCCCTCACTCGCTCGCACAGCTCCTGCGACGGCTCCCACACATCGCCCTTCTCGCACATGAGCGCGTCCAGTGTGCCCTTGTCCAGTGCCACATCAACCGAGCCGCTGTCGAGCTCCAGGTCCGTCACATCCATCACCTCCCACGTCATCTTCGGCTGGTGCGATGTGCGCTCCCGCATCTGCCCAATCACGATGTCGCTGTAGTCGACGTTGACAATGTTCTCATAGCCGGCGTCGTACATGTCGCCGGAGAGCGTCGAGTTCCCGCATCCGAGCATGACGATCTTGCTCGAGCGCTCGGGGATATGCTTGTCGAACAGCGGCTGCAGGTCCTTGTACGTCTTGAACCAGTCGAACGACTCGTCGGGCTCCTGGGCGTACCGCTTTTGCCAGTACTCCTGCGTGCCGTACTCTGTGTTGTCGTCGGGAAGAACAGTCAGGTCCGTGCTCATGCTTGCCGTTGTGCCTTTTTTGTGCTTGTGGTACTAAATAAATGGGATGTTGGTGAGCTGTGCGATTTGGGGTGATCCTTTGGTGGCAGGTGGCCCAAAACCCGCACCACCGGGACGGGCCCGGCCATACCGGTCCAGCAAAACAAAGCAGCCAGCCGGTGATTATGGGTGCGTAAATCAATCACCAACAGCGGCGAATACTCCAGTCCGCTAGGCGCTCATGTGACCAGAACTCCAGCATCTCCATCTGCCCTCTATTTCACCTCTACTCTGCTGCTTTTCCAGGAGTACATTTCCGCTTCCCTTTCAGCACCCAATTCACAAAAATACGAAGCATGTCTACGGTTACTCGGCGTCTGCTCAAGGAGCTGCAGGACATCCAGCGCGAGCTCAGCGAGGAGATTGTGTCCCTGGAGCCCATAGACGAGGACGATATCCTGCAATGGCGCGCAGTACTGCGCGGGCCCAAAGACACAGCCTACGAGAACGGCCTGTTTGAGCTGTATATCGATATCCCGGAGCAGTACCCGATCCACCCGCCAACGCTGACCTTTGTGACCCCTGTGTGCCACCCGAACGTGCATTTCGAGAGCGGCGAGATCTGTCTGGATATCCTGAAGACACAGTGGTCGCCGGCATGGACGCTAAAGTCAACGTGTCTGGCTATCCACGTGCTGCTGGCAAACCCGGAGCCTTCGAGCCCGCTCAACTGCGATGCAGCAAACCTGCTCCGGTGCGGCGACAGCATTGGGTACAATTCGCTGGTCGCGTTGTACACCCAGATGTATTCCATGTAGAAACAGTGAACCTCGATAGAACCCAATACATGTACTCTCTAGCCTGCGTCAAAACCGCACTCTATACGTCATAGAGAGCAAGAGCGGAGCCCCCATTGCTTGCAAACCGCCATTCTACCCACGCGCATGCCGATAGGTGCCCTTGCGCTCAGTAAAGCCATTGTGCAGACAGCAAGCGGCGCTCGCCCTTTTTTTTTTTCGTTTCGTGCCCTCGTGCATCAACTCCCTCCCTAAAACAGCCCGGCCTGCACGGCGCAATTAGGCAGATAGGATACTAGACGGGGGATTGGCATGCTCTCGCACTTCATGCCCTGCCCTGGTCAAGTGCTGCTTCGAGAAGGGGAATAATCGAAGGAGGGCAGGACGTTCTCACACCGCCCCTGCCCTACAAACACACAGCACCCAGCACATGCGGCCCTTGTCCGAGCATCCAGTTTTTGGAGCATATAAATAGCATGCTGTGTTCAGCCTGTCCGCAGTGGAAACGGTACAACCTCTATTTCAGAACAACCCTTAGTCAAACGCTTCAGCACTAGATCTATTCAGCAATGGTCTCTCTTCCCCAGCTTCCGTTCAACCAGAGCCATCTCTTCATCAACAACGAGTGGGTTGAGTCGACCGGATCGGCCACCACCACTATCGAGAACCCCGACACTGGCGACATCATCGCCACGGTTCCCGCTGGCACCGCCGAGGATGTCTCGAGCGCCGTGGATGCCGCCTACGAGGCCTTCCACCACGGCCCCTGGGTCAACGAGTACACAGGAAGCCAGCGCCGCGACGCTATCAATGCCCTTGCGACGCTCATCGAGCAGAACCGCGAGGAAATCGAGCTGATCGAGTCCATTAACACTGGCAAGCCCATCACCGATGCCCGCCTCGAGATGGACGACGCCATCGACATCCTGCGCTTCTACGCCGGCTATGCCGACAAGGTCCACGGCCGCCACATCTCCCCGCAGGCAAACCCGACCTTTGAGGGATACACAGCCAAGGTGCCGGTCGGTGTGGTCGCCCATATCAACTCGTTCAACTACCCTGCCATGCTATGGGCATGGAAGGTTGCCCCTGCCCTGGCTGCTGGCTGCACTATCGTGTTCAAGCCCGGTCCCCAGACGCCGCTGACCACTTTGTACTTTGGCCATCTGATCAAGCAGACTGGCCTGTTCCCGCCTGGTGTCTACAATGTCGTGGTTGGTGGTGTTGATGTTGGCCAGGCACTGGTCGACAACGACAAGGTTGACAAGGTCGGGTTCACCGGCTCGGTGGCGACTGGCAAGCACGTCATCAAGTCAACAGCCTCGACGCGCGATGTGCGCAAGGTGTCGGTTGAGCTGGGTGGCAAGTCGCCTGTGGTTATCATGCCAGGACTTTGACCTGGACACTGCCGCCGAGACCGTCATTGCCGCTGTCACCTCCAACACAGGCATGAACTGCAACTGCGGATCGCGCGCCTGGATCCATCCGCGACATCTACGACCAGATGCTGCCCAAACTAAAGGCTGCTGCCGAGCGTATCGCGCTGGGCGTCCCGCAGGAGGAGTCTACGGTCATGGGCCCGCTGATCGACAGACGCCAGTTCGAGCGCGTCATGGACTACATCCGCATTGGCAAGGAGGAGGACAAGGCTGAGCTGCTGACGGGCGGCGAGCGCGCCTTTGACCACGGCCACTGGGTCCAGCCCACGGTGTTTGTCAACGTCGACCCCAAGGCCCGCATTGCCACCGAGGAGATCTTTGGCCCGGTGCTGTCGGTGCTCAAGCCCTTTGACACCCTCGATGAGGTCATTGAGATCGAGCGCAAGAACGACTTTGGTCTGGCCTGCGGCTATCTTCAGCCACAACCCGCGCGAGATCGCAAAGTTCACCCGTGCCTTGCGCAACGGCACAATCTGGGTCAATACCTACAACATCCTGTTTGCCTCGCTGCCCTTTGGTGGTTTCCGCAACTCGGGCTTTGGCCGCGAGCTGGGCGAGGAGTCCTTTGAGGGATACCTGGAGGTCAAGACTATCATCACCGATGTCACTGTCTAAGCACTAGGTGCCCTTCCCACCCATTTTCCATTTTTCTTTTCTCAATCAACCATTCTAATGTATTCAGCAACTACGATGCCTCCACATCGCGCTGGCTAATGCAACTACCAAACTCACCAGCACACAGAGATATGGCACTCGTATGTAATGCACGCAGTTTATGTAAAGTATGGTGGCCAAAGGACATGGGCTATGTAAAGATTTTTTAGATCTTGTGGTAGCCAGGCCGGGACAAACGGCATCTTGACAACCTTGGCGTTCTGGATGCGGTTGCGGACCTTGACCTTGAGCTCGGTGTCCTTCTTGTTGAAGCCCTTCTTGACGTAGGCCATGGCGATGTTCTTGCCCAGCGAGGGGGCAGGGACACCCGAGGTGATCTCGCCGATCTCCTCGCCCTCAACCGACAGGACCTTGGAGTGGCTGCGAGCCGGGGCACCCTCGACGATCAGGACCGACACGGCGACGCACGCCTGCCCTTCTTGGCGATCTGGTCCAGAATGACGTCGGAGCCAATGAAGCCGCCCTCGGCACGGCGACGCTTACCGACAGGTCCACACCAGGTTAGCCTCCATCGGGGTGGTGGTCGAGTCGATGTCGGAGCCGTACAGGCACAGACCAGCCTCGAGCCGCAGCGAGTCGCGGGCACCGAGGACCAGCGAGCTTGATCTCGGGGTTCTTCAGCAGCGCCTCGGTGATCGCAGGTGATCTCGCCTGTGGGGATCGACAGCTCGAAGCCGTCCTCGCCGGTGTAGCCCGAGCGCGCGACGTGGCACGGAACGCCGTTGAGCTCCAGGAACTGGCCCGTCATGAACGGCATCTGGCTCAGGCTGACGCCGGCAAGCTGCTCGAGCGCCTTCTGCGAGGCAGGGCCCTGCAGCGCAATCAGCGAGTGGTCCTCGATCTTCAGAACCTCGACGTCGGCGCCCTTGTCCTGGAAGATCTTGGCGTACTTCTGCAGGTGCGCCCAGTCCTTGTCGGCACAGCCGGCGTTGGACACGACGTACAGCGAGTCCTTCTGCTGGGTGATGATCGTGTCGTCCTCAATACCTCCGTTTTCGTTGGTGAACAGCGACAGGGTCGAGCCGCCGACAGGCAGCTCCTTCAGGTCCGCGACCACGAGGTGCTCCAGGAACTTGTGGCGGTCCTTACCAACAACACGAGTCTGCAGCATGTGCGACACATCGAAGATCGAGGCGTGCTTGCGGGTGTGCAGGTGCGAGTCCAGGGCGCCCTGGTCGGCGTACAGCAGGGGCATGTCCCAGCCAGCGAACGGGCCGAAGGTGGCGCCGTGCTTCTTGTGCAGATCGTACAGCGCACTGCGCTGGGTCGCGCCGGTGCTCATGAACCGCATGCCGGTGAGCCCGGTGGTGCGCTGGAAGACGCGGGTGACTAGTCGAGGCCATTGTGTGCTTGTATTGGTGGGAAAGAAATTGGGAGAGCGAAAAAGTGGGTGGCGACGACTACGACTAGTGTCAAGAGGAGAAACGGAGGAATGGAAACGAGTTGGATTTTTACTACCAGGCAGGCACAGGAGGCAGGCCGGCCGCCGCGCCTTTTATCTGCGATGGTCGCAGAGCCGGTGCGAATTCCCATCGCAATTTTGCACACGCTTATCTGGTAACTAACACCCCTTCCACCGTGTCATCTCTGGGGAAATTACCCGCGGCCGACCTTTTTTATATCGCGCTCTGCTCCTTGATCGTCCGCCACTGCTCCTCCAGCGTCGCCCAGGGCTTCTAGGTGCAGGTTCATATTTCGCCGCTGCTGCGACTACACCCTAACTCCACTCCCAACTAATAGCACAAAGAAAAAGCAATTTTTTGGGCAAGTACTGACGTGGTGAGAAAAGTAAAGCTAAAGGGAAACGCCGCTGCCTCGACGGGGAAGAGAAATAAAAGTGAGGGGGCTGGGGGAGAGTGCAGGTTGGTATCAGTTGTGTAGAGGCGTGCGCGAGGAAGAGACGTGCTGCTGCCAGGTAGATAATTAAGAGATGTGTGGAAGTACAGGTCTAGTATATGGATGACGGCAGTGCCAATTGGTATGTAATATGCGTGTAAGGTGGCATCATGTGGTCGTCAGTTCGTCTGCTGACACATCCAAATGCGCGTCTTGAAATGCTTGAACAGCTCGCGAACCAGCTCTCTAAAGTCCACGCGCCGATCGGCGGTGAAAGTAGAATGTCAGCTTGCGTCGGTCAAACTGGAACTCTGCGTCAACAACACGCATCGACAGGCGCCGCATCAGCACCTTGCTCTGGCACATCGCCAGCGCCTTCTGCTCGTCCATCGCCTTGTTCTCTTTGACATCGGCGATTTCGCGCTGGTCAGCCTCGCGGAAGATGCGCTTGATGTAAGATGTCTTTGACGCTCACTGGCTGCGCACCCACCGACAGCGACGGCACTGGCATAGCCGAGACGCGCGCCTCCTTGCCGCCTGTCCTGCAGCTGCTGGCTGGGGCTTGTGCTCTGGACTCGCTGCTGTGGCTGTCCATTCCGCTGTTGCCAACCGCCTGCTGCGATTGCTGCTGCCTGCTGGCCGATGAACTTCTTGACCTCGTCGAGCGTCGTCAGCTCCTCCTTGATCACGCCCAGATCAACAGCCGCGGTCAGCCTCGACCAGGACACATGTACCAGACTCCAGCTTGGTGCCGGGCTTGACAACGTCGCCGCTGCCCTTGGCTGGCTTGGCGGTTCCATCGGATGCAGATGCAGCGCTTGAGGCAGGGACGGGTATTGCTGATCCGCCAGTGGCAACCGGGAATATTTTGACCTCGATGTTGGCGCCAGCTGTAAAGTACAGGTCGCACCTCCTGCCTTTGAACTGCACAATGTAAATGCGTGCTTCCTTGGGCAGCGACTGGTACGCAATGCCTTTGCCCATGTCAGCAAACGGCATGTTGGGCGTGATCGTGGTTGCCGGGTTGGGCATCATCGTGTGCTGCGTTGTGCTAGAGCCGCCAGGCATAGAAGACGGCGGCACCGACATGCCACCAGGGGCAAAGCCAGCAGCCAGGTGGTTCAGCGCTGGGTGGCTGGCGCGACGCATATGCGGCGGTGGAGGGGTCGGCTGGGTGGTGTGCTGCTGAGCCGGTTGTGCCATCGGCTTCTGAGCCGACGCTGATTGCGGCATGGGCTGCGGCATCAAGGGCGCATTGCCGATAAAGCTTGGGCGAGGTAGTGCACCGGGCTGACCAGGCGTGGTTGCAGTGCTCCCAGCATTCGGCATGCGAGTCATAGGACATCGGGCCAGGGAACATCGAGCGCACACCCATCTGCTGCTGGAGCATAAGCTGGTGCATATGCTGTTGCTGCTGGAGCATTTGTTGCTGCTGTTGCTGCTGCTCCAGGGGTGACAGAGGTGCATTGGGGGCCGTGTTGAGCATAGTGTTCTGTCGTGAATGGCATCCCGCCACCACCAAGTGCAGACTGTGAGGCTTGCATTTGAGATCGGTAATGGCGGCACTGGCGGTCCAGGATTCATGCTGGCTGTCTGACCAAAGAACTGGTAGCGCTGGAAGTCGCTGGAGGCGTTTGCCATGAGCAACTGGGGACCACCGCCACAATTGGTACCGCCATCGGATGGTATTGATCCAGACCGCCCGTTCTCAAACCCTGTGCACGTAAACTGGCTGACCTCGGGTGCGGGATGGCGCCCAGACATGTGCAGTCCGGTGCTGGCCAGCGAGTGCCGGCGGTGGAGTACTGACATATTGAGCGGCTGGGCAGGAGTAGGTGGGTATACCGCTGTGGCCACGGGCTGGTCAAGGTAGCCGTTGATAGAACGACTGCCAAAGTTGTCCAAAGACGGGCGGCGCGTGTCAAGCGACGGGCGAACATGCATCTGCAAAAATGGCGTTGGGCCGGTGGCTGTGTTGTCAGGACCAGTGCTGCCTACCGCCTGTATGCCTGGTTGCTGCTTGCACGCCTCCGATATTGTGTCATGGCGCACTGGGGACACAGAAGTGTACGAATTGGCTGACAGGAGGCCTTGGTTTCCATATGACGATGCTGCGGACGGAGTCGGTGGCTGGAGTGGCGGCGGAAGCATGACCTTGCGTAGCAGCCTGAATCGCCGAGCCGCTCAGCAGCGCGGCCGTTGTCGCTGCAATGGTCAGCGTGTCGCCAGCAGCCAAATAGTGGTCTTCCTCACGCATCGAAGGCAGCTGTAGACTGTAGCCATTGATAGTGCTACCGCTATTCATTCTGCTATTGGCCGATTCGCTGGCATTCATGCCGGGCATCACAGGGACACCACCAATATTCCTACCCCCAGAGATGCCATGTGCATGGACGCCACCTTCACTCAAGGTGTCAACAATGCCGTTTGTCTGTAGATTGCCACCGCTGCCTGCTGGCTGCTGGCTGCTGCTGTCGGGCCCATCTGCACGACACCGCTGCCAAGCTGTCCAAACTGGTAAGATGAAAGGGCACGACGCGCACTGGATGAGTCGATGGAGTACTCGGACATACGGCGCACAGGAACAGCGCCCGACGAGGGTCCGCCGCTGGTGGAGGTGCTGGGAATGCCAAAGAGCCCCGCGCTACTTGCAGACGGGTGCAGCTGGTCGAGAGGTGAAATGAGCTGATTGTCCATGCTGGCGATCTGGTGGATATTTTGCATGGATATGGACAGTCCCAACGGGCTAATCGGGTTGCTGCCATCGACGCCAGCATTACTGCCAATGGCGCCTGCGCGGTGGTTGTCCCGGAGACTGTAAGAGCGGTGCAAGCCATGCCGCTGCTGCTTCTGTGACTGGGTCTGTTGCTGCTGCTGTTGGTGCTGGTGCTGCTGGTGCTGCGGAGGTTGTTGCTGGTGCTGGTGCTTGCGGAGGTTGCTGCTGCTGAGATAGCATGCCACTGTAGCCTGCAGATGGGGTTGGGCTCACGGGACCATTGATGCCTGCGCTGTCCAGCGAGGTCATAGTTGAAATGCGGCGAAGGGGATTGGGAGCAGCAAAAATATTGGGCAGGGTAGTGGAGCGACCACGTAAAATAGCCTCGTCAATCATTGCATACTCTAGCGTTCCACCAGCCAGCGCACTCTCTGGGGCAGCGCTACCGTCGGCAGTGCGCCTGTCGATGGCTAGTGAGTCGTACCTCTGGCCCAGCATATGTATATCAAGTTTGGCCGCAGCCGCAGCTATGGTGGGCTCTTGGTGCACAGCAGACCAAGCATCGATGCTGTCGAGCGGGGCCGACTGCTTTGACAAATCAGCAACCAGGTGCTGCATAGGCGGTGAGCTCATGACCGGTGTGACAGGCGATGACGCTGGGGACAGGGACGAGGTGCATGTGTCCTGGGACGTCTTCCGGGCACCATCGTACATCCGGGGCGATTTCTGCTGTTGCGAATTAGTTGGTTTGGCGGACACCCCGAGATCGGCGCGTTTAATGTTGCCAGCCAAAGACACGGACGACATGGAATTGGCCAGTGCGTGTACGGCCGATGCGGAGCCAGTAGATGTCGGGTGTTTGTTATTTGTGCGTTGGTTGCGAGTATGCATGCGGACGCAAGGAAAACAATAGAGGGGGAAATAGAGAAAAGGAACGCGCGAGTGGTGGATGGAAGCAAACGTTTAGAAGAGAAAGAAAATATATAATTGAGACCGGGGCCGTGTACGTTTCGTATATACAAGCGAATGGAGCGAGGGCGAAAAAGGTCGAAAGGAGAAAGAAATCAAGGTATGTTTAGTAAGGTTAGATGCTGGTAGGCGGTACCTGCGTGTACTGCAAAACAGGCGCACACGCGCTGCTGCTGGTATAAGGTAGGAAGAAAAAAATCTGGCGGTCAGAGTTTCTGAGATGAGGAGACAAGAGCGCTGCAGGTTGCCAGATTTGCTGCTGCTGCTGCTGCCAGTAGGAAAAAGGCGCCAACAAGAAGCTCCAGCGGTGGTGTCAGCCTGAGCTTCAGAGGTGGGCCGGTGGTGGGAGTGCGGGTTTGCAAGCCAAAAAGTTCGGCAGGCGTTGGCACATGCACAACAAAAGGATGCACACAGAAAGGGGATCCAGAGAGGAGCGTGTATGCGTGGCAGCAAGAAAAAGAACGACGGCAGAGGATTGTTGGTAATAATAGAGAGTAAATGGATTGTTTTTTGTCGAAAAGTGCTGCAAAGCGAAGGCAAAAGGCGAATGTGCAGCTGGTGGTGGGCCCGATTTATTTTTGTGGAAATTTTTGTGGTCAGAGGGTTGTGTTGTTTTGGCGCTGGATAAATTCCAGGTACTCGGAGCTTTTTTGCGCGAGTGTCGAGTGGCCCAGAGGGAACAAGGCTGCGAGGGAGAATAATAAATAATAGGGAGGCTGCTGGGCCAAAAAAGCTGGATGCAGTAGCAAGGAAGCGCGCGTCGCAAGCCAGAGCCGGTCTATACTCTTTTGCACTCTGGCTGGCACGAGGAATGGGGGAGGGGTATATGGTGTGGTGGGTGGGTCGCTTCTAGATGAAAACAAGAATCTGTCGAATGGACGAGTGCTCGCTATGTGAGCTGGGTGGTGGCCGATACAGAAGTGCAGTAGGTTCTGCTTGCGCCAATAAGTAGTGGCAAGAAGTAAATGCAAGAGCTGATGCGGACCAGAAAGAGGGGGCGAGTAAAATAGCAACGAGGAAAGGGAGGTAGAAACAGCAAGACATCCCCTCTGCTCGCAGCCAAGAGCTGCTCGGCCTTTTGGCCGATGCACATTGTAGGTGGGCAGCCGACGAAGAAGCCCCCCCTTTCAATGCAAGAAAAAAGCTAAGGATTTTTGCTAATGCTCGAGTGTTTCCTAGTGCAGCGAGAGAGGAAATGGGGAGGGCTGTTTGGCGAGTGACGCTAAAGCTGCATTTTGCCAGCCTGCTTTTGTTGCCTCCTCGGCAGCCAAGGCCGCGGCAGGGAAGGGAAAGGCGATTTGCACTGGTGTTGAGGGCAGGTCGGACTCTGGCCAGCAGCAATATGAACAGTGTGGCAAAGCGAATGGCAGCCAGGCAGGGGGCAAAATCAGGTTAAATCGACTCCCGACGAGAGCGTGGAAGCGAAGAGAAGCCCGGAGGCGCGATCAGCAGGCAAGCGGGCAAGCAGGAAGCAAGCATGATGCGCCAAAGCAACATGGGGGTCTGGGATGTGGATCTTTGCATACAAGCGGGAACACACGCTGCTCATGTGCTTCCTATTCCTTCCCCTGTGGTTTTTGTCCATCACCGTGCCCAATCCAGGACACATATGCATGAGGGTGCTAGCATGGCCTGCCTGTCGAGGGAAAAAGAGGTGTGCATCGGCAATGTGCAAGTAGGCCCAAGGCCGGAGCAGCATATCCGCGCTGGGCCTAGCGAACAATTCCCCCAGCGGTGGCATAGCCTCTGGGCAAAGAGCAGGCGGAGTGGTGGTCATTTGAGTCACTGGCGCACTTTGGCGCACTTCGCCTCACTGGCCATTGTGCAGCACAGCACGGCCATGCCCAAAAGGGGCAGCCTGTGTTATTACAAAGTAGTTTGCCTATTGGGCGAAGGCGCCCACTGGTGTAAAGTCCGTCGCAGTCGACTGACCACAGAGAGGGGCAAAAGAGGGGGAGGTTGATGCAAGGCGCCAAGGCTCAGGGCAAATCTGCATTGGTGGATAGACAGCGAATATTTTTTGTCCATTGCGATGACGACGACGCTCCAAATATCAGAAAGCAAGCGCGCTGGAAAGGATTTGCAGGCTGTTTGGACGCTTTTGGCAACAAGAACGCATGTGACAGCGCGCTCTTGGAACAAGGAGCATATAATTCCCGCCAGGCAGCAAAAAGAAAGGACCACCACGGCTGTCTCGACAGCAGCGCCAGCAGCAGCAGCCATAGAGGCGCCGGCTCTAAACAAGGGCGGTAGATAGAGCCGCTCACATTGGGACAGACACTGGCGCAATGGAAAATATGCTGAGGCAGCATGTGGTAACGGGGTGAATCGGGTTGCTGCAGTCACATTGTCGGAAAAGAATGCAATGTGCCAGGGGCATTGGGCTGGGAGGTAACTCGCCAAGGACCAGCAGCAGCGGTAGCAACAACAAAATACAAAGAAAGGGCAATAGAGGTGGCGCAGCAGCAGAATATGCAAATAGCACAAAATCTGTCGGTACTTACCAAGGGCGATGCTGTTTGAGAGACCACACAGCGACTGGTACTGCGCCAGATCGGAAACGTGTCCTTGGAACCCGAGGTGTCCTAGCATGCAGCGAAACCATAGAGATCAGCAATGGCAGTCCCAGAAGAAGGGCGTTTCACAGATCCATTGCAGGGAAGGAAGCACAGGCCAATCCCTACCTTTATCCACGATAGCATAGAAGGGCGAAATGGAGCAGTCGGGACTGAGCAGAGATGTTGATGTCGGCACCAAGCACAAAGGCTGAAAAAGCAATAGCTGTAGTGTGGAATCAGTGGGTGTGCGTCCAGATTTTTCTGCGAAAGAGCAGATATTGGTGTGCGATATGTAAAGGAGGGAGAGAAGAAGTGGATCAGAGCAGCTCGCGTGCGCAATGTGCCCATCCCAGAAAAGGCGAGTTTTTACTTTTTCTGCTCACGCGCATTCACTCAGCCAGTCCGGGGGGAGTTGCGGAGAAGATGGGGCTAGTCGCTGGGAGCAAAGTAGACAGCAAATGCGGCTGTTCATTGATAGTCGCCGTCATCGGATAGAAAATTCCTAGTGCAAAAAAGCTGTAGGCGGTGGAACCTCAAACTGGAACAAGACATTAGGCAGAGAGCAAGGGGAGAGGCTGTTCCTTATTTCTCCCCACAGGCAAAGAATAAAACTAGCCGGCCGGCAGCTGCTACTGGTGGGTATATGTGCGGGCCAGTGGACACTGGACATCACAAGAGCAGCAGCAGCAGCACTCCACAATCTTCTCCACAAGGAAACCACACAGAGTGCTACTGGCTATCTGTACCTGGCAATGTCTCATATCGTGACCAACGGCTGCAGTAGGATCAGCAACCAGTATCCATATCGGCAATATGGCGGTCGCTAACACTGACACACGACACTGTTCAAGATATTTCGGCAGTCCAAAATCCATGGCTTCATTTCCACTCGAAAGAGAGCAACAACTAAACAAGAGCATTGGATACCGGGTGGGGTCAGGGGGTGCAGACGGGTGCTTAGGCCTCCTCGACCAGGTCCTTCTTGAGGGTACCCATGAAAGCCTTCTTCTCCTCCTTGGTCTGGAAGCGACCGTGGCCGAACTTGGAGGAGGTATCGATGAACTTGAGGCTGACGTTCTCCAGAGCCGAGCGCTTGGTGTGGACGCGCAGCGACTTGCGGAGGGTCAGGACGCGCTTCTTGACACCGACGCACGAGCCCTTGATGATGACAAAGTCCTCGTTGACCTCACCGTAGTGGGGGAAGCCACCAAGAGGAGTGATGCGCTTGGCGGTCAGATCGAACTCGGTCGAGGCGTTGGCCTTGTCCTCGCCGCTGCCAATGCGGTAGATCTTCTTGTTGGCCTCAGTACGGTGGTGGTAACCGTTCTGACCGGCGACGCGCCACGGAGTACATGACACGCGACGGATGCCAGGCACCGATACAGGCGACCTTGCGCAGACCCTTGTGGGTCTTGCGGGGAAGCTTCTTGGTACCCCAGCGGGCAGTGACACCCTCGAATCCGTGACCCTTGGTGACACCGATGACGTCGATCATCTCGTCCTTCTCGAAGACGTCGCCAACGGAGACGGTCTTCTCGAAGTGCTCGCGAGCCCAGTCGACCTTGTCGGCGATCGAGCCACCGTTGACCTGGATCTCCATGATGTGGGCCTTCTTCTGGCCGAGGTGCACCTTGGACATCTGGGTGTGGGCGATGACACGGACGCTCGACGCGTACTTCTTGATGCGCTCGAGGTCGCGGGCGATCTCCTTGCCGTTGTCAGCAGAGTACTTGCTGGCGTACTTGGTGAAAGCCTTGCGCTTGGAGCGGTACCAGTTCTTGTAGAAGCGGCGCTTGACCTCGTCCGAAAGGTGCTCGGCCCAGACGGTGGTGAGGGCACGCTGGCCACGCGGGGTCTGGATGTAGCCGACAACACCGACGACAACCATGGCGGGAGCCTCGATGACGGTAACGGCCTCGACGATCTCCTTCTTGTGCACCTTGGATCCAGGGCGGTCCAGGTCGCGCACGACGTGGGTCATACCAGCCTTGTACGCCAGGAAGGCGGTCAGGTGGGGCGCGTTGGCAGCGTTGTCCTTGGGGAACGACTTGCAGCGACCGCGGTGGCGGGCAGCGCGCTTGCGCGGGAGGAAGGCCAGAGATCCGTGGCGGGGTTGCTCGAACTTGCAGTGCGACTACATTTTCCAAATTTCACAGAGAATTGCAGTTATGCAGATTAGCCATATGTCCGGTTTGCTGCTGCGGTTTGCGCGCATCCATCAGAAATCAGCCCGGACGGCTTAACGCCCCCGTCGCATCCAACGTTCTGGACATCGGTTCCGTACCATCGTTTATCTTCTTGCAAAAAGGAGAATTCGAAAAAAAGAGAAGGTTCAGGCGCTACGCGGCAGCTTTCCGAGTTGCTTTATTGTCCAGCTCTCAGAATCGCTGGGCATTGAAAATAGGAAAAAAAGCTGGGTTTTAGGCTGCCGCTGATTCGCTGATACTGCGCCGGTGATTGGCCTGCCATCCTGGCTGATCGATCAGGGGCGGCTGGCGGCTGTGTCCCCAAGACCCGCGCACAACACGCCAAGCGCGGCAGCACTATTTTCCACCATTTCCCTACACCCGCAATTCTGTAAAACTATCATGGTACGTTTGTTTGACCTGTGCAGATGAGCAGGTGGCACTGCCCGAGCCCGCGTGCTGCCGGACTGCAGCGCTAACCGAACCACGTCCGCCCTATGTAGTCGAGCTCCCAAGGAATCCACACGCTGCTTGAGGCCGAGAAGGAGGCGTCGAAGATTGTCTCCCAGGCGCGCGAGTGTAAGTGCTGAATTTCGCAACAAGCGGTGAACGCACGCAGCGCCTGGCTGTCTAAAGACCCCATTTTCTGTTGTAGACCGTGTCAAGAGGCTGAAGGACGCACGCACCGAGGCGGCCAAGGACATCGCCGAGCTGCAGGCGCGCAAGAACGCCGAGCTGGCCGAGATCCAGAAGCAGCACACCGACCAGTCGGCGCTCGAGGCCAAGATCCAGCAGGAAACCAACCAGAAGCTGGAGGCGGTCCGCCAGCAGTTCGAGAAGAACAAGGCCGAGGCGGTTAGCAAGCTTGTCGAGGCTGTTTCTACTGTCGAGGCGTGAGCAGAACGCGCTTAATAAATAGCCCGCCGCAATCAATCATCATCCGCCCAATTTCCACGCCCGATGGCAGCTCGGCAGGCGCAGGCAAGCGTGCTGTGCGCATTCCAGAGTGAAATGATTACGCGATGAATTTCTGGAATTGACCTTGGGTTCGTCACCGATAATTCCGGGTTGTGCAAACCCGACCCCCAAATAAAATAAAATTTTTTTCTCAGCGCACCACACGTCAGAAAGCCTCCCGCAGATTTCCGTCCGTTTAAATAGCCTGCGTCCCTCCCTCCGTGCAATCTTGCTTTCCCGGTCGCGCAATCGTTTTGTTCCAACTCTGCTTTCTTTTTTCTCTTTCCCCCTTTCCACCAGTTTTTCACCGCTTCCGAGCAGCTCCCTTATTTCTCTCCCCCACCTTTATCTTGCAGGATATTTTTGTCCTGCTAGTGTTAGAGATTTTAAATTGAGCCAACCCAATTAGCACGGCTCATCTTTTTTTATTATTTTTGTCCCCCTCGCAATCGGCTCCTCGTCCACCGAGTTCTTGCGCACGCGCTCGCACACACCTGGAACTCCTTGTTCAGACTAGTGGGAACAAAGGTACGCGTGGAATAGCCACCACACTGTCGCGTTAAACTCAGCAGCGCCCCTCCTGCGAAATTGGCCAGATTTGCCCTTGCTAATTTTTAGATTCGTTTCTCGCCCATTTTATACTCTGACGCGTTAGATTGGCTTCGGCAGACACTTTTATCACCCTGAATGCAGGCGCACCACCAGCAGTCGCAGCGCCCTATGACGCCCAGTCAGATTAGACCGCCGCATCAGCAAATGAACGCGTCAATGGTGCCTCCGGGAATGCACATGTCGGGACAGATGGGACCCCAGCCAAACATGAACGGCCAGCCGGGCGGCCCAATGCAGCAGGGTATGCCTCCACAGGGCCAGCAACCGCCTCCCCAGCGGCAGCAGATGCCCCCGCCGCAACAGCAGCAGCACTTGCCCCAGCAGGCTCCTCCTCCTCCGCACGGCGGTCCTCAGGGACCTATGCCTCCGCACCAGCAGCAGCCGCCGCAACAGCCAGCAGCCCCAGGGGCCTCCCGCAACAGCAGCAGCCTCAGCCGCAACAACAGCCGCCGCCGCCGCCAGCGCAGCAGCAGCAACAACAACCGCTCACTGCGACCCAGCGTCTCAGCGCTATCAACGAAAAATCTTGGCTGCAGATGGGTAAGTACGCAGCGGCTTTATTATCCGTACCCCTGGGTTGATGACCTGCATTTTTGTGACTACTATCGTCGTGTTTATATCCCGTGCACGTTTGTCGAACCATTGGAAGAGTCCTTTTCTACTAATTGCCATTACTGCGCTCCGTGACGTCCTCCATCACGTCCTCCCTCTTTTCTCGAGCCGATAGGTAACCTTGCCGAGTACCTCAACGACACCGACCGCGCGATGGCGTCCTACGAGAATGCTTTGCGCCACAACCCGTACTCGCAGACCGCGCTGACGCAAATCGCAAATATCTATCCGCAGCAACGAGGACTTTGCCAAGGCTGTCGAGTACTTCCACCGTATCGTGAACCTGGACGGGTCGAATGGCGAAATCTGGGGCGCTATCGGCAACTGCTACCTGATGCTCGACGAGCTGCCAAAGGCGTACCAGGCGTACCAGCAGGCAATCTATCACCTGCCCGACCCGAAGGAGCCAAAGCTCTGGTACGGCATCGGCATCCTGTATGACCGGTACGGCTCGTATGACCACGCCGAGGAAGCCTTCGGCGCTGTCATGCGTATGGATCCGCACTTTGACAAGGCGACGGAGATCTATTTCCGCCTGGGCATCATACACAAGTGCCAGGGGCGCTACGAGCAGAGTCTGCAGTGCTTCAACTTCATCCTCAAGGACCCGCCCAAGCCGCTGACCGAGATAGACATCTGGTTCCAGATCGGCAATGTGTATGAGCTGCAGAAGGACTACGCGCATGCACGCGACGCGTACGAGCGCGTGCTGCAGGAGAACCCCGAGCACGGCAGGGTGCTGCAGCAGCTGGGCGCACTGTTCTTCCAGCCAAACACCAACTTGACCAACGTTGATGCGGCTATCCAGCTCCTCTCGCGCGCCATCGAGATCGACAAGGACAAGGTCGAGGCCCACACGTGGTACCTTCTCGGTCGGTGTTACATGGCACAGCGTCTGTACAACAAGGCCTACGAGGCGTACCAGCAGGCAGTCTACCGGGATGGCAACAATGCGACGTACTGGTGTTCGATTGGTGTTCTGTACTACCAGATAAACCAGTACCGCGACGCGCTCGATGCCTACAGCCGTGCAATTCGCATCAACCCGTATCTCAGCGAGGTCTGGTTTGACCTTGGCGCTCTCTACGAAGCGTGCAACAACCAGGTCAACGATGCCTATTGACGCGTACACGCGTGCTGCCGAGCTCGACCGCACCAACTCGATCATCGAGCAGCGCCTTGATGTCCTGCGCCGCATGCAGGCTGGTCAGCCGGTGCCCACTGGTGCCAGCCAAGGCCCGGCGCCTATCGATCCCCCGACTGGCCCGACAACTGCCGGACAGCCCAATGCTCCCGGTGGCCCAGCTGGCGAGTCTGGACCGCACGGCAGCGTTCCCGGCAGTCTCGGAGCACCGCCTATGGCCGGTCCGGCAGGCAGCGGCGTGCCTCAGCCTCCTGAGCAGCATATGCGCCATCCCAGCGAGCCGCAGCGTGGTGGCCCGCCGCCTCCGGGAATGCAGCAGCAGCATCCGGGCCAGGGTAGTATGCAGGCCCATGCATCAGCAGCAACCTCAGCAGCAGCAACAAAAGATGCCGCCCCAACACCAGCAGGGCGGCGCCCCTATGCCTAGCGGGCGCCCCGGCTATATTGATGAGGGACCTGGCTCCGCCACCCCATATGGTAATCGCTATGACGGTCCTCCCAGGTCTGAGGTTGCTGCCAGTGGTGGCGCACCGGTTCCTTCGCCGCACTATTCTATGCAGCAAGGGCTCGCAGGCGGGGGCTGGGCCGTACCAGCCCGCGTCAGCGCCATACACCAGTGCGCCCTATTCCCAGCCTCCCACCTCGCGGCCATACTCGGCCTCTAGCCAGCCTCCGTCTGCCGGTGTGTATGGACCCCAGCCGCAGCAGCAGGGTGGGCCCTACCGCCCTGGCGATGAGCGGCGTGGTTCCTCGCGTACCGGATCCCCGATGGTGACACAGCAGCAGCAGCAGCAGCAGCAATACCAGCGTCCAGCAGCCGCCCCAGCAGGTCACGTCGTCTACTGAGCCAACTCCGACGTCTGGTACATTTCATTCCGGGCCAGTGAACGGCTATGCCCCGTACCCGGGTCAGCCAGCCCTCTCTGATACTCGGCGACACAGCCGCAGCCCGTCGCAGCCGCAAAATGCGGGGTACCGGCAGCAGCACAGGCAGACTGACGAGAAGCCATCCATCTATGGAAACCGGTTCCCTGAAAACACCAGCATGCCGCCACCCACCAGCCTCCCGCCCTTCAGCCAGGACGTGCCCCGCAGCGAGCTGCGGACTCCGGTCGGCACCACTGACAGAAGCGGCGACGCTCAGCCGACTGATGCGCCTGTCCACAAGCCTGCCAGCCCTAAAAAGGCGTCGCCATCAAAGTCGCCATTGTCTGCTGATGCATCTGCGCCCCAGTCGTCAAGCGAGATCGCATCGGCATCGATGTCGGCTGCTCCAATCAGCCTGCCGCAGGTTGCAATGCCGACCCCGACATCGGCCAGCACCAGCTCTGATGGACATGGAAATGCGCTGTCTGGCCCCACAGCCGCCCCCATTCGGCTGCCGCCGGTCCAGTTTGGTGGAAGCGGAAATTTTAGCAGCCCCAGCAACCGGTCTCCGCTCAACTCTGTGAGCAGCGCGAGCCAGCAGCCAGCGACAGACGATGCGTTGAAGGGCGGTTCTGGGCCGCTCAGTCTCGCCTCGGCGATGTCGGCCGACGATGATCACGAGGGCTCGGCGATCAACTCGCTTATGAGCCTAAGCAACGTTGCTACGACGATGACATCGCGGCCGCAGAGCACGCCGGCCCAGCAAGGCTCTGTGTCTCCCCGCCCCCAGGATGCTGTCTCTGTCGGCCCGAGCGCTGGCGCAATGGAGCACCCTGTCGACACAGCTGGACTCCAAGGCGCGGGAAGGCCTGGCAATTACCACCGAGATCCCTACCGCTGAGTCCAACGCCAACGGCACTGGCCCAGCCCCGGCACCTGGAGAGGATGCCGTGCCTTCTGGCGCAGCAGCTCCTGCAGCCGAGATCAACGGCCGCCGGTCAATCAGCTCTGCTCACACCGCATCGCCGCCGCCGTCTGCCAAGGCAGCTACAGCCGCGGTGGGCGATTTGCAGCATGACCCGGTGTCTGTTGTGCCTGCCAAGCGGCCGCTGTCCCCTGGTGCAGAGCAGGTTTCTGACGCAGATGCGAATGGGTCAAAGTCGAACTCAGATGACGGCGCCGACAGCAACGGTGCATCGGTAGCGGGGCATACCGCCGGTATGGATGATGGCGTGCCAAAGGGCAGCGCCGATGCCAGTGGTCCCCGGAAACGTGGACGTGCGAGCATGTCGCCGGCTGCAGACGATGCGGTTCGGTCACTGTCGTCTGACGCAGCACCGAGCCAGGGTCTCGGCTCTAACGCCAGCTCCAAGACACCTACGGTGGGGTCGGCACCGGTGGCCGCCGCGCAGGTGCCGCAGAGAGACGTGGAGATGGAGGAGGGCGAAGAGCCTGAGGACGGTGAGGTGTTTGAGGACGACGAGATTGCACCAGCATCAAACGAGAAGCCGCGCAAGAGCGAGGATGTCGTGATGGGCTCTGGAAAGATCAAGCACGACTAGGTCGGTACTATTTTGTTTAATGCGCTGTCTTTATAAAAGTTTCAGTTAAAAATCAATACTTTCGCATATTAGTTGCCATCGACATCGGCCGGGGTGCGTCTCCGCCGGACCGTGTTGCCGAGCTTGTCGGTCTCGATAATGAAGTCGCTGTCGCTCTCGTCGTCGCCGTCGCCACTGTCGGCGGTCTCCTTGCCCTTGGTGCTTGGCTCACCCTCGTCTTCCTCGCTGCCGGCTTCGTCGCCTGAATAGACAAATTCTTCGTCGCTGACATCCTCGTGGCTGTCGTAGTAGTCGCTGCGTGTCTCGCCCTCATTTTGGTTGGCACCAACATCTTCCTGGTACTTCTCAAGCTGGGCCTGGTCCTTTTTTGTGAACCCGCTTGCAGCGACCTGGACATCGAGATTAAAGTCCTTGTCGGCGTCAAGGCGGAACTTTGGGTAAAGCACGCTCTCGTAGTTGAAGCGGCGCTTGAAGAAGGTGCGGATGCAGTCGACGTCGCGGTTAAAGTAGTACTCTGCATTCGGGTGCGACGTGGAGACCATCTGGGGGAAGTCGATCAGGACGGGCTCGCCGTTCTCCTGCAGCAGGATATTGAACTCGTTGAAATCGCCGTGGATCAGGCCGTGCTTGGCCAGGCGCACGATCAGGTCCATCAGGGTCGAGTACAGCTTGCCGGGCTCGCCGACCTCGGTGATCTGGCGCAGCGGGAACGCGTCGACGAGGCCCATGACGACAACGTGCCTGTTCTGGTCGATGGGCTTGGGCACGGGGAACCCGTGCTCGTACAGCACCTTCATGAACGCAAACTCCTTCATGGCCGACAGCCGCGACATGTACATCCACGAGGGCGACTGGTCCTGGCGGAAGTAGTCGCGCTTGTTTTTGACGTTCCTGAATGACTGGCGCCCGAGCCGATGGACCTTGAGCACCACCTGCTCCTCGTCCTCGCCGGCGACGACGAAAATGTCAGACTCCTTGCCCACGCCAATCTGGTTGCCGACCGAGGTCACCGTGCCGCGCTTGCTGAGCGTCTTCAGCGCCAGGTAGTCGTAGCCGGCGTAGATCAGCTTGTATCCGACATATTTGGAATTGGTCTCGCTGGCGATCAGCTTGCGCTTGATCAGGTCGCCGATGTACCGGTTGACGCCGCCGCCGCGGATGTGCGAGAGCTGCGCGATAAGCGGGGCGGGCACAATGTCGTGGTTGCGTGAGCCGACCTCGATCGCTGTCAGAACGCGGAAGTCGTCGCTGCTCATGTACCGCAGGGCCTTTGCGTCGAGTCTCATTTTGAATATTGGCGAAAATAAAAACGGGGTTGTTGCTGAAGCAGAGAAGAGGGTTGGTAGTGCAGAAAAACTAACTGGTGGAAAAATCAGACTTTAGCGGTAATTAGGTGATCACGATCTGCGTGATTTCCAGGTGCTGGAGATGGCGTGCATTGGCAGGGCTGCCCTTGTGGCTCGAGGCAGACTGCTGCTTGTGAGGAAATGAGGGCGGGTATGAGGCCATTGGGCGCCATGCGGTCTGGCCACATCATGTTCCAATATGCTGCACTGCATCTTGCCTGGGTTTGCCGGAGTTCTGGCAGGCGGGGTGGAAATCGGGCTGCTGTCCTTTATGGCGATGTTGCGAGCAATGCTGGTTCTTTTGCTGTGTGCTTTTGCCAGCAGCAGGCCATCCACGAGCATGTACGAAGCGGCATCTGCACGACATGGGCACTATTCCAAGCACCACTCGTCAGGCGCAAGCAGCTGTCAGAAAACAAGCAGCAGTGGTTCCTCGGAGATCATTCCTGATACCGCCTGCGTATCTCTACATGTGCAGGCAATCTTGCTTCATCGCCCGCCATTTTTTTGGTCTGGCAGGAGCTGCGACGAGCAGCCAAATCTTGGCTATTTTCAGCTATTGTCGTGCGCCTCTCCTGTCCCCGCTATCTTGGAACAGATCTCTGGCGACCTGGCGACTCCCGGATATTGCGCACGATAAAGGGCCATTGACTTTTTGTGCTCAGACCAAACCTGGTAGCCGAAAGCGGCAGGAGATGTGCATGTTCTTCTTGCTCCCACCATGCAAGTGCATATGGGCAGCTCTTGATGCGCCCAGAAGAAAGAAGTTTCCGAGCCTAGAGCCAAAAAAGCAATTTCTTCCCCCTCTCCTTTAAACACGCAAAGTGGGTCACAGGCAGGCTATATTTTTCCGTTCCTCTTTTCCATTCCCACTGGGGCTATTTTATCTCTTTACCGGTTTTTGCGTGCAAAAGCACACCGAGTTTGTAGTTTCGAATTCCTGTACATTAGTCTGTTTCAAATGTCAAGCGAGGCTGGCGGAGGCATGCCGAGCAGCGTCCAGCAACCACAGCAGGTGCAGGATGCAGGCCGCAAAAAGAAGTCGGGCAACCGCACCAAACGACAAAAGGTTTCCAAAGGTAAGAAGGCGCGGGTGAAGGGGCCTCTCACGTGGGTCTTGTTCATGAACAACACGGGACAATATTTGTAAGCAGTATTGAGGGAGAGGAGGGATGGCGTGAGCCCCTGCAACAGGCTTGGAGCGCCTGTGGAGCGAAGCATTCTTGACTGATATCGAGACATCGGCTACTTGCTGTGTAGCATGTGTGTTTTGCCAGCGATCGCACATGTCGTGCGATGATGAAAGGCCCTGCCAGCGATGTATCAAGCGAAACATTGCCCATCTGTGCCGCGATAAGGACCCCTCGACCGACAGCTTGCCCGGCGAGACCAAGAAGCAAAAGCCCACGCAGCCGGCATCGGAATCTACGGCGGACAGGCGAGATGGCGATGGTTTCGATAGCACCAGCCAACAGCGCGCCAGTGGTGGCAGCGGCAGCGGAGGGCAGTCACGAGGCAGAAGGCGGCAGCAGGCTCAGGCACCATCGATGGCAGTGCAGGGCGGGCCATCAGTCACGCCAATGGCTGTGCCGTACCCCAGCGACAGATCTGCTAGTCTTCCGGGGATCGGCATGGCGCATGGGCTGCTGGGCGACGTGGAAGGCACGCCAGTGCTGGGCCCCAGGGGGTTTGCGGGCAGCAGAAACGGCGTGCTGAGCGCGTTTACAGCAGCATCGCAGGGCGCGGCTGGCGTGGCTCCGTCGACGGAAGGCGGGCGCAGCGCTGCGGCGAAATAACATGAAGATCTACGACAACCCTTTGATGCTGTTCGGGAACGATGTGGCCAGCAATGAGTTCACCGCAATTAACGAGTTCCTGAACAGCCTGCAGCGAGGCGTCCGCGGTCCGGATATCCTGGCGGGCGATCGGCGCAGCAGCCAACAGGCCAGCGTGTCGCCGATTGCGCATCCAAGCAATCAGAACATGGGCTCGCCATTGGTCGACTCGTTCCAACCAATGCTGCCGCCGGCCAGCTCGGCACAGCAACACCAGCCAGTAATGGCAATACCACATACCAACGGCCTGAACGGCATGCAGCTGAATCAGACGCAGCAGGCGCCGCCGATGGCAGCAGTGCAGCATGCGCAGTCGGCTCCGCCAGTGCGCCAGGGCGCGGATGCATAGCCTGCCGACGATCTCGCAGCTGATCAACAGCTCGGGCGAGAACGTGACACAGACCGAGCGGTTTCTTCCTGACGGCGGCAGATCCGAACGACGGTACATCCGAGGACAAGCTGCGGCAGATCATCAACGCAAAGTATGAGGCCGGGTTCCTGAAGCCATACAACTACGTGAGCGGATACACGCGGATGCAGCGGTTCATGGAGACGCACATGAACCGACACAACATCATCCGCATACTGGAGGTGCTGAACACGTTCCGCCCGACGTTCCGTACGATCGCGCAGTCGCTGACAGACATCGACCTGCTGCTGGTGGAGGAGGGCTTCGAGCGGCTGCTGCTGGACTACGACAATGTGTTTAATTCGTTTGGGGTGCCGGCGTGCCTGTGGCGGCGTACCGGCGAGATTTACAAGGCGAACGGTGAGTTTGCCGACCTGGTGGGCGTGCCGCTGTCGTATTTCCACGAGGGCAAGGTGTGCATCTACGAGCTGATGACGGAGAGCTCGACGGTCAACTACTGGGAGAAGTACGGCGAGATTGCGTTTGACGCGACCCAGAAGGCCGTCCTGACGTCGTGTATGCTGCAGACGGCTGCATCGGTGCGCTCGATGGTTCACAATAACCCGGAGCCTGCGCTCGGCGACATGCGGTCGGCGCGGGCGAACGCGGCGAGGAATGTCGGTGTGGGCGACGAGCCGACGCTGCCGGGCAAACTGATCCACTGCTGCTTCTCGTTCACGCTGAGGAGGGACAAGTACAAGATCCCGCTAGCTATTGCCGGCAACTTTATGCCTGTGCAGCCTCAGAAATGAAACAAGAAGGAAAAAAAGCAGCACCCGTTCTATATATGACACTGGTTTGTCGATTTTAATTACACATAATGTCTCGTGCCTGCTTTAAGCATTTGGAGGTTTGCATGGGGCTCCAGTACCCTTTGGAAGGCGTTATGCCAGCCACGTGATTTGCCGCCACAGCTAGTACGCGTAGTTTTTGGTTCCAGCTGCTTCCGGGGCTCTCTCATCTTGATTTCCATTTGAGCAAACAAACACTTGGCGCTATAATTCCGTAATGTCTGACTTTGCGCAACTTGTCATTCTCAGCTTCCTGACCAGCGCGGCGTCCGAGGCAATCTCGTACTTTGTGGTGTACCGGACGGAGCGGTTCCAGCAGCTGAAGCAGAAGCTGATAGCAAATGAGGCGAAGCTTGCCGAGGAGCAGAGCGCGACGGCGGGGAATTCGAACAAGCGGCAGAAGCGGATCGAGAACCTGGAGGCCGGGCTGAAGGCGACGCGGCGGGACGCGCAGGGGCTGCAGATCCGCAACACGCTGATAGTGGCGGTGATACAGGTGGTGGTTATCTACCAGGTGAACTCGATGTTTGGCGGCCGGTCGGTGGCCACGCTGCCGTTCGAGCCGATCAGCGTGTTCCGCAGCCTGACGCACCGCGGACTGCCCGACGACAGCCCGGCGACCGACTGCTCGGCGACGTTTGTGTTTATTCTGGGCGGCCTGGCATTCAAGGCGGTGCTGGACCGGGTCCTGCAGCTGGGCATGCCCAAGGGCAACCAGCTGCCAAAGTGGGTGACGAACCCGGAGGAGATTGTTGGCATGAAGTAAAGCAGCAGGTTTTAATAGAAATGTACGGTGAAGGGAGAGAAAAGGCAAGGTGAATGTGGTTCTTTTTTCACAGCAGATCGCGCTTGCGAGATGTCCGCTGGTATGTCCGCAGAACCCATTCCTTGTCGGCATCAGGCATGTCGACGGTGCCAAGACGGATTTCGTACGGGCGCATCTCGAAGCGCGGGCCAACCTCCGCCAGCTGCACCTCGTTGTGTGCGACCTTTGCGTAGACGTGGTGGCGGAACGAGATAAAGTCGCTGTCGTTGTAGAACGTCATGACGCGCTTCGAGTCGACCTTTGGCACCGGGAACAGGTACTTGAGCACGCTCCTGATACGGCTGCCGAGGGCCGAGTTGAAGTTCTCAAAGATCAAATGCGGGTAGGCCTCGGAGATGTTGCCCTGGTCCTTGATATCGTGTCTCAGCACGACATTGTACAGGGTGAAGTGCACGGTGGGGCCGTAGGGGAAGTGGCTGATGATCAGGCCGTCGGGCTGGCCGCGCGTCTCGTGCACAATGACCAGATCCGTGACCTCGTTGGCCTTGCAGGTCTCGACGATTTCGCTGACAATGTAGTTTCCGCGGTTGATGCGCTGCGCGTTCGGGAACACCAGACGCAGCTCCTTGGCGAACTGCTGCAGGCGCGTGCTCGGGTCGCGCGACGTCGTCACCACTACCTTTGGGTCGTAGATTCCGGCTCTGGCATACTCGTCGTCTTGCGTTGACGTCAGGGACTCGGCGGCCTCGTCGAATTTGAGCTGCTGGTTCAGTTGCTCGGCCTCGTCCTGGAGCTCGGTCGGGATCGGCTTGCCGTCGCGCAGGGCCTCCTTGAGCTTCTGCTTCTTCTCAAACGTCTGGCGCTCCTGGATCTCGAGCGATTTTTTGTACAGGTACTCGCGGCGCTGGCGGGCTTGTCTCCGAAGCATTTTTAAAATGGTTTAGTTGTGTGGAATTGAAGGTGCTGGACAGAAAGGCGGGGAGAGGTTGTGTGTGTCCAGCATTCGCCGAGAGAGAAAAAACTGGGCTAAAATTTTGGCGGCGGTGATCGCTCAAGGGATCAAGGCGAAAACTAGCGCAAAAAAAGTCTACTGCCAGTTTCGGCAGCGCACCGGAGGCGCTCTCCTGTCTCTACTCGTTTCTACCACAACAGAAAAAGCTCCATACACATAAGCCTATACTGCAATGGTACAGAAAGTGTCGTCGCGCGGGTCGGGCGCCAAGAAGGGCGGGCAAAAGTACCAGAACACATTTGCGTACTCGCACAACAAGGGCTCAAAGACAACAAAGAAGATCCTGTCTCTGCCAGTGGACGGGCTGTGCCAGCACTGCACGGACATGGTAGTCTGGCGCAAGCAGTACCGCAAGTACAAGCCGCTGACGGCGCCCAAGAAGTGCGTGTCGTGCGAACTAAAGAAGGTCAAAAAGGCCTACCATGTAATCTGTGACGACTGCGCGCAAAAAAAGGGCGTGTGTGCAAAGTGCCTCGAGAGCAACAGCATTGTGGATACGCACAACCCGAAGACCAGCGAGCAGGTGCTCAAGGAGGAGCAGGATCTGGAGCGCAGGCTGGGGAATATGCGGGAGCGCGAGAGAAGGTCGTACATGAGGAAGCTGGAGCGCGGGGATATCCAGGCAGAGGACGTGCCGGACATGGGCGAGGAGGACAGCGACTTTGACTTTTCGGATAGTGAGGATGAGGAGGATGAGGAGTAGTTTTTTTCTTGCGTTGCTGAATGGACAATCGAACCTGAAACCGGACCCGCGAGCAACAGGCTCCCTCTTGGATCAAAGCCAAGAAAAAAGAAAAGGCGCCAGCAGGGACGATGGCATGGGGCGGCCAATATCAGGTCTTGCCCACGAGAAGCAAGCCAGTTCTGGTCTCGATTTCATCACTCTCTTCTTCAGACCTTTGCTCTTGGCCATTGGAAATTGCCTGTATTTTTTGTTAGCTAGTTTGTTTACTACTGCCTGTTAGTAATTATCCCAGTCCTCTTCTGCTCTCTCTGCTTGTCTCATTGACGCATTACTAGACGACCCACAGGCGTTGGCAGCAATGGGGTTGACAATAACAGCAACGTTCGAGAAGCAGGGCATATACTTTGCAGGCGACACGCTCGAGTGCCACGTCCGGTTCGCCAACGAGCGGTCGACGCAGACACTATCGGCAATACGAGCAGCAAATGCTCCCAGCGGCCCAGCGCGGACACAGGTTCTGGCGCCACGACAGCAGGCTGCACTGAGCTTTGCGACCAGCGCCGGGCACACAGATACTGGCGGGCGCGTGCAGAATGGCCTGGCAGGGGGAGCGAATTTAGATGGCGGGCCAGAGCATTCGACAATTCCCGGAAATAGTAGGGGGCCGCGACGCAGCAGCGCATGGACTGGCAGGAGGACCACGGCTGGCGCGAAGACTGGCGGGCTGTCGGTGTTTCCGGCGCTGGGTGAGGGGTCGGTGGCGTCGACGGAGCATTCGCCGCGACTGGGGGCGGTTAGCAGACGCGCCAGCGGACGCAACGGGCTGGGGCTGGGGCTGGACGGGTGGAGCGACAGAAAGCCGAGCACGGTGCGGGACGGGGACCTGCGGCTCGCCAAGTCGCCGATGCTGGGCGGTGGGCCTCAAAACCGCGCAGCCGAACCCAGCCAGTTCCCGCGGCTCAGCACATCATCGGTGCTCAGCAACCCGTCAGGCAGCCTGGCGTCGTGGTTCTCGCTGGGAAACCGTGCAGCAGCGCAAGAATCGGCGCGCAGGGTGCCCAACGATGGCACGGCTAGCGATAGCGGCGGGCTGCTAGGCAGTCTGTGGCGGAACATCTCGGGGTCAAATCCGCCGTCGCGTCCAGCCACACGTGCGGGCAGCGTAGCAGCCGACGAGGGCATGGAGCGGCTGGCGATTGGGTTTGCTGAGGCCTCGGGCAGCCTGATGCTGAGCCCGTCGTATATCAAGCCCGAGCAGATGGACCTTCTGCTGCAGAACAGCGGCACGGCTACAGACGCCAACGGGGCAGCCAGCCCGACGCTCATGGGCGGCGGCATGGGCAGCAGCACGCCGACGACGCCGTCGGCCGGCAAGGCGATCCCGCTGCTGATCTCGTCGCCGACGGTGCTGTTCAGCGAGCTGGCGCTGGGCACGGGCGAGTCGCAGACGTTTTCGCTAAAGATCCAGCTGCCGACGACGCTGCCGCCGTCGTTCCGCGGGCGGTCAGCGCGGGTCAGCTACGAGCTGGTGGTAGTGGCCAAGCGCAGCATGCTCGAGTCCAGCGCATACGTGGTGCGGATCCCGTTCCGTGTGCAGGCGTTTGTCGATGCCAATGGCAAGCTGCGCGAGTATGGGCTGGCGAGGCCCGTGCGCTTGGCACCGGACCAGTCACGTGTCGCGTTCCAGGAGTCGCAGCCAGGAGCTACGCCACGCAACCACTCGCCGTCGCTGGTCACAGACACGGCGGAGCCCAGCGCATGCGCGGCCAGCGAGGCTGTGGTGCCGACAAGCGACGCGCTTTCATCTGACGCCCTGTGTGCGCAGCTAGCGCAGTCGGCGTTCCTAAAGGCAATGCTGCAGCACGTCGAGCTGGACGCGGCCAGCCGAAGCAGCGACGGAACAGTGCCTGCAATCGACATTAGCGGGCCGCCCGCCAGCAGCGACAGCGGGGAGCTCTCCAAGCAGCACATCCGCGACGAGTGCCGGCGACGGGCGCCGGTGGCCTTCTCGTTATCGCAGGGCGGGCGCGCGGTGGCCTCCGTGTGGCTGCCCAAGCGCAGCTACCAGCTGGGCGACATGGTGTCAGGCAGGATCGAGGTGCATGTGGCCAACGTACATGTCTACCAGGTCAGCATCTGGCTCGAGAGCGTCGAGCACATTGGCGAGCGGTTTTCCCTGCACTCGGACCAGCGGACCGAGGAGCTGACGCGCCGCGTCCACGGCGAGCACCACGAGTTCTGCCGCAGCACGCAGACCACGGGCTTTGCGCTGACCACACTGCCGGCCGCCCAGGCCAGCTTCCAGTCGGCCATCGTCTCCAATGCCTGGCAGTTGCGGATCGAGCTGATCATCGGCATGCCTGGTGCGTCCATATGCGACCTCCGCCTCAGCAACTCGACCGTGTTCCCGCCAGCCAAGCACCTGGGCTCCCGCGCATCCGCCTCGCGCACACTGCCCATGTCGCCGGCATCGCCGCATCCGCAGACCGTGGGCCGGCCCAATGGTCTGAAGGCTGATCGCCGATACACCGTGTCTATTTCGCCCATAGCATTGGCGACGCCGCTGACCGCACCCGCGAGGCCCAGCGATACAGCCAGCGAAAGGCCCCCGAGGCCCCCGCACACCGCAGGGGAGGTGGAGACCACCGGCCACCCGATGGCTCGCACGGGTTCGTCCGGACGCACGCGATCGTCAACATTCAGCGACAACACCGCCCATGCGCTGCCGTCGCCGCTGCTGGTGTCACGCAATGGCGCGAGCCGCCCGCCGACTTCAAACGGCGTAGTGCCCGGGTCGCCTGCGCTGAGGTCGGCGCCATTGCCGCTGACCGACCAGGTGCCAAAAACACCAGGCAAATTGTCGCCGATCATCGAGGCCAGCTCGCTGCCGCAGACGGCGCCGCTGCCGACCCACGCGCCGAAGCGGTCGATGCGGCGCCGCTTCGACATTGTCCCAGCCGTACACACACAGACGCTGTCATGCACTGTAGCCGTGCAGATGCATCCGGCGCTGGCGCGACCGCCGGGCACCGGCCGCTCGTTCACCATTGACCTGTCGCAGCGCGGGCTGCAGACCGGCAGATAGACTTTATGCTCAAATTTCTAGACTTTTGCGACTGTGAATGAAAACAAAAACGTATATGAGGCACACACAGCCAAAAAAAACGGCTCTTGCTTTTCGTCTACTCGGCCAGCTCGCCGTCCTCGGACAATTCGCCATCCTCCAGATCCATGTCCTGCACCTCATCATCATCTCCGTCATCTGCGCGACTACTAGCCACCGCCCGCCGGTGATGCACGCCCGCCGGCGGCAGATTGACCGGCGATCCGGCATACATGGGCGTGCCGGGCCGCGACGACGCCTGCCTGACCCCGTGCGTAGCCACCGGCGGCGGGGGCAGCGCCGGCAGCCCAACCAGCGCCCTTACGCCGTTGACGCGCTCCAGCTCCAGCATATCCTGCTCGCGCGCCGACCCAGCCGCCAGCTTCTGCTCAAACGCCATCATCGTCTGCTTCTGCACGCCCAGGTCAATCGCCGTCGCCCGCACGCGCGCCATCATCTGCCCTACCTGCGCCCGGTGCTCGCTCGCCTGCTGCGAGTCCCGCTTCACCTGCCGAGCCACTTCCTCCGTTCCGCTGCTGCGTCCCAGCACCTGCTTCTCCTTGGCCTTCAGCTCCTGCAGGTGCGCCAGGATGTCCGTCCCGGCCCGCGACGTGCTTGACCGCCGGCTGATGTCCCCGGCCCCGCCCGATCCTCCCGCACGTCGCACTCCACCGCCCCCAGTCGCCGACCCGCGTCCGCCGCCACGCGCCTTTTGCTGCAGCTTCTGCTTCATCGCCCGCTTTAGAGCTATATGTGAAATCGGTGCCATCGCGTGTGACAAGAAAGAGCAGAATAGGACCATGTGGTGGTGTTAGCAAGAATGGAACAACGCATATCAGCCGACTTCAGCAACGATGTTGATGTATCAGAGTTTGATCCTGCTAAAGATTTGTCATTGCCAGGGCCAGGTGGGTGGATGGGAGGCCGTGGTGAGCATACGGGGCGGATATAGTACATTCGCGTTGGAACAAAATAGAGAAACGTATTGAAAAATAGCCCGCGGGAAGGGTCTGTATTATTTTTAACTAGTGCGAATGACAGCCACCACCTCCTCCGTGCCACAACATAGCAGGGGGCTGGATATCCAGGCAGCATCAAAACCGACACAAGCACACATGTCGTTCCCATGCACATTGCCATGCCATGCTAGCCAAGTGCCTGCCGCTGCCACCGCCGGCTCTTTGCAATTGCGCCCAGCCTGTCCCCACAGAGCAGTCCCCCACCCAGCGTTTCTGCAAGTCCACCACCCAGCATTTCTGTATGTCCACCACCTTCTCCCTCCCTCCACCTGCAACAGCCCCCAGATCATATATGCAGCCGAGCCAGCCACCACCACACATGAGTGAGGCAACAGTGGGAGCTCCAGCCGCACCTCCATTGTGTATCACCGCTCAATATTCTCTCTCCCCTCTCTCACGAACCGCCGCAGAAACCGATGATCAGTCCGAAACTCCAAAAACAGGGGTCCTCAGATAAAGATCCAGCCATAAAACTGAAACAAATCCAACCCAACCCAGCCCATCGCTCGGAGAACCGCAATGTCCGAGCAAGCCCAAAAGCCCACTGAAAAAGGATCGGCCGCAAGAAGTGAGAAAAAGCGCATCGCAATGTAGAGTAGGCGCAAAGAGTGTCGGATGGAGGGTCTCCATTCCAGAAACGGAAGGTGATATGCGAGAGTGTGTGTACGGGTCAAGTCTGTGTGCGTGTCTGTGTATGCGAAGGTAAAGGGGAGATGATCGGAGGGAGGCGAGAGAGAGAGAGAGAGAGAGAATACTGAGCAGTGACAAGGAGAAGATCGGATTGCATGTTGCAAACAGAGACAGAAGAAGACAGCAAACCCGCCTCCCCCCAGAGTCCGCACCTGAGCACGGTCCAAGGTTCGGCAGAAACACAAGTGAAGACGCAACAAAAGCCGCAAATGGTGAGAAAAATGCTCCAAAAAGGAACAGGTCCAGAAGCAAAGGAACAAACACAGCCAGCAATAGCAACAGCAACAGCAACATGGGAATGCGACAAATGCTTAGTCAGAATGATCACCTGAATCTTCAGAGTCCGACGACCCGCTCTCGCCGCTCGAGCTCGAATCGAATCCCATGCCCTTGGCGCGCCCAGAGCCGCTCCGGTCGTACTGCCGGGTCGAGTCCAGCCGCTTCAGCTTCTCGTCCAGCTGGTTGATACGCCGTTGCACCGCCTCGTCCGGCCGCGGGTGCGCCGATGGCTGCACCGGTGCCGCCAGCGCCGACTGGTTGCTGCTGCTGGTGCCATTGTTGCCAGCTCGCCGCTCCGCATGCTGCGCGTTGTTGCGCTGGATTGCTTCGCGCGCCGCCTCCTCGCGGCTCAGCACCACGTACTCGTACAGCTTGCGCAGCGTGAAGTGGTCCAGCGTGTCAATGTCCAGCTCAATCTCCTCCTCGTCTTCGTTCAGATCCGGGTACGCCGACTTGATAATCATCAGCGCTACCCGCAGACGGTTCGGGTCCAGCTCCTCGATCCGCCCGCTCAGCGCCCGCTTCTGGTCCAGCGTCAGCTCCAGCGACTCAATGCTGCCACGACGGCGGCGCCCGCGCCCGCGTCCCGAACCACCAGTTGGAGGCGCGCTGTACAGAGCGTCCTCCATTCCTGCAAACTCCTCGCGGGTCATGCCTGCCGCTGCTCCGCGCGCTCCGCGCCCACGCGATCCACGGCGCCTGCCAGGCGTGCCGCGTCCACGGCCCGAGCCAGCAACGCCCATGGGAGCAGTCGATGAGATTGGTGACGTCGCATTCGAGCCGACTCGCCGATGCGACATCGAGGTAGGCGGTGCCGACAGAGGCGGCGGCGGAGATCGGGTTGCCGACCGCGCTGAGCCGACACTGGGACGCCGCGGGGTGCCGCCGCTGACGCCGCCGTACGACGGCCGCCGCTTTGTGCCTTCAGACCGCTTCAGCTCCTCCAGCTGCCGCGCCATGCTCTGCACCTTGAGCTCCAGGCTGCGGATCTCGTCTGTCTGCGACGACTGGCTACGCGCATCAATGTCGATCTCGTCGTCGAGAGTGTACACATGCTTGTCAAACTCGTCCTCGCCGCCGACTGGAGGCGAGTGTGACCGCGAGAAAGGACTGCGAATGTGCAATGGCCGTGCCGCCACTGACAGAGAACGAGGGCGGGAGAGGCGGTGGTGCGCCTGCCGACGGGTGCGGCGCCGGTGACTGGCTAGCACGGGCCGAGCTTGCTACCGGCAGCTCGGTCCACTTTTGGTCGAACCGAGCCTCCAGTGCCCGTCCTGCCTCATGCACGGGGTGTCCGGGCGGGTTGTATGTGTAGCAGTTGCGGAACATAAGGCGCATATCAGAATCAAAGTCGAGCGCGTTCTGGTACGCACCGCGCTCCAGCTTCTTCTTCATCGTCGTCAGATCCATCGGCTGCTTGATAATGTCAAAGTAGTCGGGGCAGTTCATGGCCACCGGGTCGACGGGCTCCAAGAACGGATACGCAATGTTGAAGTTGCTCTTCTTCATAAAGTCCTTGGCCACATTCAGGCAGAAGCGCAGCTGCGGGTCCGATGGCATCGACTTTTTCCGCCCAGAGCTGGGCACGTCGCGGCTGGGGGGCGGATGGGCCTCACGCTTGGGCCGCGACACCGAGCTGGACCGCCGGCCGCCGCTGGTGTCAGAGGAATGCCGGTTGTGCTCCGCAAGCGCGGTATCAAGCCCTGTCGGCATCTTCTTTATCTGCGTATCAAACATCGCCTCGAGATTACCTGCCATGTTCCCAACCACTGACTCGCGTCCCGTTGTAAATATAGGCGTTGTTGAACATCAGCCGCAGGTCGTCCGTGAATCCTTGCGTGTCTGCGTACAGACGGCCCTTGAGCTTGTTCTCGATCGTGCTCAGATCCATTGGGTACTTGATGATGTTCACGTAGTCGGGGATATTCAGCGCGACCACGTCAACTGGCTTCAGGAACGGTCCGGCGTCGCGGTGCTTTTTTAGTGCCCTAAGCATCGCCGTGCAATACTTGTGCTGTTCCTTTGTCATCAGAATCTCAGTCCGGTGTAGTTGTGCCGGGGCTGGTGCCGGGGCCGGAGCTGGGGTGGAGGCCGACGCGGGAGCAGGAGCAGGGGCTGCCACAGCGTCTGGGGCAGGTGCAGCCACGGCGGCAGGAACAGGGGCTTCAGTCTTGGCCGGGACAGGTTCTGACGCGACCGGCGCAAAACTCTCCTTGTTCTCAGGCGTCGAAACAAGGCCAGCAGTATCCTCAGGCTTTGGCGACTCTACCCGCACTCGCTTGGCTGCTGGTTCCAAACTGTCCTGGTCGACGTCCATATCGGACGCTGCTGCTGTGTGCCCGTTAGGTTTTGTCTCCACAGGTGCTGCCGGTTGCTGAGATGGCTGCGAACTGCCCATGTCTATGTCCGTGGTTCCGTCGTCGACGGGCCGCTTCTGTGTTGTGGCAACATCGCCGCTAGGGGCGAGCGCTGCTGTTGCGATCTGCTCCGGCGACGCGATATCGATGCTAATTGGAATATCTCCATTCGAGGTATTGCCTTCACTCGCCATCATGCCCTGCCTTTGATTCGAAGGTTTTTGTGTGGTGCTGCTGCTGCCGTTGGAGTAGGAAAAAGAAGAGAAAGAGAAAGAGATGGAGTTTCCAGATAGGGTTGGAGCTAAGGAGATGGAAGCGCACGTTTGAAAGTGTATTTAGTTACAAAAATTAATGATAAGAATAAAACCACTACGCCAGAAACAAACCTCCCTATCTCGCTTCCCCTCCAACCTCTCTGCAGATGGGGGAGGAGCGACGGGTGTATGTGCACCAGGGGATTAGGGACGCGCGCCATATGGCGCCGGACGCAGCAAGAAAAACATGTTTTTTGGACAACCTACCACTTAATAGCGAGGCGAAATATCCGGGACAGACAAATCCAGCGCTATAGCCGCGATAAAAATGCTCGCAAACACGCGTATGAAATAGAGGGGGGAGATGGAGGAAAAAGAGAAAAAGTCGAAAATATTGCTGAAACGGGCGACAAAAATCGGGTCGTAGATATAGAGGTGGAACGATTTTTGCGCTCCGACAGATTGGATATGGGAACAGGGGACGCGTGGATTTGTCCTGGGCGGTATTGGGCAGATTGCGTCGGGCAAGCTGGGTTAGGTGAGGGCCAGGCGACACAGGGGGCAGAAAGACGCGTCGGACACGAATAAAACGAGCTGGGGGTTGAGGGAGCGGGACGGAGGTGGACGGTTTTTATTTGAGGAGCGCGCCAGAACCACGCCGGCGCCCGTTGATAGAACGAAAAAAAAAATTTTTTTTCTCCTATTTTCTGAGACTTGGCGGGCTGTGGGTCTGGCCAAAAGGCAAAAAGCCACGACTAATTTTTCCGCCTCGCGGGCCAGCTACGAAGAAAAAGCTTTCTGGCCTTCTTTCTGCCGCCTCGCCCCAACGCTTCCCGCTTGTGACGCACATTCATTGGTCCGGCTTCACGTGCCGCGGCTGGCGATGGATCAATGCCCGCTCTGCGAGCCGAGCTGAGCCACAAGGGGCAAAGGTGCTGGCAGCTTCGACTCCGAGTGCACGCCATTTCACCCTCACTCGACTTTTTTTACACTAGTAGTACTGGCAGCATGGCTGAGCATTTGGCGTCAATTTTCGGCACAGAGAAGGACAAGGTGCACTGCTCGTTCTACCACAAGATCGGGTCGTGCAGGCACGGCGACCGGTGCTCGCGGCGGCACGTGAAGCCGACATACTCGCAGACAATTCTGGTATCGAACATGTACAAGAACCCGTCGCTGAAGCCCGACTGCCAATTGAAGGACGACGAAATCCAGCAGCATTTCGAGGACTTTTATGAGGACATGTTTCTGGAGCTGGCAAAGTACGGCGAGATCGAGGAGCTGAAGGTGTGCGACAACGTCGGCGACCACCTTCTGGGCAACGTGTACGTCAAGTACCGGACGCGAAGACGACGCGCAAAAGGCCGTCGACTCGCTCAACAACCGGTACTACGGCGGGCTGCCGGTGTGGGCGGAGCTGTCGCCGGTGACGGATTTCCGCGAAGCGTGCTGCCGGCAATACGACAATGGCGAGTGCAACCGTGGCGGATACTGCAACTTTATGCACATCAGGAAGCCGTCGCGCTCGCTGGTCAAGTCGCTGTTTGACGGCCAGGATCTGACCCTGCGCGAGATGCGCCGCGTGGAGCGCGAGGAGCGTCGGAGACGCGAATTTGAAGATCGGCCGCCGCAGGCCGCCAGATCGGACTCGCGCACGCCGTCACCGGCATACCGCAGTGACCGGTACCGTCGGGATTAGGCCACACAGGATCCCTGTCTTTTTTGGAGCATTTTTGTAATATGGGAATAAAACAGGAAGCTGGTTTGGAAATATACGAGCGACACAGGGGGCTCAGTTGTCGGCAACATAGGCCTCGAGGTTGTTGAGGCGCAGAATGTCCTGCTGGCTGCGCTTGGAGCGGCGGCTGTTGCCGCGCGACAGCATGATGTTGATCTTGTGGGTGTCGCTCGGGTGGATGTAGATGCAGTGGTTGCTGTAGCTGCAGTCCGGGTACATCCTGCACGTCTGCGACGGGTGCACGTATTTGCAGTTCTTGTTGTTGCAGCTCGGCCAGAACCGGCACCGCTTGTTCGACACTGCCGCCGTCGACCGTCCGCCCGCCTGGCTGCGACGCCTGCTGCTGCTCCCTGCCACCATTCGCAGCCGCCCTCTCCGAGAAGCTCGTACGCGATCCCAGTTTCGGCCCGCGCTGCAGAGCTGCCCTGAGACCGACCGGCCCAGTGCCTGCATCTGCGGCGCGCTCAGCTGCTTGACGACGTTGCTGTAGGTAAGGCTGTTGCCGAATGACGCGCGAGATTGCGTCGTCACCCGGCTGACCGATCCCGAGCTGTGCCGCAGCTTGTTCGGCACGAAATGCCTTGGCCTGTGCGTTCAGCGTGAATCCCCGCTGCCGTGGGCCCTGCGCCGTGCTCTGCGGACCAGCCTTACCTGACATCACCGCAGTGTCGCCCGAGCTCTGCGACGGCTCGCGCCTGCCCAGCCGCTTCGCGGTCACATCAGCAAACGTCCTCGTTGCTGGCTTCTCCTCGTCATCATCGGTGGTCATGTCGGTGTCCTCGGACTCGGACAGCTGCGTAAATGAAAACCGTGTGTGTACTGGCATGGGCGCCGCTCTGGGCTCGCCGATGGCGGTGCTGCGGGGTAGGACCACGCTTTCACTCGCCACCGCCTCGCTGCCAGAGTCCTGCGCAGACACATTCTCGTCCCTCTTTGCCTCCTGCATGGGCTCGGCAACCTCGTCCACGACGACGCTGGGTGTCTCAGCTGGCTTCGTGGCGATCCCAGCGTGTGCATCCTCTGCTGCTACAACAAAGTCGCATTTCAATGCAAAGTGTCTGGATGTATCCCGATCCACGGCCAGCTCCCCCAAAGGAGCACTGGAAAATCGTTTTTTTTTTTTTTGGCAACTTACCATTGCCAGAGTTTGGCGCGGTTGAGCACGAGTCAGCGCTCGACTCTGAATCCGACGAGTCGCTGGGCACAATCGTCACTACATTCTCGACGGGACTGAACCCCATTGCGCTGCCAATGGCTGTCGACCCGGCGTTCGGCGACAGTCCGCCCTCGCGCACAATGAACGGCCTCGCAAACTCGTTCGAGTCCTGTGCGTACCGCGTCCGAATCGACGCGTCATTCAGCAGCGGCTGCCGCTCGCTGCTATTCTCCGTGCCCTGCTCCAGGTCGTCTACAGCAGTGAAATTTTTTAGTGCCAGCCGTGCTCCTCCCCCAGCTTTTCCTTTCAATGACAGCAGTAGCCTGTTTTGACGACACCGCCCGCGTTGCTGAAAAGCATTTGCGCAGAATACTGTCTGCAATAGCGCAGTAGGGCCGGCACGCGAATTAAGGCATGGTCCCCCAGCCCGCAATGCCTCTTCCCCAGGGCATAGTGGCAACTATGCAAGGATCTCAGTTTAACAGCGTCTGGGGAGGGGGCAACGAGGCGAGGGAGGAGACCATTCATGCCCGCTGTGGCTTAGGCGTGGGCTTGCCTCCATTATGCCATGCGGCAACAGCAACTAATTGAAGGCCCTATCTGTACTCGCAAGCTAGAACTTACCCTGCGGGCTCTTGTGCTGGCTACGCCGGAGCAGCAGCAATACGCCAGTAATCAGCAGCGTCACGATCGCAATGACGCCCAGGGACACGCACACGATGAGTGTCGACGACGGTGCTTCCATCATCATCATCATCATAAGGTTAAGGCTCGTGTGCGGTGCTCGTTATAATAAAGTGGTTGAAATAGCTGTGGGCGGAAGAAAGAGGGAAAAGTGAGTATGAAGTGAAAGTGTCGGTGCCCTCTCGAACGGGGGAGAAAGGAGGAGGTTGTTGGCACAGAAAACGAGAGGATATCCGATTCGTGAAGAAAGAGAGTGGGTGTCGTAAATCAAGGGGAAAGGTAGGAAACCACACGAGAGTTTTGCTACGCTGGTGTCGAAAAAAGAGAGCTGAATTTAATTGAAATAGAGAAACCACAAAGAAGAACAAGAGGCAGGGAACCCGGTCCACCATTCCTCGCTCCTTTCTGGGGTCAAGCACAAAACGCGTGCGGTTGGCACTGGCGCTGGTGCGGACAAAAAAAAGTAGGCGACTTGCCTTTCTCCGACCAAAAAACCTGCGGTTCTTGGCCGATTTGGGAACCGCGCCTAGCCGACAATCGCCGAGTCCGTCAATAGCAGCGTGTCGCCGACAGGGTTGCAGAGACGCTAAAATTAAAAATGCGACAAAGTGCGACAAGCATGCTTCAACTATCTAGTCAGCGCTACGTTCACTTCCGGGCCTTGGACTTGGCCGGTGTCTTTCTCTTGGACGACGACGCCTTGCTCGCAGCCGGCGCCTTTCTCTTTCCCTTGGCCTTGGCCGGCTTGATCAGCTTGTCGTTAGCCACATCCTCGTCGCTGCCGCTGTCGTCTTCGTCGTCATCAACCTCCACCATATCATCGTCGACAATGCCCTCGTCGTCAGGCTTGATGGCGGCTGCTGATGCTGCAGCCCGGGCTGCCGACGCTCCTGCATGCGACTGGAACGCGATCGGGTGCGATCTCTTGTTGTACTCGCGCGTAAACGACGACTTCACCGGCGCCGGGATTTGCTTCAGGATTGCGGTGCCGTGGAGGTGCAGCTCCAGCATGCTGTCCCAGTTGTCCTTGTTCAGATAGTAGTGGTCCATGATCTCAATAACCGCATCGGCGCCGTCGATGTGCTTGTCAATCAATGGCTGCGTCAGCTCTGGCACCATGGCCGGGATGTACGACTTGCGGATCTCGGTCTTGTCGACAGACACACGCAGCCGCATGTTGCCCTGGATCTCGCGCAGCAGGCGCGCTGTCTTGGCGCCCTTCGAGTTCTGACCAAGCCAGCCGGGGAACCTGTACATGCCGTTGTGAGACCCGCGCATATGGTACGCCGGCCCCACACATGACATCACAGAATGCAGCGGCATCAGGCCCCACTGCTGCGATCCCCGGATCTTGCTGTCGACGACATCCGCCTGCGAGATGTAGTCAGATGCCTCAGCCAGGCAGTCTAGCGTACTCAGGTCAAGCTCCTTCTGCGACTTGGAGCCAGTGCGCGCAGTGTTTGGCGTGTTGTCAATGTAGTTCTCCTGGACAAACAGCGGGGTGATCGAAAAGTCGTTGGTAATACAGGTCGATCTTGTCGGCAAACGACATGTTCATGTTCTCACCGCCGTTGAGATACTTGCCAATGATGTCGAACGGGCCGACAGCCACTTCCTTCTTGTTCATGGCTGCGTACGCCTTGCCGTCGAGGTACGACATGGACGAGCTCTTGAGCGCGTAGCTCGACAGCAGGTTGATGATCTGGCGGATGTCGTTCTGCGTCGACGCCACCAGCTGCTGCAGCGCGTTATCCTCAACCTGCAGATTCTCCCTCTTGGCAATGGCCTTCATCCGCCCTTGCATCTGCGCCGCTGACGGCCGCCGGAACTTCATGTCATTGCAGTAGTTGGCCAGCGTGCGCACCTTGGGTGAGCTGCGGTCGTTGCAGATGCAAATGATGGGGACCTTGGTGCGCTTGATGAGCTGGATCAGCTCGGCGTTGCCGCCACGGTCACCGCCCGACATGCCATCAACCTCGTCCATGATGATGACCAGCTTCTTCCTGCCGCTTTGTCCGGCTGCCTTCTTGTCCGCCGGGTTCAGCTCATCATTGTCGTGCTCGAGCTTGCTCAGCGCATGCTGGTCGAACTCGCGGATGCTGCGGTTGCCGATCGCTGGGCCTAGGGCCTCCTGCAGGGATTTCTTGTTGCGCTGCTCCGAGGCGTTGAGCTCAAGCACGTCGAATCCGGCTATCTTCGACGCCAGATGGGCGACGGTGGTCTTGCCGATTCCGGGCGGCCCAGAGATCAGGACAGCGCGAGGATCAGTGATATACCCCTCGGCCCATTTTCCAAGCCACTTGATGAGTTCCTGCGCCTGCGTCTTGTGGCCACACAGGTCATCCAGGCTCTTGGGCTTGTACTTGTCTGTCCACAGCTCCGAGTTTGCTGGAGTCCTGGCCACACCCGGCACAGGAAGGCTGCAGGTAATGCGCTCCTTGCCCTTGCTAGCACTGCTGCTTGCTCCCCTGCCTGCAGGCGCACTTGGCTTCGGTTTCTCAGCCGGTCTTGGTGCCCACGCCAGGCTCAGTCTTCACATTAGGCTCATCAGCCATATCGATGGCCTCTGGCTCGCTGAAGCTGGTCTCAGACTTTACGGCGGGCGCATGGTCCATCCGCTGCGGCAGGCTTACCCGCAGTCTTTGCAGCATCAGGGTTTGACGCACGGATCAGCTCCAGCACATCGTCCTCACTCAGGCACCACGTCTTGAACACCTTGGCCTTCTCGACTTTGCTTGGCCCTGGCTCCTCACCAACAACCAGGTAGCTGGTCTTACTGCTGACATTCTTGGTCACACGTCCGCCGTAGCTCTTGATCAAATCCTCCATCTCCTCGCGGCTCAGCGACTCAAGGTTGCCAGTGACCACAAACGTCATTCCCTCAAAGCACCCTGGCCGACCCGCAGGGACCTCCTTCGAGCCCGGGTTCAGCGCGGCATTACCAGCCTTCATCTTGGAGTAGTTGAAGGTCTTCTTGCTCAGAGTCGGCATATCGCTGGCCGGGAACCCAATAACCTTCTCTTCATCGACCTCCATCTCATCCTCATCGGCACTAGTCGGAGTGTCCGCCAGCTGCCTCCTCCTCCTCATCCTGTGTCTGCCTTGACTCGCGAACCATCTCAAGAAGGCTGTCCAAGTACAGCACTGGTGTGCCCACGGCCTTAGCCTTGTTGACCTTGGTGGCGCCGGGCTCGGTACCAACAATCCAAAAACGACGTCCTCTTGCTCACCGAACCAACAACCTGTCCGCCGTACCGCTTGATTAGGTCCTCTGCATCCTCGCGCGACTAAGCCTGGCAGGTTACCGGTGATTACAAACTTTTTGCCCTCCAGACAGTTGGGGGCTCCTTCGGGGATCTGAAGCGACGGGTCGGTGGGGTTTGACCCTGTGAGACGACCATGGGCAGCAGCACTGCGCACTTCCTTCTGGGAGCGCTTCGGCACATAGCCGAGCTCATGTGCGTCGTGGACGGAGACGCTGGAGCCCGCAGAGGTGCTGGGCTTGCTGATCTTGCGCGCCTTCGAGGGTCCGCTAGTTTCCTGGAAAAAGCCCGCAGGGTCAACCTCGTCGTCATATCGCGACGAGTCCCTACGCTTCGTACCTCTAGACAGCCGAAAGTGCAGTTTTAGAACAAAGGGAGTTTGCACGATGTCGCCCGCACGCCACATTCCAAATGCATTATTACCTTGACGAATTGGGCGCCATTCCTCTGGAGTCGTCGAAATACAGTATTGGCTTGGTTGAATTTAAGCAGGAAGGAAAAGAATAGAGCAGAAAAAGACGTGCCAGAGGCAGAGAAGGAGTGAGGGAAAGCGCTGGCAGCATTAAAGCCGCGACGACGCGTAGGGCACCCGACGCGAGTGGGCTGCGCATTCACCAGATCCGAGATTTAATCGGCATCTGGATTTAATGAAATCAAGCAGCTGATGAGATTTTTACCAGGCGATTTCTTGATGCCACGCTTTACGATAATGCGCAAACCGTCCGATCCTGCACTCTTGGCTGCTTCTTTCGACAGCATATATCTTTTTTTTTTTGTTAGCGCACATAATGGCTACTGGGTCCACGATTGCTGGAAGGGCTTGGCGGTTGAGCCGCACCACGGGATTCCAGACACTGGCTCGGCGGGGCTATGCGGCATCAGCAGCAGCATCATCAGCATCAGCAAAGACCACGGCCACAAGCAAGGCCAAGCGCAAGCACCTGGTGTTCAACAACCGCACTGGCCCTTCCCTGCAGCACTTTTTGGCGCAGTCGCTGCCTGACCAGCAAGCCGATCTCTCCAAAGCCACACCCGAGGATCTGCCGTACCTGCCGGTGCAAGACTGGGGCGAAGGGCGCAAGTACTATGTCGAGGTGTATGGCTGCCAGATGAACGTCAACGATACAGAGATCCTCATGGCAGTGCTGAACAAGGCCGGGTACCACCGCACGCACTCGCTAGACGACGCCGATGTGATATTCCTGATGACCTGCGCCATCCGCGAAAAGGCCGAGGACCGGATCTGGAGCCGGCTGTCGCATTTGAAATCGCTAAAGACAAAGTCGCGGCCGGACCGTGCGCCCATGGTCGGTGTGCTCGGGTGCATGGCTGAGCGCCTGAAGGAGAAGCTTCTGGAGTCCGACAAGCTTGTTGATGTGGTCTGCGGCCCCGACGGCTACCGGTCCCTCCCGCGCCTCCTGTCGCTGCGGGCAATGTCGGCGGACGGCGTCGCCAATGTAATGCTGTCGGCGGACGAGACATACGCGGATATCACTCCGGTGCGCCTAGACGAGAACAAAATCAGCGTGCATTTGAGCGTTATGCGTGGATGCAACAACATGTGCAGCTTCTGCATCGTACCGTTTACGCGCGGCAACGAGCGCAGCCGCAACATCGACTCGATTGTCGAGGAGGTCAAGACCCTCAGCAGCCAGGGCATCCGCGAGGTCACGCTGCTGGGCCAGAACGTAAATTCATACCGGGACACGAGCGAGAGCACAGAGTTTGAGACCGAGGGGTTCGGCGCCGACCTGAGCCGCGGCTTCAAGACCATCTATAAGCGCAAGGAGGGCGGCAGGCGGTTTGCCGAGCTGCTGCATCGCGTTGCGCAGGTGGATCCTGAGATGCGCGTGCGGTTCACGTCGCCGCACCCGAAGGATTTCCCCGACGAGCTATTGCACGTAATCCGTGACAACCCGAATGTGTGTCCGCAACATCCACCTGCCGCTGCAGTCCGGCAGCACAGCATGTCTGGAGCGCATGCGGCGCGGATACTCCCGAGACGCCTTCATTGAGTTGGCAGCACACATCCGCAAGGTCATCCCCGATGTGACGTTCAGCACAGATGTGATTGCCGGGTTCTGCGGCGAGACGGAGCAAGAGCACAGAGACACAGTGTCGATGATGGAGACGATCAAGTTCGATGCGGCTTTTATGTTCGCGTACAGCATGCGTGAGCGCACCCACGCGCACCGCAAGTTCAAGGACGATGTTCCGGCCGACGTCAAGGGCAGGAGGCTACAGGAGATCATCGACATGTTCCACCGGCAGGCGCAGGCCAAGAACCAGCGGTATGTTGGAACCCAGGGGCTGGTGCTGTATGAGGGCCTGACCAAGAAGCACGGGCGGCCGTATGGCTCAGACGACTACGCGCACAAGGTGTTTTTGCAGATTCCCGATGGCATCGAGCCAAAGATCGGCGAGTACCTGAGAGTCGCCATTGACTCGGCAACGTCGGCATCGCTGACAGCAACGGTGGTCGAGAAGACAACGCTGGCACAGTACTACCAAAAGTATCCTCAGGCACGCAGTATCGAATAAAACCTCGAAAGCTGGATATCGCATTTCGCAGCAAAGCTGAAGTGTATATAATTTCTTGATTTTACAAGTGGTGCAGACGTAGGCACTCTTTGGCATGGTGACATGCCTGCTGTTGCAGAAAACGCATTTCAACTCAGCTCTCAACCCTTCATTCGTACACTAATTATGACCACACTCGAGGAATCGCTTGGCGACAAGGATGTCAAGCAGTACGCAGTGCAGCGCTTGGCCAAGCTGCTGCGTCATCCGGACGACCTCATTTACAGGGCCGACGATGTGCGGCGCAAACTAGCACAGGAAAAGTTCCTCATTGACGCACAGCTGAACACAGATGTGCGGCGGCAATTCGACGACGTGCAGGAGGGCCTGGAGCTCCTGTATTCTACAAAGGAGCAGATCACACGCGTAAAAACGGACATGCAAAAGGTCGACCAGCTCTGCCACGACGCGCAGAGCTACCTGACAAACTTTGACCGGATCCAGAAGATCTCGATGGTGAACCGGAACTTTGCGCGCACCGACGAGTTCTACCGGCAGTTCAGCGAGTTCCACGAGCAGTACACAAGCGTGCGGCACATGCTGACGGACGCGCAGACCAACTTTGACCAGGCCGACTTTAACCTTCCTGCGCCTGCACTACTCGCTGTACAAGCTCGAGGACTTCCGCAACCGCGCAATGGGGTTCTCGGGCGCCAGCGACGCCGATTCGCAGCAGACGCTGGCACAGATGTTTGGCAGCCTGGACGCGCTGGTAGCAGAGTTTGAGGAGTTCCTGTGGCACGTTGCCAAGCAACATGTTTGAGCTGGCGCTGCGTAACCGCACAAACATCATCGTCCAGCTGCTCAAGGTCATTGAGGTTGAGGAGGCAGCGGACCGCACGCAGGAGAGGGAGCGGGAAGGCGCAGGGCTGGCGCGGCGGCAGTCTCTACTGGGCAGCGCCAGCGTCAAGACGCTAGCGCAGGCGCCAAAGACCGACCGCAAGGTCAAGCAATACAAGAAGAAGCTGCTCAGCCTGATCCACACGTTTGTCAGCAAGCGCATCAACGAGTTCTTTGAGCAGGAGGTGCAGGACTTTGAGGGCATTTCCGAGGTCCACTGGCCTTGTCGTCGACGAGTTGACGTTTGTGTCTGAGGCTGTGGCGCCGGGCTTCCCCGCAAACTACTACATCTTTGACGTGTATGTGGAAGAGTACCACCAGGCGGTTGTGGCCAACACCAACCGGCTGGCGACGGGCGACCTTGACGGCGGCGCGATCCTGGTGCTGCTGCGGTGGGTGCGCGAGTACAGCTCTGCAATGCGGCCGCGACCTGGGCATTCCGCGCGAGCAGCTGAAGCCAGCGCTGCTGGAGGGCCGCGAGGACCAGCTGGCGCAGGAATACCTGGACCTGGTGCGCAACAAGGTGCGTGAATGGGTGGTCAATCTGATGCGCTCCGAGACCTCGACGTTCATCAACCGGCAGGACGCGCCGCACATTTCGGACGCCGGCACCTACGTGCTGGAGGGCTCGATCATTCCTGTTTGAGATTATAAACCAGCAGATTGCGCTGGTGGTGGAGTCGCAGCGCGCAAAGCTGCTATGCGACCTGATGGCCGAATGCAACAAGATCTTCCAGGACATGAGCAAGCAGTGGAAGGAGGTCATTGACGCCGAGAAGCAGAAGCAGATCAAGGACGAGAACGTCATCGAGGGCCTGGTCGACTACGCCATGGCGCTGGGCAACGACAGCCTGCGCTGCGTCGAGCAGGCAGAGACCATCCGCGAGGAGGTCGGCAGCACACTGGGGCGCGCGCACCAGGAGCGCTTCCGCAGCGAGCTCTCCCAGACCAATGGACATTTTCATGGACATTGCCGAGGCGGCCACGGGCGCGCTGGCCGACATCATTTTCAACGACCTGCAGAGCGTGACCACGGCGTTCTACACGGCCGACTGGTACCACGAGGACATGGTGCAGCTGGTGATTGAGACGTTTGTCGACTACGACGTCGACCTGCGCGACCGCATGGACCCGTATCTGTACGAGCGCCTGATGCAGGACCTATTGTCGCGGCTGGCGCTCGGCTACGTCGACGCCGTGTCGTTCAAGGTGCGGTTCTACAAGACACGCACCACCGAGCGGCTCAAGCACGAGACGGCGCAGCTGGCAAAGTACTTCCGCACGCGCATCGACCCCGAGGCGGTGACGCGCACCCTGGACATTGTCAATGTGGTGCAGTCGATGATCGAGTCGGCGCCGGCCATGTTCTTCCTGGAGTTCTTTTCGTTCAAGAAGCAGTATCCGGATCTGCCGCTGGCCCTGGTGGAGGACATTCTGTCCAAGCGCGACGATCTCGACAAGGCGCAGATGCGCAGCATTGTCGACTCCTTGCGGCAGAAGACCAAGGGCGACACGGGCTCGTCGCTGGCCAAGCAGCGGACCCTGTTCTCAAAGCTCACCCACTACTCGCCGCTGGGCGGAGCCCAGAAAAGTAGCGGCTTTTTGTGAGCTACCCAAAAGACGTAATTACGCGTGTGCCCTAGAACAGCCCATGTCCGTGATGCGTGCAGTTCTCGTCCCCGAAACGCCGATCTTTGCTTCTTTTTTTGGTCACAATCAGCAGTTTTTTTCTTTTTTGCAAGTCTTCTGTTACGAATCTTCGATTGGGTGCGCCCCCGCATCCCGCATCTGCATCAAATTCCCTCATGCTTGGCCTTTTGGTCGTTTTGTGGTTCGCCCACAAGACTAGGGCAACCTGTCGCCGCCCACCCGAAATTCGCCCTTTCTGTTTCCCAACCTCCATTGTTTCCCCCCTACCCGAGCACTTTACGACAAAGCACCCCTCTTACGACGAACAAGACAGTGTGTACAACCACACACACACTCTCCCCCCCTTATATAACGACATACTGGGACCTCTTGTCCCCACCCCCTAACCGCTATTTTTCTTTTCACGACACTTTTCTTATTCTCCAACACTTTTATCTCCATCGTCTCTCTGCCTATTTAACTGAAAATGGCACCCGTAGAGAGAAACGAGCGTTCACCGCTGCTGCCCACGCAGCAAGTGGAACGGAACCGGCGCCTATCAACACCAGCTCAGGTGCATTTGGCGTGTCTCCCGAGCAGCTGACGGCCATGCTTGACCCCAAGGACATCGAGAAGCTGAAGCAGCTGGGCGGAGCCGAGCAGGTGTGCAAGCACCTCCTGGTGGACCCCGCTGTGGGCCTCCGGCAGCGTGAGCAGGTCGACACCGACGGCCTACGCCAGTCCGAGCCGTTCCAGGCCCGGCGCGCGGTGTTTGGGCGCAACGAGCTGCCCGAGGCTGAGACAACGACGTTCCTGCAGCTGCTGTTTGACGCGTACAACTGACCGCACCCTTATTCTGCTGACCATTGCGTCGGTGGTGTCGACTGCTTGTCGGCATCTACGACGACATGTGGGGCAGCCACAAGAACGACGAGGTCAAGGTGGGATGGGTCGAGGGAGCAGCGATTTTCCTGGCGGTGCTGGTTGTGTGCTTCACCAACGCCATCAACGACTACCAGAAGGAGAAGCAGTTCCGCAAGCTCAACGCCAAGAAGGAGGACCGGACGGTCAAGGCGCTGCGTGACGGAAATGAGGTAGAAATCGGCGTGCAGGAAATCAACGTCGGTGACATTCTGCTGATTGAGCCTGGAGACATTGTGCCTGTCGATGGCGTGTATCTGAGCGGCCACCGCATGAAGTGCGACGAGTCGAGCGCTACCGGCGAATCTGACGCAATCAAGAAGGGCACCATGGACGAGTGCCTCGACCCGTTCATCCTCAGCGGCGCCAAGGTCCTGGAGGGCGTCGGCAAGATGGTTGTTGTGGCTGTCGGCACCCGCTCGTTCTATGGCAAGATTATGATGGCCATGCGCAACGGCCAGAGCTCCGAGACCCCGCTGCAGCGCAAGCTCGACGTGCTCGCCGAGCAGATCGCAAAGTACGGTATGTCGGCTGCCACGCTGCTGCTGATTACGCTGGTTGTCAAGTACCTTGTCCAGTGCGCCCTCGCCCCCGAGTTCCCGCCTGCCAGCATCATGTTCTCGCACTTTGTCTCCATCGTCATCGAGGCCATCACCGTCGTCGTTGTCGCTGTGCCCGAGGGCCTGCCCATGGCTGTCACCATTGCGCTCGCCTATGCCACCACCAAGATGCTCAAGGACGGCAACCTGGTCCGCCAGCTGTCGGCCTGCGAGACCATGGGTGGAGCCACCGTTGTGATGCACTGATAAGACCGGAACGCTGACCCAGAATCCGCATGACCTGTGGTCCGTGCCTTCATTGCCTGGCAACGAGCTGACGTCGCTGCCGGGCGTTGCTGCCTTCTTCAAGGGTCTGCCCCAGGGCACCAAGGAGCTGCTGATGCAGGGTATTGCCGTCAACTCCACCGCCTTCGAGGGTCCCGACGAGTCGGGCCACATCGAGTTCATTGGCTCCAAGTCCGAGTGCGCCCTGCTGGGCTTTGCCAAGACATGCGGCCAGGACTACCGCTCGGTCCGCGCTGACAACAAGCCCGCCCGCGTGTATCCGTTCTCGTCCGAGAAGAAGACCATGACCACCATCATCCCGCTTGCCAACGGCCAGTTCCGCGTCCACGCCAAGGGCGCCTCGGAGATTGTCCTGCGCGCATGCTCCAAGTATGTCGACGAGAACGGAGATATGCATCCGCTCGACCAGGCGGCCCGCAACCAGGCCCTGCGCAACATCTCGATGATGGCCAACCATGCCCTGCGTACCTTTGCCCTGGCCTTTAAGGACATTTCCGACGACGAGCACCAGCACGTGCAGCGACGAGGACGCGCCGCTGTCCGACCTCATCTGGATCGGTGTCATGGGCATCCAGGACCCGCTGCGCCCAGGTGTCCGTCAGGCCGTCGCTGACTGCCACAAGGCCGGCGTCATTGTCCGCATGATCACTGGTGATAACATCGAGACTGCACGTGCCATTGCCCGCGATGCTGGCATCCTGACCAAGGGCGGCAAGGCCATCACCGGCCCGCAATGGCGCCAGCTGAGCCCCGAGGAGCAGCACGCTGTGCTCCCCCGTCCTGCAGGTCATGGCGCGCTCGTCGCCCCTCGACAAGCAGATTATGGTTGAGCGCCTGCAGGAGCGCAACGAGGTCGTGGCTATGACTGGTGACGGCACCAACGACTCGCCAGCGCTCAAGCTCGCCGACGTCGGCTTCTCGATGGGCATTGCCGGTACTGAGGTGGCCAAGGAAGCCTCCGATATCATCCTGATGGACGACGACTTCAAGTCGATTGTCAAGGCGCTGCGCTGGGGCCGTGCGGTCAACGACAGCGTGCGCAAGTTCCTGCAGTTCCAGCTCACCGTCAACATCACTGCTGTGTTCCTGACCTTCATCTCGATCCGTGTTCAGCGCCGACGGCCAGTCAGCCCTGACGGCCGTGCAGCTGCTCTGGGTCAACCTGATCATGGACACCCTGGCTGCCCTGGCCCTGGCCACTGAGGGCCCGACAGACGAGGTTCTGGACCGCCCGCCACAGCAGCGCAACTCGGCCCTGATCACCTTCGAGATGTGGCGCATGATCATCGGCCAGGCTATCTTCCAGGTCGCCATCAACCTGCTGCTGCTGAACTACGGCCACGAGATCTTCCATCCTCAAGTACACCGACGCAGGGCCTGGCGCAGCTGCGCACCATGGTCTTCAACTCGTTCGTGTTCCTGCAGGTCTTCAACCAGGTCAACTGCCGCCGCATTCAGCCCCACGAGTTCAACGTCTTTGCCAACATCCACAACGACACTGGCTTCCTGCTCGTTCAGGTCGTCGTCATTGGCGTCCAGTGGCTGATTGTCGAATTCGGTGGCATCGCCTTCTCCACCACCTCGCTGTCTGCTGAGCAGTGGCTCGGAACCCTGTTCATTGGCGTCCTGTCGCTGCCCGTCGGCTTCTTCCTGCGCACCCTGCCTGACTTTAGCGCCTGCTTCGGTCTCGAGAGCGCCGAGTCCCCCGCCCAGCAGCACCTGCCCGAGGTCTCGACCACCCGCATGCGCGTCGAGTCCTCGATCCGCGATGTCCAGCGGGCCGTCAGGTTCTTTGGCGCCATCCGCCACTCGCAGCAGCAGCGCAAGGGACAGAACGAGGATGGCGTGAATTTCCTCCCCGACCTGCCCTCGCTGGGCCGCTCGTCCACCCTGCCGACCGAGGGCAACACTCCGTTCATCACCCAGCCTGTGAGCACCAGCAGCTCGTGGACCTAGAGTGCGTACCGCTATCCATACTCCGGGGAACAGCAGCAAGGATAAGGATCTGGAAGACTAAGCTACGTACCATTCAGTGTGGATTCCCTTTCTCCCAAACATTCCCTCGTCTTACCTCTTTTAAAGTCGTTCTTTCTTTCGGTTCTAAGCCGAGCAAAAAAGTTCCATTGAACTCGTCCATGTTTCCGACATGTATGTCGCAAGTGGTTCAGGCAGCTGCAATGGAATATGCTGTCGAATCGCCTGAGGACAACAGCAAGCTTGTGCACTGGGCTATGGATGCTGCCAAATACCTTCATGATAAGCACACTCAGGCGCCTCAACGGACGTGCACACTGAGTTTGCATTTTGGTTGTACAAGAACGAGACATACCCTAAGGGGATATTTGAATCTGCAGGCTTTGAACGTCCAGCCAGCTGTTCCAGCTGCAATGCCAGCCAGTACCACTGCACCTACATGTGCATTCTTTTTGCAGGAATTGAACGCGGCTGTGACATGTACACATGGCATACTGGATACTCTATGCATGTTTATGTCCTGTCTAGGAGCTGCCCCAGCTAATATCCTCGTAGTGCTCAAGGCACGATATGGCGTCTGAGGAATTACTCTGCTCATGCTGTGGCGGCTTGGATGTCTGCTGTTCGTCCTGTGGACTGCTTGTACATTTGTATCATCCTGCTGTCTACATTTCCTACCCAGAGATAGCCATTGGTTTCTTTGATACTGATCATGCTGTAGGACCAATGGGTTTCTCCACATCGTCTGCAATAACCTATTGATCAATTACCAACAGAGGTGCTAGCTGAGGATGTCAGAATAGATGGGGTAGTCTTCTTGCGCAAGTGCTGACTGTGCCGACATGGAGATAAGTGTACTGGGGTCTGGTGGGGTAGAATTGATACGAATCATCAGTGAACGAAAATGTGACGAGACCATGTTTAGCCGCTGGCTTTTGGAGAATATTTGAAGGATGCAAACATGCCGTTGCATTTATACCAAAAAGCCATCTGCCAGATATTTTGCCTGGTCTATTGCGAATGTCGATCACTGGTTGTTCTGAGGGTCCTCTGGTGTAAAAGACGCTGCACAATAAACGAGCATGCCTTTCAAAGGTTTGGACTGTGGATTCCAATAATGAACCTGAGGTCCTTTGTACAGAATGATATGCCAAATATGGCATCTGCTTGCCAGAAACAAGTACGAGTATGGTTAATATCCTTTCTAGTGTCCATTTCTGAGGCATATTCTTTTGGCTCCAGATTACTGTTGAGACAACGCACTCATTAGAACTCTTTAGACGCTGGTAACAGCAATAGGACTGATAGAACAACAGTATCTATCCTACCCGTACTATGCCTCGTCACCCCCTCTACTATCCACAGATTCAGACTGGCCCGTATACCAGTATGGATGGACACTGTTAGGACCCACACCAGTCTAGAGCCATCAGAGAAGCCGATATCCCTATCGTCCAGAGAAGAATATGCTGCATTGGACTGCACTCGGAGTGAGGTTCCATTTCCTTTGGCTTTAGCAAAGGAAGCACACATAGACTGCATTCACTTATCGGAATCCTTTGGCGAGTAGAAGCTGCCCAGAATCAGCTGCCTTGGTTGACTGCTACTAGCAGGATGGATTATCTATATACCTCCTGGAAATCCCTCACATGTGGTAGCTACTATGGTGCACAGTCATCGGTCTATGACACTTTGCTAATCACCAAAGCATCCTGTAGAGCTACTTTTCGCAATATTCGGCAACGTCATGGTGTGTTCGGCAACAATACTGCTCCTGAACGACAAAATAGTCTACAGTTAGCTCTCATCCGCTATGAAGTCTTACAGTATTTCTGCTGGTGATGTTGCATCACCAAAAGAAAAATTAAATGTGAAGGCTTTTCACAGGCAGATCCTGGACATCCTCCATGGCCTGCGGGATAGTATGTCGCTTTCGTATTAGGACATTGGCTTGTTCTTGAGCAAGTTGATCCCTGTTGTTGCAACGATTAGTAATTTGCTGCCATCTGCAGAATCACACCATTGGCACATGGCTCATTTTGTCAGGTCTAGAAAGCAAGTAGGGATGCTAGAAACCAGATGGCAACACGCTATTTATTCAAGTACTGGTATTTCACAATAGTATTCTACCAACCTTCAAACTATATGCAAAAAGCGCCAACATTGAATTTGCAATACCTGCACCATGTAAGTAGTAGCTATTCTGTATTCAAACTCCACCCTTAACATCAGGGCGAGACAGGAAAATGGCCTGCTAGCCAAGTCTAGATGGACCAACATATCTTTTTGCAAAACTAGTGCTACGAAGAAGGAACAAAAGCCAACTAATCATGGAATTTCTTTCAAGATAATGTGTGGAAAGGAAAATATCCAAAATTGGAAAGAGGCGAATCGCCCATTCTGTGTTCAAACTAGTGTTTACCAGCGGGGATTGAGTTAGCTTTGTGTAAAGACATGGCCGATCATACACCCTTTACCACATGAGGATGTACCCAGGACAGCATATAAAAAGCAGACGCTGGCCATCGTTCTTACAACTATCTGCAAACCACCACCTGTTCCAGCACCTATCCCACCACACAGCATCGCTTTGTTATTTTTCTCGCACTATGATAAGCCATAGATTACTGCAATCATCAGAACAAAATGGACGAAGTTGATGACCAAAATAGCCTGATGTCCGTCCTGATACTCGACGGTTTTAATTTCAACGAAACAGATATCACTGAACAGAGGGTTATCACACTTGATGACATCAACGAACTGGGTAGCCGAGGATGATGAAAGAGGTAGTGCAGTGTATGGAGACAGCGCATATTCAGAGGACGAAGACATAGGGTCGTTCGATGGATGAAAGTAGTGATGCCACCCAGTATTATGTTTCAGGCGAGGATTACTGAGTCAGACCAGTCAGAGGAAGGATCGAACCAAGAGGGATATGAATATGATAGTGGTCGACTCCGCAGGCTAGCAGACTCCCTCTTGATTCACAACACGCAGCAATATTATTATTGCACCGCTCCGGAGCATAGATGGCTAAGCGATAGCGATTTGATGATAGACGGTGTTGTCGCTATTGTGACATGTCGCTGTTTTCATCCTGAGCATCGTAAAAGGCTGAAGGGAGAATTGAAGAAGATGAATCGGATATGCGAGACTGCTATATCAGAAATCGTCTGATGCCTGCCACTATGATGTCGACGCACTTCCAAGCGACTCCCACGTAGCCGCCAAATGTCAAACCTTGGGAGAGAGAGCAGCTTAGAAAATTAGGTGAAAAGGTGAAGATGCTGTATGAGTCTGCGTATGACGAAGCTCGCGCAATTTTCATGATGCAGAAATATCATGAAAATGAAGACTACTGCAAGTTTTGTCAGTACGTGGCCCGAGCGCTCCTTTCGCCGCTGCACTATAGGAATTTCCTGGATAGAGAGACAATACTCAGAGTGCATGTTCTAACTCGCAAGGAGATAGTGCTCGAGAAGGTCGGCTATACGGAATGTCTCTATTCCCAAGTGCATCAGCGTGTTTATAACTTGCATCCCAGCATAAGTGCATTCAAACCGAGACAATTCCAAGATAAGGAAGGTGCTTGAACCCCTCATACAGTAGCAAGGCTATATGCCAATTGACGCCCATCCCTGTTTTACAATAAAACTTGAAGGTGTTATTATGTTTGGGTCAGCTTGATTAAACCTCATATACCGCTTGACAACTAACTATCTGTGGCTCACATATCCGGTTTGGCATGCTTACAAACTGCGTTGTTAAGGCAGCTCTAACTACTGTTGCGGTGATGTGCTGACAAGCCAAACCAAACCGAATCAGTTGCAGATAGGCTCAGTCTGGCCTTTGTAGCGCCCCAGTGGTCCGCGTTCAATACTGGCAGGTAATGTTTTCTATATAATTCTTCAAACTCGACTCCCTGAGTATGAAAAGAAGGGAACCCACGGGCCTCCCGTTGAATTCCCTATCGAATATATATTCTCGTATTTTGATAACATTCTAACTGGTCTCCCACTACCGGTCTCAGCCCCTCTCTACAACATTAGAATGGCCAGCACTACCAAAAATATATACTTACAGATTTTGCTATGTACCTGGTATTTACAATAGTGGTCCATATGATAATTCCTTTAGTATAATTACCATGTACCTCATAGAATATGTCCACATTATGTATTCCTAGCCATCAGTACCATGTACCCGTTATCGGATTCGCACACCAGTAGTCCTCTGCTAGATTGCTACAGGCATAGCTGGTATCCTCAGCAACTTCCCTGGTACAACGCCTTCAATATATTTATCAAACTCTTCTCACACTCGAGGAGCCATGCAAATGGTTGTTGAGGGAGTTGAGCAAGTGGATCTATCAGCAGCTGTGTACATAGTAAAAGGTGTTCATTCGCCATTCTTCCTGAGGGAAAGGCTATGACAATAAGGTGTCGTATTGTGGTGTCTAGTGTGCTCAGCACCTTTTTGCACTTGCTCTTGTCTAATAGTAACATAACGCTTCTCTTCATAAATATTAATACTTTGTCCCAACACTAGGACTATCAATAACATCGGCAGTATGCATTATAGGTGCCATTAGAAAGACATTTATCTAGACGATATGACAAGCAATACCAGTTTTGGTATTAGTGCGCCTTGTTTCAATGCTGCTGCCAGAGCACCATTCCAACACTGACGAGAGCCTTGGCCACGGGTACCTGAGGAAGCATTGTGGCAGCCAAGGTCACCGAGTACAACGGGGCTCTTTGGAAAGGGAATTCACTCATGGCATTGGTCCGCTGGGGAATTCAGAGCACATGAAAAGTGCGGCTGCACTCAGGGGTAAGGGTCTGGGGTCGACAGCAGTGCGCTTTAGGCCCATGCTATCTTTTATTTGTTTTCTCTTTTTATTTTTATTTTTTCGCCATAACTGTACCCTGAAATGGGGAAGCGTAGTTTGCCCTGCAAGCCCACAACAATTCGGCTCAAAAGGGTGGGTACTTCTTTGTGTCATTACAGGCCTCCTCTCTGCTTTATAACTCTGACAATGTCTCGATTGTCCCTAAAGAACCCGCTGCTGACGCCCAGCCAGATTCTGCCAGTCGCCGTCGCAGAAGCGTGGGATGACGCGGGAGCTGGAGTCAGACATGCGCGCTTACGGGTGCCACCTGATCGAGTCCTCTGGGATAGTCCTACGGGTTCCTCAGGTTGTCATGGCCAGCGCACAGATCATGTTTCAAAGATTCTACTACTTGGCGTCATTCACAGAGTTCTCGTTGCGCAGCACCGTACTCGGCGCGTTGTTTTTGGCCTGCAAAGTCGAGGAGAATCCGCAGACTGTGCGCAATATCATCAATGTAGTCGATATTATTATCAAGCGCGACCGTGGGTACCCAGAGATCGTGACTGATGGATACGACAGCGAGTACTACGATCTGAAGAACGAGATGATTATTGGCGAAATGCAGGTGTTGCGCATGCTCGGGTTCAACGTACAGGTCGAACTGCCATACGGACTGCTGGTAAATTATATGCAAAGCCTCAATCTCAGTAGCCACCCTAGAGTCCCACAGCTAGCGTGGAACTACCTCAACGACCTTTTGAGAACGCCGATATACGTGTGCTTCCAGCCCGACACAATTGCCTGCGGCGCGATATACATGGCAGCATATGAATGTAATCTACAGCTTCCCATGTCGCCGCCATGGTGGATTATTTTCGATGCCAACGGCGAGGATGTGGTTCAGGTTGCAAAAACTATAAAGGCGCTGTACCAGCGCAGTTTGCCGCGTGTGATGCCGCTCACAGTAGATGAACTAAAAATCTGCATCCAAGGCACGCTGGAGCATCATGTGGCAGATATCAGGAAGCGGCGACACGAGCGACATGATGAGATGAGCCAGCCGCAGACAGATGTAGAGATTGCGAGCGCGAAGTCGCTGCCTAAGGAGATAGCAAAGAACACATATAGCAGCAGGAAACGGACAACACCGCCGCGGTCTCGCTCTCGGTCGCGATATGCGAAAAGGTACAGATCCCGGTCTAGATCCCGGTCCCGGTCTCGTTCGCGGTCTCGCCGTAGTCGGTCCAGGAGAAGACGATCGCCATCTTCACCACGGTATGGCAGCAGGGACTACAGCCGGGATGGGCATCGGAGCAGGGACCGCCGTAGAGCCCGAGAGTACGACAACGACAATGAGAATGGCTATAGATCGCGCCACCGCAATGAACGGCATGGGCGTGGCTACAACACGCAGCGTCGGCACTACTAAGTGAGTCTTTTATTAGCCTAGAATTGAGACACTCTGATTTTCCTTAGCGAAGCGTGATACCCAGGCGCTGGACCATCTGGCCTCTGACGCGCTCCTGGATCTCGTTGATTTCCTCATGCGTGACATTGCGGTCCATAGAGCAGTAGTTGATGCGGTAGCAGCGGCTGGATTTGCCAGTTTTCGGATGCGTGAACTCGTCGACAAGTTTGACACCCTCGGCCAGATCGCCAGCGATATCCCGAATCAGATCCATGAGGTCGTTCTCATGGAATTCGCCACCCTGAGGCAGCCAGAAGCTGACGTCCTTTGGGCACGGTGGATGCCGCGAGAACGACTTGAATGTGTTGATCTGGCCAGGCGCAAACTGGTCGGTGAAACGAGGGTCAGTGCTCCAGAACAGGCGAATGTCGGGCACGCCAAACAGCAGCATCGCCAGACGCTCGAGACCAAACCCGAATGCCCAGCCTACACGGTCGGTCATCCCAGCGTCACTCAGGATCTTCTGCTTCATGATGCCGCAGCCGCAGATCTCCAGCCACTCGCCTTGGAACAGCACCTCCATCTCCCAGCTGGGGCTAGTGAATGGGAAGGTCGCGTCGATCCAGCGCACTGGGAACTCAGTCTGCGTGTTGTCGGCATTGCCTGCAGTCCTTTTGGCGGCGACGGCTTTGGTCAGAATCTGCACAACCATGTTGTTCATTGTCTGCTTCATGTCCTCTACAAGGAAAGCGACCTCCTCGTCGGTATGCTCGGGCTGCTTTGGGTTTTCGCTACTAATAACGGTTGTGTCTGAGACCTGGGCCGCGGAGCTGGTCGAGGAATTGGGCGATGACGCAGCAGCTTTGATCTTTTGGATCTCAGCACGCGAGAACGTGCAGACGCCCTCCATCTGGTGGAACACCGGGTAGTGGCTGGCGTCAATCTCGTCGCGGCGATACACATCGGCAGCAACCAGGAACCTCTCGTTCATGGGCGCTGCGCTGCCATTCCTTGCATGGTCCAGCAGGCTCCTGTCACCTTTCTTTCCGGCCTTCAGCAGCTGGAGCTGGTGAGCCGATGTGTGCGTACGAAGCAGCATGTTTTCGTTAATGTAGTACGTGTCGGAGCGCGACCTGCCGATGTGGTCTTGGGCGAACCCCAGCGAGTCAAAGTTGTTGTACGTCGACACGTCCGGGGTAATCGCATCGTAGTGAGCAAAGGTCGGGAACTCCTTAAAGATCAGCTCCTTCAAGATCGCCAGCGGGTGCGCCGGCTGGTGCAGGAGATTGCGCCCAGTCTTGTCGAGAATCGTGGGCGTTACATTTGTCCAGTTGTCGGCAGCATAGGTGGATCCGAGGATCTGCAGTTTGCTGGGCTCGCTGGCGGCATTGCGTAGAGTGCGGGTGGTAGAGAGCGACGCGCGCTGGATCGAGAGCGAGGGTTTCGCGGGCTGAAAACGGGCATGGGCTACCACGCGTGACACGTAGGTTCTACCCGAATTCAGCATGCAACGCTGCAGCAGTCTGGCGCTGACTGCCTTTTGTCTGATCTGCGATAGCATGGGTGAAGCGGCTAATAGCGAAAGGAGGCTGCGAAGCTGAGAAGCAAGCAGCAGGCGCATGAGGCGAAAGGGCTGTGTGATTACGGCAAACTCGGCCTCCAAGCTCCGATAGAATCTTGATCACAATCACACCCCAATCATCGATCTCTAATCAATGCTGGGAGCCTTCTACAGCAGCCAGGTAGTGCCACTGTCGACGGAGCTCCCTCTCCCTTCGCAGCTACTACTATCGAGTATTTTCTGTTCATATATTTTGGAATAATGCAATTGGCGCTACCCGGGGTATTTGGCAATGGGCCGCGGAGCATGGTGCTAGCAGCATCGGTTAGTGCAGCGTCGCTGGTTGCCTGCGCGCTCATGCTGGCAGCAGCTAGCAGCGGACCAAAAGCACAGTCGCGCAAGGGCAAGGGCGACCGCAAGAAGCGGACCAAAGGCAGGTGCACCAGAGCCACTCCGGAAGAATGCACGTAGCGGTACATGCTAATGATATCGAGACTCTGTAGTGTACCTGCGCGGGCTATACAACCTGGGGAACACCTGCTTCCTTAATTCCACGCTACAGGTATGCCCAACCCCCTCTCCGCACATTCTCCTGGACAATCCAATTTCCAGGAAGCACTGGTGTCCTGCTACTGCGCCCTCGTGTGCGTTAACGAGATTTGCACACACCCTCTTTTGTAGTCGCTGGCGTCGCTGCGCGAGTTTGAGCTGTACCTAGACAACTGCCTGGAGTTTTTGGCCGAGGATGGCGTGGTGCGCAGTAATTCGGTTGATAAGGCGATATGCGCGCAGCTGAAGCTTGTGATGGATGAGCTTGCGCCTCAGCAGAGGCGGGTTAAGGCGCTTTCGCCACGAATGCTAATAAGCAGTTTGAGTCAGAAGGGCAGGTGGGTGTCGAGCATGGGAGAGCAGGACGCACAGGAGCTGTTTCAGATGATTTCGAGCACGCTGCAGTCGTCGAGGCGCGAGTCTGATGCATCCATATTCAACTCGGGATTCCTTACAAAGGTAAGAAAGGGCCTTGGTAGCTGTGTGTGGGCTCCCTTTGACATAGCTGTGGACTAACACCCGTGTCCTTTAGAGCGAGCCGATGAAGAGTAGCGTGATTTCGATACCCAGCAGCGACGGTAAATCAGAAGGGCCACGTACAGCAACTCCAGGGAGCCAGGTTGAGACGAGTTACTCGGGCAGCACAGCGACCTGCCGTATGCCGCCATTCTCCAATCCCTTGCTAGGCATGGCCGCCAGCCGCATCGCCTGTGTCAAGTGCGGATATACAGCAGCCATCCGGCATTTCACATTCGACAACCTGTCGCTAGCCGTGCCGAGGGCCAGCACGACTACCATTGAGGCGTGCCTGGGCATGTACACTGTAATTGACCGACTCGACGATTTCAAGTGCCGACACTGCACATTGACAGCGACCCTACACAAAATCAAACAAGATATTGCGCACCACCAAGCTGAGCTGGCAAACACGGAGAGCGAGTCGAAACGGGCAAAGCGGCACATTGCGGCTATCAGCAGGCTCAGCGACCAGCAGGACGAGGTCGCAAAGGCACTGGCGACTAACCCGGAGACCAACCTCAAGGGCATCGAGCTGGTGTCGCCGCCCCCTGGCGTGTCAACAAAGCAGACAATGATTGCACGGACGCCCAAGATCCTGGTTCTGCATCTGTCGAGATCGATATTCACGTCCAGTGGCGATATGATCAAGAACCCGGCACGTGTGCGGCTGCAGCTCCTGCTCGACATCTCGCCGTTCACAACCACGGGGCATATCAACACCAATGCATCAGCGCCGATTTCTGGCCCGCAGCCGCTGAGTGCTGCGTCGAAGGCGGAGGCCAAGCGCAACAACTGCCTGTACCGGCTGTCGGCCGTCGTAGTCCACGCTGGATCGCACCACTCGGGCCATTTTTATGCGTACCGACGGGTGGCAGGTGAAGACGAGAAGATGGAGGCGCCAGGAAAGTGGTTCTGTATATCAGACCATACCGTGGCGGCTGTGTCGCTCGACCATGTGCTGGCCTCTGGCGACGCCTACATGCTGTTCTATGAGCGCCTTTAGCTCTTCTTTTTTGAGCGCCCGCAGGCATCTGGCGTGCTAGTGCGTAGTCTCATTGGAATCACGTGGATTAGATTTTCGGCTGTGCCCAATGGCCGGCGGATTTGGGCTGGCCACGTAATTACCCTGTCTGCTTGCGCGTCCCGGCGTGTTTCCAGTATCCAAGCCCGTCCTGCTAATTCGCCAGCACCTTTTTCCTGCGCCCTCTTCTGCTCAGCTCTTCAATTTACATATCTTTGTTTTCTCCACCGCAATCAGAATTATAGCCAACACTTCAACATGGGTGACATGGACGCTTACAGCTTCTCGCTTACGACATTTGCGCCAAATGGTAAGCTTCTTCAGATTGAGCACGCGCTGGCAGCGGTCAGCAATGGCTCAACGAGCGTCGGCATCAAGGCAGCCAACGGCGTGGTGATCGCAACAGAGAAGAAGGCAGGGTCGTCGCTGATCGAGGTGTCGACGCTGGAGTATGTGGTCAAGGTCTGCGACACCATCGGCATGGTGTACTCTGGCATGGGCCCCGACTTCCGTGTCCTTGTGAACGCAGCGCGCAAGTCAGCGCAAAAGTACCGTCGGATCTACATGGAGGACCCGCCCGTGCGTATCCTGGTGAAGGAGCTGGCGAGCATCATGCAGGAGTTTACGCAGTCGGGAGGAGTGCGGCCGTTCGGCGTCTCGCTGCTGCTGGCGGGCGTGGACGAGCGCGGGCCGAGCCTGTACCAGGTGGACCCCTCGGGATCCTACTTCCCGTGGAAGGCGACGGCAATTGGCAAGAACATGATTAACGCCAAGACGTTCCTGGAGAAGCGGTTCAACGGCGACATGGAGCTTGAAGATGCTGTGCACACAGCAATTTTGACTCTGAAGGAGGGGTTCGAGGGCCAGATGACTGAGACGTCGATTGATGTCGGCATTATTGGCGGCCTTGGTGTCGAGGGTGGGGCAAAGCCGACGTTCCAGTGCCTGTCACCGGCCGAAATCAAGGACTACCTGTCCAACATTGTCTGATATGCTGGCGCGTGCAATGTTCTCTCCTGCTAGGCACGCCATCACTCTTCTCTTGGACAATTTTCTGAATACAAAATGCTTTTTTTTTTTCACAATAGCACTGAAGCGGCTTCTGCCGATACTGGTACGCAATTTATAGAGGGTGAGATCTAGAGTAGGAAGGACGCACGGCTTAGTTGCCGTTCGGATCGAGCACGACGCCAACCTGGGCAGGCCGGAGAACGCGGCCCTTGATGATGTATCCGCGCTTCTCGACGCTGAACACAGTGCCCGGCTCCTTGCCCGGCATGGGCACCTGGTACAGCGCATGACTGGTGTTCGGGTCATAGACCTTGTCGATCGGGTCAAACGACTCGACGCCGTGGCGCTCCAGGGTCTTGAGCAGGTTGCCCATGGTCATATCGACGCCCTCGAACAGGTCGTTGAGCGACTTGTGGTTGGTCTTGTCGGACAGGTGCTCCTTCGGCACGTGCTTCAGCGCCAGCTCCAGGATATCGACGGTATCCAGCAGGTCCTTTGCGAACTTCTGGATCGCAAACACCTTCATGTTGTCGAGCTCGGTTTTGCTGCGTGTGCGCAGGTTCTCGGTGTCTGCCAGCGACCGCAGGTACGCGTCCTTGAGCTCCTTGATCTTCGCGTCTTTCTCCTCCACCTGCTTCTGCAGCTTGGCAAACTCCTCGGCGCTCACCGCCTTAGCCTCTCCGGCCTTGGCCTCCTCAGCCTTGGGCGACGCCTCGTCTGCGGGCTTGTCGGAGTACTGGCGGCGCGCGAATGCGGCAGATCTGACGGCGGGAAGGCGGGTCATTACTGACGGCGACCGATAAACTTGGGACAGGGCAGTACGGAACATGATCTGTATATTTTTATGGCTGGCTTGTAGCTGAGAGTAATTACAAAAAGAAACGGCTGACTAGAGAAGAAGAAGAAGATAAAGATGAGCCAACTGTAGCAATCTGGCCCCTCTCACCCATTTAAGGGGCGTGCTGGATCGGTGGATGCTTACGCTCATTTTTCCATGACTGTAAAAGTTGACCCAAATCCACTCGGCTTTTCCTGTGATTGCTAAATCTGACAGCGACCAACGCGCAGAAACACACCCGCTGGTTTTCTACCACCATTCCCTTTATTTCAGCACATACATGTCTTCCCGTAGTCATTACAGAGATAGAAGCAGAGACAGGGGCAGGGGCAGAGATAGGTCCCGCGATCGGTCGCGCAGAGACCGTGCATATAGCCCACCACCGCTGGACAAAAACCAGGAAGACGGGCACTACCGGTCACGCTCTCCGCACTCGCATCGCAGCCGACGCCGGTCACCACTCCCACCTCCCCCCACATTCGACGACAGCCGGCGGCCACGGCACGGTGGCGGCCGCAGTCACCACCCTGATCCTGCATACCTGGAAGAACGCCGCCGACAGCGCGAAGAAATCGAATTCAGCATCTGGCCGCCATCACCAACCGCATCGCAAGACGAAGACGATAGGGCTGCCGAGGAGCGTGTGATTGCGCGCAAGCAGGGGAAGTACGAGGAAGTGGATAGCGACATTACGGAGTCAGAGTTGAGCGAGGCGGAGAGCGAAAAGAAGAGCAGGAAGCACAGGTCTAGTAGATCGAAGCACCGCCGGTCAAGGAAGCACAAAAGCTCGTCGAGACGACGCCGCAGAAGCTACTCGGACTACAGCGATGAGTATTCAGACTATTCAGGTTATTCGTCAGACAACCGGCGGACCAAATCGCCGCACAGATCGAAGGATGCGCGTAAATCGAGGTTGCCGAGCAAGTCGCCTGAACCAGCACCCGCGGCAGACATTGCACCGCAGGAGGGGGATTCTTCTGACGACGGAATCGGGCCAATGCCGACAGATGAGCGTGTTCCTGAGCTTACTGAGCGCAGCTTTGGTGGTGCCCTGTTGCCGGGCGAAGGCTCGGCGATGGCGGCGTTTGTACAGTCGGGGGAGCGGATCCCGCGCCGCGGCGAAATCGGCATGGACCCGAACCTGATCGAGCGTCTAGAAAAGTCTGGTTACGTGATGAGTGGAAGCCGCCACCACCGCATGAACGCTGTGCGCGTGCGCAAGGAGAACCAGATTATCAGCGCCGAGGAGAAGCGCCAGCTACTGCTGTTCAACCAAGAGGAGCGCAAGAAGAAGGAAGCGCAGCTGATTGCGGATTATAAGGAGATGCTGGAAAAGAAGAAGTAGACAAGCTTTGGAGAACTTCTCTGCAAGGGCAGCCTCTATTTCAGGCTACTACAGTCGCTACTCTCGCGGCCAGATACGCAAATATATTGTGGTGGCTCCTGCTGCAATTAATTGCTGGTTATTTATACCCTCATAGCCCTGAGCAGTTTTGCGGGTATACAGCCTTGTTGCATCAATAAATGTCGCACTCGGTCTTCGTCTTCGGCTACAGATCCGTCAGGAACACCTCAGTCCAGTTTCTCTCCCATCAACACACTCACGCACTTGTTCATATCGCTACATAGAACACGCCAGATGTTGGTCAAGGTTGCTACCTCAGTCCTCTGCTATGCCGCCATTGCCAGTGCTCAGCACCGTTGGAATGGACGAGCAGGCATCTCCACTAAGACTCCATCGATAGAGCCAGCAACTGCTAATACTGCTGCGCCAGCAGTCTCTATCATCAGTGCTCCAAAAACCACCCACGCCCCCTTACCTGCTGTTGAGACGACTCCTGTGTCCCCAAATGCCCCAGCAGATGCCCCAATACCCACCCTACCTGCCGCACCCGACAACATGTTCCCCGACTACCGCCCATACTACGGCGGTGGGTACCACTATCCCGATCCGGTTACAAACACACTCCGAACCGAGATCTTCTCGACCTCTGACCTGAACCCGCTGGCACAGTATGAGAGCCGCGACGTCACTGAAATCAGCACTATCGTTATCCACCCGGCAGTGCCCACAAGCTGGGCTGCTTCCGACTTGCCACCAATAAGCTATCCCTCCAAGCCAGCTGGCCTGAACGATGACGAGCATCCCGAGACACAGCAGAGCATGTTGGCCAAGCGCCAGTACTTCACGCCTACCACATACACAAACTACCATTCAGTCGACTACACCAAAACCGAGGTCGTTGGCCCCATCTCTGTGTCAACCCAGATAGATATCGTCAATGCCCACCACGAGACCACGATCGTGCCACCAGGTGCCAATATTGCTGACCCACCATCGTCGACAAGCAAGCAGGCTGTCCCACGGCCACCGATCAGAAAGGGTGTCTTGGAGCCGCAGGAACTGCGTAAGCGTTGGTACGGGTTTGAGAGCACAATTACAAACTGGATTAGCCACGCGACCTACTCGACGGTGATCGTGGGCTCGCCAGTGATGATAGAAGAACGCACCAATACCGAGTACTGGGACCAGGCTGTGTCCCCACCCAGCCTATTCGCCACGCCCCCATCATCTCTCGCTGTAACCCTGTCACAGCCCACACCTACCAAGCCGAACCGGGTCAAACGCTACTATGGCGACTCCACAGTCACCAACAGCGTATATGACGTTACGCGCGTCAGCAAAGTGCTGGACAAGGACATTTCGACAGTAACATATATTGTCAACGACTCTGTTGTCACCACTATCGTTAACCCGGTGCACTCAAGCTCCAACTACTACCCGTACTATCCATAAATTGCAACAGTTTCTAAATGCTATAATTTCTTTGTGATAAGAGCTCGGCTGCTAGTCAGCATGGTTTGACACGTCGATAAGAGCATCACGGCGAACCGGTCATTTGAACGTGTCGGATGGTTGTTGGTGCAATGGTGATCCTGGACACCTCCAGTCTTAGTGGCCTGCTCAGCGCGGGTGATTCTGCATTGGTTCGCCACTGCTGGCAGCAGAATCGCCTGTAGAAGCAGCACATCTCTTGCGCGCCCTCTTTATTGCCGCCGTGGCGCCAGAAGCATCAGTAGCAATGACTGTAGAGCAGCAAAATCGTCCAGGAATATCGCCTGAAGCACTGAGTGACTGGAAAATGAGTATGAAGTTTAGAACCGCTACGAGATCACGATTCAAGAGCCAGGAAGAATACGCCCTCCTCCCTTATATTATGCCATGGCCCGCTTACATAACTCGCCTGTGCAGCTGAGAAAGTCATAGTGCTTGAACTTATCGCGCCATCCCTTTCCACGGATCGGCACATGGTGTCGGACCACCGGTGCACCTCAATTACCCATGATTAGTACTGGACCTGGCCCGAGCTTGCTCCGGATTTTCGTGGCAAGCCAACGATTCCAATTCTAAGCACCGAGGATCCGGGAGTGATTCGTTTATTGGACTACTGGATCTGCAATATGCGAAGGAGCTAAGACGAATGGCATTTTGATATATGGTTCTGGATTCGATCTTTCCAGTACTTTCCAGATATATTTGACCCCTTAAGATCTTGATAATACCGTTTTAGGTGCTCAGAGCGAGTAATGCATACTCGCTGAGGCTCAAAAGAGCGCGAATCCTTTCAGTCAATAATAACGCTCTAGCGGACGGTCAAACACATTTTGGACTATAGAATCCTGTATATAGCAGATGCTGCGAAACGTGATATCCACTTCTCCTGTTGGCTAGAGGGGTCATAAATTCTCATATTGAACTACTCTACAAAAGGGGACGAATGTGAGCTCAATATTTCTAGAGAATTTAGGCGGCGATGTGCTTGAGGTGGGCCTCCAGGGGGCCGCGGGTGTTCAGGTACTTGACGTAGCAGCCGTCAGCCTTGACCAGACCGTTCTGGCGGGCCTCAACGTACTCGGCGCGGGTCAGCTTGGTGAAGCCCCACTTCTTGGAGATGATGATCTTCTGGCGACCCGGGAACTTGTACTTGCAGCGACGCAGGGCCTCGATGACCACAGCCTTGTTGTTGTCCTTGGTACGGACCGAGATCAGGACCTGGCCAATATTGACACGAGCGGCAGTACCGTACGGCTTACCGTAGGCACCACGCATACCGGTCTGAAGACGGTCAGCACCGGCGCACGAAAGCATCTTGTTGATACGCAGGACGTGGAACGGGTGAACGCGGACGCGCATGTGGAACGAGTCCTTGCCCGACACCTTGGTGATGTACTTGTTGGCGCTAATGCGGGCAGCCTCAAGAGCCTCGCTCGAGATCTGCTGGTACTCGTCCGAGGTCAGGTGGATGCACAGCGGGAACTCGTCGACGTTAGCCTTCTTGCGGCCCAGGTCGAAGATGCGGATCTTGGGGTCGGGGACACCACGGCAGAAACGCGACTTGGGGTACGGCTTGTTCTTGCAGTAGCGGTAGCAGCGAGCGGGACGGCGACCCATGGTTGGTAGCAAATAAAAGCAATACGAATTCGAATTGAGACTGTTCAAAAAAGTGTATATAAATACAGCTGTTGGATAAAAAGTCAAGGAGAGGCGGGTTTTGAATGCTAGCCGCTGCGCCTGTTTTATATAGGGCGCTAGAAGCACGACGCCAATTTGTCAGCACTACGAAAAATAAATATTCGAGCCAATCAGTTACCGGCTGTGCTGCGATTACTTCTAGACTGCTGCGGTCCAGCGTTTTAGTGTTTTCGGGATACATCCTGGTGTCCTGCATTGGCGGAGGAAAGAGTCGTATTTATAATCGGCGTTGGCAGGGGAATATGTGGGAGTTTATATTGACTAAAGGACAGCCTCCTTTATTCAGTTGTGCTTGGAGCGCTTTGCAGCCGGCGCATCTTCCGGATCAGCATCAGCCTCAGAGTCATCAGCAGCACCTGCAGCCAGCTCCACCTCATTGTCACTCGGCGTGTACTCGATGACTGAAATCACATCGTCGTCATCCGAATCGTCGGTGCCAATGAAATAGGTGCCGGCATTCGGGAACAGGTCATTGGCAAACAGGTCGGCGAGCTCCGAGCCGTTTGCATCGGTGAACCAGCAGAAGAAGCTCGACATGTCCTCGTCGTACAAGTCGCCCTTGTAGTCATCGCCGGTGGTCTGTGTTGACGTCAGGTCCTTGCCTTCCTTCCAGTGGATCTTGTGGTTCGTGACGTGGACGTTGTCCTTGTCTGAGAAGTCAAACTCCTTGACGAGCTGTTTGTCTGTGAAGTACGGGTTCTCGCTGAACGAGAAGATCACTTTGTAGTTGATCGGGTTTGCCGGAGACCGCTCAATCTCGATGTTCTCCAGATGCGAGATCACCTAGAATAATATTGAAGAGCACACCGCATTAGATGATATGCATTTTTACCGACGGAACAAGCGCCACATTAAAGTCAGGGTTTCAGGCTTACCTCGGCATCCTCCATCTCGACCAAGGATGCTACAAACAAAGGGGGGTTGGTGGTAGAAACCAGGGAGCGTGGTGGTTCCCAATTAAGCAAGACGAATAGCGCAAAGAGGAGAGAAAGTAGAAATTAATGCGATCGACAGTCTCGATGGGCAAAATACCGCGCACAGACGCGAAAAAGGAAGGACTGCGAAATGGACGGAAGGGGGAGAGAGCTTGTAAACTTACTGATGATCGGGTGCTTCTCAAGCTACAATTGCAAACAAGGAGCCGGCCAGGATGCACGTTTCCAGATCGGAGGTTGTTAGTAAGAGCACAGTCATGCAGGTTCATCCACTAATAGCTGCGCGAGCAGACTCATTAATACTTACGCATGTGAGCCAGAACTTTGGGATCTTGGCAATCACGCCCTGGCGCTTCTTGTACAGAGGCGCCTTCTTGAGCTCATACTTTGCGTGCAGCGCGGCCTCCTCGTCAACTACATTAAGGGTTGGCATTAGCAGCTCGGCATGTTAGTTTCGACGTGCCCTATATAGTCCTTCATTATATCTGCTTCGAAACGATGTGCATTAGGACATACCGAGTTGCTCGACAATAACGTTGATCTCGTTGTTCACAGATTCGAGTTCAGTGAGCTGTGCCTCGTTGATAGCAAAGTCGTTTCCGTTCTCAGCAGCCATCGTGTACTCTGGGTGTCTGGTTCGTTTTGTGTTGCGCGGGTCTGCAAAGCCACTCCTATATATCCTGCGGGCGAGTGAATACGGGATGCACGAAAAGAGAGGTGGTAGAAATGTCAGGCGGGCGGAGCAAGTGCGCAAACAGTAAGGATGCAGAGGAGAGCAACGCGAAGAGAGCGTCGGCAGACACATCCTGTCTTGGGCATCCCTCCCTGCACCATCAGCAAAACGAACTTTTTTGAAAATCCCTTGAGTTGATCCGCTGATTTCACTCGCTAATTTATTATTGATCCTTGGACCGCTACTAATTATTGACAAAAATGACTAATGGCATGCCAGATATAACATTCATCGTCGAAGCTAGAGTAGCACCTTGTATGAACATCAGCATATGCTCTCGATTGAGATGTTTATATTTCGACATGATTTTCTAATCATTTACAATGGCGTTCTTTTCGCAGTTGCCACTGTGTTCCTGATCATCTTCTGGTTGATGATTAGCAAGAGATTGCTCGATGATGTTTGAATAAATCAAGGTTTGTTTCATGTTTGTACTCGCCAGTTTGGCTGTTGCTGGTCAGCTGCTGGACAAGCTGTCCAGTGAAGAAGGACACAAACAAGAATCCAATAGTACTAGGGAGACGCTTGGGACCATAGACACTAGCTGCAACTACCGGTGCTAGAGCGATCATGCTGCCACCGAAAACTCCGACTCTGACTGCCCTTCGAGAGTACTGCAGTCCTCATTGCAGCAGCTTTGTTCGAACAGCGCAAATGTTGCCAGCGACGAGAAAATAATGGATGTGTTTATTGGGCCAATGCATGCCGCCAGGACACCAGGGAGCAGACGTCCAAAGACCCCAGCAGTGACTGTGATCCCGAATAAGAACAGCATAATAAACCTGATATCGCCTAGTATGGCATAGTCGACAGACCTCCTGCGTGGCGGTGCTTCAATCCGTCGCTTCATCGGCAGCGTTGCACTACCGCACAGGGCAATCTGTATCAGGTCTGAAATGCGCAACGCCCACCGGTGTCTGTGGCTCTTGATGATGGCCCGCATGGCAAACGACTGCCATATCCCGCCTACTGCGCTTCCACTAATGGCAATGCCCACTATGCGAATATCGGTGCGCTCCATCATCGGGCCAAAGATGATTCCACAGAAAAAAGTAAGGCCAATTTGCATGGTACTTATCCATGCCAGCGTCGACGACAGGGTACCAGGAAACTCTTTGGTGAGGTATTCGTCCATGTACACACCAGACGATGCAGCTGTGCCCATAGATATCATTGTGTAAATGAATGAAGCGGCGGTGACTAGCCATTCACCAACAGAGTCAGATTCTGAAATAGAATCTCCAGCAGTTCTGTCATTTGGCAAGATGTGCTTGTTGGCTGCCTGAGCAGCATTCATTAATACCATGCTCTCGGTAGCAGCGCTGTCTTGCATGGGCATGAGGATAGAAATTAAGGGTTAAGCAGAGAAATGGTAGTGCTCACTTCGCGTATCAATCCTGCACCCTTTGAGTACTATCAATGACTAGTAGCATTGGCAGATGAGAGGCTTTCCATGGGTAGCAATGTATGCGGCAAGGGAAAAAGAGGTTGGAGCTACGTCGCTAGTTCTAAACTTCACTGTATTCGCCACTATGCTGAGCATAGTTGCACCCGTGATAAGTCTTCACAAAAACGAGCCCGACCAACGAGACTACGGATGATTCGGTCGAGTTCCTCAGTGGTGAACAGCAGCCGAAATACACTCAGGCTGTTAGATACACACAAGGGTTGCTCGACTACCGCTACCATTTGGGACACAGCATGGCCTTGGCCACTAAAACCATGTCTTGAAGCAGATGATCCCCCTCTTCACCCATTCCCTGCTGCACTACCATATCAGAGCCTGCCACCAGCAACATAATCAAAAAGAGGTGAATAGTATTGCAATTGCCAGCCAAGCATCTAGGTGTCTTACTTCTTCTCAGCCAGCTTCTTCTGGTACTCCTTGACCATGTCTTCTTGGACGTTCGGCAAGACAGGCGAATGGCGCTTGTACTCCATCGAGAACTCACCCTTGCCCTGCGTGGCCGACCGCAGCTCAGTCGAGTAGCCAAACATGTTGTTGAGCGGGACCTCGGCAGTCACGACGCAGTAGTCTTCTTGGGTATCCGTGTCGACGATAATGCCCTTGCGCTTATTGACGGATCCCAGGACGCTTCCCTGGAACTCAATCGGGGCCGACACCTCGACGGTCATGACTGGCTCGAGGACGCGGGGATTGCTCGCCTTGAATGCCTCACGGAACGCATAGAAGCCAGCGAGGCGGAACGCCAGTTCGCTGGAATCGACCGAGTGCGCAGCACCGTCCTTGAGCACCATGCGCACACCAACGATCGGGTGGCCAACCATGAATCCCTCATGCAGGCCATCGTAGAAGCCCTTCTCGCAGGCTGGAATGTACTGTGTCGGGATGTTTCCGCCAACAACGTTGTTGACGAACTCGTGCGGGGTCTCGGCGTGCTCCTCCGGGTCGATCGGCTCAATATAGCCCTGGACACGACCAAACTGACCGGCACCACCAGACTGCTTCTTGTGCGTGTAGGCAAACTCGGAACGGCATGTGGCGGTCTCACGGAAGGCCACCTGCGGCTTGCCAGTGATGCAGTCGACACCATACTCGCGGCGCATGCGCTCGACGTAGATGTCCAAGTGGAGCTCACCCATGCCCGAGATGATGGTCTGCTTGCTCTCGGAATCGACGTGGACGCGGAACGTCGGGTCCTCCTTCTGGAACCTGTTTAGCGCCTTGGAGAAGTTGGGCGAGTTTTTGTCCTTCGGTGTCAGCGAGAGCGAGATGACAGAGTCGGGTACAAACATGGTGCTCATGGAGCAGTTGACGGAGCCGTCGGTGAAGGTGTCGCCAGAGGCGCAGTCGATGCCGAACAAGGCACAGATCTCACCAGCACCCACGCTGTCGACATCCTCCATCGAGTTGGAGTGCATACGCACAAGGCGCGAGATCTTAACCTTCTTGCCGGTCTTGACATGGTATGCAAACTGGCCCTTCTCGAGCTTGCCCTGGTACACGCGGATATACGTGAGCTGGCCATACTTGCCCTCCTCGAGCTTGAAGGCCAGGCCGACAAACGGCTGGTTCGAATACGGCACGACATCCATGACCTGCTCGTTGTTATCAATATCCAGCATGGTGTTTTTGACCTCGACAGGCGTCGGCAGGTACGAGATCACACCGTCAAGCAGCGGCTGGATGCCCTTGTCCTTGATGGCTGAGCCCATCATGACCGGCGAGAACTTGCGCGCAATGGTGGCACGGCGGACCGCGTCCCGCAGCTGCTGCTCTGTCGGCTCCTTCTCCTCGATGAACAGCTCGCCGATCTCGTCGTCAACCTCGGCCAGCGTGGCAACCAGCTCCTCGCGTGCCTCCTTAACCTTCTCGACAAGATGCGCAGGGATCTCCTCAAGGACGACGTCCTCGCCGCGCTCGCCGCGGTTATACACGGCCTTCATCTTCAGAATATCCACAACACCCTCGAACGCGTCTTCGGCACCAATGGGCACTTGCAGGGCAGCCGCAGGGATCTTGAGCTTGTTGCGGATCTGCTCAATGATACGCTGCGGGTTGGCACCTGCCCGATCCATCTTGTTGATAAACGAGATGCGCGGCACGTTGTACCGGCGCATCTGCCGGTCGACCGTGATCGTCTGGCTCTGCACACCGCTGACGGAGCAAAGAACCAGCACGGCACCATCCAGCACGCGCAGAGCACGCTCAACCTCAATTGTGAAGTCGACGTGACCCGGTGTATCGATAATGTTAAGGTTGGTTTCGCCCCACTGCGCGTACGTGGCTGCCGACTGGATTGTGATGCCCTTCTCGCGCTCCAGCTCCATCCAGTCCATGGTCGCACCAACGTTGTCCTTGCCGCGCACCTCGTGGATCGACTTGATCCGACCTGTGTAATACAGGATACGCTCGGTCAACGTGGTCTTGCCAGAGTCGATATGCGCCGAGATTCCAATGTTGCGCAGCTTCCTCAGGCGCTCGACATCGGCGGCATCGGGCTGCGTGGAGGAGTACCGCTTGTTGGCAAGAGCCGACATGAACGGCGTTGCGCGGGCTTTAAACCTACCAGCAGCCATGCCGGCAAGCGACGTGGGGCGGGACAGGGTCTGCAGTGCGCCCTGACCAAGCCGCGGAAGAAGCATGTTCAGCGGCATTTTTGGACAGACTACTTTTGTGGGATAATAAGTGACAGGGAAGTAAAGAGAGCGAAGGACGCACACCCGGCTAGCAGTCCCTTGTTGTTTGCGGCGAGCATCTTATCTTGTTCCCCAATTTTTTTTGCAACCGATCGTTGAAGACCGGCCACATTAGCGTAAAGCGCAGATGAAAAATTGATCAGGGCTTAATTACTGTTCCCATGATCAGAAAATTGCGAGGTAGTGCGCCTGAACGCATGCTGGCTCGGACTAGCGACGGTGGGGATGCCCTCGCCACTTCGGGCATCTGACGTAGTGACGAGGCTACCAGGCCCGGCGCCAGCATATTAAGACGAGTCAGTGGGTGAATACCGATTGCTTTGCCCCAGAGAGGTGGCCAGTATATCGTGTATGCGGGCATCGGCAATGCCAGCAGAGGGCTGGACTCTGGCCGTGAGGAGACAAATAATTGCAATATGCCTAACCGTGGGCGTGGGGGCTGCGTGACCCAATATCGTCTTTTTCTTTCCCAGAACCCACGCATTTCACTTTCTTTTTCTCTCTCTCTGTACTCCCAGCTGCGTCACCCGTCAATTTCACATATAATGATTTCCACACAGCAACACCGGCAGTACATTCAGCAGCTGCAGTCGCCCAACCCCGTCGAGGTGTACAGCGCGCTGCGTACCATCAAAAACACAATTATCGGTAGCAGCATCAAGAAGACGCTGTACTTTCAGCTCCAGATTATACCCAGCGTGACATCGCTCTTGGCGCTCGACGACACCGACGTACAAATCCGGGTCCAGGCAACGGCAATTATCAGCAGCCTGGCACACAAGGGCGAGGGCGCCGCGAAGCAGCTGCTCGACAGCGGCGTGCTGACACCGCTTATTAACCAGATTGCGCCCGGGTCGGACCCCGTGCTCATGGAGATCTCCGAGCGAGCGCTGAACGCACTCCTGGCGTACACGTCAACCAAGATGGGTGCCGAGGAGCACACAGGCACGATGATTCCGTATTTGCTGAGTATTGTCACCGAGGGGAAGTCCATTGTGTCCGTGTATGACATGCACAGCCATGCGCGCGTGGAGCTGGCAGTTCTGATTCTCGGAAAGCTGTGTGTGACGGAGCCGCGGCAGTACACAATTGCCGATATGGGCGCCATCAGCCTTTTGGTGCCATTGCTGTGCCAGGTGTACCCGCGGCTGCAGGTGGCCACGCTGCGCACGCTGTCAGCGCTGTCGTATGAGAACAGCGAGATATGCACAGCATTGACCAATACCGGCCACAATGGCAAGCCGTTCGCGACGATTCTGCTGGACCTGGCGCGCAGTCACGACCCTGAGATCCGGCTTACGGCATGCCTGTGCCTGTCGAACCTGAGCCGCATGCGCGTGACCTCGGCACCGCTGAAAGAGGTGCAGACGGTGGTTGTTCCGGCGCTAGTGAAGCTTATGGCCTGCGAGAATCTGGACAAAATCCAGGTCATCAGAGCACTCGGATACCTGTGCCACGAGGAAGATGAAATGCAGAAAGCAGCCAGGGACGCCGGCGCCATAGTTGACCTGATCAAGCTCCTGGCGGATATCGAGAGCGAGCAGGACGGTGACTTTGTCGATATTGAGCACAACACGAAGCTGACAAAAGCAATTCTGCTGTCGCTGGGCACTATTGTTTCGACTGACGACGAGTGCCGGCGCAAGGCCGTTGACTGCAGCATTCTGCGACACCTGGTGCTGGCCATGGGCAGCAAGGACAGCGAGATCCGGGCCGCTGCCTGCCTGTGCGCTCGTTACATCACGCGGTCAGCATCGATATGCCGCACGCATCTGCCGGAATGTGGCATCCTCAAGCCCATCCTGAATCTACTGAGTGACAGGTCCGAGGAAGTACAGGTGACGGCATCCGCCACACTGGTCAATTTGATGCTGAACCTGTCGCCGGTGCGGATGGAGGCGCTGAAGGAGGGTGTGGTTGACATGTTGGTCAAGCTCTTGCAGTCAGAGAACGTCATGATCCGGCGCAATGCCCTCTGGTCTGTGCGCAACACAGTCACCGAGCTGGACGACGACAACATGCTAAAGGAAATCTTGGACAAGATCAAGGTTGAGCGGCTGTACGAGCTGGCTATCGGACAGGACGAGCCGATGACGCAAGAGCAGGCGGCATGCATATTCCGCAACATCGTCAACGAAGGCCAGTCGGGAATCAACATCCTGTTCGACACCCTGGGTTCCGAGCGCATGATCAGCCTGATTCAGCAGCTGCTGACAGCAGGCGATGACAAGTTCATCTTGCATGGCCTCTATCTGTTCAACAACGTCGCCGTGCGGTCGCCCGAGCACTGTGATCTGATTGCCAGGTGCGAGATCTTGATGCAGGCGGTCATCGGGTTTCTGTCCAGCAGCTCTCCGGAGCTTATCATCGGCGCCGTGTGGTGCATCTCGGGTGTCGCCTCGCACAGGGTCGATGGCGCTGGCGACAACGCCCTGCCAAAGTATATTGACGAGCTGAACCTGCACAACGTGCAGTCGAGGCTCGAGAGCCTTGCAGCCGACCCACGCGTGTCGTTTGAGGTGCACGACCGGGTCAAGAGCTGCCTCGACAACTTCACCACCACCAGCAGTGCGCCAAGCTAAATGGTTTACTATTACCAGCATAAAAACAGTGTAAATGAAGCTACAGATACAATGAACAGGATCAGGATCCCACCCAAGACCCAGGACGCATAGAGCGGGCGCTTGCGCATATCGCTGAACATGCCCTCGAGCTTGGAGCCGAATGCGTCCAGTCCAAACCCATCCTTCACCCGCGCATGGCCAAGCTCACCCATCGCTCTGCGCTTGTCGTTCGACATGCCGATAATTTTGACAATTGCCTTTGCAAACTCTTGCTGGTCCGGCTCACACAGGTACCCGGTCTTTCCGTGCAGAACAGTCTCGCGCGGGCCGCCCGAGTTTACAGCCACCACGGGCACGCGCATGTACATGGCCTCCAGCGGCACGATCCCCAAGTGCTCGTTGCTGGGGGTGTAAAGAATGCATAGCGCTGTTGATAGCAGGAACGCGCGCTGGTTCTCTGTGAACGACGGCAGAAACAGAACGTCCGCGTCAGCGAGCTGCTCGGGGTCTGCTGGCTTCTCGTCGTCCATGTCCAGTAGTGTCGGCGTGCTGACAGCATCTGGGGGAAGCAGTGCACGTGCTTCGCGGGAAATGCCCTGCGGTGCTACCGTGCGTGTGCGCAGACCAAGCGATTTGGCGTGCGCCTCAAGCTCCTTCAGGTGCTCGGTGTTTTCGGCTACCTTTGGGTCCCACCCACCGGCCACCACAAGACATAGCTCCTTGTCATTGATCTGGCCACGAGCATTGGTGAACGCGTCGATTGCCAGCTGCACGTCCTTCTTGCGCTCGAACCGATTGATCGACACCACCATGGCCTTCTCCGTCCGCAACGCCAGCAATGCCGGATCCTCCAAATCTACCGGGGTGTCGTACGCCTTCAGATTCAGCGCCGGCATTAGCACCCTCGGCACCTTGGCCAATCTTGGGAACGCTTTCCGGAACGTCTCCTGCGTAAACCTGCTATTCACCACAATCTCGTCTGCCTCGCCCGTCGTCAGCTCCTCCAGCAAGTCAAACCCCCATCGATAGATCCTTCGTCCCACCGAGTCGCGCTTAGCCTGCAGCTTGTCTGGAAAATGGCAGTAGAAGAATATATGAGCTTGCGCGTACTTTAGCAGCGGGATTGGTGCCGATAGCTGGTCAACGAACAGGACATCGTATTGCACTGGGTCGCTGATAATGGTGCGAGCTAGGAAAAGCGACCGCAGGATGGTGCAGAAAATATGTAGCCCGCCAAACAGGGACGGCGGGATAGGCCAGTTGCCGCCCACACGCACATCCAGGGTGCCGTCGCGCGTTTCAGCAAAACAGTGCGCTGGGTCGTGGTGCATCGTGTAAATAGTCACTGTGTGTCCGCGCTGCTGCAGTGCCAGGGCTGCGTCCACGACAAGCCGCTCGGCACCCCCGATACCCAGGTCTGGGTGCACAAAAGCGACATTCAGCTTCTGCGCCATAGTTAAATTCGCCTAGATGAACAAGGAATTAGACGTTGAGATATAACACGTGTGGGAGAGGTTAACAGAAGAGAAATCCGAGCGATAAATGCCACACGTGAGAAGGGCAATGATCCTGAATCTCGGTTCGTGGACATCCTGTGGCTCGGTCTGTGAACGTGTAGAGCCGAACCGATATTGAGTGAGCTATAGATATACCCAGGACTGAAAGCGCCCGCAGCACCCACTCTCACTACTGAACTAAGGTAGCCTTGCAAGGATAGTAGCATACAGATCGTATTCTGTGAAAAAGCAATGTTTCCTACAAAGTTCTCTTCCGCTGGAGAACCGAGGAAAGTTGCTGAAGAAATTGAAGAAATATGAAACTCATTTTAGAAGCACCCTGACACGGTTTTTCACCAGCAGACATTGGTAATATTCTTCAAATTTTATATAGGTTTCTGTGGGATGCTAGAAGTGGCATAAATGATTGGTTATCTTGGAAAACTACTCAGGATTTATATTTGGTGGCTATAGAATCGAACTTGGGGTTTGTATTGGAGTCCAGGAACACTGCATTCCTGCTCTGGCATGAAGGGTGCTGCATCCTAGCAACAAGGATTCCTTGTGCTTTTTCCAATATATTTTTGTGAACGCTTAAGATTGGCTTTATTGGCATCTGAATACTTTACTACTAGGAGAACATCCCACCTAGTACATTTCCTAGACAGTTTGACTGAGATATCTTTAGGCACATACAGTTGCTCATTATTATTATTCGTGGGCTATGATTGGCGCCAATAGAAGGAAGGTATCTGGCACCATCTTTACCTTTATATAAGATTTTATAGTCCAAAAAGTGTCCGACTGTCCGCTAGAAATTATTTAATTAGTTAAAAAACTCTTAAGCTTCAACACGGGTTTGAGTGACTTGCTCTGTAAACTCCTTTTGATCTTGTGCGGCATCTGACCTCATCGGTGAAACCAGGGTGACAGGCTGGTATTGTAGTGGTCACAGGTCTCCACTAGATATCTCCATTGGTTCAGCGCAAGAGCTGCTCTCATTGTCGGTCGGTCTGATAATTTCCATGGCATCATCATGGTGGTCATCACCAGCTGCGCAACACTCAGGATATTTATTTATGAGCATCTATTGAATAAGGCCATATAGCTCTTCTAGTGGCCATACAATATTTGTAGGTTTATTTTATAAATTAATTTGTCTTATGAACATGCGTAAGCAGTAGTATTTGGGCCACAATGGACCCAGTCTATATAGACTGATTCAAGAGACTGTATCAGTGCTAAGGGCCCCAAGAACCATGCAAGCCCGATCATTTTTAATAAAAAGTTCTTAATGCTATGCATATGCAATAAAGCAAAACTGAACAGCATCATTTCTCTTCTTACTTGCCTATTGAATTTCTCAAATGAATATTACCCGCAGCACTACTGTCATAAAGACATCACTTGGTGGTATTGGCTTCTGTGATTCTATGTTGCCCCACCTAGAGCAATTTGTACACAGCGTCAATATCATCAAAGAGCATACATACATGCTTGCACGATGGATATTACTCCATCAACTAGCTGACAATGATGGCTTTGACCCTACAATATTTATGAAAAAGGAGTTTTTTTCGTTCTATTTATTTATTCATTTATCGCAACCTGAAGGCAAAGACAGCCATGTCTGCTGAGGATTTCATTAACCGGAAGGACAGGTCAGAACTGTCGAGCGCAGATTTCAGTGATGTAATTAGATATCATATTTATGATTATCTATTGCATAATGGCGATATCGAGCTACATGGTGTACATGAAATGAATCAAGTAGCAACATACATGGATACCGAGCTGATGACAGCATACAAGAACAACATTGTGTTGCACTATGGCACTTGCCTACAGCGGATTCTGGCCAAATTGATTGATATTCGCAGCCGCAAAAACACACTGCACAGTACAATGGGCAATGTGTCCAAGGCTGAGTTCAATAATGCATGTCAAGTGTGTATTTATACACCTGCACAGAAGCTCCGCCAGGCAGTTGCCTCTAGGCACCCTGATCTCAGTGTGCTCACCCCACCGATGCTTGCAATCTACAACAAGCTGGCACCAGTCCTTAATGCCTATGATGCCAAGTACAGATTCGCTAAAGACAGCCGATACTATGATGCCAAGGTAAATCCACTTAAGCATCTGCTTGCATACATTCGTCTATGCCAGCTTATCGAGAATGAGCAGCTTGGCAAGTCTCCTCCCCAATGCTTGCCTCTGCGGACATTATGGATCCCAGGCCATATGCGTTTGGACAAGCAAATAATCAAGCAGGTGTTTGTTTCGAAAACATGTGAGGAGGTTACCAAGATCAACGCAGCAAAGAGGGCAGCAACAGAGGCAAGGAAAGCAGCAGAAAGGGGCGAAAAATTGGCCAAGAAGGCTGCACGCGAAGCAGCGAAGATGCCATCGGATGCAACAGAGGCCACTGCAGCAACTGCAGCAGTAGCGGCTGATTCACTTGCTGCTGCATCGGCAGCAGCAGCAGACACTGTTGCAGCACTTAACAATGCATATGCACCAGCACCCCCAGTCTGTGCACATGACCCGGTCCAAGGGATCACACAACCTGTGTGGGATGTGTGGGGCTGGGTCGCAGATCTAACATCAAAGCCATTTAAGGTGCATGGTGATAGAAAATTCCACGGAATGGCGACAACAGATGGTGTAACGATATGCATTTTGTTGCAAGACAAGATATTCAAGGCTGATGGTGCAGTAGATGCTGATGGTGCAGGAGGCGATGCTGCGGGAGGCAATACTATAGCTGACTGTTGCTATATCCACCAGATCCCACAGCCAGAGCTGCAGAATCTGAAAGGCCGCTGTGTATTCATCGATCCAGGTCGGGGCGATTTACTATATATGACGCATGAAAATAGCAGCAATGGGAAGGAGTGTGAAAAATGCTCTACCGCTACACATGGCAGCAGCGCAATAAGGAGCTCAAGCTGCGCCACTACGACAGGATTCGTCAGGCTACAAAGGATCAAGTCCCAGAAGATGCTGTCCGCAGAGCAGAGGCAGAGCTTTCCAAGCACTGCTGCCGGACCCTTAGCCCAGCAAAATTCCGTGCCTACGTTGCTGCCCGTGCATCTGTGCGGTGTGTCCTAGCACCATTTTATGCCAACACGATGACAGCGTGAAGGCTACTAGAGCAGCAGCCCACGAAGTCAAACAAGCAGCACCAGAGGCGCTGTAAGGACTATCCGGGTGTCAGTACCAGTCCCAAGGTGTACCTGCTTCACCGCAAGCTGCGCCTTGATTCATTCATGAACCAGGCCCGTGCAGACCACAGGCTTGCCGCGAAACTCCGGAGCAAGTTCGGTCCAGATCCAGTGCTGATCATGGGCAATTGGAGTGCGCCGATGGCCCGACACTATGCGCCGATTCGTGGCAAGGGATGGCGCGATAAGTTCAAGCACCATGGCTTTGAAGTCTATCTGATCGACGAATTCCGGACATCGTCGGTGTGCCCGTTCTGCTGCGATAAGTCACTGCAGACATTCCGGCATGTTCCCAACCCGCGGCCCTACCAGAGATCGAAGAACCCAACTGTGAAGTGCCATGGCCTTCTCCGCTGTACAAGCGAGTCATGTAAGCGGGCCATGGCATAATACAGGCGAGCCTATTCGTCTCGGCTCTTGAATCGCGATCTCGCAGCAGTTCTAAACTTCAGGCTCATTTTTCAGTCACTCTGTGATTCAGGCAGTATTCCTGAACGGTTCCGTCGCTTTACGGCCATTGTTGCCGATGCTTCTGGCACCACCCCTGAAACAAAGAGGTCGCGCAAGAGGCGTGCAGCAGCAGGCGATTCTGCTGCTAGCAGCAGCGAGCCAGCGCTGAAGCGCCTACGCAGAGCAGGCCATCAAGACAGGAGATGTCCATGATCGACATTGCACCAACAACCATCCGACACGTTCAAATGACCGGTTCGCCGTGATGCCCTTATCGATGTGTCAACCCATGCTGACTAGTAGCCGAGCTCGCATCGCGAGCAGAGTATTTCTAGTATGAAAAGCTAAAGAAACAGGAAAGGGTGGGCGTGGGTGTTAAGGGCTTATACGATCCCTCTGGCACAGCCTAAAGGAAATGATGCATATGGAAAATGATACTAGCGGAAAGAAACGCTATGTAGCTCGCAGTAATTGGATCTTGGATTCTACCAGAGAACGCCTGCTTGGTGGTAATGAAAACAGTGCAATACTTTTATCGTTGATAAGTCTTTATACAGTTACAGACAATACTCTCTTTACATAGAGTTCATGACTATCATCCCTATATATACCGTCCTGGTGTTCTCCGGACTCTGGCCCCCTATTGTTTTGCGCTCTCAAACCTCTCACATATGGAAGACCGAAAACATTGGTACACTATTAATTTGGCTGGGCTGAGCACCTTTGCCGCTGACCTTCATATTGGAGTACATGCTGAATTATTGCTCAGCAAAAGTTATCCAGTGTTATAGCCTGAAGTGTGACAAGTACAGGAATCTGACGCTACCCAAACCCTTCTCACTACCCTCTGCCCCTCACAATAGCGGCATAATGCCAGCATTTCCCATGCCACAGACATTGTTGTCCATGGTAATACTCCCATGAACTAATGCCAACGGAATAGTACTTCGGAAGAGTACTTCAACAAAAAGGCACTGGCTTCAGGCCAGATATGCTTATTATCTCTTCTCTATGTCCAGTTTTCAATATCCTGTTTCGTACTAATGCAAGCCAGTACCAATACTAATAACACCACGCTAGCAAGTATTGCACAAGCGGACAAGTGCATCGTATCAGTTGACCACCCAGCTGGCGACTCTACTCCAGAATCCGATACCGCTCATGGATGGCTGGTTATTGCTGGTTCATTCGTTTATACAATGGCTTCTGTTGGCACAGCTGCATCATTTGGTGTGTACATGGATGAATATCTCACAAAAGAGTTTCCTGGTACCCCATCATCGACGCTGGCATGGATAGGTACCATGCAAATTGGCCTTACTTTTTTCTGTGGAATCATCTTTGGCCCGATGATGGAGCGCATCGATATTCGCATAGTGGGCATAATTGGCACGCTCTTTTCTGGCGCTGGGTTACTAATTGCTTCAGGCTGTACCTCGCCAGCATCGCTTATCGCCACGCAGGGAATTATAACTGGTATTGGATTCTCTGCTATGTTCACTGTCGCAATGACCCTTCCTTCCCAGTGGATGGTAAAGTACAAGCCTATAGCAGTGGGCATTGCCATCAGTGGAAGTGCAGTAGGCGGGATATGGCAGTCGTTTGCCATGCGGGCCATCATCAAGAGCCACGGATACCGGTGGGCGCTGCGCATTTCAGGCCTGATACAGATTGCCATGTGCAGTAGTGCAACGCTGCCGATGAAGCGACGGATTGAAGCACCGCCACGCAAGAGGTTTATCGAACATACACTCTTACGTGACCCCAAGTTTATCCTACTGCTTCTGTTTGGGATCACAGGCGGTGCAGGATTTTTCATTCCATTCGCATTCATGCCAAACTATGCAGTCGTCGTGCTGCATAAAGACATTTCATGGGATGCCAATATCTCGGCACTGATGAATGTTGGCGGGTTCTTTGGACGTCTGCTCTCTGGTATCCTGGCAGCATATATAGGTCCTATCAGTACACTCGCTATTTGCTCGCTGGTATCGTCTCTCGGAATATTCGTCCTCTGGTTGCCCTTCAAGAATACGGCGGTGCTCATTATTGAGGCATTCGTTTTTGGAATGTCCAGCGGCAGTCTAGTCACAGTATTTCCCGTCGCTGCTGCAAGTCTATATGGCCTCCAGCGTCTGCCAAGTATTCTAGGGTTACTATTTGTGTCATTCTTCGCTGGACAGCTTATCAGCTCGCCTGTCGCTGGCCGACTGCTAGACAAGTATGGACATGGAGCAGATTTCAGTTCTCTGATAATTTACACTGGCGCACTTTTTGCAGTAGCGGTTGTGTTCTTGGTCATGATCCGGTTGCTGATTACTAGGGATATCTTTGCTAAAGTTTAAACCGACATCGTGAAAATACATGGAGTCATTTTGAGCATGCACATAGCCAATATCCTTGATTGTATATTGATCTATCAATCTGTGTTTTCGCTGTTGTGCTATATTTCGCTAGAAACTGATATACTCCTTGGTTTTCAATTGCCATATATGTAACATGATTTCAACATAGGTTTCAAGTGTCGCTATTCATTTGTGACAGCTATATACAGAGAATCAAATGCTAGAAATATATTATGCTTCACAAGTATATCATGGAATGATAAGGGTGCGTCGAGAATCTCTGACAAATAAATATGCCTCAAATGCCGCCTGCGAGTCACCCTCCCTGGAGCCGCCAGCACCGTTTGTCAGCTCCAGTGCCATACGACGCTCCACCGGACGTACAAACACTAGATAGACAAGCAGCAGATTGGTCAGTGGCGGCGGCAAATACACTGACGGCAGATGTACACCGCCGGTTCCACAGAATCTCAGCTCAGCAGACTGCATAGAGTAAAACAAGTTGCGCTTAATGCCGTTGGCATTGCGGATGCGCAAGTTCGCAAGCGCCATGTCGGGGATCACTGATGTGGAGATGCCACGTATGCTATTGTGCAGCTCGTCGATGAAAGCGCCGGCGAACCCCAGCCAATCTCTGGCTGTGGTAAGTGTGTTTGCAGTAAAATACCCGGTCGCTTCCAGGTGCGTGTACAAAACAGTCGAGTGGTCCTGGAAGCCGTTGCGTCGGTCATCGATAAACGAGTAGCCGGGATCGACGCAGTACGTGTCGTCGAGAATGCGCTGCGTGAGTGTGAAGCCCGTGTGCTGCACGGACAGGCCGCGCAGTAGCTCCTCGTGCAGGATGCGTTGTGCATTGGCTACGGCCTGCTCGATCGGCAGCTGCTCGTCTACAGGAACTATTAGGTTGCGTGGAATTTCAAAAATATGCTGGGCACTGGTTGCTGGAGTCCGGTGAGGTGTTGCAGCGGACAGGGATGGTGCTACTTGCGGTGGGGTCTGGTGGGGGACTAGCGTAGATGTGCTGAATTCACTCGACGGCTCAATGTCCGACAGCAAGCGTGATGCGACATGCTCAGGTTCTTTGCGGGGCTGTATCGCATCTAGTGCAGCTGTCAATGCAATATTCAGGTCATTAGTAGAATTGGCCAGCTGCACTGCAGATTCCTTTGCTATTGACTTGCTGACAATCATATACATGTGCTCGTCGGCGGTGATATTGATGCGCTGTGCTGCGCTATAGTGCGCCAGCGTGGGCTGCCGAGGAGTGGTTCCAGGTGATTTAGAAAGTTGTGCGTGTACAGTCTTGGAGCAAGCCTGTAGATGGTCATGGCTAGCAGTGTGCGGGAAGATCACCTCTCCACAGGCTAGACATTGGCAGCAAGCGCCAAGGGTCTTGATATGCGGGATTGGGAGGGTTGGGACTGGCATCTTGCGCACCCTTTCCCGCAACTTCTCTGGCGGAAAGATCGCCCTGCTGTTCAGAAACAGGTAGGCAATAGCCAGTGCCCCCTTCTCCGGCGCGTATTGCCTGACTCCAGAAGCTACATTGCATAAGAATAACGTGTATGCTGGGGACAATGGTCAGAACCTACGAAATCCAGCACACTGGTAAGAACTAGTCCCGGCATCCATGGTGCCTCCTAGGCTCCCCTCAAGCTTGCCTACTTACACAGGCCCCGGTACGGATGTTTCTCCTTGATATGATTATAGATGTTCTCAGGGCACACAGTCTCGCGACATCTAGTGCATACCAGAACGCCCAATGGCAAGTATATGGCCAGATTGACGGCCTTCAAGGCATAGCACTCATCCAATATCATGTCGCCCGCGCCGCCCACAGTATGCAAGCTGGATCCCAGACCCATTGGTGGCGCATAACCCATGACCTGGCCCCCTTCCTCAGAATCATCGCTAATTGTCGACAATGGGCAAGTGGGATTCGCCAGGCGTGCTACTTCCACCAGACAGTAGAAGCAGGCAGGTGCATGGCTCGCTATGTACTTTGGATCGAGGAGCTTCATACAATAGCACTGGATCTGGTATCCGCGCCGTGTGCTGAATGCCAAGGTGCAGCCACCGACCAGAGCAGTTACCTGGCTACCGCTGCTGGGCTGCAAGGGATCGTGGGCTTTCATTATAAGGTGTATCTCTGTTCTTTGTGCAGTGTCAGGTCGGCTTTGCAAGGAAGTGGCAGTATTGAATGGAATCAGAAGTGTACAGTGAGTGGAAGAAGAGGGAGAAAAAGCCTGTTGGAATTGATGAAATGCAAGGGTGGCAGGAAACAAAAACAGGACAAGGGACCAGGAAGCAATCGGCGAATTTTAGCATCCAGCTCCCAAGAGGGAGAAGAATTGAAGGCAGGATCACAAATTCTGCGTTATTTCTGATCACAGCAATAATAGGAGACCGACGGCTATGTGCAAGACTATCACTCTCTTGTAAGATAATTTAGTACGAGTCAACTATGATCTGGCGTCCTTCACGAACAAACAGGAATGACGAGTACGCAGTCATTGCGTCAGCATAAAAGTCCGGGTTCCTGCGCTTATGCAGGACCACTATCGCCTTGAGTTCCATCGGCCGCACCATGGCCAGGTACTGGACGACAAGGCTGGCCAGGGGAGCGGGCAGGTAGAAGGGTGCCGAGAGATAGCCGGTGGTGACATCATTGTTGACGACCATCAGCGTGCCCAGAGAAGCAAACAGGTTGCGCGTGGCGTACTCGGCATTGCAAAAGCGGATATCCTCGGTAGAGACACCGCATGTGGCGGTGATACCGGTCAGCTGTAGGCACAGCAAAAGAATATCTACGAACTGCGCGGTGAATGCCAGCCATTGGCGGAGCTGAAAGCGGGCGACCAGGGCCTCGGCGCTCTGCGGATGCAGCAGCTGGTAGTCGGTAGGCGACAGGAACTGGGAGGTGGCCAGGTGCTGCTGTAGGGTGTGTTTGTAGCGATCGAGTTTGTTGCGTGGATCGCTCAGGAACGAATACCCAGGGTCCTGGCACCGCGGATTGTCAGCCAGCCCGGCGGCTATGGCTAGCGTCAGATCATGCACTGGCAGGCCGCCCAGCACATAGGAGTCGAAGAGCTCCGTGGCAGTCACCAGTGCCTTCTGCAGCGACATGGCAGGTGTGCGTGCCGCCGCCAGCAATGGGTTACGCAATGTCATCGGCTCTGGAAGCTGCGAACGGGTACGCAGCGATGCCGCCTTGCGCGGCACAATCTGCGGGTTGACCAGGCTCGGCCCACGGTCCTTGGTTTCCGGATCGCTGGTGCAGGAATCGCTGGCATCGCTATTCATGGGCAGGCCCTCTGGGTGGCCGATCTGGTCCGGGTATATTGCATCGGAGTCGGAGCCATCTGGCGTGGTGGTTGGGCTGGGTGTAACTATGTAGAGGGTGTCGCGACCATGCCACCAGATGCGCTGCACGCGCCCGTGGCTTAGCAGGTACTTGGAAGGGTTGGCAGAGTCCAAGAGGCTCTTTTCGATATTCCCCAATAGGGGGCAATCGGGCAGATGCTTGGTGAGGAGTGCGCGCTTGATGTACACATGGCCGCAGGCCTTGCAGGAGAAGCCGCGGCGGCTGAGCACAGGGAGCAGCGGCACGGGGTGTGTGGGCTTGGGGAGGCGCAAGATGGCGTCCCTGACAGCCTCGAAGGGCTTGATGAGGGCCTTGTTTTCCTTTACAAAGTTGCAGGCGTGGGTTACCGCCTGCATGCCATATACGCACACCTTTGCGGACCCGTCGGTTGCGCTGAAGAACTCAGAGACTACACAGGGAAGGCTGAGGGATTGGTGAGCAACAGCACAGGCGGATGCGGCGGGTATTTTTCACTTACATTGGAGCTTCGAGTGATACTGGTGCAGGTGCGCCTTCAGCGTCTGAGGTGGAACGGTTGCATGGCAGGACTTGCAGATAAGCAGACCCAGTGGCTCGTAAACAACCAGTCCTACGCCCTTCAGCGCCAGAGGCTCGATGATCCCGCTGTCCTGAGTGCTCTGCAGCTTCGGATGCATGGCTGTGTCCTGCTCCTCCTGCATATGCAGTGCAGGGTCCTCCAGCAGGCGCATCACGGCACTCGATACCTCTGGCATAATCGCGCTGGTGGCAGAATTGACCCTCTGCGTGGCGTGCGGCAGCTGGTTGAGCAGGGTTGGTTGATCCGTCATGGTCACATCCGCCAAGTCAAATCCGTCATCATCGATAACCTCAAAGTTATCGGCAAATGTGGTATGGCTGGTCGCTGCCACTTCCTTGTCGGATTCCCTGTCATCCCAGTCGTTGATGCTGGCAAAGGGCTCGTCGGCCTTGGCTAGGCAGAAGTCGCACCGCTGAGCGTGTGTAAAGAGCCGGCCGTCGTCGAATACCTGGCCGCAGAAGCACCGCACACCGGCGCCGGTTATGTCATTGAATTCAATTGCGCGATCGGGGCCGAATGTCACTATGTAGCGGCTATGCGAGGTGCATTGGTGCGTGTATAGGAGCCTGGTGTTGGCGAAGGAGGCTGTGCAGTTGCTGCAGAGATAGTAGCTCAGACGGTCCCTGGTGGTGATTACTTTGGCCATGGTATTGGGGTTTGGGTATGAAGGGAAAACTAGCGAGTAGAGATGCAGATGGCACAGGGGATCACTAAATATCCCAGACACCCGGTGGCGCCTGCACCCCCTCCTCCGGCACCGTCGGCAGGCTACATGGCAAGTCGACTCACGTGCTCCATATGTGGAAATGTCTCCGCAGCGAGAGCCCACATACCCTGATCGGTTGATTTTCTGATTGGCCAATGCGTGCCATTTTTTCTTTTTTAGCTGCGTGAGCACAACATCGGTCCAGCGGCTCTCTTGACTTCCAATCCGTATATTTTCAACAATTATTATGTCGAAGAACGAATCGCTGCAGACGTGGGAGGATTCCGAGTTTCCGATTCTGTGCGAGACGTGTCTGGGCGAGAACCCGTACGTGCGGATGACGAAGGAGCGGTTCGGCAAGGAGTGCAAGGTATGCGCCAAGCCGTTCACAGTCTTCCGGTGGCTGCCGGGCCGCGGGATGCGGTACAAGAAGACTGAGATCTGCCAGTCGTGTGCCAAGCTGAAGAATGTCTGCCAGACATGCATTCTGGACCTGGAGCACGGGCTGCCGGTGCAGGTGCGCGACTCGGCGCTGGGCCTTGAGGATGCGGCGCCGCGCGACGACATCAACCGCCGGCACTACATGGAGAACCAGGCGCGCACAGACACACCGTTGGACTTTTCCGGGCGGGCAAACCCGGCCGGCCGCGAGATGCTGAAGCGCATGGCGCGACGCGGGCCGTACTACGAGCGCAACAAGCCGCACCTGTGCTCGTTTTTCGCCAAGGGCACGTGCACGCGCGGCAACGAGTGCCCGTACCGGCACGAGCTGCCCAAGGCCGACGGCGAGCTGGCCAAGCAGAACATCATCGACCGGTACCATGGCACCAACGATCCCGTGGCCAAGCGCATGCTGGCGCGCAGCTCCGCAAAGGTCGATGGCCTGGCGCCGCCCGACGACAAAAGCATTGCGTCGCTGTTCCTGGTCGGCCTTACCGCTGAGACCTCGGCTGATGACATCAAGGGGTATTTCTATGCGTACGGCGAGGTCAAGAGCGTCAACGTGGTGCCTGCCAAGGGCTGTGCCTTTGTCAACTTCAAGACGCGTGCAGGCGCCGAGGCTGCTGCGCAGGCGGTGATCGGCGGGTGCGTGATCGGGGGCAAGTCGATCAGGGTTGCGTGGGGGCGCGCCCGACCCAAGGGCCCCCGAGCTGACGCGCCCAAGCCGACAACAGCCGGCGCTCCGCCGCCACCACCCGGTAGCACCCGTGCGATGGCATATCCCAGCCAGGATCCAACAGCGCAGGGTGCACAGCCGAAATGAAACTGGATGTGTGTGTGGTTGCAGGATTCCGCGCTGCCAATCTAGATACGGAGATATGGTGGTCAGGTTTTTCCCCTGTGTGGTTGCCTGTCAGCCCACATGGCAGGAAACCCGAGCATTGCGTGTGTGGCACCAGGGGCGGGAGCAGCACTGGGGTGCGATGCCGGCTGTACTTTCCTTGCGGAACGGGTGGGCGCGTCCAGAACGGATTTCCCTATACTGTGTGCGACCAACTGGCTGGTGGGACGGTCCGCCAAGAGAGCCGGGAGCACTACCATCTGCACCCATCAGGGTTGTAGCGTGATTCGCATGCTTCGGGCTATTTCACTTTTTTGTGCAAGACTCCACTAGCGCCAAAAAAAATAATGCCCACACTTTTTACTTACCCATGCAGAGGCACCCGAGGGCTATTTTTCGCTCTTGCCCCCCAAAAGCATACGATTTAAGTGCCCGGACGGGCAACCAGGCTCCGTGACCTTTCTTCCTTCACTTTGTTCCCCACTTTCTGATAACCGCCGCACGTACCACTTTTCACTACATTGTATTCATATCTACCTATTACCATGACTGCTACTACAATGACATCCGCAGACAGCGCCGGCTACTTGCGCATTGCCGTGGTCGGCACCGGCGGCTACGGCGGCAGCATTCTCAAGGCGCTGTTGCACTCCAAGGCCTTTGCATGTGTCCGCGCAGTGACACGCAAAACCGCCGACTCCTCAGGACAAGGAGATGCGGCTGCGCGAGCTGCAATCCCTGGGCGCCCAGGTCTCCACGTACGCCGACGCCAGCTCCTCGGCCTTCGCCTCAGCCTTCTGCGACATTGACGTGGTAGTCAGCGCTATCGGGTTTGCCGCAGTGCCGAGCCAGTTCGCGATGATTGACGGAGCCATCCAGGCCGGGGTCAAGTGGTTTATACCGTCCGAGTTTGGCGTCGAATACTGCACGTCGTCGTGGCTGCCGTTCGACGGGCCACTGGCGGCGAAGCGCGATGTGCTGATGTATCTGCGCGAAAAGCAGGGCATGATTGCACATACGGCGATCTACACCGGCTTGGCGCTGGACTACCTGGATCCGCGCATGCTCGGCCTGAAGCTCTCGCGCCGGTCGGCCACGCTGGTGGGTCGCGGCGGCACGCCAATGAGCTGCACATGCCAGCAGGACGTCATTCGTGTGATTGCTGAGGTTGTCCGGCGCCCGCAGGAAATGCTGAACCGGACGGTCCGCTATGCCGGCTCGACCACACGTATGCGCGAGCTGATCAAGGTTGTCACCGACAACGAGTGCGGCAAGAACGTCAAGCTCGTGAGCATCGACGAGGCGAAGCTCAAGTTCTGCGAGCTGGCAAAGAAGCAGGACCTGCGCGCCTTCGAGATCTACTGCCGTCTGCTGATCGAGGAGGGGCTGGCGCAGGTTAACCCCAAGGGCGAGCCGCTTGACAACGACCTGTTCAAGTTCAAGCCGGAGCCCGTGAAGGAGACCCTGGACCGCATGCTCCTGCAGGCTGAGACCACCAGCCTGGGCATCCACGGCTCCTCCATCCACCGCAGCGAAACCAGCAGCTCCGTCACCGAGGGCATTGGCCAGGCCGCCGACCCGTCGCTCTGCCCGCCTGCCGCCGCTGCCGAGTAAACAAAAACATTGAATTTTTTCTATACTTGCAAATATACCAAATACAGATTGCCCTCTTATTTCTTCGATTTCTTGCCGCTGGCAGCATGCCGCGCAGCAACCTTGGACTTGGCCGCTGCCGTCTTGGAGTTCCGGTCGCGGCGCTTCGCGTGCGTCTCGTAGCGGAACTTTTTTGTCTTCTTCTTCGCCTTCTTCTTGGGCGCCTCCTCCTCGCTCTCCGACGCATCCGCCTGCTCCGCCTTGCGCTTCAGATCCACGGCGAGCTCATTAGGCGTCATTTTCTTCAGCCCCAGGCTCTCGTCGTCAATATTGGTCGGGTCAAAGTCCTTGGTAACCGTAACCGTGGTGACTGAGTCCTCGCCCGTCAGCACCGCAACCTCCTCGTCCTCGTCCTCGCCCTCATCCTCTTCGTCTTCCGAGAGCGGCACGCCGTAGAAGATCTTGCTTTCGCGGATCTTCTGCGCAATCGTCTGGCGCTCCTGGTCGCGCTTCTCGCGCCGCATCTCGCGCCGCTCCTCGCGCTCCTTCTCCTTGGCCAAAGTTATGGCGCGCTCGCGTCGCTCCTGCTTGCGCTTGTGGAAGCCGGTCAGGAATGTCCGCCGCGCCTTCGGGTCAAATGTCACCTCTTCGACTTGCTCCTTCTTGGCCTTGCGCTTCTTCGAGTAGATCTTGGCACCCGACGTCAGGAGCGCAGTATTGTCGGCCATCTTTTCAGTTCCCTGTTTTGGAGGATATGGTTGGGATGTGGGTATGCAGGAGAAAGCTGGGGTCGTTCGTCTGTGCTGCAAAAAATTGGCCCCTTTCCACTGATGCCAGGCCCGAATGTCGCCTTAAAATGGGATATGCCAGCCGTTTTGGCAATTTTTTTTTGGATCGAGTTCATTTGAAACTTACAGAGGAAAAATATGATGTTTGAAAAAGAAAATTAGTAGGTTTACTCCTGGGAGGCAAGCATAGCAATGATCGCAGCTCCGACACCAGAGCCGTCCTTGGCCAGGCCAAAGCTGACGTTTGCGAACTGCTCGGGCGCCAGGAAGTGCGAGACAGTGTCGCTCAGCATCTTGTCAAAGTTGGGCCAGAACTCGTACATCGAGCCATCAATGCCAATATGCACGGCCTTCTTGAGCAGTTCCGGGCGCTTGCCCAGCGTGGCAACCACGCCGATGGCACTGAGGCGCGCAGCACGCTCGCCCACCAGCGCGGCGATCAGGCGGAAGATCTTGCGGTCGACCAGCGTTGTCTCGGCGATGCTCAGGGTCTTCTCGATGATGCACTTGATCTCGTCGAGGTCCTCGGACGTGTCCTCCAGCGCATTTGACAGGTACGACGTGTCGATCGACCACATGGCGTTGAGCACCTCGGACGAACACCCGCCGAACATCAGGCGCTGGTCGGCCAGCCACAGTATCACGTTGCGCGCGATCTCGCCCAGGTACATGCCCGAGATCATCTTCTCGTACGCCTGCTTGCGCGGGTTGATCGACTTGCGGTCCAGCTTGATGTCGTGCTGCGTGAACGGCAGGAAGGCGAAATCGTTGCTGTCAAAGGCTCCCCACTCCATGTTCACCACCATCTCGCCCGACTCGGGCCGCGGGCCATTCCACTTGCCGATATTGTCGATGTTCTCGTAGTATGCAGCGTTGGTGCCCGTGCCAAAGATAATGCCCATCTGCGCCGCCGGGTTCTTGTACGCGGCCGACAGCAGCGTGCCCACCGTGTCGTTGACCAGCGCCGAGATCTTCACGCGCAGGCCCAGGCGCAGCAGCGCATCCTGCAGCAGCCGCACCACGTCGCGGCCGACGCATCCAGGCACATTCAGCCCCTTGGTCCACTGCGACAGTATGCCGCTGTTGATCGATGTCTGCTGCACCGGGTACGAGAACGTGAAGCCCATCGAGATGGGCTCGTCCTGGCCCGTCGGCCGCAGGTTGCGGTCGTCCAGGAACGTCTCGATGCTCTGCGCAATGAAGTCAAACAGCGTCTTCGTCTTGGCCTCCTCCGTCAGCGAGAACTTTTGGTGCTCGGTCGTCACACCACCCGCGCCGTCAAGAGTCACCTTCAGCACACGCAGGTTCGTGCCGCCAAGGTCGATCGCATAGTACGACCCGGCCTCGCTGCCTGTCGGGCGGCGGGTCACATAGCTTGGGAACATCCGCACCACGCGCCCGTCGTGTGCCAGCCCGTCCTCCATCCGCCGCCGGAACTCCTTGATGATCTCGCCCAGACGCGAGTCAGTCAGCAGGAACTGCTTGACCAGCATGTCCACGGCCTCTTGCTGCTCAGGCGTAGCGCCTGCAATCTTGTAGTCGACAGCAGTCATGGTCAGAAGAGGGGAATAATATGTACGAAGAGGATAAAAGGGTGCTATTCGTCGCCAGGGGGAGCAGGAGTTGGTTATGAGTATAAAGAAAAGAAAAACACAGCTGCCACCCTCCCCGCTCCAGACGCCCTGGCTTTTATATCAGTCCACACGGCTGCTGTGAATGCGCACAGGCACCTCCTCTGCCCGCCCATTCCGCACAATAGGCGCTCGTAGACCAAGCGGATGCCCCTCCATCTGTGCCCCGGGGAGGGCTGCTCATGTGGTATCGGGCGGTGCATGGTTTGCCACCAATGCAGCAATCTGTGCGTCCCCCAAACCGGGTCACAAAACATACGACCAGGCAGAACCCACAGATTGGCCCACTCCGACCTGCTACACCATCCGGCCCGCCGTCTGCCTCTTTACTTTTTCCATGCATTGGACCAGCTGGCGGGCTCGCCTTTTCTCTCTCCCTGCCTTGCTTGGACAGTGCACGGAGTTCCAGCTGCAGCCGGCGTGCATCGGCCCTGTGTTTCTTTGGGAAAAAGGTGATATCAGTCCAGATGCTCCTCCCTCCTCTTCTCCCTCGCAATCCTGCGAGTCGTTCGGTAGAGGCGGTCTGTACCACGCATCCCGATTTGCTCGTTGAATGCCGGAACTGGCCCTTTGCAGCGAGAATCACCTCACTAGTGAACCTGCCTGGATCTCATTCCCACACGAGCCCGCGTGACAATAGAATCAGCCTCTACTATTTCCGGGATCGGCACCAGCCGAACCGCCTCTCCCACCCCCAACCAGAGCAAGAGACGCTCGGCGCTGCTCCATCCGTTAGCTCAGGATCCACCAGCTGCTTCCTGTACGCACATCACAGCGCAATGGCGCGTACCCTGCTCGCTTCGGGGCGGAGCAGAATTCCCCACCAAGTGCATCTACTTCTGGCGAACGTTTGCAGCGCAGAATACCAGGAACAAAAAGCATTCCTGGCAGACACACGGCACAATGGCATTCTTCTTCTCTCGCACGATATGGCGCTGCAATGCCTCTGGTCTCAGACGACCCAAGCCAGTAAAAAAACATTTGGATCCCTCGCTACTGCTCTCTAAACCACTACTCAGAATCTCACTGGCAGCAGATGCGATTCTAGCTAGAGCACTTGCCACCACTGAATCTTCGTGCTCTCAGCTTTCTGCTGTTGGATGAGTGCTGGTGCACTGAAGCACGCTTCTTAATTGGAAACGGCTGTATGCTGGTCCACATCCCTCTTCCCCAAATTTACCCACCGCCTGCCCAGACGCTACCAATCTTTGCAGCTGACAATGCAACACCCGAGCATCAGCATGCACCCGGTTGCCTGCCACTTCAGGTACCTGCGGATCGGGTTCTGGCCCCCTGGCTGGTTTCAAGCTCCCAAACCAGTACTGCAGAGCCAGGAGAGCCGCTAACCCGAGCACAACTTGTATGTATCAGTGAATACCATTCCCCTTTTCCTCACAAACAACGCTGGATCCGGCCTTTTCTGCCAAGCCCAGGATGACACAATTAAAGCAAGAAATAATGGTCAGTCAGTTGTTGCTTTTAGGAATTCAGTAAATACCCGGACCGTGCGTGTATTGTCCATATCTGCCTTGACGTAGAGCGCCTGTCAATTCACCATGTGCCCTTTCCCAAATATCGGCCCACAACATGTGGCAGTAAAAGCCTGGTATCGCACTTGATAGTATCCAGCTTGATTGGCATCCAGCACTGATAATGACGACAATGATGCTTCCACATCGCTATCTCGGCACATCCACGCCAATAGGATGGGCCTACGATAACACAGCGGTCACTAGTGGATTACACTGAGAAGCGCAAATGCACTAGCTATTGGCTATCGGTGTATTTGTTAGGTAGCATCCCACAAGAGTGGACTTGGTTAAGATAGATACGGCGAAGCTCAATCGCGCCTTATCATGAATACCAATAGATGCATGGGAATGAGCACGAGGAGCGAGGTCAACAGCAGTTAGTTTTCCAGGCTGTCATCTGTATTGCACATTTCATACCAAATCCTGTTCTCAACCGGGATGACGTAGGTCACAGCATTCCTACGTTTCCCAATACCTGAATTGTACATCCTGAATTGCCCCTTGTCCACGAGGGGGTGGTTTCTTGTTGTCGCCCACCCTCTGAGTCTACATTTTTGGGGACTGGGCCAACACTGGAACATATATGCGCCCAAGCACGCACATGATGCACATGTGCTCAGATGCACTGGATCCAGATACTTGTTGGGGGAGAACGTACCGGCTCCAGCCTAGTGCCATTGCTTATCACAACTAGTCTCGGCCAATTTCTCGCACCATTTCTAACTCGCTGCATTCTTGTGAACAACCCTCCCCCAATGTCCGAAATACCTTCAGGTGACCCGGCTCATGCGTGTAGCATTGCGGGCAAATGAGCTGGCTCCTCTCTGTTACTTTTTGATAGGTGCCACCACGGAGGTTTGTCGGGTAATGCGGGATTGCGCTCAACTGAGACTCTCCACTCCTCGCATTCGTATACCAGCGGCTGGCTCCTACTATAACTGGTATATTGGCACTATATCCTAAATGCTCATAGCTTGGGGAACGTCGCCTTCTGCTTCTGCAGGCTGGCCATCATCGCGACACCCATGTCTTTCGAGTTGTGCGCCAATGCGTTCCACAGCGCGGTGTACTCAAGCCCCTCTTGGACTGTGTGATCACGGGCATGATTCAGCAGGTGTTTGGTGCTGACAACAGCAACCGGCGACTTGCTGGCGATAGTCTCAGCCATCACCAGCGCAGCCTTGACCATCTCCTCCTTGGTTTTGTACACACCGCTGATAAGTCCGACAGCTAGTGCCTCCTTGGCCGGTACTTGGCGCGCCGTATAGCATACCTCGCGCACCCAGCTGTCGTTGCCGACGACCTTGGGCAGGCGCTGCAGCGTGCCGACATCTGCAGCCATGCCAATATCAACCTCTTTGACGCAAAAGTATGCGTCCTCGGTCGCCAGGCGGATATCGCATCCGGTGATGAAGTCAACGCCCGCGCCAAAGCAGGCGTTATGAACCGCGGCAATAACTGGCTTATCGCACCGCTCCATCGCCGAGAGACAGTCTTGCCAGTGGTGGATATGGAACCGGTGGTAGTACCCCTTGCGCGCGACATCGGCTGACTCGTCGTGCTTACCGGAGAACGTTGGATTTTGGACTGCATCCTTGAGATCAAGACCGGCGGTGAAGATCCGCCCGGAGCCGGAGACAACAGCGCAGCGCACGTCGCTGTCAGTCTTCATTTGCGAGAAGCACGCGTGGATGTCCTCCCACATCTGGTTGCTGAAGGCATTGAGCGCCTTTGGCCGGTTCAGCTGAACGTGCGCAACGCCAGCGGGGCTGATCTCGACGGTGAGAGTAGAAAAGTTGTACGGCGGCATGGCTGATTGAGCGTGATGATGATGTTGCTGTTGCTTGGTGGTAAGAGGAATTAGAAAGCGGGTGGCGGGAGGGGCGTTTATAGTCAGACGGGAAGTAAAGAGAGAATTGTTCGAAGCAATGTCTGCTGTCCGTGCACATGCCATTTTATGGATCTTCAGATCCCAGCTGCATGCGCGGGATAGTCACGATGGGCACGGAGCGTTTTGGCTCCGCCTACGGAGCATAGAGCCTCCTTTCATTTCGAGCTCTGGCTGGGTGGGCAACAGTTTTTCTTCACCGGGTAGCTGGAGCCCATGCCACAGCTGATCTCCTGGCTTCATGCACAGGCGGACCATGACTGTCAATTCGGGAATGCGCACGGGCCATTTATTAGTACCTGCTAAAAACTACCTAAAGCTTGGGGAACGTCGCCTTCTGCTTCTGCAGGCTGGCCATCATTGCGACGCCCATGTCCTTCGAGTTGTGCGCCAATGCGTTCCACAACGCGGTGTACTCAAGCCCCTCTTGAACCGTGTGGTCGCGCGAGTAGTTGAGCAGGTGCTTGGTGCTAACAACGGCAACCGGCGACTTGCTGGCAATGGTCTCAGCGAGCTCAAACGCGGCCTTCATCGACTCGTCCTTAGTTTTGTATACATTGCTGACCAGACCAAAGGCCTGCGCCTCCTTGGCCGGAACATTGCGAGCAGTGTAGCAGATGTCGCGCACCCAGCTGTCGTTGCCGACGACCTTGGGCAGGCGCTGCAGCGTACCGATGTCTGCTGCCATACCAATGTCGACCTCTTTGACGCAGTAGTAGGCGTCCTCGGAGGCAATGCGAATATCACATGCGACGTTCAGGTCCACGCCAATGCCAATGCATGCGCCATGGACAACAGAAATGACCGGCTTGTCACATGTCTCGACCTGCGTCAGTGCGTCCTGGAACTCAAGCAGATACAGGCGCTGGTAGTAGCCCTTGCGGGCAACATCGCGGCTGCCGTCCTCCTTTTGGCGCTCGGCTGCACGCTTCATGGCATCCTTGAGATCAAGGCCGGCGGTGAACATGCGGCCAGCTGCACTGAGCACGATGCACCGCACGTTGCCGTCGGATTTGAACTGCGCGAAGCACCGCCCGATATCCTGCCACGTCTGGTGGCTGAAGGCATTGAGGTTTTTGGGCCGGTTGATCTCGACGTGTGCGACGCCGCTAGCGGAAATGTCCACGAGGAGGGTCTCAAAGGTGTAGGAAGACATAGCAAGAAAATAGGCTGATTTGGCTGGCAGTAGAGGAGAAGTAGGTCTCCGACGAACAGCGCCCTTGAAGGTTCCTGGCTGGCTTGTGATCGGACACAATTTTATAGGACTGCGAAAGCGGGCTACTCGGGGATGCGCGTGTGGCCGCGATTCCGACCGGCCAGTTGCCAGTGCAAATCCCACCCTGCTCCTTAAAGTCGACACCCGTGCCTACAGACTCAACCAGGCAGCTCTGGCACACGCGCGATGTGGAATATATGCTGGATATCCGTTTAAAATACTATCTAAAGCTACAGAAAAAACACACTGTGGTCTACTCTTCGGCCAGAGGCCCCTGGAACGGCTCCGACGGCACCAGTGACGTGAGCAGGGCAATTGCCAGCGCCTTGATCTTCTCCCACACAGAATACACCCTCGGCTGCCCTTCAGTGCCGTTGTCCCGCTCCCCATTAGCGTTGTTGAGCCTAGCAAAGCCCTCACGCACGCCGCGGCTCTGCAGAACTATGAATCCAAGCACCAGTGCGCCAAGCAGAATCAGCCGCTCCCAGCTCGCATCGTGTGCAAACACCGCAACCAGCAGCGCCATTCTCAGCAGGAGCCAGGCGGCGTTCCAGATTGCACTGAAGTTTATGCTGCGAAACACGTCAAGCGGCACGCCGTGGTGGTCGGCTGGCCGGACATCCGGGTTGTTCATGCCTGCGTCCTGCCTCGCATTCGCCCGGTCCACAATCGCCTGCGTCTGGGCCATTAGCCGCTGGACCTGCTCGTACTGCGACAGCGTGGTAGCCGTGCGTGCCATAAGCTGTGCAATCGGCGTGTCATCGTCGGGATCGTCCAGTCTGGCAGCTGGCGCATCGAGCCCCACAGGCGTCAGCTCCATCAGATATGGCACGCCATTAACCAGCACATACTGGAATTGGTTGCCCAGCGGCACAATAGACGCGCTGTCTGCAGGCACGCCATCATCCTTGGCTAAATCAGCCGCCGCCGGCGCCCCCATTTTCTGTCCCTCTGCCTGCTTCGCTCCATGTGTGGTGGGCTGCTTCGGTATGCCGCTTATTGGCGTGTTCAGCACAAAGTGCACAGTCTGTGGCTCTGGCACCTCCTCCGCCTCGTCGTCGTTGCACTGGTATATCTTTCATCACTGGATAGTCGTCGTTCAGAATCCGGCCTTTCCATATAACCCGCATGTCACGCGCCTGCGGGGCAGACGGGTGCTGGCGCTCAATTTCCCGCTTCACCTCGGCAATGTGCATCTCTGTGCCGATACTGATTTGAAAGTTGTCAGGGGTGTTGACGGACGGCGAGCGGACCAGCAGCTGAACCATCGTGAAGGCAGATAAGGCTGATAAAGTAATAGTGCTTTGTGCAAAATATAAATGCAGTCAGCAAGCTGCCGTGCAAGATTGTAGAACAGAGAATGAGGAAAAGGACGGTTGAAAAAGGCGCTGCAATTTACTGGCCCACTTGGTGCAGAATATGCCTTTGTAAAAACGGAGCAAATGGCTGTTCGCGACGTCACAGCCACCCAAGGAATGACTTTTTGGTTGGAAACCATAAACACGTGATGCATGGCGCAGTCGAGCACGCCATGGAGCAAAAGTTCGGGTGCCATCATCGCAAGCCATTTCCACATAGCCCCTTCACTCCCTTGTCACACTCACACCAGCCATGGCCCGCAACCAGGAAAAGGCGCAGTCGATGCTCTACCGCTTCCGCGAAGCGCAGTCCATCGAGCTGGGCATCCACAAGCCCAAGGAGCGGCGGCCACATCTCGCCTCGCTTGCCAACACGCTTGACGAGGCCGAGAAATGGCGGCGCGACGTGATCCGCGAGATCTCGCGCGACGTCTCCCGCATCCACGACTCGTCTCTCCCCGAATCGCAGATACGCGACCTCAACGACGGGATCAACAAACTGCTGCGCGCCAAAATCCACTGGGAGAACCGCGTCATGGAGCTGGGTGGCCCAGACTACAGAAAGATTGGCCCAAAGATGATCGACCACCAGGGGCGGGAGGTGCCTGGAAACCGTGGATACAAGTACTTTGGACGGGCAAAGGAGCTGCCTGGTGTGCGGGAGCTGTTTGAGCAACAACAGGACTCAGGCAAGGCCAGGCGGAATCAGAGGGGCGACCTGATGAAGCGGGTCGATGCGAGGTACTTTGGATACAGAGACGAAGATGACGATGGAGAACTGCTGGCGCACGAGGCCAAGGTCAAAGAGCAGTGGATCGAGAAGCTGCGCGGCGCGCACGACGCCTCATTAGTCAGCGACAGTGACGACAGTGACGAGTAGATGATGGGTGTTGAATATATGGATTAATTTCACCAAGCTGTATAGAACCTACATGAACGTGCTATCCTCGTCGTTCGTGTCCCGGAGACTCAGAACCTCGACCTCGCCGCGGCCCTTGCATTCCGCCTGCAGCAGATCCGAGATAGCGCGAAACTGGCCAGGGTCGATCAGCGCAATCAGCTCATACTCCTCGCTAATGTCCTCCTCCTCGGTCTCGGCGACCAGCGGCGACAGCTTGTCCTTGATCCGCTTTGCCTCCTTGCTCGGCATTGTCACCCGGATGCGCATCCGGGCCCTGGAAATTGGCATAATGTTCTGCTGCTGGATCTGCTTGATGACATCCAGCGCCTGCTGCTTGGCGCTGCGGTTCGGGTTCACCGAGTAGTGCAGATCGCCCATGGCCTTCTCGATCATGGTGACAGTATATGGCCGCTGCGTGGTCGGGTTTATGCACTTCTCGGCAACGATGGTGGCGATGTCTCGCAGCATGTTGTCGAGCTGGTGGTGCCGCTCCTTGTCAGACACCTGCTGCTCACCCTTTTGCAGGATCTCGCGGATCACCTCGTCGACGTCCTCGGTCTTGAAGCACTTTTTCAGCTCCTCGGTCTTGGCCACCTGGCCCTTGGACACGTTCATGTACACCTGGTGAATCTGAAGCACCTCGTCGATGTCCTTCTCAACGCCGTTGCGCCATTCCGAGGCCTTGTTCTTGTAGCATGCCACCTCGAATCGCTTGCCGCCCTTGCGCAGGCGTACTACCGACACGTTGGTCAGCTGAATTTTGTTGCTGGGTTGGAAAATTTTACCCATTTTGAGAGTAATAGTATTTGAAAATTGAGGCAGCTAAGCTGAAAGAGCGAGGGAAAATTTTTTGTGTGCACTGGCACAGCGCATAAAAACAAGCCCTGGCCTGGCTTTCTGCAAATCGCTGGTGCCCACAGAATGCCTGCAATCAGACCATGTACCAAGGCGGCTGGGCCGCAGCAATGGCGGGCAGTGACTGCGCTTAGCCAGCTGCGGTTCTGGACAGCGTCAGCATCACGGCCGTGGGCCGTGCACACTGAGAACATGGCTATGGCCAATATTCGGACAAGCATTTGTCATCAGCGGCCCAGCTCTCCAGCTGCTTCGCTATGCCTTGTTTGATAACGCAAGTCTTTCTTGGAAATAACCAAACAACGACTACACCCATGCTGTTTTCTACATCTGGAACTCGTTGACAAACTCGGTGTCTATGTTTACATGCATCTCAATGTCGAACATTCGGATCGCCTGGTACCGCATCCGGTGGTGCGCAACCTGCGGCAGCTGGTGGTGCAGTGCAATGAACGATGTCAGACACTCCCACCGGTCACACATCCACTCGCCACTCTCGCTCCTACACCACACACGGTTTGGCAAATCGATAAGCAGACAATCCCGCAGACTGGATGTAAGTGTGGTGTTTCCTGAAACGGGGGACGGAAACACGCTGATGTATGGATGCCGGTGTATGCAGATTATGCAACATAGCCGCAGCATGCACATGAATGTCTTTCTCTCAGGACTGCTAAATTGCCCCTCCCTCCGTCCCCACTCCGTGCAATGCTACTTACTTCATGCGACCCAAGTATGATACAGGCACAATCGACCGCGCATCCTGCACGGAATTCGGTAGAGAGCCAGGGTAGTCCAGGCCCTTGGCCAGCTCGTTCTCGCTGACAAACTTGGTCTCGGGGTTCAGCAGGTGCTCCTTCGTCCACACCTCTGACTCCTCCCACGCCGCATCATACAGCGCATATGCGCCCGTCCAATTAGGAACCTCGGGACTCGCCAGCTCGCCGTCAATCCGCCTGCACACCAGGTTGAACTGGCGCGGGTACTCTCCACTCGTGTTGGTGATCGGCAAGTGCTTGCTCTGCCGGCCCACCTCGTTCAGCTCGCGCAACGACGGCTGGATGACTGACGTGATGTAGTCGGCCAGCTGCGTGCGGTCGCCCGCATAGTCGAGGATGACGCATGGCTTGAGGCCCAGCACGAGGAATGCTACTTCGCCATAGTGCAGCTGCTCGCTCAGCTGCAGCTCGCCCTCCTGTGTCAGCAAAGCGAGCTGTTCGCTGGAGCGCGACCCGAGCCACTGCTTCTCCCGGGTATAAAGCCGCCGAATTGCCCGCGTTGTGCGCCGAATTTGCTCCTCAGCCTGCATTCCCAAACAAGATAGTGGAACAAAGAAATATAACTGTGTGAAAAAGGGGAACAAAGGATGCTTTTTACATGGACAGCAATAGAGAATGGGCGCCCTGCTGATGAACACCGGGGAAAAATAATCGACAGATTCCATCGCCGCCCTTGCGCTCACTGCTGAAAATCTGCTGGGAGACAGCAACCAAACAAATCTTTTTCGAGCACTGTATGCAAAGCAACGCCTGTGATCAAGTCAGTTGCCAGCCTGGAGCGCGCTTGCACGGCAAAACAAAGCTGCCGGGCATCAGCTACAGCTGGGTGCGCACGTAATGCCTTGCTGCCCAGCACCTCAACACATGCACACATGAAAGCCGATGTTGTGCTGGGCTGTCAACCAAGAGAAAACCTGCATAGTTTTGCCAGCAGACAGCACAATCGGGGTCTCCAGGATGCCGGTAGCATTTATATGTATGCGATCAAACTCTACTCTCAAATAAAACAAGGCTACCAATTTGAGCGGGATAATACCCATGATGCGCTATTTAGCGTTGACTACTTTACGCCCTTGAAATGTTAACCCAGCAGTGGGCCTTAGGGCTCGTTGGCCCAGTGACAATGAAGGACGACGAAGGGATCTCCACAGGGATTTCGTTCCTGTCGAGTCTGTGAGGGCCGTACATCGAGTCTGCTGGCAGCGAGAAATTGTATCGACGCAATGTGTTGGCCAGCGCGGTATACAACTCGAGCATGACCATGTTCTTTGCAATGCACGCGCGAACTCCAGAACTGAATGTCAGTATATCCTTGATCCGTTCTGCCGAGTCTGGACCAAGGAAACGCTCAGGGTCAAAGACGTCAGGGTTATTCCACAGCTGCGGATTACGGTGGCATGCAGAAATTGAGATGCAAATCTGCGTATCGCCTGGCAAGAAGCAATTCTGGAATATAGCGCCTTCTGCTGGAACGCTACGCTGGAGCATATTCGCAAGGGAGGGATTGAGGCGCATGGATTCATATATGACCGCGGTGAGGTACGGCAGCTTGGCCTTGGCATCAGCAAAGGAAATCATCTTGGAGGTGTCGGGGAACGCTGAGCGGACTTCGTCTGTAACCCGCCTGTAGTGCTCTGGGTAATGCATCAAGTTCATGATAGTAAACGACAGAGTGTTGCTGGTGGTGTCAGACCCGGCAAGGAGCGTCAGGCGAACCTCAGATTCGAGCTGGACAGGCAGAAGCACATTGCTGGTTTCCATGTCTTTGGCATCGATAAACTTTTGCAAAACATCGACACGCGGTGGCTTGCCGGCCTCACGGATCAGCTTCTTGCGTGTCTCGATGGTGTCATGTACCAGCCGCTGGATCTTCTTAGTCGAGTCTACCAGCCGCCTGAAAACCCAGAGGAACTTTGTGATTATCGGCGCCTGGCCAATCAATATACTAAGCTTTATCGAGTCGTGTATCCAGTCGATAAGTTCCATATCGCCAGTCGGAAGAGTGTTGAAGGTCCTGCCAAATGCTAGTTCGCCAATAACATCGTAGCCCATCCGGTGAAATGTATAAAAGTAGTTGATGCGAGCGATGCCTCCTTGGCTGGCAATCTCGCTGTCCCACAGCTTGATGAGAGCGCTGGCGCCTGATTCTACAATTAGGCCCTCAACCTGGCGCATGGTATGCATTGCGAATGCATCTCCAATCAAGCGCCGACGGAGCTTGTTTACTTCGGGGTCAACCGTCGAAAATGTATTGACGCCATACCCGTTTGACTCAATTTGGTTATACATACGACCCTTCCGGAATGCGTGCGTGGCCAGCACACGCCGTGTGTCGGCCGTATTTGACAGAGAAACATGGTCGATTCCCATGCGCACCATGTCGCCATACCTGGCATGCAGCTGTGTTGAGTACCAGTGATAGTGTCCTCGGAGCATATGGTATTGAAGTGGAAGGTTAGAGATCCTGTTCAGAAACGGCCCTGAAATGCATGCAAGCGGTGAAAAGAAGGCTCGGTATGCCAGGCATGTAGTGCATGCTGCAAGAGCTAGCCCGAATGCAGTCCAGAGAGAGTTCAGCCCCACTGGGACCTGAGTAGCAGTGAAAATAGAAGCTATATCCATTTGATGCACTCAGCGTTATAGACAAAGGTAGAGGAAAGTAGTGGTGCTGAAGAGAGGACAAAAGGAGGACGAGGGAGGGAGAGTACAGACCCGGGCGCAGGAGCCATGTTGGAAATGACTTGCGCAGCACTAATGATGTTTTCAGAGGTACAGCTTCTATGGCATACACTGTCTGGTGAAGGCAAGTATAGCCAGGTTCTAAGGGGGGTTTCCTCCAAGAAGCCCAACATATTTTGGACCCGGATACATGCTAATTGTTGAGAGAGCAGGGGGCGTGGGTACATATTTATCAACAATAGATACTGCTATACTCATAAATATACGCACTTGTCCAAGAATGATTCATTTCCAACTTGCATAATACGGAAAGCCACTTGCTCCCTGATCCCAATGTTGAAGGGAAGTTTATTCAGATTAGTGACATGGACTGGAGCCTGACACCGACTTGGGTTGAAACACTGATGCATACCACTTTATGTACGAAGCACTAGTTACATGGCTTGCCTTGTTTAATAGAAGACCTTCAGATAAACTGCAAAAAAGTTTAAAGGAAGTTGTGTAAAGAAGTGGGTTGTGTAGGAGTCTGCGGGATACATGGTATGCGGTGGCCAATACACGCTCTGTCTGATAGTCCATGAAAACAGGCGAAAATAGGGAAAACAAGCATGCCGTGGTTTCCCAGATCGCTGGCAGAGACATGCTACTATTTGCGCCACCTTGTAGTCATCTCTGCTCCTCATGTACTTGATACGTGTAAGCACTGAGCCTGTATATGGGGCATAGGCAGCTGGGATTTGGCCCTCAGTATGCTTGATCAGTGCCCGCAATATGCGCCGAGAAGCGATTGAGCGCAATATCCGCCAGTAGCACCTTGTTAGACAGGCGTTCTAGCCGGCTACAGCAGCCAGCTACCGCCGAGCATCATGTCCTTTGGCGGCAATTAGGTCCTGAGCTCTGCTGCTTCTGTGCGTTCGGGCACAGCGGTTTTATTGCGGTCAGGTGCAGTGTTTTTACAGCTTGATCTGCAAGCAACGCAATCTAGCTCGTGATTTCGTCACTCCCTGAACTCGCGCAGCTGCAGTGATGGTTTCCCAGGATTTTCGCATCCGCTCTTTTTCTCCCCTCTTCCTGACAGTGCTTTTAACTTCTTCTTTCTTCTCTAGCAGAGTCAAGGGGAAATACACACCCTGCGCAGCCAAACAACAACTACAGCAACAGCAGCAAAAAGCTGGATTCAATTCAATTTCTGTTCTAATTATTGGGTGAGAGAAATATAGAACCAGTTTACTATACCCGCAGTCAAATGAATTTGGACACGAGCGACGAGCACCAGTACCCTCAGCTCGAGCAGCTGGATATGTGGTGCGAGCAAGCACTGGGCTCGCCGTCAACAGAGCAGCGCGAGGAGGCGGAGCGGCGGCTGCGGTACTACTTTCCGACGTTTGCCGAGACGCTGGTGGAGATATCGGGGTCGCATGGATTCAGCTCTGGCCAGGAGCGGGTGCTGACGGTGTTTCCAGGCATCAAGGGCCCGTCAGATTCAGCGACCATGATGATGTGGCTATTCAACCAGTCGAGCAAGGTGCTCTCAATGGGCTATGTGATTCGTCGGCTGCGCACACTGGTGCTGAACCATCTCGGGGTCCTGCCGAACGAGCAGAAGCGGCGGTTGCGTAAGTGTTTGGGTGGGGGTGTCTTCCTATTTGCCTCTGCATCCCTTGTGAGTCGCTCAGTCTGCTGAGAAGCGGCCGCACGTGCGAGGAAAGGCTCGTTTTTTGGGGAAGTGCGGTGTGTGCGCGCTGCTCATATGACACCTGTCCGTCGTAATGTTTTATTTTGCGCACCCTACCCGTCCCCTTGTCCGTCCTCCTGCCTTGTGCGGGAAATGAACCACGCACATGCCAGCCCGTGCTGAGCGGTCATATGCCAACGCTACTATTCTAACCCCCCCCCACACACTATCCAATATTTCTTCTTCCTGCAAGTAGGCAACGAGCTGTTCGATGCAATCCATGGCAAGTTCACGCTGATGCCGGGGTTCCTCATCGACGACGCTACACGTACGCTGGCGCTGATTGTCATGTTCACCTGGTTTGACCTGGATGATTCGGTAGACGTAGTGGAGAAGATGCTGGAGCTGGGCAAGGCGTCAGAGAAGCACGAGATTCTTGCGCTGCAGATGATGCATGCGTTTGTTGAGGAGTTCAACAAGGAGCTGCCGGCAAAGTACCTTGCAAAGCAGCGACGCGTGGTGGTGATGTTCCGCGACAAGGAGCTCAAGAGCATCTTTGAGCACTCACTGAAGACCATGCGCAGCACCATCCAGGCGATGGGCACCAGCAACAGCGATGACAAGCGGCACATCCTGTCGAATTCGCTGGTGCTGCAGCGCGACTGTCTGTCGTTCGACTTCATTGGCCTGGCGCCTGATGATGCCTCCGACGACGCAGTTGCGATCCAGGTCCCGTCGTCATGGAAGGATCTGATCCAAATTGACAACTTTTTGGATCCGTACTTTGACGGGTACAAGCACAGCAGCCCGCCCGTCAGCAGCCTGTTCCTCGAGGTGCTGGTAATGCTGGCCTCAATCCGCCGGTCGTTCTACATGGAGACAGTGCGTGTCACCTTTGTCAAGCGCATGTCGGCAGGCATTGTTGAGATCCTCCAAGGTACCATCGGGCTCGAGGATGTTGAGAACTACCACCACCTGTGCCGCCTGCTGGCGCGTTTCCGGTGCATCCACACGCTGGTGGAGATTGAGGAAACTGCCGTGTACCGTGAGCTACTGGTTTCGGCTGCACAGTTCACGTCAACTGCGCTGACTCTGTGGGAGTGGTCGCCAAACAGCTTTGCGCCGCTATTGACGTTCTGGGCCAAGATTGCGACGACGCACGACGCGCGAGACAACGAGAAGAGCAGCATCGCCGGGGACGTGATTTCGGAATCCCTGCCGCAGATCGTAAAGCTGTACCTGGATTCGATGGTGCAGGTGACGTCTCGTGTGGTGATGGGGGACTCGGCGGCAGACAACCCGCTCGAAGACACCGACGGGCTGGTCGAGAACATCACCCTCTTGACCAACATTGTGCGGTCATCCTATGCGACTTGCGCGCCAGTCATCGTCAACTTGTTCCGCGAGATGGCCGGCGAGTACCAGAGCCTCCTGTCTTCGGGACAGATCAACGAGGAGGGCTTGATGACGATTGAGAGCCAGCTGACATGGCCCACATATGCCCTGGCGCTGTGCATTAATGGGCGGCAGCCGTACAAGACTATGGCTGAGGACGACGTTATTGACGCTGAGATGTTTTCCATCGGTATGGAGCTGGATCAGCTGGTGCAGCGGCGGCTTTCGAGCCCAATTGCTGTGCCGCCGTGCGAGGCGTTGGAGCTAGCGTTTCTGCAGCTCTACTACTCTTTCCGGGCCAGCTACATCGGCGAGCAGGGGTACAAGACAACGTCGATATTCGCAAAGCTGTCAGAAATCGCTGGCATCACCGATTCGGCCGCTGTGCTCGAGATTACGATGCAGAAGGTGATGTTCAACCTCAAGACATGGCGCACGCAGACAGCTGTGATCAGTCGGACGCTACAGCTCTTGCACGACATGTCCATTGGGTACGTCAGTGTGCGGCAGATAACCAAGCTGAACACGATCAAGCTCCTGCTAGCAAACCACAGCAGCGAGCAGTTCCACTTTTTATCGTGCATGGGCGAGTACAAGCAGCGTGCCCTGTACTACTCTGCGCTGGCGCGGATTCTGATGGCGAGCGACTCGTCTGCAGCGACGTTTGCGGAATTTGTACGGCCATGGAGCGCCATGATCGACGGCATGCTGAGCCTTCCAGATATGCAATTCGCACAGCCCAGCATGCGGCTGAGCCTGATCCGTATTCTGCGCGATCTGCGCGGGTTCTTGACAGCGCTGTCGACGCGGGCAGGGTTCACCATGTTCTTCAACTGGATCTGCCCTAGCTATATCCAGCTGGTGCACCGCTGTCTGCTGCTGAGCAAGGACCCGCCGGTCCATGTTGCCGCGCTCAAGTTCATGTCAGAATTTGTGTTCAACCGCACGCAGCGGCTAAACTTTGACATCTCGTCGCCGAACGGGATCCTGATCTTCCGCGAGGCCAGCAAGGCAATGTGGGAGTATGGCAGCTTTATTCTGAAAACCAGCGACCCAGTACGCGACATATACAAGGACCGGTACAAGGGCGTGTCTGTGTGCTTCAACATCCTGACGCGACTATTCATGGGCAAATACGTGGCCATTGGCGTCATGCCTCTATATGGCGACGAGGCGCTAGACAATGCGCTCAAGATCACGCTCGAGATGCTGAAGCAATTCCCAATCAGTGACGTCATTGCGTATCCAAAGCTGGGCAAGGCGACGCTGACGATGCTCGAGACGTTGCTGGCCAAGACAAACCTTGAGCTAGTCGACCTGGACAATGCGGCATATGAGCATATTATGCAGATCTGCGTCGAGGCATTTGACCACGCCGAGGTGGCCGTGTCGTCGTCGGCGTGCACTGTGATCAACTCTGTGATTACCAACGCCATCGAGGGCGTGGAAGACGGCGTTGCGCGCGCTGAGGACCTGGCCAAGCTGGTGCATGGGCGGGTCGACATCAACCAGTACCTGCTCAAGGCGCTGCTGAATATTGTGCTGTTTGAAGACCGGTCAAACGACTGGTCGTTTTCGCGGCCGCTGTTCTGCCTGATGGTGCTCCAGTTTGACTTTGCCATGCAGCACACGCAGCAGATTGTTCAGTACCAGCCGGCGGAGCGGCGCGATGACCTGATTGCGGCGCTCAAGGCGCTGTTCTCGGCGACCGAGTTCCAGCTGAAGTCGGCCAACCGTGATGCGTTTACACAGGCACTGACGCAGTACCGCCGGGAAGTCAACACCAAGAACCTCATTTTGATGGTGCCCACAGACCAGACACTGGGTGCGCCTGTGCAGATCCTGAGCGGCACCAACAGCGGCGAGGATGCGTCTGCCATGGCCGATTAGAGAAATTGACATAGCTACACTCCATGTTCAATAAATCAGTTTAGGAGCGGTGGCAGCGAGCCGGCCATGCATAGCTGCGCAGCCCTGCCCAGCAAATGTGTCGAGGCGGGCAGAAATCAGCGACTCTGGTCTGGGCTGGGCTCTAAAATTCGATCGTAAAAATATTGGTGGTTCGCATCACAGAACTCTGCTACGTCACCAACAGCCTTGTTCCTGTGGCACGGCGGCGAGTCCGATTGAGTGCATTTCCCCTGCCCCGAAAAAATCGATGCCAATTTTTTAGGATGCTGCTGGCTTGGGTATACACCTGTCCATTTCTTGTTCCCCTTCTTCTCTTTTCGAGTTTACATTTCACTCAATTTTTTTCATTTTGCTCGTGTACGAGAGTGCTATCCAAAGTATTTAAACTAAAATGAGCAAGACGGACGAGGTGTGCGCAGTTGAGGAGGAGCTCGATGAGGAGCCTCGCAGCATCATTCTCAGCATGATTGGGCAATTGCGCAAGGACATGGACCTGTCGCGCATTACATTCCCGACGTTTGTGCTGGAGCCGCGCAGCTTCACTGAGCGGGTCACTGACTTTATGTCCCACCCTGATTTTCTGTTCAGGTAAGTTTATACAACGTGCAGTGGTGCCCGAGCGATCCCCCATTGAGCAGTACCAGACTTTGGCCAGTCCGTGCACCTTGGCTCGCTCTGTTGCGGTGCTCTCGCGGGGAACCTCCGGAGAGTTCCCCTTGGTATCCCAGCCTTTCTCCCCTGCCCCTTTGGCTGTGGCCTGTAGATTTGTCTCACACATGGTTCATTCTGTCTCCATCTCGTTTTCCTGTTGATTGTGCTGGTGCGAAACTCATGCACGGAAAAACGAGAGCTCTGTTTTCATCCTGGCTTCCTGTTGCAGTTGTCTATTATTGTGTGCCAATGTACCATGGATTTGCGAGCCACGTGGGTAGAGACATGACCGGTGCGGACACACCGGAATCGAGACCATCCCTCACTCAATACCACCCACTCCCCCACGTCTTATTTGGACATAGCGCAAACAAGGCAGATGACCCGGTGAAGCGCTTCATTGGCGTTGTCAAGTACTACATGTCTGGTTGGCATATCCACCCAAAGGTAAGAATCGATGGCAATCCATGCGGTGCCGGCAAGCAAATTCTGCATGAGTCCTATGACGCTATTGTCCTCTCCACTTCTTCACTGACATCTCTCCCCTTTCGTATGGGCGGCTAGGGAGTGAAGAAGCCGTACAACCCGGTGCTAGGCGAGTTCTTCCGCTCAAAGTATGCGTTCTCGGACGGCACGAATGCGTACTTTATCGCTGAGCAGGTATCGCACCACCCGCCCATCACAGCAATGTTCTACAACAGCCCCGACCACCACATCACGATTGAGGGCGACCTGCGGCCGAAGAGCCGGTTCTTCGGCAACAGCGTGGGAATGATCCTCGAGGGCTACGCAAAGATCCATTTCGACAACTGGAAGGAGACATACGAGGTGACGTACCCGAACATGTACGCGCGCGGGATTCTGTTCGGCAAGATGGTGCTGGAGCTCGGCGAGACAGCGTCGGTCACGTGCAAGGAATCTGATCTGATGTTTGAGGTCGAGTTCAAGACCAAGGGCCTGATCTGGGGCACGTACAACCAGATTGCAGGCAAGATCCGGCGCATCTCGACGCGCGAGGTGCTGCACGAGATCACGGGCAACTGGCAGACGACAATGTACATTGCCGACAAGGTGCGCAAGACAGAGCCTGTGGTGCTGTTCGACTCACGCAAGGAGCAGGTGGTGCCGCAGCTCGTTGCGTGTGCGGCCGAGCAGGAGCCGCACGAGTCGCGCAACCTCTGGAAGCACGTGACCAAGGCCATCAAGGACAGCGACCTGGACGCCGCCACCACATACAAGTCTGCGATCGAGGAGGAGCAGCGGCAGGGTGTCAAGAAGCGTGAGGCTGAGAAGACCCGGTTCACGCCCCGGTTCTTCCAGCTCGAGATTGACGGGAACTACCACCCAAAGATGCTGATCAAGGACATCCCCCACGACCCGCAGCAGGCAGGCGAGCAGGTCTCGAAGTGGATCTTCTCTAGACCTGACGGCCAGATGCAGGACTTTGACAAGCCCGAAACTGACCCGGTGGTGCTTGCAGTGACAGGCGTGTCGCCGCCTCGCAACTAAACCGGTTTTCTTCCTCCTACACGATGAGCTCCCTCTTCTACGCTCCCTATTTGCTGTTTGAATCCACACATCAAAACACCACGTGGTCCTCTTGCCATGTTGCGTATGTCCTACTAGTAACCCTCCAGCGGCAGTGCTTCGGCATTGTCCTCGATTGGCTGTGGCCTACCCCTCATTTATCCCATGTGCATTCAAAGTAGCCTAACATTGAGGTGTATTGCACATGTAGGTTTGCGGGGAGGGCGGTAGACGATGACAATAAGCAGATGCTTGGCGCCTTGGCTAGTGGGCCGTTGGTCCAGAAGTATACGTCGTGCGTCAGAATGGCGGAGGACAAGTAGCGCCCCGTGGCTGGATCACTTGTCTGCCCGGAGCGCTATGTGATTGGCATTTCTTGAAATCAACTGGCGCTAGACCCGAGTCTTCACCCCCCCTTACCCTCGGAGCGCGGTGAATGGGAAATGCAGTATTGTCTTCTGCTCAGCGCCGCACACATCACCACTATTAGCACGCTGCATCCACGTACATATGATGCATTTGATTCCGGGAAGCTGTATTGCACGAATAGACGCGGAGAGGACACAATGGTGATAGGGCTCTCAAGACACAGTGTGCGAGTGAATACCTGTGCTGCCTCTGACATGACATTCGGCCATGGAAAAACAGAAATAGTGCACTGTCCGCCCGGTGGCTATTGTTCTGTGGTGATTTTCGTGGTTGGTGTGAGGCCCACCACGCCCACAGGAGTACATAACGGCTTCTTGCCGCTCTCCACCGTGAACCAAATTTTTTGGTCACCCTTGGAACCCAACTCTCCTCCCCCATCTATCCCTCTTTGCCTCATCCAAAAACTCATAATTTTCCTAGCCTCGCCCGCTGTAGCTGTACCCTGCCTCCCACTCACTGGTACTTGCCATAGAGAACAATGCTGTCCTTCCTGTCCAAAGTTGCACTCTACACCTACCTCGCGATGGTGGCCGTTCGTTCTATTATCCGCTTCTATGTCAAAGGTCCAAAATCAGAAAGATGGCCGCTGAGCTTCCACGTCAAACGAGACCTCTACTACTATGCTGGCAAATACATGTCCGATTGCCCCCTTACTGACGACGCAATCCACCAGTTGAATGTGTCGGAGTTCGCTGCTAAAGCCCGACAGAACGATATACCGCATGCTACAATACCTGCTGAAGTCGGGTTCTATATAGAATCAAGCTTTGCTGTAGCCGACATTAACATTGACCCATCAAAATTTGCGGGGATTGGTGGTGTTGCTGAAAGGAGACTCGTCGAGCTGATGCAAAAGGACAGGACCGACACTGAGCGCCCTCGAGTGCTATTTGAGCTGATTGTTCCTAATCTGGCACACACTGAGCAGGCAGACCATGGCATCCGGCTACAGGATCTGCTGGAGGTCCGGCCAACACACAAGCGCGAGCGCATTGTGCTGTATCTCCACGGTGGAGGGTACATATACGGATCACCTGCATCACACCGGGGGCATGTGGCGAAGATTTCAGCAATGACGGGCATGCGCGCAGTGGCGATTGACTACCGACTCTCGCCACTCAACATGTTCCCAGCACAGCTCCTTGACGCACTCTACTCGTATCTTTTTCTGCTCGACCAGGGATTCCAGCAAGAGAACATTATCTTAGCGGGTGAGAGCTCAGGCGGAAATCTGGTTTTGGTCTTGGCACTGCTGCTGCGCCATCTAGGCATAGGTAATTTGCGTGGTACTGTGCTTATCTCGCCATGGCCAGAGCTGTCTTGCACTAGCCGTAGTGCTGTAGAAAACGAGGATTTCGACTATTTGACCTTTCCAAATGTCGAGTTCCCTGAGAACCCAGGCCGTATGTTCTACGCGCCTGGACATAGGCTTACTGAGGATTTAATCGCTGAGCTGCGTCACCCGCTGGTATCGCCTTTATACGGTGACTTCTCTGACTTTCCGCCAACCTTAATCCAAGCGGGTACCAGGGAACGTCTCTATGATGATATCGCCAAACTATACGAGAAAATGTCAGCTCAGAACACCCACGAAACAGCTAACATCGTTTTCGAGGCCTATGACGACATGATTCATGTATTCCAGCAGTTCGAGGAGGCACCCGATACGGAAATCGCTTATGCAAGTATTGGAAAGTTTATAAGATCTCTTTGATATAAAGCCGTGTCATTTTGAACCAGTGTCATTTTATGTAACAAATGCAGCAAATGTGCGATTATGCCTGCTGCACTACTGATGTGTGGATATGATGTTGGGAATGTGGTGAGCACAGCCCTTAGTGCTCCAATAGATGATATTTAGTCACAGTCAATCGCCCTAGTTCACTATTAGTAGCCACATTTGGTCACTGTCTCTGCACATGGCTATATGCTGGTGGCAATTTGCTTGATAAATCGAGGTAGAGTGCTGTTTTATATATATGCAGGCAATCGGCATATGATGCGTGGCCTACATGTCGTATATGATGGTTCATATCCGATGAATGCGATGGCTATGTGTTGCATATAGATATTTGACGATGTGGCAAAATGGCAAACTCATGTGAATACTGCATTCCCCAGTACACGAGAAACAGCAGCTCCAGAGATGTGAAAGCGTTTTTTAACTTGGGGAATGAGTGGTTATCGAATATACGGAAAAATAACTTCTCGAAGTGACTGAGGGGAAGAAGGAAGACTGGTCGTTTGTCTGGGCCTTTGTACGTATGCGTTTCGGCCTTGTCTATGGTGGCACAGGGGGACTCCGAACCCCGAATGTCAAGACATAAAACACTCTAACCTCAGCCAGCCTCCCTTACTGCAGGCATACCAATGAAACCGCACTATTATATACTTGCGTTATACCACACCGAATATTGCCGCTCATCTGGTATGTTGGTGATGTTACTAAATTTTCATATAAACGCCTTTGCTGATATGTCAAAAAGCATGCTTCATCCACAGGGTAAGACTATGCCGTCTATGTTTTGCAAACTCTGCAACTTTTGAAATGCGGCAGCACTAGCAAACTAGAGGTTGTTTTCTAGACGCAAAAAGAACAGGCCCGTCTAAAAATGAGAAAATGAATGTTTGAAAAACATACATAGAACACAGAGAGATGAACAAGGGTAGCCTAGCTAGTAGCTGGTTCAGCACAACTAGGTACTTTCCGACTGTCTGTGTGTCGCTCAAGACAGGGAGCCGTGATAAGGGGAGCATGAGTGAGCACATAACAATTGCTGGCGAAAACTATAGTAACAGTTCGCTTCAATTGTTGCTGCAGTCCAGCTATCCAAGAGGCGGTTTGCCAAGCATAGGAAGAGTACATTAGCCAGCAGTAGTGTATGATACTGTCATACCCCTTCATAGCTTAGCTGCCTGCTGGAGCAGCATTTCCACATCGTTCATTGTGATTGCTCAGTTAAAGTCCACATAGCTGACGTGCAATTGCAACACTACCTACAGCTAAAAACTCTCAGCAAAAAGATGAAATGGAGGCAGAATGGAGGAGTTGCTTAGACAAGATGCAATGAACCATTGATTGCCAGCGCTTGGGTGGCTCTTGGACCCGCATAGACATAAAGCCAGGGAAGCCAAGTGTTCTTGCAGCTGTAGCCTACTTTTGTTGCCTGGATATGCGACACTGGCGATCTCTTGGATTTATTATTAGGATCGCTTGCAAACAATTGGGAACCCCCTATCCTAAAGCAATCACGAAGTAGCGATGTGTCCATGCAACGAGTAGATCATTCAATGTGAATATGCCAGTGTCGGCAGAATGTCAGTGACAAGCTCCGAGTAACAGTGTCAGCCAAGAAGGATGCTTTTCGCTATTTCGGAAATTGCGTTCTGCAACCATGAGTGTCAACCTTGTCGGGATAATGTGCAGCAGCTTATAAACGAATTGAAATCTTACGGACCTGCAGTGAATGACTAAATACCTCACCTACAAGCATGCTGTTTCTCGTTTGAATAGCTGGCTGCGCACGACCCTGTTGCCGTGCTTAAATGTCATGTACGTATGATAGAGATTCATTTACTGATGCGAATTGTATTATTGGAAACTGCATATGCAATGCCCGCCTGACCATCTTTCGTTAATTTTCCACACATGCAGACTTCCGAAAAGAACGCCCCGTCCGAATTCAATCATTTAAAGATATCGACAAGCTGTACTCGATAAACACTCAAGAACTACCAGGCAAACCATGTATCTACCTCACTACTGGCTGTTGCGGGTCTGTGTCTAACAGTATACTGCGGATTTACTCAACAGGCATATTCCGGCCACTATTGTATGCTCTTGATCGGCAGTGCTGAATCACATCAATACCTAATCGTTTTTGAACAAAGGCAAGGCGCAGTAGAGAATGCCATTGGAGTAAATTCAAAGATCAAATGGAGTTTGATAATGCAGTCGGTCGCTTGCATACGCCTCCTATTTGTGCAGTAGGCTGCATACCAGCTCGGACGAATTGACAACAGCTTCGACCTCATCAGCTGATGCACCAACCCGGCCAGCTCCTAGCGTATGGCTCTTGAGCTGTGCTGGGACGTCCATCGGAACCAACGACGCAATCGTACATAGCTCAGTCTCCTTGGTGGTGAGCACGTCTGTGTTGCTGAGCAAGCGGCCGTAAAGATCTATGAGTAGACTCATTGATTTAGCTGCCTGACAGCCATTGACATTGGGTGGCAGATGTGTGTTTCAACCTACCAACTTGAATAACCTCAGCCAGGTCTGGGTACATGTTTTTGAGCTTGTTTTCAAGCTTATTTGCCTGTGCGCCGTAGATAACATTCCATAGCTGCAACCCGCGCTCCCGGATCTCGTCATAGGTGGCATTTTCCTTGGACCTTATTGGCACAGGCAGCAGCTTCGATGCAATGTCCTCTCCAACAGCGTTCATTAGCGACCCAGTAGCGTTGATAACCTGAGCAGAGAAGCAGCGGCAAAAGTTAGTTTTCAGGCTGCAATATGCGTTCCCATCGGATTCTGAAAACATGTATGGTGCTGCTTACTCTAGGGGCGCCCATGGTCGATATCATCTTCACCAGCGATTCGCGCGACTTTGCAACAAACTCAGTCATCTCGTCCTCAGTCAGCCGGGTTTTGCAGTAGCGGACCAGGCTATCGATTGTGGTTGGGTGGTTTGCCGATGCCAGTGCCGTGACCTACACAGCTGGGAAACCTGGTTTAGTAGTATGTGCGTGCTACAGGCGATAGAGGTATCTGCTGACATACCGCCACAACGTATCGGATAACTGGCTGCAGTGTCTGTGCGAGAGAGTCCAGCTTGGTGAACTCCATTTCGTGTGTGTTTGCAGCCTCTGGCATTATTGAGGAAGAGAACTAGCGACTGTATATATTCAGGAATGAGGGGTAAAATAGCAAAGTAGAGCAGAACAGCAAGTGTGCTGGCCCAAGATTTGCGGCTGCGAAAGACTTGGGTGGAAGTGCGAGTGAGGCAGTTGTCAGTGCGCGTGGAGAAATGAAATGGGGAAAATGCAGTGCCAGCGGAGATAAATGGATCTAATCACACGAGCTCGTAAACACCTGCAGATTAAATGCGCTTGAAACAGGCTAGCTTCGCCAGGCGGATGGCTGCTTGGACCATTTCCTCAGTTGCGCCCAGCCGGCCTGCGCCGATGCAATGGCTCTTGAGCTGCGAGGGGACATCCTGCGGGACCAGGGAGCCAATTGCACACAGCTCCGTCTCCATGCCGTTCAGATAGCGGGTCTCGGCCAGCAGATGGCCGTATGAATCGACCAGAATGACCTCGGCGAGATCCGGGTACAATGCACCCAGATTTCCTAGAACCCTCTGCGTGTGCCGGCCGTAGATGCTCTGGAACAGCCCCTCGCCGCGGCCCCTGATCTGGTCATAGTCGAATGAGTCGCGCGTCCGCAGGGGCGGCTGCTCTGCCAGTGCACCGGCGACCTCCGAGTCTTTGTTTATCTGGCCCATTAGCGAAGATAAGGCATTGATGCCCTTGGGCGTGCCCATGATCGAGGTCATCTTGAGAATCGACTCGCGCGTCTGCTGGACAAAATGCACCTTGTCGCTGAGGTGGCCGAGCTGGTCCAGGCGCCGCTGGGCAATCTGTGCGACAGCACTGGGCCGGTTGGCTGATGCCAGCGTCGAGATGGCTATCAGGCTGCGTATGGAGTCACCGAGGGCTGCGGCTTCAGAATCCCAGGCTTCCAAGTCAGTGAGGGCGATGGTGTCCTGCGAACATTTTAACAGCTGTATTTGTAATGGCAAAATAATGCGAAAGGGTGTGGGTAGAGAGTCAGACGGAGACAAGATGGATGGATATGTTTCAAGGCAAGGGGCGACAGTATGATAGGCTCCTTGGACCCCAGTTCGTGGGAACCAGTTCGCCGCTCATTCACATGGCAGGCCAGCCGGTGGGAGGCATATGTTGGGCGGACATCCACTGGCACCTATCCTCGCAGAATGTGCCGCACCGAAACAAGCCAAGGTCCATGCCACCAATAACGTGCAACAATACCAAGGCCGCTTTTCGAGGCATGGGAAGCTAGTCACCGACAAGGTGTGCGTGGGCAGTAAGGGATTTATGCGTCAAGTCAGACCACCACTGATCGCTGCCTCACACCTTGTTTTCAGCTCATCCATTGCATTCCTCACCCGAGCAGGTGATTTGGATTCGGACCCGCTCGTCCAGCTCTGCGATCTCTTCTGGATCTGTGAGTTTCGCTCGCTGCTGCCTTCCACTCATCAACCTGCTGGGTGAAATCGACAGCATCGCCAATCCTGAGATAAAAGACGCTCTTCATGGGATTCGGGTACGGCAGTGGTACCTTCTGCCGCAGCGGCATGACCTCCTTCATTCCAGTGGTGGAACATGGGCACAACTATCGGAACGCGATCCGACTCCATGATCAGCCGGCCAACGCCCCACTTTAAGCGGAGAAGACTATCGTCCTGGTTGACCTTGCCCTCGGGGAACACATGGACCCACCGGTTCTCGCGTAGTCTCTGCAGCGCAATCTCCATGCCCAGCTGGTGGATCCCAGCACCGCGTATTGTCGGAATTGTCTGCCCATACGCGAAAAACATGTTGAGGGACCGGGTTCTTGTACAAAAGCTCCTTGGCACCTAATGTCCATCGCATGTGTTCTGGATTCCACCGCATGCGCATCCGGCATGGCTCCCCAGATCAGCGGGTCATCCATGGTTGAGATGTGGTTTGCTACTGAGATCACTGGCCGCGTGCGGCCCGGGTCTTCAACAATATCGGTTAGCTTGTGCATGTCCTCGAACACGACCTTGCGAAACCCAAGGCTTAGGAAAGCAGACATTGCAGTAGACACCGTGCCGACAATGGCACTGCTCAGTGGCTGCCACCACCGATCATTTGCCTGCAGCTGAATCTGCACCCAGTGAGCGTATGACCGCTCCTTCCAGGTGGTGCGCGGGAGCTGATCAATGAGCTGCTCGGCAGTACTGGGCATAATTGGCAATATGTGCCCACGATCCTGCAGGGTGCTGTCGACGTCCTCGGTCATTCACAAAAGGTGCAACAAGGGACCCGAACAGGAAGGAGAGATAAAATAACAAATTGTGGAAAAGGCGAGATAAAAAATCATAGAGCGGCCTCAGCACTCAGCTATCAGCGCTAGATTTGTAGCTTTTGGGGGAAGAGGCAGCCCAATGTGCTGATTGGCAGCGCCTCGGTGCGCTTCTTCTCAGGCCGGTGTGCCCGTACAACAGCCAGACTACTAATAAACCGACAGCAGGCATGTCTGGTGCCCCGGCCCACTGGACCAGTGCCCCTGTACCTCTTTCCCCTCAGGCCAGACTATCTGCCAGCCTCCAGTCGCTGCTCACGCTCCATGACGTCCTTGTTGAACTTTAGTAGAATGACCGTGCGAAGCGGCATCCCGTCGGCAGGCACCACATGCGATGTGACTCGGGCCGGGCACTGGCAGCACTCGACGATCGCCTCAACAACGCCCGAGATGAACGCACCCGGTGAGAAAGACGACATCTCCTTTGGCACCGAGATGAACTTTAGGATGCTGGGCTCATTGTCGGTGATCATGTACTCGTCATCACTCTCGGTGCTGCGTTCCAGCGAGTCTGCCTGCTTGTCAAACAGCATCCGCCAGACGACTGTGTTGATGAATACCAGTGTGTTGAGTACGCGGGTCTCGCGGTGAACAGTCTTTTCCCGCCACATCGCCAGCTCAAAGACACGCATGCCAACACGGTATCCGACTTCGCCCAGCTTAGACTCCAGGTCCTGGATACCCAGCACGCGATTCTGCGAGTACTGGATGATTTCGGAGAACAGGAGGGCAAACGCATTCAGGCTGACTTTGTCGCGCCGCTGCTTGACAACATTCTGCTCAAGCATGGTGTTTGCCCGCTTTGTCGCCTTGTTGTCGAGCTTCAGGAGCGACTGCCGCTGTGCTGTGGCCATTATGAGGAATATGAGGAAAGTAGAGCTGGGCTGAGAGAAAAGGCGAGTGTTGCATTCGTCGACGGAAGGGCTATTCGGTATAGAGCCTCCAGCGCGAGCCGACTCGGGGCTCTTGGTGGGATCGACTCGGCTCGCTTGCTGAAATCGAGGCTGGCATTTTTTTATCTGCACTTGCTTGCCCGCGTAGTTTTCCTCCGCTGACATTCAGAATTTGCCCTCACATTCACACCCCAATTCGCCCTGAGATATATAATGTCGGGTTCAGTGTCCCAGGCAGCGCGCAAGCTGAAGGTAGCAGAGCTTTCGGCCAAGATTTTCGGCAACGCGTTCAACCCCACCGGTGCCCGCACCGGCGGCTACATTCTGCGGCAAAACTTCCGCGGCGAGCACATTGTCCGGTACTACCCGTCCGAGAGCGACGCCAACATGGCCAAGGCCCCGCGCCTGAGCCGCGTCATGGGAGAGAAGTGCTATGATATCGATGAGATTGACCGCCTCAACGCACTCGACAAGCGCAAGGCCCGTGGAAAGGGTGGCCCCAAGAAGGGAGAGGGCAAGCGCGCTACAGCTGGCCAAGGGAAAGAAGCGGTAAAGAAAAATGCTACATGTAAAGTGAGGGCAAGTCTTTCATCGTCACTCGCAATAAAGAAAAAAGTGCACAGCATGTTCAGCGCTCAGCGATCTAGGGGTCTGCCCAAAACCTGGTCGGTTACATTGTCGAAAGTATACGGCTTATGCTGGGGGATGGGGCTGGGTTAAAATATCTTTTCCCTCGCATCTTTCTCAACCACACACACCTTTCATGGCTCGCGCAGAGGAGTTTCGCCTGTATTTCTACTCTGGCCACAAGGGCCGGTTTGGCCACGAGTTCCTGCGTTTCGACATCGACGGCTACGGCAATTTGCGCTATGCGAACCAGTCCAACTATCGTCGCGACTCAATTATCCGCAAAAACATGCGCCTCAGCCCGGCACTCGTCGGCGAGATCAAGCGCATTATTGATGACAGCGAGATCATGAGGGAGACCGACCAGAAGTGGCCGGAAAAGGACCAGGAGGGTCGTCCAGACACTCGAGATCACCATGGGCGGCAAGAGCGTGTTCTTTGAGACAAAAAAGCTCGGGTCGCTGGCTGATATACAGAGAACCGACGACCCCGAGGGCCTGCGCGTGTTTTACTACTTTGTCCAGGATATAAAGTGTCTTGTATTGTCGTTGGTCGCACTGCCACTTCAAGATCAAGCCCATCGCCTAGATGTGCTGTTGGCATTGAGAGCAGTTGGTGCTGCCTCTTGTCCAGTGCAATTTTCTCCAGGGATGTAGCTGTAAACAATATATTCAGCTTGCTGATCTAATACATGTAACAGCAATGCGCACCTACAGCCGAGCCTATTTATAGACACGCCGACGTTTCCGCATAGTACACATGATATGGAATCGAACAACCGCAGCAATTCTCGGTATGGCAGCCAGCTGCATATTGCCGGTATCTAGAGCAATGCCTATACTGCAATCCAAACCGCCAGAGGCTGCCCCATGCAACTGACTCGCATTGCCATTCTAGGTAGTCCAGATCACAAGGACGAATCCGCACAAACTGCATCCAAACTGTAGCATACGATTCAATCTGTGCTCATCATTGCCACACACTATAATACATATAACTCCCAAATAGTCAAATGCCCAGACAGTTTGCCAACACATGTATTGGTTGAGGGGATAACACATGTCACAATGAGGTGTCACAGAGAGTATGGCGGCTGTCGATCTCATGGTGTTCGGCATGACCGAGCTTGTGTCGTTTGCAATGAACCGCGAGCGCCTTTGCTGCGGCAATTTCAGTCCCCGAAAACAGGTTTATGCATTTGTGTATATATCGTTTTACGGACTTGTCGCTGTGCCAGTTCTCGCTCAGTCCTTCCTTCTCTTTTGCACTCTGTTTGAGTCTACTCACTGACCTTTTTATGCGTGTCTTTCTTGCATACAGGTGTCTCTGCATTTCGCGCTCATAACATTTGTTGCTGTCCGGAATACCAACTATGAGCAGACCTAGCACACGTCAACAGTCACCCCAGATAATACAACCGCATACGCACAGACCGCCATATAGCTGTGCACCTTCTTATCCTACCTTACAGACGCCAATTGTGAGCAATTGAAACAGAAAGAAATCCGCAGGAAATGAGCTGGCAGGGCGCTGAGGCTACTGCTGGCGATAACCAAAGCACACCAGGTCTGCCAAAGGTCCTTTTCGGAGCCAACATCAGACGGATAAGCAAAAGGCGCTAGTACGCCAACCAAACAGACCAGGCTACCCAACACATTACCGGTTGGACCACTGAGCATAATAGCCGAGGAGAATGAGGACGTCTTCAATGCGATGAATCCGCCACCACATACAACTGGTGCTGTTGCCCAAATAGATTTTTGTTATATTCAAACAACAACTGCCCCAAATATATCATAATCAATGCTCAATGAGCAAAACTATGGACGCCCACGGGTAGATTGTCTCAGGCATTTATGGCTCTACATAGTTCAAGTAAGTTACTGGACCTGCCAGAAGAATATATGATTCAGATTAATAGTAGGGCTAGCGCTTGTCAAGGATCAAAGACATGCAGCAATGTACCACAAGCTATCGAGGTAGCCCATCATGGACATTCACATCATCACAGCAATTGCAATTATATAGTTGGTGTAGACATATCGTTGGCACTAGATATACTGTCGCCAATGACAGCATGGCTTAGACTCGCTGTCTTTCCCGATGATCTCCATTGTTCGCTTTTTTGGAAGTTCAAATTTTGTGCACGATGTGGTGAAGGCTGGCACCAATCAACAAAGTACCAATGAGGAGGTTGTACCGACCACCAGCGACATTGCCCTGTGTGAAGGCATGGTCCGCCATTCCGTGTGGCGCTCGCAAGTATAAGGAGGGTATCGAACTGCAGCAGTATACGCCATCTCCTTCTCTTCGGTTTTTCCACTTTATTCATTTCGGACACATTTTTCTGTCGATTATGAACTCTGCACTTTCGTCTGCACAGAGCATCCAGCCTAATATCCTGAGCCTCATCTTCGACAGGATCGAATATGGCGAAGAGGTTTGCAGCGAGTGGGAAAAGGCAATGGTGTGCCGGCAGAGGCGGCAAAGTGGAGTAGAGTCTCTTGCTTCGATAGCACATGTCTGTCGTCCATGGCGAGCTGTTGCATTGGCATACCTTTACAAGAACACAGAGACCCTTGCCAACCCGGTATATGCGGATAGCAACGAGCGGACAAAAGGACAGGTATCCGCCCCTTTCTATGGCCGCAGCTGCTGGCTATAATCTTCTTGTCCAGTCTGTCCACATTCACCTGTCAATGGATGGCGTTGAGGATGGCTCCGCTACCCGCGCCTTGAGCCTCAGTGCGCTATCCGCAGTGGCCTTTCCCAATGTTACAGACCTGACACTCTCCTTTTCCAGTACCAGCACAAGTAGGTATTCGGGAGAGGGACACCTCACTCAGGTTCTTCGCTTTGCAGACCGTATGCGCCGGCTGTTCCCCAGCGCGCGCAATTATTCTATCACCTCTCACTCGGGATGGTGGGGCGAAAAGACGGATATTTATGACTACTTTCTAAAGCACGTCGCTGCTACGCCACGAAGCCTTATTTATCGTGATCTCGCCAGCAAGTGTGCATGCCTTTACAGCAACTTCGGCCCTGGTATTCGGCGCATCCACCTTGAGGCAGTAGAGTCCTCCAACTTCTACCCGATGGTGCGTGCCAACAGCGAAACTGTTGAAGAGCTGGTGCTCTCCCGATGTACAACAGAGTACCTCGACGAAATGGCGTACGATTGTGACGAGGACCACCACTGCATATACCCGAGGCTCACCAAGCTGACCATCAATGACGACTACACTTCAGTCGATGGAGTCGATGGAGTCGAAAGCCCAGCCAGCAGCCACCACTTCCCGTCCCTGAGCACGCTCAATATCTTCACACGCTGGGATTCCGATTTCAGCTTCTTTGTGGGCAACAACCGCACTATGCTGACATCCCTGTCGTTCTGCCTCACAGAATCGCTCCTCGAGTCACTCCAAGGCTACGTATTCCCAAACCTCAGGCGTGTCTGTATTCTGGAGAGCGACTACGAGATATCGGGTATCAAGGCCGGTGCGCCTATCAGAGAATTCAACCTGCCGTTCCTGATTGCTCCCAATGCTGAGCAGATCGAGTGCAACATTATCTGCAATCCGCGGCTCATTACCCCGAATGCCATCATTCCGTACAGGTTTTCGAACCCGCGCCTTCGCCACCTGGCTGTAGATCATTTTGAGCCGACGCTGAGGGAGCTGTCGAGATTGCTAGCCTCTCTTCCGCAGCTCACCAGGCTCGGGATCCTGGGAATCCGCGGTGACCTTCCTGCCGGCACAATATATTTCGATGAAACGATCAAGACATGGCTGACAATACTCGACGTCTTCAGCATGCATCTGAGACGCCTGGACTGCCAGTGGCATACGCACGAATGCGCCTCTGGTGGCAGTCCTTATTGTGAAGCTGCCAGCACTCAATATGGCCACTGAGTTAATGAGCGACTGTTCGTTGGCGCAATATGCAGCAGAAATCAAAAAGCCCATATATGACAAGTATCGCGAGAGACTAAGCGGCCCACTATTTTGCGATAATCTCAATATACGGGAGTAGCCGTGGCATTTCAGCCAATAAAGATACGCAGAAACCATCAATTTGAACTCCAGCATAGTGCATAGCAAGCATTGCGTGTACATTACACACTTGCATGCCTGGCTTCTTTGTCCTCTTGCATATACCCGGCACTCCCATAAAACCTGCATGCAACATGTCCACGGCACAGTAGACAATCTCCCTCAAAACACAGCGCCTTTTCCTCCCACTACCCCATTTCCTCCATATACATTATCCCACGCGCCTTCCACAGAAGATGTCGCCTTCGACGAACCCGCTAGCGATTGGCTGCCCCAGACCCAACTGCCGGTGCACGGTCCTTCGCGCCAGCCTCGGCGAGCTCGTCCAGCGTACGCCCCGCGTGTCTCTGCCCGCAATCGGCGCTTCTGTGCAGGTGCCCGAACTCCCAGAGCAAGTGCAGCAGATGCTCAACGGCGAAAGTGGCGAGGGCTGGTTCTGGCGTCTGACCAACATGATGGACTTTGAGAACGTCGGGTTCTCCAAGCGCGTCGATGGCATGCAGTACCTGTCGTGTGCGGACTGCGATCTGGCGCCGATCGGGTACCATGACACGCAGGGCGAGCCCAAGGAGTTCCTGGTGTCGGTCAACAGAGTAAAGTACCGGGAATAAATTGTAATTTCGAGAGCATCTCGTAAGAATAAAAAAACCAGATCTATTTACGGGTCCAGGCGCTTCGGGTCGCGGGGGAACAGCGACGAGCGACGGATGTTACCCAGGCCCAGGTAGAACATGACGACACGCTCCAGGCCGATACCGCCACCAGCATGGGGCGGGCAACCGAGCCTGAAGGCATCAATGTAGTCCTTGAGGGTGTCGGGCTCGATGCCGTGGGCCTTGGCACGCTCCTCCTGGTACTTGGCGTCGTGGATACGCTGGGCTCCCGACATGATCTCCTCGCCGCGCAGGAAGAAGTCGTACGAGTTCGAGTAGTTCTCGTTCTCGGGGTCCGGCATCGTGTAGAAGGGACGGACCGCCAGCGGGAACTTGTCCAGCATGTAGAAGTCGGTACCGTACTCCTGCTTGACCAGCTTGCCCAGCAGCTTCTCGTTGGGCGTCGACAGGTCCTCAAAGTCGCCCATCTCGACGCCGTTCTTGCGCAGCAGCGCCACGGCGTCCTTGTACTCGAGACGCAGCGGCTTGTCGCTGAACTGGATCGGCTCCGAGGCGTACTGGCGGCGCACAATCGCCAGCTCGTGGGCGTAGCGCTCCTCCAGGTTCTTGAAGATGTAGACAAACATGTCGCCCAGCATGTACATGACCTCGTGGTAGTGCTCGCGGAACGCGCACTCCACATCAAGACCGATGTACTCGGTCAGGTGGCGGTGGGTGTTGGAGTCCTCGGCGCGGAACACTGGCGCGACCTCGTAGACCTTGCCGAAATCAGCAGCAATGCACATCTGCTTGAACAGCTGCGGCGACTGGGCCAGGTAGGCGAAGCGCTTAAAGTACGAGACCTTGAAGACGTTGGCGCCGCCCTCGCTGGCCGTGCTGATGATCTTGGGGGTGTGGATCTCGGTGAAGTCCTGGTTCGACAGGAACTCGCGGAACAGGTTGCCCACGGCGGCCTGGATCTTGAAGATGGCGTTGTTGGTGATGGTGCGCAGATCCACCACGCGGTTGTTCAGGCGCGTGTCGAGCAGCACCTTGACCAGCGACGGGTCCTTCTCGTAGTCAGCCTCCGGCCGGCTGGCGTCTTCGAGCGAGAACGGCAGCTGCGCGAGGGCCTCGCTGATCACAAACAGCTTGGAGATGTGCAGCTCGACATCACCGACGGTGCAGCTCTTCACGGGCTCCTGCGGCTTGACGACCTCGGCGACAACCTTGATGATCGACTCGTTCGACAGGCTAGACAGTAGGCGCAGGTTTTTAGTGACATATCAGCAATTGCTCCGCAGCACAGGATGCGACTCAAAGATGCCTCCCACACAAAGCCGTGCAATGAGTCACACAGTATAGCCCACCAGACTCACACATGTGCGCACAAAGCAAAAATCAACATACCTGGTCGAGAACTTCACCATCTGCTTGCTGATGGTATCCTTGTTGGCCAGCACCAGGGCCTGCACAGTCGCAGTGGCCTCGCGGAGCACCAGGAAGCACATCTTGTTGCCGGTCGCGCGCGACGTCTGCACGCGCGCCTGCACATTGACAGTCTGTCCCACCATGGCCTCGCCCAGGGTCTTGATCTCGGTCCACTTGGTGTCGGTCTTGGTCTGCGACATGTTCAGCGGGGCGTTGCCGTAGCTCTCCTTGGCGAAGTCAACCTCGGCGGCCTCGCGGGCTGCGCGCTCCGCGGCCTCGCGCGCAAGACGCTCCTGCTTGCGCGCCTCCTTCTCGCGCTCCTTCTCGAGCTTCTTCAGCGCCTTCTTCGACAGCGGCTTGCCCTCGGCGTCGAGCACGACGTTCTCGAGGTTCTTGGCCACCTCGGCGACCTGCGATGCAGGGGTTTGTTCTTGCTCAGACATTGTTGGATTTTTCGCTGATAGAGTCTTCTAGAAGCCGTTGAAAGCTGATCAGCCAGAAAGTATCGGAGGGATAGTGTTGGTGCTCGGCGTGCTTTATGCCGATTCTGAAGTCTGAATTCTGCACTTACCTCTACAAGGGAAAAGAAAAAATAACGAGTAGTGTGTAGAAGATACAGAGGGAAGAAGGGGGAGAGTGGCCCTAGGATGAGGGATCGGGAATGCACGTCGGTGGTTTCGCTGATGATTTTTTCTTCGCTCTGGGACAGCGCTTTTTGGGGGAGCCGGCCGACCCGTCTGGTCAGACCACCTGGCTCGTCTGGAGTCGGCTCGGCTCTGTCCGGCAGCCTGGGACTGGAGAACGGCGGGGAGATCTGACACAGCACAGCAGTAGCAGGAATTGTGCACAAAAAGGCAAAAAATAGAACGTCATAGACTTTGCAACCACATTCTGCACTCACTTTCCTTGCATTCTTCCTGTTTCATAGTTCAATGACAAGCGCACCTACTGGTAGTCACACTGGTGACAGGGCAAAGAGCCTTGCAGAGATAGAGCGCATCACACACGGTAAGGGCAGAAAAAAGAAGCAAAGCCCTCGATGTCGTTTGCCAGGGCAACAGGCATGGGTGCTAAGAACGGGATTCTTGCTGTAGAGCTCCAAACGAAGGGCACAAATGCCGTGACTCTGCTCCTGGAGCGCGCCCAAGCGCACGCCAACCTGGGCAATGAGTCACAGGCACGCGACGACATCTCGCGTGCAGCCGCACTAGTCAAAGAGCCAGCACACGGCTCAGCCGAGAGCATTGCAGCGGTTGAGCGCGCGCTGACGGAGATCACGATCTCCAAGGGCAGCAGTGCAAAACCCCTGGTGACTGCATCAGACACGGTGATCGTACAGAAGGTTTTGCAGTATGTAGCGCAAAGGGATGTGGACTGCAAGGACGTGGTGGATGTGGTCAGAGGCGCTGGAGGCGAGGATCCGGCAGAAGAAATATGTGCTGGAGCCACGGGATATGCTGGAGCTGCTGGATGCGTTCCATGCGCTGTGCAGGGGCGGGGACGGGGAGGTGGCAGAGGAGGTTGGGTCGTGTATTAGACAGGCGCTGGGCGGGGCGGGCGGGAATGCGGCGGCCAGGCAGATGCTGGTGGACTTTGCCAAGGCTGTGGCCGGGGCGTGGGAGGCGCACCATAGCAATGGCGAGTTCAAGCAGCTGGCGTGCCGACACGGCGCTGGCATGTATGCATCGGCAGCTTATGCGCTCAGCACCATCGCCCCAGATGCCTCAGTGCAGCAGTGCTTGGCGCAGGCATTTGCGTTCTACATTGGTCAGATCTGGATGGTGGGATCGCTGCCATCTGCGGAGTTCACGCAGGCGGGCCAGGGCATGCTGCGACTATTGACTGCAAATAAGCCAGTGTTCCTTCATGAATTCGCCAGTGCCTCTGCAGCGACCAGAAAGGGCACGGTGACGCCCCTGGAGCGCCTGCTGGGCATTCTGGGCGAGCAGTCGAGTGACAGGCGCCCGCTGGCACTGCTGATCGTCAGCCAGATTGTCTCTGCAGCCAAGGACCCGCAGAACTCGAGCGGATTCAGCGACTACGACCAGTCTGTGCGCGGTGCGCAAGCCCCGCCGGCCATTGGCTCTTTGCGCACATCGGCAGTTCGCGTTCTCGACACTCTGGTTCAGTCGACGCTGCAGGCAGAGCGTACCAGCGGGCTCCTGGCGCTCGCATCGTTGTTTGAGGCGGGCGTGGGCGCAGACCTGGCTGGCGAGCTGTGGAAGAAGACCGGCTGGATCGAGGACCTGTGGGACCAGGGCGAGTTCGACAAGCCGGCCACGCAGCTGGCATTGCTCAGGCTGGCAGACAGCAGTAGCTCGGAGATCAAGTTTGGCACTGCAATGAGGGAGTATGGAAACGGGCTTGTCCAGGAGCTGGCCCGCAAGGCGTCGTCCAAGAGCGAGGTGGAGCGGGAGCTGGCGGATGCAGCGGCCATTGTCCTAGCAAAATGGTCAGGCGCTCCGGCCCCAGCCCCAGCCCCAACCCAGCAGGCGCCAGGGACGATCGAGGAGATCGGGGAACCGCCAGCCAAGGACATGGAGCCGATGCAGTTGGCCGAAATCCACATTCACCGGATCATCGAGTGCGCCAGCAAGCCAGCCACGGATGCGGCGGCGGCTGCGTCCATTGAGAAGGCGGTCGAGGCTCTGGGGTATCTCTGCCTGAAGCCAGCATTGAAGGAGCATGTCGCACACAACACTGCTCTGCTGCGCGGGCTGTTTGGGTTTGCGCAAAAGTCGACGCTCTCGTCGCTAAAATTCAGCACAATCATGCTGGTCCGCAACCTGACCAACTACAAGCCTGTGCTGACCGAGGAGCAGAAGCGAATGCAGCAGCTGCAGAAGCTCAGCACACGAGCGCAGAACAAGGCTGCAACCAAGGACGATGGCTCGGTGCGTACGGTCGGTGACGACATGAAGGAGGTCGAGGATGAGGAGGATGTGCTGGACTCGAACCCGCATGTGTCCCAGCGCGCTGAGCTGGTGTGCAAGGCCGGGTGCTTGCCGGTGCTTGTCTCGGCAGTGCAGTCCAAGATGCGCCCGTCGGACAGCACCAAGGACGCGGTGGCCGAAACCATAGTGTCGCTAGCCACGACGCAGACACTGCGCGGCCTGGTTGTGCAGCAGGGCGGTGTGCGTGCGCTGCTCAGCATTCTGACGCCCGACGCGCCCAAGGCCAAGCACAAGGAGGACGCGGGGCTGCCGCATGCCTACCGCCAGCAACGCTGACAAGAACATAGCCTTTGCGCTGGCCAAAATCGCCATCTCCGTAGCCCCGCACCTGGCGTTCCCAGATCCGCGCGAAATCGTGCGCCTGCTGCTGCCGCTGCTTTCCGAGGAGAGCGAGTCCGCAGGCGATGCTGATCAGGTTCGAGTCGCTGCTGGCGCTGACGAACCTGGCCAGTAGCCAGCCGGGATCCGCCCACGACGTGCGCGGGTATCTGGCCATTGACCTCAAGGGCATCGGGCTGATTGAGATGATCATGCTCAGCGACCACCCGCTGGTCAGACGCGCGGCCACCGAGCTTGTGTGCAATCTGGTCTACGACCAGCGTGTGTTTGAGCGGTACGCCAGGAACGCCGATAAGGATGTGCCTGAGGACGACGATCCCGATACCCCGGCTGAGGTGCTCCCGACAGGGCATCGTCGAGATTGAGGACGGTGAGGACGAGCAAGCGAAGCCCGCGGGCTCTGATGCCTTATCGATCGCAGCGCCTGCACCTACTGGTTGCTCTGTCTGATGTTGATGACGCACCCACGCGTAGTGCTGCAAGCGGCGCCCTGGCTATTCTGACCAACGACATCCCGCTGCTGCCGTTACCTATTCCTTGTCCACCCGCGCGCTGCCACTGTGCTTCTGAATCTGGCAAGCGACGCATCAGAGATGCAGCCGGCGTTCAGGCACCGAGTCGCGGTCATCTGGGCCAATGCTGTCTGCTGCGGCGATGCAAGAGTCGCAAGATGCATTGCCAGCCAGCCGGGCGTCCGCCCGCTGTTGCAAGAGATGGCCAATGATTCAGCTGCGCCATACTGCTCGCCTGCCAAAGCTGTGCTGGAGAAAATCGACTCGCTGTGAGACCCAGGGCACTGATCTTATCCCTTCGACAATGGCATCAATAGATGATGTAGGCGGTTGCGACATCCTGTGCCTGCTCACTGCTGCTGATTTGCTTTGTGTCTTCTTTGCGGCAGTGCACATCATCTCCACCCCCAGAGTGTGAACGTGGCCCCCACCCCCTTGTTTATCGTCGGAGTTGTCTTTTGGGGAGGTGAGGCCTGCCACTAGTTCCCACCCCCTGCCAATATGCATTGCTCGACACCTCCACTATCGATGCGGACCCCGTGCAAAAGAAAAAATAAAGTTGCACCTTGTTGCCCTAATTTTTCGGGTCTTTCGCGCCGCTTTTGGGGGGTGAGCGAGGGCAGGTCCGCCGATTGGCCTTAAATTGCCGCCAGCCCCACGCGTCAACACCGATCGATGGCTGGGAGATAACAAGCTGCAAGTCACAGTTACTATATGCAGCGTCCTTGGGGATAGCTGCACGCCCAACCCGCAGCAAATGCCGAACGCCCCCTATTGCTAATATCCCTTGCTGCGTTCCGCCATTGCTCATTCACTCATAGTCCCCTCTCACTGACCCAAGCCAGCCTCCCCCCAAATCGCCAAGCTGGAATCTGGTTTCAGTAGAGTGGTGTCAATATTTACTTCATGCCCTACTAAGAATAGATCTGCGTCACAGTTGGACAGGCCCATTGTCGTCTGCGCAGTTTCAAATAAAGAATATATCGTGCATATTGCATCTACTACTCGCGCATTGCTGCCACGTTCCATATATAAATCCCGGTGCCTGCCATCCCAAAACAAAAAACCACATCTCGTCATCCATAAAGGTTTTTCTCTCATTTCCAGGTTTACTTCAAAAACAATGAGTGCCTCACATTCTTTTGGCTCCACCTTCTGCTCTGTCCTGAGAAGCAGTTCGAGTTCCTTGGCCAGATTGCCCGCGCCTTCTACATTTCCGATGCACAGCTCTCGGCAATCACCACCAAGCTGGAGGCAGAGCTTACCCGCGGCCTCAAGACCAACGAGCACTGCGACCTGTACATGTCGCCGTCGCCCGTCAACACCGACAAGCTGCCAACCGGCACAGCGCTGAGCCTGGCCATTGAGTCATCGGGCAGGCGCGTGCGCATCAGCTCCGTGACATTCTCCGCTGACTCCACCATCTCTAGCACGCAGACCCAGGTGCTCATGCCTGCTGCCAATGTGTCGCAGAGCGCACAGGCGCTGTTTGAGTACATTTCTTTGGCCATTGCCGAGTTCATCATCAACCATGATCTGGAGACTGAGGCATATGCGAATGCGCTGCCATTGGGCTTCACCATCGGCTTTCCAGTCACCAACTCGTGCGTTGACGAGGCAACCAAGGAGGACTCGCTGGATCTGCATAGCCTGAATGTTGCGCAGATGCTGGCGTCGGCGGCGGTGCGCCACCACCTGCCGGTGCGCATTGCCTCGGTGACGAAACAACGCGGTTAGCGCCCTGGTCGCTGCTCAGTTTGCCGACAAGACCACCCGCATTGCTGCCTCGTTCAACCACGGCATCAATGCCGCCTACTACTGAGAAGTTGCAGAACATCGAGAAGCCCTGTGGCTCAGGCCTCGGACGAGGTTGCAATCAACACTGAGCTCGGCCGTTTCGGCTCGTCTTCCGGTGCTCTGCCCCAGACCATGTGGGACCGCCGCATTGACCGCGAGTCGCGCAACCCTGGCCACCAGGCATTCGAGAAGTTGGTTGCCGACCAGTATCTGGGCGAGCTTGTGCGCAACCTGATCACTGATTTCATGGACATGCATCTGCTGTTCCGCGTCAACTGCAATGCGCAGAAGATCAGCACCGAGTATGCCTTCTACACGGCCTACATAGGCCACATCATGGACGACGAGTCTCCCGAGCTGCCCTCAGTCTCTGGCATCTTTGATGCTGAATTTGGCATTGCCACTTCGCTAGCTGACCGCCAGATCATCCGCGCCCTCTGCGAGATCGTCGCCGCCCGTGCTTCGCGCCTGTCGGGTGCTGCGCTGGCAGCGCTGGTCCTGAAGAGCAATGCGGCGGTCGACTGCGCCTCGATTGCTCTCAGTGGCGCCCTGTTCGATATGAACCACAAGGTCTACGAGCACACCATTGCCACGCTGCAGGAGCAGCTGACGATGCGCGCCTCGGCTACTCAGCCCAATGTCTGCTTCCAGCGCCGTAACTCGGATCTGCTGGGTGCGGCTGTCAACGCTATCCGTGTGTGAGGTTGGGAAGAACAGAAAATATCTGCTTCCTTTCCCTTCCTTAACTGCGTAGTGTACATAGCCTTGCAGGAAGCCCTACTTTCTTGTCGAGCCCACCCAGCTCCATCATTTTCAACTGTCCTAGTTCCCATTCTTGTCTATATGAAAATATCACCAATTATACATACATGCTGCTACAATGCCTATATTGATCTCCTGAATGTTCAAGTCTAGAAACTCCCAGACGCCTGGGCTATTTGAACAAATGCAGTACAGAACTGCGCAAACCGTGGCAGCCTTAGGATATTCTGTCATCGGTTAGGAATCTGCTCTACGTCCTTTGGTCCTATTTATAGGCAGATCACGGGCGTCGGATACCATCAAATTTCATCATGGTTACACGAGCCCGCGGCCACTGGGACTATGAGCCGAATAAAGGTCTACTGGGGAGGACATGGCCCATAGTGCCGTCACACTTGGCGTTTTCTGCATTCGGGAGGGTCAGGGGGCAAGATGGAGTAACGTTACAGCGCCTGGGCTCGGGGGAAGAAAACCTCATCCCCCTGGATTCCTGTGGGGCCACGCTGCATGGCAGACACGATCCAGACGACGGAAATATAAATAGCGAGGCACCAGCCGGGCATCTCCAGTTTGATAGTTTGCAACTCTTTACCATCTTATTTCCTTCCTATTTCCACACCCCTCTTACAGCTCGTTAACCAAAAAAAAATGACATCATATACCAATATCGCCGGGGCTACTGACGCCCAGAACAGCATGCTCGCCGACATTGCCCAAAAGTTTGAAATCAGTGACTCCCATCTGCTCGAGATCAGCACTGACGTCTACAACGCAACCGTCGGCGGCCTTAACAGCGACGGCGCCACCGAGGGCCTTCCCGACTGGATCTCGTACGTCAAGTACGACACCATCAAAAATATCCGCCGCTTCTGCAGCTCTGGAAAGACCGTGCTTGGCCTCACCATCAACACCTCTACCAAGCGCATCAAGGTCGCAGACATCACCTTCCACAAGGAAGGCGACCACACGATCAACAAGCAAATATTCTTCCCTCCAAAGACCATCTCCAAGGTTGAGGAGTTCTTCGACCGCGCTACCACTGCCGTCGCCAGTTTTATCAACACGCACAATTTGGTGCTCGCCGACGGCCAAAAGTTCATTCCGATGGGTGTCACCGTTGACTTGCCGATCCGCGAAACAGGCAAGGCCAAGGGCAGAGTCGTAGGCAGCGGTCCTGGGAAAGTCCAGCATTTTCGAGGGCGTCGACTTGGCAGACGGGCTCAACGCAGAGCTCAACAAGAAGCATCTGCCTGTGCGCATCGTCTGCGTGACCAACTCGAGCATCAGCACCATGGTGCTGTCGCAGTTCCGCTTCCAGCACACCAGCGTTGCCCTGGTGCTCAACCACGGTATCAACGCAGCGTACTACGAGTCGGCAAACAAGATCCCCAAGATCACTGACCGCGCCCTGACGCAGATCCCGTCGTGCATCGCCATCAACACGGAGCTGGCAGCCTACGGCAAAAACTCGCAGGTCCTAAAGCCTACCATGTGGGATAACCGCATCAACCGCGAGTCGGACAACCCGCAGGAGCACATATTCGAGAAGATGGTCGCTGACAAGTACCTGGGCGAGATTGTGCGCAACCTGGTCACCGACTTTATGGATGCCCAGATCTTGTTCCCCAAGAACGCCTGATGTCTCGACTTTCAGCGAGCCCTTCTCGTTCTTTACCTCGTACATGACGATCATGGAAGATAGCTCAGAGTCGCTCGACGAGGTCGGCACACTGCTGTCGGCCAGCTTCAACGTGCAGGCATCCAAGGTCGACCGCTGTATCGTCAGCGCGCTCTGTTCCATTGTCAGTCGGCGTGCGGCCCGGCTCATGGGCGCAGCTACAGCTGCATTGGTCAAGCGTGCCACCGAGGCCATGGATGAGATATACCCAGCGCTGGTTTCAGTCTCGGGCCAGCTTACTGAGATGAACCAGCCGTACGTGCAGACCATGATCGATACAGCCACATCGCTGGTCGACAAGATGGGTCTGCAGAAGCCTACGTTTAATGTGCTCGGCGAGGACGGGTACACTGTCGGTGCTGCTATTGCCTGCCATGGGCGAGGAGTGAGCACTGCACCAGGTGCTTCTCTATGTTTTCTTCTCTAGAAATTGTCTACTACAATATAGCATCTATTAGACTCTCCACAGTTTGACCACCCCATTTGCATCTCCGCTCAGCAGAGTGTCTGAACCCAGCGCCCGCACTCTGGTGACTGTGGCGCTTCCCGAATCCGAGTTGATGAGCTGCCACTTGCGCTGGCTGTTGTTTCGTGCGCCAAAGTCCGACGCATAGCTGACACGCTGCATCGAGTTGCCAGAATAGTGATGCAGGCTGCTGTCACCGGCTGCCAGCCAGCACTGGGTTGCATACGACGCCCTGCCTTCAGCAACCTGCACCTTGGTCACTGGCCGCCCATAGGTTAATGTCTGCAGGACCCGGCCCGACCGCAAGGTCCCACAGCTGGGCTGTGCCGTCCAGCGAGCCCGTCAGGACCGTCTGCTCGTCAAACTGCAGCGACGTGATCGGCTGCGAGTGCCCAAACATCTGCCGGTGTGCCTGTGCAGTGCGCAGATCCCACAGCCTCAACACGCCATCAGCAGTGCCTGTAGCCAGTGCAAAATCATAGAACTGCAGCGCGCCAATAAATCCGCCATCGCCTTCGTCTGTGCCACGCTTAGCGACTGGTGCGCTGAAGTCTGTCCAACGGGGTCACTGCACGAGCAGCGCTCCTGCGATCTCCGATATGTGACGACGACCAGGGCGATGGCGACGACGATGCTAGATTGCGGCCGGCAACGCGCGTCGAATGCGAGTCCTTGGTAGCCCAGTTGACGTCGATCGTCTGGCGCAACTGGCCTGTCGACAGATCCCACTCGCGGACAGTCTTGTCAGCACCGCCAGAGATAAGCTTGCCATACGACGCCTGGAAGCAAGTGACAGCGTCCTTGTGGCCAACAAATGTGTTTTCGCAGCACAACTCCAGTGGTGGGACATGGTGGCAGATCGTCGGCGACACAGGCGGCGTGGTTGATTGCAGGGTCATGATTGTCTTTGGCTTGCGGGATCGACGGCCCTTCCGGTGCCCCATTATTATCTACATCATCACCGTCGTTCTCATTATCGTAAGCGGTTTCTGCAGCTGGGCGTCGCGGGAACATCATGTTGTCGTATTCGTCACCGCTGTCATCTTCCTCGTTGTCGCCCTCGTTGTGTACAACACCACTGCCATCCCGCGATGGTGCAACGTACTCTTCGCGCATAATCTTTGTAGATGGTCTTGGCTGCACAGAGTCAAACAGCGAGAGGTCCCACATACGCATGCGGCCATCGTTGGCACCAGTGATGAGGAATCGATCATAAAACTGTACATCACGTATAATATCGCTGTGTCCAGATATCGTGTATTTGCATTCGCCACTGCCACTGTCCCACACCCGCACCTGTGTGTCAAGCGAGCCAGAAGCAACCAGCCCCTGATCGCTGTCGTAATCGATGGCTGTAATTCCGCCGTAGTGGCCAGTGAACATTTGACGCAGCTCACGCAGTCGCGGCACGTCATCCTGCTCGTATGTCATAGCATCATTGCCAGAATCGCCGCCCGAGATATCCTCGTCGTCACTGACATCTTCAACCGTTGTGACTTTGGCATTATGTAGCGATCCCTTGCTGCTGGCATTGAGGACGGTGTCGTCTGCTTTTGTTTGCGGCCCACGACAGGCCATCTCTTCCAGTAATCTCTGCAATTCGCGTATCGATGTCCTTGCGACAAGAACTGGACGACATGATCTGCTCATCAACCTCGCGCATCTTTAGAACCAGCTGCTTCCGTGCATTCTCCAGTCGCCGCAGGTGCATGGTATACTCGCTTCGCCGCTCTGTCAGCACTTCTAGCAACCGGTCTTCTGGCGTGTCCTCTAGCAACAGCTCAAACTCTTCGGCAGTAAGTTCTAGCGGCACTATGGCATCGTCCACAAGCGAGACAAGAGATAGCCTGCGATCGTCCGGCTGCTGCTTTTTGCTGCTGCTTGGTGACGACGACTCGCCTTTTCTGCAAGCTCTCCGACCGCGATTTCTCTGACGACTTGTCTGCACCATCACCCTGGCCCATTTCACCAGCCATGAATGCAGAGTACCCAGAAAACAGCGAAGGCGCAGCATCCGCTGTCTGGCCACCCACTGCCTGCCCAGCTGACTGGCGTCTGCCACGCTCGCCTGCTGTGCCTTTGCGGCCTTTTGCTCGCTCTTCAAGCAACAGGTTGGCAGTGTCGCGGCCGACAACTCCGTGGCCGCCACGAATCATTCGTCTCAACACTGAGCTGCTGCCATTGCGAAAAAGGAGCTTATTGATAATGCGCGCCAGTAGACCTTGGCTCGTGTGGTCGTGGTCCACCGGATCAAACTGGCTGCCGCCCAAGCTTGGACGACGCTTGCTCATACTGAAGAAAATGGAGAAAAATACAAGTATGGATTGTGAATTGCAAAGCAGAGAAATCTTGAAGCAGTCCGATACCTTGTTTCATTGAAGCGATTTTATCTCATTGACTGATCACGAAGATTTAATGCCACAGATCACTGAAGGATATTGCCTGAGCCCCTGGATTGCAGCTACAGTGCGAACCATGTAGCGGACAATATAGCGAACAATATAGTCAGCTCGTATATCTGAGACACACCCAGCTTGAAATGACCTTGTTGCGCGAGCCAGGATAGTGCTGGCTCTCTGTTTTAAGAAGCACATTTCCCTCACTTGTACACCACGCTATGCCAATTACCTAGTCCACACATACCCTGACTATGCCTGCTCAGTTGTCGAGTTTGTACTGCCAGCATTATATAGTCATTATTCAGTACAAGATTCGGATATTGTCGCTAAGGAGGAACCCAGACTATAATCATTAGGTTATGCATCTCACTAGGTAGCGCTCGCCAACCTCATTATTGAAAAAGGTGCTTTGATAGAATCTTGCTAGTGCAAAGGGTCGACTTTGCTAGCCTAGGAGATGAGTGGTTATCCGGTATATGGAAAAAAAAGACTTCTCGAAAATGTCCGTGCCCTTGCACAGATACTCGCCTGTGGCTTTGTTGAAAGCGTCGGGGCAGGGGATAGTGACTCTAATGTCTGCAAACGTGGTGATCAAGTGCGGCGTTCCTACATACGGAGTCCTGGCGATGACAGCCACAGCTACTGATAAGCAAGGGTTCTCTATGCCCTCTCCTGGACAAGAAATATTGACAGCTTCGCGAGAGATATCTGCTGATATCAATTCACCAATGCTGTCTTATAACTACTGTCGAGAAGAACTCCAAGAGAAGATAGCTGCAACCAACTCTTGGGTTGATATATGGCATGAGAAGTTGCGTAGAGAAATCAGAATCCCTCAAAGCTTCTCCTGCAGGTCTCCCCTGTACTGAAACAAGATTTTGTTTGCTCACGCACTACTTTCATCGCATTTAAGGCCCAGCAGCTGATAAAGGACGCTCAGGAATCTTGGAGCAACGAATTCTGGCAGAAATCCAATTATTTCCTCTCTGCGTAGCTCATTGGCAAACATGGGGTCTAACAATCGATGACATCGACAATTGCAAATGATAAAAATGAGCCCGACGTCATGGATAAACAGCTCAAGAAACTTGGACGCACATCTGGATATGCAGTGCCTGCAGTGTGCCCGAAATGGCTGGCAGGACATTCGAAAGCACCAGCTGGTGCATGGATGCTCAACGGTATTTTTCAAAGTATGCAATCAGGAATTGTGCCTAGAAACCAGAACTTAGGATAATGTGGCTCCTGAGCTTGAGAAATACGATCATATCATATTCCCTAGCAAATAAATTCAGACACCAGGAATCAACACTGCCCTCCTCATCTCATTTGGGTTTGGACAGGGTTGGTGGGGGAGTTCTTGTGCTCCTTCCTGGATTTGTGCACGTGGTGCTTCCCAAAGAAATGCCTGGAGCGATACAGCCTCAAGGTGAAGGAGCATGAGCAGAAATCACACCGCTATTGGCAAGATGTGTTTGTTGGAAATTGACCTATTTGTTTCGAGTCAAGGAGTCCACCGCCGTTTACACTGGATCAAGGAGTCGGATGTCTATATGAATTCCCATCAGCCAGAGTGAAGCATGATCTAGCGACTAAGAAATATCGATTCTAAAAACACTTTTTAATTGCATTCTCTTTTCTATATACTAAGTATTTTGTGAAATATTTATTTATGTGATGATATGTGGGTCTGCGATGATCCAAGACCCACACTGGCTCGAAAGGTCACCAAAACTCCGGCTGTTATCATTATGTCACCTAGGCGTATGAGTATATTAACCACTGTCTGATATGCAAAGAGGGTTCATTCACTTTACTACTTGAATTATTCGATATATTTTAATATATAGCATACAGAGCAGGCCATTTAACTGAAATATTTGCAGACAGGATTCTTGCCCTGGATCTAGTTCGTGCTAAGACAATAGCTCAGAATTATGATATACATGAGTGCAAAGAGCAATGCATGGCTCCTGTAGCACATTAGTACTTGTACAAAGCAGTAAGACAAATAATCGACGGAGATACAGTTGACGAACACAGCGAGAGCAAAGTAACTGAAAGGTGTAAGCAGTGTGTAATAGCCTGCAGAAAAGGATACTGACATAGGAATAAGGGCAGAGCGGAATAATTGCCTAACAGTATTGCTACTACTACTAAATAAATATCATTTTGACATTAGCGCTCAGAAATTCCAGTTCTAATAGCACAAACCGACTGCTACGAGGCCTTGTCAAATCCATTGACCCAGTGCCTGCCCCACAATAGGGCTGGAATTCTAGAAGGCATGACCCTGTTGTATAAATGGGTTGTCAGGATTCCGTGTATTTGTTATCTACGCCTTGGCCACTCTTGAAAATGACACTGCCTACTCCTAGACGTGCAGCAGTAGCATTTCACCGGCGGTAAAGACTGCGTGCTGGCCATGCACATGGTGTCATCCAAATTCCGCCAACTGCTTGCCACCCCCGAGCAGCAGGCTAAGGTGCACAGGCGTAGTTCTTGGAGCCTGTAGTTCCTGGTGTCATTCCGACCACGCGACAACACAGATGACTTCAAGGCACATAAACACGAGTGGACCAAGTTGCAAGCTGAGTCGCTAGGCATGCAGCTGGTGACAAAGTATATTGGCGCAGAGCCGACTTTTGAAGAAAGCTACCGACGCGGGATTCGCGAACTGCACGAAGAGTATGGCGTCAGTGCACTGGTGACTGGCGACATTGAGGATATCGGCGAAGGATTCATGGGCCGAGCCTGTGCAGGACACCAATGTGGAGCTGGTGCGCCCGCTGTGGAAGAAGCCGCGCGAGGAGATCCTCAGCCTGCTGCAGCTCTTTGGGATTAGCTATATAGTGACCCTGACGCGACTTGAGAAGCTGCCGGCACCCATTTCAGAGCGGACTGCTTGGACACATCATCACCCACGAATTCCTTTTAGAGCAGTTTGCGTGGTACGACAGCCACCACGAGCCACTTGACCTGCTGCATACTGTGGACCTGGCTGGCGAGTATGGCGAAATGCACTCGATGGTGCGCGACTGTCCGCTATTCTCCGTGACTATCGAGTGTGAGGGCACTGAGAACAAGGTGCATGAGACAAAGTACGGCTCGTACATGTACATTGAGCCCGGAACGCTCAAACGTGTTTCCAAGTGACTTTTTATTTTATTTTCCAGCAAGACTTTTGATACGCATCTGCTGCATGCTGAAAATCGCCTTTCTCGCAAAGATATTCGCAATAAAGTGGGTGTCATGATAACATCGGCGGGGATGTGCGGCAGGTCATCGGTTCATAGGGGAGCGGAAATTGGCCAGGAGAAAAATATTGATTTCGCCACCTTCAAAGTGAGTGCCTGGAATTAATTGCGCGGCTGCAACATGTGGGTGGATACATGCTGGACATTGACTAAGAGGAGGGAGCAGATGCACACGACGGCTCAGGGAACAATGGCGCGAGCAGAGGCACGCTGACCCTGTCCATATCAGCATACCACATACCTAATGTCCCGCTTCCAATCGCATCAGTCGGCATGTCGCAGTAGCAGAGACTGGGAAGGAGCCATCCTGTTGCCATGCCTGGCTGCTACTGCGCAGCCCAGGCGCTTATCAACGGAGCAGGGGCGCTGGCACGTAGAAGCATGCACGCCTGCGCCTCTTCTTCGCCGACAACGGCACCTGAGCTCGGTCGATGCGGCAGCCAATTGACCCAGTCAGCGACAGGGAATGATCCCGGATCTTCAGTTTGTCGGCTCCATTGGCCGAGCCGTGACATGAAGGAACTGCGCTCACGTGTGCACGTGACATGGCCACTCCTGGCTGTATATGGGCATCAGCAGCGGCAAGCGGCGGCGGCAAGCGAAGACACGGTCACCCCGTGCCTTCATCTGCCGTTGACGAGCACCACGCCTTGCTTGTCTTCTGAAAACCTTCACAGCTCTTTTTCATTCTTTTCTATTTTATTACCCTGTACTCTATCTTTTTACAGTTCCAAGTTTTCTTTAATACCGTTCCTGTACCCACCCGCTGCATATTGCATAGCCGTGCTAGCATACACCAACTTCCAGAACCCTTACCACACTTTTTGTCGCCGCTGGCCACAGGGACACCGACTGGAATCGCACAGAACGAATTTGTCCTGTCAACAAGCCGCGTGTCTTTTCTATTTCTCCCACTGCTGCAGGCTCTGACGACAGCAGCTTTCTCTCACACGCACTTGCTTCGTCATTTCACTCTGTCTTGCTCCTCTTTTTTTGGATATTAACAGACAACTGAAACAGAGCAAGCAGCGCTGGACGGCGGCAGAGATTATCTGTACCCTTTATCTCTAAACACCCCCTCTCTCGTTTGCCGTTGTGCAAGATAATGTCACAGCGCTCATTCGCTTGGTCGCACCATGCATACTTGGACGGAGCACAGCAGCAAGGGCACAGCAGCGATGGCAGCGCAAATACATCAGAGGACTCGCGTACACGGCCCAAGCACCCGGCACGGCGAACCAGAACGCAGAGCGAGAGCTCAGGGCTCGCCAAGCACAGCTCTGACGGGCATGGAGGCAGGTCCCCAGTCGCAGAAGCACACACAGCACAGCACAGGTAGTGGCAGAAACAACGAGCACTGGCAGGAGGCGGCCAGCCCATTGACGTATGGGCACAAGACGCCTTCACAATCACCAGCATCGAAACCGCTTGCGGCGCACATGCAGACCAGGCTACCACCAAACTCGGGGTCGCCGTCGACAGCCGTGGCTGCCTCTTCCTTCTCTTCATCGCTTTCCTCGTCGCCCTCACCTTCGCTTAACCCGTATACCGGGTCGTTGCGCTCGATGTTTCACCCGTCTGCCACGAATGCCCATGTGGGCGTGTCACCGCCGACCAGAACGTCGGGCGACGGCAGCTTTCCTTCGCGGAACCATGCAGGCAGCCTGCTGCCAGCAAATATCCGGCGCGCGTCATTCCAGCAGCAGCCGCGGCCACGTACGCCGACAGCCTTTTTCACAGCGGATGATTTGGCGCTGGACGAATCAGCAGAAGCCAGGCCGCCACGAGCGTCACAGACCAATGCTACGGCCGCCAGTCATGCAGCGCAGTCCGGTCCAATCCTGGCAGCCCGGCCGCAGCCAGCACATCCGTACAGACAGGCAGCCGGAGATGCACGGTGCGAGCAGATTGTCCAGGCAAGTATACGCCAAACACAGCCTATGTCGATTGGTTTGGTACGGTGCACTCTTCCTCCGATGGCTGCTTTCTAATATCTGACGTATTGGACTGTGTAGAACTTCTATTCAAAGGTAGCCCAGGTGATAGCGCACTTGCGGAATCGCACGCTGGTCAGCAGCCTTGCACACCGGTTTGATACAGTTCTCGACATTGACGGCAGCAGTGCCACACTGCCACCACGCCTCGGCACTAATGCCCAGGACACACCAGCGGGGTGGCATCGGACCAGGCGAGCGCCAATAGCTCAGTCATAGACGCAGCCGCCACCACGGGCCGACGGGTCAACAAATGGTTCAATCTCGACCTCGAAGACATTGATGGCATTAAACCCGAGGTCAGGTTTTGGCGCAACGCTGCCATCAAATGTGCAGTGACCCTGTCGGCCACACAGCTATCGGCCAACCCACCGCCCATGTTCATCGAGGTGTGCCTGGACGTGTCTGCGCTGCCGCCGGGCGCCGAGCTGCAGGTCACGGATATCTTTGGGCGGCCATGGACAGTCGATCTGGAGAGCAGCGGCGGTGGATTCGTATCAGCGCCGGCTCGCAGACCCACCAGCTGGCAAAGCGGCTATCGGCAGCCCCTTCACGCTCAGCACGAGGCACGGCAGCGGCGTGCGAGCACTATAGTGCTTGAAGTCTGGCGGCTGGATTTGGCTACGAACCAGCTGCCAAACCCGATTCCCGGATCTGCCACGTGTGTACAAGCAGGCGATCATATTTTTCCGGAGCCTGTATGCATTCGCAAGCCTGCTGCCTGCGGTGTCGCTGATCCAGAGGCTCCATGCTGCACAGGAGCTCGGCGACCTCGATGTATTCTGCACGCTGCGTCCGGATCTCTCGCCGCGTGACGGAGTCATTGACTTGGATGTGAGCTTTACTGGCACCGAGCGGTTCCTGGAGTCGTACCGGTTTGAGCCGGTGGGAACACCCATGGGCTCATTCCTAATGAGCGTGCAGTATCGGCGCGAATGCGGATTCATGTACAATCCGGCCACGTACGAGCAGCAGCATGAGGACATATCTGGGATTGCCGCCATAGATGACACATATTTCACACCTACACTGAGCTCGCGCAACAACTCCAATTTTTCGCTTCCCAGACTTGCCCACCAGCAACCATCGCCGCAGCAGCAGCATCAACCGCAGCACCACAGTGTTACTCGCCGCGCGACTTTGACGACAATTCCATCGCACGGCCGCCAGACATCTGCGAATTACTCCCCGCCTGTACGACCGCAGCACACGCCCAGTGCGTCACACTCGGCGGCAAGCCAGTTGGCAGCGGGCCACCGCAGCCTGATAGCGCCCTCAGTCAACCCGTTCCGGGCACGGCCGCTGAGTCTTGGCGACTCGTCGTCGCTGCCGAGTTATCTTGGCGACTCGTTTGCGCCCCGCGTGCCAAGCCGGCTGTCGGCGGAGTCGCACCGCCAAAACGACACATACCCGCGGCGTGCAGCTGGCAGGGACATCGTCAGAGACCAGCAGAGAAGAATCTCGGTTGGAGGGCGCAGCTATTTGTCGGGACAAGGAGACGAGGCTGGCGACCCGGCAAGTCTGGATCAGAAAATCAGCAGCCTGGGCCAGCTCAGCACCAGCGGTGGCCATGGAGGACCGGATTCAGGATCGATGCTGCACCGCGGGGTCATGATTAGAAGGCTGGGCGGGTCGCTGTCGCCGACAGAGTCGCACCGGCCCATGCACCACCACCATGGCAGTAGCCCAGGCACAGGCAGCGCAGAGGCGGCTGCTTCGGGTTCGAAATCACCGCCCTGGTACGCGTCGATGGCCAGTCGGCCCTCGGTCCCTGGCAGCGCCGGATCAAGCACCAGCCGATCAGGACTGGCCTTTGTGTCCCCGTTCAAATCTCCGTCGGTATCGTCGTCACCGAGCAGAATAATGGACACGGCGATTGCATCTGGGCTCCACGACGCCCATCATTTGCCACAGAAGCACGGCGTCTACCGCTCTTGGCCTCTCGCACGCCATGGGCGGTACCTCAGAGTCGCCCACATCAATTGGCAGCAATGCCAGCGGACACAGCCGTGGCCTGGCGAGTTCATTTGGCAGGCGTCGTGGTAGCAACTCGCGCCGACGGTCATCAATCCTGGCCATGTCTCCGGTGGATACTGCTGGTGGATCGGCATTGCCCAGCATGTCCCGGCGACACACAATCATGGAGGGCCAGCAGTGGAGTGGCAAGCAGGAAATCGACGACTTTATCCGCATGGTTGACGAGAACAAGTCGCTGAAGATGTTTGGAAAGCGGACCAGGCACGCACACCGAGTCCAGCTCCGTAGCCGATGCACCAGCAGCTAGCAAGGCTGCGGCTGGGGTGGGCCGCAGGAACACGCTCAGCAGCGGGCCCGGTGACAGGTCAGCGCGCAATCAACAGTCAACACGAGGGCTGACGAAATACCACGGCCTCGTGCACGAATTTGATGGGCTCTCACGCGACATGCAGGACAGCATCGCGCAATTGCATGTTGATACTACGAATCTGTCAGGCGCATCGAATGACGGCGATATGGCGGGGTCGCCATTCCTGCGCAAGGCTATCCCGAATCCGTTCAAGAGCGCCGATAGCACCATGCGGTCTGTCAGCCAGTCCGATTCGGATGCGCCAGCGCAGCCTGCAGGCATGCTGCGACCAGCCAGCAGCAAAAAGGTAGCAGCCAGTCCCAAGGCCCTGTCCAAGCCCCAGTCGTCTGCCATCGCAGCCGACGGAGAGAAGCGCAGTCTGCACAGCCTGGAGGAAGCGTTCAAGGGGCTGGTTATCGACTCGCATCCTGACACTCCGCAGCAGATCAGCTACTACTCGCCCAATATGACCTCGCTGCCAGCGGGGCATATCCGCGATGCCGCCCCCGGCCTCGACAGCGAGCGCGAGCGGCCCCTGCCCATGCCGATGTCGATTCCGCGGTCGAGCTCCAGCACAACCCGCGGTCCCTCGCGGCCCCAGCGTACCCGTCCTGACGACGTCTTCGAAGCAGTGCCGCCAGGCTGGTGCGCGCGGCAAGTCGCAGCCCACGGCCAACATGGCGCTGTACAGCCCCGCCGCTCCACGAGCAGCCACACCGCAGCCGCCCACACAGACTTTCGTCGCGCAGCCCGACATGACGCACCATCCGGTGCCGATGCTGACACCCCGGCGTACGAGCCACATGCAGATTGCGCACCGGAGCCAGAGCCAGAGCCCCGACTCGCAGCACAGCGACTATACGGCAGGCACGCGGCGGCTCGAGGCACTGCTGGGCATGGGCGATTCGGGCAGAGCGTCGCCGCGGTCGACACCCAACACGCCGTCTCCCGGCGTCTCCAGGATCATGCAGGAAAGCAGCCAGCCGGTGGACCTGCGGGATGGCCGGTCAGCTAGTGAGTCACGCCGCCGCAGGCAGCAGCACCAGCAGCAGCACCAGCAAACGGGGCGCAGGCACCAGGACAGCTTGAGATCCAACTTCCCGCCGTTTTCGTTCATTATGCCCAGGAACAAGACTGACATTCCTGTGGGCGAGCCGATGGCGAACTCGCCGGGGAGCCGGGGAGTAGCAGGCACGTCGTCGCCCCCGTCACGGTCAGAGATGGCGCTGTCGCACGAGTCCCTCAGTGCCGTGACTGGTGAGAAAGAGCGCGGCGACGATGACGAAGAGATGATGTTCCAAATGGATGCTTCGATGGATTAAAGCTAAAAAAAAAATAGCTGCTCTGTGGCTGCACAAATAAAAACTCAAATTTTTTCTCTCGATTTCTGACCTCTTTTTCTCTTCTTTCAGAGATTTTTTCGTATTGCATACAATGGACGACCTGTTTGTTATCGACACCCAGGGCAGCAAGCCCGTCGACGTGGCCACCACAGAGACCTCCCGCGAGTTCACAGTTGTCTCAGCCAGCAACCAGCCGCGACCCAAGCAGCGCAAGCAGCGGGCCCGGGTCATCACCGACAACGTCACCGGCGACCGCAGCAACAACAGCACAGGACAGAAACCCCCTACCCAGAAGAAGCCAAGCAAAAAAGGGCCGGCAATGGCCGGTCTTGACCAGCGATTCCTGGCGCTGGATGTCAGCGACAGCAGCGGCAGCAGCAAGAAGAGCAAGAAGCGCGGCAAGAACAAGAAGAATAAGAGCGATGGGCCATACATCAACCGCAACCGTCCGCCGCCACGCCTGTCAAGCAGAAAGGACTGGATTGCTGATACAAAGGACTCCATCAACGACTATATCGGCAACCTGGGCAACAGCGGAATCGCCCAGCTGATGGAGCAGACGCTGGCGATGCCCAAGTTTGCAAGCAGAGACCTGGGCAATGCCACGGATGTGGTGATACCGGCCAGCGACAGCGGGTCAGACCATCCGTCCGACAATGAGTTCGCCTACGACGACCCGTACGCATTCGACGACGACATCGCCGACGCCATTCTGCAGGGCAGCGGTATGCAGACGCAGGCAGACAGCGAGTCAGACGAAATCCCCGACGACCTTGACCTGGAGATGCTGCCGGGCCCAGCCAGCAAGAAGGCGAAAGACTCGGCCAGTCAGAACAAGAACTACCGCGAAAAGACCAAAAGAGAGCGGCGGGCGGCCAATACCCCGCACCAGGTGGCGTATGGGAAGGGCGAGAAGCCCACGCGCGGCTTCGATCCGCGCACGGTACTGCAGCGCCTGGAGGCACTGACGCGGGACGCCGACGTCGACACGATCTGGCTGCAGCCGCTCAACACCTTCGAGCGCCGCATCGTCCACATTCTCGCCAGTGAGTTCAACGTCAAGTCCAAGTCCAAGGGCGGCAAGTCCAACCGCATGCCGGTCTTGACGCGCACCAAAAACACCTGCCGGCCCAAGAACATGAAGCGCATAAACAAGCTACTGCTTTTGTGGGACGAGGGCGGCTTGATCCCCGAGTACTGGAGCGGCGGCAGAAAGGCCTCGTGGGACCGGGCACCGAACCCCAGGAAGGGCAAGAGCGGGTCGGCGACACCAACCAAGAAAAAGCTGGTTGGCGAGGGGGCGCCGGTCGTTGGCGAGTCTAACATCGGCCACCAGATGCTGAAGCAGATGGGCTGGGCGCCGGGCCAGGGCCTGGGTGCCGGAGAGGAGGGCAGGGCGACGCCCGTCGATGTCATGATCCGGACTGGGCGCCAGGGCTTGGGTGCCTGAGTAAATATTTTTTTTCCATAAGAGGCGAGCGACGCACCCTCTTTGTGAAGCCAAAAATTGAGCAAGGGGCTTTTTTCAGGCAGTCCCAGATCACAGCTCGTTTTCATCAACAAAGCCTCTTTTCCTTTTGTCTACACCACTTGGATACACTACTAATCATGTCTGAGGCACAGCGGAAGAGGCTCGAGACCGAGACCATGGCCATGCAGAAGATGCAGAAGGAGTACCAGACCCTGGTCATCAACAGGCAGCAGCTCGATTCGCAGCTGCAGGAGAACGAGCTGGTCGACAAGGAGTTCAAGCTGATGAAGGACGATGCGCGCGTCTACAAGCTCACCGGCCCAGTGCTGCTGCCGCAGGACAAGACCGAGGCAGCCACGAATGTCGAGAAGCGCCTCGAGTTTATCCGCAGCGAAATCAAGCGCGTTGATGGCCGGATTGAGACGCTGGCCAAGGAGCAGGAGAAGAAGAGCGTCGAAATCTTTAAGCTGCAGATGGACATCCAGGGCATCAGCAAGCAATAAGAACACTCTATTACCAGTTTTCATTAAAAATCCCCTACTTGAACTTTTTCTTGCCCTCGTACGCCATGTCGGCGACCTTTTTGGACTCCTTGCGCTGCTTGGTCGACTGGAACCATGTGCGGCGCGGGCGGTTCTGGATCTCGCTCTGGTGCGTGATGATGTTTGACGCCTTGGTGACCTCCATCTCGGCGTCCTTGAGCATCTTCTCCTGCTTCTCCTGCTCCAGGATCTCCTTGACCTGCTCGACCAGCGCATCGACCTTGTTACGGTACTTGCTGAGCGTCTCTGCCGCCACCACGCGCTGCTTGATCTTGTCCTTGGCCGAGTGCTTGACTGTCATCTTGAGCATCTTGCGGTCGGTCTCACCGATCAAGGTGATTGCACGGCCACTGCGGACCCGCACGCGCCGTACGGCCCACGCGATGCAGGTACTGGGCAAACTGGTTCGGCATCGTGTAGTTGATGACTGTCTCGATCCCCTGCACATCGAGACCACGGGCGGCCAGATCCGTGGCCATCAGGTAGTTGACGTGGCCGTCGCGGAACTGCTCAAGCGCCTGCAGCCGGCCCTCCTGCGACAGGTTGCCGTGCAGTTCGGCCGCAAGCATGCCCAGCAGGCCAAAGATGATCTTCATCTGGTGCGCGGCTGCCTTGGAGCGGAAGAAAATAATGCACTTCTCTTTGAAATGCCTTTTGCACAGCGCCGCAAGCAGGGCGGTGCGGTCCTCGTCCTTGTTGGTGCGCACGCGCACAAACTCCTGCGTCAGGCCCTTGGCTGCAGATTTGGGCGGGTCGATCTGCACCTTTACTGGCTTGTTCAGCGACAGCCGGATCAGCTTGTCGACGTTGTCTGTCATGGTCGCCGAGAACAGCATGGTTTGGCGCTTTTTGGGCGTCGACTTGATGATCTCTGTCAGCTCGTCCTCGAATCCGTCGTCCAGCATGCGGTCAGCCTCGTCCATGACTAGGATCTCGATCTGGTCCAGATGGAACGACTGGCTGTTGCGCAGGTGGTCGATCAGCCGGCCAGGCGTGGCAATCACAATGTCAGGCCGCAGCTTCAGCTCCGCTTCCTGCAGCTTCAGCGACAGCCCACCGACACAAAGACACATGGAGATGTCTGTGAACCCAGCCAGCTTGGTGCCGACATTGTGGCACTGAATCGCCAGCTCGCGCGTCGGGCACAGCACCAGCACACGGGTAGCCGCAACGTGCTTGGGCCGGTACAGCAGCCGCTCAAGCATCGGAATAAAGAATGCCGCGGTCTTTCCCGACCCTGTCTGTGCACCACCGCAAACGTCCTTGCCGAGTAGGGCTACCGGGATCGTCTTGGCCTGGATCGCCGTCGGCTGCTCGAACCCGAGCTTGGCAAGTCCCTTCATGATCTGCCGCGACAGGTTCATGTTTGTGAACGCCTCGGGCAGCTCTTCTGGCACCTCGGATGTCGGTGCAAAGTACGCGCGCTTGCGGGCCTCCTGCACCTCATCAACCTCGGACTCGCTGTCACTGCTGACATCCGACTCGCTCTCGCTCTCGCTCTCAGACTCGGAGCTGGACTCCTCAGATTCAGACTCAGATTCCTCGCCGTCGTCTGACTTGTCCTCGGGTCCTGCACTCTCCTTATCGTCACCGGACTCGGCCTCAACGCCAGCCTCGCTCTCATCCCCCTCCTCGTCGGCCTCGTCCTCAGACTCGCTCTCCTTCTCTACGCCATCCTCCTCCACCTGCTTGGTCTTCTTTGCAATCCTGGCTGCCCGCCGCGCCGCAGCGATCTTCTCGTCAAGTGTAGAGAACGAGTCCGGGCTCTTGCGCTTCTTCAGCGATGCGCGCGCCAATGTGAAGTCCAGCGTCTGCGGCACTGCGTCCAAACCGTCGGTGTCAAGATCAACCATGAATCCCTTTGCAATGTCTCCGGCCTCGGCCTTGGCCTTTTTGCTGTGCTTGTCCTTGCTATATGCCTTGCGCTTCTTCTGCGCTGCCTTGGCTGGCTGCGGCTCCTCGTCGGATGACTGATCCAGCGACTCCTCGAGATCAGGGACCTCGTCGTCGTCGTTGATCGTCATGATAAAGTCGTCTGCGGTCGACATTGTTGGCTGTGGATGAATTCGTTTATATGAAATGGGAGAAAACAAAAGGCGAAGCGTAGTCGAAATGCGCACAGCTGGAAAGCAGCAGACGGTCCAATGCTAAGAAAAAAATAAAAAAGGCGGCAATTTGATGATCACAATCATAATTTTGACACCGGATCTACTACATTTGTGATCACGACAAGGAGGCTATATGGGGTTCTACATCACTCAACCTCTTGCCCAGTATAGCCAGGATCCTATCTACCAAGGATAGCCAACTATGGACGCCTCCTGCGAATGCTGGCCAGGTAATCTAAGCTATGCCCTTTGGTACTTGATAACTCTGTATGTAGTCACTATCAGAGAATTAGGTTCCTTCTCCTCATCCTTTTTCCTATTCCTTTTATTCTTGAATCGGTCCAGTCACCGGTCTGGTCTCTCTTTCTACCCTTTTTTTATTTTATAAATTCCCTATTAATCTCTTCAAGACTGCCTTGGTCTGTCTCTTTTCAAATATATTCTCTTTTACTTGGGTGCTACAGCCCGACCAAATTCAATAGCTCGTAACCTCAAACAGTCACTAGTTACCACGCTTCCCCACTACAGTGATATTTAATATTGATATATATTGACATTCGGGGTCCGGAGTCCCCCTGCGCCACCATAGACAAGGCCGAAACGCATACGTACAAAGGTCCAGACAGACGACCAACCTTCCTTCTTCCCCTCAGTCACTTTGAGAAGTTTTTTTTCCATATATTCGATAACCACTCATTCCCTAGGCTAACAATACATGCTCAACAGTGCTTTCAAGGTACGACATGTTTCATTCTGATAGACAACACAAGTCCTCCGGAAAATCCGATGTAACTGGCACGGGACTTTTAGCACGGGAGTATGATTACCCCTATATCTATTAGTCATCCAATAGACAAACATGTATGCGACAGCAGATCCTGCTGCACCCATTGCCTCGCGACCTCCAGTGATAGACAAAAACCTGGCTCAGGGACACATGTGCACATATATCTTTGGAGGTGTACAAGCTCAGTCCTCACGCACACTTTCCTCTCCAAGTCCTTCGCAGCCCACTAACTTACAATGACAACTGATTCACGTACACTTGGACTGACAAAGTACCAATGCTTCTGCGCCGCAATGGCCGCGCTGGGCAGTGTGAATTTTGGTTTTAATATCGGCGTCATCAATGTTCCTGGCGACGTCATCTCTGGCTGCGTTATTGGTCCCCAGCACTACATCGGCCCATTTCCATCCTGCATTCCGACTGCCGATGCGCTATGGGGAGTGGCAGTTGGGTGTTTTGCACTGGGTGCCTTGATTGGAAGTATCGCAAGCAATCCGATTGCTGACAAATACGGCCGAAAGTTCGCACTGACCTGGGGGCCCCTGTTTTCTACCATTGGTGCCTTGCTGCTCTCGCTGTCTACTACGCTCACGCAATTCATTTTTGGAAGAATATTCGTCGGTATTGCGGCAGGGATCTGCAACACTGCGGTGTCGGTATACATCAGCGAAATCACTACCCCTTCGGCCCGGACCATCTTGGGAAACTCTATCCAGCTCGCTACAAACCTCGGGATTCTTTTGTCTCAATCAATCTCGCTCGGTCTCTCGAGACCCCCACTCTGGAGGGTTCTCTTTGCACTCACCGGAGTCATTGGCATCGGAACCACGGTTCTATTTCCCACCTGTGTCGAGTCGCCCAAGTGGTTGGTATCGCGCGGCCAAGTTGGCCAGGCTCGCTATGCGTTAACCAAGCTTCGAGAGGGCGCCGATGTCGAGGCAGAGCTTGCTGACATTGTTGATGCTGACATGGCGTCTAAATCTGGGACTGGCAATGTCGCTAACGCAAATGTATTTGACGTGCTACTTGGGCGGACGCCTGACAACCTGCGTCACCAGCTCATGGTTGTGAGCATGGGCATGTTTTCCCAGCAACTATCGGGTATCAATGCCGTCATATTTTATTCGACCACAATCTTCAACCGTACTACGCACGACAACCCGGCCGCTATTCCGACTATGGCGCAAAAGCTTACATACGTCATTGCTGTTGTCGCTGAGGTGTTCACATTTGTCGGCATGCTTCTCTGCATGAGGTTTGGTCGACGTACCCTCATGCTCGCCTCATCCGCGGCCATGGCGATCTCTTCAATACTGATGGCAGTTGGATCTATCAAGGGAACCGACGGCCTAGTTATTGCCATGGTATTCGTATTCAATATCTCTTTCAACTTCGGCGTTGGACCACTACCATGGGTAGCTGCTGCTGAAATGACACCAGCATACGCCATGTCGGCGATGTCGGCGATTGGGGGCGTCATTTGCTACGCCTTTACGTTCACCATCGGCGTGTTCTTCCCACCTATGCAAGTAGCGCTAGGCGACTATACATTCCTATTCTTTGCAGGGTTTAACATTGCCACCTTTGTCTTCTGCTTCTTCTTTTGGCCTGAGACCAAGGGTCGGAAGGTGGAGGACATTGCCGAGGTGCATTCTGTTGGCATTCACTTTGTCATTAGAGACCACTTCAAATAGCTCCTGCTTGGCTCATTTATCAATGCAGTACATAAAATTCATCTAGTTCTTTGGCATGGACCCAGACTGCGCAGAGCGAGTAGTGTTATCATCCTGACCAAGAATGTGCTTGAGCTCGCTATCGCGAACATAGATGAGCATGTATGCATTAGAGAACCGCTTTGCTTCATACATCTTTCTCTGCCGTGCGGCAACGCCAAATGAGCAAGCGTAGTCGACTGCTTTGTAGTCGTCAAATGCGTGTCGGCGCAAGAGAGGAATAATGATATCGTCGTCGAACGCAAACCACTTGTCGTCTACCGTTGGACGAAGAATACAGAAGTGGTATCCTTGCGATGCTGCTCCATGGTGGACACAGGCACCGTACAGAGTGTACCTTGTTGGCACATTGCTGCCACCAATCTCAGGAGCAAACTCGGCCATGTCCAAAGACTCGTCGTATGCGAATTCAGTGTCAAGCTTTGTCGGGGAACTGCTGGCACTAGCCTGATCAAACCGCTTCAGACACATAAACAAAACCGACGGCAATTCGACGATTTCTATGCGCTCAGTCCAGTCGTTTTCCTTGCTCGACTTGAAGAGCTGGTGATTTGTCCTTGAAACCACACGATGGCTTACAAAGTCGCGCAATGACTGCTTCACGTTCGAGAACCCCATGATATTCAGGTTTATCGGGTTAAGGGCAGACTCGGTGACGACCATGTCAGGGCCACGGAAGTGTCTGAAGATGCTGGAGGACGATTTTGAAGTCTGAAGGCGCTGAGAGGTCTTGCGGATTTTGCCACCTATCAGCGAATCAATATTGCTCTCTGGCACGATGGTCCGGAGACTGCTGGTGATGTTCTGCAGTATCTGCCCCGTGAACGAATCCAGTTCTGTATTTGCTGGTGGCTTGATGTCGAGTGCCTCCAGCGTATTCAAAACCTTTATCGCACTTATCGGTGGCATGCCAGAAAGTATGTTGGTGAATATCTCGCTGAGCGCAAGTGCGAGCATATGCTGCGTGTCAAACTCAGCACGGCCTACCTTGCTGACTGCATCTCTCAAAGGTTTAATATGGAGCAACACCTCGAGAAGCGGGTTTAGATAACGGCAGGTGTCAAGAGTGGCTAGCCCAATATACCCGGTCTGCTTCAGTGAGTTGTAGCCTCTATAATCGTGCCAGAGAACCCCAGTGGGATCATCGGCTATGCGCACGTAGAAAATAATGCGAAAGCGGTTGTTCTCCAGCAATGGCCTGTCCTTACACTTCTGCCGCTTCTCCAGCTCGTTGCGCGTCAGGAACGTTTTGTAGTCAGTATCAGGACTACTGTTTGAGATTCTACAGCGACAGGAACTTCTTGTGTAGCTCGCTGAATCATGTTGGTTTGCAACGACAAGGAGGGTATATGCACAGACCTGCCAGTCCTGTGGTTTTTCTCGGGCAGTAAGCGATCGGACGCGGAAGGAGATAAAGTCTTTTTCTGACAGACCCTGTGGGTATATCCACAACTGCCACTTCATACCGGCCACCTCAAACACCCTGTCAAAGCCCGAGTTGTCTATTCTCGATTTGGCGTCCATCTTCTCCCAGTCGTCGATATCCCAGTGAAATACGCCCCTGTCCAGCTCCGCGATGTCGGGAGGTAGCACCAATACCTTATCAATATATGCGGCATCTATATGAACAGAACCTTCAGTCCACTAGAACGGCAGAGCATATACAGTCATAGAATCCGAGTAGTCATACCTTCAGCGGAGAGGTCATTGTGTGACTGTGGCACATACGGTGGTGGCTCCACAAAACCTAGTGGCATGTTTCTTGTGGCTGCATCAAGGGGACGACATTGGTGAAAAATATAGCTCAGTTACGGGTTAGAAAGTATAGCCTGCTACTTGACGAGTGAGCGAGAGAGAAAGAGCAGCTATATATAGTCGGAAAAAAACCTGCTGCTGCAGACAAGGCAAGAAATCAAGAGTTGAATGATTTCATCGCTGCAGAAGATTTGCACTGTTAACGTGACTAGCCTGACATGCAGCCAAGAAGGTCCTTTTCGCTGCTTGGCCAATAGACGCTAGCGACTGGGATAGGCTCCTCTCAATTCTAGGCAGCCATGGCACGATTACGATGGACAACATGCTGGTGGTACCATATGTGTTTGGGTGATTCACCGGTATGAATACATGCCATAGGACTTCCTCCTCTCGCTAGCAGCCATGGAACAAGAAGGAAAAAGAGAATATGCAACTGCAGCAAAGAGCGGAGTATGTGGTTTGCAAGTGTCCTCCGCAAGCTGATCAGCTAGCGGATTAGCCAACCTTGCCCAAACAAACAATATTGGCCTGCAAGCGCCATGTAGCGGAACGTTCCATTGTATGTATGGCGCCCAATTGTCGTACCCATCCCCATGCTAAATATATCGAGTGAGCACTATAACGCTATGCGCAATGCTGCTGGGTGTTGTACTATAGCACCCTCTTTCTAAACCTGTTTGGGTGGTCGAGCACTGGCATGGCCTCCCTCCGGTTACATAAAAGAAGAAGCGTTGGGCATTGATCTCCTCCCAAGAACCAACTCATACCCTCCCCTTTCTCTTGAATTTGCAGCATAATGAATCTCTTCATCGCTCTTTTGATCGCCATTGCTGCAGCCTTGGCTGTCTCGTCAGCCCCAATCCCGGGCACCACCCACTCTATCCCAGTCTCCAAGGACACAAGCCTCTGCCTGGACACGAATTGCTATAGTGCTGTATATGGCACATCAGCAACAATCCATTCTGCAAACGATGCCAACGATGTGGCTCAAGTTCTCCTTGGCTTTGCGCTTCCTTCGACAGTAGCAAACAATGCAGACAGTATTGATAAATGCACTCTGACAATGCCGGCTTTCAACACACCGCGCCACGACCCAGTCAAGATCTGGGCTATCCGCAGTGAAGGCGCTTGGGACGAAGACACTGCCGCAGGATCTCTCCAACCCCAGAAAGTCGGCTCTGAGATGTTCGCCACAGTCGATTCAAATGAGGAATTCTCGCTTGACATCACATACATGTGCAAGGATGCAGCCAAAGACGGCACGGATCTATCGCTCTATGTGGCTAGCCTCGATATCCCGTATACAGCAAAGTCTCGCGAGGCTGGCCAGCCCTCGATGCTTCAGATCACCACCCACTAGCCTGCCCACAGATTCTTTGTTGTGTATGTTGGATAGCTGATCTCATAAATATATGTATAGTGAATATCTTACTGTATACACGCCAAGTGCCCTTGTTGGGCAAGTGTGTTTGCTACCTGCTTTGTCCATCGGATGGGGTCAGCACATCCGGTCTGCTAAATCTCCGGAAACCGGTTGAGATTGTTTTGTTGTATTCAGCCCAAGTGTTGCGGACCTCAATGCGCAGACAATCTATCGCTTACTGAGCGCTCAGATAGCGAAGTATGAAGATTTGGTTACGTACAGTGCTTTGATAAAATGGATGCTAGATGACTCTAAGAGTAAAGAAGAATACCAAGCGGGTTAACCGATAAAGAAAAAGAAATGGAAATGGTAAAAGAGCCTTGGAAGGTTTTGTAAAGTTTCACAGGGTGTGTAATGTGTTGGTATACATATCACACCTGTCCCGCTACACCGCTGGTCCGGTCTACCTGTACTGTCTGAATAACAGTCGCCATATCAGCTATTACTCAACACATGTGGCAGACCTCAGCTACTCGCAATAAACATGCATCACTGGTGACGTCATGGGGTTAACGCGAATATGATGTGGAAACGAAACGTGAGTAAAATTGGGATATAGAACAAAAAAGGAGAAATAAAAGTAAAAAAAGGTTTTTGCTGAGGAATGAGTGTTGTTTTTTTTTGTACAGCGACGGGTTGTATAGGAGGCAACGACGGAGAAAAGGCACACACGCCTACTGTGCAGACGACGATGGCGACGACAGTGCCGCCGTTGGTGCAACACCCGACGAAGACGACGAGCCAAACAGGTTGTCTAAGAGGCTTGTGTCGAACGACGTCTTGGCTGCGGTTGCATCGGTGCTGGGCGGCGACGACAAGTCGAAAATATTGTTGAGATCAAACGAACTACTGCTGGGCACAATCGAGCCCGGGCCGGTTTCAGCTGACTTCCACAGCGCGTCAAGATCAAGTTGGTCAGCCATGTTGGCGCCAGTGCTGGTCGCCGTTGTCGGCGTCATCAGCACCGACAACGGATCAAAGGACGGCGTCGAAGACAGCATATCGGAAATATCCTTATTGTTGCCCAGCAGCGTAGCCTAGTTCGCTTGGTGTCAGCGGCCCCTGCGCATCAATGTCGTCAGCGCCACTTTCGTTGCTGGTGGTCGGACTGGGCTGGCGGCTGCTGCGCGGAATCACGGCATCGTCTGTGCTGCTACGGCCCACAGTGTTCAGCGCTGCGAATATGTCTACTACATCATTGTTAGATTGGCGGTCAGCACCGTTCGCGGTATCCGTGAGCCCAGACACGAGCTCCTCGAGCCAGCTAGGAGACTCGGTCATCATGTTTGAGGCCAACTGTTGGCTGCTGCCGGCAGCGTACGAGTCAGACGCTCCGGCGCGCACGCCCACCTCACTTTCTCTACTATTCGCGCCGAGATATTTACCTTGCGTTAGGCCTGCGCTGGCCGACCGCAGACTACTATCGGGAAGAGTAGTGCGGCCAGAGCCAGCTGTGTACAGGCCACTAGACAAGCCAGCGGCCGCAGCCTGCCTGGAGGCGGCCGCAGCAGCGGGCTTTGGCCAGCGTGTGCTTAGGAGTGCTTCTTGGAGTGCCGCCGCTCCTCCTTTCCAGTCACAGACGATGCCTTCCGCTTCTTCGCCCGCTTGCGCAGCGACGACATCGCCATGTCCTGTGCAAAGTACTGGCTCATGTTGTCGCTATCGAACGGCCAGGTGCACTCGACATTCGGGCACATTGCAAACGTGCAGTTGGTGTCGACATCAAAGCTCTCGATGCTGGTGGCGCACTTGGGGCAGCACGTTACGCGCGTCTTTCCGGTAGGGACCGTGGCTACTGTGGGTACGAGAACTGCCGCCATGCTGTGTCAGACTGATGTTGGGCGCGAGTTTGCCTTAATCGCTTGTGGTAAAAATGGAGAGATTGGGAGGAAAGGTGCCTAAAAGCAGCGAAAAAAAGGAAAATAAAGTCAAAAATACAGAAAATCACAAAAACCACTGCAAGAAAATATTTTTTGTCTCGGTCGAAAACCACGTCGCCAATTTTGCTGGCTGAGTTTGTGTCAGCAAAAAAATGCGATCATCTTGATCTGATTTTGTGATCCATACATGCGTGGCTCCTGGCCCTTGCTCCCCAAGAATTCCGTCTGGCAGCCCTCGCTATCCCTCATTGCACCCAATGCAAGCTACTTTTTCATATACAGTCCTTCTTATCCACACTTGCAGACCCGGGGCCCGAGATCTATGACCCTGGAAATATAGAGTGGCAAGCAACACACCCTATTTATTGGCAAAAATAGCAGCGTGAATGGGCGGTTCGGATATACTACACTCATCCTCATGTCCATATACAATGCTTGTAATCAATTTGGCATTTCGCGTCGTTGGAATATCTTACATAAATATTAATATGTCACTTTCCCGCTTACTTCTTGAGGTGCGTGTACTTTGAGCTCTTGGGAACAGTCCCTGTGCTGTGTTTGTGGCGCCTGTTGTTGTACTCCTCAATAGTGGCGCTGTTGCCCGAGACCTTGGCCACCCACACCACATGCCTGTACCTGCTGCCTTGGCTAGTCTGATCCACAGCTCCTGGCTTTGGCGTATCATTCACAGTGACGCCCGAGGCATGCGCGGCGTCGTCCCACTCGTTGGTATTATCCCACCTCTTGCCCTTGTAGCGGTTGTTGATGTCGATGCCCAGACGCGAATTGATGCGCCAGGCGACAAAACTGACACACTGGCACGTGTAGTAGTTCCACTTGTCGACGCCGCTGCAGCTGCCACCCTTGCAAGGATAGTCATCTTTCATCGGACCCGTACTAGCCCTGGGTTTGTCACTAGGCTTAGATTTGGGCTTGGGCTTGGGCTTGCCATCAGGTTTGGGTTTGGGCTTGTCGTCAGGCTTGAAGCAGGGGCTGTCGTCGGGATTGGACCACTTTTTGGCTGCATAGCCATTGCCCGTGTTTAAATAATAATCACTCACGTAGCAGCCGAGCTGGGTCTTGTCTTAGAAGCTGCTGCCATTGATGTCTGTACCCGGAGCCTGGCACGAAGAGCGTCACTTGGGCTCACATCCTTGTACATGAGGACAGCCCTGTGTGAGGTTTCCGGACCGGAGCGGTAGTTGACAACACTGCCCTTGATGGCGTAGCTAGAGACGTGCTTCATTTTTAAAAGTATGCAGTTTTGGGTTTTGGTTGTGATATGGTTTAAATGAGGGTTGAACAGGATACCTGGCGAGTTTATATACAAATCTCTAACCTATACTTCACTAGCCATATCTCAGTGAAATTCCTGTTAGCAGCAGTAGCTTGTATAGCAAACAAGCGCACATAACACAGCTAGTTGCTGTCGATATGTAGCCTATTCCAGAAATCCACACTAGCAGTTCTTTCTGGGTTAAATGCTAACAAGGATTACTACAAAAGGATAATGTGATTTCAAGAAAAATCCGAGTGCATCCCATTTTGATAGAAGCGCTAACGTGTGGCAGACATTCTGTTAAAGAGATTGAATACTTTGCCCAGCTTCTGCTATATTTTTAGGTCATGCACTCCAACGTATCCATGCATGCTTATATACGAACTGCTTAGCTTTACCACTACATCAATACCCAAGTGGTAAATCTATTTTTAGATGCTATGTATCTGCATAACCATGCACGCTTACATACGATCGGCCTGAAATCTGCTCTATGTGATTTCTGCATATCAATTTATTTTTAGATGCTCGCTCAAACCGGTGGTTCCTTGGGTAAGCCCAGGTTTTTATATGCAAGTTAGCGGCAGTCTCCAGGCTGTCGTCTATTTTTAGCAGCAACAGCAACAGCAATAGCAGCAGCAGCAGCAGCACAGCAGCATATGTGGTGCATTGATTCCTGCTCTATGGTGAGTACACCTTTCAGCAACGCATGCCGAACCGTAAACAGACGGTGCAGTTACCCATTTACTAATTTTAGAACGTTCTGCCACGCAATGCAATGCTGTGACTGCGCAGTTCACACTTGCATCTCGAAATTCCTCGCATATATAAAGGACATGCTGCAGCCCGCTTCCATCAGCCCATTATCAACAGCAACAACAGTAACAACAGCACCTTCCACTCTTTCTCCAACTACACACAAAACATCGAAAAGATGAAGCTCTTCACAGCCACTGCTCTCGCTCTTGCTGCCACTTCGCAGCTCGCTTCTGGTTACGCCATCAAGAGTGACGGTGTCAACTGCCGTTCTGGACCTGGCACCAGCTACGGCGTCGTTCGCTCATACAGCAGCAGTGACGACGTCACTCTCTCGTGCCAGACTTCCGGCGAGACCATCAAGGGCGACTCCCTCTGGGACAAGACCCAGCACGGCTGCTATGTCGCCGACTACTATGTCAAGACTGGCAGCAGCGGCTACGTCACCACAAAGTGCGATTCCACTGGTGGTGGATCCACGGGCGGCGGTGGCTCTACTGGTGGGGGCTCTTCCAACGGATACTGCAAGAGTGTCAACGCTGCTGCGCTCAACATGATCAAAGGAGTTCGAGGGCTTCGTCAAGAGCCCGGCTCCCGATCCCATTGGTCTGCCCACCGTCGGCTACGGCCACCTGTGCCAGACCAAGGGCTGCAAGGAGGTCAAGTACAAGTTCCCGCTGACACTGGCCACCGCTGAGGCTCTGCTCAAGGACGATATCCCCAAGTACACATGCCTGGGCAACTACCTGAATGGCAATGTCAAGCTCAATGACTACCAGTGGGGTGCGCTGGTGTCGTGGGTGTTCAACGTTGGCTGCGGCGGAGCCAAGTCATCGAACCTGGTCAAGCGTCTGAATGCTGGTGAGAACCCGAACACCGGTGATTGCCGGCGAGCTGCCCAAGTGGAACAAGGCTGGTGGCCGTGTTCTGTCTGGCCTGACGCGCCGCCGCAATGCCGAGGTCAAGCTTGCTCAAACTCCCACCAATGCCAGGCCTACCCCAACTGCTCGTGAGCAAAAAATATCCAACTGTAATTATCTTTTCTTCCTTTCATCTCCAATATCAACATTTCTCAAACCACAAGTGAATCGTAATCATAAAACTCCTGGACCATGGTTATAGATACCTTGAATATCTTATGCGAGGGTTAGCTCTGAGGATTAGCATGTCCACCGATACATAGCGTATCCAAATTCAACAAATGTAGCGTAGATGATTTGGCTTTATTGTTTTAAACCAAGAACTGGAGCACATACTACCCTTGGCTAATCTATATCCAACAGAACCTATCCTTAATGCTGTGGATTGAAGGCTGCTGTGTGCCCCGTCACTGATCTGCAAACACATACAAAGACGGCTGCCGATTGTCCAGAATCAATTTTCACTCAGCTTTAATCAGACCCGTGACATGCCAGCATGATGGCAAATCGTGAAGAGGTATTCTATCTCTATGTCCTTTCTCGTACATCCCTATCTGCTCTGTTCCAACTAAGACAATTGCTTAAGCATAATCTCAGGTTTCTCTTTGGGCTGGTATTGCTACAGCATATCAGAGGATGCCTTTGTATGTAAAAGAAGAGTGTGAGCTGGTGAAAGAGAGTGTGTTCTCATTTCGCTCTGTTAGTATCCCAAGCTCCGACTACTGTGTGTTGACATTCGGGGTCCAGAGTCCCCCTGCGCCACAATGAGCAAGGCCGAAACGTATACGCACAAAGGCCCAGACAAACGATCAGCTGTCGTTCCCTTCAGTCATACTTTTGAGGAGTTGTTTCTCCATATACTCGATAACGACTCATCCCCTAGGTTAGCACAGGCCAGTGAGAATGCATCTTGCAGACCCAAGACTTGTAGCAAATGTACATAGCTACCTTTGTCAACTATACGCTGTTCTGAAATCATACCCACAAACAGCCACCAACCTGTCTCACTAGGGATATATATGATTAGGTGTATTCTCGGACAAAAGAAGGATGCCTATGATTCTATTCCGTAAACCTACTGTCTCCTGTGCACTGACAGAGCCACCATCCATCTCCCACACCGCCCAACTGGAGGTTTTTTTTACAAGACTAAGCATGAACCTAAGCGCACTTCACTTCTTTGGCTGCTCCACCATAGAGGTGTGATGGCAGAAAACTAGCTCAAGAATTTGATCCCGGAGGCGGACGTAGAGATTCCCTATGTCACCACCCAGTAAACTTATCAGAAGCACTACTTTTGGCCATATCCTCATGCTTTTTGTCTCTGGTAGCATATTTTCAGCGATAACCAGTGATGCAATGCGCTGAATGACTGTCTGGCCAGCGAGCTGCCAGACCAGCTCCGGCCAGTCCCACCAAAATGTACTACTGCATAGCACCGCTGTTCGCTGTGGTGATGGAGAAGAGTTCTGCAATCATCCTGGACATGACCAAGGACTTCTTCTTCAGTATCAATCTAGGCAGCAATATCACTCGGCACAATCCTACCACTTGATGACGATATAAACACTGACCAGTGGGCAGTAGCAGCAACTGCTGTAGCCACAGCGGCAGAACTAGCATAGATGGTAGAATTATCCCTTACAAATGCCCCGCCCTCCTCATCTTGTAGACGGTTAGCGCGCTTAAGGGGTTTTGTTAGTTATTCTGAGAGTACGGCATTGTTAAAATAGTGTTTCCAGTAGCTAGCTTGTAGTGCATATTTCATTGCGCAAAACCTGACCAAAAAAATAAAAATAAAAATTGTTCCATACCCGTAAGTAATGGCCAGTGCCTATGGGCTAAACCCCTCAACCTCACTTTTTTCTCTCAAATTGCTCGGCGTTTTCACATATACTCTCTCTTCTCACAATGTCGGCCGCACAACCACACACACTGGAGCCCAAATTCGAAGTCCTGTCGGTGCTTGAGGGCGAGCTGGAGAACCTGCGGCCGAACGCCAAGGTGTATGTGCAGAAGACCTCGACACCGATATATTTTTTAGCAGAGCGCAGCGACGTTCTGGACAAGACCAAAAAGCAGCTTGACAAGCTGAAGGGCAAGCGGGGCTCCTCAAACCTGCACAATTCCTAATAGACTGGAAGCCTCTCCTGCGCCATGCTTTGGAGGGAAAATGCATCGGCCAGACTGCTGGAATATAGTGCCGCTAAGGGAAGGTGCAGGGGCAATCGAGCTTCCCTGCTGCCAACCTCTCTTTTCTGTTTCCATCCAGGTCTTCAACAATTTGTATAAATCCTACGTGCTGTTTTCTAGAATGTTGGCAAGGGCACTCAGCCTACTGTGGAAGAAGCCAGTGGCATGCGCAAAGGCGTTTGCGACAGTGTCGTCAATGATACTCCTGACGACATTCAAGTACATTTTCCAAGGACCCCCAGTAGCATCTTGGACACTGAAAACAAATCTGATACGTGACTTCATCCGCCTGTTTCTGAGCAGTGGCCCGGAATTCCAACAGTATCGTTTTAGATCTGACTAGCGTGGGCAGCTTTGACAGCGGCCAGCGGGTCGCAAAGCTGGATGGCGGGATTGCCACCCGGTTTGACATCCCTTCGGTGCCATGGCGCGACAAGCACCTCGATAATTCCGGCATTTGGCGCGACAAGCTCGTGGAGATTGCCGCGGCATCGATGGAGAGGCAGATGAATGGCGAATGCGTTATTGCAGACGAGGCCATGCTACCCAATACTGATGTTGCTAACCTACCTGCCTAACGGCAAGGTCCTGCTGCACTTCCATGGCGGAGCATACGTCCTGGGTACGATGGACTCATATCGCAAGATGCATCTGATACTATCCAAAGCTACTGGTCTGCCTGTCTACGGATTTGCCTACCGCCTGGCACCGGCATCCCAGTACCCAACACAGCTGTACGATGCCTTCTGCGCTTTTGAGTATTTGCGGAGCATGGGAGTCCGCGAGCAGGACATTATCTTCTCAGGCGACAGTGCCGGTGGGAATCTTGCTCTGAGTCTGTGGCTGCTCCTAAAGCCAAACATTTCCGGTATGGTCTTACTTTCGCCGCGCGTCGATGTCACCAGCAACAGAGACAGCTGGAGGCGAAATGCAAAGGCCGACTATCTGGCACCCTACAACGTCTACAACACCTCAAACTGCATCAGACTGCTGCTCGGTCCTAGCCGACCAGTCGACGCCGAGATGCTGAGCTGGCTCAGCGACCCGTTTGTCGCTTCTGTTCACGCGGACTTTACGGGATTACCACCGACGCTAGTGCAGGCCGGTACTGTAGAGGCTATGTATGATGATATTAGCGCTGTTTGCAAATCGTGCGCATCAGCAGACAGGCCAGCTGAGGTTTCAGACCTATCCCGATGAAGTCCATGTGTTCCAGGGGTTCCCCGGAATGGCCCACACCCAGCAGGCACTGGACGCTATTTGGGGGTTTGTTCAGTCTCTGCAGGCTCCCTAACTGCCTTCTAGTGTGTTAATAAATTGCTCTGGCAAAGGCTAATCTGCACTGTGCTTTCTCTTCATCTTGTTCCCACACCTGCTGTCCCCTACTAGTATTCCACATCGACATGCACACAAGTGTGCTTAGCTGTCTGTTTCTTTTCGGCTGGCTGACTCCTGGTCTCGCAATCCTCTCCGCCCACTCCCACCAGCATCTAATGGCCTACTCGCTCTCCCCACCCAAGCGACGACTTTGTCACTGCCAGTGGCACCCAGCTCATGCATCGAGGACAAGCCGTACCACGTCTCGGGTGCCAACTACTGGCAGGCAATGAATCTTGGCATGGCCTCTGGACAAAGCAGCAACCGCCTGCGTGTGCACCAGGACCTCAGGGAATTGCAACGCCAGGGCATCAACATGGTGCGCATCATGGCGTCCAGCGAGGGCTCACAGTTTGGCACCCAGCCTGACCGCATGTATCCGGCTCTGATGGTTGCGCCTGGCGAGTATGACGAGGATGTGTTCCAGGGCCTTGACTGGTTCATGGCGCAGCTGCCAAAGTACAAGATGAAGGCCATCGTAACCCTGTCCAACTACTGGACTTGGAGCGGCGGTGCTGCGCAATACGTCAGCTGGGCGACCAATACCACGATTCCATACCCGGAGCAGTGGGACCACCTCCTGCAGCAGAACGTCGGTGGCCTCATACGAAGGATTTTCTAAAGTACACCAACCAGTTTTACCAGAACGAGTCGATCATCGATGTCACCCAGAAGTGGTACAGAAACCATGTCAAGGCGGTGATTACGCGTCCGCAACACGGCAACTGGTCAGCTTTACTCTGACGATCCCATCGGTGCTGGCCTGGGAGCTCATGAACGAGCCCCAGATCACCGATTCCGAGGACTCGCTGTTCAAGTGGATCGACGAGTCAGCAAAGTACATCAGCTCGCTGGCGCCTCGTCACCTGGTGTCGAATGGTGCTGAGTCCAAAAATGGCCAGCAGTGGTTTAACATCATGCACAAGTCGCCGTATATTACCCTGGCATCGTGCCACTTTTGGCCGCTGAACTGGGGCTACTACAACCGTACCGACCCAACTGAGGCCAGCATCGACTATTCGATTCACAAACTGAACGAGTTCATTAGCAACTTGGCCGACTGGGCTGCTGCGCTGAACAAGCCGGTAGGTTTGTTCGAGTACGGCATGATGCACGACAACTGGGGCGAGTGGGCCGGGCTCAAGGGATACAGCCCGGACGCGCCTTTCACCCACCGCAACAAGTTCTACCAAGCTGTTGCCGACAAAGTCTCTGCCCGTGTTGCAGACAAGCAATTCGTTGGCGCGGCATTCTGGGCATATGCGGGCATGGCTCGTCCGCCGACGAAGCCTACGACCGAGATCAGCTGGGTTGGCGACCCACCACACGAGCCGCCTGGATGGTACAGCATCTACGACAAGGATGTCGAGACCCTTGCCATCCTCCGCGAGTTCTCCAAAAAGATTGGCGCAAAGTAACATTTTTAGTTGGATATACCAGGCTACTCGAAATACACGTCTAAGCTCCTCTCTGCACCGACTGCTCGGATGACATTTTCAGCGTGTGCAATTGCATCGCGTACCCGGTCTACGTATACCAGATCCTCGACCTCGATCGTGTCCCGGTCAAGGCGCAAGGGGCCCTGCGAAGTCCGTAGCAGCGACGTCATGGTAGCTGCGCTGCCGAGCCGCTCGCCTATGTCGTGGACCAGCGAGCGCACGTACACACCGCCACCGCCGCTCTGGATCAATATTTGGAACGATGCGGTATCCGGCTGGTTCACATACGGCGTCATCAGCATGCCCTCCTGCATCTCCGGGCACCCATCCACCCATGCATACCGGTCGGTGACAAAGTACTCCAGGAACTTTTCAGGCAGTGCAACCGGTGTGCCGAACTCTGCTCCAGCCTGCGGGTTGACAAAGTGCAATAGCCGGATGTTTTTGACGTTCACCTTGCGCGCTTTGAATGTCTGTGGGAACCTTGTTTCCTGCGCGGGCATACTGGTATAGCCGCATGCCATCGACGCGGATAGCAGAGTAAATTGGCGGCCGCTGCATGATCTCGCCGGTAAACTCTGCCAGCAGCTCCTCCATGCCGTGTGCTGTGATTCCCTCGGTTGGCGCGATCTTCGTCACCCTGCCCTCGGCATCATACGAATCCGTCGCCACGCCCAGCCGCCCCATGGCCAGATACGATTTCCCGCCTTGTAGGTACCCGTGCAGCTTCTTGCACCCATGGTTGATTCCAAGCACAAGCACGCCGGCCGCCTCAACGTCCTAATGTGCCCCCGTGGCCAACCCGCACTGTCCGATTTGTCCATGCGTCGCCGGATCTTCTTTCCCGATTTGCGCAGCTCCCGCTCGTGCTCGAAATGATCCCTGAATGGCGCTGCCAGGTGTCCGCGCCCAATATTGCGCTTGAAGTAGTCGAGCAAGCCTGAGCAGCTGATGCCTGACGGTTTGTTGACTGCCAGAATACCGTCCAGCGACTGCAGCTCGCCAAACACCCGACTGCCTGCCTGCCGCGCCGCTACCTGTGCTGCCGCTGCTTTCAGCATGGTTGAATGTGTATGTCAAATACCAAACTGTTGAGACAAAAGAAGGCAAAAAAAGCCGGTATCAGCTAAGCTGCTTGCGCTAAAGGTGAAAATTATCTCTCCAGATCCAGTAATATGGATCATGGGAAATCCCCAGGAAGCTGAACATCACAAGCACACCCTCTAGCCGCCAGCCACTGGACGTAAAACTCTCATTTAGAGCGCCCGGATCCGCAATGGCCCGGCAGAAGTATCCCAGTCCCATGCTTGGCAACTCGACTATGAACCGGCTTCCTATGCCAGCGTTCGGCTATCCAAGCATGCCGGCACTAGTAACAATTGATTGTGTTTAGCGTGGATTTCTCGAACATCTGGCAAGAACAGCTAAGGGCTGAAAGAAAAGTGCACAGCGCCACAGTCCGGGCCCTCTCCGCTCGGATGCACGTGGGTACCCGACCATTATTCCCGATGATCAGCACACGTGTGGCGCATGTTTCCATGCCAATACACGACATAGACAACCGCCAGACCTCGGCACGTTTCGCGACACGCGGTGCAGTTTACAATTTACAATATGCACAAATAGTTCTTCCAGAACAACAAGCAGCAACGACGATGGATGTCGGTTATTCTGGATGGAGAATCGCAGCACCCTCGTATCTGGTGCGGCTTTCCAGATTGCCAGAGCTTCATAAACTGATTGGCGCATTGATGACTGTCTTTTTGTCTTTTGAAAAATGGAGTTATTGGTAGACAGCAGACCTATCTTGCACGCAGTGTGATGCAGGGATGAGGAGCAAGCACTGGGAAGGTTGAGAAGTGAGATTAATGGCAGTAACCCATTTTAATTCAATCATTGTTCTGGCCAAGCTGCGCACACTGCCGCCATATGCTTTCTACTCGATAGCATACACAGTTACACATGCACGGATAGACTTCGGCAGTGGTCGTTATTAGGCTGGTGCTGGCTGCGCGTTTTATCTGGGCAGGATATGGGCTAAATGTGATGAGTCCGATTGAGCAATCTGCGCTCAGAGAAAAGTTGCAAATGCTAAGGCGAATGCACGCCACGAGTTCTTGTGGTAACGGGTATATACATGCGACAAATGAAAATCAAGTGCAGCGAGGCGGGCAAGCTATTCAGCGTGCATGCATACAGCAAGCTGAGGGAGAAAGATAGGCCAGTGGCTGACTGCAACAATGCCAGTGAAGAAAAATGCAAATGTGCTAGCGAAACCAAGTTTTTGAGAAAGAAAATTGGGCAACATCCCTGTAGCGCATTTTTTTCGCGAGAGCTGTTCTTGGCGGGGTGGTTTTCAGCTGCTGTCTCTCTTCTTAATGAAAAGCGTGCTTTTTCGTTCCTCATTTCACTTATTCTCAGTGCGGTCGCCACATACCAGTAAGCCCTTTTTAATTTGCTTGTATAGTTACATTGGCAAGTTCCAGAGACCCCGGAAAAATATCGGTGACGTAAAGATTAGCTAGGTCAACAGTCTGCAGCAAAAGACATTCTCATATTGTCATATTTTATTTCAGTCCCGACGACTGAATCCCAGGAGGCAACGCCAAAGCCCAAAAGCAGGCCTCGGATACTTGAGTAGCCACGGGCAAGACCAATTAGGCATATCTTCGAAGGTGCCATATTCGGCCCTTTTCCCGCGTCAACACCAAGGTAAATATAGCATGGTGCTAGCACTGTGGTCGCACTAAAAGGTGGCGTATCCAGAGGGCAATAACGTACTCCGAGGTCTTTTGCGCGCGCAACTGCGCTATACGAGGCTGGGCAGAATTCTGTCTGCTCCCTCCCCATTCCCTACTTTTTTCTGCGCTAGCGTTTTTATTTGCTTGCGAACAAAAACGCCTCCCTCCAGTAGGTTTTTGGACTGGCAGATTTGATTGTCAGCTACAGACAACAGGCTGGGATGGGCGTTAATGGAAGAAAGGACCGTTTATTCAAATACCAACAACATTCCCCCCCTCTCCCCTTTTATCATCAATATTATTGCTTTTTTTCATTCTCATTCATCCCTCTTAACGCCTAGTCCTCCAGTGGTCATTGGGAATACAAGCAGCAGAGGATACCCAGTCCTTTTGACTCTATTCCTTTTCTCTCTAACGACTATCGAAAATTGCACATTTCTTTGGTACACGCACTCTACTTCACCTACGCAATCTCCTCTCCCTTTCCCTCTCTTTTTTCGGTGCAATACTTCATATTCCTTTTACTTGACGATCCATCACTAGAGCATATTACCTGGAGTTCCTATATACACGAAATTCTGTTCCCATTCAATCCATATCTCCTCCTCCATTTTTGTGTAGAGCACAAAAAGCCATTACCCACAACACCAAGACACTACAGGCAACCACAGGGAAGAAAATTTATTCTTCATTATTAAATGCTTGGACTACAGAACATGGCTAGTAGCAGCAGCGACAGCAGTAGTGGGTCGAGCTCGGCCAGCCAAGGCTTCAGCAGCACATACGAGTTCATGGAGCAGCCGCTGAGTCCCATCGACTCGTTCAACCAGCGTTCGGAGCACAACAAGACCCTCGACAAGGGCGTAGGCACAGGAGGTGGGCCACTATTGTCGTGGGAGAACCTGACGTACAGCGTCAAGGTGCGCGAAAAGAAGAAGATGCACATGCGCACAATCCTGCACGGCATCAGCGGCGAAATCTACCCGGGTGAAGTGGTCGGGCTTCTGGGGCCGTCGGGGGCGGGCAAGACGACGCTGCTGAATGTGCTCGCAGGGCGTATCGAGGGCGGAGTGTTGAACGGCAAGGTTCTTTTCCGGGGCAAGAAGCGGGTGCCCGGGGTGTTCCGCCGCAAGGTCGCGTATGTGGAGCAGGAGGACGTGATGTTCCCGATGCTGACAGTGGAGGAGACAATCATGTTTGCGGCGCGCCTGCGGCTGTCGAACAAGCAGTATTCGCAATTGCAGAAGGTAGAGCGGGTGGCTAGCGTGATTCAGCAGCTGCGGCTCAGCCACGTCAAGAGCTCGCCGATCGGCGATAATCTGAACCGGGGTGTTTCCGGCGGCGAGAAGAAGCGCGTCAGCATTGGCGTCGGCATGGTGACCGACCCGGATATGCTGGTGCTGGATGAGCCGACTTCCGGCCTGGACAGCAACTCGGCGGAGATGGTGGTGGAGCTGGTGCGCGATATCACACGGTCGCGCGGGATCGCCTCGGTGATGACGGTGCACCAGCCCAACTCGAACATGCTAAGGTGCTTTGACCGGCTGCTGCTGGTGTCGCAGGGCCATTTGGTGTATTTTGGCTCAGCAGAGGCTGCCATCCAGTACTTCGAGTCCAAGGGCTTCCCGTGCCCACTCAGGCAGAACCCGGCGGACTTTTTTATCGACGTGATGTCGCTCAACAACCGGTCGCCCGAGGAGCTCGAGGAGAGCCGTAGGCGCATTGCGTTCCTGGCACAGTCGTTCGGCGAGGCCATGCATCCGACAGCCAAGCTCTCGCTGTCATACGGCGGTATGTACGAGAAAATGCCGGCCAGTCCGCAGGACCCCGGGACCGGCATCTTGACGCACGGCACATTGTCGGGCAGCGCGCTGGAATGGGGCATGACGGCTGACGAGACGCCGCCGGAGCGCATCAACTGGTTCTACGAGCTGCAGACATTGATATACCGCGACATTCTGACCACAGTGCGGCACCTTTCGTTTGCCAGCGCGGTCGGGATCAACTCCATCTCGGTGCTGCTGCTGCTTGGCCTGCTGTTCTACAAGATCGGCAACGAGGTGACGTCGATCCAGAACCGCATTGGCCTGTTTTTCTCGCTGACGATGAACTCCACGTACGGCATCATGTCGCACTATCTGTACGTGTACTTCAAGTCCAAGGACATCATGCTGTCGGAGCGCGGCTCGGGCTCGTACCGGATGTCGACGTTCTACATATCCAAGCTGGTGGTGTATTTGCCGATCGCGGTTCTGTCGAGCTGGGTGTACTTTATCGGCATATACTTCATGGCCGGGCTGCAGCCGGGCGCGGCCAAGGTGTTTACATCGCTGATGCTGTTTACGGTGCTGCTGGTGGTGACCATGGGCGTGACGCTGATGGTCGGGTCGTTTATCAGCACATATGACCTGGCATCGGTGGTCTGCGCAATGATTGTCACGACGTGGGTGATATTCGGCGGCCACCTGGCCAATGCCGGCGAGCTGCTGGCGGTCATTTCCTGGATGCAGTACATTTCGCCAGCATTCTACGCATACGAAGGCATGGTGGCGACGGAGTTCAATGGGCTGAAGCTGCATTGCCAGGCGAACAACGGGCTGTGCATGGCGCGTGGCGAGGACGTGGTGAAGCTGTACAAGCTGGACCAGTTCACAGTGGGCCAGTGTGCCGTGATTGTCTTTGGCATGGCCGTTGCTTACAATGTCCTTGCATACATGTCGCTGCGGTGGAAGGCCAAGCCCAAGTACCTGTGGGTGTAGGGTGTTTTTCAACAGCTACAAGTTTTTCAATATATTTCTCCTTCAAATGCTGACCAAAAACATTGTGTGCCTAGTCCTTCGACAGGTCAGCCAGTGCCGCAGCGTTCTTTTCCCAGTTCTTGCCGTCGAAACGGCAGGACCTCGAAGCTCCGCACGTTGTCGCGCTCCAGGCAGCGGAAGTTCACTGAGTAGCCGTCGGGATTGCTGCGCGGCACATAGAATGACTCGATCCCGCACGTCTTGCAGAAGTAGTGCTGCGCTACGTGCGTGTTGAACGAGTACGTGGTCAGGTTGTCCTTGCCCGTCAGCAGCGTGAACCGCGATCGCGGCACGATTATGTGCTGGAAGCCGTGCATATTGCACATGGAGCAATCGCACTCGTCCACGCGCAGGTCCGCCGGCGCCCGGATCTCCCAAGTAACTGTGTTGCAGTGGCAGTGGCCCTTGTGCGTGGTAAGAGTATCAGACATGGTTTCTAGCAAATGGCGGTAAGAGAAAAAGAAAGGGGGATGGCGACAGCGCAAGGGGAAACTTGCACAATTTCCTCCCCCTCCTTCCGCTGCGGCACTGGAAAGAGAGATAAACCGAGCACCGGAAAAGGGGCGGCTGAGGGCAGACGACGGCGGGATCGACTTTCCTAAACCAGACAGGTAGGATTGGCTTCAGAAATCACCACGACCATTGCGCCTATGCAGCTTACGGAAGGCGCGCTGCATGTGAGTCTGCTCTCCATATCTGGCAAGGCGATATCCCAGCACCGAGCTGCAGAAGCAGTTTCCCACGAAACACTATAGCGCTAGGAGCGTAAAAGAAAGGAATAGCTGTATGTATTGGAAAAAAAGGAACCCATCATCTTGGGCCAAATAGTGCCCCAAAAAGCGCGGGGCTAGAATGCCGCGCCGTGTCCAAGTCTGTATAATTAGTGTAGTGGACGGCTAGGCGATAGCGCCGTAGTCGTCAGCCGCATGGTGCTGCGCCGGCTTCGACGTAGAGGAGACAGCCAGACGGTCGAAGCACACCTGCACCTCGTGGCGCCAGTCGATGGCACAGAAGATAAACGCCTGCTGCGCCAGCGCAAACACGGTAATGCCAATGGTCAGGCCAATCCACAGGCCAACAATCTGCAGGCCGGGCGCGCCCATGCCCAGGTAGAATCCAATGGGCACGCCCAGCACCCAGAACGACGGGAACGCCAGCATTGCCCCCAGACTCTGCTTGCCCAGCGCCCGGAGAATGCCCGCCACCAGCCCATTCATGCCATCGAAGGTCTGCACGAAGATGAAGAATGGCATCAGTCGGCTGCATACCTCCACCACCGCGTCGTCGTCGGTGAAAATATACCCCCAGCTATGCCGGTTGACGTAGAACATAATGGCACAGGATATGCCGACTATGTAGCCAATGCAGATTGACACGTACGAGGCCGTGCGCGCGCGCCGCTGCTTGCCACGCCCCAATGCATTGCCCACGCGCGTCGCCGTTGCCGAGCCTATAGCGGCCGGCGCCTGGTACGTCATGCCGATGGCGCTGAAAATGCACGCCTGGGCGGCCAAGGACACAGCGCCGAAAATCGACGACCCGAACGTCACCAGCTCAAACACGGACCAGCTGCACGCCATCATGGCTGCGCTGGGAATCGCCAGCTTGTAGAACTCCCAGATCCCGTCCAGGCACGTCAATGTCAGGCCGCCCCACGCCTGCTTCGCCCGGCTGCACGCAATATACCCGACTATGCCCAGGAACAGCAGCCAGTTCGTGATAACCGTTGCCAGGGGCGCTCCCACGAAGCCCATGCCTACGTGCGGCGACCACACCAGCTGCTGGCTCAGCACTATGTGGATCGGACACACGACTGCCATCACCCAGGTGCCCGCCTGCATGATCCCCTGCGCCTGCACGAAGCGCTTCAGACACTCAAAGGCCACCAACGGCCAGCTGCCCAACAGCCAGACGCGCAGGAACACGCCGCACAGTGCCGCCACCTCGGCCGTCTGCCCGATCATCTCCAGCAGCGGGTCAATGAAACATGAATAGCACCGCCATTGGCATCAGCTGCAATGTCACCGCCACCAGCCCGCGCTGCGTATGGAACCCCACCTGCGTCTTGTCCTTGGCAGCCGTATACGCCGTCCCGCAGAACGTCTCTAGTGCACATGCCAGCCCGATGCACGGCATGTTGATTGTGAAGTTGATGATCATCACCGAGAGCGATGCCGCGGCCAGCTCGTTCACGCCAAGCCGTCCAACGCTAAGCATGCTTATGAATACAAACGAGTTCTGGCAGAAATACGACAGTGCCAGTGGCACCGACGACAGCGCCAGCCAGCTCGCCTCCTGCTTGATCATGGCCATGTGCGTGACTTCTGGCTCGTCATCGATTACTGGCTGGTCCGTCAATGTGGCCTCTGATGGCCGGCTGGCCACCAGCGGAGATGTCTCAAACGCCAATTGCTCTGCCATTATATTATCTCAATTAAAGACGCTAGGTATTTTTCTGCAAAGGGATTGGAGGAGCAAGAGAAAATGCTTTAGGAGAGGCAGAACAAAAGAAAAAGGGCACCAGGGAAGGAGGGGTCCTTTGTGAGTGTTTGTAACAAGAAAACGATAGGGACAAGGGGGCATGTAGAGCAAAAGACAAGGGAGGTCGGGGACGATGGCGGTATCCACTTTTTAAACAGACGGAGGCCAGATGTTGGGCAGCCTCTCTCTCTCTCTCTCCAGCGGGCCGCGCAAACACCACCAGACAAGGATTTGCTCCGTGGTAATAAAAAAACGGCGAGCGGGAGGCAGTTGCGAATCCAGCTGGCATTGGAACATGCCAGAGGTCCAATTGCTCAGCCCGTGGCATCAGCAAAAAGCTGCTTTCGTTTATAGAAATTCCCGGTGTGACTATAGCGATAGTGCCCGAGAGATGGCCGGTCCAAAAGAGCACAGCCGTTCTGGGGAATGGCCAGTTGGGTTTTGGAGCGTGCTCGGGAGGGATGCATGAGTTTCGAGCAAGATAAGGTGACTCGTGAAAGCACTGTTTAATAGGACCATCTCCAGGTGAGCGTGCCGATCCAGCAATTGCCAAGGTGGAACGAATACCCACTGGTGATGCGAGATTGCAGAATAAGGCAAGTGGGAGAGTGGAGTGTCCGTCACCAGTGCTTAGCGATCAACGGTACGTGTCGGGAGAGAGAAGGGAAAAGGCAAGATGGCACGGTGTTCAATAGAAATCTCGGCAGCTGGGACTCAAGTGCTGCAAGCTCGCCCATTTCACCCCCCAAAAGCGCAGCCGAAAGCTGCATGTGGGATCTTCCAAGGAATTGGAATCTGCATCTTGTTGAAAAAAAGACCGTGCCCAAAATCTGAGTGCATTTAGCGAGTCACGATAAAAAATTATTGGGTATTGGCTTTTTGGGGAAGGCGCCATCTGGGCTTGTGACATCCTTTTTACTGCATTTCAACCCAACACGGGGACTCGCTAGCTTGACACAAATGGTGAAACTCGTTAGCGCTGAAGGCGCCGTCATTGACGTGGACCGCGACATCATCGAGCAGTCGGCACTAATCCGCAACATCCTGCAAGACGTCGGGGACACCGGCGAGCCGATCCCCGTGCCCAACGTCAGCGGGCCGATTCTCAGCAAGGTGATCGAGTACTGCACGCACCATCGGGACGAGCCCGAGCGGCGCATGCGCTCCGACACTCTGGGCAGCGACTCCGATCGAGGCGTCGATCCAGCGTGCGATCCGCCAAATGGACGAGTTCGACCACAACTTCTGCAAGGTCGACCAGGGCACGCTGTTTGACATTATCCTGGCCGCCAATTTCCTCGACATCCAGCCGCTGCTGGACGTTGCGTGTTTGACCGTCGCCTACATGATGAAGGGGAAGAGCGTCGAGGAGATCCGCAGCACGTTTAACGTGCAGAACGACTTTGATGAGGAGGAGGAGGCCAAGGTGCGGAGCGCTAATGCCTGGTGCGAAAATTAACCCCGATCTGATTAGTTTCCAGACAAATACTGAGCAACTCGTCAGTCAAGCAATCTTTCCTCAGCATTTTTTGTTGTTTCCCTCAATTTCCACAATATTTTTATTCTCATTTACAAACAGAATTCATTAAATGAGGCCCGCAGTGGACAAGTTCACGGTTTCGCGCGCGACCGAACCCGCAGTGCACCTTGGACCCAGGGCTGTTTTTGCCGGGCGAGAGCACCTTGTGGGCATCACAAAACTGCACCCTGCTGAGCGTGCCGCACCCTATCCACAGCCAGCTTGCGCTCTGCGCCCAAGGCATAAAGGCCACCGAGACGCTGTTAACGAAGCCAGTCACGAAGAAGCGACGAAAAGTGCGTGCAAATATGGACTACGGCCATAGGCCTTGATCGCGCGGCGTTTATCAACGAGACGCACGCGTCGTTCATGGCATTGCAGACGCAGATGGCAGAGAACACGGTGGACATGGCTGGGCTAGTGCGGATCAGCGCGCAGTACCGGGCCTGCGCTGTTGAGGCAGGTGGAAAAGGACCAGGTGTTTGCACAAATGCACGCCGTGTGGCATCTCCTGGAGGTCGTGTATCTGACGACCACACAACACGGGCTGGACAGCGCTGTCTCTATGCAGGTGCTCCAGTGGCTCAATGTCAATTTCCCAGTGCAGCTACCGGAGGAGTCGGGGCGGTCGGCCGCTGAGCTCGCCCGGAGCAAGCAGCTATGGGGAAACGTGGAGAGGATGGCAGGTGCGCGGACACAGTAAGCTCTGCTCTCGGATCTCCTGCAGAGGATCGCGCCGGAGCTGAAGGCGAGCAAATTGGCGCAACACCTGGCCACGGTGGCCCGGGAAATGCCGGTGATGGGTGTGGATGAAATGAGAGGCGAGTTTCTGATGCGGTGGCGGACGTGGAATTGCAATATGGCAGGTGTGGGGAAGGAGATTGCGCGGGCGCTTTCGGATGCACCTGGGGACGCAGAGCTTTTGGGCATGCAGCGAGCGGCTGCAGTGATGGCCGGTGATGGCGTATTGGCAGGCGAAGTCGTGGCAGGACGTGCTGAGGCGCCTGCCTATTGTACCGGGAACCGGCAGCACAGGCGGACCGGCTACCGGAGCTGACGCAACTGGCGGTGGCAGGAGTTTGAGGTATCGGATTTCACCGTGCTGGACCACGCGCTTATCGCGCTGCTGCAGCAGGACCTGCCGGCGTTCCTGGCGCGCAGCGACCAGATCGACGGATGGCTGGCAGCACACTCGGCGGACCTTCTGGGCCATCTTCGGATTCTGGACAGCTTCCGCAATGTGTTTGCCGAGGACCCACGCGCGTTCTATCTGCGCGCACTGGCCGACAGCTATTTGGTGTACGAGGAGCTGTGGCGCGTCGTTATGGATTATCTGGGGGCGGCCAATGCCACTGAGCAAATGCAAGAAGTGGCAATGCGGGTGCCGATGACGTCGGATCGCATGGCCCAGCAAGTCCTGGACGTGTGCGAGAAGCACAAGCTGCAGGAAGCCATGGAGCGGATTCTGCGGCAGCGCGCGCACCAGCAGTGGCGGCGCGGGCGGCGTGGCGCGGCAATTTCAGATTTTGCCCAGGCCAACGACGATATCCAGGTGGCGGCGGTGTGCAATGAACTGTGGCAGGAGTACCTGGAGAGCGGCCAGCTGACATATGGATCGGCCATAGACGGCGTGCTGGGTGTGGTCCACCCACGGGTGCAGTTTCTGGCGCTTTACCGTGATTTCCACGAGGCGTATGTGAAGCGCGAGCTGAAAGTAGCGGGCAAGGCGCTGCTGGAAATTTTGGTGGGAGAATTGGCGCCCCGGGATGCCTGTGAAGGACCTATTGGTGGACGCGGTGCCGTTGCTGGAAGGCAATGAGATGGTGTTTGGGGAGCAGGAGACCTTGGAGATTATGCGGTGTGCGGAGCAGGTCCGCCAAAGCGGCCAGGAGGAGCACAACAGCGAGCTGGCGGTAGTCCGAGCGGCGTGCTGCGCGCAACCTGGCGCGGGCGATGTTGTAAAGCTAAAGCTGTGGAGGATGAAATCTCTATATATGCTTCTATAGTCCAATCGTCCGCTAGAATGTTTTTGAGTGGGCTGGGAACGACTCAGGCTCTTTTGAGCCTCGCAGTGGAGTATGCATGACTCACTCTCTGAACACCTAAAACAGGACTCTCTCTTTTGGCTAATGGATTCAGATCCTAAGGTGTCAAATATATATCTGAATAGCACTGGAAAATCGAACATTGAACCATATATCAAAGCCCCATTCATCTCAGGTCCTTCGCATTTTGTAGGTCCAGCAGTGCCAATAATCGAGTTACTCAATTTCCGCATCCTCGCCGCTCAGAATTGGAACCGCTGGCTTGCCGCAAAACTCCGGAGCAAGTTCGGTCCAGACTCCAGTGCTGATCATGGGCAATTGGAGTGCGCCGATGGCCCGGCACCATGTGCCAATTCGTGGCAAGGGATGGCGCGACAAGTTCAAGCACCATGGCTTTGAAGTCTATCTGATCGACGAATTCCGGACATCGTCGGATGTGCCCGTTCTGCTGCGAAAAAGTCGCTGCAGACATTCCGACATGTTCCCAATCCGCCGCCCTACCAGAGATCGAAGAACCCAACTGTGAAGTGCCATGGCCTTCTCCGCTGTACAAGCGAGTCATGTAAGCAGGCCATGGCACAATACAGGCGAGCCTATTCGTCTCGGCTCTTGAACCGCGATCTCGCAGCAGTTCTAAACTTCAGGGCTCATTTTCCAGTCACTCTGTGATTCAGGCAGTATTCCTGAACGGTTCCGTCGCTTCTACGGCCATTGTTGCCGATGCTTCTGGCACCACCCCTGGAAACAAAGAACCGCGCAAGAGGCGTGCAAGCAGGCGGTTCTGCTGTCAGCAGCAGCGACCAGCCTGAAGCGCCTGCACTGAGCAGGCCATCAAGATAGGAGATGTCCATGATAGACCATTGCACCAACAACCATCCGACACATTCAAATGACCGGTTCGCCGTGATGCTCTTATCGACGTGTCAACTCATGCTGACTAGCAGCCGAGCTCACATCACGAGCAGAGTAATTCTAGTAGCCTTCTGTGATGTTTCAAAGAGAACTAAAATGTTCATTGTAAATAAATAGCCGTGCTCTTCATTAATTTAGCTCCTTGCGGTCATCCACCAGTGCCTTGACAGCTTCCTTGATCTTGTCATAGAACCAACGGCGGCTCTGGGCATCGGCAATGGGAATGAAGGGACCGGGCGGGGCGCCCTGGCCGTCGGGCAGAGCGGGTAGTTTGAGTGAAATCCCGCCAGCCTCCAGCTGGATGCTATGCAGGCTCTTGATATCCTGCTCCCACTCGACCTGGGCCTTGGCGGCATTTGACGCGCTGACGCCGATGGCACCAGTAGCCGAGCCGGTCTCGATTGATGACCCGGCGGCACCCACAGCCATGCCGGCGTCATCGGGTTTGGCGCGCCTGAACATGACCAAACGCTGGTATGTCAATAGCACAACCATGTCCGACCCAGGCAGCTCCAGATGGGCCAAGTACGAGTCGTATGCGTACGCGCCCTTTCTGAGCTCGCGCATCCAGGCCTGGCCCAGGGCCTCGCGCTCGGAGTATATGGCGAGGATGCCGTCTTTGCCGATATGGCGTGGTAGGCGGAGGCGGTCGAGGTCACGCTCAAAGAGCGTGGTGGTGTTGCGGATCCCTTCGGTGACGTTGGAGGCCAGGTCGAACATCCCAATCATGGGCTTGGTGACGACACCGACGAGGCCCTTGCCGACGCCCTTGAGGAAACCGCCCACCCCCTCCTGCTCGGCTCCCTCGATCGGCCGCATGACAACGCCGGCCAAGCCCGATCCAACGCCTTTGGCCAACGACTCAGCGCCGCGGGCTACGCCGTAAATCGCGTGTTTGGGCTTATTGCGGACGCGGTTAAGCGTGCGGGCGCTCTGGAACTGCGGGTCCAGGGTGGCTGCCGACAGGCCCTTGGAGACAGAGTCGGTGAACTTGCTGAAACTGTCAGTCATACCGAACACAGTCTTTTTGAACAACGACGCGGTGCCGCGGGCCAAGCCGAAGCCAAAATCCTGCGGCCGGTCGCTCATGACAAAGCCCTGATAGGGCTCGTAGAAGAAGTCGGAGACACCCGAGCTGATGTTGTTGAAGAGACCGACCGGGTTACCCAGGAGATTGGCGCTGCCGACGACCTTGTAGACCTGAGCAAAGACCTCCTGCGAATAGTGCTTGTACATGCGGTCGCTGAGAATAGCCATAGAGACGCGCACATTTTGCATGATCAGTGCGTTCAGATACACGGGCGCTTCGTTGACATTGCCGATGGCCATGGTCAGTACGTTAGTGGCGTAGGCGACTACACCGGGTGTGCTGGCCACACCTTCACCCGCCTGCTCGGCGCTGCCAGTCATAGCCAGGCGCGAATTGTAGCTGGTGATGCTCTGGGCCTGGCGCGCGGTCGGGTCGCCGCCAATGTCCAGGCGCTGTGTGCGCATAAACGAAATGTTCAGCTTGAATGGCTGGATATGCAGGAACTCAAAGTACAGCTGCAGGCCCTCGTCCAGTGCTGACACCTCGGGGATGCCTGAGTCCAGCATGCGCGCGATACCCTGGCTTGGCGTATCACCTGGCGTATCAAATTTGACGAAATCCAGCAGTGCATACAAAAAGTCCTCGTCGAGTTCCACCGACAGCTCCTGGGCCAATACCGAGGCATACTTGAAATACTCGACGCCATACGAGTTGTCCTTGGCACGCACCACCACCGCTTGCAAGGCCGGCGGGGTGGCGGTGCCGGGCGTGGCCACGCCCAGTGTGGTCGGGTAGAGCACAATCGGATACAAGGCGCCGTAGATCTGGTTGTCGATCTGCACCCATTTGACAGTCAGCCGGGCAGTCTGGTTCGACGTCGAGTCGGTGAGCTTGAGCTCGACATCAGACAGGGTCGCGAACAGGATCTCGCTGGCGTACTTGTTAATCAGAGACACGCCGATGCCGCCCTCGAGGCCGAGGCGGAACACAAAATTTGTCTTTTCGTCACCGCCCACAACCTCAAACCGCTCCTCATTGCGTTTGGTCACCGACGACTCGGACGAGGTGGTCTGGGCGGTCGGGGTGCGAGATAAACGGCTCGTGGACTGCACACGGCTCATCTGCGGCATATAATGGCTGTCAGGCGTGTATCCGGTCAGCTTCAGGACCTGGCTGGGGCCGGATGCCACGACATCGACATTCATGGTAGTGTGAGCCAGCGCATTGGCCACAGTGGCCGGCGACGCCCCGCGCCTGGGCGGCAATGCCGGCTTGGCAAACTCAAACGGCGTCTGCTCGCCAATCTCCTGCAGACTGATCCGCCGGGTCTTGCCCAGAGCGCTAATGACCAGCAGCTTGCGGGCTGCTGTTGGCTGGTCCCACGCATACTCCAATGTCTGGCCGGCCATGACCTTGTAGCGCTTCTCGCTACCATCGGATACGTCACGGGCCGGCGAACCCGTCGGCGATGGAATACGGCCGACTGCATCGTTTGGCCGCTGGTCGGACGACACGCGCTCGCGGTACTGCCACACGGTTATGTCCACCTCCGTGTTATTTTCGATGCGGAACGGCCAGTACCGCGTCTCTTGCTGCAGGATCACGAATAGGCAGGCGCCTTCCATCACCACATCCACCTTGGCCAGGATCTCGCCGTGGGCGGTGGGCACACGCACGAAGATGCGGCCAATGTCGTCGATGCTGAAGGGAGCTGACCACGCGATATCGCTTACTTGTGCTGCTCCTCCATCCTCTGGCGCACACGCAACCGTCAGCAGCCGCCGCCGCGCCTTGTACATAGTATGCAATGGCTGGCGCTCGCCGTCATTGATACGCACCGACGAGTCGGTGTTGTAGACTGTGCGGTACTGCAGGGCCAGGCCCGACTGGTTCTTGACCACGTACCGCGATGAGAACGTCACCACGCGTGTATGCGAGTACCGGCCCAGGCCTGGATCAATCTCAATACCGAAATGCATATCGGAAATGCCGTCGGTGGCCGGGATCGAGAACTCTGAGGCACTGCCAATGGCGTCAAAGCTTAATGGCTTGCTCCACTCGCTGTTGCCGGCCCTGACCAGCGCGCGGTTCCGCAAATCATACGACCCGAACGAGAACATCAGCGGCCGTGCGGAATCGGAGCTGGGCGGCTGTTCTCTGGTAAAGTCGTTGGTGGAGGGCAAAAGCCGGCTGGCCAGCGAGACTGGCTGCGGGCGGTTGCCCGAGATGTTCTGGCCGGCCACAGCCATGATGCCCTTGAAAAAGCTCTTGCTGGAGAAAAACAATGGCAGGCTGGTGCGGTTGACCATCACATAGGGTGCGTAGATGCTGATGCGACGGCAGCGCCCGCCCGAGTTCGGAATGTCCATGCGGTGCAGCTTCAGCAAAAGCCGCAGCCCGTCGCGGTCGGTCATGGCCACGTCATTGTCCACCGGATACTCGTCCTCGTCAGGGCTCTCGATGATCGTGCCGTCGCAGTGATCAAACCCAGCCTCGGGGATCTTGATGCTCAGCAATACCAAGTGCCCGGGCTGCACGGCATGCACAGCCGCCGTGCCGCCGTACTCAAGCGAACTGACCCACCGCCGGTTGGCCGTCTTGTCAACCACAATAAAGTTGATTGGATATGGCAGCAGATTCTCGATCTCCAGCGGCGGCGTCATCACCAAACGCATGAACGGGTACTTGTATAATGCCGGGTTGCGGGCATCGCACAGGGCGTTGAAGTGGATGAAGAATGGCACCACGTCGCTGCGCGCAATTTTCGCGTTCTTCCCGCCTACATACACGTCGTTGGCGGTCAAGGTGCGGGTCGGCTCGGCGGTGCTGGGCAGGCAGCAGAGTTCGGTGCGTGCGTCTTGGCCGAGGAAGTCACGCCAGAAGATATACTGCGACGACCACGCATACCCGAAACCCTTGCTCAGGCCGTGCCCGCACCGCATACTGGTGGCAAAACAGCAATGGCAGCGGCAGATCCTCGCCGGGCTGGATCACCGCCGCATCCGTGCGCATCTCCCCGCGGTAATCGCACATCGCCACCTCCATAGCCACGCGCGTCTGGTTCTCGACCACCAAAGGGCTACGTAGGGTTACCCTCTTAACCAGATTGGCAGCGTCCAGGCTGACCTCCACTGCCAGCCGATGCAGGATGCTGTCGAGCGCCGGCTGCAAAGAATAGTATTTGACGCCCTCACGGTCCACCTGCACGCGCCGTAGCCACTCCCACTGGCCGTTGGCAAACTGGATCCCTAAGGTGGATGCGACTTGACCTCGAGCTGCTCGCGGCGCCGCCGCCAGTCCTCGAACCGCCACGGAAGGCTCGAGCCGTCCCGCAATAGGACGGGTGTTGTATCGATGCGCTCGGTGCGCGCATTAGCGCCCTCAGGCAGATCCACCCACACATGACAGTCAATGCCGGTCCGGTTAATCAGCACATACGGCATGCGTTCGCCCGTGGGCTTGGCAGTCTCCTTTTGCTTGGCGTGCTTGTCCATCTCGTCGTTCCACTGGTACAAAAGGCTCAGCGTCTCCTCGATGAACGTGTGCGATGCGTTCACATGCAGCCGATCCGCCGAGTTGATGTCGATTTTCTGCGACCCGCCATCCGCCTGCTGCATGTTTAAAGCGCACCTCCACGGCTCAATAAACGGCTCCCAGTGCGAGTTGCGTCGGTTAAAGTACGATGCTTGCAGCTGAAGATCCGACTTGATCCGCATGGCAATGCTCCAGTCAGAAATATCTACGTGGAACCCCTTCGCCGTGCAGCCGTACACTGGCAGGCCAAAGATGTCCCGGATTACGACGAACCGCAGCGACGCCACCGTCACCCGCATCGTCTCTTTGATTATTCGCGCCGACGGGTTTGGAGTCGTGGGAAGCATTGCGCGTCGAGCTGCCACTCACCGATCCTTCCACTGGCTGCGACTGCACATCCGTCCTGCCCAGGCTGGAGCCCACCTCGTGCTTGTCAGTATCCGCTGGCTCCTCGGCCTGCTTGTACATCAGCTCCATTGCATGGTTGAAGATATCGAGCATCAGGATAGCGTCATTGATGCCCACACGTAGCAACAGGCTGCCGACATCAACCGAAATGTCCGTGACAGAGTGTGTCGGCACTCCCTTGACGATATCGCCGGGCGTCACACGCTGGTCCATGGTGGTGATGACCGTAAACGGATCCATAACACTGCGGGCTGTCTCCTTGCGCCGGTCGATGCTGCAGAGCGATACGCCGATCTCGTCTATCGTCGTGCAGAACATACCCTCCTGGGCCACAATTATCTGGCTGATCGACAGAACCAGAGCCTCCGAGCTGCGGCTGGTCGGGTCGGCCAGCAGAATAAACTCAGGGTGCAAAACATCCACCTTGTAGATCAGTCCGCCGGTCGACTCAAAGTCGCTGCTGGGCATGTCTCCGCTTGGCCTTTGCTTTTGCTGTTCGGGCGCCTGCTGCGGGAACACACTCATTACAAAGCCCACCAGAATGAACACGTGGTCGAGCACCAGCACCACGCGCGGACTGTCGAGCGTCAGAAGCAGAACCATGTCCTGGTTCGGCCGCATGTCAATGTGGCAGATCAGCTGCGGGCTGCTCGCATCCTCGTCCACCGGCCCATCCCTGGCCATCGCATGCATGCTGCTGGCCACATGCGCCCCGTCCTCTGCCTGCTGCCCGTGCCTGCCTTCAGTCGTCGGGCTGATAAGCTGTGTGAACTGGTTCTGCGTCCCTGGTCTAGTATCGTAGGCCCGCACCGCATTAATCGCAAACTCCGCCTTGCTATCGCCATTCGCCTTGGCCCGGTACTTCACCGACAGCCCGTTGATGTCGGCACGCGTGAACGACGCCCGCTGGATCGAGTCCAGATGGAACCCACTGCCCTGGAACAACTCCAGCTGGATCGTCGACAGTGTCACATACAAATCGATAGTCGCGTAGCTGCCCAGTGCATCGTCGACATCGGGCGTGCGTGCCGCCTGCCCCAGGTTCTCCAGCGCCTTCTGCGCATTCTCCGCATTGCTGGTGGCCGGGTTGTCGCGCAGAATCGACAGATCCAGGACCTTGTCGTTGATCAGCGGATCAGCTACTGCCGGCGCATTGGGGTCGTTACCGAATACCCGCGCGATGACCCCCAAGAGATCATAGATGACCTTGTACTGGAACTCGGTCAGCCGCATCTTCACTGGGCTCAGCGTGCCGATCAGCTCGGTCACCGGACGCATGCATCCGGGGATATGCCCGTCAATCAGAATATGCATGTCCATACCGAAATCAACGTCCTCCAGAATCTGCAGTTCCTGGCGCTTCGCCTTGCCCAAACTGCATGTGCTCGGCCGAGTCGGTCGAGAACATCGACGTGATGCCGATTCGCCGCAAAGCCAGTGAAATACGGTTGATGTCCCAGTCCCGGTCCATCTCACGCACCGTCGTGAATTCGTTCGAAATTGACAGTTCGCCCGGCTGCGCTACCAGCATATCCACTGCCAGGCCCTGGCCGCCGTCCGCTGCATACGGCATGAAGCCGTCGCGCGGGAACGCAATCACCGGCGCCGACATCACCACATCGAAATGTACTTTCTGCCCCGTACCAATCATCTCCTCAGTCAGCTGCGACGTCCCGTAGGCAGCCGCCTGCCGCGCTGCCTCAAACAACCCGTGCATGGCCGAGAACCGCGATCCAAAGAGCATCAGCTCGCGGATCGGCCGCTCGACAAACGTCAGATGTGCAGCGCCCACCCGCAGTTTCACTGCACTATTGTGGCCCGGGAACCCAGCGCTGTGCGGGTCGAATGTCTGGTATCTGAAGTCCGCCAGCTCATCACCCTTCACGTACAGAAGGAGCCGGTTCGGGTCAATCTCGTCGTGCGTCTGATGGTGTCCACCCAGCGCTCCGGTAGCTGCCGGCACCGTATCGAGCTGGTCCACTAACATGATGTTGCCAACTTTGGCTTCCACGACGACCTCCTCGGTGACAATCACCCGCACCGCTGCCGCTGTGACCGACAGCAAGGCCACCGGCAGCCCGTCGTCGTGGCAGAGACTGAAATCTGTCCCCTTGAGCCGCACGTCGACCCGGATAGTATCCAGCGCCTGCTGCAGCAGCGAGTCGACCATCTTGTCGCTTTGCTCAGATGCTCCGTCATCGACATTGCTGAGCTGCTGCCCCGCTCGCTGTTCTTCTTCTCGTCAGTGAAATGTCTTCAGGATGAAGTCGTAGCAGGTCAGAATGGTCTTGCGCACGACCATCAGATCCAGGTACGAGACCTCAACATCGACCGTCTGCCCGATGGACTCGTAGGTGGTTGTGAACTCCGGATGGTCGCCCTGGCAGCGGTGGTACTTCACCACAACCAGATTCTTGTCCGTCTCCCCATTCACATCTGCCTGTGCAATGTCCGATGTCAACGCATAGACATGTGGGGAGCCAGCCATCCCGCCCAACATCAGGTGGTCTTCAACTGTGATCTGGTGGATTGTGACGTCCGCTGACAAGTCAAAGGGACGATTGACTACCTCAACTGCAAACCCCGTCACTGCAATATCCGCTATGTGCAGATCGTCCCTGCCGTCGTCGTGCGTGCGCCAGATAAACCCAACCAGGTTATCCACAGAGAACGTCACGCGCACCAGCGGCCGCTCCGGCTCCTTGCCGACCTTGCGCCTGCCCTCGCGGTTCTTTTTGCGCCGCAGCGTCCCCTGCCGCCTCGCCATCAGTAATGGCATCGGTGGTCTCGAAGAACTCGTCTACTGAACCGGCATCGTCCGAATCCGACTTTGCATCGTCAGAGTCTGCCTGCAATGCCATTGCTGGATCATCAGATCTGTCAGGAACCTCAGAGATACGGGAGAAGATCCCACCGGCCCCAAAAGCCGTCGGCTGCACATGCGGGCTGCCAGCCTCGTACTGCCCGGTGAGGTCCGGCTCGTCTTCGTTCAGGGCCTCAACAATCAGATCAATTGTCGACATCACCGCCTTGTACTTGCGGTCCGAGAAAAACACCTGCAGCGATGGCAGGCTGCCGTCAAGCGTGACCTTGGGCATGTGCATTGGCGGCTCGGGCAAAATGCACAGCCCGAGGTCAAAGCTGAGCTCAATCTTGTCTACCACATGCAGCTTAGTGTCGGCCGCGCCGCTGGTCAGCGCCCGCATACACGCCTGCAGGTCGTTACCTACCAGTAGCTGGGTGCTATGCAGCTGCATATCAAAGTGGTCGTACATCAGGCTCTCGAGCTCCTTCATTTCCTCAGGCGACAGCACAATGCTCTCCTTCTGCCGAATGCGCTCCATCGTGACCTGGTCAACCAGCTGCGACTCCACTGTAAGATATCCAGTATCGAGCACCACCACCTGACTGTGCGGGTCCGTGACATTCTGCGGGATTACAAACACAGGCGCATCGAAATCCACCTTCACATCGACCGTCTTGTGCTTTGCCAGCGCATACTCGAGCCCCGCCCGCGTCTGGTCGCGAAGCCCTGCGACTGACTTGGAGGCTGCCGCAATCAGCGCGTGCATGGACTCGGCCGAGGCGCTGGACGGCGGCTCGAAAAAGTCCATGATCGCCTTGGCCGCCGTCGGGTGGTACACCACGTGCAGCGACTTGACCTTCATGTTGAGCATAGAATCTGCATGCCCATCCAGGGGGTCCTTCTCGAAATGCACCTTCATGAATGGATCCTGGACGTTGTTCGAGTCGTGCTCCAGCAGCGCCGCCATGCCTCCCGGTGCATCAGCCACCGCTGTTATCACGTCGTGCATCCCAGACGAGTCGCTGTCGAGCTCCCGCGCATCGGGATTCAAGTATATCATCTTCGGGTATTGCGTCCCTGGTAGAGTGCCATCGACTACCTCGAACCGATGCATGGAAACGTCGGCAACGATATTCTGCGGGCGCTGCAGCAGATCAACCTTCAGCAAGTCATAGAAGATACCCATCAGCGTGTGGTCACGGTTCTTGCGGTCCACCTTCAGCTTCAGAGATCCCGATCGCAGCAGGACAGTGGCCGCGAGCTTAATCGTCTCCTTTGGTAGGTCATACTCGGCATCATCGACCAGGTCCTCGTTGAACTCGATCGTATCGTATAGCTCCTGCACCTGCTTCTCTGATAGCTGGGTGTCTTCGGCATCGTTCAGGCTTTCAGCATTGGCTTGCGTCTGCCCACCAGCAGCTGTGCCGCTACCGCCTACCCAGCCGCTGATCCAGCTGCCAACCCATCCAGAAACACCAGCACCCGCTGTACCTGCAGCTGCACCCTTGGTCACTACCACTGCTTCCACCACTGAGCAGCCCGCTCTTGCGCCGGCGGATCTCACTACGCATCTTGCGCATTTTGGCCTCCGCTAAAGCCCGATAGAATCGGATGTCCTGGTACGACAGTGATCGGTGGAGCTGGTCCAGTGCCGTCTGGTCCACCTTGGGCAGCTTGCTGTTGACCTTAAGCGTCGTATACGTGCGCAAATACAGCAGCCTGTCATCCCTGCGCTTCTTCTGGAACTCCCACGTGCGACGGTAATTGAAGTCGTGGATTTCGTCGTAAACACTGCGCATCGCAAACAGCAGCCACGCCTTCGGGTCATCCTTTGGCCTGATGCCCGGAGCCGGCCGGTGCTGGCGATACCGGCGCTGCCGCATTGCGTAATCAAACGAGGTGGTTAGCAACAACGCGTCCACGTACTGCTCGTCATCGAGCTCAAATGCCAGCTGGTCGAATTCGAAATTCGCCATGGTGCGGATCTCGTCGGGGCCCGCCCGCCTATTCATCGTCAGCTTGCCGCTTCCAACAACCGGCCGGAGAATCGGCTCATGGCGGTCCGCTGACCCAATCGCCGACGCAAACTGCTCCAGCAGCTCGCTTTGGCTCAGTCCCTGTAGTGTCTTGCAGTCTGTGTCCCAGTACATCGAGAAGCGCGCCAGCTTCAGCATCTTGCGTATCACGCTGCCCGAGTCATGGATGAACGTCTCGCGCCACTCCTCATCGGTCGACACTGCCGAGAGCTCGCCCAAGGTCGCTCCTACAGCGAACATGTGCTTGGGGTTGCTCTTGTCGTCCTCATAGCGCACATGGATGTTCTTGATTACTATCTGGAGATTGTCGACAATTTTCGCCACCAGCTGCTCGGTGAACGATGCCTGCTTGCGCTCGTCCTCATTCACACTACCGCTCTTAAGGCGCTGGTGCTCTTTGACCAGCTCGTCTTGCTCCAGCTTGTGCATTTTACGCACATATTCACGCTCGTCTTCCTCTTCGGCATTAAAGTCCTCTTGGAACCGAGGCGTGGCAAGAAGAAACACGTCGTCAATGCTTATGCGAACTGGCGCCCCCTTGAGGTTCGACCAGGGAATCGAGATCGTCAGCGTGCCAAGCCAGCCCTCCTTCACGTCTATCGGTAGGTGGAGCTTGTCCAGCGCGTCTGTCTTCAGACGGAGCTTCTCAAGTTTGACGTCACCTACACAATAAAAAAGGTGCCTTTTAACCTCTGGGCTGCATTCCCTTCCGTATGCGCTCTTCAGAGCTCAACTGGGTTTTACCTTGCCAAATTCCAAGCTTCAGCTGGTTCGTCTCGAGATTCGTGACATAGTTGCCCAGGAACCTGTTCAGCACTGTAGCAACAACACCCTCAAACATGGTCGAAATCTGCTAAATACGCGTATTTCCGTAAGTAGGCAAGTTAGTCAGGTTAGAAATGGAAAGTTTAAAAAGAAAAAACAGAGTGGCAGCAAGAAAAGAAGAGCAAAAATCAACCCAGCATGGGGCAGCTGGCAATTTACAACCACGCATATCTTCTCGCCGATGATGACGTCTTCAGTGTGTAATCAGCACCGCAGTGACAATATTTGTGGGCACTGAGGGCCCAACTAGGGCCGATATGGGAATTCGTCTAACCCAACTCTTAGTTTCTCTTCTGAAGAAAAGAACCCCGATATCAAACCGAGGGCAAATACCTTGCGGTGCAAAGTCCTGTTAACGACAATGTCAACTTCGCCTCAGATGCTAATTTGGTCGCAACAGGATAAAATGACAGTGTGGTTCTGCAGCGATCTGAGAACCACATTGACTCGAATTCGCGCCGTCTTCTTGAGCTTTGTTGTGTGCCAGGCAAAGAATAAATCAGCCACTGCCCGGCATCCATATAGATGCCACTCTGCTTCACTTTTTGATTGCTTTTCTTTACGTTTTAACAGATAGCATTGGGAACGGCTATTAGGATGAAACGCTTGCAGACAGGAGTCCTGCACTACATGTAGCTTTCGCTAGGGCACCAGCCTGAGAACCACACGTCCAGTTGAGGCTAGAAACCACCCCCTTTACAGTGTACAACACACTTGCTGATAGGTCCGCCTGCTGAACACCTGCAACAATTGGTTGCGTGGTTTTCTCGAGTATGAGAAAAATTTAGTAAATATATCGGAAAAGTCAAACGAGAAACAGCACTGAGGACAGCGGCTATGTCTGTTTCAGCCTAGCCAGAGACATCAAGAATCTGAATTCAAAAATAGCCACATGGAGTGGGCAGGTATGAATGAAGGATTCAAACACCATGTGATTAGCTGTTAAATATAGCCATCAAGACTGCAGCTATTTACATTATTGAATCTATCACTTTTAACGTGGCACTTGAAATGAATAATATCGATAAAGTTGAAAATTTTGAATACTAATCTGAAAAATAGTCCCCTGGTGGTTAAGTATCACTCAGTCCAGTTCTCGATAAGGGGCCTTTACAGCATGCAACTCATATGCCGGTGGTGCAAAGGCCGCCCTGCATAGGTGCGGATATTTTGAAAGAGCTAGACTTGGCTGACTTCGAGTTTACCATCTGCTGAAGCGATTCAGTCGATCCACAAATCCCCCAAAACTGCAGCTGGCGACGTTGGCACTGGATAGACAGCAATGTTAACGAGTTGGGCTATGTCAGTGATGTCGACTATTGAGGTTCTGTATCTAATGAACATGGACACCAGCAATCCTCAAGGGTCAAGACACCATGCGTCTGAGATCAATAGCTGCACTCTACACCCTGCTGCTGGCCAGTATCTTCAATTCTACCAAGCGAACCGGGATTACCAGTGCTGGCAGTAAACTCGATAGAGAAACCCTTGCGGTGTCTGACGAAGCCAAAAAAGATACAGATGCTTTGAAAGGGACAGACAGGGACCGGATTCAACGCATGGAGACTAGGCCGTCTGGCAACCGCATATATCCGGGCTTCGATTTTGATGACCCGGGTCTGATATAGCGTCAGATTTGAAGGCTAGAATAAGAGTGAATATATCCAGCAAGTTTCACCTTGAGTCTGTGTTCCAATATCAATTATTCAACATTTGCAATGCTAATATGAACATTGCTGCTTACAAGTGGTGTGTGTGTGTGTGTGTGTGTGTGTGTGTGTGTGTGCTGCATACATATCCATGCTTGCTTCTTTCTTGCGTATTATGCCCCCTGCTCGTAAGTACACTCAACTGCTTGCTCGCCCAACAGCTGCCCCTGTTTCCGACCAACGTTTTTGCGGTTGCGTATTTGAAACCACCGAAATTAATAGTAGAATACCAGGCAAATACAGACATTCCTGTGCTACTTTAGTGTGTAAATTGCATGGGCACTAGACCGAATGTGGGGCTGCCACTGCCGAGCTTGCACAAAACACAGAACAAGGAGGCTGCAGGGAATTGAAAATAGCAGCCTATCCGCTTTTAATTCAGGTTTGTATCTCTCAGTGTCTTCAACCAGAGATGGAATTGCTAGGCTGACAAGCGAGATTTGCAAAAAAAAAAACTACAACCGAGTAATGAAAGCCTTGGCTCTGCAGCAAATGGTGGCGCATATGCAATGGATCATTTCTAGGAACTCGGTTGAGCACCGAGCCGATGTTATATTTGTGCGCCCAAGCAGGGAAAGCTCTGATGGACTGCACGCAAAGGAACCTAAAACCCCAGCGAGACCCGGATTTTCTGACATCATATTCTGCAAGGCTCTATGATTGTCTTTGCGGACGACCCCTGCTGCTTTTTTTTACTTTGTCCCGTCTTTATTATGCTGGAACATGGCTCTTTGTGTGGCACGCAGTGCTCCCACATTCCAGGTATGTGGTGGGTGGAAAGGCAAGTCAGAGCACCCACCAGTGCCAAGAATAAATCACCCAACTCAAGTGTTCTGACGTATTTTTAGATGTTTTTTGTTTTGCGGGCGAATCCATACCCGCGTGCAATCTCCACCACATTCCGCTCAGCGGCCCCTCTTGCGCGCAACCAATTGGGCTATTTGCTCACACTTGGATCCCCTCAGCACCTTGCGGAGCGCACGTTGCACACGAATATTTAAACACCCTTTGGTCTTGAAGGAACTCGCCTTTTTGTTTTTGTTTTCAACTCTCGCATTATTTTTTTTACATTCTTTATGATAATGAAGGCCAGTCTTGTCCTGCTCCTCGCACTTACATCAGCTGTGGTTGGATCCACGGCACCAGCACGCATCGCGCGACTCCCAGCAGAGCACAAGCGCATGCCCCAGAACAGCAAGCGCAGCAGCAAGGAGTGCAACGGCTACTCTGAGCTGTGTGCCAAAAAGTACAGCGATGTTGCGTTTGCCACAACGCATAACTCGTATGCACACGGGGACAACATTGCGGCAAATCAGAATCACGATATCAAGACGCAGCTGGACGCCGGAGTGCGCGCGTTCATGCTTGATATTCACTTGCAGAGCTCACGGAAGCTGAGCAGACGCGATGCGACCCTGATAGGCGCCAGCAACCCGGCGCCAGCAGCCACCAGCAGCGCCTCTGGCTCGTCGTCCTCGGATCCGTACCTCTGCCACACGACCTGTATGCTTTTGAACGACGGGCCGATGGTGGATGAGCTGAAGAACTTCAAGACCTTTATGGATGCCAATCCGAACGAGGTCATCACGATTTTCATTGAAAACGACGATAACTTTTCTGCCAACCAAATTGGCGCGCAGTTTACCTCGGCCGGGCTCGATTCGATGGCCTATGCGCCCTCGAACAACACTGCATGGCCAGCGCTCGAGTCTATGATCAGCTCCAACAAGCGCCTAGTGGTCTTCACCGACGTCCGTACTGACACCACGGCTGTGCCCTGGCTGCTGTACGACAAGGACTATGTGGTTCAGACATCGTTTGAGGTGCCCGTCAACACCCAGTTCACGTGCGCGCCGAACACAGCTGTGCGTCCGCTCTGGGTGATGAACCATTTTGTTTACGCCAATTACCCATTTGGAACGACGCAGGTGCAGCGGCCAGATCCCAGCTCGGCATCATCAGTGAATACCGAGTCGAGCATTCTGGACCAGGTGAACCTGTGCCAGGAGGCTGGCCACTTCCCGAACTATGTCACTATGGACTTTTATGATGTCGGCGATGTCTTCAAGGCCGTGGCTTCCATCAACAAAGTTTCCTACAAGAGCACATCTACCAGCACGTTTGCCAGCGATAGCCCCTCAACAACCAGGACGTCGGGTGCTGCGAGCAGCAGGCTGCTCAGCGCAAGGCTCGCTGCTGCTGCTGGCGTCGGGATTCGCTGCGTTTTACTAGACTCTCCCTTCTGCGAGCTATTCATTTTGTGGTATGGAAGAATACAGTTCTCTCACTATTCTGCAGCCAGTCTGAATTCCACAGTGGAAACAAGCTATTTATGAAGGCACTTTTTGGCACTGAGAGCTCATCCTTTTTTTTTGAGCAGGAATCAGCCTCCCAGCCTTTGCGCCTTTCAAAAAACGCTCTTCCCCCTACCCCCTCTCCCGCTGCACGCTTTTTTTCTACCCTCTATTATAATATTCTCATTGTACCAAATGCAAGACGCAGAGCAGCTTCCCACCACATTTGCCAGCCCTATGGCTGTCGACATTGCACAAAGCCCGCAGCCCGCCGAAAAATCGACCATATCCATGTCCGCACCCACTATGCTGAGCCGCATCGCCACGCCAGCGCCCATGCTCTGGGTCACCACACAGCCGCGACCCACGGCCTTCCAGCACTCGCGGTTCCGGCACCAGCGCACACTCAGCATGCAGGGCATTCCGAACACTCCCGGCAGCGCCGACTCATCCACCAGCTCCTGGGACTGCAGCATGCCAGACGCGACGACGCACGCGAGCATCTCTTGCAGAAAGCGCGAACCGCAGCATCACCCAGGGACTGCCAATCGACCCTGACACGCTGGATATGGACGACTCGGACGACGCCGATATCGATTCCACCATGGACGACTGGGACAACAGCGGCGCGCAGTCCATGGTTGACGGGATGCTGGGCGTCAAGCGCGAGGAGCCACCGGCGCTCGCCCGCCGCATGTCGCTGAATGTGCCGCGAAACAAGGCCTTTGTGAGGCTGCTGAGCCTGGTAGAGGAGGACCGGCCGCTGGCGGCGGAGATGGCACACGAGGCCCAGATTACCAGGACGATGCGGCACAATAACGTCCACGAATGGCTGAGGTCGCCGCATCAGGACGAGACGAGACGGAGGGCGTCACGTGCCAGTTCAATGACTGTGTCGCCTGGCAGCCCAAATTTGATGTCCACCAGCTCATCAAGCAGCTCCCAGCCGATGTCAGCAAAGCGGAAAAGAGACGATAGTGGCTCGGCTCGTGCCGAGTCCGGCTCGCCCTGGCCCCCATCCGTACAAGCGAATCGCAATGTCGCCGTCTGGGCTACGGGCCCAGATCTCGGTTCGCAGCGGGAGCTCGTCGACGCCGTTGCGGACCGGTCGCATTCCCAAGCCAAGGGAGCTATTCGCCAACCATGACTGCTGGTGCATGTCCTGTCATCAGCACCAGGACCCGATCGCGGAGTGGCGTGTCTGTGGCCAGCGTTGGCGGGTTCAGTCGAATGAACATCAGCGACAAGATGGACGACGACGATGCCGCAGACGCCTAGTGAAACAACCTATTTTCTACTGTAACTATAGACGCCATCCTACCCTCACCAGCTTTTTCCAAATATATCTCCCATCGCACCCTCTATCCAGTGGATCTGCTTTTAAGTGCTCGAACCACCTTCTTCTAACGGCACCTCGGCCCGCCAGTCATCGGCCGGCTTTTGGGAAGGATTGGATACGCAGCTGTTTTACACACGGGCCCGGGTAAGCTGTGTGCGATAAGATGTTTTCTCGAAGCTGCGCGTAATGGGCACCAGCACAGCATGTGGTTCCTGCCATTCCAGCGTATGCCGCCCCTTCTGACAATCACCCGGGCAATTTCACGGGAACAGCGAAAAGCGTGCTATGCCAGTGCGAAAATCGCAATCTGCCCACAGGGCAGAAAACAGGTGCTTTTAGCTGGATAGGCAGTGGAAACCACTCCACTGCTTGCGGCATGGCCTGACGCAAATTGGATGCTTTTTTCCTCGAGAGAATGGGATCGACCATCCGCAAACCGGCCTGGGCCATGATTGGGTGCAAATGCGCCAGGAGAGAAAAATGCGTGGCTGGCAGGCAAAAGCAGCCCGAGCCTGTGCAAGCACAGACACGCTGCCCCCTCCTCCTAGCGAACCAGAAAGAATCTGCTGTTTGCCATTGCAGCAGGGTTCGGTGAGATTATAAAAGGACCACCGGCCGGGCCCCTTTGCCCAAACAGCGAATACCTCATAATCCTCTCTGTCTCCTATATTCCTCTTGTACCAACAACTGGGTTTTTCTATCTCTCTCCATACCTCTATCCCCCACCCATTATCACCCCCTGTAGTCATGGTCGACACTAACACCATTGACGCCTTTGTCACTCCCTACCTCCTGAGCGAGGGCTCCGAGGAGCTCAACGCTGCGCTGACCAGCATGGCCAAGGGCTTCGCCGTTACCGACGACAAGATCCGCGAGATCATCAAGGGCTTCCACGCCTCGATGAAGGCCGGCCTTGTCCGCGACGACCCGAACGCGCTGCCGATGATCCCGACGTTCGTGCGCGGCCGTCCCCACCGGTGAGGAGAAGGGCACCTACCTCGCCCTCGACCTCGGCGGCACCAACCTGCGTGTCTGCCAGGTGACCCTGAACGGCGACACCACCTACAACCTGGTCCAGCAGAAGTTCACCATCACGCAGGAGGCCAAGGCCGAGCGCCTGTGGGACTTTGTCGCCGAGTGCGTTGGCGTGTTCCTGGAGGAGCACGATCTGCGCCCCGCCCCCGGCAAGCGCGCAATCCCCTGCGGCTACACCTTCTCGTTCCCGATCTTCCAGACTGGTATTGCCTCGGGCAACCTGTCCTATGTGGAACAAGGGCTTTACCGTGCCCAACTCGGTCGGCCGCGACGTCGTCAACCTCACCCAGTCGGCCTTCCAGCGCCACCACATCGCCGTTGAGGTTGTCGCCGTGCTGAACGACACTGTCGGAACCCTGATGACCTCGGGCTACTCGCACCCCGACACCCAGATGGGCATCATCTTCGGCACTGGTACCAATGCCGCGTACTGGGAGGACCTGGAGAACATTGGCAAGTGGGACGGCCCCGACCGCAAGGGCGAGATGGTCGTCAACCTCGAGTGGGGAGCGTTCGACAACGCCACCGAGGTCCTGCCCTACACCATGCATGACAACAAGCTCAACCGCAAGTCGCCCAACCACGGCCTGCAGGTCTTTGAGAAGATGATTTCGGGCCTGTTCCTCGGTGAGGTCACCCGCAATGCCCTGCTGTCGCTCGTCGACCAGCGCTTGCTGTTCGGCGGTCGCTCCTCGGACATTGTCAACAAGTCGTACACCTTCGATACCGCCTACATGTCGGAGATCGTTGCTGATGAGTCTGCTGAGCTCGACACTGTCCGCACTGTTCTCGAGAGCACCCTGGACATCCCTACCACCACTCTGCTCGACCGCAAGATCGTCAAGAACGTCTGCGTCATGATCGGTACCCGCGGTGTCCGTCTGTCCGCCGCCGCCATGTCTGCTGTGCTGCTGGCCCGCCCTGACATGCTCAAGAACCCGATCCACGTCGGTATTGACGGCTCCATGTACCAGTTCTACCCTAGCTTTGAGAAGGATCTGTACGATGTCTCTCGTGTCTTCCTGGGCGACGACTTTGTCGACAACAGGCTCAAGCTCAGCCTGGCCAAGGATGGCTCCGGTGTCGGTGCTGCCATCGTTGCCATGACTGTCGACCGTGACCGTCAGTAAACATCTAATGTCTTTTCTTGGTATTCTAAACTATTTCTCTCCTCTCTGCAAGCCCTCTGCATGATACACAGATAGCCCCTTTTTTTTTCGTGCGTGCTCAAATTCCGGCTGGAGTCCGCACCTCAAAGCAGAATCAAATCGATAGGCGTGCGGAGAGCTGTGCATAAGAGAATGCTCTACCAAATATCTTTTTAATACCGACAGCCAAGACTCTCCACATCCACCCGGAACCACCTGTCAATGCAGAACAAAAAGGGGACTCCGAGATGGACAACTCATGCATGCATCGGGGACGCATCCCTATATATTAAGCACCCCACTCCACCTGCCTGCAAGTCACATTGTCCAAAGCGCCAATCATGTGGTCCTCCAACATAGATAAGCAACCCAACGAAAAATAAAAAAATCTACTCTACATTGCTCATTGCGCTCTTCGCATGCGCTTCAACTGCTGCTGCCAGATCGACACCGTCATCTGACTGTTGCACACGCCTGCGGATCAAGTTGGCCACTGCCAGGTCATTCTGCGGCTTCAGCCTATCGAGCTGTTTCTGCAAATCGCGCTTCAAGTCCCAGTTGGCCCGCTTTGGTGCTATCGCCGAAATGTCAGTCTCCTCTGCCGCCGCCTGTCTCTCACTAAGTGCCTCCGTGATCAGATCCTTGGTGTCTGTTTCGATCGTTTCGACCGTCTCGGATTCCTGTTGCTGGCTGCGAGGAAGGGCGCTGCGCAGTGAGCTTTTGATGCGAGGTGCGTAGTGCGGCCAGCCGGGCCTTGCGCTTTTGTGTTTCTTCTTCCATTAGAATTATATACGAGAATGTGGACACATGTAGCTGCGCGCATATCGCTTTTAGAATATACACTTCCATCAAATAGCATGATGGTTATGGTATATAGTTTTTTTCCTTAGCTGGATGTTGATGAGCAAGGACCTCGATATCGACCTCATCGGGAGGCACAAAGCTGACAGTTGGCAGCAGCTCTGAGATCCGCCTGGCAAGGTTGTAGCATGCAGCTGGCGCTAGGTTCAGCTCCTTGCCGACTGCAGCCCAATCGCCTTTGTGTCTGTTCTCCGCGCGCAGCACCTTCTCATACAGCTCGACACTGTGCATCAGCGCAAACGGCAGTTTCTCGCGCCTGCTCGCTTCGATGATCCAGTTTGCATTCACCCTGGGCCTATTCCGTCTGGGCTTGCTGTTGACGTCATGGAAAGCCAGCCGGAACGGCATCATGTCGGACATTCTGTTGCTGACTGCGATCCGCTGGAGGCTGCCGTGTGGGTCGTAGAGCCCGTCTGTGCCAGTGCGTCGCAGCGCCGACTTTCCCCCATCATAGTCGACCAGCACCTCGTCTGGGTCCAGCGACAGCAGATCATGCCTGCATGTCCTTTGCAGCGCATGCCACTGCAGGTCTAGCGCACGCATCTTGGCTGCCGACACATGTGGGAGATAGTGTGCCCGGATGAACTCCCACCGCCGCCCATGCTCACGCACTGCCGCCATCATCGTGCGGATCTCGCCCACCGACATGCGTGGCCAGGCATTGCACTGTGCCTCCCACGCTGTGCGGCACTGCTGTGCTGTGCGTGTGCCCACCATGTCCGCGACCCGCATCCAGAACCCCATAGGCAGTGTCCAGGGGACATCGACAGAGAACACCAGCCAGGGCTCACGCTCGGCCACAGCCTGGGTGCTGTCACCCTGTGTCTCTGTGATTGCCCGGATGGCGTCCCGCAGCCGCGCCTTCTCGGATTCGCTCCACTCGTTGATGCGCTTGCCCAAGAGAATCACCGGCGACTGCTTGGTGCCGCGCAGGAGCTTGACTGCGTTGTTCCACCGCATGTTGCAGGCGCGCGGCGTCCGGCCAGTGCCCAGCCGCTCGGCCACCAGCACCCACCAGCCGTACGAGCCCTCGCGGTGCCCATCGTGCTTCAGCTCATTGATCGTGCTCTGCAGCTTCCTTACTTCGGCCAGGGTCCATATGCCATGGTTCTGGCCGGTCAGAACCTCGTATCGCCGCCGGTAGTTCATGTGTCCAATGCCCAGGTCCATCTGCTGCTTGGCTGTCTTCCATGGGTGCTTGTGCTTTTTGGCTATGCTCAGCAACTGCGCGTCTTCGGCTGGCAGCCACTGGTGCCGCTTCTTGCGCATGCATGCTGCGCCTGCTTTCGTGGAGGTATGCCTCCGGATCTGTTGCATGAAACTGAGGTGCTTGAGCATGGGTGTGCAGGACTATTATACAAGGGGGAGGGCAGGCAGGCTAGATCCAATGCAGACCCGCTGTTTTTCGTGTATTGGCTTTCAGCAACACCAGCTTTAGGATTATGGAGTGAGGCCTATTCCAAAGCCATGCTGTATAGATGCTGCAAAAGCAAGCATACTCCCAACTGGATGTCACGAACACTACGACTATCATGCTAACGACATGGCATTGCGACAGATGGTGGCAGGTTCATGCGTATATTCTGGACGGCTAGAGTTTTATCTAAATGGAACGCTGTTTATCCCGAAACAAAGCTGCTGATGTTGGAGTGAACAGCATCGTTTGCCTGGTTGGCGTTAATGTTGTTGCTATATAAGGTGTTTTCGTTGAAGTTGGCGCGGTTAGAGGCACGGTCAAACACGTTGCTGAACGAACTCACAAGTGGGAACCCCCAGCCCCATCCGTCGTACCCACTGTACCCGCCATAGCCGCCATAGCCGCCATAGCCGCCATATCGCCACTGGCGCTTGGCCAGAAACGGAACAACGGGAGCTGCAACCGATGCAGCTGCAACCGGATCGACAAATGGAACGGTCGAAGCAGATGTGGCCGAGGAAACCACAGCACTGTTCACAGCTGGAAATGCCAGTGCAGAGGTTACTCCCGGGATTCCAAAGGCGGCTGTATAGCCGGGATACCAGCCCCAGGCACCGTAGAACTGGCGGCGGGTAAGCTCGGGCTGAGGGCCGGCCGTAGCACTGGCAGATTGCGCAAGCGCGGCCAGAGCAGAAATGATGGCGAGAGAGACGGAATAAGTAATCATTTTAAAACGTGCTTAAATGGAATGTTAATGCGACTGTTGAAGCTATTGAGTGCTGATACTGGGTAGATGTTGGAAGACTGGTGTTTGGTTGCTGGTTTTATACTACAAATATCGGGTATGGTATATTCTTGGCACCAGCAGTGCTACCAGATAGATCGCAAGATGCATACGTGTTCCAAAATCCGCCGAGATGGATACGACCGCTAAGAGTCAACAGGAATAATACCGAAGTGCCTCTAATTGGGAAAGTGCTGTACTGATATACAAAGTTGAAACATGACAGTAACACCCTGGTCAGCATTTCCTGCTCTACTTTAGCGGCCACATGGCCACGGGTAAGTATCGTGACGGTACAGCCCTGACTCCAGATGACCTGGCCATCCCGTAGAACGGATTAGTCTCAATAACCGAAATATAAAGACCGCGCTTGGCCCGTGTGATGGCGACGTATGCAATATTGCTTTCCTCGTTATAGTAGTTTTTCTCAGCCGAGTCTGCTTCTTCCACAGGGCGGTCTAGTCGGGCCGTCACCGCATCTGGGTCACCACGGTACTTCATCGGGAATGTACCCTCGTTGAAGTTCGAAATGAATACGTGCTCCCACTCCAGGCCCTTTGCCTGGTGCACAGTCGAAATAACCACCGCATCCACGCCTGCCCAGCTAGTGTCCTTGGAAATCCCGGCCATCAGTGACACATAGGCCAGGAACGCACGCAGCATCGCGTGTGAGCACATGTCGCTGTCCTTGAACCGCAGTTTCACCGCGGCAGCGCCTTGGACGCGTCCAGAGAAAAAGATAGCGACGGTATTGCGCAGCATCGTGGTGATGGATTTTTGGCCAAAGTTCTGCTCGCTGCCAGACCCATCGCTCCTGGACCTCCTAGCACTGGTGATGCTAAGCTCCGCCATGGCCATGGCGAGGCCATCAACGGCGTACTCGCAGCAGACAGTGGACACAAGCTCTTGCAGCGTCATTTCACCTATGCCCTGATCCCACTGCCCGATGGTATCCATGAACTGCTTCAGGCTGGCCCGTGCATGTTTCGGTAGCACTTTCGTGTCCAGAACACGCTCTGCCTTTCCGTACACACTACTGTCGCCGCTAGCGTCAGGCTCCATGGCACAGATGCGCTCTATGAACCTTGGTCCAATATTCGGTACAAACTCACTGAGGCAAGTACGCATGGCAGCGTCATCTGTGCGATCAACCATTAGCCTCAGCGGCGCCAGAAGGTTCTGAACAGATGCGCCTCCAATGAACGATGCACCGCCACGGATGACATATGGAATCCCTAGATCCAGTAGCTCGATTTCCAGGCAGGCTGACGGCCGGTGGCGCTTTAGCTTGAGGGCCCGGAACAGCACCGCGATATCCTTTGGTTGGCACGCTCTGGAGTGGACTAGCGACCGGATCTTCCCTGCTATCAATCTGGCCTCAGATTCCGCAGTCTCGCTGCTAGATACCACCACAGGCATCATGGGCACAGACGGCTGTACCTGCAACGGAACACGCAGCCGCGTCAGCAGATTCTCGCTATTGGTATTCACAGCAGTAGCAACGATATTGCCTAGGTCAACGATGCTCCGGTGCGACCGGTAGTTGATGACTAGCGACTCCATGCTTCCAACGAGGCTTCTGGGCACATTGTTGGTGTTGGCCATATTGGCATCAACAAAGTTTTCCAGGAACCTGCTAAAGTTGCTTTTGCATGTGGCACCACGGAAGCCATAGATGCTCTGTCGCTCGTCGCCGACTGCTGTGACGCGGCCAGCGTCCTTCTGCAGGAGCATGACCAGATCCATCTGCACTGTGTTAAGATCCTGGAACTCGTCGATCAGCAGGTACCTGTACTTTTCGCGTGTGATCTGCAGGATGGTCGGGCTCTTGAGCACGTCGTTGGCCATTGCCAACATGTCATCATAGTCCACCACGTTAGCCATACGCAGAACCGCATTGTACGCCTCGATCATGGACCGCTTCTGGATGTCGTAGCTCGTAGCCAGGTATCCGCGCGTCTTGCTGGATTGAACAAATCCCAAATGATATGCATAGTAAGCATCGGACTGTGCGAAGCCAGAATGGCCGGGAGGATGCAGCGGACGAGCAAGTGGTCTGGCAGTGATGTCACGGAGCCCTCTGATCCTGTGGAAATGGCCGCGCAGGAAGTGGTACAGCACAGAATGGGCTGCGAAGTCGCTTTTCAGCATGGTGCTGTTGAGCTTAGTTCTAACATTCTGCTCCACGCCACCATCCGGTGCTGGATCCGCAGGAGGCTCCTGCCAGTCCAGTCTGTCGGTTGCCTGCGCCTTGACAGCATCCCAGCGCCTCAGGCGGTCCTTTTTCAGGATCATGCCCTGTCCACCTGGGCCATCACCGCTGTCTGGAGGCGGGATAGCGAGCATGGTTTCGCACTGAACCAGCATGTGGCAGTCGTCGAGCAAGACAAACCCAAGATGGAGTGCGAGCTTGAGATCACCATCCTCAGTAACAATATCTGGGGCCTCTGATAGTCCCAGCTTAACATAATACTCCCTTATGAGTTTGTAGCACCACGAGTGGAAGGTTGATGAATGTGGTGGCGATGCACCCTTCATTCCATTAGCCTCCATGAGCTTACCAATGCGCTCACTCAGCTCACCTGCAGCCTTATTCGTGAACGTGATGACCATGATGGTCTCAGCCGCCACTCCCTGCTTGATCATCTCGATAGCCCGAGTACACAGTGTGTTGGTCTTGCCAGATCCGGCGCCTGCGACGATCAGCAGCGGCCGGTCAATATCCTGCCTGGCAATAGACCTCTGATGATGATCGGTCTCGTACAACCCTGCGAGTCTGTCCACGCTGCTCCTTGTCCGCAGTATCAGTGGTCATCAGCGTGCCTGTGGTACTAATGCCTGCCTCTTCCTGTACCTGCGAAGAAGTCGACACTGGCTGCTGCACCAAAGTTACTTCCACAGGCAAGTCACTGCTGTCGATATCATTGGTGAACACCACTTGATAACTTCCAGATTTGTATACGGCGTGCCCGTTACTAGTGCCAGTGCAGTTTCTTTGATGATTTAATGCACTTGAGGTCATGCTGGTGCCTGTTTTGCGCGTGGGTATCCTAGGCTTTGAACTATGCTTGAAAGATAAATAAAATGAGGAAAAACAATAGCCAAGCCCAAAGGCAATCATCCACCGGCACCAACAGCACTGAGCTTGTAGCACTGATTAGGGGGCAGACGCTGCGGCAATAGCACTGTGCGCAGCCACCGGCAACGGGTAATTTGTTGGACTTAAAAACAAAGTGTATGCCATTCCTCAACAACTCAGGTCCAGTGTTGAAAGGGTTGATTCCCTAATGTGTTCAGATACAGGGGCTAGTGTTTTGAGTAGACACAGGCCAATCACTAATACGCAGTTGGTAATTGCCTATACATGCAGAGCAGATTGGTACTGGTACCAATGATTGACGCGAAATGGCTGCATAATCGGTCCCGTGACTACGCCATAATCACCACTGATAATGATCTGCAGGCTGTATAAATATAGTAATGGCAAAACCCACTGAGTTGACCACGGACGGGCAACCGTCCGAGGGTCACTTGATAAATGAAAAAAGATACAGAGAAGATTAGCATTTCCCCTGCATAAGGATGGAACTTTGATCTTGAACGGTTTCTTCTTCGGAAGACATTTTTTTGCCATTTTCTGGTTTCAACCCGCTCTCTTGTCCCTCTATTTCCTTTTGCCACCACTGGCCACATCACCATAGAGGTGCGCCTTCCGATGGCATTATTACAATTCCATCACTTAAGCACTAGTACTATAGCTTCTATTGCTACTATAATTCTACTAACTGCTTACTACTATGGAGATCAGCCAGAGTTTGTTAGCTATTTAATAATTATTAAAATTTTTCTTATTTTCTTGTTTAGATGCCAAATATGGTGCTTCTCCGAAACCCCCTTCGGCATCCTGAAAAATTTCAGTTGATTTCTCGGGACGCAGCCTCTATCTCAGTAGAAGCATATTAATTGTGTATCAACTGAAATTTTTCAGGATGCCGAAGGGGGTTTCGGAGAAGCACCATATTTGGCATCTTTGTTTCTTTGTTAATCTAGTTGCTAGAATCTTTTTGGCCACTGCTAAACATTCTGTATTTTAAAATATTTATCTACTGCTAGTAATTGATTTCATATTTGTTAATTGGTTATTCTGCTAATAGATATTTAGTTTCTTTAAATTTTTATATTTGTGAATGGCCTCCTTGGGAGTACATCTTAACTCCCTTTTGGGACTGGAGTTGAAGAATAGAGATAATATGCCTGATATATCTGATGCAAGATATAGGGGGTCATTCCTGGACTTGTAAATTTTAGTAAATTACAATTTTGTTAGATAGTTATTTGAATAATCGTTTTCAGAACTATTTTTTGCTACTAGATATTTTTGTAACAGATATTTATAATTGTTGTGTCCAGAATGTTTTTGTGTGTATAATTGATTTTAAAAATACAAATATTTTTTTTGCCATTTCACCCAAACCGCCATCGGCATCTTGGAAAAGTTTCAGTGAACATAATTTCCTTGTGGTTGCTTAGCCACATCTATTGAGATATTGACTTTTGTTGCCCAATGATAATTAACCCAAATATGCAAAGGTTTTTCTTTCTGGTTGAAATTATGTTCACTGAAACTTTTCCAAGATGCCGATGGCGGTTTGGGTGAAATTTTTATTTCACTGAAATTGCCAATAGTTTAAACATGTATAAATAGTTGTTATGCAGATAACTAGCTCTGAATGACCTCCTTATTGAAGCATTTTCTATCAATGCAAATTTCTTACTGAGAATTCCTATTTTAAAAGTTACTTATGACATGTCTACATAGAAGTTCATTGACTCATCAATTTTAGCTTGAATCAGTCTATCTTGTAGTTCTCTCATTGAAGCTTCTAACTCTACTTTTTGTGGTAAAGTACTTCCAACTTCAGCATGTGTTGATCTCTCCTGGTTGTTGCTAGGGTAGTCAAAGTTAGATAGAACCCAAAGTGTGTGGTGATGTTCAACAGGAACTTTACTAGCTGCTAGGATCTTCTTCATATTGTAGAGTAAGCAACAGAGTTTAAACTGCACATTGTATACAGTTGTGTTTCTAATTCTCACAACTTCTCTATTTGATAGTCTCTTAAATGTGTTACCTAGTTCTCCAAATGTGCTCTCAACCATTGATCTAAATGACCCAAGTTTGCTATTATATTCTAACTCTGCTTCACTTAAGTTGGTTCCTCTTGGCTTTCTAACTGGTAAGCAAAAGTTATGCATTCCAAAATTCTCATTCTCTTCTGCTTCTGTTAACTCTTCCAGAATACTTTGAGGATAACCACCATCTAAAACAACACAATCTACTGGAGAGATGTATTTCAATAGTGACATATTCTTAATCATCTTAGAGTCTGGGTGGTCTTTACATTCCTCAGTTGGTGAAACAAGGACAACCATTCCATTCAAATCAATGCAAACTTGTGTTCTATATCCTGACTTCTTCAACTTGAAGGAATAAAGATTTGGTTTGTATGCACCATTATGTAGAGCTCGTGAGTCATGTCCATCTAACATAAGAGTTATATGCTTAAAGTTTGTTGGATTCTGAATCTTTGCTGAGATCACTCTTAGTTTGGAGTGGCATTGTCAGTTTATTCTGTTCACTCTTAGGAGGTCATTCAGAGCTAGTTATCTGCATAACAACTATTTATACATGTTTAAACTATTGGCAATTTCAGTGAAATAAAAATTTCACCCAAACCGCCATCGGCATCTTGGAAAAGTTTCAGTGAACATAATTTCCTTGTGGTTGCTTAGCCACATCTATTGAGATATTGACTTTTGTTGCCCAATGATAATTAACCCCAAATATGCAAAGGTTTTTCTTTCTGGTTGAAATTATGTTCACTGAAACTTTTCCAAGATGCCGATGGCGGTTTGGGTGAAATGGCAAAAAAAATATTTGTATTTTTAAAATCAATTATACACACAAAAACATTCTGGACACAACAATTATAAATATCTGTTACAAAAATATCTAGTAGCAAAAAATAGTTCTGAAAACGATTATTCAAATAACTATCTAACAAAATTGTAATTTACTAAAATTTACAAGTCCAGGAATGACCCCCTTCCAAAGTGAACTAAGAGCATTACTAACAAGAGTGTTGTCAGAAAGAAGAAATATGCCTGATGTTGCTGATGCTAGGTATACTGCTAGAGGTGTAGAGCAACTTGGATTTAAGCACTCTTCTGAAATATTTGTTGACTCATTCATTGTTGAGGTTGTTGTTGAGAAATGCAGTGAATCAGATATAAAGGTGAAGCAGAAGTCAGCTAGTGTTAGATTGCATAAAGTATTTGGAGAAGGTTTTGGTTATAAGTATGTTAGAAGCAAGATTAGTGAGCAATATGGACCAGTTGCTATTTACAAAGTATCTACCCCAAACATTGCAATAACTAGTTCTTTGTTAACAGTGAAGTTTGCTACTATGGCTGATCACAAAATATTTCTACAGAATTATGACATCACAATGGATTGTATGAATATCTCATCTAGAAATATTATCTATAAATACCTTTTAGAAAGAGGAGTTGAAAAGAAAGATGTTGTAGATGATTTACACAAGTCTGGCTCTAACTGTATTAGCTGGTTTACAAAGAAAGGAGATGTTAAAGTTAAGAACAAAATTTATAACAAGTTTATTCAGCTTCTTGAGAGTGGTGAAGTTCGTAATCCTCTTAGTTCCAAACTTTCTGAATTTGTAATGCCAACTTTGCACAACTTTGGAGAAACATTGTATGCTTGCAGAAACTCTGGTTTGACTAGGATAGAACTAACTGTACATTCTTCTCAGATGCAAACAGTTGAATGGAATAGTAACTTGCTTCTTAACACAGTTCAGTTTATGAATGAATGCAGAACATTTGCAACTTCTTATGAAAAGCAGTGGAAAGCACTTGTTGATAAAGTTAGTAGTTGTTATACAGTTTGCATTTATGTGAGACAACAGCATACTCTAGCATATTGTCATTGGTTTAACTCTATCACATCAAAGAAGCAAGGAATTATTAAGAAACTAAACAAGAATGATGATCCAATGGTAGTTGTTGCTAATCTCTCATTCAACAACAGACCTACACTTTATCAAATATATGATTCACTTGAGAGTGGTCTTGAAACAGAAAAAGTTCTTAGAAGAGTTGATGAGAATATAACTATTGTTCCAAGTCAGAGAAACTCCTTCTGGTCAACTTATCCTACAACTAAGCAGTATCACACTTTTGAAGAGATGGGATTAGTTAACTATAAAGGAATGCATATTGGTTGGATAGATAGTAAGCAAGCAAAGAGTAAGATATGTCTATCAAAAATGTCAGAGGATAAATATTCTGCAAAAGAGGAAAACATCAATGCATTAACAACAGCAATAGACAATATCACACTTGATGAAACTAGCCATATATTTATCAAAGAGAATACAGATCTGAAACCTTCATTGTATAGAGTTGCTTACAATGTTCTTCAGTTAGGTGATGAATTTACAGCTACACATTATGCACTCCATACTTTTAGAGGACATTCATACTTCTATGTTGATATTCTTATTAAAGGGAGAGATAAACAGCCAACTCTTATTAGGACACCAGTTGACAGTTCTATTGGAAAAGCAATTTCTCAACAGTTAGGAGAAAGAAAGCAACAAATATATCTAAGAGTTATAAGTGTGGGATATAGAACAATCACAGTTGAATAGCAGCCATTTTAAAACATAGTATAAGCAACCATTCTCTCCATATCTCTATGGAAAGTATGACAAACATCATACACATGTTCAACCCTTACCTCACAATCAGTAGCAATATGTTGGATCCAATTACGCACTTGTATTGCTAAGTCATCACTCATATCAAAGTCATGAATAAGTAGCAGAGTAAGCATATCTCTTTCTTCCTCACACATCTCAGCTAAATGTTGCTTGAAGAAGTTCTGGAATGATCCCATTTTCTAAAATTGATAAAAGTTGAAATTTTTATTTATGACTACCTCACACAGATGGACAATCAATTACAAGAATTAAGAGAGAAGGAGTGGAATGTGC